TTTAAAGATTTCAGAAAGCGAACATGAATTTCTGGCGTATGGCTGCCAATGAACGTGCGTCAGACCTCCAACTTCTGTAAGCATTGTTCCGATTGCCACTTGGAATCACGGATTGTTGGTATAGATTCCCAAAAGACAATGCCCCCGTCATGCGCCCTTATCGATAGCCTAGGCCTTGTGTAACCTCGGTGTCGAGTAAAAGAAAAGCGCGTCAATTAAGTAGACACTTCATGAGAGCCATGTAGAAAGACGAGACTAGCGTGTACGTGTAGCCTGGAGTGTGCACTTTGCAAAGGGGAATGTCTGTGGGGTTGCAATCCCATTGCCTCGGGAGATGACAGACCCATAGTTCGGCGTGTCCAGAGTGTGCTTGTCGGTGTAACATGACATGACCTGGGTTGGCAGGTGATGCTGTCAACTCTCTTTTTTTTCCTTTTTGGGATCAGTTGACCAAGCGAACAGAAAAGATATAAAGGCACTGCATGGAAACAATTTCTGCCTCTCTCTCTTTTTCTCTCTCTCTCTTGGAATATGAAAGTCGTGAACAAAGTTTCAAGCGCCAAAAACTACACTTGCACAGTATCAACGAAGGGTAACGAAGAATCGTGCTGGTCGCGTCCAAAAGGTTGTTGTCTTGACCAGGACTAGACGTATTAGCAGCAGCAACAGCAACAGCAGCAACAGTGGCAGCATCAGCGGTAGCAGCGGTAGTGGTAGCAGCGGTAGCAGCAGCGGTATGTAGTAGTAGCAGTATGTGGTTAATAAAAAGCATTGCGCTGTATAAATCAAAAGATACGTCGTCGTTTTTCTGCTATTACGTACGCGTGTACTGTGTGTGTGTGTTTTTTTTTGAGAAACTCAAAAATCATCAGGCCTACGAGAGTTATGGTGGAGACCTGAGGCAAAGGATATGGTTATTAGACGCTAATTCGCTTCCCAACTGTTGTGACGTGTTGACTAATGCATTCACTGGTGATGAAGGCAGTTACAGTAGTGTCCGATGGATACAAGGAGTTATCGCGTATATACGTTGGTTTGCAGCGAATTGTATATGGAACATTTGGCCCCGTTGCGGCCAGTAGTAGATGCATCACTCGAGAAACGATTTCAAATAGCATGGCTAAACGACAATGTGATCGTAGAATTATGTAATACAATAAAATAGGAAAGCAGAAAGTAACCCTTTATTTTGTTATATTACTGTATTGAGATATTGATCGTTTCTTTTTTGAATACATATCTGGCGGCATATTGTCTGGTGTCGCTGGCATTTGGAATTCACATCGACCATTTTATATTATACGAACGCAACACCGTCTGTTTCACTTGTTTTCATAACGGTTTTAAAGATTTGTGGTCGATCTACCTATTATATTTAATGCAGTTCTCATGCTCGAGGAGCGTTGTGGGTCTCACGAGGCAAACATGGAATCGTATGATACTGATATGAGCAAAGCGAAAACCAATGCACTTGATCATATTATTCGCGCCCGTAATGTTTATATTCGTGGTATATGAATCGTCGCAACGTCGTGGTCCACTTGATCGCACCGAAAGATATCATTCCCATTAGACGCCCTTTCCAGGCTCTGGTACATATAATATAAGCGAGAGAGGGGATCGAAACAATCTAATTTCTTTCAAGGTGGTACAATAGCAAAGACATGCACAGAGATCGTAATCTCCCTTCGCTCCTTTCTCCCTTTTCAAAAGTAGAGAAAAACACCCACAGAAATGTTTTGCATAAGAATGTTGTTAACAGATTGATCAGACGGTTATTCACGTCAATGTACTGGCCAGTAATTCCGCTCTCGACCAAGATTATATCCATATAGGTGATAGTAGGCGGCTTTTTCGCTGTTCATGAAGTGCATCATGTTGAGTATACTTTCCACCTGCAACATATGGTGCTTTCAAAGTGTACGATCGTTTGCGATGTTGTTGCTGATGATGATGTAGTATTCACCATAGGAGTCGAAGTTCTTTGTTCTTCCATCATGTCTTTGCACTGTATATCTGCTTGCTTTGTGATTCGCTGATTCAACTCCCTAATAGGGATGCCGTTCGGGTTTAATATCCATCTTTAGTTTTCGATGTTGATCCTGTAAACAAGATACCTTCAGTGGTCTATGATAAGAAATACGACATTTATGTTACTTCCCGCACTGGGTAATAGTATCCGTTATTGTAATACATACACATCATGCTTCCTTCTTGATAATTAATAACAGGTACTAAAACAGCAGTAATACTTATCTAGATAATATAAGTGATGCTAAATTATTAGCCCAACTCGTTTATGCGTTAATATGCTCTATGTATTGCATTCTGAGAGCATAAAAACAACAGCATGTATAATTGTCTCGATCGTAGTCATCATTAGTAAGACAAACAGCATATAATAACTTAACTTTATGTCTTTTTCATAATATTTGTCGCGATTATAGCATATATAACATGCGTCATTGCAAATCATACCATACGATTATATATCAACGATTTCTTTCGGCTTCGAGCGATGGAAGAATTAGTAACAGCAGCAATACGAACAACAATACAACCAGTAAATGTCACTGTGCTACTGTCGGCGTTACTATCCAATTAACCATCAGTATCCATACAATGTGATCATGATAGCTGATTACTAAGTCATGTGCGAATGGATTGCAGCATTGCTAGCAGTATACCTGTAGGTTGAAGAGCTTACCATATCGGTAGTATTACTAAGCAAGACGATGCAAAATACTTATTAGTGTTATTATACACCATTTAGCAACCATTAAAATATACTCTTAAGGCATTTCAACAATAAAAGTCGAGCAAACATGGGCTCACCATTTTCCTTATTATGTGCGTGTGTGTCTTTTTATCTCTGCGTTTACGCACATATATATTGGTCTAGAATTATAGGCAAGAAAAAAAAGCACATTTCTGATGCCCATAACCCATCACAACGTCTTGCAAGTGCAGCTGGATGCAAGAAAAGGGAAACCTTAACCACAATATAAGTAGATCAAGACTTTGTAGTACATGCATAGTTATACACAAATATAAATTTCTTCCTGGTTTGGCTCTGACATCATTTTACATTATCCCGAGAAAAGAGAGACAAAAAGAATAGGGAAAAGAAACTAAGGGAGCGCCGAGGAGAAGGAAGGGGAGCTGATGTCTGAGGCGAAGCCATACGATGACGATATAGTTGCCAAGCCTCGCTTGAATAATTTGTAAAGAAAAAGCCACGCTATAAATAATAGAGTAACTACAGAGGATACAAGGGTAATGCTGCAGGAGAGCATGTACGTCAAACAGACGCCCGCTAAGAAAGAAAGAACAGCAGCAAAAGCACATGGGCGATAATAGTATAGCAATGTAACTACAGCATTTTTTTTCTTTCTCTTGAGCGCCTTTGCATGCTACATATAATGAGTGGAGAGAAGACAAACCAGAATGTTACATATGCACACTTTACTTTATATGGTCACACGATGCTTTCTGCAATGCAAAAAGCAGAAGAAGAGTCATGTATGTACTTTATGTGCTGATATGTATGCGCTTTTTACAAAAGTGTAAAACGAAACACAAAGAGAGAAATTAAGGTTCATATCGTGCATTGCAGCATCAAAGTACTGGAAGAAATAAACAAAAGATCCGTCACTTAATAAACATTAGCTACTCGTGACTTGTCAATGTAATAGTGTAAAGAGGAAGAAGTATCTACATGATACACGACAGCAAAACAGCAAGAAGAAAGCTGGTGTTTCTAAGTGTTGGTGATATCCTAATATGTACGCGCTTATAACGAACGAGAACAAAGAAATTAATCATGTTCTGCTAAATATAAAATAAACGTGTATCGACAGCAATGGGTTATTCAGGCTCTTTAAAAAATATTTGCTATCGTTCTCTTTGTGTTATTGAACATACTGCATATGCATACACTCGTATTTGCCCTTAGAACACGCCATTACGAACATACAAGTGCGTTGTCAAACACCCAAGAGCGACATGAAGACCCTTGTTACCGACATATAGGCGGGAATGTGAGAGACAAGGTGTCACTGTAATATTGACGATAAGGCATATTTGTACAGGTTATTTTTCACCATGGATATGATGCTGACGCAGTTCAAATCACAGTACCCGTCAAAACTATCATAATTAATCACAACCAACAGCAGCAACGAGTAACATATTATTATAGCACTCTTGGTAGCGCTTCTCATATAAACAACAGGCTCTATTGGGCTCTTTGCTATTCTTGTATGACTATGTCATGTTACAACTGTAATTTTTAGAGCAGAACCACGTAATTTATTAATACTGTAGTAGGCTTATAAAGAAAACGAGGCGCAAGAAGATGATATAATAAACTTTATCTATCAAGCGGCGCTACTAACTAATAAACTGTCATCCAGTAATAAACTGGCGTCTCGTGATGCAAGGAAGCAATAGCAAAAAAAACAGGACAGGAGAAGGACTCAAGGGGGCGCGAGAGATTCACGCTATAGCTGCAACAAGCTCGCCACGAGGCTAAGAAGAGAAGTCAGATTATAATTTGCGACTATATGCGCGCAGAAGAAGGATAAGCATGTGTCCAACATGGTCTCCGCGAAATATTAGACTAAGAGCCATTCGACACACTTCACAGAAAAGGATAGAATATTACAAATAAGCATATTGCTGCTCTACTATATCAATGTGAGGATTTTTAAGTATGAAAAGGTTGTTGATTGGGTTAGAGAAGTGTGGTTCGATACGGGGTAACAATGTTGGTTATGATGCTAAATTGATATGGTATAACTACGATCGTACAAAGCGCATTGTTGCTGTTGGTTTTGTTGTGAAGTGTGGTGGTATAAGAAAAAAGGAAATGTTGTGAAGAAATAAATGGATGACTAACGAAAGAAAAAAATAGGGGGTGAGAGGATAGAATGAGGGCGTGGTAATAGCAGTAAGTAGTACTAGTTTGATAACATATCACATCCGCTAATTAAGGAGAATAAGGAAGTGACTTTAAAATAACATTGTAGATGGCATGAATATTAAAAAAGAGACAAGTAGTTTGTGTGTCTCATTATATGACAAAGAAGCAAGTAGGGGGAGGAGGGAAGCCTTGTAATACTAAGCGGATGGTAGCGAAATATGAGACTCTATCCGGCTTGAACGGCGATCGTTCTGAAGGTGGTGATGTCCTTCGGCACTGTCATCATCCTCGTCTGCAGCTGGTGCCGGGATAAAAGACGATGATTGTTGCTGTTGTTGTGCACGAGTAGAAGAATCTCGAGTTGTTGTTGCTGCTGCTGCTACCGCGGCTGCCGCAACCGCCTCCCAATCATCATGCTGGCTGTGATCCAAAACCGTCAAATCCTGCAGAATGGTCAAAATTCGATGCATAAGAGCCCGAGACGCCTCGAGTTGGATCGCCGCATATGTCTCGACCAGATCACGCCCGATTTCCTGTAGAATATGACCATCCTGACTATGCTTCAATTGTGCATTCGAAGCGACATCCTCGTAAAACTGGCGCCCTGTACGACAAAGATGTCCGCAAAGATTGCTGATGGATACACTAGCAAAAGCTGCCGCTGAATCATCCTCCCCACTTCCTCCCGATCCAGTTGCGTCCTGATGATGATGATGATGCTGGTGCCGGTGATATTGATGACCTTGTGCTGCTGCTGTCGTCATATCATTGTCATCTTCTGTTGCGCTCGTAGTGTTGCTGTGGCGATGGTGCTGTTGTGAATGTCGGTGAGGGGTAGGAGGCGGCCCCATGGTCGCTGGTGTTGTTGGAGCGGTCGTTGCCAGGTACCGTGCTCTCGCCGAGAATACCCCTTTAAGCCGGACAAAGAAAGGCACTCGCGATTGGCGAGGTACTCGTCGTCGTTTGATGATCCCAAAAAGGATTGGATAATAGGGTCGATGCACTTGTAACAGATCTGGCCATTGCCACGGGGAGGGGATAAAGGATGGCGTTGGCATGCCTTGGATCCCTGTTTCATCCTGGATATACCATAACGAAGGTGCAACCGATCGAAACGGTACGAATGGTGGTGGTGCCGGTGCTGCTGGTGCTGCTGCTTGTGCTGCTGATGTTGGTGCAGGTAATGGATCGATCTGGCTACGTCCAATATCCCCATCGATACTACTAACATCGTCTTCGTCATCGTTGTCATCATCAACCATGCCTGCTGTTTGCTGAGACGTGCTACTGAAATAAAAGATCTGATCCTGCAGTTTTCGTAGCCGTTTTGCCAACAAGGTCAACTGCGCGAGTTGAACTTGGGCTTCGATTTGTGCTAGGTTGTGCTGGGCATTTTGAGCAAACACCGAAGCGAACCGATCACATATTCCTGCCACCTCATCCATCTGATCCTGTCGACTCATTCGACTGCACTCGAATACCAGCTGCCGCGTACCGACTGCTTTACGCTTCAGCCCCAATTGGTGGTAGTTGTGGCTGTCAATCACGACGACATAGGCTCCTTCTCGAAGCTCATAGGTGACTAGTAATGAGGTCAACAACCGCTCGATCTGTCGCGGCTTCTTCCATGCCTTGCGCAAGTTTTTTAGATTGTCAAAGAGCGCGGCCAGGTTGGCCTGTTCCTTAGCCTTCATTTCGAATGACTGCGATAGCTGCTGCCAGTCGAGCGTGAGCTGCTGCGCTCGTCCCTCGGGCAATGCCCGGATGCGACGGTGTAGACAGACGGCTTGATAGCAATCGAGCATTTCCACGCAGGTTCGCATAAGTGATTGGCGTATGCTGTCGCTATTGGGAGTCGATGTCCAGAATTCGGAAGAGTTGCGAATATGTTGAATGGTTTGTCTGATACGCTGCAGCTGCTGTTGGCTGGCTACGCGTTGCTCGAGACAAAATCGTTGCTGGGCATCAGAACAGAACGTGTCCAGTAGCACCTTGAGCTCTTGTGTAAGACTGTCGATCGTCGTTTGGTGATGGTCGACAGCGGGTGATATATTCGACATATGGTGATTGATGTGTATTGTAAATGTCGGATGGATATGGTATGCGTGTTTATGGCGGTAATGGCAGGGGAGACGAGGCTATGAAGGATATGTAATGCTGAGGGAAGGGGAATAAGAAGAGAGGAAAGGATGGAAAAAGAGGAGGATGCGGGAGGGAGGGAGAAGTTGAGCAATGATGACAATGATAATAAATAGAAAATCGCTCGTGTTGACCAACAAGAAAGGCACAGAAGAGAAGGAATGGAGGTGAAAGAAGCGTTCTTATAAAAAGGGAACGCCACAAAGCTGAGTACTACTTGCTGGCTGTTATAAACCACAGCAACGAGGGTCGAGTTTCCCAAAGAAGAACAAGGCAAAAACATAGCACAGAAAAAAGATACACACAACTCAACTCACATCGCACAACGGGCAACCATCGCACACACACGCAACACACACGCAGAGGTGGTGGGTGGGGCTACTAGTCGAATAGAGCAAAATGCATAAGCCAGTTATCATCCATCCGGTGAGTTTAGGGGGACATTGGGAGGGAGGGTGGGGGTGAGACGACTCTTTTTATTTTCTTTTGGGGGTGCTGCTTTGGAGATGCGAAGAGAACACATCGCATTTCCCGCCAACAACAATGGTGTTATTTTTTGTGTCTCCGAACAAGTTGTTCAACGGCTCAGCCAGCCAGCCAGCCAGTTAATCAGTCACAGTCAGTTTAGGGGTGGGGGCTGGTGGGGGTGTCCGAACAGTATGTCCCACCCTCATCGTGGATGCTCTCTCACTCTCTCTTGGCTTTCCGTGTTGCACCATGGCACGATGTTTCTTCTTTTCATTTCACTATCTGGACCAATCCTTTCCTCCGTGTGCGCGCTTCTCGAATGTTGTAAGCAGGTCTTGCTGTCCTGGGAGTCTAGCAGCAGTGACGCCTTTTTCATCTTCTGCATAACGCTTCTTCTTTTTCTTTGCAGGCAGTATAAATGGTAGGTGTTGTGAATGCGGTGTACGTACTGTACAAATGCTGGCTGGCGATCCCCATTGAAGAAAAGCAAAGCAGGGAAAGTGCCCAAACAAGCTAAGAATACACGGCGATCGAGTCCCAAAGAAGTTAGAGTTACACAGGGGCTTGCTTGTGGTGCCACCATTATGGCCAGCCCATCCACTTGCTTTCCTCCAAGGGAGACCTTGGGGGAGCGGGCGAGGAGGTGCTGGGGGGAGAGCACTGTAGCACGATGAGAGATGTGATAGAGAAAGAATGCGTGCAAGGGATAAGAAGGTGTGGTGGTGTGATGGTGGTACCTTTATTGACATGTCGCAGTGGTATCACTACGAAAGGTATAATGACACGGAGGTCGGTACGCTTTGATAATCGAGCTCGCTCCCCAGCTGAGGATGAAACATATTGTATCCTCTTTCGATATCTAATACTGGAAATGTGTACCTACTCCACCATCCCTCCTTCTCCTCCTCCTCTTCTTCTCCTCCTTTGAGCAAGTACTAGTTTCGTACATACATAATGCACATATACACGCCCTCAAGATGTGCTACAAGAGAGCTATATATTGTCAGTAAGCGGGGGAAATGATTAAGAGAAAGAGAGAGAAGTAAGCAGTTAGAGGCATGCCATGCATTACGGGTTCATTTATACATGAATATTACGCGTTATGCAGGCTCACAATAATGTGTGAAAGTACAGTTCTTACTCGTCGTCGTCGCTTGTAGTACACTACATCATACCACTAATCCCTCTTTCCTTTTATCTTCCTCTTAGCTTGCTTAGTCGTACAGGTTTTCGTTGATAGTGACAACGTCAACTAAGCTACTTGCGATCGTGCGACTAAGCACAGTATACTTAGTGAAACTAGTATAAAATATCCTATGTATCAGAAGGTTGAAAGGAGGTAAGTAAACTGTTTCCTCCACATATATATAAGCACTTAGATCTCGATTTGCTGTCCAATTGTTGATATTCCGAGATGGCTCTTTAACGTTACAAGATCTGGTCTTGTGTCTCCGAGTGGGCGTTTTCAACGATGCAAAAAAACTTTAAAAAAAACCTAGATGCGTCGTCATCATCACCATCGTATTCTTACAGTGTACATCATATCTACAGCACAAATATCCTCAAATATTTTGCAAACTATAAACCAGACTACTCCATGTTTGTGATGCATCACATATGTACAACTTTTTTTCTCAGTAGTTGTTGGACGGAAGAAGAAGAACAAGAATAAGCGGAATAAAAAAAAAGTGATAAACTGCGACAAGATTCATTATTCTCACAAAGTTAGGAGCTTACGACAACACACCAACCGCTTCCATGGTCGTTTGCGGTAGTAACTGTAGTACGTATAGTCTGTGTCTTCTGGTGTGCTACATTTAGCTGAGCGATATTGGGCTACAGCTCACTATGTGCCCACACCACCACTAAAATGCACTACCCATCACAACACTGACACATACACCGTGTCTTTTACTCGTCTCGGCACAGTTGTTGTTGGTGTTGCTGGCGGTGACCCTGCTCGACTAAGTGACTTAAAGCATCTATTTATCAAAGTGGGTATATCTAATATTTTATTCGTTCTTGTTGTTCCTTTATGCCTTGGATCGGGGAATGTGATACATTCTTATAAACGGTTGCTTCATTCGACATGCCAAGTTTACCACTACCACGTACCTCCTAGCTTCTTTTTCTGTAAGTCTAGCTGTAATGCTAAATACGTACCCAACTATACTGTCCGTTCTCAATCTAAGTTGTTCTTAGTTTATGTTGTTGGCCTCACAAGTGTTTTTTCCCGACTTGGCACAGACCCGGATTGACCATGCCGAAGTGTTCCGGTAGATTTCTCTTCTTGGGGGAGCTCCCTTGAACTTTTATCCATTGATTAATCTAACGCAACATCATCCGGTGTATCAACTACACGTATCCAAAAAAACACGCGGACAAGGGAGAGCAAATTTTGGGCAGTTGCCTACAGAAATAGGTTTAAGCCTCCTAGATAAGGTAGACCCTCCTTTCGGTCTCCAGAGCCGATACTTCTTTTGGTACCTCCTACCTTTCCTCTTTTTTTATCCCCTCTCCCTGTTTTAAAGAACTTTGTCATGCACGAGCATGGATTTCCGGCACCAGCAGCAGTATACAGTCACCAACAACGATAGTAGTAGTAATAGTAGCAGTAACAGCAACAATGTATGCTATGTAATAATTATAATCGAGCTGGATAGTACCTATTTCTATTTACTACCTCTTACTGCTCAATATCTTATTTCTCGACACGATACGTGTTGCAAGCCTATCACCACTATACAATTCTTATTTTTCCCCTACCACCATTTTTATCGAGGAGCGTTAAAAGCGATCCTAATTATCATCTTCGCAGCCGTTGTTTCGCTTTCGTCGTTGCATGCATGTCACTTGCTAATCAAGCAGTATTTTCACCTTTTATATATTTAAAAAAGACTTACTTTAGACATACATATTGCGCCGACATATCACCCCGTAACTGGGTAAGTATTAATAGTATCAAACACTCTCATTTAGTGATCAGTTGCTGTTTTTTTAAAATTGTTTGTTCACCTCTATAATCCAGACGTCAACCATATAAGAAACCCGTTAAGAAGGTTTTCCTACCGGTTTTTCTAGAAAATTTTCTTTCTCCAAGATTTTTCTGTACATTGTATGGATGTTGATGGACCATGGAGCAGCACACTTGTAATATGCTATAAGTTATCTTCACTTTGGGATCATATCCTAAATCACTAGGAATGATCCCACCTGGTTTCCCTTTCGCATGGACACAAGTAACATATCAATGATCCTCAGATTTGAATTACACCCTGCTCGGTTGCACGAGCGCAAAAGACAGGAGGAACGAAAAGGAGAACAAAAGGAGAATAAAGGAACAGAGGAGACATCCCGTGTTGGCCTGGGCTTTTTTTTGTAGTCTTGGCTTATATAAATGTGGCATTTAGAAGCTAAGAGCTACATAATGCTGGCACTGCTGCTGCAAAAAGATTTGATAATCAACATACAGTACTTAGCTAAGTAGGTTATGCGAATGATTGAACCACATTATGCATACTAACCCTTTCAACGAGCTGAGGCAAGAGTCATATTCTCACTCTCTTTTTAAAAGTCTATAAAACTTATTACAGCTGAACAGCTTCCCCATTAGATCGATGGTATCATTAATGGCAACTTTCTTGAAAGGTAGAAATGTCATAAGAGGAGAAACGCGAATCGCGTACTATTCGTGGGGTATTCAATATGCAGGAACCGTACATGTAATGTATCGCCGCCGCTGATTTCCCATAGCACGATGTGGTGCTTTTTAGTTTGGCGTATGTATGTGTTATGCGCAGCCGCCGACGCCGCATTGCTGATAGATAAAATCTTTAAATTTATGCTACGCGCTGCTCGCAGCAACGGCGACATACGCATTCATGATGTTCCATTTCTTTCTCTATTTCTTAGGTTGTGACGTGCACTCAATAGATAATACTACTATACCACCTTCTTCGAGAAAATGCTTTTGCTACGTTACGAGAAAGGACCTGAAAAGCGCATCGGTCCTCTTCTTTTTTCTCACTGTATGTGGAGTAGCTGCTATCATGGTGCATGCCCTTTTGAAATACGATAAGTGATACATTAGAATGGTCTATCCTTAATGCCTAGGAGGACATTTGCGTTTCGAAACGACAGTATTCGCAGCTTGTTTCTGGTTTAAAATCAACTTATACAGCAAAGTGCTTGGAAAGCGATAGAGATCATATATAAGCACTATAAAAAGGATTCCAATTTTTTAGTCTCTTATCCTGATCGTATACAGCTTTCTCCTTCTACTAAATTGCTTATCACGCTTAGAGTCTTGCGCATATCATCTACATATCTTTAATCTTGTGAGTTTGCGATTTAGCAAACCGCTTGCTTGGAAAGAAAAACAAGTCAAAAGATTGATAGTCCTCAATGATAGTAGTGTGTTACTATACACTCAACACAACTGTTATATTTGTGTCTCATATCATGATCTGCACAAAACAGGTGTCGTATGATTCTTATATCAAAGCGGTTATGTATGGAAATATTTTTATCACACGAAAAACAAGTTATTAAGCAGCGACAACGGGTTTACCTTTTTTGATTTCCCGAACATAAGATACTCTATAGCGTCTCAGAAAATTGATGGCAGTCGGTAGCTTGGGCGTATAATGACGGAGGGGGAAAACGTATGATAAGTTGTCGATCACTTGTTTCTCATAAGATTGAAGTAATGGAGGTATCATACTGTTACAGTATTAGGAAAACAACTTTTCCCCATTGATATTGCAGTGCCAATTATCATTTGTATGCCAAGAATGGATCACGCAGCTGCCATCGACGTGTCGCAGTTACTCATAATATGACGGGGGGGAGGATAGTTTGATCCGACATGTAATAAATCGTGTGTGGCTTGTATATCTGAGGGACGGAGCATATGGGATCGGTCAGTAGCAAAATTTTTTGAGCCTCTTTTTTCCACCAAATTACATCATGGTACCTATCGCTAACATTTCGATTTTTTCTCAAAGCGATTCGTTTATACGTATTCTAAAGACTGTGTCACTATATTTGGTTACCCAACGACTTACCGTTTTACTTTTCGCTCACCAATCAAATGGTATAGGGTAAAGTTCACGGTTCGTTGGCCCGTGCCGGTAAGGTCAAGTCGCAGTGCCCCAAGGTTGCTAAGCAAGAAAAGAAAAAGCCTTTGACTGGTCGTGCTAAGAAGAGACAAACTTACAAGTAAGTTGAAAACGAACTTGCTGTGAAAGGAAGTGGCATGTACGATTTCAACGGTAATACTAATTTATAACAATTCAAATAATTAGCCGCCGCTTCGTCAATGTCACCACTTCTTTCGGTGGCAAGCGCAGAATGAACCCTGCTCCCACCCAGGGCCCTTAAACGAATCTTTTTGACTACGCCTCTCTCGCAATACATCAAACAAGAACGTTGACAATTTCACTGTAAATGATGAATAAATCGTTAATTTTGAAATGGCCTCGACAACACTTTCTGTTGGTACCACAATGGGATATAGAGTTATTACTGTGTAAAGAAGCAGTGGTAGCTGTAGTAGGAAGGTGGATGAAGCAGATGTGTGTATGCGTGTATATGCTCTACCCGGTGACGTAGTAGGAATGAAACCTTAATATATACTGCGTATGTATGCACTGCGACAGTGTGCCATGGATTTTCTGCTCCAGATCTGGTGAGATTGCAACCCGTAGTAATGGTCGAGAAATCATTCGTCACTCGTGGGAAAAACCGCTGCTGCATATATAAACGATATGATATGTCGCTTTGTTTTTTTCCTTTTCTTTCTTTTTTCTGTCTTCTCTTTATCTTTTGATTCTATCAAAATGGCCGCAGCATCTTCGAGCGCACAAGCATTCCAATACGAAAAAGAGTATAGTGCTCACAAGTAAGTAAAGATAAGACGCGATAACATCCTTTCATACGGGCACATTTGGCTTCACCGCATTTACGCGGGTGTATGAGTTCAGTGGATGGTGGCTGTTTGTGTTTTATGTAAAAAAAGGCCCTAATGCCTTATTCGACTGATTTTGACAATAATTTGCGTATCAATCACAAGCTACCATCCACTTCCTGTCGTTTTCTCCAAAGCCGAAGGCGCATGGGTATGGGATCCCGAAGGCAACAAGTTCATGGACTTTTTGTCCGCCTATTCTGCAGTGAACCAAGGCCACTGCCATCCAAAAATAGTGAAAGCACTGTGTGACCAGGCCTCCAAACTGACGTTATCTTCGCGGGCATTCTACAATGACGTATTTCCTGCATATGCAAAGTACGTTCATGACTATTTTGGCTACGACATGGTTCTGCCCGTCAACACAGGTGCCGAGGCTGTTGAAACCGCCATCAAGCTTGCTCGTAAATGGGGTTATGTCAAGAAGGGCATCCCGGAAAACAAGGCTATTGTTCTAAGCTGTGAAAACAATTTCCACGGTCGAACCACTGGTGTCATGAGCATGAGCACTGATCCGGAATCTTATGCCGGCTTTGGCCCCTTTCTACCCCTGGTCGGTCCCAATACCGCCTCTGGCAAGCTGATCCGCTACAACCACCTTGAAGACTTGAAGGCTGTTTTGGAGGAACAAGGCGAACATGTAGCTGCATTTCTTGTTGAACCAATCCAAGGCGAAGCTGGGTACGCGCAAAATGAGGGAGAAGGCGTGGGGGAGAATAAGCGTCAGCTGACTATTTTCTTTTCATCAGTATCATGGTGCCCGATGACGGTTATCTGAAGGAATGCTACGATCTTTGCAAGAAGCACAATGTGTTGTTCATTGCGGATGAGATCCAAACCGGCTTGGCTCGTACAGGCAAAATGCTCTGCTCCGAGCACGATCAAGTACGTCCCGACATGGTGCTGCTTGGCAAAGCATTATCCGGTGGTGTATATCCTGTTTCTGCCGTGCTGACAGACCGTGAGGTGATGTTATGCATCAAGCCTGGTGAGCACGGATCCACTTATGGCGGTAACCCATTAGGCTGTGCTGTGGCCATGTCAGCTCTTCAAGTCATCAAGGATGAAGATCTGGTCAACAGGGCTGCGGAATTGGGTGAGATCTTCAGAAGCGAGCTGCGGAAGATCGACAGTCCATTGCTGCAGACAGGTAAATTTACTGGACTGTGCTGATAACTACGCGCGCGTGTCTCTGTGTGTGTGTGGTGTGCATATTGCAATGATCCCGGACTAAAGTTACTAATCTTCTTCAATACCTCCTGCAATCCAACAATACATCAAACAGTTCGTGGTCGTGGTCTGTTGAATGCCATTGTTATTGATGAATCCAAGTCAGACAAAACCGCATGGGAACTTTGCTTACTTCTCAAATCTCGAGGTTTACTTGCCAAGCCGACGCATTTCAACATCATCCGTCTCGCTCCACCGCTGGTGATCAGTGAAGAAGACATCCGACTCTCAGTTAAGATCATTGACCAAGCATTGAAGGATATCGTGACCATGAAGAAGGAGTCTATTCCAGGCATCGACGCATAGTAGCTTAGCTTCCCCACATGACAGCGTTTTGTTGAGGTGGATTTCGAAACAAGAAAGAACACAAGTGGGGAAGAAGACGTTGGATTTCCCTTTCTTGCGAAGACCACCAATCCTAGGTTTTAGTCTCTTATTTGGATAAAAACCCTTAATCATGCTGTAATAAAAGAACCAAGGCAATTCCCTCCATTTCATGATCCAAAGAAGTCCATCTGTGATGCCGATATGCATAATGTGTATGTGCGAGTATGTTTAATCATATTTAAGGAAAGCCATTCAGGGTCAATAAGTACCGGTAACCGGAAGAAGTCGTAAAGCAAAAAATGTCTGAAATCCAACCAAGGAAAAAATTTGATGTTCCCCAGCCTTTCCGCTGATATATAAGCCAGCTCCGTCGATGCAATCCATTGTTTTCCTCCCTTTTCCTCCACCCTACTCTACCATGTCTGAGAAGAGCCAGAACCAATTCGTCGTTGTAAGTTTCGCGCTATTTATGAGGCATGAACGAGTTTAATAGTCATGGGGACTATCACCAAATGCTGGTGACTGTAGCGATCCAGAACCATGCTTACTTTTTGAAAAAGATATTGATGCACCTTTTTTTTGCAACAGGACTTCCTTATGGGTGGTGTTTCCGCTGCCGTCTCCAAGACCGCTGCTGCCCCCATTGAGGTGCGTATATTGCTAAAGTCATATTTCTAGGACGATAAAAAGGCGATATGATCATATGGATGTTGACGATGTTTATGGTTTTTGCTTTGAATGTCTATAGCGTATCAAGCTCTTGATCCAGAACCAGGATGAGATGATCAAGCAGGGTCGTCTTGCCTCGCCCTACAAGGGCATTGGCGACTGCTTCTCCCGTACCATGAAGGACGAAGGTTTCGTCTCTTTCTGGCGTGGTAACACTGCCAACATCATCCGTTACTTCCCTACCCAGGCTTTGAACTTAGCCTTCAAGGAGAAGTTCAAGCGTATGTTCAACAAGGACAAGAAGAAGGATGGCTACTGGGCCTGGTTCGCCGGTAACTTGGCTTCCGGCGGTGCTGCTGGTGCATCGTCGCTCTTCTGTAAGTGTTACTTTTTGTTTTCTTACGAAAAAATCAAGGGGCGGAGTGAAATGCATAGATAAGGAAGTGGTTATTATGCTGGTCTGTGTTAGGGAAAAATATTTACGCCGATTTTCTTTCCTCTTACAGTCGTCTACTCGCTCGACTATGCTCGTACCCGTTTGGCTAACGATGCCAAGGCCTCCAAGGGTGGAGGTGAGCGTCAATTCAACGGTTTGGTCGATGTCTACCGTAAGACTCTGGCCTCTGACGGTATTGGCGGTTTGTACCGTGGTTTCACCATCTCTTGCGTTGGTATCATTGTCTACCGTGGTTTGTACTTCGGTATGTACGATTCGCTCAAGCCTGCTCTTCCCGAGAACCTCCAGAAAAACTTCTTGGCTTCGTTCTTGCTTGGCTGGGTTGTCACCACCGGTGCTGGTCTGGCTTCGTACCCCATTGACACTGTCCGTCGTCGTATGATGATGACCTCCGGTGCTGCTGTCAAGTACGACTCCTCCCTCCACGCTTTCCGTGAAATCGTCGCCAAGGAAGGTTATAAGTCCCTCTTCAAGGGTGCTGGTGCTAACATTCTCCGTGCCATCGCTGGTGCTGGTGTCTTGTCTGGTTATGACGCTCTTCAGGAACTCATGTATGGCAAGAAGTTCTAAGTTATTATATAATAACCTAAATAGTTCTTTATTTTATCCCCTGTGTATAGTACACTTTTTTCTTTTCGCGTTCATATATTAAACTAAAAGAGACATTGGCTTTTCGTACACTTTATGCTTTTCTTACTATTGATTACTATCCCTATCACGGATTGTACGGGGAAAGAATAAGGTTGGAGTAAACTGTTGATTGCGTTAAATCGCTTACTCGCCAATCGATAAGGATTATACTATCGTTTCCTAGTTAACATAAACGCTACTTATTCATCTTATTTCGGTGTTCCCTGACTCTAGTTTGTGAGCGATCACCATTTCGACTCATAAATGAAAAGATCGCTGAAGCGGATAGTAACGTACCAAGAGTAGATATACTCACATCCTTTTTACCGTCCTTTTTCATCATATGCATGAGTATATATTGCTCACGACCACTAATAACTGTGACGACTCAGTTATTAGTTTCTTCTTATCATAGACTATAAAGCGAATGCGCCCTATGCAAGCAAAAAAGAATACAAAACGATACTCACAACGGCGATAAAAAATACTATTAGAACAACGCCCGCGTCTGCTGGTTGAAAGAATGAATTGCCCAGTATTTTAAGAGCGGGATAAGCAACAAGCGTCGTATGTGTAGCTGTATCGTTGGGGCCGTACATTTGAAGCATACATCGTGGTCATCGACTATGCGAAGGATTCGCCAGCTGAGTCGCAAATACAGCGCATATGATGTTTGTTTCGACGACAGTACTAAACTTGCCCAAAGTGGTCTTGACAAGCACGCCACCAGTTATATAAGCCCTTTAAACAGATGTATCCCTGTTTGACAAAACGTGGATTGTTGGTAGACAATATATGTTTTAAGAAGAAAAGATGGAAATACAGTGGGAGTCAAAAATGAGAAAATCATTGTTAACTGAACTCACACCCTTTTACGTTTGAGATATAGTCTAGACTCCCGTTTGGATGTAATAATGATAGATCGCGGGCTAGCCGATTATTGGGTCCTTTAAAGTTCAAATGCCGTGATGATACAGGATACTGTCTTACTGGAGTAAAGAGTCATTTTCGCCTCGGTCAGTGACTTCCTTGATACAGTGTCATCTTAGTATGTGGAGGATTCTAATCATGCATTTTTGACAGGTGACGACTGGTGGAACGAATATTTGGGAAGTACATGGTGGGCTTCGTGCATATAATCAATTGCTGTACGAAGAAGTTTACTACTTTTTGTCGAGTAGGCAGTCGGCTCGAACAAAAATCTCAGAAGCCGCGTTTGGTCTCCTCAGTGGTGCAGATGCTGAATTTCATCAGAACATGTCGTTCGTGTATGATAGCTGGTGAAAGCCGAAAATCATAATACTTTAGTATGCCAGGAACAGCAGGCCAGAAACGGCTCGCTGTAGGTTTTGTAAAGTCGAGGACCCCATCCTTACAATCGTTGCTCTCTAAATACGCGCCAATGCATCTGGGAGAGACAACAGGTTGCCGAGTCATATGTATTATCGCATACATATCAATATTATTACTGATTCAAACAAATGTATAAGGCAATGATATGAGCATATATGACTTGATAACATATGTAAAAATAAAGAGATATTGTGTGCTGCTTACCATCGGGTATCATCGCATTGGGCCTGTAGAATAAGGGCTCACCACGTTGGTACAATTTTGAGAGCCTCTTGAATAATTTTAGTTTGCTGTAGGTAGTTGATAGTTTGTTGTGGTAGGTTTCTAGCTCAAAGTCCATACTGGAGTTCTCTTTGCGGCGGCTGCAACTGAGGCTGTTGAACTTGCTGACTGCATGTTGCTATCTGTCCTCCTGGTGCTGGTTGGTTCCTTCTCTCAGATCCTTTTCTGCGAGGTCCATTCAAAGTTCGTTTTTCCGTTAACAAAGCATCTGTTGGGGAATCACGACCTGCTTGAACCACAAATTTGTTAAGAATAAGTGTGCTTACATCTTATTCGTGGTCTTTCTTCGTGGTTACTATCTCTAGATAATACGGCAAATATGACAATGGCTACAACAACAGAAAAAGAATAGCTGGCTTTTGGCGTTGTACTTCTGCTGCTTTTTCTGGCATATCGTAGCGATCCCAAAAAGTGCTAAGCACTGTTTCGTACAGATTCGCAAAAAACACACTGTCACTGTCAACGTCCATGATGAGGTAGTCACTGAGCACCTTTTAAACGAGATCGATTGTGCTCCAGTTGAGGAAAACGTGCGCAGAGAGATAAACGTGGATCGCCGTTTCTATTTGACTAGTGCTTTCATTTAGCAAACGCAAACTGAAATGTATAATGAATGAGTTGCTTTTATGAGAAAAAGAGAGGCATGTCAGTGTGGTGTATCTAAATGGTATTTTCGACAGGGAAACCTGATCACTTTCTCAGCCTGTTGGCCCATCCTCACATACTGATTTCTCATGGAATGGATCACTGATTGGGGCACGAGCAATCATTTCTAAGCATATATGTTGGAGACACCTGTAGTTACTGATGAAATCTTCTCAATTTTATGTTAACAACGTCATTAACATTTGGAATCAGTCTCACGCAATGAAACAAAGTACGTTGGTTACCTATGTTTTGGTGGTACAAGGCTTAACGTATTTTATTTCAGATTCCATGATCACAATCACGTTCTACTTATGCGTGCTCATAGAATTATATAACTCATGGTGAACACGTCGACTGCAAGTGCAAAAGACCAGCACCTCAGTGAAGAGAACCGAAAGTTTGGGCGCCCCAGGTTGATGTTAATCTTCGAATTGCCTTGTGTGAGCTTTGTTATTGAAGAGCAGGTATACTTTGAGAGTTATCCACCTATTTTTTTTGGTCTATTCTTTCTCCTTTTGCGTTAGATGACCTGCAATACATTCTATCATTCATTGTCTTAATTCTTTTTTCTTTTGTGTTGAATGACATGCTATAGTTGCTGTCATTCATCATCTTTATTCTTTCTTTGGCGTTGGATGAGTTGCAATAGGTTCGCAGTAGAAACTGAAAAAATAGAATAGCAATCATGTTACAACGCGCCTTCCTCTTTTTGAAACTGGCAATTTGCAGGCGATTAATTAGTCGTTTACTTTTTTGGTTGAAATGCTGTGCATATATAAGGCGACTGTAGCATACTTGTAGGATAACAACAAATTGATGATCATGTATTTGAGTATTTATGAGGCACTACATGCTATCTGTTCAGTCAAATCATTCCTCAGATGAAAACTATGAGCTTGCTCTTCTTGCTGTTCATGGATAATATGAATGGATGAAAAATGAAAGAAGGCTTTAATGCATGTCAAAACCATGGGATACGGGTAACTGCATGCTTGTTGTTTGTGGCTATGCTACAGTGCTTTCCCAATTTTTTCAACCTTGACTTTTTCAGACTCGGGATATTCCAAGAAATTTCTGGGAACGAGTAAGACCTCGTTACTTTTCCTTTTCAAATCAATCTTCATCATTAAACTATACATGGGGTGAGTACTTAATATTTTTTAAGGGCTTCAACACGGCTTCTTCATGCATGCGTATATACTTTTATGTTCTATCAGGTGTGTGTGTAATAAAAAAGAAAGTCAGGGTGATTTGTTTGGTGAATTGCTCTCTGCAAAGTTTATCTCTGACGAAACCTCGGTCAGGGCAAAGGATAATTGGAAGCCTCTCATAAAGTTACGGGCATTGTCTGGATTCCTTTACTCTAACAACGACCAGTACATTTATTGAAGAACAGCGTGCTATACTATGGTAGAGAATATTAAGCTAGTATTTATATTGTCAAGCAATTAAAGAAACATGTATTAGTATCAAATTCAAATGGTAAATTATGAGAAAGCCTCGGTAAATTGATATAAGTTTAACCATAAGATTGCTGCTACTACCCGGCTCTCGGTGAAACTCAATCCCGCCGTTTTTCAAGACTGCTCAGGAATGACAGCCTTGAAATAAATCGGGGACCACTGTATCTGTCCACTATACAGTGCTTCCAATAAGCAATGTCGCGGACAGTCAAAATTGATGTCGCTAGCCAATCAAAATCGATTTCGTTCGCTGAACAAAATCAAATTCGCGTTGTCAGAAAGGGAAGTCGTATTTTTAAAAATCATGTCGCTTGCTATTGAAAACGATGTCGTGTCACAATGATTTCTTGGCACTCGAAAAACTACAAAAGCAGATGTTTCCTTTTTTCAAGACGTGATATTTTTCTTCAATTCTTTACATTTAACTTGAGTACAATATTTTTATTTGAAGATGGGCATGGAAATGTCGTTGATGAGAATGGTGGTCCTGAGCCGATGGAGTATATCGTTGATCAGGATGAATTTGTTGTTGAGGCGATTGCGACTCATTCTGAATACTTAAAAAACGCACCCTCTAAAGAATCTTCACCAGCTTGCCCAATGTTGATAGAAAAACCAAAAGTGAAGACATTCGTATGAAAGAAGCAGACACAAAACGTGATTATGTGCGCTACACTGTTCAGGATAAGGTTCGATTTTTTGACCTGAAGATTGAAAAGTGTATGAGTGCATCAGCTGCAGCGAAGCAGTTGGGTATTCACGTTCGAACTGCTCAGAGATGGGTTAAGCAGTACACCATGTGTCCTGATAGCATTTTTGAGACTTGTAAACAGATTAGTCGTAAATGTATCTTGACCGAAGAACATCAAACAGCTCTTGTTGATTTCATTGACGCTAATCCCTCTGCTGCTGTCACTGAAGTGACTGAGCATTTGTTAAAGCGATTCAATGATCTCAAAGTTTCACGTAGCACGGTTTATAATTTCATGAGAAGCGAATGTAACCTTTCGTTGAAGAAAGCTGACTTCCATTCTGTCGAAAGAAACAGCCCAGCAAAGATTGAGGAGCGATATGATTGGGTTTGCAAATGGGAAAATACAGGCATGAATTTTCTGACGAATTGCGTGTTTCTTGACGAGTCTGCCTTTGATATCAATATGAAACGCTCAAGGGCTTGGTCCAAAAAAGGCACGCGTGCCATTGTTACCAGGCCTACTACGCGAGCAAACACAACGTCTATATTAGGGGCTATCTCTGCTGCAGGTTTGATTACAGTCGGTGTAAAGAAACCGAGACCTGCGAAGAAGAGAAAGGCTGAAGGGTATGTAAGTTCAGGGACGGTGACAGGCCACTATATCAGCTTCTTGAAAATTACTCTTGATGAAATGGACAAGCATCCGCATATGAAAGGCCACTATATAGTCATGGATAATGCGCCCATCCATACGCATGAAAATATAAGGAAGTATATTGAGTATCGAGGATACAAATGTGTGTACCTTCCCCCTTACTCTCCTGAGCTTAACCCAATAGAACAATTCTGGGCAGTGGCAAAGAGTAAGGTTAAGCGTCATCGGTTTTTGCAGGAAGATACTTTGTCAAAAAGAATCACGGAAGCCTGTAACAGCGTGGAGAAAAGTCATTTCAGAGGCTTTGTTTCGCATTCTTACAAGTGCTGGGATAAATGTCGAAATAAAGAATCCGTATAATAAGCTCCAATGACTTCAAACCCAATAGAATTCAGGTAAGTAACATGCAAAAAAAAGTAAAAGAAAATAAAAACGTTCCGTGCCACGCTCAAAAAATCAAGTGTATTTTTTTATTTCATTAACCAACATGAACTTCCGGAGATCAAAGTCGCAATAAAAACATCTCAGTATGCCACGAAAAAATTACAGTGTCATGAAAAAAGTTAGACAGTATCGTTCATAGTGAGCCATTTTCAAATTTGCAGTGTCGCCCGATTCAAGCTCGAATGTCGTTCAAAACTGTGCCTTACAAGTCCTTGATCTATGGATTGATGCTCAACATACATGGATCCTTGCAATCAAATACAAAGTACACTAGAAATTTTATTTCAGGTCGCACGTAGCACGGTGATTCACTGTTTCCTTTTGAAAAGTCAGGCATATTATTGACACGAAATGAATTGATGGCAGCATCAGATCCTTGGCATGTGGGGATATATACGAAGGATCCATTTAATCAAAGCGCAGGGCGCAGAAGCGGTGGCTATTTTTGGTTGAATCAATCAAAGAGTAAATGGAGGGATGAGTGGGGCGGCGTTTATCTTGCCATGAGTGAGTGTCACGGACAGGTCGGCACAAGCGCCAAAAGGTATCAGATAGGATCATCAATGTGCGCATATTTTTCAAGGACACGAATGTTGCTAGTTCTTCCAAAGATCGAGGAAATGTAAGCTGTGCAAGTTCTTGCATCACATAGATTCCATCGTGGCGGAGGCGAATCAGAAAGAAGGTAATATGAAAACCATGCACCTGGAAGGTCAGGGCGGCTTCCAATGCATTGGTATCAATGGTATCTTTGGCTAGCGTTGCCAAACGCAAAAGATCGTGGCATAGCGCGTGGTTATCGGTGGTGGGGCGTGCAATTTTGACCTCTCCATATCCAAGACTGGATCCGAAGTCGCGCTGCCGCAGCTTGGAGATTGTGGCGTCAGGGCGCATCTCGCCATTTTCATCAGATGTGACATTCGACCAGCGCAGGAGCACTCTTCTGTCAGGATCAGAGAGTAGCGATGCCAAGATGGGATCAAAGTACATGGTGAAAAGCTCACATTCCCCAATAGTTAGCTTGTTTTTTATGGCAACGAGCGGCAAGCGGCGCATCCTATAGAAGAATTGTTCAGTTTTGGCACAGGCTTTCACCCACCACTAGTCAATGATGGCCTTACGCTGCTGAAATGCCCCGCACCAAAGATCGTCCAAGGGGGCACAAACTTTTTCCGAGCATCAAAAGCTCAATATCTGCATCATCCTTGGCAAGCTGGTTGGAATCGACGTTGTCGATGATCCGAGCCAATTTCATGCATGCATCGTCGCTGATATCCACCTTGAAATCCATGCATTCGGTCAAGAGATTCTTGTTGAGATCGTCCAATAAATCTTCGGTAAAAGTATCGATGCAAAGCGGGCTGTGTTGACTCGTACACAAGAGAAAAATATTTGACAGGGCCAACAGCTCGTGCACAGATGGCTCGATAAAGAGCAATCGGCTGGTTGTGATTCTGGCGACAGCTTGCTTGAAACTCGTAAATCGTTCAGCCACGTTTGTGCCTCGATACATCCATGGCTGCAAGGGGATTGGGTTTCGGACATCATCCAGTATGGTGTCTGAAGTAGAGACGAAAATATCCTGATCGTGATCCGTTGGTGTAGTATCGGTAGTGGCTATTGGGGCGTGTGGTGTGGGTGTCGTGGATTCGGAAAACGCTTTGCTTGCTGTAGCATCATCTGCGAGAGACGAATCAGACGTATCTGGCGCTGCTGATGCTTTCCTTGGTTGCATGTTGAGCAAGTCTGCTTCTTGATAAACGACATCTTGGATAAATGTAGCGCACGCATCATGAGCGTCTAGATTGGTTTTTTTGCGTGTGCGTTCCAATTAAAAACGCTTAAAGTCTTCCGTTTGTTTGTAGATGTTCAGCTCTTGTTCTAAGCACGTCTTGTCCATGGCGAGCAGTGGTGACTTGATGATATTGCGATAGCGCACCATCGCCTGCTGCTTGTCCAAAACGCCAAAATTCTCAGCGTATGCCTTGATCGTCAAAGAATCTTTGCGCTCGCACGCCCATTAGATGTCGCTCGATATGACGCGCTGTTTCCTTGCTTGCGTTGATGCTGATTGATCGGAAAGATCCTTTCTTTTGCCAGACATAAGCTACTTGATTTGCGGAATGGAAAAGAAGGAGAGGGCCGCAGGACTGAGATTTTTCTTATTTCACCCACACTGAAGGATTTCATCTTCCGACCTTTTTAACAATAAAAAAGGCACCTCTGTTTCCGACTGTTTATTTCTTTTAGTTCAATAAGAATAAATAAAAATATGAGCGACTACATCGAAACTACTCTTTGGAATGCATTTCAGCAAGATCCTACAAGATAATGCCAGTGCAAGTGAGGTTCATCCTCTGGAAGCCTGGGAAGATATATTCGAAAAGGCTCCAGAGACTACCAGTATCTCTTGGATTTTCAAGAACCGATACACACTAGTAGAGACGACGATGCTGGTAATAACGGCATGATACTGCTAATGTAGACATTGTTTCTCCTTTTTTTTCTTGTTAAAATGGTCGGAAGATGAAATCCTCAAGTGTGGGTGAAATAAGAAAATCCCGCAAGAAAATTTTTTTGTTTTTCTTTCCGTTTGTTTTTCGTTTGAGCAACATGTAGATGCTTGAGATTAGTAGGTGTGCATTTTCCTCCTGGAAAGCGATACTGAACGTCCATGATACTGCCCCTTGTCTGATGACTCTAATTGAAGCATGAAAACTACTTGTCTGATGGCCATATGCCGAAGCATGGAAGTTACTTGTCTGAGACTAGTCGAAGCATGGAAGCAGGTTCTCTCATGTGTCTGGAATGCTTGAGGTTATTAGGTTAGCCTTCGCAAGAAGCAATAGCTGAACGCCCATGATACTGCCCCTTGTCTGATATGCTCATCAAGAGTTTGAAGCATGGGAAGCGGGTTTCCAGACAGCTTGATAAAACATTCAATAAGGTAAGACATGCCTGATACAACCACTGATGCACATTCTTTAGAAATTTCTCCGAGCCAACTGCCCTCGCGATCAAAATTTCTAGTGTACTTTGTATTTGATTGCAAGGATCCATGTATGTTGAGCATCAATCCATAGATCAAGGACTTGTAAGGCACAGTTTTGAACGACATTCGAGCTTGAATCGGGCGACACTGCAAATTTGAAAATGGCTCACTATGAACGATACTGTCTAACTTTTTTCATGACACTGTAATTTTTTCGTGGCATACTGAGATGTTTTTATTGCGACTTTGATCTCCGGAAGTTCATGTTGGTTAATGAAATAAAAAAATACACTTGATTTTTTGAGCGTGGCACGGAACGTTTTTATTTTCTTTTACTTTTTTTTGCATGTTACTTACCTGAATTCTATTGGGTTTGAAGTCATTGGAGCTTATTATACGGATTCTTTATTTCGACATTTATCCCAGCACTTGTAAGAATGCGAAACAAAGCCTCTGAAATGACTTTTCTCCACGCTGTTACAGGCTTCCGTGATTCTTTTTGACAAAGTATCTTCCTGCAAAAACCGATGACGCTTAACCTTACTCTTTGCCACTGCCCAGAATTGTTCTATTGGGTTAAGCTCAGGAGAGTAAGGGGGAAGGTACACACATTTGTATCCTCGATACTCAATATACTTCCTTATATTTTCATGCGTATGGATGGGCGCATTATCCATGACTATATAGTGGCCTTTCATATGCGGATGCTTGTCCATTTCATCAAGAGTAATTTTCAAGAAGCTGATATAGTGGCCTGTCACCGTCCCTGAACTTACATACCCTTCAGCCTTTCTCTTCTTCGCAGGTCTCGGTTTCTTTACACCGACTGTAATCAAACCTGCAGCAGAGATAGCCCCTAATATAGACGTTGTGTTTGCTCGCGTAGTAGGCCTGGTAACAATGGCACGCGTGCCTTTTTTGGACCAAGCCCTTGAGCGTTTCATATTGATATCAAAGGCAGACTCGTCAAGAAACACGCAATTCGTCAGAAAATTCATGCCTGTATTTTCCCACTTGCAAACCCAATCATATCGCTCCTCAATCTTTGCTGGGCTGTTTCTTTCGACAGAATGGAAGTCAGCTTTCTTCAACGAAAGGTTACATTCGCTTCTCATGAAATTATAAACCGTGCTACGTGAAACTTTGAGATCATTGAATCGCTTTAACAAATGCTCAGTCACTTCAGTGACAGCAGCAGAGGGATTAGCGTCAATGAAATCAACAAGAGCTGTTTGATGTTCTTCGGTCAAGATACATTTACGACCAATCTGTTTACAAGTCTCAAAAATGCTATCAGGACACATGGTGTACTGCTTAACCCATCTCTGAGCAGTTCGAACGTGAATACCCAACTGCTTCGCTGCAGCTGATGCACTCATACACTTTTCAATCTTCAGGTCAAAAAATCGAACCTTATCCTGAACAGTGTAGCGCACATAATCACGTTTTGTGTCTGCTTCTTTCATACGAATGTCTTCATCTTTTGGTTTTTCTATCAACATTGGGCAAGCTGGTGAAGATTCTTTAGAGGGTGCGTTTTTTAAGTATTCAGAATGAGTCGCAATCGCCTCAACAACAAATTCATCCTGATCAACGATATACTCCATCGGCTCAGGACCACCATTCTCATCAACGACATTTCCATGCCCATCTTCAAATAAAAATATTGTACTCATGTTAAATGTAAAGAATTGAAGAAAAATATCACGTCTTGAAAAAAGGAAACATCTGCTTTTGTAGTTTTTCGAGTGCCAAGAAATCATTGTGACACGACATCGTTTTCAATAGCAAGCGACATGATTTCTAAAAATACGACTTCCCTTTCTGACAACGCGAATTTGATTTTGTTCAGCGAACGAAATCGATTGTGATTGGCTAGCGACATCAATTTTGACTGTCCGCGACAGTGCTTATTGGAAGCACTGTAATTGACAGCTAAGAAGTCATTACTTTTTAAGTCACGAGGCTGCGGAAGAAGATTATCCTTGTCGTGTCTTTAAAAACTCTACATGCACTGCATGGATGGATGGTAAATCAAAAAACCAAAAATCAGAGTGGGGTATGGGGTTCTAGACGTAAATAGTAGTGTAGACTAGTGTAGACTTTGGCGTTTTTTCGTAATTTGTATGACAGCGGACAGTTTGGAAGAGCTATGTGGTTGTTTGTTATGATTGGGTCAACTACGTTGTTGTGTTTGTATATAGTAAGTCCTTGCAATATCCCGGTTAGATATCCCGGTTGAGCCCTTCAGTCGGGTCGTGGGAAGTTTAAAGGAACCTGGCGTTCTCGTGTCAAATTGTCAAATGCGAGAGGAAGAAAGGAGAAGACTGCTTGGTTGGCAGTCACACATGCACACTATAGCCCCAACATGCATGATTTGCTACAAATACAACAAAGGCGTCTGTCGGAATGTAAGATAGCTCCAAAACTCTAAAAAATTCAATTCGCACATAAAAGACGATGGATACGAAGCACATATCCTATTCCTGATCTATAGTTTCTTTTCTTCTTACTTTCCAATCTACAACGACAACAGTTCTTAGAATGACCATTTCTTCACACGTCAAGCTCGCCTACTTTGACATTGGCAGTAAGTGCTCCTACTGCTATTACCTTTTGCTGTTGTCAGTATGCGCGTTTCTGGTGTCATCATCAAGCGCGACTACGGACACAACGATCGGCGCATACGCAGTACTAGCATCTGTTTTCCTTTTCCTTTTCTTCGAGGAGCTGTTCGCTAAAGATTACGAGGATATTATACGGCTTTTTGATTTTTACTAGCCAACGGTTTTGGTGAGTATGTCAAGCTCCTTCTTCAAGACTCTGGTGTCTCCCACGATTACGAACGTATTCCACTCGATCCCGAGGAATGGTCAGCGAAAAAAGAGGAGTTGAAAAAGAGCAGAGCGCTGCCTTTTGGTACTCTTCCGTATGTCGAAATAGAAGGCAGATATTATGGTGGCAGCACGCCTCTTTTGCGTCTTCTTTCCAAAAAGCTCGGTATGCTTTCCTTGTTAAAAATGTGTATACTGACGACATGAGGAGATACGAAGTGGGAGCCGGAGTTAATTAATGCAGTGCGGTATTACTTCGATATTCAGGAAAGTACCGCGGTTCTGGTAGTGACGATGATGAGTATTTTCTCGATGCGGCAACAGATCTCTGCCTCGACTGGCGCAATGCTGCAAACAAGGTCCTCTTCGCCAAAAAGACCAATGGGGTAAGTAAATCTATTGGATGATTGCTTCATAAGATGCATTACAAGTAAACAAGTCTAATAATAAATTTGTAATGTAAATGAAGGATGTTGTGAAGGCCAAAGAGTATTACGTTCAAACGGATGCTGTTAAACACTACGGTAGATTTGATGAGGCCTACAGCTTACATGATGGTCCTTACCTCTTGGGCCAAGAAATTTCGTATCCTGAATTCTTGGTTTATCACATCATTTATAACGATGGCCGTACGAAGCAGGGATTGGATAAGGTTAGCATTTAGACTAATAATAACAGTCGTGGTGGCAGAGACGGTGTTTTATGGCTTCCAGTGGTAGTAGTACACTGGATCACACTAGAGTATATTTGCTCCATATAGAATTCTCCTACTGCTAATACCAATAATACTTACATGCATCATTATTATTTTTTTAATTTGTAGTATCCTAATCTCGCTCGCTTTATCAAGGCATTTGAAGAGCGAACAAATTTGAAGGAATACGTTACTACGCTTCCTGAAAGCCCTTCATTTGCAACATAGAACACTATCATGTTTCGATTTATTATAATAAATAACAGTAGTAGTACATATCATTTAAACAGCCCGTCTCGCTCTCTCTTATTGTTTTCCAGCAGTAAATGTCCCATTCATTTACTTTTGTGCTCGCTATATCTGCCGTGGACGTTATATTCATCATAAAATAGTACTATTGATAATATTATGATACAGTCAATGTCCCACAGTAAATAATTTGATTAGCAAGTGCGTATCAGTTACACGACTTTTGCTTAGGATTTTCTTTATTACATTATGTCTGCTGAAAAAGAAAGAAAAATAACAGGTAGTAAGTTGACAAGGCTTTTGAACATATATCTTCAACAATGATAAATTAGCAACCTCCTTTATAGGATGAGTCTGCCATAGACAAATTTGGGTCTGTTTGAACGAAAAAGGGAAAGCGCCACTTTTTTGACAGGCGAAAATTGTTATTCCCGACTGGAGAAAGTATACCGTGTGGCCGCATTGTTGCGTATATTTATCCCACTCAAAAGAACATACACAATCGCCTTTTGTGAATCATATGCTCTGAATGCATCAACTATCCTCCATTCTGAGATTGACATCGCGTCGAATTACAGTCCCCCAACAATCGAATACCACTACCAGCAGGACTGCTTGTTTCCGCACGGCATGCTGTCGTCGCCCAGTAACCGTTGGAGCAACCACACAGCCACGAAGACAACAACAGCACCGTTTACCGTTATCTTTCTCTCCGCAGCAGCAAAAGCGATGCTTGAATGTTGAGAACAAGGCCGTAGTACAGCACACATCTCCCACAAAGACGTCTGATCTCAAGCTACGCTGTAAGTAGTAATTCTATAGTTTTAGTGTGTGAGCGAGCCTTATAATAAAAAGAAAGCATGTAAACTCAAATATGTACACAGGTACCGAGTTCGACGACAAGGGTGCAGTACGAATAACGGCTGGTGAATTTCGTAAAACCGATTTATGCCAACGCCATTCACTCTTACCACGCGATCTACGTGGCATTGACACACATTCCGCATACCAGAAACCGGCGATGCTTGTTCGTTCGGAAGCCATTTTGGCCAATATGACGTATCTCAAGGCACTTGTCAAGAGTGACCTCGTGGTCTTGTTTGATACGTTTGGATCGTCTGATAGTTATAATAAAAGCATATTCATCTATGACTTGCAAGAACGACTCAGGACCCACAATGAGCTGCCTTTTGAATTCAGGTACAAGGAAAAGTGTGTGAGCGAGAGGATATGTGCCAAGGCCGACTAATGTTCGTATACTTTAAAATTGATTAGAGCAATCGAAGCGATACTTGTTTCAATCACATCGTCGCTGCAGTCCGAGCTAGAAGTGCTTGAAGCACCAGTGACGAAACTGTTGGGCGACTTGGAGGATATTGCAGATGTCGAAGAGTCAGTGAAACAGAGTCATCTGCGGGATTTACTCCAATATTCTAAAAAGCTTGCAAAGTTTGAAAAAGATGCGCTATCCATCCATGATGCAATCAGCGATTTACTAGATCACGGTAAGTCCAATCTTTTCGGATTGGATGGGGCTGGCACTATAGTAGAAAGGAACAGGTGACTGACTACATTTATAAACCAACATCTCTTTTCCTTTCATCTTCAGACGAAGATTTGGCAGCCATGTATTTGACAGCCAAAAAAGCCGGGAAGCCTCGGGATGCATCGGACCACGAAGAAGTGGAACTACTGCTGGAAGCATACTTGAAACAAACAGAAGAAATTGCAAGCAAGGCATCTTCGTTGATATCCGACATGCGGTCAACCGAGGAAATTGTACAGATCATCCTTGACGTTTCACGAAACTCCCTAATGTGGTTCGAGATCCGACTAAGTATTATCACGTTGTCTGCAAGCATCGTGAGCGTCTATGGCGCTCTGTTTGGCATGAATTTGAAGAATTACTTTGAGGATGACCCTGTCGCTTTTGGCGTGATGTCGGGCATGGCCATGCTCACAGGATTGGGTGCTTATATTGTCTCGTTGCGTAAACTCAAGACTCTTGCCCAAATAAAAAAGAAGGCGAGCAATACACTCATGCGTCGCTTGTACAAACTATAGCTTCTTATTCACTACCTACATAGCAACAACCATCTTAAATATTATGTACATAGAATTCACCAGTTACCCATTTTTTAACCACCGCCACCTACTCTTTTTTCCCTTTCACGCTTAATAAAGTCTTGATTTCCTTAGGACCATTCTTTTTGGACAGAAGGAGAGGGCACGAACATTATGGAGAGACCAAAGAGCCCACCCAATCATCATAAGTCGCGTGATCCGCTCGAGCATTAGAACCCACGGAACAAGAGCAGTTTCGGGAATAAATGGTGTTACAAAACAAAGTCAGGAGGTTTTGCATGACTTTGTGTATATCACATCGCAAAAAAGTTTCCATCGTTTCTTGCTTGGTGTATGTGTGTGTAGGTGTGTTAGCGGCAACATAGTACTTAGTGCTTAGCGCATAGTTTTGTATTGCCGTCTGTTGTGGCCTGACACCCATCACTCCTTTTTTTCCGCTAAATATACAGCTCTTATATTTTATTTGCTGCATGATAATCATCTTTTATCAGCACATCATGATCGTCAGAGTATAATACGCAACATAACTAAACTCAGTTTCCACCACAGGAAGCTGCATGTAGTGACATTTTTAACAAGTGCCAGCGCGCTTGTCGAATTAGCTGATTGTTTCGCATCTGCGTGTGAGAGTGGTAATTCCCAATTTGTGTGACTCGATTGGTTCTTTTGAGCACAAGGGGTGTGGGTGGAGTGAGAATGAAAGGAGACGGCGCTGCTTATTTACTTTTACAGCAGGACAAAAAGTAACGTGTGAGAATTTTATGTACGACAACCAGACTATTTAAGCGCAACTCTGTATTAATCCTTTTCCTTTCTTTCCTGCCAACAACACACCTTACTTCTATTAACTCACACATAAAAATGACAATCAAAATCAGCCAACTACGATCACTATCGTTCCACCAGCCCAAGAAACAGACTCAGTCTAGAAAAAAGTCGCTTAGCGTCAAGATCAGTAAAGAACCGCCTGTCATCCACAAGATCCAACAAGACAAACTTGAATACACTTGCGAGTGTATCTTTGATCCTGTCGTCTGCCATGACAGCGAAGAAGACCATCCTGATCTGCTGTTCAACGACAACAAGAAACGGTTGTGCAAACCTTGGGAAGTACCGCCGTATGCTGACGAGCCACGACACTCCAATAACAGCATGTCCTTAGTATTCAAGCGGTTCACTGCATGGAGCCCCAAACACAAGTCAAATCAGGCCATGGTTCCTGCAGTATCACCTGTATAGTATTATATGAACATACAATATAAAAAGAACCATACATACGCACACGCACATATCCATCCAAGCAACATCATCAATACGCCGCCCACCATGCATCCTCAATAGCAAACAGTAACGACACTACAATAGCAACAATCTTCCTTATTCATGATCTCAATCCCAACTGTATATATTCTCTTTTACTGTGTTTCCTTCTCCTCTTGTATCTGTAATATATCGCTTAGCCCATCTATTTATTAAAATTATATTGGTGCTTTATTAAAAAGAGGAATCTGCTTGTCATTGCACCAACATTCAGTCGCAGAGTCAGCACTAGCAAAAGATCAATGATTTGTTGTACACCACTTTGTACCTTGGAACGTTTCCACAAAATCTATGACAAGGGGCCGAGGAAAAGAAGGGTCTGCAAAACAATAACAATAACAATAACAACAACTACAACTACAATTTCTCAGCCTCGTTACTGCTATTAAATTCAAGAGAATACACAGAATAGATATTCTATCTTAACTTCCCATCCACCATTGGTTTTGGGTACCAATTCTCACGCATGATCAGAACAGAACTAAGAGGAGACCTCATGTCATAGAGTCGTACAAAAACAAAAGGCTTGCTCTTGATCTTATAACAACTCAGCGGCTTGTGCGGCCGCCTTTTTCCATCGTGTAGTACTGTAGTATCTAGAAAGAGTTCCTATTGGATGCCCAAGCTCTTTCAACACACACCACCTGCAACTTCTTGTAGTTAATGACGGTGTGAAACTACGAGGAAAAAAAGTTACCATATATGTGGTTTTTAGGTAAAGCTGGTACTACATGGAGGAAGAAAGAACAGTATATAAATGTGTACTTTGTTGCACTATCTCACAGCAGGAGAGGACGCTTGCCAAGAAGTGAAACAAAGATCAAAGATGCTTGTTTTGATGGCTCCGGTGACCGCCCAAAGGACAGCTTGCATAAGTCTACATACATTAATGCACTGCAGCATCATCAACATCGCTATGTCAAGAGATACTTTTATGTCTTAAATAAGATCGACAACTAACCATACTGTTTGTCATCGCACCATCACACTCTCACAAGTAATAAACCCTGGCGCAACAGACACCTGTTTCTATGCTACTATAATGATGACGACATTAGTAAATCGCTAATGAGAAACTAGAATAAATAGAGCCAGTCATGCTGTCCTCACAAAATCAGTAAAATGATGGCTACATGCAGTAAAGTGGATTCTTTGAAAATGTTACATTTTGGGGGCTATTGTAGATGCCTTCCTGTTGCTCTCCCCTTTATGCTATCACCTAGTATAGACATCTTCTACAAACAGACAACGGTGGACGGAGTCTTTACATTGAAATATAGCAGATATTTTTGGCCACAAACCCACGAAAGTACTCATCGTTGTTGGAAAGATTACTGATGGCGAAGTGTATGTAATGATGCTTGCAATTTTTTATGCTTTATAAAGATGATTATTTCTATTTGCTTACTTCTCAATTTTTGTGCTATGTTGTTAGCTACATACATTACAGGAACGATCACTTTGGCGTGGACCGCCAAGCTAAGAACCGATGACAACTTACCGTAAAAGTTTATATATACGTCATAAGGGAGCCTACAAGTTAGCTGCCCAGAAAATGAAAGAAACGAGATCAGGTTACCACATGTCCCTGTTTGCTTAGAGAAATTCCAAAGAGAACACAAAGCATATGCAGATTTAATATAAATTTGTGCTCCCAACCAATACGCGAACAGTTGAATATAACTTGGAAAATCATCGCAGTTTTGTGAGAAGAAAATGAACTGTTATGAAAAAAGAACAGGTCAGGCCTAAATCCCACTAAGACACAAGCCAGCTATGTAATGATGATATACACTCATACCAGAGCAGTTATATATTGTTGCTGAGCGTGGGAGATCATTTCTGTAGCAGGTTGAAACGGGTCTTCTTTAAGAAGCTTAGGATAAATTACAAGAAACTGATACGGCATACTACTTAATAAAAGCTTGCTTTGTGGAAACGTTCATGGAATGAGATAACCTTTATTCATAAATACCTTAAACTAGATGAATGAAAAATTAGAAGTGATGGGTTAATGGACAAAAAAGAAAAGTATTCTTATCGGTGAAAACAGAAATAGAGGAACGATCAGGGTAGCTGCTCATGATAAGCTTAAAAAACGTGAAATAAGTTTCGGTCTGTATTCTGAGAGACCTGCTTGACGAACTAGCAATATTATTATTAGATGAAGGATGTAGCTATTTTCAGATGAAGATATAGCTGACACGAGAAAACAGCCTAAGCCTACTGTCCACCGCAGCAAATCTGCTTTCATATACATGCGTGAGCAATTAAAGACGATGCGCATGCCGCGGGTCTCATACTGCAAAAAAATATATTCAGTGATGCATGGAGGGTATTTGCGTGGAGTTGAGATTCTTTCCTTCTGTCAGAACGTGTCGAGAAAAGTGAGAAGAGAAATACTTCCAAAATGTCAAGCGGAAAAGGGAAGTTTTCTTTATTAAAGCAGTTTCCAGATAAGTAGCCAATACAATGGTAATACTAATATGACATCATCATCATCTTACAGTCCAAGAGTTGTATGAGGGGTGTGCAATATCGATAAAGCGATGGTCTTGAATGTGTTATGCTTTATGTATACCGGAATCTCATGCTATATAGTTATTACTGAAAGCTTCACGAGCATTAAATATTTTCTTGCTATGATTATTACATGGTAACATAGACGGCGAAGCGGGCTGAGTTTTTCGGATCAGTGTGGTTCACAACATTATTCAATATTATAGTAATTATGAGTTGCTATGATGCACTGATCACCTTTTGGTGCATGGTTAAACTACTCTATAGTCTATATGCTGCAAAGTCATAAATTTTGATACAAAAACGATGCTAAACAACCGTAGAAAATGCGACGCGTACTGTGCATGTATTACTTACAGTGTAGGTGAGGATCAAGGAAACACTTCAGTGACGAGAAGCGATACATGCCCAAAATTCTGATTACGCGTGTCTAAGTATTGTTTCCACATGTTTGTTTGCCAGTTCTTGGAAGATGGTCCTCCTAGAATATTTTGTGTTTTAAAAAGCTGTAATAAAGTGGATGTATGTAGCAGTGCATACTTTTGTGACACTATCTAACATACATGTCGTCAGTCGATAACGCATAATTCTGACAGTAAGATAGCATGTGCCCGACCGTACGTTTAGATAAAAATTACTGCAATAGGACGTGTATGGTTGATTGTAGATAATGACGCTAACTATCCCCCTATTATCTCACGTATAACCTATAAAAATACTAGATATCATCCACTGGTTCTTCTTTATGTATCTTCTTTATGTATCTAAGTAATTTTTGTCCAAGAATTAGAATTATTTCAGATTGCCAACTAAAAACAGTGTACTACATACTATCCATTACATAAATCATTAGCTCTCCTATCCCTTCACCCCAGCTATCTTATAAATGATTCTCGTTTCAGAGGAAAATCGTCGTAAGTATATATGTTTCAGAAGTCTTTTTCCGTAAATTAATGCCGATCGAATTGATGATACAGAATCAAAGACATTTCTTTTCATCAGTGCAGCAGTAGTTAGAGTACAATCGGTTGGAACTTGGAAAATGCTTCTGTTTGTTAAACTATGAATAATACCAATAATTTGGGAAAAAAATATTTAATGACTTCTCAACTCTAAAAAATGTAAAAAGGTTGTTTTTGATGAGAAGGAAAACAAGAGAGGAGCTTGTTTAACATGCTTGCGGAACGAAAGTAATATGTTTAGTGTACCATTACTTAAAAACTAAATGTCTGATCTAGTACTTTGCAGCTTGTGTGCGCTTTACGGCGCTTATTAAACAGTACAGTAGGTATTATACATCATGGCAGCAACTGATCAAAGATGAATTTGGCTCATCATTATAAGAGGACCTTTTTTCATTCTCCAATATAATGAGACAAAATAGTACTGACATATTATTTACGCCTAAAAGTATTTTATCATAAGCAAAAAATTCTGCCATACATCGAATCCTTACATATCAGGACCTCACTTCGTACACAATCGTGGCTCTGGCTTGTCACATACATAAACAATGGACGCCTTGTTGCTGTAATATCACGTAAGTGCTGACATGCGGTTGCTAATGATCGAAGAACAATGTGCTAGCAGCAGACGATGGTTATCTCCTTTGTTTCTTATAACAATTTGCGACGATTGTACGATTGACAACAGATGAGTGTGGAAAAATATAAATAGGTTGACGCTATAATCTCGGACACAATAGCAAAATTCCGATTGATCGTCTATAGCAATAACGTCTACGACTCTCAACTATCATTACTCCTGCCATCGCCCAGTCTTCGTCTATATTTCTTCTATCACGAAAACAATGCCGTCGATCATCCGTCCCTATATTTACCCTCCACCGCCTCCGCCGTGTCCACCGCCTCCGCCTCCTTCTCCTAATAGAAGTCTTCACTACGGTGGTCTCTTTGGCTGCGTTCCACCACCAAGTCATCCATCGCACAGGTTATAAATGCTACAAAGAGATTGAAGAGCTATTGAACGGTTCAATTTTATCTATCCTATAGTAGCTTAATTTTTAGCTACATAATTCCTTGCTGCCAATATATATGCATATATCATAACAATGTATCGAACAATAAACTCTCTAAATCTTTTGTTCGAATAATGTATTTTTTAATGATGGCAATGTTTTTTAATAATATTGAAATACTGTATAAATAGCTGTGATGATGGTGAGGATATACCAACGGTCCTATCGCGCTTTTGTTTTTGGCCGCAGTAGTATCATCAGTGACTTTTCTACAGCTGTACTCGCACCGCCTCTGTAATAATATGAATTATAGTTACTCTTCTAAAGTCGCGAGATTTTTACATCAGAAGAAAATATTAGACACCACAGCTACAAAGATGTAATACATCAATGCTCAATGCAATCGACCGCGCCTTAGATATTATAAAAATGCAGTATTTTATTTACTAAAAAATGCACGAAATGAACAAAGAATATCTAAGTAAAGCTTTTTTAAGCAATACAGGAAGGATTCGACGTTGTTTAACAAGAGGCCACGGAGCTTGACCTTGCGAGATATTAGTAGTCACATATTATAGAAAGACTGGATGGCTCTACTGCTATTAGCAATAAATTCCTTGACACCACACAACGAAATGTATCCAGTCGGTCCATTCACAGCTGTTTCGAACGAGATGGGCTTTCTGTGAACGATATCAACGATGGTTTCCTCATCGATAGGATACGAAAGATTCAAGTCTTGGAAAATGCTCTCAGTGTTATTGAATATGATGCTCCAATCGAACGTGTTGAGTGGCTTGATGGTGTAATCCCATTCAGTTTCTTGGCGGATCATGGCAACTGTGGCATCAATCAGTGGGTCCAAATGGGTAGGATTGATGAGCCGGCGACTTAGATCATGGATATAGTGCTCAAACCGGTCCTTGAGCTCAGGTACTTGGAGCAATTGAGGCATCAATGGACGCATTTGGAAGCCAGGGTAGGTGCTATAGTTGCCGGTCAACATGTCAGACAATTTGACAAGGGTGGCTCCAAGAGTAGTGTCGACGTCCGCAGGGATGTAGATAAATCGTTTGGAATTTAGTCCGTCTTGGTACATGTAGTAATTGTTTGCGATTGTGAAATAACCGTCGGAAAATCCAAGCAGAATTTCTAATGCCATACTATATGATTCAGTTTTAAAGGGTTAGTTATACACCAATCATACTACTCTTGCTTTGTAAGAAAGAAAGAAGTACGAGCGGGACTTGTGTTTTACTTACTTTCGTATTAAAGCCTCCATGTCAAAGTACTGCTCCCACTCAGAAACACTTGCAGTGGATGCATTCTTTAAAAATCGAGTCAAATCCATCATGGGCTCAAAACTCGGTTCGCCTTCCGAAGGATCCTCTTTAATTTTATATTGGCCGATAGCGTATTGAGACACATTTTCACCAATATAGCGTAAATCAGAATCCAAGGCTGGAATGTCTCCAAAACCTCCTCTCGCTTGATAAAGGTTGCCTTGTTCGTAATCCTTATTGCCGTTGTCAAATTCATTTCGGAGCCATGGGTTCTTGTATACCTCGATAAGGCCATAGATACCAACCGGATGATCATTGATGAAAAGACTAAAAGATTAATTGGTTCATAATTTGATTTCAAATTATATAGTTTCAGTCAGTAGAGTAATGGGATATGGAGATAGCGTGAGACTTTTTATCTTACCGCACATAGGAGAAATCACTCGCTGCTACACCAGCCGCGTTGATCGTCTTGTATACCACCATTTCACGAATATATGAAGGATCCATTGCAAGTGCACGTAGCTTGAGTCGTCGGTAACCGTATAAAGTGTCACCGCCCTTGGGAATTTTAACGTTGTAGCTCAGCTTAGATACCCATCGTGCAGATACACCGGCTAGCTCAAATTCAATATCTTCAAACTTTAAGAGATCACTTCCTCTACCATAAATTTACCGGGCAAAATAAAGAACGAGCGATCTTAGATTGTCAACTTTGCGCAAAAATAATAAAACGATCATGCTATCATATATACCTGATATATGTCATATTGGCAACAACTTTAACGTCATCCAAAATATTGGCATGCATAAAATCCATGCCCGAAATATTGCCATAGATATGGATCGTACCAATCTGCCCATCCTTGTGAAGGTCTGTATCAATGCGGTTATACAAACGATTATACAGTTGTGGCAGTGATGGAATATCCCAAACGTTTTGCGAACGATTATAGGACTCGTAGATGGTGTCTCCATGGACAGGGGTACGAATGAAAGGCTCACGTTCCAAGATCGAAGAGCCACTTGTTTTCGCATAGTAGTAACCGTTTTGCGCAACAGGTCCAGTCCCTGTATAAACCATCTGTGATGACAAGGATCGGTTCAGCGGATACGAATTGTCATCAACGATGACGGCCATGGTCGTGTCGGATTGGGCTACCAAGGAAACGACCTGATATTGGATATTATCTTGGGCTTGTGCGACACCAGTCCATAGTAGTAGAAGCACTGTAGTATATAGGAAAAGAGGTGATACTGTCAAATAGTATCCATTAATATACGAAAAACAACTTGGATCTATTGCTGTAATTCTCATTGTAATATAACGTATGATAAGTGGGAATTTTGTTACCACTTAGTTGCATTCTCTCTAAAGGAAACGAAAAATAATAATCTTTGTGTTCTCCTAGCTTCAGTCCCTTTATATATAGGATTCTCTGATCCTAGAATGTTGAGGACGCTGATATGTTTATTCCAATAATATTATTAGATATTTACATCATTCATGACTTCAATGCTAACAATAAATGTGTATTGACTGCGTGAGTGTATGCATTCATCTTGTTTCAATATCTCAACAAGGTAATACTGATAGGCATCCTGCTGAGCAAAAAAAGTTGACGGACAAACGGTAATTTTCACTTCTTGGCGTAAGAAAATATATGCTGAGCACATCTCAGCCACAGTGTTCCAATACTATGGATGTATACAATCCAAGATTTTAGCTATTATTAGCTCCCCTCTGGTATCACACAAATAACGAGACTGAGTGATTATCCAATGCACTTTATGACTTATTCCAGCCATTTAGTCGGTGACATTTGTGATATAACAGTTAGCAAATATACAAGAAGGGCCCTCATGCCATATCACGTGGTTAATCACAACTAGACTTACGAAGCCAATGACAGCTATTAACTTGTAATGTGAGAACTATTTTTATTACAGCAGCCGGTCTTGGCTTCAACATTGCTTATCAATGACCGATGTCACACAAGCAGCAGTACTGGATTTATTACATAGTCACGATATGGCATCGTGTGTAAATATAAGAAGGCATATAACGATTACGGTTCGTAGTATGAAGTTCTTTTTCCTTCTACGTATATGTATGGTATGGAAGTAATTCTTGTCTTCGTAAAAAAAAAGGTTATAATGTGGTGTGATGGTGGGAAATAATATATTTGAAAGTCATCCTCAAACAAATGAAAAAGTCTGGTCAAAAAGACCAGTCAAAGCTTCTCATTTACGTTTGTCAAAGCGCCAACAGCAATGCCTGTCAAAACAGACAATGATGCTTTGTAAGCGAATACAAACTGCATTGTTATTAAATCTTTGAGTTCAAGTCTTCAAGTAACGCCTCTATGACAAGTTGAAGCGGCTTCCATTAGTTGACATTTCTCCTTTTTCGCATTTTTGCTGATAGCTGCAGTGTATAGTACGAGAATCTTATATACGTTTCTTCTGCTGTAAGCAAGTAGTCCATGTCCATTTCTTTCCCTTGCAAAAGTGGTTTAGAAGAGTGACGCTAAGTTGGACGCTGACATAGCATTGGCTCCATACTCAGCATGATCCGCTAAGTTCAAAATGTCGATGTAGCGGAATGTAAAACCGATGGTTGTTGAATCAAGGAGATTATATGTTACATGCCGTAATGATGAAGTTGGTATAGTGCTATTAATATGCGCCTAACTATTATCCATCAGGTCGAATATAATTCTGAAGGTGTTGATGGTTTTTTTAGCTAATTATTGCTGTGTGTGTCTCGTGGCGATAGCGCTTTCGTGATTTGGTCCCAATGAGAGCAAAGTCCTACTGCTACCAAGTGTTACTGAACAGGTACACAAAGCACTAAATGTCGTAAGCTCGATAATTAATTGTGTCTTGAGTCCCCTTCCACCAGATCCTTTGCCACCACAGTAGATACAAGTGATCATGGACCGTTTGATATTTACTGTCTGTTTTTCTTGCTCTCCAGTTGCAGTGTCGTTTTCTGATTTAATTAGAGGATCGGGTTGCTGCTTTTTGTCATAATGACTGCACACCTGGGCTTCGACTAAACCGATCGTGAAGAAAGCGTCATCCGTTGATGCAGGTCACCTTTGCGCCACCCCATGCTGTTCACGCGACATTGATTGCAGATAGTGTCGATCTAGAAGGGCAACTACCTGCAGGTGAGAAGTGTTATGTGCTTTTAAGCACTAACGTTTGAAATTAGCGTCGACTAGGTAGATCTGTTTCTCCATTACAAGAACTTGAAACATGAAGGTCAAGAAAAAAAGCAACAATTGCATCTAATTCTAAACGCGCTGCATGCTTCGTCACGATGAGAAGTGGCGAGAAGAGAGTTGGATATATGAAGTTATACTATATGCTTTAGTGGTAATTAAAGATGTAGAAGTTGGTCCTATAGCAGTGTCGGCATAGCTAATTTTCTACAGCATGCGTACATAAAATGTGCTTGGTTGTCATGTCCGAGGCGGCATATCGCACATATCGGGCTGAAAAGCTCATTAGGATGCTGTGAAAATTGGCCCGAAAGGACAGCTTTTTGTGGATCGCTTCAAACCATATGGCTATGAGCTGTGCCGGAAGTTCAAGGTATCAGATACATAACCATGGGATCGATTGATGTTGCTGGTTACTGCCACTGCTGTAGAGATTTTATATTGTAGACGCATCTGCTTTTTTGGAAGTGCTTGTTGGAAGAGTGGATGTTGAGGTTGTTGTAGTGGGATGTTACTGATGTAACGTTGTAAGCTCGTAATGCTGGGTCAATTTGGCGGGAAAATATGCGTAACAGAATAATGAATGAATGATACTGGAGCATATCATAATTAGGTGCCGCATAAAGTTCGACGTCAAATAGCGATGCTTGGTAAAATCGTGGGTAGCTTTGCATTTTAGATATTGTTGTCGATTCGTATCAGATTCAAGAGTACATGGATCAGCCATATTGGGTGACGCTGAATAGCGCTGAGTATTTTGTTAAGTTCCTGTGGTGAGGGGTCTACAGCTTGGTTCCACGATGTGCAAACTATGCATTTTTTGAAGCTGTAGCTGTTAGACAATCATGTTTCTGTAAGCGATGCAGGGAAAGACGCCGATTATGTCGTATCATTCAACCTTTTCAGACGACTGTTGTCTTTTTTATTTTTGCCTGGTGGTCTGGTACATCTATGGTTGGATCGCCGTAGACCCCATACCACACCTAGCAGCTGTTAACCATGTGTGCAAAGGATCATTGGGGATGGTCTTGTTCAGACAGAGGTTAAACAGACCATCGCAGTTGCAAGGCACATTATTTTTGTGCTGTTTGGTAGAGCAGATAACAAATTAACCCTTCGGTTCAATTATTATGTTAGCAGCTTTAATTAATGCACTGTTTTGTGCTTATGAAGGCAGATCAACACTCATGTTTATATTATTCTGTAAGTAGGTTTAATTAAATTTTGAAGCTCCGGACGGAGATTCACCAATATTGTGCTGCCCAGAAACATAGGGCTTTCTCGGGAGACCTCAACCACTCTCAATGGGAAAATCCTTCTCTGGTTGGATCATCCTGCTATTCCGAACGTTCGAACAGTGATAATAATCCTAAATGTACTATTTTGTCAGATACATAAAGCTATGAGACCGCAACATTAAGCTTAGCCATATGCGTATAAGAAACCATCGTGCGAGCAATCGCCACGGAAATGTGTCCGCCTGACATAAGAAAACCCAATTGTGGTACTGAATACATCGTATTGAGTACAATATATATACGCATTTGTAAATAGTGCTTATGCTGTTTGAATTTTGAGCAAATAATTCACATTGCTAGACTGTTGGTGGTAAGGATGATGCTCAATTTCTCTATCTGCTTCACTTGTTGTCGATATGTTGGCATAATCAATGCAACAGGAGTCGTATCAATAATAGTATATGTGCTAGAAGAGGACTGAATTAACAGATAGGAATAATCATCAAACACTCATATACGTAGTAGCGCTGAGCAACTGCGCGGTGCTACTGGACAGCATCTTTAAGCTACTCCAATGCTCCAAAATGTTGCTACTACTCTAGAAGAAAGCATGTTTTATATCACTAAATTATGTCTCTTCCCAGACCTCGAGCAAAAACATATTTTGTACATGATTAAATATTATACAGTAGTAGCATTTTAAAATATTAAAAGTGATAAAATAGGACAAAGCGATGTCTACTCCTAATATTGCGCTGGTTGCTAATATGCTACTCGCAAGCATTACATAACCGCAAAGTAATAACAGAAACACCAACAACGTGGATGCGATTGACAATTGATTGTTCTATTACCATTGTTCTCTCTTACACAGATTGGTGTATCCAAGACCTCGTAAGAAGGTTGTCCATGCTCGACCCCACCTTTTTGAATTCGCCGATTCTTTTTTCATGATAGCATCATATCATATCGGCATAGTAGGTATCTGATAAAAGGATACTGAGGCGAAGGAGAATTTGCTATGGAAGCGATCAAATTTGAGCAACGAAATCGACCGAACTTTTGCAACTGCCGCATACACTATGCGGTTTCAGCCGTGTTTATTTATTTTTTCTTTTGAACTTCTCCAGCTTAAGAATACAGAATTAAAAAGAACGGTTACTATATATAGTGATGAGGGGGTACTCGGAAGCATGGTGTACTGTCGTGGCAGCACTTTTCCACTTCTCGTCTCATTTAATGTTGCATATTAGACAAAAACTGACATCAGAAAAAGCTGCCAAAAAGATCCACCTTGGTGCTTTATTACTTTATTGTTTGTAAACAATGAGCATATTGTACATAATCTATGTAACACAGTAGGTCCTTGTTAAAGCAGTGAATAAAAGCACGGAGGCTATTAGTGCTGACGTTGGAGACTAAGACGTAAAAAATGAAGTGGTCGATCATCAAAATGAACTAGCTCAGTCATCACGCTAGCAACTACTACTTTGTTTCTTGTGGACCTCATGTGCGTGGCTGCTGCTGTTGCTCAGCCATTGTATTTCTGTTTCTGATGTGCTCTTTCAAACCTAGATTAAATATCCCGAGACAAGAAATGCGTGGAGGGGATGCTGTCGTCGTCAATAGGAGAAGCCATTGCTATTTTGCTGCAAGTATAGAGTGCTGTTTCTAATACTGGCGACTGTAAGAATGCTGGCGACAAGAAGTGTGTGTTTGATGATGAGCACAAGTATCCTCCATGTCCGTAAAGCACCAAATTATGATGAATAGTGTTGGATAGTACACATCAGCCCGTCCATTTCGCTCCAAAGTTGTACAATGCCGCTCTCTTTGCTCCTATAATTGATCAGGAAAACAAGTGGCTCACAGTCAGTGTTCACACCACTTTTTGCCATGATAACCTGTCTTGGATATAGCCCTAACAGTTTATTAGTGCATTTAATTTGAAAATGATTGCCTAGTCGTAATGCGAATACTCTAATGTGGCTGTCAGTGAAAGTGTAAAAGAGAGAGCTGCTGGTATTAGTAGGCTACTAACTTTTCGTGCGACGGGTATGATCATGCGGACAGACCCCAAATGGGCTGAAAAAGACTCCTCACTCATTCTCTCTCAAACGCTACTACCTCCTAAAAGTTATTACAAGTTCGTTTCCATTTGACCACAACAAACCACATACCCCTCCACTCACACACCAAGGATCTTTTGTAGTACTGGAAACATCTTATGTGGACGTGTGAAATGAAGTAAGAGTCCAAAAACAGGAGCGGCGATAACAACAACAAACTGAAGCCAACGTCGCTGTTGCGCAATGCAAACAATGCTTGAAATGATTAGCCAATTTTGGACTAATCCGAATTTATCCGCCAATCAGATGTCTTACTCCGGAGGAAAAAAGAGAGCGTAGCAGCTGTTCACACCCAAAAGTATTATACGGGGCTCGGTATTTCATCACTCTTTTCACCCTCTTTCCACTTTTTTCCTCTATTCCTTGTTTCAAATGCATTTCAATTTCAAAACATCGCTATTTGCTCTAATGGGTGTACTAGGTATGCTGTTGGCCGCTTGAAGCTGGATTGAGGACTCATTTAGAAATGAAAGAATAGTATGACTCATGTTCTGCATTTTGTATATTCTCCCTATCAAACAACTCCTACTGCTGCGACATACACCTACGCATACGTAAACGCACACTTACGAAAATATTATTCTCTACCGCACTCACGTGGCCCATGCTTCTACATACCACTGTTTTATTATTGTGAAACGCAGCCTTGGCGAAGGCAGCCCCTATGGAAGACGTATCGGTGACATCGGTCGACTTGGCCGAAGAGGCCACGGATGCTCACGGCAGCGAACACTTGTATGTGACCGTGACCCGTACAGACGATCTTGTGGATGACGATGGCTCGATTTTGGCTGAACGTATCATGGCTGTTCAGGTGACCTTTGATGTTATTGAGAACCAGGTAAGCCGTCAACATCATCACTAACTGATATGTATGCAAAGAGCTCATTATAGATTGTATTTTAGTTGCATTGCAACGGCGTTCCTATCGAAATCGGCGTATCCAACATTCAAGTGGAAGCACAAATCGCCTCCAACCCTGAAAAATTGACCATCGCATCCGAGCAGGATGCAGCATTGTTGGTCGACAGCTTTGACATTGGCTTGGCCACTGTTGAAGTCACTGCCACTTTGATGGAAGAGCTCAAGACCGAAGACGGCCTGACCCTCCGCCGTCTGAGTGTTCAAGAACGTATCACTGAAATCAACGGCCAAGATGTTGTCCAGACTGAAGCTGGTCAGCAGATTTTGGACATGTATGAAGATGGTTCCTTTGAACGATGGGCCGTTGACCCCGTTACCGGTTTCTTGTTGCCTGGCCCTGCTGTTGTTGACGATGCCACTGCTTTCCAACAAACTGAAGAACAAAGTAATACTCTTCTTTCGTTTTTTCAACAGAAGAGTTTATCTACTCATAAGCTAATAACAATTTGAATCGTGATTTAATGTTAGTCCCAGCAGCTGATAATCAGCCCATTCTGGCGTCTGAACACGCGGGTACCAAGGGTTGCGCCGGTGCATTGATCGACCCTGTTGTTAACTGGTGGAACGAACAGTCGTCGTTGGTCCGCGGATTCATCACAGGCGGTTTCTTTGCTGTCCTGTTTGGTATTGCATTGGCTATCCGTCAATTGATTGTCTCGTCCGCCAACTCGGACTATGACCAGCTGCCTATCTCTGACCACACCCAGGAGGCCATCTGGCAAGACAAGAAGGACCAGCAGGAGGAAGAGAAACGCCCCTTTTTGTCGTAAATGCTTCCTTTTTTTCTGAGTAGTCTGACGAGAAGTGAGCATCATTAAAGTAAAGGGGGGGGGAGGTGCTTGTTGGAAGGGATGGATTAGCGTGTCTTCAAACAAAGGGCTTGTATACATCCTTCAAGCCGTGCTGCATGTTTCTCCATCCTCTGTCTTTCCTCCTTTTGCTCAAATTTTGTTTCGTTGATTGTTCCCGCTGTTGTATATAAAGAAATATTCTCGCATATCACCATTTCAAAGCGTCGGATGTCTTTTTATTTGACATTATGGATTGCTATAATTATTCTTATTATTGTTACTAGTAGCTGTAATAGTGGGTCATAGATGTAGAAAACGAGGTATATATGTACAAACAATGTAGTGAGCAACACACAGTGAAGCCTGTAGCAGTCCTGCATGTGAGGATCTGAGGGAAAAAGATGATGTAGAGGACGCAGGACCACAGTGTAAAAGATGAGTTGGAAAGAAGGGGTATATATATAGAGAGAGAGAGAGAGATGGTACAAGAGAGAAGCAATAGCTGTCACAGCAATCACAGAGGGTTTACTGGATGAATAGCGACGGACGACTGCCTGTGTTGCTTCGACGGATGGTTCCAGTCAGGAACCGTTTGACTTTGGCCAGTTTCTTGATGCTTGTTTGTTCGTGGTCATGATGATGATGATGATGTTGGTTGTCTGCTATGTCTTCGGTGGATGATGATGTTGACCACAGCGTATTGGTTGGCGAGCTCGGTGGTTCTATCAGATCCAGCGATACCGATGAGCTCGAGCGTAGGAGGTCGATATCAAAGTGCTCGGTAAAGCGTGACATAGTTGGTGATGAGGTAGAAAAGTGTAAAAGAGATCAGCGTAAAAAAAGGGTTTTTTTTTCCCTTTGAAAGATCGACCTTATATATATAGACACTACTGGCCCCGACCATGGAAAACCAAGTAGGGTTTTCAAGGGTAACTCAACAACCAGCAACAGAAGTCTAGATTTCTGTTTTATTTTGGGGTTGTAGTTGTAAGTAATAAATATATAAATGGACATAGCCAGCTTCATTAGCGCACACCCTCTCTCGCTCTCCTTTTTTCTCTGTTGCTGTCGCTCTTCCGTCACTGCAAATCTCGCTCTCGGCCCTTAACCACACACCCATCGTAGCAACAATACCCGTTTTTTTTACCTTTTCTCCATAGCAATTCCGTGTTTCTTATTTCATAGTCTTGGGAGCAAATCAAAAATAGAAACTTTGATCCCCCGCTCCATTTTTGAACAAAGGCCAGTTCTGCCCTTCAACAGAGTGAAACAATCTCTTTTTATTTGCAAGGCATGTGGAGCTAGCCGAGGACCCACGTTTTCGCTGGCTTGCACCCACGCGAGCGTGTGCAACGCTGAGTTCACAGGGCGATCACTACCAAGATGGTTCTGAAGAGGAGCTTTGTTGTTTCCGATAGTTTTTTTAATTACAGAAAAAAGGAAAAAACATGTAGCCAATGAAGTTAGAGAATAATAAGTACAAGTGATGAATGGGTGGGAATGAATGAATGTGCGTGCTTTGTAGTTGATAACTGCTGTTGCAGTTGGAAGGGGGGGATATACATACGATATTACATGTATTTCGTTAAATAATAAAAGTGTGTGTAACTAAGTGTAAAAAAGGGCAGGAGGAGGACTGTTGGAGGGTGGGAGGGATAAAGACGGAGGCAAGGTGAACACAGATGTGTCTTTAAAAGATGTAGACGGACTGAGTCAACGGTAGCTTTGAGACAGGCTCACAGGTGCATTCCTGCCCATCTGCAGTGACACGATACGTTTCTGGATCCACATGAATCTTGGGCATAGCATCGTTCAGCTTCATGTCCTTTTTGCCCACGTTGCGACAGTTCTTGACCGCTTCTGTGCGTTTGCGCAGGTTGTAGCGAGCCATGGTGCCAATGTCGATGGAAAGCTGAGATACAAACAAGCAGCACGTCTGGCCAATTGCAGAAGGCAGCGCTCCAAACATGGGCCGTGAGATGACAGGCTCGGTTGTGGGTATGGAAGCATTGGCGTCACCCATCTGGCCCCATACAATCATGCCACCCTTTATGATCAGTTCTGGCTTGGTGCCAAAGAACTGAGGGGTGAACACGACCAGATCTGCCATTTTGCCTACTTCAATAGATCCGATAATATGGCCAACACCGTGAGCGATGGCTCTATTTTTTGGTGTTACACGAGCGCATGAGTAAGCATGTGTGACAAGACATCAAAGTAAAAGAGGTGTACAAAACAAGCAAAGCAAGCAAGTAGTATGTGCAATTAGGGTTCAAGCAAGCTGGTAGTGGCCAGCAAATAGCACACTTGCATCGGGTATGGCAGCCCAATGCAGACACATGGATAAAAGGAAGAGAGAGGAAACTTACGGATTAATGGTATATTTCGCAATGTATCGGCGAATGCGATAATTGTCGCCCTCGAGATCTTGATCTTCCGGCAGTTTACCGCGCTGGTCACGCATCTTGCTGGCGGTCTTCCACGTACGCAGTACAACCTCGCCAATACGGCCCATGGCCTGACTGTCGGAGCTGATCATACTAATCGCACCCATGTCCTGCAAGACATCCTCGGCTGCGATTGTTTCGGCGCGAATGCGGCTCTCCGCAAAGGCAACGTCTTCAGGGATCGACTTTGACAAGTGATGGCACACCATCAACATGTCCACGTGCTCGTCCAAGGTGTTGTTCGTGAACGGTCGGGTGGGGTTGGTCGATGAGGGGAGTACGTTTGGTTCGCTGCATACTTGGATGACTGTGAAGAGTCCGATGTAGTGAGAATCCGAGAAGACGAAGAAGATGAAGAAGAAAGTAGAAAGAAGAAGCGGATAGATCGAAGCTTTTAGAGTAACAGAAACCATAGAAACTTACTGTCAGGGGCGTGGCCACCGCCGGCACCTTCGCTGTGGTACGTGTGGATGGTGCGGTTCTTGAAAGCTCCGATAGTTGATTCGACAAAGCCAGCTTCGTTCAACGTATCCGTGTGAATTGTGGCCTATAAGAAAGTTTAGATGCAGATTTTTTTTGTGTTCAGGCGACACACATGCACACACAATGGTTAGCAGGAAGCCCAGCATTAAAATCGGCTAAAAATGTACATAATTACTATCTCAGGTGGGAAAATGAAGTTTGTATTACCTGCACATCAAGCTGATCACACACTTCCAAGCACGTATCGATTGCCTTTGGGGTAGTGCCCCAGTCCTCATGCAGCTTCAAGCCCAAGCAGCCTGCTCCGACTTGCTCAACAATCTCCTTAGTGCTCGAGCAGTTGCCCTTGCCTGTGAAACCAATGTTGACTGGCAAATCGTCCGTAGCCTTCATCATCAATTCCACATGGTGTTTACCGTTTGTGCAAGTTGTCGCGTTGGTGCCAGTGTTGGGCCCCGTGCCGCCTCCAATCACCGTGGTAATACCACTCGATATTGCTTCCCAGATCAGTTGCGGACAAATATAATGGACGTGCGTATCGATGGCTCCTGCCGTAAAGATTTTGCCCTCGCCTGCCAATGCTTCGGTGCCTGCACCGACCACCATTCCTGGGGTAACACCGTCCATGACATCCGGATTGCCGGCTTTACCAATCCCCACAATCATGCCCTTCTTGATGCCAATGTCGGCCTTGTAAATGCCGGTGTAGTCGATAATCAAGGCGTTCGTGATTACAAGATCGAGAATCTCGTCGTCCATACGACCAGTTGCTTGACCCATGCCTTCACGCAACACCTTGCCACCGCCAAATTTGCATTCGTCACCATAGATAGTGTAATCTTTTTCTACGCGTGCCCACAAGCTGGTATCGCCCAAACGAACCATGTCGCCTGTGGTAGGACCGAAATGATCAGCATAGTATTCGCGATCCAGGACATAGGATGCAGCGCTAGGTAAAGAAGGTGTGTTGGCATCATGCAAGAAGCCTCGCTCTTTGATGGCTTGCATGATACCCGGCAAACGGCTCATGTCGACAGGACCGGTTGCCAAGCCATTGCCACCGGAAATAACTTTGTTTCCACCGATTTCGACGAGTGTTACCGTCTTAAAATCTCCTGGCTCAAAACGGACAGCAGTACCCGCGGGAATGTCGAGGCGCATGCCGTACGATAAAGCTCGGTTAAACAACAAGCTGGCATTGGCCTCGATAAAGTGGTAATGAGATCCGACCTGGATAGGACGGTCGCCTTGATTGGTCACAGTAAGTGACACACGTTTGCGACCGGCGCTTAATTCGATCTTGCCGGCTTGGACTTGCAATGCGCCGGGCGCATCTGTCGCTGCGGCAGATGGATCAGGGAGTGTGAATTTGTCAGTCGGAGGGATGGGGAAGAAAGTGCCGTACAGAGCCATCTCGAGGTTGCCGTCGTCGGTACAGATCGGATCGTGTACGGTCACCAAATAGGTGCCATCGGGAAACGTGCCTTCGACTTGTACCTCGTGCAGCGTCGTCAGTGCATCTGACATAACATGGCGTCGTCCAAGCATCTGTTTGCCCATATCCATCAATTGGGCGACAGAATAGGTGCCATCTCTCATGAATTCCAAAAGCTGGGATGCGATCAGGGCAGTGGCTTCTGTATGGTTTAATTTTACACCCCGAGCCAGTCGTTTTTGCGCAAGAAAGCCAACTATTGTTGATGGAAAGAATAACATTTGATTAGTTTTTCGCTATTTCTTTTTTCCTTTTTTATTTCTTCTTTAGGTAAACGTTGTAACCAGTGAGCAGTTACTGGTGTGGTAACAAGCAGATTGGCTGTATTACAGCTGGCAGCAAGAAAGAAAACGAGGCACACATACCATTGCTTAGAAGAAGCTTGTCAAGCTCGCGAGGAACAAGACGCATGGTTTATTAAATGAACAAGAAAGAGGAGTGATGAGAAGGCGTGAGAGAGAACGGAAGGGTTAGCGAGGAGACGTGTGTTGCAACCGAAAGATGCAGGATGCGTGCGTCCTTGTTTGCGTATGTAGGTATGAGTGTGGGGGAAAGAAGAAGAAGAAGAAGAAGAGGAGAAAAGGAAGAGGAAAGAAGATGTTAAAAAGAAGAGAAAAATAGCCGTAGCTCAGATTGTAGGTATATGCAAGCAGCCACTGACCGTGGACCCACCTCCCCCCCCCCCCCCGTACACGGCAAGCGATAAGGGGAGGTTGTAATCAGCGATTAAAAGGGCAAAATAAAGAGAACGCTGTATCACATGTTACACAGACAAGGGAAAATCGCAAATCAAGTCACGAACCTAGTGTGCCAACTTGGAGATATAAATACTACCACTTACAACGCCTTGACTTACAGCCCTTGATGCAGGCTTCCTTTCCCCACCCCTACATAATTTGACATATACACTGCACACATGCAACAGATCAAACTCAATGACATGCAGGCGTAAAGAAGTGACCTGCAGCAGGCCGTGATGTGGTGTTTATTTGTGTCACCGGACATCGACCCATTCGGATTTCGCTATGTGTTATCCATGATACGCTCACGCCAAGCACGAATCGGTAGATACTCCATTCCATTATCTAAAAGAAGCCTAGGAAGGAAACACTCCGTTTCGGTACACGCGTGTGTAAATCAGGGTGTTATGATGTATATTGTGTTGTGCACGGCCGGGGAATGCCGTAAGCAGCACTATGTATATAAGGAGTGGGGAAAGGGGCCAGCGCAAGCGAGATAACGATAGCGTGTGTGTGTGAACGATGGTTATCCTTACGTACATTCTAGTTAAAAAAAGAAAAGAAGGAAAATAAGATAAAGAAAACAGGCTCTAGTCTTAAAGATAAAGTGGGGAAGCGTGTAAAAAGTGGGTATATTCCGCATCCGCTGATAACTTTAGTTGTAGCAGCCACCACACGGCACACCCGCTTATCTTATCAATACAAAAAAAGACAACCAGCGCTATCCCCAGTAGCCAATGGTTACACGCCGTCCGTACCCATCCTCCTTGTCGCCGTCGTTTTATCGTCAGCTCAAAGGGACTCCCCTATTTGTCTAGGTCCCAAATGTATACTACACGCATCAAGCACTGGCGACTGGGTGCCTTATTTTGCGGACATAAACGCAAATTTATGCACCGTAATGTGTTTGAGGACTATAGAGCAAACAAACACACGGAAACCTGTAGATCCAGACGAAAAACAACATGTTTCAAATTCCACAACATCTTTACATCTCCGTCCCGGGGTTTGGTGATTAGCTATGTTCCTTGACAAACGCTGTGGTTATAGAAACCTTTGCGGAGAATCTAGTGTGCCATTTCACGCGCTTTATTTTTGACAGAAACTTCTAAATGATGTATTGACAGTTAGACAACAAAAGAGGACGTGCACGGATGAACCGGTAACTGTTTCTAACCTCTAGTAAATGATGAGGTGGTGATGCCGGCAGACTCTTCATGGTTTTTGCATGAGCAGATACGGAAATGTTACACTTTGAATGTTTTTGCACCTTTTTTTCTTGCTGTAACTGCTGCAGCAACATCTATAAATCTGTAATGGCAGAAGCTTGTGACCCAGTCTGTTATATCACATTGGTAGAACACGGCGACCTGCTTCTGCTTTTGCTTCTGCTTCTTTGTTTTGAATCCACTACATATAAGGTAATCAAAAATATGCCTCGCTTTCCTTGACATAATGACAAGCAAGATACTGTATGTACATAATATGCATCTCAACAACATGGCTAATCATTGTACCTCCTATCATTATTGGTACCTTTGTCTAATGTCTTTCATATTTGTTTCTTGGTCGCCAAGAATATATCATATGCTCCTTGTTTTTTGTATAGTGCAAAAAGATATATCCCAATAAGTGACGGGGTGACCCGGTAACCCAATTAAATGTAGCTGTTGTGCTAGCAGCAGTATCTTCTATTATCATTGTACCCTAAGCTAATGAGCTTCTCTGCTAGCTCTCGGCCGATCCCGGTAAAATAAAAAGAAGCAAAAACGTTGCCCATAAGCACAATTAGTACTACAGACTTGACTAATGATAAACGCTATTAAAATTTGCTTCTTTTTTACTGGAAGTACTGCAACAATATATTGCGACAACTTTTTGTTTCCGATGCATGCTGAGCAGGAGATTATATTAGAGAGTAAGGTGATAAATTAACACGACATCCGTCCGAGAAAGAGACGACTGGAAAAGAGATGAGCACAATTTTAACATTTGTCGAAAAAGAAGCAGTAAGCGGAACGGTTTGGCTCCCAATGACCAATAAGAACGCACCCGCTGCACCCGCTGGCGACTCGGATGGCAGCCTGGTGGCAAACCGAAATCATGCTCCAACTGCAAACACCCGCACATCACGAAAAGACATGCCATTGACTGCCACAACATGCATGCTCGCCTCCGTGTCAACCGCATACAACACAGCATCCCTTTGTCCTTCATTCTTAACCAACTCCCTCAGTCGCCACCCAAATCACCCCGCACATCAACCACCTCACAATCACATGGCCGATACTCTACACCATCCTGGCAGAATCCAGAACCTGGCTAAGTAAGGCTTTCTTCTCACCACCCTATGTATTGTATTCTCCTCCTTCTCTCCAACCCCTTCCTCTATATTCAATCCCTTATGTAACTATCTCCCCGCTCTCTCCACCTTTCCCCTCTCATCCGTGAAGGGTTCTTGTTTTTTTGTTCTTCACATGATCGGGCTCGAGCGAAATGTCCGCCAAGGACGCAGCGTTCACAGTCATAATAAAACTTGAATTTAAACGTAAGCGGTCGGCAAAGTTTGAGGAGCAACCTACTTTTAGAAAATTCGGCTTTTGACCTTTTTGGCATTCCTGCAGCAGCCTGGTTCGTGCCTGTCTTACCATCCATAATCACACTGATTCTTTCGTTTACATTTATCCAACCCCCCTCCCAAAGAAAAAAGAATGTTCAATGCCCTCTTCTCGCATTTGAACGAATGGAAATGGTATACACCGAGCCCAAAAAGCTTACTTTTTCGACAACCATAGTATGCCAGAAAAAAAGGAGGAGGAAAGAATTGTGAGGAAAAGGCATATGTTTGATTGTACAAAAGAACATGTATATATAATTGTAGAGTAACAGGAATGATAGCAGTAGTACATAGCGGCAGTGAGGGAAATAGGTGTGTAGATCTGTGCTACATGTTTGAGAGGAGCGGAAAAGTAGGAGAATATACTGGACGGGACGATAATACAATGCGTTTGTGTGTGTATAATGTAATGGAAGCAACGACGGAGAAAGGGAAGGAAAGAGCAAGATATATGTCTAAGTAGCATTGAGGGACTGCTGGCGTACAAGCGATGCGTATACGCCATCGAGTTTCAGTAGCTCCCAATGAGTGCCTTGTTCAACCACTCGACCATCCTTGATGACACAGATCAAGTCAGCGCCCTGTTATGGTAATACGTTCAAAATACAGTGCATATGTCAGCAAAAGTTTAAAATGCGCGATTTTACCATCAAAAATTAGTTATTTACCTGAATTGTCGACAAACGATGCGCAATGGTAATCGTTGTACGACCACCTTCACTGATAATGTTGTCAATAGCAGCCTGGACAAGCTTTTCGGATTCAGAGTCGAGAGCAGAAGTGGCTTCATCAAGCAATAGGACCTTGGGCTTGCGAATCAATGCACGGGCAATGGCAATACGTTGCTTCTGACCACCAGACAATTGCGAGCCCTTGTCACCGACACGCGTGTTGTAACCATCCGGCAAATCAGCAACGAAGTTGTGGATATTGGCCGCACGTGCTGCTTCCTCAACTTGCTCTTGGGTCACCGCACGGTTTTCATCAATACCGAATCGGATGTTTTCGCCAATTGACATGTCAAACAGGACAGGCTCTTGACCGACCAGAGCCATATGGCTGCGGAGATTACCCAAAGTAAAGTTTTTGGTATTGTGTTCATCCAGACGGACAGTGCCTTCAATAGGGTCGTACCAACGTTGAAGCATACCAATGGTAGTGGATTTACCGCAACCCGAGGGACCTACTAGAGCGATCGTTTGGCCAGCCTTGCCTCCCAAGTTGAACTCGCCGTCGAAAATGGGCATATCTGTTTGCATTAAAATTATACTTAGTGGACAGAGATACACACAAACTATAAGCTCACAGGTTCGACCAACTTACCCATACGAGCAGGGTATCTAATAAGATATATATTAAGAAAAAGATCGTAAATAAATTAGCGGAGAAGTCTTCTGTAAATGTCATTAAGCACTGAAAGGTACTGCTACTAACCGGAAAGTTATATTGTCAAAAGAAAGATCACCCGCAATTGTCGAGGTAGCAGGTTCAATGCCTTCCAGATCAGGATCAATATGCGATTGGCGGTCCAATATTTCAAAGGTAGCCAGAGCTGAGTTTTTGGCCTTGGCATAAGTAGAAGCAAACACACTGGCTCGACCAACACCATGCACAGTAATCATGACACTCAACAAACAGATGAACAGCTCATCGAATGCCAGCTTGCCGTCTTGAAGGAAATGCATACCGGCATAGAAGGACACAGCACCGACGTACAGAATGATACCCTGACCCAAAGCATAACCAATCGACGAAAGGAATGCTTTGCGCTTAGCCAAACGATGAGGCCGTTGCAATGCCTTTTTAAACTTTTTCTCGAAATAGGCTTGCTTGTCAAGAGCTGCAACAGTACGGATTTCTTTGATTGCTTCACCAGCGATTTCACCACTGTGTTCATGTGCTTTGGCGGTTTGGTCTTCAAAACCGCGTTGGATCTTGGATTCGTAGAAACTTGCGCCCATAACGAATGGTGACATGGCCAACACAATAAGTGTCATTTTCCAGTCATGATAAAATGCAATCACGAGACCTGTTTAGCGATAACGACGATAATAGAAAGTTAGACTTGGACTGAGGACGAAATCACAATGAAAAAAGGAGACTTAGTAATGATAATGACCTGTAATGACAGTAGCAATAATCTGGCAAATATCACCTGGAACCTTAGTAACGAGCTCGTTGACGTTTTTGGAATCCACGGCGAGTTTTGAGGTAAGTGCGCCAACGCTGTTATCCTCGTCATCATAATAGCCGATTTCTTGCTTCAAGTAAGCGCGGAAGATCATGGCACGGAAACGCTCGGTATAAAGCTCACCAGCGACTTCAAAGCTGCCCATTTGTAAGCCAAAACCAATGAAAGCAATAATGGCAAACATGAGGAAAAGGAACGCGTATAAATTTGCACCTTCCAATGGGCCAGGAGCGACTAGCTCTGGCGGTTGGACAAGAGCGTAGATACACTTGGCAATGACAAAGGCAAAAACTGGGAATACGGCACCGGCCAATGTAGCACCAATGGAACCCAAGAAAAGCAAAGGCCATTCGCTTCGCATTTGTTGCAAAATTCGACCGATAGGAGCAGACTGCTTCTTGCGCATCTTGCGTTCTTCCTTGTTCTTGTGTAGCTTGAGTTCATAAGCGTCAATCGATGATGTGGTGCTCATTCGCACCAAGTGCTGACCGCCGGGCTCTTTTTCGTCAAGTGCATCAGCTTCGATCGCTTTGGTGATATGCTGCTCCAATTCTTCGTTCTCTTTGCGCAAAAGCTCTTCTTCGTCGAATTCTTCATCTTCGGTGGCGCCGACTTGCTTAGTAGCAATTTGTTGCTTTCTTACAAGCTCTGCGTACACACCGTTGCGTGCCACCAATTCGTTATGCGAACCTTGTTCGACAAGATCACCTTGTTGCATGACGACAATTAAATCAGCGTTACGAATAGTCGACAAACGATGGGCAATGACAATAGTCGTACGATCAGCAGCAGCTACGTCCAGAGCACGTTGCACAAGCCGTTCTGATTGAGTGTCCAAAGCCGAAGTAGCCTGTCAAATAAATCATTTTGTTGATAACAGTCGAGGGAACGTAAATGGTAGCGTGAGAGTGTCCACTAAAATAATAATATACCTCATCAAGTAAAAGAATGGGTGGATTTTTGAGAATAGCACGAGCAATAGCAATACGTTGTTTTTGACCACCAGACATCATACCACCATGTTCACCGACTAATGTGTCATATCCCTTGGGCAAGTTTGAGATAAAAGTATGGCAGTTGGCCTTCACGCAAGCCTCGATAATTTCTTCTTGCGAAACTTGATGGTGAACACCCATGAGCAGATTTTGACGAATCGTCATATTAAATAAAACAGGCTCTTGAGAGACAACGCCGACTTGAGAACGAAGCCATTTGAGGTTGATATCTTTCAAAGAGTTGCCGTCCAACAGCACTTGACCCGAGGTAGGATCATAGAAGCGCTGCAATAGCTGAATACTGGTTGATTTGCCTGAGCCTGAGGGACCGACGAAGGCAACAGTCATACCGGGTTTGATCTTCAAGTTGAGGTTTTTGAGAATGGGGACATCGGGACGCGTAGGATATTGGAACTGAACGTTACGGAACTCGATGTTGCCAATCACTTTATCAGGTGTTATGCCTTCGGTCGAATCAGGATCGATGAAAGGAACACGGTCAATCGTTTCGAAAATCTTGTGGGCTGCACCGCATGCTGTCGAGATGGTCGTTACGTGGTTTGGTAGTTGAAGCAAGCTCATCGCTCCAAGAATCATCACAAAGAAAGAAACCATAACCCTCCATCCTTCAAGGGCCTCGTCTTTGACTAGTTTGCCGCCATACCAAAAGGAAATTGCGTAGCTTTTCAAAAAAAAATGAAAGGATTAGCAAACATATTTAGTTATAAAAGTGCAATCTGATTCTAAATGATATTAAACGATGAGATACTTACATGCCGAACAAAACAAAAAGGAAACCACCAACGCCGAGACCGGTAACGTAGCCACGGTATACACCTGCTTGACGTGCCTTGACAAGTTTGGTTTCGTAAATTTCAGCAAAACGCTTTTGCAACGAGAATGCATAAACTGTGCGAACACCGGAAAAGACTTGTTCAGCAACGGTGCCTGCGTCAGCGTATGCATCTTGCACCTTGAGTGTACTCGAGGTGATAAGATAGCCCATGAGACCACCAACACCGCCCAGCAGAGGCAGCACAGCAAGGACGATGACAGCAAGGTTCCATCCTTTTGAATAAAAACACAGTGTGTATGAGTATATCGAGCCACAATGTTGGTATACCACTCGAGTATATTATGTAATATTGCACTATCTTCGTCTCATAACCTTACCAACTCCGAATGCCATGATGAAACCAAGGACGAAAGCTGAAATAGCGCGGATCATGGTGCCAAACGTCTCACTGATACCGTCTTGGATAAGTTGGCAATCAGCTGCAAGGCGAGTGGTGAGCGAACCTTCTTCAGATTGGTCAAACCATGCCTTTAAGGAGCAAGTATGCGTCAGCACGAAAATTAAATTGAATGGCTACAACTAGCAATATAGAAATGCAAGAAACCAAAGATTCTATTCTACGTACCATATCTTGACGCAAAATCGAATGGATATAAAGTTTACGGATACGACGTGTTTGATTCTCGCCTGACATGATCCAGAACGAGTTGGCAATATAAGCAAGGACCAAGATAACGGTGCCGAGAATGACAAAAATGATAACGATAGGCTGCGTAGCTTCAGGCAGACTCTTGCCCTCATCAATAGAATCCATAATCCGATTAATCATCAGACCGAAAAAGACAACACAGAGAGGTTGTAATAAACCGACAAGGACCGAGCAAATACAGGCGATTGCAATCATGAATTTGTCCCATGGCTTTGCGAATCGAAACAGTTTATGAACAGGTACGGTGCGCTTTGCTTTTTTGTTTTTATTTTTTTTGCTTTTCTTCTTTTCCTTGCCGTCGTCGTCAATATCGTCGTCATTGTTTCGCTGCTGTAATTGGTGCACTGGTATGGTATCGTCGATTATGTGATGATCGGCTGACACTTGTAATTTTTCATTGTTGGATGGATTGCTGCTTTGCACGGTGCCCGAAGAAGACCGTGTAGACATTGCAACGGATCCAGTCATACGGTTTTACTCTTAGAGAAGAACCCCTTTCTGGCGAGTAGCAAAAAAAAAGTATAAAAATATTAAGGAAAGAAATTCGCTTGGGATTCTTTGGGGCATCTCCGATAATGCTGGCCTTTATATATTATATCGATTATTGTAGTACAAAACGGCAAATAGAAATTTAGGGATAACGTCTCCGCGCCCTTGTTCACTCGTTCCATAAGCGAAGGATTCCACATGTCCGCGAGGCCGAGCAAAACAGGCATGTGTAACAACTCTCACCCTTGGGAAGCCACTGAAAGCATAGGTAGAAGATGACTCGACAGCGCATTGCTTTCTATTGATAGTTTCATAGCAAAGGTTACGGTGGATCAACCATGTCGCGATCGCAGAGAAGACAGAGAACTGTGATCCACCATTAAAATAGATTTCAGGTACGTTGAGTCTCGCACTTTCACTCTCGGCACCCATCCCGCTTGCGTGGGCATTCCAATTTCCGACATAAACTGAGCTTTATTGTTCACTTTTTTTGCAGAGAACAAGGTTCCGATGTGCTTGTTAAAAATAACCCGGCAACAACGAGCATATAATTATGAGCAGCAATTTATCTCGCTGTGTACTATATGATCACCCAACTGGCTCATGTCACAAAAGCATTTTTTCTATCGTAGATACTAACGATCATCCATCCATCCGCCGGGAAATTTTACTTTTGAAAAGCAGACAGCAAAGGATTCGCTTTTATAGAAGATTTATACCGCGCTCGTCATGATACCACATCCATCATGATGTTGTCACTTTATGAATTAGGCAATTATGTAATTCACCGTCATTAAAAAAGTGGATGCCAGTTATCATAAGCAATTGAGTGATCATCCGGCAATTGGGAATATAAAACGTGGAGTATAGCCCGAATACCTCAGAAAGCTGGGAATTTGTAGAAGATAGCGGGTTTTGCTTTGTTGTTGGGCTTTGCTGTTACACAATTTTTTAGCTTTCGGATAAAAAGGGTCCGTGCCATGGTCGCCTAGGCACTTGATCTTTGAACGAGTATATTTAAATCCAACAAGCAACATACGACATAGTGGATAACTAGCTTTACAAAACCTTTTGGACTTTGTAATCTGAGTAGATGATTGACTATACCCTTAAGCCAGCCGCTGATAAAGGCGCAAGCTTGCTTGGATTTTTTATCAATACGCACGACGAGCAAGGTCTTGGATTATCATCTGACGAGGATATTTTCGACGTACAAGTTTTTACTTAGTATATATAAACATGAAAGATACCACTTAATATTTTCGGAGAAAATATAAGAGGAGAGCTCTCAAGTAGTCTTAAATCTCGTTTTCTTTATCTAGTCATTGATTGGTATCTGGTAATAGGATTGCTGCCGCCACAGGCCGTGAATCATTCCGTGATGCGTTGATGCAAGAACACGATTAAAACAAAGCCGAAGTGGCAAGAATCCTCCACAGCGTTGAGCTTTGTATATCGTACTACTGTGCTACTGGCCCAATAAATAAGAACCATCCCGATACCATTGAAAACATATACCCGCCCTTTAACATCTTGCACATCACACACATGCATACACGAAGCACAAATGCACAATAAACTTCTAGGACCAAAACAGTAGCAAAAATGCATTTTTCTGCTGTGAGCAGCAAGATAGTTGTTGTGCTATTACTGTTTGATACATAGTATATATGCTTATCAAAAAGTAGCTTATAGTGATCATATACTAGAACCATATTTCCGAGATTTCCCCCTAATAAAAACATGTCTTGCTGGATTTTAAAATTTCTTACACCAGAATGAAGTAGGTTGCGACAAAAGTCAATTACTGGTTGAACGGCTCCCAAAAACATCAGCCGCTGCAGGTGTACGAGGTCAGGTAGCAGGTTACGTAAACAAAACACTATCACTGCAAAAGCTTTGTTATTGTCTGTAAGACCATGATCTTGCTCTAGTAACTGGACCCCATACAAACGTGATGTTTAGTTCAACAGGATAAAGGTAATCCCATTACCCACAATATCACTAGAGAAATACATTGGTCTGTGTGATTTATCATCTCTTGTTAGCTGCAAGTGATTGTGTACGCTAGTTACTTCAGCACATAACCAATCCCACCTCTTTGACTTACTACGAAGGAGTGTGGTACACATTATTCTTGGGATCATGATCAGATATGCAATCGGCACAAAATGAGAGGGTCGACATCGTAATATTCTTGAAATCGGTCCAAGTATCTGTACTCCTTATACACTTGTCTGTGACGTTCATCAAGCTAATAAAGAAGAGGAAGATAATGACAATTAGCTCTCATGCATCACTTTTAACAAACTATACGGATAACATATGTACTGATAACATACCTCACGACACTTGTCAAGCTTGAAAATTCGACAGACTTCAGCTTTCTCATTGCACAGCTCCAATATCACCGGCATCATTATGTCGTCAGCCCAGTTGTAAAGGCTGTATACAAGTGTTTATTGGTGTCCTGTATAATCAATTTAGCAAACGCCTGTTTCTTCTAGTACTCGAACGGCCTCATGGTATCCCAGGTTATATTTCTGTAGGGTATGGAGAATCAATCAACCTGAGCTTGAGCACTGGAAGTGCAAAACTACATGTATACACAGCTCTCTAAGATGATGGCACGCAAATTCCTAGTAGTGCTAGCAATATCTACGTTTTGTGTGATTATTCTTAAAGGTAAAGGGGTTTGTGCCATAACAAAAGAAATCGTTTGCGCTCACATGCATTAAAGAAAGCATAATGGTTAAAGTGTGGTTAAAAATCGACTTCCTTTAAATGCCCCTAATCCTTTTCCCTTTTCCCTTTTCTTTTCATTTCTTCCTTCTTCTTTCATTTCTCTTTTCTTAATTCCTTCTACGTCTTTTGTCAAATCTCGTCTCTCACTGCCACTCTCTATTGTCTATTCTCATTGTACTATTGCTACTTCTTTACTACTATTACATATATTGCTTATAGCTTACTTATCTTACACTTTTGAATATAAAATATGATCCCACAATGAAAAAGAATATAAGTACGTTTTATGTTACAGTTCTATAGCAGACATATTGACAACTACATCTTTAATATAATGAACCAACAAGAAGATTGACTACTTGAATACAAGTACCTCATAGATATCATATGTATACACAGGTCACAACGGGTCAACGGGTCGGGTCAAGGGTTAGACGGGTTGACCCGTGGGTCAGAAAAGCATCAACCCGACCCGTTGACCCGTCCTCAACCCGCGGGTCGGTTTTGACCCATGGGTCAGATTGCGACCCCTACACACATCAACACAACGCCGCTCATCTCGTTTTTTTGCTCTTTGTACTTACACATACAACACGACGACGACTTGTCTTTTTACTTGCCATCTATGTGCATTCGCTGTTATGACGACACGACGACCACAACTTTTTATTTCTAAGCACTCGTACTAAAGTAGATCACAATTTTTCCTCCATTCTTCTATGCTCATACACGTTGCTTTGGCGCCGGCCTTCTTGTTTTATTACTCTATATATGGATAAAACATCATCATGACTATTATCATTTCTCCCTACTACATTCAATACGCTATGGCAGCGCCGGGTTTTGTTTCGCAATACAAGATGCATAAATGTGGCAATGACTCGATCATTTAGAAGATGCAGTATGAAGAATATTAGCCTTAATAGCTTGCAGGCTGGATGGACATATGGATATATGAAGTTACACTTTTTTATTGCATGGATGGGATAATAAAGAAAATCATGAAAAGGTATGCTAGTATAATTGAGTTGTCTGCATAAATTGTGTATAGCATAAATGCCCCCCCCCAAATCACTCTTTTCTCCCGCTCAGCCACCAACCTCCACTTTTTTTCAACTCAACCGGGAGGAAATAAGGGGATGCGTTTATTATAGCTTGTGCAGCGACTTTTTGTGGTTATTTCTCTTAGAAAAAGGTTCTCGAAACTCTGTAAAAAATCTTTAATTTTTGTCTTAGGGTGCTCTCAAAAAGGGCGAACGGCCATCCGGATGGGGTCCTAATTTAGAAGTAGGGTACTACCAAAACTGTGGTGGTCCATACGGACATTTTGAGACCAATTTTGCAAGCGTTCAGACTATGTTATTACTATTCTTGTCCATATATATCTCCAAGAAGTAGTAAAAATGTTTATTTCAATGAGATTTATTTGTACTACTGGTACTACAATTATAGACAGGTATGCTTTTTGCCGTTGAATGAATGTGAGACAGCAATTTTTTTTTTCGAGTTTGGACTAAGGCGTCGTCTCAACAATTTGTTGAGACTACGATTCGCTCAATTTGGAAGCTTCGACCTACCTTCATATGGAAGCAAATTTTGTGGCATTTTAAATTTATTTCTATTCGTTAGTGGGGCGAATGGCTGTTCGCCCTTTTTCAGAGCACCCTTAATAGTTTCGAAATGTATATCTTTTTATAGAAAATACTTAAAAATTAAAATAATAAATCTTTTTTAAATTATCTTTAATAGATTATTCTTCAAGAGATATATGTAAGAGAATAGGCTAGGAACTAGGAGCATTTATTAAAAAAGGGATAATTGCTGAACCCATCCATTCTCGGCTAAACCAGTGGGCTGAACTATTTTACCAGTTGACCTAGATTCCTGAGGAAAAATTTTCCTTTTTTTGAGAGGAGGGAGAGGAGGACGTATACGTAGCTTCTTACTTTGACATACGTCATTTTTGTGTTACAACAATATCATCGAAGCGTCGATGGTTTAGTGGTATAATATCCGCCTGCCACGCGGATGACCCGAGTTCGATTCTCGGTCGACGCAATTTAAATCTGAGCAAGCAGGTCTCAAATTACCTTTTTTTATTTGATAAAATGCCGAATCCATTTGGCGAAAATACCGTAGCCACAGGTGTCGAGTCGCTTTTTGGCGGATGGATGCGTAGCTAATGAGAAAGAATAAGAGCAACGGATTATCAGAGGATAGAGGGTTGTTAAAAGATACCTTTTATTGCTAGTGATAGCGTGGCTATTTATAATCTTTTTCTAATGAACTTCCTCGGCGCTTGCCCTATGATACAACAATATAATACGATACAATTACGATGCTGTCGAATCCCGCCTTCTACTCGTTTGTATGTTGTCAACGTATTTTAGCGCGGCGGTACTCTGTTGTAATTGTTTGTTGTCTGGCAAAAGTGTTGCACCGCCAAACCGGAATAATTAAAGGCCAGTCATTTTTACTTCTATTTAATTGTTCGTCCAAGTTATTTATACGTTTTGATCCACTCTAAGAACCAACAATAAAATATATAGTAACAATGATATTACTGATATGATTATAAATGCGAAGACCTTTTGCTGAATAATCGTTGAAGGAGTCAAAGGAATTAATGCTATGCGGTCGAAAGAAAGAAGTGTTACTGCGATTGGTTCAACAATAACTTATTGTGAGTACAAAAATTAAAGGTGTACACATACAATGCATGCTATTTTTTCATGGACCTCATTATTAGTTCAAGCTTCAGCCTGAGAATCATGCTGCGGCAAGGAGAATAAACACAGAGGAATAGCTGTAACATGCTATTTTATTTACTAAAGTGATCCAATATGTAGATGATTTGTGAAGCTACTACGGATACGATTATAATAACATCGAGGCTGCTAGCTATGACTAATAGCAATGTATACTTATCAGTACTGCTGCGGTTGAGTATAGCACTTTTTGCTTAGCAAGAGGGTAGCTGTACACCAAGACGGTGCAGTAAATAAGTATTATCGGTAGAAAAAATTAGTCGGCTCATAGCTACGACATCTTCTTTATCATTATCTTTCCTGTCCTTCAATCGATCGACCATCACGACGATTATTATCAACGTAGTAAAATATTTCACATCGTCATCAAATACGTTCTTCGACGATGCCATTGCTGATTGCTCTGCTTTGCTTTCTTTGACAGCTTATACACATTGCCGTTTTTTAGTGTATATAATCAAAGTAGCATTTAACTAGAAGTATCGATAATAATACTATGGTAGCCAAACAGAACTCCTCTTATGGGAATCTTAGTTACTTTGTGAACAAAAACTTCTTCTTTCGATTTATACTCAGCTTCCCAGAGAATAACATTTGCTTTTGTGATTTGAATAGACTACATAAAGAATACTGTGGCCCAGTAAGGAGGCAAGTACAACTGCAAGCAAGTGAAAAATTTTGTCATTAGTTTATTTGTAATAAATAAGATAAAAAAATAAATGGATTACAGAATTGAAAATTCAAAAAAAGGATTAGATCAATAATAATTACTCCCGCGAGCTATTTGATGACATTGATAGCGAAGACTTCCCGACAACAAACTATTTGCTCGCTCTAACTACTATACTCTACAACTACAACAGCATGTAGAATTCAAGGAGGCCCTACACGGCAGCGCATCAACAACAGCAGAAAACCACACATCACATTTACATCATTACCCCTACGCATGAATTCCCCACTTTTGGTATATATTTTCACCACACAGGTTTGTCTTTTTCCCAATAGGATTTTTTCAAACATGGCGCCAGACCACAGCACTTAGGTTCCTGAAGAAGATACGTACTGCAAGGAAGTGATCATATTACTATAGGGAAGGTCTATAAGTCTTTCACAATAAATTGCATAACACAACTAGACTGCCATCTACTACCGTCATTATGATCATTAACATTTATAAGCTCCTCTTGCTGTCGTTAGTTACTTATTTAGAAATGCTACTGAATGTACGCTGCATATTCAAATAGCACGTCTCATTAATGGTTCAATATCTGCTACAATACTTTCAACCAAAATAGTAAGCAGCAAGGATGATATTGACTACCGTGTTATATTCAACAGTCTATAAAAGTGAGATGCTCATGCTGGTCATAATTGGTGGTGCGACATATCCTCTCAAGCGATCAGATATGAGTCCAATCCTCCATACTGGAACAGTTCATGCGACAAAAGAAGGATACTGTTATGCATAATCAATAAGGAATAACATCAATCAAACTCATGATACTTCGCTTTTAAAAGCAAACCTGAGCATTTTAATCAGGCCGCTGATCAACAATGACGATAATACACATCATGCGAGCCTCACAATCGCTTTCAAACACTTACAAAAAGAGTTCCGTACCACAATTATTAGTACCGACATTCGACCTAATTCATTCTAACTTGCACGCCGAAGGTGAAGTTGGGACGATTCATATCATAGACAATCACTGTAAGGTGCGGACAGGAACGAGGCAAGACAAGGACAGAAAGACCGGACGAGAATGTGTTAGGTGCTTTCAGCAAGTACAGGACAAGAGAAGAAGGAAACCTGAAGGTAGGAGGAGTCCAGATGATGAGGAAGAGCAAAGAACAAGATATAGGAAGGAAAAATATAACTGACTGATGTTTTGTTATTCAAAGACTAATGGTAAATACATATATCTTTTACTATGAAATTTATTGCTATGAATAAACGGAAAGATTGGTATTGAGGTTGATAATTTGGATGATGATAATTGATGATATTGATACGTGGGGACTTAGTATGTGATCATCGAGGTTGAGGATGATCACGTAGAGGTCGAGGAATGTTCATAACACAATCAGAGCTTTATCATTTACATGCAATAACTCCGAACATATAACAAGTTGTTGTCGATTGCTTTTTTCTTGTTGTTGATAGAGTAACGAGTTCAAGACATTCAAGGACGTCCTCAAAACTAGAAATTTCGCAACGAAGCTCACAATAACCCAAGCCTAGCTAAAATCTGAAATTCTCCAGAGATGCAGGCACCAAACTTTATGTCTACGAACGCTTGAAGCTTCGTGCACTAGCGCTGAATTCAACATGTATGCGAGAAGCTATCTCTACAAAGTGTTTGACTTTATCGGCGTAGCGACAGCAAAATTCTCTTATGTTAGGTGTGCTTTACTTTTCTTCTCTGTCAAGGTGGAGATTGACAAGCTCTAACCTGAGTAAAATCTTTGTTAAAAATCGGAAACATCATCAACGTTTAAGCTGTTGGTTAGTTTGTTTACGCTGAGAAATTCAAAGTTCCATGTTTATGCATTGAACTCGGAGACGGCGCTAAAGACTGCCAGGAAGGAAACCTATACCAAGGCATGATTGCGGGTAACATTTTTGCACCAAGCTTTACTTTCTCCGATGTAAGGTATGAAGGCGACGATAACGGAACGGCTTATGCACAAGGATAAAGCAAAGAAAACCCGTCGAACCAAGTTATCAGCCATCGATGGAGCTCACTAACTTTTTTTTCCATTGCTGGCCCCAATGATTTTAGAATCGTCACCCGCGACTAAACACAGCGTTTAATGAAAACTATGATATGATGATGAAGCCATGTGAGTTAACTATATCTTGTTATTCAGTTTGGCTTTGGAAATTGTGCTGGAATTTGCGGACCCTCGCTGATAATTTCTACAAATATCAGCATGGTTAGAACTTTGAGCGATTTCTAGTTTATTCCATTGGAATGGTGTATTATAGTCTGATGATATGCTTTCAGACATTCATACCACGATTCCTAGTCTACTGAGCGGCCACTGGAATTACATATACTGAATGTACTCGAGTTAAAGAATCACTCTAAACCTTCAATGCAACTTTATCGCAAGCAAGCTTGTCGATCGGATTGCGATATTTCCTACTATCGATGATATTGTAACAATGATTAAACAAGATGATGTTGGATGGGTTCGGTTGCTATTAAAGCTTAGTACAGCCACACACGTCGATATGTACGGCAATTCGTTTTCATCTATCATGACTTCGACCCAGACAGCTTAGCGGCCAAAATGAAGCCAGGTCTTGACTTGGTGGAGAAGCAAAAGTACATATTATTGATTGGGATAGCGTTCCATTTGATGCCGCAGAGATAGTATATCGAATATATAATTCAATGACCAATGTCAAAGAATACATCACCAATAGTAGACGAGCTATTTTATCGTTCTATGTCAATGCCAGATTAAACAAAACTATGTCCAATGCACGTAAAGGTTTACGTCATAAACACATGTGCCTTTCTCGGTAGTACTCCTAAGATGCTGTTGCAGCATTAGATTGAAAAAAGTGGCTAACTTTTCAATGTTTTAATGCAATAAGAAAACTTTCTCGCCAGTAAAATACTGAGACACTGTTGGTTTAGGGGATATTTATTACGCTTCTCCTAAATTCATTCATTAATGGTATCAACAGAAAATTGCAATCTGTTGAATTGAAACTTGCATGGATGTTTGTGGAACTTTAAACCTCGTGCCACTCCAAGGCTGGACACTAAAAAAGTGTCCCACCGCGAGCCTGACAGCGCAAAAAAGAAGAAAAAAGCTTCTCACAGTGCTCTTTCTTGGTTTCAAAATACGATGATCCAAACTTCGACGAACGGCCCCATGGCAACCAGTGGAACTCACAGCTCAAGATCAGGGAAAGTACTCGTTCAGCTCCAACAACAATGGGAGACCATTCAAAAAGAACTAGCTTCTACTCGACAGCAGGTTCGCATATACATATTCTTTTTGTCCAGTCCACGGAAATTGCTCGTAATAACCGATGCTCTTCTTCTCGTAATAACGCACACATAGCTGCAAGTAGCGAAAGAAACCAAGAAACAAAATACATTGCAAGCACAAGAATATGCCGAGTCCAACACACAATACCGATCCGAGATCCAAACCTTGATGCGGACACTTGATTCAAAACAGCAACAATTAAATACAACCAAAAAGTCATCTCAAAGCATGGAGACTCAAGTGAAGAAGCTCAAACATGAAGCTCATGTTGCCCGAAAAGAACTAGAAGTCGCCTTAGAGAAACACCGAAACGAAACGGAAGAGCAAGCACGGCTGGAACAACACTATAAGGTGTTGAAGGATTCGATGGCATCAGGGCCGCAGCGAGAAGTAGATTGCTTGCGTCGTGAACTTCAGGTAGTCAAGGCACAACTCGCCATGATGACGGAACGATGTTATCTCTTGTCCAAAGTACATGAATCAAGAGCATATCAATGGGCAGAAGAACAAAAAGAAAAGATTGAACAATTACAAAAGATGCGGGATCAGGTTCAAGCAACAAATCAGACGTTTGTGGAACGCGTGCGAGAAGAATTGCAGGCATTGTCGAAGACGGCAGAAGAGTCGGATGGGGACTTACAGGCAGCTGTTACTCGATGCCAGTCAGAAGTCTCGGATTTGGTACTAAGCATTCGTACGTACGCAAAGGATGAAAATACAAAGAACGAAGACGCGTAAAGAGAAATCGGACCAACAACACTGTAAAACCAAATATCACATTTATAATATCTTCCACTTGAAATATACCACTCGAGTTCCCCATTTTCCTTGGTACCATTATATATTACCCATTTTCCTCACCAAAGCATCTATCCCGCCATTATTTAGCTTGTGATAACTGTTCTGATATTGCTCAATATACAATTCAAATCATTTTTTCTTCTCGTGACAATATTATGCCTGGTTGCTGTCTGTGGAGAGACGTGTGTATTCTCCAAACACCTCTCTTTCTAGTGCCACTTGGCCTTGTTGCCGAATATCCTCGTTATACGATTTACTCGGTGTGTCTCGGATCACAATCTGATAATACTAGGGATTTGGTCGTGTAAGTTTGTGGACCTCAACAATTATATACAGATTAACTTACCCAAAGTATTCCATATACAATCATCGATGCAATAGCCGTGACGTATGGTACTATATAGTGACAGAACAGTTAGCTGCCGAGATTGTTGCTTGATTGTATAGTACTTTACCCCAGTATGGATAATGTGGATTTTCTACTGGAATAAACACGAAAATAATAGCATAAATCGTGAATGCCATAAATGTCCAAACAAGCACTAGCGGTGCCTTGATCGGCCGCTTATTATGCGGCTCACGCTTTCGGAGGATAATAAGTCCCAATGCGATTAGCGTATAAAATACCTATAGTGTATGTGATGAAGAATAAGTGAAATCTAGCCATTCTTTCGACTTCCATAGCCCCAAAATATAAGCATTCCCCTTACATATACAGGATAAGCTTGGAAAGCGATAACAAACTGATAAACAGCACCTGGTGGTAATGCGACGGTGAAAAGAACTGTCAAAAAATACTGCAGCAGATATGCATTGACCGGACTTTTGACATTAGGATTAACATGGCCCCAGGTACGTCCAAAGGGTAAAAGACCAGAGCGACCCGTTTCCATTATTATTCTCCCTGCTGAGAAATTAACTGATGCACCACATCCGAGTGCTCCAAGTGCAATAAGTATTGGAAGGACCTTTGTAGCGAAATTTTCACCCAACGATTTCGTGAAACTGAATTTAAAGACATGATTAGAAATGGTAATATAACAGCTATAAAGTTTGGATAGGCTTTAGTAGCATACTCACAAAGATGCAGCAACAATAAATTCGGATTCTTTCATGGTTACAGTTCCAAGAACAGTAAGGTAAGCAACGTTTGTCATGATATATAATAAAGCTGTCGTTCCTAATGCTGCTGCTGATGCTTTAGGGAGGTTTTTTATCGGGTCCTGATTGTAGAAGAAATGTGTCAGTGCAATAAACAGTATGCAACATATGCTATGGAGCTATATTACCTTGACCTCATCTAATATAAAGTTGAGGTTGTGCCATCCGCTATATGCATTCATGACCTAAGCAAAAACACTTAGTTTCCAATAAGCTCCATGATAAGGGAGCTCATATCATTGTGAATTGCTGAATTACATACATAGTACAATGCAGAGGCGTATGGCCCAATTGTATCGGATGTGCCTTGGAAAGAAAGAGCTGATTTGACGTCATTATCATTAGGAATAACGCCAATCAAAGAGAGAATCCCAACAAAGATTATAAGTCCAAGGACTGAAAGTTTTACAACCGTCAAGACACTCATCATTCTTAGAGAAGCCTTGATATTCAAACAGCAGCATCAATAAATTGGCTCCTAAATAATTTTTTGATCCACTACGAAATCATAGTATTACCTTTATCGACAATATATTTACAATAGTCAACACTGTAGAACAAATCACTATTTTTGGCATTTATAGTTAGTTACCATAGCATAACCGTGCCGATTTCTTCACCCTCCCGAAAATAAAAAACCTACACGACCACAATCGTTCAGTCAAATCTGACTTATAGTCTTGACCAAAAAATGCATAATTCATGTACGATCCGAATATTGTGCCTAACACAAAAAACAATGAAGCTGTCAGCAGGTGTCCGACTATTACCACGCCGACCATTTTCCGTTACCTTGTGCTGCCACACTACTCGATCGATTCATTAGGTTCCACATGGTAAACATATAAGCTAAAAGGTACTTTGGTTTGCGGTAACAATATTCCAAATAGCCAACTTCACCGCCACTAATTATGGACACTTGTGAATTAACTTTTCATTGACAGTACATATTCAATCTTCCCACCCGCATACCTCCTTGGAAGCTGAATGGAAAAAAAGGTAAAGTATCAGTTTTCGATAGTCAATTTGATAAAAGAAACAGGTTGTTAACGAGATAGCAAAACACACCATCGTGCCGAGTTCAGCAAACGTCCAGCTTCCGGACATTGCTATCAGTGCACCGATTGTCCAGGCGATGATATTCATTCCACCCGAACCGACCAGTTGTAATGTCAATGAAGGACCAACAAAAATGCCAGCTCCAATTATATAGCTAATGTTGACCATTGCACCCGACAACCAGCCAATCTTGCGCTCCAGACGTTGATCTATTCCATACAATGCGAACAGAAAAACAAGTCGTTAGCACTACAGCAAGTGGAATTGACTGCTTAGAAGGGTTGTTCAGTCAGTTAACAAAGAGTACTAACCTCCCACTGCCAGTGGCTCCATGTGTTCTACTTGCTCAACATGTTGGTCTGATTCCTCAGTCAACAAGAATTCGCGATCCCCTTCTACAGATACCATGGGTATGCTATTTTTTAGTTCAGGAACAAGTAACGCCGTCCTGCATAAAATGATCTTATCTGCACCACCAGTTCGCTCAGCGGGTGACCTGAACTTTACCTGGTGTATAGCACATGATGTACTAGCTCATTTTATTGTTAGAATGATACACTGATAGGTAGAGTTTCAGTAACTTGTATAAAAATATGTAGCAAGCATTAAAACTATGACACATACTTGCATACTGAAATTGTCGCATTCTTCAGCATAATCTATTATATACCTATCTGCGTGTTATTTTTGATATAGACTGTAGATATTGGGAAACTTGTACCATTGAAGAGCTCAAATAGCAAACTAGTATCGACGGACATATCAGTCATAGCTTGGTTTATTGAAAATGTACCGCAAGGATCAGTTCAATTCCATTTACTCTAAAATCACTTCCGGATTTTGAAGTCGATAGTGTAAGCATAATATATCCGTCACTTTTAGTGCGCGCGAATACTGGAGCATTGGTTCGCACGAATCATATTTTCCATATGAAGGTTTGTTACTTATGTGTAGTATTTGCCTTGTCGCCTTATATTGTATCCTAGATTTCTTAGCCACCGTGTGGATAACCTCTTCAAACTGATTTTTTTGACAGAAAAGAAAGACCGAATTAAATCTTGTGCCATTGTTATCATTGGTGAATATGTACGTTCCTCAACACAAGTGTTTATCCTCTGCTAGCACCTGCATAGCGCAGTGTACTCAGTAACGCAGATGATATAGATATTACTCGGTTGAGTGTTTTTTACCCAGTAAGTATGTAAACTAGCTACTGATTTTTTATAGAGCTTTTTGTGGCAAGCGGACGCTGGTTCGTCAGAGACGGCATTATATGTGAGAGTAACATATGAAACAATCTACAAAGGAGTCTTCAAGTCATATAAACCGAATTCCAAGGTTTATAAGAGCTTATGCAGCTTACGGCATGAAACGGGGATGTGTGTCATTTTACATATCGACAATTTGTCGATGCTGCTGATAGGAATACGAACTCTGTTTGCTTAGCAATGGAAGACCCTCCTTTACCACTTCAGTTAGACCAAAAGTAAATTGTGCATTATAAGCTCCTCTTAGATACATACGAATCATATATGTAGAAAAGCATATATTAACCACATATGACTAGGTATAGTTATGTTGCTACGAGTAATTTGCTATAGAAAAGGATGTATGGGTATTCATCCTTATGTATCATACAAGCTCGTTCGATTTACGAAGTTTACGTCCTTATAAAGTATATCATGCAAAAGTCATCTACCAAGCTGCATCGCAGGTCTCTAATAAAGCGTTATGTTATGTGAGGCTGCATAACAAATAAAAAAGAAGTTAAAAACTACTCTGTGAAAATTGATTTCAATCAGAAATCGTGCGCTCTGTGGCATTTAAAGAAGTTGCATGGACCAACGGTATATCTTGAGAACCGTTAAACTGAATAAGGGCAGGCTGAACATCGATATTAGCGAAAACTAGGGCAGAAAGTAGCAAAAGTACAGATAAAGCATACTGCTCAAGCTCGAGCCATCTAATAGAGACTGAAGTTTATATACATTGTTATTAAATCGTTTCATCAATGATCATAGAATGATAAAATTGCGCGACTACTGTTCGTAATAAACTCCTTGACACCTGCCAATGAAATATAACCTGTAGGACCGTTTACTGCGAGGTCGAACGGAATTGGCTGTGGGCGATTCATTGCATCCTGGAGCGTTGCATTATCTATAATACCGGCCAACTTGTCACTGCTTAGAATATTTGACGTTTGGTTCGCGAGAATATCAATTTCAGTATGACCCAGCCTGGGCAAATTTTGATCCCATTGGACATCTTGGCGAATCATATCCGCCATTGAATCAATTACTGGGTTTAACACCCTTGGATTGACCAATTGGTTAGCAAGATCTTGTAAAATCTGTTCAAAACGTTGCTTGTATTGGCGTACGCGCAAAAATTGTGTCGTGAGCGGCCGGCGTAATAATCCTGGGAATGTGCTGTAGTTTCCTGAGATCATATCCGACATTTTGACCATAGTAGAACCGGCAGTGATGTCAACGTCTGAAGATATATATACAAATTGTTTCGAGTTGCGACCATTTTGGTAGAGGTACCAGTTGTCGGCTAGGGTCAGATAACCGTCGGAAAAACCAAGGATAACTTCTAGTGCCATGCTTTTTAAACGATGTACATAAGGGTAAAATATGAATACTATTCTAAGCTTCTTATTCTTGCATGCCCATATTCTTTATTTGGTTTTTTCTTATATTTACCTGCGTAACACGGTATCCATGTTAAAATGCTTCTCCCATGCTTCAGTGTTATCCACAGGCGCATTCCCTAAGAACTTTGTTAATTCCATCAATGGCTGGAAGCTAGGTTCATCGTTCGATGGATCTTCCTTGATCTTGTATTGTCCTTCATCGTACGCGGTTATGTTATCACCATAATATTCCAAATCCGATAGACGACCACCAGGACTGAAGATATTGCCCACAAGTCTTCCCTGATACAAATTGCCTTGTTGATAATTTGAATCACCACCGGCAAACTCGTTTTTGAGCCATGGATTTTTGAAGTTTTCGATTAAGCCGAAGAAGCCAGCTGGTTTATCGTTCAGAAACACTCTATATATTAAAGATGACAATGTACGATATAAAAGTATTGACTTTTTTCTTGCTGCACCCTATTTTGTGTACTGTATAGCTGAAGCTTTGCGAGAATGTATACCTGACATAAGAGAAATCCGTGCTAGCAAGCCCAGTCGCTCGTATCACTTTATAAACTAGTGCTTCACGAAGATAGGAAGGATCCGTAAACAGCGACCGTAACTTAAGCCGGCGATAGCCATACAAAGAGGAACCGTCATCCTTGGGGATTTTTACACTGTAGCTCAGCTTTGGGTTCCATCGAGAAGAGCGGCCAGAAAGCTCGAGCTCAACATTATCAAACGTATAAAGCTCTTGTCCTCTATGATATACACAAGTTCACATTAACATTTTTTTCTTGCTAAAAAACCTGATAGCTTTCCTTCTTTTACCTGATAAATGACATGTTTACAGTTACACTGGCATCTTCGTTTAGAGCATCGCCGTGCAAGTTATATAGCTCCGAGTAGTTGCCGGTGAAATGGACAGTCCCAATATCGCCGTCAATGTGCAGATCGGATTGCATCCGATCGAACAGTGGTTCATATAAAGAAGGCACTGACGGGATATCCCAATGTGCACGCGAGCGGTTGAAGAATTCATAGTCTGTATCACTCTGACTTGGTGCACGGACAAATGGCTCTTGTATGACAACTTCATTGTTGTCACCAACGACATGTGCATAGTAGTATCCTTTTGTTGCCACAGGTCCTCTTCCGATATACGTAAGATTATCTCGTTGTGATGGAGATAATGGGTACGGCGTGTCGTCGACCACAACGGAGATCGCTTCACCTGTTTGTGTATCAGGTAAAGCTCCTACAACGCGATACTCAATGCTATCACGATTGGCATGGGCTGCTGTCGTACAAGAGACAAATAGTATTGACAACTGAAGTAGAGCTTCTGCTTGAAAAAGATATATGGTGGTGATCAGTATTACCCTATGCTTTTGCCATATAATTAAATTTTCTTTCATTACTTTGTCGACTTGATATCCTTGACAGCATATTATACTTGATTTCTTTGTTAGAGCGGGAAAGAAAGAGGAAACAAACAATAGTGATGTGAAAGGGGAAATATTCCAGCGATGCCCATCGTCCCTAATCCGCGACGAATAAATGAAACCATGTTTCCCCGCGTTAATTTGTTTGGACACAGCACTAACGAGTAAACAGCTTGTTGTAAGTGATGGTGGTGATATTGACATATGAACGAGATAAAAATTTGCTTATCAATAAACACATCATTCCGACAGATACTAGGCCCACTCAGATAGATCATTAATAATAGTACGGCTTATACACTAGTAAAGGTTCAAGCACTGAACCAACAGGAGACGATACATCCCGAGGGGAGCTGTCTAGCATACATTACCGGCTTCACATAACAGTTTGTCTGGGTCAAAAGGAGCTACATGTGAAGGTGAGGCGAGGGAAACATCAGTTGCTGATGATCACGATCGCCTCCGCGAGTCCAGAGACGTAAGACTTTTGATGAATTTTTTGTTGTACTTGCTAGGGCTTTTTCGTATCTACCGAGCAAAACCAGTTTGCGGCCTTCAATAACTCGGTACCAACAGAAGATTGGTACAGTTTTGTTGGATGATGTCTAGTAGGGCAATTCTCACTGCTTCTGAATTCCTTAATGATGCAATGATGCTCCATCTTTGGCACGACTACGTATTGTTTGAGTTTTGAATTAGCACCTTGTTGGTGTCCACACATTAAAACACTGTCTGTCCGCCACGCGCCAAAGAAGTCTAGTACACCCTTTAGATTTAAGACCTTTCACTGTGGCTACTCTTAAAAAATCAAATCTTTGTGGTTGCTCAAAACATCGTCATGTTTGGTTTCTTGATCTTGTACAAATACACCACATTCTTGCCGAAGAGATTCATCTTATATAAGACCTAAAGTGATTACATAGCGATAATTTGGTACGGTAATGTTATGACTCTATAAGTATATCTCTTTAAGAAGTTGTAACCGGTTGCCATACCAGTAATACGATACTAATGTATGATAGTAAGTTATTCTTAGCCACCAGTAAGAGGCGCACATTCTCTAACACTACAAATCAACGAGTTTGGGGAATTGTCCAAATAGTTTTGGGGCAGTTATCAAACTTTCGTTGTTGTTTTGTAAACATAAATAATAAGGATCGCATCATTTCTACAGTCGGTTGGTCAAATCACATTATATACGATGGGCGACTTTTCCTCACTTATATATCTACTTGAGTATCTCAAGTACAAATCTGCAAAAAGCGATTCTATAAATGGCAGCTATCGAAAATCATTTTAATTAGGGAATTCCAACCAATCGTTCTTTCTTCTTTACTCAGTCCCTTAACCTCACGTAACAAGCAGAAAACCATACAATTCACGAACGACAGCAAAAGCTACTCAAATGTTATTTAAAGATCGCACCAACGAATTCCACTCCATGGTGGACCGTATGCGTTCTCGAAACAACGCACCTACTACTACATTGGAACGTCGTTCGCTACTCTCATCACCTAGTTTCAACACTTCATCCAACAAACGGTCAACACATTCTCGAAGCGAGTTTTCTATGATGGCAGCTGAAATTAGTCGTAACATCACCAACACAGCCGGCAAACTGGAGAAGCTGACTAAATGTACGAGAACTATAATAGTGCGAAGACTCGACATAACCATTTAATACGTAATTGATGATTTCCCGTTAATTGTATTCCTTTTATTTAGTGGCCAAACGCAAGACATTATTCGACGATAAGCCTGTTGAGATTGGCGTACGTCTCTTTTATTTCTTGGCAAATTTCGTTTAAATGAAAAAAAAGTTATGCTGATACTTTATCATATATTATAGGAACTGACGTTTATAATCAAACAAGATATCGCCAAGCTCAACAAACAAATCGCTATGCTTCAGGAATATACCAAAAATCAACGACACCCCTCCAAACAAGCAACTGAACATACCTCCAACGTCGTTGTGGCACTACAAAGTAAGCTGGCTGACACCTCAATGAGCTTTAAAGACGTTTTAGAAATTAGAACAGAGGTAAGAAGCCGGAAGAAGAGAGAGATATCACCAGTTATATCGACATTAAAAGGGCTAGACAAGAATTTATAAATTTTTGACCGTGGATTTTTGGACTTAGAACATGAAAATGTCAAAGGACAAACGAGATCAATTTTTATTTTCTACAGCTGAACAAAATGCGGATCAATCATTTGGTAAGCTTCCCTTTTTACCATTGTATGTGAGTTGTTGTGGATCGAAATTCATGCCACCGAACATTATGTTCCAGTGAGCTCGCCACTACTGAAATCGCGACGACGTGGAAACGCCGACTCTCCGCCTCAACAACAAAACGAAACATCAACCTCAACGATGGCAGCAGGATCAGGAGCACTAGTAGGAGCAGGCGGATATCAGCCAGCACATGAAAATTCCGAATCAACACTTTCGCTGGGCATACCCATGATAACACCAGAACAACAACAACAGCAACAGCAATTGATGCTGGCAGAACAGGATCGTTATATCGAACATAGATCCACAGCTATAGAGAGCATTGAAAGCACGATTGCCGAATTGGGCGGTATATTCCAGCAGCTAGCTACCATGGTAGCAGAGCAGCGTGAGACAGTGCAACGGTAAACTATTTTCCCAACAGGAGATGCTAGAATGGATGTCAAGTAGCAAAGCTCTAACATGATAATAATATTAGTATCGATCAAAACACTGAAGACATTGAGATGAATGTGATGGGCGCTCAGCGAGAATTGCTAAAGTATTATACAAACATTAGTTCAAATCGGTGGTTGATGATCAAAATATTTGCTACTATTATTTTTTTCTTCCTTTTATTCACTTTAATCATGTAATTATCCATTATTAAAAGCTTACTTATAAATATAGTACATATGCATTAGATAAGATAGGAATCCGATGGAGTGATTGGATGAATGGGAAAGGTTGTATATGAGCGCAACAAATAGTCAGAGTACTGCACATTGCAGACAGAAGTTTATGTACAAATCTTGCACGCGTGTATATTTATATGTGAGTTGATGAGGGAGAACAGAGGGGTTCGTAGCTATCGGAAACCCATAGACGGAGGTCCGTCCATGGATTGATACATCGCGGCAGCAGCTGGATGCATTCTTGCTTGATGCCGTATAGATGCAGGTGGAAATGTTTGCTGTTGATTGGAAGATGGTCCTCCTCCGCTACTGCCGCCGCTGTCAACAGCGTTACGGCCCGAATACTGACGGAATAATCCGGACTGACCAGGAGGAGGCGGTGGCATTGTCCCTGGCACTGCTCCTTCCATCATGTTGACAGCTTCTTGATAAGTGTCTGTTCCGGTGGAGCTGAAGGATGGTGGCCCGCTCAGGCGGTAAAGGGACGGAGGAGGCCATCCATTGGGTGGCGGTGGCATGGGCCAATCTTCTGGATAAGGAGCTACCATACCCGAACCTGGAGGCGGAGGCGGAGGATGATGATGGTGATGGTGGTGCATACCGCGTGGTAAACGATGCGAAGGCGGAGGAGGAGGCGGCATCCCACCAAAGAAATACATGTCTTCATCCAGCATATCCATAATCCTTTGGCTGTCGCGTCTTCTACGGTTGCGTTGCGAGCTTGATGGATGAAAAGTGGCAGCCGCAGCTGCAGCAGCAAGGTGGCGTGATAAACGAGGCGGTGGATCATACATCAACGGTGGCGAACTATCATGTCGTTTCTTATTTCTCGAAGAAAATGATGGTGGTCGAGACCAACGATTCTGGCGCTCTTGCTGCTCATGGCTACTGGACCGTCGTTGATGTCGTTGCTGAGAATGCTGATGGTGGTGACGGTAGTAGCCCATGTAATGCTCATCATTGTCTTCTTCAACTGCTGAATGGTACCCTCCTGCTCCTTCTTGAGGCGACTCAGGTGCGGAGTAGCTTTTAGATCGTTGTCGATTGACCCGGCGGTGATGGTTGCTGCCATTGCTCTTTCTAAACGTGCCATCGCTTTTAGCCGATACGTTGCTACCATGTGGTGAATTTTCCACAGAGTTTTTGCTATAGGCGGGCATGGATGATGTAGAGCCAGCTTGACTACGCCTACCACCGCCCCCGGATCCAAAAATCCCTAAAGTCGAGTTTTCTTCCTCATCTTCTTCGTCAAAGGAGCTAGATCCATCATCATTGCTGATACTGCCATTATTATGAATCCTGAGATGTCGTTGCTGACGCTGCTGACTTGTAATTCTGGATGTTGATGCTGATACTGATGCGGATGCGGATGAGCGTTGTTGTTTTGGCCCTCCACTATCGCTGTTGTTATTACTATTACTGTTATACTCACTTTGGCTTCGTCTTTTGGAGGGATAAAAGTGAGCTTTACGGCTAACTGGATCAAAAAACGTTGTCTCTTGATGATATTGCTCTTGATGTTGTAAAACTTGGAGCTGACCAGGGTTTGGACCCGTTGTACCACTGCCACCACTGCCACTATGTTTCCAGATCTCATTGTTATTTCCTCGTCTGTCGTCTAACGTCGTCGATCTCGGCGTCTCCGATGATTTGGAGCGAGCCCGGAGGGTTGAGCGATGATGCTGTTGTTGTCTCTTGGAATCCCACGACAGTATAGACGGTGTCGCCGTAGATGATGTCGGGTCTTGTCGCTGTTGCTGATCAGGAAATAGTGCTCCATCCTCATCTCGCGTATCTTTGCCCTTTCGTGACCGTCGGTACTGCTGCTGCACTGGTCCCGGAGATCGCATCATTGAGTCATTACGACTGCTGCTGTCGACGACGTTATTGTCGTCTGTTGCTACTGTTGTTGATGCATTGGCTGGTGCTGCCGTTGCGGTCGTTGCTGTCATATTTAACAACGCCTGCTGAAGCTGAATCTGCGTCTCATTGATTTTGCTCAACATATGCTCTTCTCGCTCCCGGTGCTCCAATTCTCGTTTTTCCCACTGTTGTCGTTCCAGCCGTTGCTGCTGGTGTATGGACTCCACTTGTCGTTTCAACGCTTCTAAAGTCATGTTGAAACGTAGTTGCTCCTGTGACATTTGCTGCTGTTGCTGTTGTTGTTCGGATTGACTGTTTCTGGTGTTATTGTCATTGTTGTTGATATATGTATTGTCTTTGTCTTTGTGGTCGTGATGATGGTAGTCACATTGACTTGACCTTTTATGGGATAGTTGTTGTTGTTGTTGTTGCTGCTCCTGGTGTGGTTGTTGCTGTGTGGCTGGCGCTGTTCCGATTGCTTCTCTTACTCCTGCGGTGACGGAGACAGTTTCCGGAACTGCAAGCGCCCCTGTACTGGTGGTCTTTGCGTGTAACAATGGGCTGACGGTATTGGATGATGTGCCAGTGCTAGAGTCTGCTGCAATATTTCCATCTTTTGTCGGTGACGTAAAATTAGGCTTTTGGACGAGTTTGGGAGTTGAAGCATCAGACGGTGGCTGCTGGTGTTGCTGGTGTTGCGCTTGCCTTGGCTGATTGTAATTGCTGTTGATAGCATTATGTAAACTAGTGGTAGCTGTAGTGGTAGTTGTCATGACTTTGGGCTTAGAAGCATCATGGACATCGCTTTCGTCATCGTCGTCAACCACGAGCAAAGCATTGCTCATCATAGTAGCCGAAGCAGGTGCTTGTTTCTCAGACACTTGCGACAACTGTTTCTTTAGTAGATCCATCGACGTATGGTCCGGTGTTTGGTCACTTGAAACAGATGCAAGGGGCGTTTGGCGCGCCGAATCATACTGTAAATTCGAATCCTCACTACTGCTGGTGACAGATACAACCCTTTGTTGCTCGTCACTCATTAAAGTTGCTGGTGGTACTGCTGCTGCGATTACTGGTATAGGTTCTATCAATGTATTGAAAATGAATCTCCAGTTAACTTGGAATGAAAAAACGCCTTTATGTGAGTTTTGGTAAAGAAAAGAAACATGAGATTTTATACCGCTAGGTGGGTTATAAAAGTTGTGAGAAGAATGAGAAGATGGAACATTGTTGTCCGAATTGGTAAGCCCCTCAAGCCTTATCTCGTGTGGTTCCTCGGGCGCCGCCAATAACTGTTGTCGCTGGAGCCTATTCGACATAAGGGGAACTGCCGCTGCTATTGTTTCTTGTGCTTGAACTGTCTCTACTCCTGCTGCTGTCGCAAGATCTGTCCAGTTTTCAGGCCACAGTACCATAATACGTTGGATGTCCATCCTTATATCTGGATGCTGGTGGCCATTCATACCGCCGAGCTCATCGTAGTCGCATTGTTGTTGCTGTTCAAGCTCTTGTATATACTCATGTAGCTGGTGCTCATCATATTCCGACTCGCTGCTGGATTCGATCTGCGTCTTGTCAAATTCTTGGCTTCGTAGCACTGAATCGGCTTGGCGTAGTGGGCGTCGTGGTTTAGGCACTACGAGAATAGGGGGTGAACTGATGGGTCGTGTAGGTCGCTCGTCATTATTAGGGCCGTTTCTCTCTTGCTCATCTCGATGCTGTTGTTGTCGGGTAGTACGCGTCTCGGTAGATACAGATGAGGATGGTTTGCGTAGTTGCTGTTGATCTTTTAGAGCGTTTTTATTGTTGGTAAGAATGGCATCCAATTGCTCTTCCGTCAGTTTTGCGTTATGAATACCTCCCACCATTGGCACAGGTACTTTGTAGTCGTCTGGCTTTCTCTTTGCCTTTTTGGAAGCAAACAGTTTGCGCATGATGTGTACGTGTGCGCTTTAAAAAGGTATTAATAAAAGATCAGGTTTGACGAGAGAAAAAAGAGTTGGCGGGAAAATTTAGGGAAAAAAGTTTTTTTTCTGCGTGAGTATGAAAGTAAATATAATTATGATATGTACACAGCTTTGTAGAAGAAGAGAGAAGAAAGAAAGAGCGAGAAAATAACAATGCCCCTAAAAGTCTTTCTTTCTTGCTCCCATGGTGCGCTGTCGTCGGTGCAGCCCCGAGCATTTGCCGCCGAAAAATGCAGCCAGCATGTTACGTTCTTGTTACACAAGAAGCATTTGGTGCCATTTTCAATATTCTTCATAGTATCATAACAAATAATGCATCATGGCAGAAATAATGTCTAATTGTTGAATAATGTCTAATTGTTAGTATCATGTAGTACGAGCTGATGTTGATACGGAAGGCACGTTTAGGCAGTAAGCTTCAAAGAACATGAAGAAAGAACGAATAAAGAGCTTAAAGCAATGGTAAAAAAGACAGTCTTTATGTTGCTGTCTGCATCTGTTGCCAGTGTTGTGACTAAAAACAATTATTGTCAGCTATCATAAAACAGTTGCCATCGTTATTATAAAAGCGAATGAGCGTACTGCTTGTAAAACTAGCTGCTGGTTTTCCTGATAAACATATTACAGCAGTATGATTACATTTACTTTCGTCATGCGCTAGGACGGTTTTAGTAAATGCATTAAAGTTTATAAATGAGCTATGCACAGAGGATTGGCAGTATTTTACTTTCTGCTCTACCTCCTTGTTTCTCTACACCACTATATCAATAAAGAGCAATATGACACTTTGCCGCTTGACCACTCTGACGTAGCTATCTTCAGAATGTGTTCTTTTAATCTTCTGATCTCAGGATTCGCTGACATGTTATATTAGAGAGCTGGAAGCATAAATACTTTTGCTTTCTAGCTTTTTTAACAATAAGTGACTCAGAACGTAAGAGAGTGATTGTTTATAGAGACTGGTTCGCAGGAAAAGAAGTAAGGCACCGTTTTTGGGCGTGGTATATAGCGTAAGCTGTGCTTGTTTTTCCCAGTGACAATGCAACAGATGATTCTCCACCAATGCGGCTAAATGTTCGCCAAAACCAGCACCATCAATTTGATTGGCAAATGCGAAGGCTCTCCACTGGCGCCACGTGGATTGAGTAGAGTGAGAGGCAGGCGCCAATAGACTATAATTCTCGGTCCTTTCATTTGCTTCCTTCGCTTTCTTCGCCTACCGCTTCTCCATATACAATAATGAGGCTTGCCGTCTATGGTGGGGCATCTTCCCTGCTCGCGCTCGGCGTAATTCTAAATGCTTTGCATCAACGCTCTAACTTTTATGCTGCATGTGTGTACTTGTCGAAGTCAAGTGCTTGCATCATGGTAGAGTATTCGCGCGTGCGCGCTGTTCTTTTTATGTGTCTTTCCACTAAAGCTTTACACGAGTATCGCTTCTAAATTGTGTACAAATTGAAACAGATATTGTTAAACATGGGCTTATTATTGGCCATTTGTTTTGGCAAGACATTGCAAGCTGTTTTTTTTGGCAGTCTTCGAGCGATTGAAGTCGAGGTTAGTGATAATATGGAGCGTGGAAAGTGAAAGAACTCACGAATGTTCGCACAATATACATATACCAACAACCATCTTATATAAAGCATTTGTATGAACGATCGTGGTATGCCGTGACGGAAACGTGCTTAGCAATGACCATATTTCGACAAGAATTTAATCTACAGTTTGTCATTGTCTTTACTACGCTACTCTTTTTAAAGATCTTCCACTGGCTTTGTCAAGACAGAGTTGAATTTGTAAGTTATCCTACTTCTCAAATTGCTGTAGCAGTTTACGTGAATGATTCAACTAATCTCTGGAGAATCTGTCTGTAAATAGATGGAGCAGTCGCCTTCGAACCGCGTTTCGTTTCACGTTCGTATGGTCAACCTTATGGCCCTGTTATTCATCGTCGATTGTGTGCTTGCACAACATGCTATTAACATTACCTTGACCAAGGGACCCAATATGATGGTCATGTTTGGTTTTGAGGTAACATAAATATATATATATATAGTATCTTAATGCAGGATGTGTTCATGATGTATATTCGAAATTATGAATTTACTCATACACGATGTTTCGTTATAGTATACGATCTTGATATGCACCATATTATCAACGATTGGAAAATACGTATTGAATGTCATTGATATGCGTAGCGAGGAACCATGGGAGGGCAAGTCGATGTATGTATTTTATCTGGATCTACTTACAGGTAAGTAAAGCTCTTTATGTTTTGCAGATGGGAGAAGAAAGGGAGAGAGAGAGAGAGAGAGAGTCGTGCGTAATGTAGGCTTCAAATTAATACATACACACGTCTGCTTTTTAGATTTTCTAAAATTGATCACATACTTGATTTTCTTCTTCTTCATCTGCTACTATTATCAATTGCCGCTGCATATCATTCGCGATGTTTACGTGACATTCCGATCGTTTATTCAAAAGTGCAGAGACCTATACCGATATCGTCGAGCTACACGCAACATGAACGAGCTATACCCAGATGCTACAGCTGAAGACTTTGCACGCATGAATGACAGCACCTGTATTATCTGCAGAGAGGAAATGCAGGTGACACCAGCTAGCGACAGCAACAATAACAGCGGCAACAGCAATGACGCCAATGCGGAAGAAAATACTCCTCCTCCTCAACTTAACCAACAGCAACAGCAACAACAAAATCTGGATCAACCTAAAAAGCTGCCATGTGGTCATGTTTTCCATTTTCATTGTCTTCGAAGCTGGTTGGAGCGTCAACAAAGCTGCCCTACTTGGTAAATTTTTGAAGATTGCTGATCTTTATGTATTGCAGAATGCTTGCGACATATGACGACTAACAATATCTCCATATGTACACTCACTTTCAACATTCAGTCGTCGATCAGTTCTTACTGATGGTAAGGGCTCAGGAATAAAGGGCGTTGTGTGATTTATAAGGAAGCGGTCTAAATTGAATGATCAAATAAATAGCGAATGGAACATCAGCGCATAACCGTGGACAGGTACAGAATCAGCAACAGCAACAAACGCCACCACAACCACAGCCGCCATCGCAACAACTACCACAACAGCAGCAACAGCAGCAGAATGCCCAGCAACTGCAACCACAACAACCTTCTCATTCAAATGGTGACAGCAGCAGTCGTCCGTATCAAGCTGACCCATTTTCTAGTCAACCAAGCACCAACATGCATTATCCCACCTCTACTCCACAATATTCACAACAACAACAGCCATCCTCATTTGCCATTCTGACTCCAGAGCAGTCGTCTTGTGGTACCTCCTCAGCAGCAGGTCCTGGGATGATTCCACTCATACCATTATCGTCTGGAATTTCCTCCGTTCCTTTCGGTGCTACCGGGCTATCCAATCCTAGCAATAACAATAATAATCACAACACAGCAGCAGCAGCAACAGCAGCAAACCCACCACAACCCCTACCTGCATCGTTGACCGATGAGGAACTACAAATATTGGCTACAACCTCGCGAGAGGCAATGGAACAACGTCTGCGGATATTGGATACTGTCCAAAACCAAATATTTCAAAGCATGCAAATTTTGACACAGGCACTCAGCGTATTTCCGAACATCAATAACTCCAATACCGATACCACCTCAAACAATAACACTAACAATATAAATTCCACACCTGCTGATGAGTCTTCTGCTGCTGCGACGTCCTCTATCAAAGCGACCAGCGATGCATCAACATCACTGCCATCGTTATCATCAACAATTGAAGCTGAATCACACACTTCTGCTGCACAAAGACTCACATCACCTCCCACATCACAAACTACCAAACCGTTTGATATTACCGACCAACAGCAACAAAGCCAAAGCGATCAAGGAATATCGTCAGCTTATTCAGTAGTATCCGAGCAGGAGGATGGTGAGGATGCAGTATCATCAAGTCGGCGACGAAAAGGAAAGATGCCAGAACTAGGATCAAGTAGTAATGAGTATCAGATTGCATCTGATCAAGAGGAATAAATATAAAAAGTTCGCCACGTGCTTTGTTTGTATCATATATATCGTTTTATGAAGAGAAAAGAGAAAGAAGCAAAAGTAGGACTTTATACAAAAAAAAAGGGAGCTTGAAATTGTGTACATCTGTGATAAGGTTTTTTTTCGTTTGTCTGGTAGTGGAGAAAAGAGGAATGAAGGGAGAGGATGGGAGGGGAGGAAGCTGGAAATGATCGAATGACAGTAAAGTATATTAATTCACTGGCGTGGTTACTACACTAGGTGGACGCGGTGTCTCACCGCTAGGTCCTTCTGATATCTGTGATGATGGTGGATGTTCGCTCTCATATGTGGTAGACGAAGAGGTAGGGGCCACACTGGCGGCAGTAGCAGCAGCATTGGTAGGTGTAGCAAAAGATGGCGCTGAGAACGGCATTGGTGACGGTGCGGATGGTGACGACGTTGAAGGCAGTCCTTCTGAAAACGCGCCTTGTCGACGAATCTTTTCCATGAATCCAATCACTCGTGCCAGATCCAAATCTGGTGGATCGCTTTCAATCGCCAGCGTTAGTGGCTCAACCAAATCGTCAATCTTCTCAATTGGCAAGCTACAGCATGCGGCAATCAACCGTTTGCACTGTAACTCCTTCTCTGCCGACTGTGCCTTCAAGCCTTCTAACTCTGCTCGTAGATCGTTATCATTTTGAGTGTAGCTGGTGATACGTGACTCTAAAAGCTTGATTTGATGCTCCAGTTTATGTGCTCGCGATATGTTCGCATTGCCTTGGCTGTTTTCCGGTGTAGAAGGTAGGAATAATGCATCAATATCTTGTTTCTCGTCAATTTCGTCAATGGCTGTGGTATTGTTGGCAGGTAACGTCGTCGAGATACCGTCCCATTCGCCTTGCAGTGCCATTTGCAAGTTTCGAATCTTTTGTTGGGCTTCCACAAGTTGCTGTGATTGGGTTTGCTTGGCTTCTAAAGCTTTCCGTGTCGCTTCCAGCTCTTTTGTAGCAGCTTCAAGTTCATCCTGGATTGTTTTCAGCTCTTGATCTCGTTGACTTAGTTGGCTGCCGTACTCTTCATCCAATGCATCGACAATCTTTTGAACAGCTGGACAAAAGAAGATGGATTACATTTTAGGACTTTCTTTATCCACCTGCAAAACTGACGAGAATAGCCTTACTTGTCACTATCTCCCGACCACGTTCACTAGGCTCAACAGGTAGTTTTTGCTGTAATTGTTGTTCTTCGGTCGTCGACTCCTAAAGTCATCATTTCACAGTAGCATATTGTAAGATTATACATACACCAAATCGGAGCTCATTTATGGTTTGATCGTTCGATTTTACCTGAGTCTCATTGGGACTAGATGGTGTGTAATCCACTGAGGACAATCCTACATTATTCTCGGTTGTTTTTGTCGCGCCTGCACGAGTAAGCAATTTGACAGTCTCTGAGCATTCCAGCTGGGCCGCAATATTCAATGCCGTATCTCCACGATCATCCTGCCAATCCAGAATAGGTGCTGCTGCCGGATATGAGCTGATGGCATGTAGCAAATGGTGCATATAATATATAGCAGCCTGCGTACGTCCGTGTATTCCTGATGTCAGCGCAGCATGATGTAACACAGATCGTTTTTTCTGATCGACAGCAGTCAAAGTACTACTGAGCGCAGACAAAATTGTGGGAAACGTGTTGTTGTCAAACGAATTGGTGACCATGACGCTACGCATTAAAGGCGTTTCGCCGGCATAGTTGGCGCACGCAGGATTGGCACCCTTGGATACGAGCAATTGCACGATGGTGACACGAGCTAATGCGGTTGCCCAATGTAGCCCGGTGTTGCCTTGTTCGTCAATTACCAAGTCGATATCAAAGTTAGGCGAGGGTGATTGAAGTAGTTCAGGAATATGATCGGAGTCATCCGACAAGAATATAGCCATCAGCAGGTTACGGTGCTCGTCACTGGATGGGCGTGGCATCGAATGTTGATGTGGTTGATATTGTTGACGGTGTGGCTGAGGTGAGCCGGCAATGCTGCCATTAGAAGGTGCTGCAGCTGCAGATGAAGAAGCGGTCTTCTGCTTTTTCCGTTGTATAGGGTGGTGATGATGATGTTCCTCACGTCGCGATGGTGTTGTTGCTTTATGTATTGGTGAACCGGCTGCTGACAAGGGTGATCCAGGATAATACGGTGAAGCTGGTGTCGTCGCTGCTGCTGCTGACGTTGAGGGCGTTTGTCGATTGGAAGATGCCCGGGCGTTTCGTTGTTGTTGTTGATTGTTGAGTTTTCGTTGAGCGGCCACAGCCTGTTCTTTTGTTGGCAGTTGATCGTCGTCTTCCCCAACTCCCGATGGCGGCTGGAAATCAAGAATGCATTTCAGTACTTCCAGCACATTATATCGTTCTGCTAATTCTCGACCCTTGTCGAGTGGGATCCTGTATTGAGTAGTCGTAATGTATTAATATGTAGAACATATGAGTGTATCACGCGTGGTGTGCGCGCCAGCCCCGTCCCATAAGTTTGATTACAAGGAAAAGACAACAAACGCGAATCGTTTAATTACCAAGTGCCTTGGAACTTTCCGTAGCCTCCCTGTACTTTTTCATGTTCTCCAGGTAGAACCTCTCGCTCTAGAATTTTCGTCCGTTTCCCCTTTTCAATGCCGGCAACTTTTAGAATTTGTGTTGCGTTCATATAGGAATCGTTTCTTCGCCGCATCACAACGACATCTTTAACAACTGTTTCATAAACTTGTACACCGGAGTAAGTTGCTGAATAGATTTTGTTGTCTGCCATTGTGTAGATATACTTGAAGGACAATGAAGTGAAAAAGGAGAAATAGAAAGGGTTGAAAAAGCCGATAAAAAAATCGTGGGGGCGTCGGGTAAAGTTCTCGTACACACACGGCCTCACACGAGGAAGGAATGAAAAATGCAAAACGCAGCACGCGTCGTTCAGAAAATTTATCACATTTCACGCGTGTGGTGCCGTCGGGCTTCGGGAATATTATCGTTAACATCGAATTCTAAGTGATTGCGATTGGTTATGTGCGAGAAGAATAGAGGACAATTGCACCATTTTTAGTGTGTTGAGCAATGATATCTACTATGATAGTCAACTACGTTGTTCCATATCTTGCTGTCACTACCGCTGCATCATTTAATCATACAACCAGGCAAGATAAGGTACATAATTTCATGATCAAACGTTTGGTTTCTATCGGATATAGCAAACCAATAAAGATCACAGAAGAATATCTTCTACTATCCAAAGTGTATCTAACAAAGGCAATTGTTTATCTTTATAGTCTTCAACGAAAGCCTGGGACGTTGCAAGTTTATATGCATCAGAATTCTGTTCAAGATGCTTGATCTTCCCCGTACCGGGGATCACAAAGAAATCTGGACCTTTGCCAGAATGCATGCCAAAACAAACTCGCTTGCCGAAACACCTCTTTAATCTGCTAAAACCTTGAGCTTGTTATTCAGCTCCAGATTCTTCTCCAAGTCGCCTGTATGCAATCGAGACATATCACGTCGATAATCATCTTCAGCAAGATCATTCAAGGATTTAATATCGTCTGTCATTATTGCACGACCGTAACTAGTCGTACCTGCTTACTACATGGAAAAGAAGGGTAAGGGTAAAGTAAAGTAAACAATCTACAGTGTACTTACTAGGCGATAATCGAAACACCCATTTCGCGCGCTGCCTCGAGTACTCCATCCTTTTCACAATTTTTAAGAACCAGGGCGAGTATTCTACTTCGATGGCTGTGACCGGATGTACTTTGTGCGCACGGCGCAGCGCTTCTTCATTGAATTCGGATAAGCCAACATAACGTAATTTTCCTTCTTGGATTGGCTCAGCCAGAGCGCCCATGGTTTCTTCGATGGGGCTAGTATTTGTAGAAACGTCAGAAAATGCATTACCAATTTTTTTGAACGAAAAAAGGAGCGACAAAGGGTTGCTGAGAAGAGGTAACAGTCTAAAATCTAAAAACATACGTATTCTTATCCATACGACAAAGCTATACAAGTCAATCGTGTCTATACCGAGCCGTTTCAACTCTCTTGACATTGTTGGCGAACATATTCGGGCTTGCCATTGCTATCAACGAAAGCTCCTGTTTCATCACGGGCAACCCCAATTTTTTTGTGCATAGAAATATCTTGTCACGATATGTTTTAGAGCTCTGCCTAGCAACTCTCATTATGTACGTGGCCGTAAACATTGGTCGTATCCTAAACGTACATATAATGAGTGTGATAAGTAAACCGCGATGGCGTTCTTGATTGTTTCTAAATCCCATTAACTTTCCTTAGAATAAACAAGAAAAAAAGTACGCATCGACAATACAGTTGAAGGATTGTATATCATACATTCACCCAGTTCGATCGCGCGCTCTAGCATCTTGATACTAGCTTCGTTGTCTTGTTCATCATGATAAACTCGCTCATGCTAGATATGGAAAGAAGAGAAAAAAAGATAGCGACACGTATTCGTGAATATGTATTAGTTGGTGTAGCCGATGACTATTAAAAGGATAATTATAATTGCCTATTGTGCCTAATCATGGCTATACTTACTTCATACAATTACCTTCAATAGGATTAACCAAAGATCCGGAGCTGTTGCCGAGTTGCCGAACTTTTGGTAACATGGTGATAATTCTCTAAAGCTCGCGTTAATATGTGATATCTAACAGAGTGTGTTGAGTTTGAGGAGGGGCGGGCAAGGCTTATATAGATTCCATATCTACAAATTTGCTGCTCAAGCTTTAAGTACAACGAGTCTATGGAATGGATAACAACCATAGCAGTAAATAACGTGTGCATACGGCAGGCAATCATGTCAATAGCTTACTTATATTTTGTTCTATAACTGGAAGGGTATTGAGAAATCTGGTATATGCACGGCTTCAACTAACCTAGCATGCTGTACACGTAAGCATAATAGAGAATTGTTCCTGCTAGTGCTGATGCTTGCAGCGCCTTTGTAAGAAAACTAGGTAGTCCAGCACTGATACTTTAACTTAGACCATAAACACATCTCACCAGGTAGTTGAGAATTTCAGCTTTTAGGCTTGAAACAAACAACTTGTGGCTCGCGGGTGGGATAAACTTTCTGCTAAACAAACTGTGAAATCAGCACAAAGTCCATGCGACAAAGAATCTAATCAAAGTGATTTTCAACCGCCTTATAGCAAAGGTGATTGCTGTACATGTGTTTATACTTCTGAAGAAAATCGCCACAATTTACAAGCTATAATAAAGCTGTAAATTAGATGGTGTAAGATTACTTCAATGAGTTATGCTGCGAAGAATAGCTCATGTACTTGATATTCACACAGCATTTCAGGCATAGTATGCGTCCATTGCATTTATCTAATTCGGCAAGCACATGCCCGGTATAAACAACACCCAATCTAAATCTTTGTCTTATACTCTTTTACTCATAAATATTTATTATCCCTGTATTTTTTAACCATTGAATTGCCCTATAGGCAATTTCATAATGATTATTTTACGTATGTAGCATATATAAAAAAAAACCCAGAAAAACCTAGTAAAATACCTCTTGCATTAATTGTGTGACATGGCCATCCAAGCATTAAGACGTCGGCATCCACCAAAAACAGATGTCTTGCAAGCGAGAGAAGTAATGATGACAGACGACCATATTGTTAAGAAAGAGCTTCAAGATCAACAAGAACCATATAACATGTATACGATATCATGAAGGAAAAAGGCCAAGAAGTAAAGTACCCATGGAGAAAAACTATAGCGCCAAAGAAAAAGGCTAAGAAGAAGTAGTACAATTGAATTAAACGATGGCACCAAGGAAAGTTGCCAAAAAAAAGTGTTTATTGCCATACTGAAGAATGGAAAGCCACTCTTCTTGGAAAAAAGGTACAAAGACAGCTAAAAATTAGAGTAGAAAACGTCAATGAACAATTCGAACAGAAATCACTTACTCGAATAAAAGCCTCTGTTTTGAGCCGCAACACTCTTGAGAATCGTACCTATTACGCGTCCTAACCTACTGTTCTCTCACTTAATAACCGTTGGGCGGTATGATTTATCCAGGGCATCATACAGCACAGCCTGAGATCCTCATTTTCTTTGTTCCCAAGTTCCCAGACAGCAGAAACCATATTTATTTTTAAATTTCTCTTGTTCAACGAGTACTATAACGGCCGGTGCTATATTCCTTAGGAGCAAATCAGAGTTATTCCTATTTAAGAAATGATTCCTTATATCTTGAATTACAGAACAGCCAACCCAATGTTGCAATAGGCGATATCATCGCGGGTGCTCCCTAGAAACTACACTTCGGACGCAAGCTCAGCTAAGGTCCAAGTCCGAAAACCCGTAACAACAATTTTGTTTCTCTGTCCATCCTGCTTTGAGCTTTCACTAAATAAAGCAAAATATCTGATTGAGCAACCTTTATTGATACTTGCCGGTAAGTTATCGGTTTATCAAGGCGAATAATTGTAATCATTTACTGGTAAACTAGAAATTAGATAAGTATGGCTACAGCCGTTTCTTCAACTAAAAGTGACAAGTATTAGATGAACACATTGTTTTAATAATGACTGCTCCATTCAAATAGAGCAAGACTCAAAAAAAAAGTGGAAGAACGTGGCATCAAGAAATCAATGTCGTCATTCTGAGATTTGGTGATAGCCATACGCAGCAACAGAAAAATGATGTTGATATGTATGGAAGCGGTGATTTTGGTTTCGGGTGTAATCCAACTTTTCTTAGCGTTTGTTGTTGGAGTTTGCAGAGCATTTTATATCTATCAATCAAGCATATTACGTCTTATATGCACAGAAATATACGCAATTTAGATAACAAAAAACGAAAATTGAATTTGCTAATGAAAGTTAGTGACGAAATTCTGTACTTTATAGGATTGAATATGAAAAAGATCACGGTTACGTACATCAGATTACTTCCAGTCAGCACTTTTAACGTTACAGCAGCATCGGATCTAGACGTTATTACGAAGCTCGTGATGTCAGAGTCATTTAAATGAAATAGCTTGTTTCAATTGTTGCTAGTCAAGCTGAGAGCATTACTTATCCAGGTTTATTTTTCTCATTGCAAAGGTTCCGATCGTCTTCCCGTTAAGCTACTATACCATGTAAGCCGTTAGATTTTACAGTCTTCTTATTGTGGATATCGTAGAGCATCTGCAGCGGTGACTTTAAATAATGACTTTAACTCACGGACTGTAACTTTTGACATATGGTGTTACAGCTCCTTCGCCAGCCGTTTGCCATCAAACTTCTCACGTGAATAACACGGAACGGCTGTTGAATAATACAAAGATTGGTTCCTTTATTCCTCTCATGAATAGACACCCAAGCAATTACAAATTTCGTTGCCAACAGCCTCAATATACAGAGCGGTGTGATCATCAGAAATGAAGAAATCGTGAAGCAGCACGTAAAAAATTAAAAAAACGCCTCCAGTTCTAAAAAAGAAGCGCAAGGTCATTGATGACGATCGTTTCCTTTTCGAAAGCTCTTGATAAAAGGTTACTTCGTACCCAATCCTCGCTATGATGCAATTTTCTCCCGACGACGCTATCACATGAGCCAACCACTATTTGTGTCTATCACGTGCGCGAGCTAAAAATCAAACACGTAAAATTTCAGGAACGACCTGACGCTGCTGAAGAATTAACATTCATCCATATGCGCAAGGAACTGCAGCAATGTGCATATTGGCTTACGGCAGACCAGCTGATACTGTAGACAAATATCTGAAGATAGGCGCATCGACAGCCAGAGAATCGTTCCAAAGCTTCTGCCACGGCCTCACCGAGTGCTTTGGTGTTACCTTCGCTCGCCAAACGAGCATAGTTTGAAAGGGCTGCTTGCTGTTAAGGATAAACGACGATTCTAAGTTATGCCTGGATCCATCGATTGCATGCATTGGGAATGGAAGATCGTCCAAAAGGTTGGGAGGGCATGTACGTTGGAGATGGAGGCAAGGTTACTGTCATCCTCGGAGCTGTTGCCTCACGATTTATGGATATTGAACCCGGTTTTTTGGTGCTCCCAGCTCCTACAATGATATTAAAGTCAATGATTTTGAAGTCTTGCATAAATTTCCTGTCATTGATGATATGATCTACGGTCGAGCGCCATCCGTCAGATATGCCATCCATGGCAATAAGTATGACAAGGAACACTACTTGACTGACGGTACTAGCCGTGCTTGGTCAACTCTTGTGAAGTCTGTTCCGGCACTTCAAGGACAAAATGAACAAGTAATTGTTGCGGAGCCAGCATATTGGGTATTGTCTTGCTGAAGCATACAACTAAACAAAGGCAACAACATCTGTATATATAGTAGCCTTTTAAAGAACGAAAATCGGTCTGCAAGGACGTTGAACGTGCTTTTAGTGTCCTTCAACAAGCACGCTTTGGTATCATTCACCAGCCTGTGCGTGTCTGGATTGTAGCAGTGTTCTCCAAATTATACGAGCACCCATAGTTTTGCATAATATGATTGTTGAAGGCGAACGGGCAAGATGTCCAAGTCATAAAGCGATCGAATCTGATTACGATACCTGTGAAGATATTCCGTTTCGCCATTTTTCTCGCATGGCGGTCTAGACATGATTACGTGCATCTCTCCCATCTAAAAGCGGTCCGTGATGAAAAGACCCAATAGGCAATTGCGCATAGATCTTATGGAGCATCTATGACAAGAGTTATGGCAATGCCAATTGAATCCTTCTCTTAGCATCGCCGCCATCTTCGAGTCGTCGCTTCTTTGCAACTTTGGCAGCCTTGGCCTTTTTCTGGCCAAGAGGAAGAGGGCGCTCTACATTTTCTCCTGCAGGAACAGATGGTTCGTGCGATGAAAGCTTTCCACTTATCGCTCTTGCATAAAACATCGTAGCAAATACTCCATCCTGAAAGTCTTGTCGCTGTTCACTGGAGGTCTGGCCGAATACTCATCATAAACACGAGCCATCTAACGATCGATGGAAGGATGGATTAATATTATCCCATCATCTTAACATAACATGTGACCTAAATGTACCCTAACAACTTACGAGGCAAAGTTATTACCTTCTGCTTGTCATTTTCATCACTGTGCTTTCCACTATTGTTGTAGACAGAGCTCAAGCAACACTACCATCTTGTCGTTGCTTGCTAAATTTTACGATATGCTAATAGGTGACTATCTCTTAAAGACATCGTATATACTACACGAGGAGACTAAGATGGTAAAACTCAAAAGTTCAGGTCAGGGACATGGCGGAAAATCCATCGTTCCACATAAAAAACGTCGTTCCAATGTAGAGAGCCACTTGGAATTCCAAGTAAAAAGCGTGTAATATATGTGATAAACTTGGAATTCCAAATAAAAAACGTGTTTTAGATGTATTTTACTTGAAATTCCAAATAAAAAACGTTGTCCTCTATGTAGAGAGCCACTTGGAATATCAAGTAAAAAGCGTGTAATATATGTGATAAACTTGGAATTCCAAATAAAAAACGTCATCCTCTATTTAAACACGCTTTTTATTTGAAATTCCAAGTAAAATACATTTAAATTACGCTTGTGATCAAGTACAGGCATCAGAGAATAGGGCGCATGACTTGGTGTCTAACTGCAATTCTGCACGGTCAAATATGCGTGTTCTTGATTACCTTCTGTTCCGTTCACAATAGCACTGTTGAGTTAATGAGAAACTTGAGCTTTGATATATCTAAGGTGAGTCAGTGTTTGAGTGCAGGTCCGTCTGGATTGGCTCACATCGTAGAAACGTACGGTCAAACGCATGCATTTTGTTTGAGGCAGGAGAATGTCGATTGCGCCACTGTCATGCGAACACATGTATCAGCGAGCTGGGTTGTGCAAAAGCTGAGTTGAGATCGTATGGCTGTTGTAGTAGCCATGGAGCGATAAGAAAGGAGAGCTTGTCTCACAATTTCAGTTCGGAACTGCTCCGATATATTTTGTGCCGCTGACAGTTGGTGTGACGACCATCTCATCCTTTCCAAGACGACGAATGGTGAATCGCCTTTCGTGCCTAAAGTAAAAATTTCTGTTGCTATGGTGCCGCTGTGGATAAACATATTCGTTACTATTGCTAAATCACGAGCGATTTACAGCACAATATACATGTTTTCCCCTTCAATAACTGGTCAGAGACGTACAACACATGTTTGTTGATTACTGCGAGGAGCAGTCTCTATAGATTGCAGCAGCATCATCTAAGGCTTAGCAAAAGGCAGTAGATCCCTGTCGCTGTTCGCGAGTACCAGGTTTATGCCATTTTGAACGCAAAAACCATAAGTTCCGAGATAAGCGAGTACTATGTATAATGCGCCGCTTGATTATCGCCGATGCTGAATCTTATTATGATCCTGAAGATACAGCTGGACAACAAGTGATTTTGACAGCTGCTATATACATGACTACTGCGTTCATAGTTGCCGACAGGGGTTTAACGACTCCACTATATGATTACTACTTTCACCTACACGAGAGCATGAGCGGTAATGGTGCTGACGCTTTTCAACTGTCGAACGCTATATGCTTACGCATGTTATAGTCTTCAGGTTTTGGCACTGTAATTGCTATCAAGCCAGGTGTTATCGATAAGATTACAGCATCTTCAGTGTGAGCACAACGCAATATATATACTCAGAAGCTATCTCATATGCGTCTTTTAATAGCTAACCTTTGAAATGTTATAATTTAATGCGAAGCACTTGTTTTAGTGTGCTTCCTATGTCGCTGTTGTCGACCCTGTATAATGTCCTATTCTAGGTGGATTTCACTATAGGAACTTTCCCATGAAGCATCAATATGCTGTTGTACTAGTTACGAACACAGAAACTGTATGGGCATATGTTAAAATGATCTTTCAATTAATATTGTATGGGTATCTTGTGCGCTAACGACAATTGCAAGGCTGTTATTATTTAGTACCTGTTACTGTCATTGTTTATGAGACCTTACCACGGCTGCTGTTTGGCAATGTATTAGGTATGCCATCTCCCCAGGGAATGGGGGTTTCAAAGACACAGAAGGTGTTTAAATCCTCTATAACCACTTTTTGTATCGTTGGTGTACATCACTGCCTCAACCACAAATTATCTCAGTTTGCCTGTGACGCAGGAAGGTTTATGCTCTTGACCCCCTGAAACTCGATGCATTTTACAGGATCATTATGCGAAAGCCGTCTATTGGACCGTAGACTCCATACTACGCCAAATCGCTCCCAGTCTTCCATACCCGGCTCCAAACGGCATGGGTGCATGTACTGTTTTTGGTCAGGTAGTAACACTCGGTAGCGGTTGATATTTATCTGTAGGTTCATGCGCCGCTAGCAGTACCTCTTAGTTCAATGGGTAGAAGAGCAAAACAGACGATGCATGATGCATGTACGTAGATTGTGTTTTAGTGTTCCTGTAGCTAAACTTATGGGCAATAGTTGGATTTGGTGTTACCAGCTCTCTATAGTAGTATGCTGAATGCCAGACATCGATTGCTGATCATTTTTCAGACAATGATAGTTCCAACAAACAGTTTTGTTTTTTGCTTTGTTGGGTAAGGGGGGAGAGAGTTGTTTTGGTGCAAGGTTGTTTTTTTTGGTTCCTTGATCGATCATCCCTCGACTGATATGACCGAAAAAGAAGAAGCAAGCAAAGTGATAGACATAGCCAGATGAAAAGCTTTTTTTCTATATCCGACGTATGTCATGTAGGTTGGAGCAACCGCAATCACTTAGCCAGTTCTATGAAGCAGGATGAATATAACCTCTAACTCAAACGCTTTATTCACTAATACTGGGATATTTGGACCAAGTTGGAGAGGGAAGCAATCTAAAAATTGATGTCTAGCAACAAGTCACCATGACAAATCAACCAGCGTGTGCTGGCAGTCTCACAGATACTACACGCGGATACACACGGGCATCATAGGTCATCCATAACTCTCCACCCGAGCCCCCCAAACTTCCCCTTATTTTTTTCTATGTTAATTATACGTGTTAACGGGAACGATGCAAATGATACATTTACCGCGACACAGGCAATAACTTTACGGCATGCGATCAATGTGTGATTAATTTCGGGACAATCAGTGTTTGGTTCCGTTAGTACGACTCAAAACAAACAATGCTCTGCTTTGTTGTGTGTTTATACGCATACATACATCAAATAATATCGCAACAACAGTGACATGCGTTTTGACAAACCAAGCTAACTTTGTTTGGATACGGGTGGCAATGACGCCAGTTGGGCACACGGCCGACGCGTATCGTCGCTCATGATTCACACTGCAACATATATCACTTATTTTTCAAGTGTCACTGCAAGTGAAGTATGGGCTCACGCAGGATACAACAACTAGTTGCTTAAAAAACACTGCAATGTTGCTTCTTCAAGGAAAAACAGGCAAGGTAAAATACACAGAATCTACAATCGCACATAAAATTGTTGGCTTTTAAACCAACATCTTGCGGGAGATGATGCGCATTACCCGGCCCGATGTGTTCCGCGTTAAAAACGGTTTTTTTATTTGTTTTAAATCAAGCAAAAGCTTAGATCGTCCCACTTGTCATCCGTCCGTCCGTCCAACCCCCCTCACTTTCACTTGATTAGGCCAAGGCTTGTGCGAAGGAACAACGCCATGCCTTTAAAGGCAAGAACGATGTGTGAATAGTATGCATGCGGTGTGCATGTTGTTGCAAGATTACCCAGACGACTTGCTTGTCAGGCATTAACTATATCGCGTTTTGCTGCCCGAGCACCACTGAAATTGCTAAAACAAGAGAGTATCCACTTACTCCCCCCAATACTTGACCCTCCTCCCTTTTTACCCCCAAGTTCGACCGACCAAAAAAGAAAGAGAGCGAAGGAGGGGATCTGTGCCCCAACAATTATAGCAGCAGCAGCAGCAAGCAGCCACAGAAGGAAGAACCAGATCCAGCAGGATACTGCTTGCCATACAAGGCCGGTTAAGAAACATCAATTGGTGCAATGCTTACTCCACGGTGGCTTCACTACTCCTATGTGACGAGTGTATATTGTGTAGTGCTACAAGACATTACTACGCGATGCTAATGCAAAGCTTTTAAAAGCGATTATTCCATTCTTTCAAAGAATAGAGAGACAATTGTCCCAGAACAGTTTTACTCGTTGTTGCTGCTGTCGCTGATGGGGTCCCCAGACATCATGCTAAATGCGCATCCATTCAACTATACACCCCCTTTGCTTTTCCCCCTTCATGGAGCAGCAATAGAAAAATCAACAGCAGCAGAGTATACTTACTTATTACACACATAAGTATTATATGCGCTACACATGACCAGGTACATTGTCATCATCTTGGCAAAGAATGCGATGCTAACAAACACATTCATACACACGAAACAAACAGGAAACGCGTCAAAAGTATAAGTCAAAAAACTTAAGAACAAATAAATGTGATTTATTGTCTGATCCCGGGGTTTAGTAAGGGGAACAGTAGGAAATGTCATGCTCAGATGTAGGTTTTGGTTCATCCCGGCAAAAGGAAAAAATGAAACGATGAAAACGATGATGATAATGATGATGATAATGATGATAATACATATACGATATAGAAGGAGATAAGGAAAGGTGGGGGTGGGGAGTGGAGACTGAAAGAAACAGAGAAAAATATATATTACAGGAAAGATATAATAGCTGGCAGGATAAAAGAAGTGGACGCTGATGCCCCATAAGATGATCGAGAGTCATAAATGATAGCAACGAGCGAGAAGTGGGGTTAGCGATGGGGCTAGTAAACGAAATAGGGCAAGAAAGTATTAATTGACCTCTGGCCAGCCACATAATCAGAACAAAGGGCGGTAAGAATATTCACACATAGGTATAGATAGAATGAGAGTAGGGCAATGTAAAGTGGGAGGAGTTTTGTTTGCGTAAATAGCTCAAAGTGGTGCGATCAACGCATATGTACATAAGATCAGGTTATAGGAAAAGAGATAAACAGGGAAGCATATAAAAAGCATGATGTGTAGGAGGAGTGTTGCATTGTTGGTTGTTGATATGTTGCTAATGGTGATGTTGGTAGTTGGCAGACCTCGTTGTATTCAAGGGAAGGTAAATGTGCTGTGCAAAAGTGAAGCGTTGGAAAAGGACGGGAAAGGGTTTTAGTGTTGTTGTTGCTGCGGCTGCTGCGGTTCGAATTTGAACTCGTAATCGGAAGAAGGAATGGCGTCTGGTGAAGGGGTCATTTTGTTCATATATTCAGTTGAAGGTGGCATTGTAACCATGCTGGGATACGCAGCTAAATGTGATAGTAGATTCATTCACAATGAGTCGGAATGGGCCGCAAACGTTAAGAAGGGAAGAAAGAAAGCAGCTTTCCATGCATGGTATCTTTTACTTACAGGTCAAGTCAGTGACAGTGTGGTCAATTTCGTCCAAGTTGGCACTGCTGTAATCGTCGTCGCTTTCATAGGTTGCTGCAGCGCTAGAAAGCAACAGTGACTGGTGGTGTTGAGGATCGTGTTGGCCAAACATGACGTCGTTGTGCACTGGGTTCGAAGAAAGCAAGTTGCCGTACGATGTTGTCGAGGGCATAAAGCCAGATGAATCTAATCCAGAAGAAGCTTGCAGGGAAGGGCTCGTGGAGGACAATTCAAGCGAAGGGCACGATGACGAGTTCAAACTGAGTCGATCAACTGCAAAGACACCGCGAGAAGTCGTTGAAGAGCCGTCTGATTCGTCAGCATCAGAGGCTGAACCATTGGATGGAGGCCCTGGGGTCAACTGTCGCATAAGATCTTCGTGCTCTTCACGCAACTTTCTGATCTCGCTGAGGAACTTTTCTTCTTTCATGACTGTGTTCTTGACTATTTTAAGGTAGGGGGGAAATGGTAGAAAGACAGAGTTAGGCTCACTTAGTGTGTACTAATTTGGATCAGAGAGAAACATGCAGTAACGTGTCTTGACGATGAGCTTACCAAAATCAAGTGTTCTCTCAATGATAGTTCCTTTGGAAGGACGACGATCATTTTGGAGATTTGGCAAAGAATGGGCCAGCTGCTGAAACTTGGTATTGAGATTCTCGCGGCGAGCACGTTCAATGGCGTTGTGCTCGGCTCGACGTTCGGCTTTGGTTTGCATTCTGTATTATCATTATACGGTGCATAAGTACAAAAAAACTTTTTATTATCTGCAGGGCCTTACGAATATGTACCTTTTACCGGGCGACATGGGATGCTGCTGATGCTCGGCATGATGGTATTGCTGGTATGCCAACACTAGAAAAGAAAATAGTCGAAATGTGAGCTACAATCACAAAAACCACTTGTAGTTTCAATGCAGAAACATACTTTGTTGGTGATACACCGCTTGCTGCTGTTGAAAAGCGGCATGCTGCTGTAGTTGATGCAGTCTGCGAGCTTGATGCTCATGCTGGGGATTAACATGGCCTGGAGAAAACTGGAAGTTGAACTGCGAATACGCGGTAACGCGACCGTCAGTGCCGTGCTGGTGGGGATGGTGTTGCTGATGTGTTGCTGTTGTTGCTGCTGCCATGTCATGATAGTACATGGCCTGGGCGGCTGGGTCAAAGTTGGGATACGCTTGAGTGACGAACTGAAACTGATCCATTTGAGACATGGGCGTGCAAAAGAGTCAAAGCTAAAAAAAAAAAGACAAGATAGTGAAAAACGAGAGAGAGAGAGAGAGACAATAAGATAGAGGGAAAAAATAATGTGCGGAAAAGAAGGGGGTTGTCTCCAAACTGTCCGCTTTTATAATTTCAGTTCCGGGTGAGAGAGACAGACAGAGAAGATCAAGACAGCGGCTGGTCACGGGGCTATCTATCTCTTTGTATTTCCTGCCACCGATTTCCTTTTTACTATTCTGGGAGTACGTAGTAGCAAACCTTTTCAGATGAATTCCCGTGCAAATAATACTTATGTTACTTCTCCCCCCATACCAACAATTTTACTAACCAACCTGCTGTAAACCAAACGTCTCTCAGATAGCTTTTTTACTTGACTGCAATTGTAACTGGCTTCCACTGGTCTGGACCCCCTTCTCCCCCCTTCTATGTTGTGTCTCGTTTACGACGAGAGCTTAGAGCACCTTGGCATATGTTGTCCTAAGACGCGACAATGAGGTCACTAGTGCCATAATAAAATATGCACGGCAACAAAGAACTGTGCGTGTGTGTGTGTTTTATATGTCCGCGTAGCAATCTATTGATTCACCAACGTCTGTGTCCATAAAAACGTGAAGATTTTCTTGTAGCAACTGTTGCCATGGGGATGGCCTTATTAGGTAAGCCGGCAACCCAAAACTGACCAAGTTTCCAGATCAAACCTCTGCTCCCAAAAGAGGGCTACTGGGTAAGCAAAGAGAGATCTTGCTTCTGGATCCCGGCATCATTCACAAGATGTATATCTCGATCCTCCTCTTCCTCCCTTGTCGCTTTCTTTGTCGCCTCTCATCTTCTCTTCCGGCCCCTGCCGAAAACAAAGTTGCGTTTGTTAGGTATTATGATTAAAGTTTTCTATCCCGACCTTCCGAACACTAATTTGTGTTTCGTTCACCCCTTCCCAGCCCACCGTCGTTAACGACAGCGACTTGACAGATACAAGCGGATGCTACGGTTCGTTGTTCCGACTCGCCCGTACATCGTAACATTCTTTGTGTACGGGTGTACGGATGTAATGGTGTGCATTGATTTTCCATCATCGGTAAATCACAGCAAATGTTTGTGTGTGCTGTAAACATCAACATAGCACCATGAAAGAGAGGATTCAAACAATCTTAAAAATAAATCGTTGTCTACGCTCAGAAACCTGTTTTTAACACTTTTTTTTGGGTCTTGCTGCAGCTTCACGCACATCTTTAAAGAAATGTCAATTTCCGATGCGTTTGGTGATCAAGACAAACAAAGTGAGGTATAAGGGCAGATACTACTGCTGAAATTTCTTCATTTTTACGGGCTTTATTTGCAGGTTACAAAAATGCCAGGATGATGGACGTACAGTACTAGTAAGCAACAAAAAGTTGTTAGTTACCGTGAATGCACGTCCATCTCGTGTAAGCAACACCCGAGTCAGACGAGAGTACAAGATAAACGTGTACCTTTCAGATACCTTTTTATTACTCAATGACATGAGAGAGAGAGAGAGCAAGCCGACAGCATATATAAAAGAAAAACGTGGAATCGTCGAGCAAATCGGGAAAATGACGCACAGCGGTTTTGGGGATCCCGGTCGCTATTTTAACAAGAACAGTAAAGTTTCGAGCCACCACTGTCTGTGAGCTCTCTTTTTTTTTTCGGACCGAGATTAGTAGGTTTCTCGTACCTGAGTGCAACAGAATCTCATGTCTATTCTCGTTGCGATAATAAAGATGTGGGTTGTACAAAAAAGCAGCCTCTGGTGACACCATTTGACAACCATGATCTTGTTCACTTTGGGGGGTGCACGAGCCTTCTGCTTGTTAATGATCATGTCTGTGTCCGTCGGTTAGACTTCCGTTACTTTTCCGAATAAATAAATAAAGTAGCAACAGCGCCTTCATCACCCCTTGCCGCAAATGCACATTACGTCTCCCAGGGTTCTATTATAGAGGATGCACATAGAAGAGCTAACCAATGCGCGTGCTTCATGACTACTCAATAATGCTTTTTTTTGTATGCTCCAGTGTAGATGCTTATGTCTCGTGCGACCGTTGCTGTGTCTATGACGGCAATATGTGGTGTCCGTTTTGATAACAATCCAAGTAGGTGAATTATGATGCTCAATACCACGTTCTCTTAGTCTTTAAAAGAATATCGCCTGTGGGTAGAAAAAGTGTATGCTGGACAGCAAGTCGTACTAATTCAATCCTCATAAACGAACGACAACTGTGTTTATGAGGCTGTGCTGAATGGGTAGGTTAGCAGAAACAGGTAAATCTTTTACAGGCTTCCGGCTCTTCGGGTAAGCATCAGAATATACTACCATCTTTCTTCACCTGGACAAGTCTCGGCTGACAGACTTCATCTCTTTCCTGTGTACGTAGTAGAGTAGTTATCCGTAGTCTAGCAGCAGGTAATATATATAATGTGCTTCAATGTGTAAACTACGTTGCAGCGATCCTTCGTTTTACATGTGGCATCTGCGTGTATGATTATCAATACCGGGTTCAATTTGCAGCCACAAAATGCAATCCCATGAGAAAAAAGACGATTGCTAAGCCATGATATCGATAATAATAGAAATAAAACATATATACTATACTTCGAAAAGTCTCCCACAGACTCAGCAACGCTTTCACCGGTCTCACATTAGCTAGTACTACTACTACTCACTATTAGATACAGATGGCGTGACAGTACATAAGATAACCGGCCATCTGAATAGAAATATACAATTCACTCCTTGATTGTTGAATTGAATGAGCGCCGTTTTGTTTATATCGCTCATGCATAAGCCTATAAACACCAGCAACAGGAGACGCATACTTACATATAGCTAATCCACAGAGCAGTAAAAAAAAGTTAGGAGCTAAGCAGTATTTAGGTGGCGCTAGTAATCAATTTTTTACGTACAACAACAGAAGGATCAGCCCGCAGCTCTTTTCTTTTCTATTGGTGTGCACAAACATACTTTTTCCACACGCTCGCTACTGGTACAATGTAATATATCCGCGACCCTATGACAAACGGATCGGGGACTCCTTCATTTGAGACTGGGCACAGACATTTAGTTTCCATCTGTGAAAATAGTTCGCTTTCCCCATCATCCGCTTATTTAATCCCATCAAAGTTTGTAAGATGGTGCCACATCCCTCTGCTCCCACAGACGTTCGTGTACCACCATCAATGACACGAGTATTTGGCATAATATCGTTTACGTCGGATCTTGCTCTTTCTTTTGAAAATTAGAACTTTGTCTGATTTTGGGTGGGGTTGGGGGTGTGTTCGTGGTGGGTGTAGAAGAAGGAAAAGTTGCCGGAGCCGATCAAATTGTTCGGCTTCCCTTGTAAGGTTATTGATGAGGTTTTGGCCGTTTTCAAATACATTCGCTGCTGCCAACCTACTTTGACCTGCTTGCTGCTTCATGCTGCGCGTCCATGTACAGAAGCAGGTTTTATCTTCTTCCCTTGATTTGCCGCTACCTTTTTTCACGAGCACATATAATAACAGACTACTTTTAAGATCTGCACATACACATAATCTCATGATATTTTTATGCCTATTCTCGTTTACATGCTGCAGGGGTGGAAGAAGAAGAAAGAGAAGCGACACGTAATATAGTAAAAGAGTAGCACACTTCCCCTTCTCGGCATAAAATCGGCATTATTGTTACCAGCACTATACATATTAAAAATTCTACAGATGCTGCACCAACGCCGCCGAAGCGTGTACATTTGCCAAGTCGAGCGAAAACCGTATTATATCATACATATTACGGCGTCAACGCCACAAGTAGCATGATCTATGCAGATGTATCATTACTGCTCTTCCACGGCGCAGCATACACATAAGGATAGCAACAAGCGATATTCAGTGATGACGGAGAGCCGACGGCGGGACAAAAGCATAATCAGTAACCGATAATGACTCACCATACATGGTTCTTACTCCTCCCCACCTCTCCCGGTATCATACTTTGTCCAATAAAGCTTGAGCACAAACGGTAAGATGAGCTAATCATCCGATGCATTAGAGTTCGCTGCTGCTGATGTTGATGAATAACCAGTTTAATTGATCAGCGACCGGGGCATATGTCTTCCGGTAGATACGTTCTGCAGCAGCATATAATCACCTCTCGTGTGCTATACAAAGAAGATTGATAGTTGGAATATAAACTTATTGTAATTTAGCATCTATCTTATTTTGCACAAAGCTCGATCGACAACTATTATAAAATGTACATATAAAAATTCAGCGGATCCTTGTTGTACTAATATAGAAGTATAGTCTGATACCTTAGAAAGAGGTAAACACTCTTTTTGTCTTACACCTTATGAAAAAGAACTGATCAGTTCACGCGTCTCCTTATCGGTAAATCTCCATTATCTGTAAAGGCATATTACTTTAGCGGTTTAGATAACTGTGAGCTTATGTCTCAGGTTTGATTATCTATTGGCAAAGCACAATAAAAAGCCGCAATGCATGCATAATGGGTATGACAGCTGCTGTTACTATAAGCTGTAGCTATATACACGCATGCTTGTTTAGTATACTCCCCAACTATCTCGAAAAAAAATGCATATATTCCATGCTTCTTGAATAGACCATATGTGCGGTGAGTGAGGGTTCTGACAATTAATTAGATTGACGATCCCATTCATCACATGAAACAGCCAATTTTCTTTGATGCCCTCTCTCAGCCCCTTGCACACCGGGTGCTTCTCTATAACAGTTCATATTACGCTGTCGCATAATGTAGCCCCGTCTCAAACTGGATCAATAAAAGCATGTTTTGCTGGACATCGAGGAAAAAGATCGAGACATAAACGGACCAACATCCGATGCAACTGTTGAAAAAGTACAAATTTTTCCGCCAGTCGCAGTGCTCGCGCGAAATACCAATGTGGTTGAGCTTAAGACCCACATGGAGAAAAATTAAAAATTCCAACTTGCTGTACTTAGGAAATACGACCACATCAACTGGTTTTTATAACTTTAAAACTAATCATACAGAACGGACGTGTCAGAGAATTGATCTTTCAGCGATGACTTGGTGGACTTCATTATCGTCACTGTCGACGGTAACGCAGTTGCAATAGTCATACGCAAAATCCGAGATGTACCTTTTTTACGCATGATATTCCACGTCTATATAATCAAGTGTCACATTGAGAGGCAGGAGCTTAGGTTGGTCCATCAACAACCATGACATACAACTAAGCTTATATAAAGTCTTTTTGTCCCAGGGAAATATTAGCGTAGTATACCTCAAATTGCTACATACTCTTTCTTTCGAGCAGTGTTACTATTAAATTGAGCGCAGTGACTTCATATTGATTTAGCCTCTCAACTTTTGATGCGACACGATAACCCTTCGTCGGGTACCTTTATGCTCCTTACTGGGAGGATAACACTCTCAGTAATTTTGGCTTGCATGCTACAGCGCACAAAATAGCACGATCATTTTTCCTACAACAAACGCGTCAATGTTTTCCCGTACTTGTGTGCAGCGGAAGCCAATTGCAGAAAATTCATGCATCGGGAACTTGCCTTCCCACGAGTCCTGTCAAACTCTTTACTCCTTCCCCTTCATTCTTTATCCATTCATGACACATTAGCAATAGGTTATCAAAAGAAAGGGCAGGTCTTTAGCTTTAACATGATACTAATATCAAGTACAGTTACGACGATACATTGTGGCGGAATATTGCTTTGGAAATTGCCTAGTCTTAGAAACGATGCCAGGTTCCCCTTCACCGTGTCTAGAACTTGTTTCTCGAACAATCGAATCTGAAGCATGCAGTTGGTTCGTGTCAGTTGCGACAGTGCCCTCTTCTTCCTTCCTTTTCAAATAAACTGACTATGTTCGTCATTCAGCAAAGAAAGATTTATGTAGAGCAGAGCCGTGGCTATAGAATGATGCCAATATTGATACCATTCTTGAATAATAAACGACGACACTATAGCTAATAATATATAATGGTCAATGAAAAACGATCGTTTTTCTGCTGCACTGTTGACTGAAACATGCATTGTGCTCTTTCTTAATGTTGACCTCATCGCCTATGTGCTCGTTTGGCTATTGGACAACAGACAAATCACGCAATTGCCAAGAATCTAATCGATTGTTCCATTTCTTCACAACGAATCTTATATAAAAGGTACGCGTTCCCACCCATCCGTAGAAATGGATCATCATGTATGCTGCCCGTCGTCTGGTCATCCTTTGTTCCATTACTCAATCCTTGGTGAGTTATATCTTGAGTCTCTTTCACACTGTCCACCGGTATACATTGTCTATTAGCCTACTAACTGATGTGTACTATTTTTTTCTTTTCCTGTATGCTGGCCTTTCCTTGCCCTCTCATTCTCCTTATTTCGCACACCCTTTTCTTTATCGTCATTTATTCTTGTGTACACTCCAAAACTTGTAATTTTTATCTCTTCATTTTCCAATCCACGCACAATCACATATACTCTCATGCAAAAATCATATTTTGTTTCATGTCTTGGATATTAAGACTCAACAATAAAGTACCAATGGTTGATAAGAAAACTTTGGGCATGGAAAACCAAACATAGAAGTGCTAGCTGGATAGCATTGACTACATATGTTGTCATCTACCGAAAAATCATAATATAGAACTTCTCATCAATAGGTATAGGCCGCATCATTGGCAAGTTCGTGCTCTTCCTGCGAGATCACAGCTTTTCTAATCACAATTATTACCTGCCTGATTTTTGATACATAGTTCATAAAATGCCTCTTCGAATATGTTTTCTGTTGCCAAAATATATAATTAAAGTGTCATTATCTTATAGACCGTCATGCCGCTGTATTTTGATACTATGACTTAGTGTGATGGTAGTATGTCGAGGAGAGAGGATAAGCTCCAACTTACAGAGAATCCTTCTTGGCTGCCTAAACCAAGGCTTTGTAACAAATTCATAATAGAGTAGCTTGCGACTTCCAGTTTTATTGACATTGAGCTAGTAACCATGAAAAGACTGGTAGCCGATGAAACAATCAGGCGTACTTGAACCGCTAGACAGTTCCAACTTTATGGCTGGGATTTGTCACGGAGCATTAGCCATAATCTAAGCTGAGGAGCTATTATCTCTACTATTAATTGTATTTACCAACATCATTAACAGTAACGAGCATGATACCTTGTCACATTAGACGGTGTAGCCTCTTACATATTTGATATTATTGAAGTTTGATTGGGAGGTTCCTTTGGTTATTGTCTCGGTTGGCTAGATGCGTAACATTACCGAGACTGGTCGACATGAACTAGTGTCAACTTATCTGCTTATTTGATCTTTCCTCGTCTTAAGCTGTGACTTTGCAAGATATATGTAAATATACACCCGACGTTGACAGCGTCTATAGCAGAACGATAGCCTCTGTAGCTCCGAGTGCTCTAATATGAGCAGCACGTAAACTCTTGCATACCCTACAGAGAGCGAATTTGAGACGAATACAGCGATGTCTGGAAACAAAACCACGATCAGCGTTTTAAATGTATAGTAGATTTATCAAAAGCCAAAGCAGCTAATATTATATTTATAAAGTTGTCTTATACATCTTTTAGACAACATTTTCGCCATTAAGGTATCTGTAAAGTTCACAAAAACAGGTACAGCCGAATAAGTACGGAAATACACACGCACCAAACAAAGACAACAACGATCAACAACTGCGTAGAACCGTACGTCTCAGAGTTGCGCTTTAAGCAATAAGAGCTCTAATGAAAGATGTCGAGCATCCTGCCCCACTTTATCAGTATCATGTTATTGCCTAGGTTCACTGAAATTTATGAGCTAATAAGGGTCCTGGAAAAAAGCCCTAGAATCAAATTCCCAAGAAAAAGGGCAACTATCGCTTTAGAGTTGCAGCACGAAAAGAGCTAAATGCACATATAGTCGTAATGTCGTCTGTCCCTTAAATACCTCCATGAGAGTGCACTAGCAGTTAGATCGCCAATTACTGGCTCAAGCACTGGGGTGTAGGGGACCCAAAACATGACAGCAACACTGTAATTGCTTTTGTCGACTTTTTGGTACTATAGCATCCTCACGAGTTTCTTCCTGCGAATTATAAAAAAGACTTGACAAGGGGTTAGGGAAGTGCTTTTTAACGATTTCTCATTCAGTCAGCTATCCCAAAGGTGCGGTATAACATTACAAAAATAGCAATAGTCAGTTGATCCGTTTCGATGCAGCAAATTAATATTCACGAAAGCTTTCATGTGCGCACGTATCAATTCAAGTTTTTTTTACGTTTTTCTCAGCTCACTGTAATAGAGATGCAAGAATACATTGTTACGTAGTAATATGCTAACCCGTCTTTCTTCAATGCTATTATGAACTGCATATTTTATTGATACAGGCGCAGTAAATTTTTGTACCACATTTTCAGTTTTTCAGAGAAGGGATTTTTCAAAGGTCACTGCCACAACAGAGCATTTACTCCATCACATGACAGGTTAAATGGTATATATTTTGCTTATTTGGATGTTGTTTGTTGGCTCAGCAGTAACTTCCTTTACTTCATTCTTTTTTCCTCAACGATACAACTCTCTTTCCCCACACAGGATTGTAACCATGGGGTTTGAAGAGACGTTCGGTAATATTGTTGGATACTCCATATACTTTGTTGTTGGAACGGTATGGCTAGGTAAAAAAAGAAAGCAAAGCATTTTTAAATTATCTTTCATCTTGGTAGATAGAAAAGTGTACTTAAAAGTGATCGAAACTAGTGTTCCTGGGTATTGGCGTCTGTGGCGTTTTATATCTTATTGTTAGTTTTTGCTTGGTCATTCCATGCTGGGGGTTCGCATTCAGTTGGATAAAAAGGTCTATAGGCACCATGAAAGCAAATCTTATTGCTGGGGTATCAAGGGTAACCCAGTTTTCCAAAAATGTGTTCCAGTCGCTCCCGGGTATTCTACAGCGGGTTCAGCAAGATGTGTCATCGTCATTACGGCGAAGTGGTGGATACCGTCCAGCAGCGACAGATAATATTGTCATGGCAGAAAGTGGATCGCGCAATAGCTCAGACCAAACACCTCTCCTTCAAGAGCAAGATACCAACGAAAATGATTATCATGATGGGCCTCCAGAAACAAAATTTGATATCGTTGTTGAGCCACCATCTCGAAACTCTATTGAATTATCAAAGAGTGATAATACACATTCACAAGGAAGCAGAATCGGTCCCGACTAACTGCAATGCATATACCTATTATTACACACACACATACGCAAACACAATTAGCAACGAAGCATCTTCCATACATTAGCCCTTGTCACTGCTGTGTTTATAATAATAGGATTACATCATTTTGTATAAATTAAATTGAGAAAAATCAAAATGTAGTTACAAGCTTCTCAACTACTGCATTTGCCGTTTCCTCGATTGAGTGCTTATCCGTATCCAAAACAAGGACGTGTTGAACCGCTTTATGTTCGATTTCCGAATGCTCCTCTCCCACAAACAAATGTTTGTTCCATTTGATATATTGTGGCCATACAATCGTGTCAAAATATCCTGGAGGGTCCTTCCAGTAACCTGCATGCATTATCGTTCATTGATAAGCAACTTGATCCTGCGTTTTTCTCGGCTTTTCCCCCTTTTACCTTCCGTAGTAACATAGCCCTGTCTGCTTTCTCTTCGCTGCTTCAATGTGTCATAAGAAGCGGTAATGAAAACTTTGCAATCCAAGTGAGCACAAAGTCTTTCATCCCAAAAGAGCATAAATCCATCCACGATCAAGAATAATGTATCGTCTTGATTTATAGCTGCAATGGCAGCTTCCAGCCGTTCTAGAGCTTCTTTGGACAGAGTCGCAGATCCATCATGCGTGTTGTTATCTTCGTTCGATCTGTATTTTTCTGGAAGCTGTTTGTGCTCTAGCACGTGTTGAACAGTATCATCAAGCCGACAGAAGTCGACAGCGTCGGGACAATCCCAGTTGTCGAGCTTTGTTTCTGGATCGATGGGGATCTCGCTATCGGGCTAGAAAGCGTTGGATGAGTCAAAAAAAAAGATCTTTACGAACAATATAACGCTTCCCAAATTACCTTGAAAAAGTCATCCTGATAGATTACAACAGAATGTTTGACTAAACGTCGTAGAATCCTCGTCACTGTCTATAAAAGGTAGAATATAAGAGAACTTAACGCTCTGATACTGCCTATAGGTCGTTCAAGTCAACCTACGGTTTTTCCAGAGCAAGAAGGACCACTATATCAGCATTTAGCAAAAGATCGTGTTTGAATCAAGTTAATCAATGTCCACCTTATGCCAATGCAGCACACTCGCGTCATGCTTTCGCTACTTTCGACAGTTTACGCAGAGGAAAAGCTGCAACTGAAAAAAAAGCTGCAAAAAAAGCTGCAACTGAAACTGAAGCTGCAAAAAAAAGCTGCAACTGAAAAAAAAGCTGCAAAAAAAGCTGCAACTGAAACTGAAGCTGCAAAAAAAATGTGGAGTAGCGACCGAAAATAACCTCCGCAACAAAATTGGTGCTGATAGTGCCAAAAGCAGGGACTTCTTTTATTCTTGCACAAACAAAATAATACCGACACCGGCCATGCGGAGGCTATGGATTAACGCACCACTAAGGAGCAGTAGCCTTTTTTGCCAATGCAATCAAACAGCATCGCTACGGATACCTCGCATCGACCCTCGATCGCTAGATCGACGATATACCATGGCTGCAGCAGCCACCTCCACGTCGGGCATGCCTTGTGAAAACGATGGATTGTCAGTCCACAACAGCAACAGCAACAACAGTACAGGGGAAGGAGGAAAACAACGACGTTACAACACAAACCACCAACGATCCGTGGGCAGCGTTTTTCTAGAACACCTCACTAGAGCTGAACGTTCAAAATTAACACAGTTAAAAAGCAGCGATGAAGTGCGATCGTTACAGAATCCTTCAACGTCCAAACGAGACAAGGCTTCAGCACTATCGGATTTTTATCGTTCCCTAGCTACACAGGACATCGAATCCATCTGGCCGAAATACAGCTATCTTTATCATCACCAGTACCACAAACATCTGTCGCGCCGCAATTTTCGACAACTGTTTTTAAGCACGATTCGATCTCGGGCTACGCAGGGCAATTTGCACCGGCTACTAGTTCTAACCGACGATATGAAGGAACGAGGCATGCAGTTAAAATGTAACGAATACGATGCATTGATGCACTGGATCGGCGGCCGCACTGTTCCTGTGAAGAAGTTTCGTCACTTGACAGAGGCGCTGGCGCTTTTCGATGAAATGCAGCAACAGCAACAGCATACGACAATTCAACCTTCGCTTGTAACCTACAATACGCTTATTCATATTGCGTCGCAGGTGTCTGACATACGTATGGCGCAACGGTTATACCACGACATGATAGCACATGAAATTCAACCGGACGCCTACACCTATGCAACACTGCTGGCAGGCATGGGCCGGATGCGGGATGTCGATGGGATGTCACAGATGCTCCAGCAGCTACAGTCAATGGGATACGTTGCCAATAACACAGTCATATGGAACGCAGCGCTATCGGGCTACGCAGCTAGTGACAGAATGGAGGATGTCAAATCTATGTTTGCGGACATGTACCGGTCATTGCAACGCAAAAACGGTAGTGACTCCGCAGCGACAGCAGCAGCAGCAGGACAGCGGCAACGAGAAGAGGAGGGGAAGGAAAGAGAAAAGGAGGCGCCTGTTGCGGATAACAATAGCTTCCGGATATATATTGAGGCAATGCTGGTCCAGGATGACCCAGACACGGCTATTCAAGCACTAAACGACATGGTACGGCATGGCCTGGAACCAATAGCAGCCATCTACAATGCATTGTTTCGTTCGTTTATTGACAAGGATCGGGGAGAAGACGAAGAACCGACTCTGGATGAATCAAGCGCAGCCAAGTTGAATATGGTCAAGAAGCTGTACAAGTCTATGCTGGAACTGAATGTGACGCCCAACTCGGATACCATGTATACCCTTGTGTCAGCGCTTCTCGACTTGGGTGACACCAACTTGGCATTGGAAACGTTCGTGCAACTCAACAAGACAACAGCCACCGTAGTTGACAAGGAAACAACTATGCAAAGCCATGGTGACGCCAGCTCTGCTTATGATGACGGCGTTGACACTGTAGCAGCACTTGCTCGGCGGCGCTATCATTTGGATACAGCAAAGCCAAGCAAGCTTGAGCCAAACCAAGAGCTGTTGGAAAGATTAAAAAAGATTGTCAAGTAGTAAATAAAGGACACAGTGTTCGGCTCTTTTTGCTTTTTTCAAAAAACGGACGGCATGACAAATAAAGTAAAAAGCATCGGACAAACGGCATCCAAACTCATTGGAAGCCTGCGTTTCCGAACTTGTGTAAAGAAGAGGACATTGCATGTTGCTGCTTTGTGGTACTACTATTCGCTGCTGCGGGCGGAAGAGCACATCCGAGGATTGTGCACCATCGATCAAAGCCGGTCTGAGTTTCAACATGCTTTGTAGTATGATAAAAGATGCCCGCGCCTGCATTTCCATCACTCCTCTTTCCTCTTCATCTTTTCTTTTTCGAAAGATACCTTTTTACACATACTCAGACATCATGACAGTCTCAGACCACGGTTTTCCCATCGGCTACTTCTACATCATCTCCAAGATGAATGGTCTTGTTGTCGACCTACGTGGTGACTCAGAGACCGCTGCTGTAAGGATCCTTCATCGAGCTCTCTTAAAGAGCCGACATGTCCTGTATGTTACCTAACTGTTGACAAACCTGCGAACTGTATATGTAGCCCGGCACTAAGATTGTGATGGCTCAAAAGCGAGAAGAGTCTCCCGAGCGTGATAGCCAACTTTGGATCCATCAGAATGGTAAAGCAGTGATACCAACGAAGAGAACCTTCTCTTTCTGGAAAATGACGTCTACTGACTGAGACGCTACTAGGTTTCTTGACCAACAAGGCTACAGGTCTTGTCCTCGATATCAATCCAGCCGAAAGCTTTATTGGTAAGTGCTGGAGCGTATAGCACAAGGAATTCCAAGAAGATGATCCTTCTTCGGTCGTCGGATTTTTTGGGCTGCGCCTCTACAATCCCTGTTGTGTTCCCTACCCATTTCGTACCTCAACTACTCGACCGCACAGTGCAGCTGCTGTGCGTCTATGTCTGTGTTCGCAGATAGGAAATTTGAGCTGTAGCAGCGCAGCGATTAAGCTTTGTTTTATCTTGCACCATTACTAAGCTGTTCTTATTCTCATCACTATAGCCATTTTCACAAAAGAAAAGCGGATGTATTTGGATGGCATGAAGGAAGCAGATGCTGTAAGTAGTAGTCCTTCTTATTTCTATCCTTGCGCGATAAAGGGGAGCTAGAGTGTTCCACGTAAATTGAACCCTCGTTTCGTGTCACACACATACATACATACGATGGCTTTTTATATTACACAAAAAGTGATAAGCTGATAATTTTTCACATCTACCATAGGCAAACGATCAGCGCTTCGGCTTCGAAAGTGAGCCTGGTTTTATCTATCAGCTTTCCGAGCCCAAAAATGTTCTCGATATCCGCCATGAGTTGTCCGAAGTCGATGCTCGCCTTATGATCTATAAGCGCAAAGAATACCCAGAACACGAAGGCAAGGAGACCAAGAAGAACCAACTGTGGGATATTGAGTTGAGCGACCCACCACGCGCTGTGGATTCTGATGATGAGGTGGGTGTTACATTAGCAAAAGAAGTAGTGGGTCTCTTTGTATATATGCAGACGAATTACTGACAAATGATGATTATTATTGCGAATACAACAGGATGAAGATGACAGCAAGCGTGCACGTATGAAGGCTTGGTTCGGTAACTGGAAGGCATTCGGCTCCCATAAGAAGGAAATCCTTGATGAGAAGGAATTGACCGACGCACATAGAAAGGTTTACGAGGATGAAGAGAAGAAGAAAAAGTCGACATTGAGGTAACAATAGCTTACTTTTAAAACCACATAGAGAATAAGGGAATACTAAGCTAATGCATCAACTATACTTTGAATTTACACCAGTTACGAATTGATTGCTGGCGCTGTCGCTGTTCAAGCTGTCAGAATGTGGGAGCAGAAGCAAGAGGAAGAAGGCAAGGATGTCGACAGCAGTATGTCCAAGAAGCTCGTTGCTGGTTTTGCTGCAACTGAGGTACGTATAAACATAACAAAATAGATCTCCAAAGCGATGTATTAGCTCCTAAGTTTTGACGCGTTGTTCAATGTTACTCGTATAATAGTTAGTAAAACTCCTTGCGGATCGCGGAGAAGATGGCGATGACGAGGACGGCAAGGAAAGCAGAAAGAAACGCCTTTTGACTAAAATGGCCATTGTAGCAGCCACAAACTACTTTGAGAATCGCCACGACTCTTCATAAAGAAAAACATTAATGCGTTGTTGTACTACAATTCACGTTGTGACATCCATGTAACAACGACCTCTTGTACAGTTGATCATATTCCATTTGCTTGTCTCACAATAATAAAAATAGATTGGCACCATACATGTCATCCAAAATCCCAAATCACCCGTTTGGGTCTTTGAGACGTCACAGGGTTTTGGAAGGTTGTTTTAGGTGTCCGAACTACAACAAACGGTAAATTGTATCTTTCGGATGGTTAGTCGTTTAATTCCTGTACAAAGATAGCTTTGTTTTCTTTCCGAGATGCACAACGGAAAAATGATGCGTAATTTGCAAGAAAGTACCGATACTGTGGGCGCTTTCTTTTGTAATTATTTCAGTACCTGTTAGTTGAATTTGCACAGTATCTTCGTTAACCAATTCTACGGACCGGGCTTAGCAAACAAGTGCATATCTGGGGCTAAACCGCCAATTCTTGATGATCCATAATAGAAACTATTTCAGAGCGCCTTACGACTACTGTCCTTAAGTAAGCGTCTGATTTGTGCATTTTTGTGTCTACTTTCGTTGTTTGTCTCCTGTACTTCAATCATCATCAACGTATTCATTGGCTACCCTTGTAACGGTATGCATACCTTAAAACACGCAATCGTATAATAAAAAAAGTATATATATATATATATACAAAAGTGATTTCGAACGCCTTTCATATCCTCTTGTTACATCTTAATGCAATTATTCTTCTATACACGAAAGCATGCTTACCAAAAATCAGCAACAAGTAACAGTGAGCGAAAGGTTAGAGTATCCTGTCATACCTTGAGTGACAAAGTTAGTCGCGGCCAGTTACCTTAAACCATCTAAACGTACACAGGAAACAGTGGACTTGATCGATAAGTCCTTAGTGACAAATGGTGTGTTCTAGTAGAGTTCCATCATTATCTTTGTGAGCGATGATATACACCACTTATTTTATCGTCATTACATGATGTGCTTCGGAAATAACGAAAACCAGCTTTTTTTTTCTGTTTCTATATAGCTGGCTGGACATCATCCAAAAGCTTTTATGCAATGGGTGGTCACAGAGTTACTTCCGATGAAACTGAAGAGTCTACCCGCGCAACGGATCATGCTTATTTGTGCCTTTGAAAGCGTCATGTCATGGTAAAATGAGGAACTCATCGTTGGCGCTCTTCTTGTCGAAGAAGATGTAAACCTTACCACCAGAGAAAGATGATCGCGGCGTAAGCTGCGAGGAAAAGAGCGGATATCATAGCCTGGTATCGAAGGATGGGAGGTCGAGTGGTTGGCATTGTGAAGCATCCGAAAACCTCAGCGCTTACAGTCTTCTCGTGCTTAGATTTGCTTTTTGATGGCATCAATCTATATGTAATATGCTCGATGAATAATTAGCTCTTCTTAAAAGGATGATTTTGCCATATGTAACTCTTAATTTTTCCCAAGCTCGTTTTATGGAAGCTGGTGATAGAACACCAGTGAAGCTACTCTTAAAATGTTGTCAGGTTTCTTGCCGTTTCTTGACTGACTTTATATTAGCGTACAGTTACATTGTTTGTCTTTTTACCAACAGACTCCTAATATATGTGGTAAGCACCATTGTCAATTTTGAAGTAAGAGCTACTACTAGGACCACCACAAGTCACCCCATTTTGTTATAAGCTAACTACACAAATCATTTTCCTCTAATCTAACTGAATTTTTTCCAAGACATATGGGATTTATCTTTGCAGCAGCATGTCCAGTCCATCTTTAACCATCTTTAACCATCTATGATTCGCAGAGTCCTATACTTCCACCACACACCATATTGCTCCAAGGATAATGTATAATCAACAAAAAGGATGGAAGAAGCATAACCTTTTTCATTTTATTAGGTAGGGAAAAGAACACCAAACTACTTAGTTCATGATCTTGACGAGCTTGTTGATGAACTGCTCGCGGTTGCCTGTTGATACCAAGTAGGATATTAGTAGCCGACCTCTTAACAACATTTACATTACCCATGTATCCACAGGTGCTGTTTGTGTACGTACCATAGTCACCACCCTCAATGAAGTGACCAGAGAACTTGCGCTCTCTCCAGCCACCGTTGGGGTTGGACAGCTTGAAGGGCCACAAGAAGTTGTTGGCCTCCTTGAAGCGGGGACCAACAGTGGCAATCTCGTGGATCAAGTCCTCAACACAGATGATGTTGTACTTGCCAAGAGCCTTCTCAATGATGGCGTTATCGTGGAGAGCGATGCGCTGCTTGTTGACCTTGGCGTAACCACGCTTGTAGACGAGCTCACGGATGGTCTTGAGGTTGGGGTAGCCGTAGGTGACATAGGGCTGGATGAGCTGGAGCATCTCGGTGGTGGCCTTGTTCAAACGGACGAAGACACCGTTGTTGATCTGGAGAAGACGGAGCAACTGCATGACCTTGCGGGGCTTGGGAGGGATGTTGTTGATACCGCGGATACGGACAACGAAGGCAAGCTTGGGCTGGGCAGGAACATAGTAGCTGCCATTGGCCTTGGCCTGGCGGTGGAGGTCAATCTCCTTGCGCTCAGCAGCCTCGTATTCACGTGCGTACTTGGCAGCACGCTTGACGTACTGGCGACGGCGGGAGATCTTGGCCTGTTATTTTGAAAAGTATCCATTAGTTTATACTTGCTCCAGCAACAAAAGTAGTTTTTATCCTCTTGTCCCAATCAACACAGGGTGGAATTTGCAGAAACTTCAGTCCCGAAAGATGGTATAATTATTGACAGCATCGCCTCGCTAGTCAAATGGGTTGGAACCCCAGAATTGTCATCACAAACGCAAAATTCCATCCCTCTTTCTCCTTTTTCACTCCCACATGGTGCTGTATATACTTGCCTTGCGAAGGGCAGCCTTGTCGGCAGCGGCCTTGTCGGCAGCCTTGGCGTCAGCCTTTTGCTTCTTCAAAAGAGTCTCGGGGACTTCGACGTCTTTGACGGTGGGAACAGTGCTATTCAAAGATAGAAGAAAAATTTTCAAGGTTAAATATCTGACAATGCCAAACAATTTGTTTTCAATCATGCCGTTGAAATCTGCAATCCAGGAATAGAGGGGAAAAAAGAATCGTGAAAAAGGTGAGATAGAGAGGGTACCAACGAGGGGTGATAATAGTTGCAAACACACAAACACACAAGAATGTGCGCGCGCCACCAAAATGGAAGCTGATCAGGGGGGGGCTTTGTAGGTTAAATTGAAATGGAGAACATCGACACGGCGGTTTTCTTATATTAAAAAAGCACACGTCGATATTCTTTGCAAGGAGTGTTGATAATAACGCAAGACTGGAGAGCGGATCCGGCAGACGAATTGAAGGACATTAGGCATGTCAACTTACTAAGCGACCATAGTACAGCACCGACAGGTAGAAAGAGAGGGAGCAAAAAAAATTTTTTTGTCGTCCAAGAAAAAGCTCGACGGCGGTTAAGTGACTGGCAAATTGTTCAAATTGCTGCCCGCTCGAAAATCTCAGCAGACGACCTGTCAAAAAAGTTTTTTTTTCCTCTGATCTCCCTTCTCTCAGCTACAACCGTGTTGCGTTCTCATAGCAGCCATGCTAGAATAAATAAATATGCTGTATCGATATGAGGATCTAAGCTTCAGCTGAAAATCCAGCTATGATACGTGCTAGGTTTACAGTGTAATTGAATCCCGGAATGTGGCTGTCTTTTAATGATGCCTTGCAAAAGGCGCTCTGCAATCGTGTGATGATATGCCATTTCGTATCAGTAGAAGCCGATCAATCTATATCATCACCGTGAGAGGAGAAAAAATACATTTGCAAATGCTCTTCCGGCCATCATAATGGCAGCTGAAATCAATGATCAATTACTGTACAGCTACAATTTCAGCTATAGAATAGGATCATCGAAGATAATTCATCAAATGCTACATAAGTTCTTACAACAGCAAAAGTTTTCCTAGATACATTATATATTTGAGCTAGCAGCGTACTACAAGTAGTTACTGGTGACAGATTTGATTGAATTCTTCTCGTAAACAAGGCGTTACGCTACCATACATACTTTTCTTGCGGCATGTGAGTGATGTGGATAACATGTATACAATAGAGAATTTTGTGGATCAAAAGAAAGTTTCCGTGCACTTTTTATATATTAGAGATACAGTAAGATTACTTCATCACATATACATGGTCAATAGACGTTAAAAGCTCCTCTAAAAACGCATGAAACAAAATTGAGCGGGTAATGAGGAGAGAGAATCAATGTTAAAGTAGTTTTATGTACTAAAATGATCAAACATATATAGTCATAAGCAATACATACTATTCCTCAATCTCTTTTGCCGCAAGGAAGAGACTAACGTCTATACACGGGCGTCATATCAGTGTCCAATGTGGTCGTAACCATTTGAGCAATATGTGCAGCAGCGCGAGTAGCGAACAGCAACAGAGTATGACCCGACTCCTTCACCGCACCATAGTGTGACTTGCGGCTCTGTATGTGCCAATTTCCCGTCAAAGCGACATTCTAGTATGTACTTTACATAACTGACTAGCTGCTATCTACTTTTAACATTTATGCTGCCGTTGTCATCTATGAGTCGATTACCGAATATAAAACGAAATCCCTCGGCTCCACATATAGCAGATGTACTTGAAGCTGTAAACGTGCCTCTGTCGACTCTTGTCTAATTAACGTCGTTCGCAAGAGGTGGGGGCTTTCGCCACTTGATGATGCTCTTCGTCGTTGTCTCCTTAGTTCCGACGACAATGAATAAGACAAAAAGTCATAACCATCTACTGCACACATTTATACAAATATGGGGCACAAGTTTTTATATTTCTTTCATACATGGTAGACACACCATCGCAGTATATCAATGAAGCTTACAGTCTTTTAGGTAGTAGTAGCTTACACAGTTCGGATTAGTTTTTCATTATTAGTACAGCTAATTAAAGAGCTGACTATGCTCCGTGTCCTGCGTGAAATAGACCGCCTCAGCCATCCATGTGTTGGCTATGATGCATCGAATCCAGAACCTGCTTCAGAGGATGCCCTCTTCTAGTCGTCCTTACAGCATGTTTTAAAGTATCTATCTTATCGTTCTCATCATTTGTCCCCTCTATCTTCTGTAATTTCCCATCACTTTCAACATCGATTTCAACCTTCCGCAGTCTCTCCTCCACCCTAGCTTTTTCCCCCATTATACGGGTTCTTTTCAGTTGCGGTGTCCCTCATTTGTAATTGTTCTCCTCCTAAACTGTACCGCAAGGAAGCGACCAATTACACAAGGTCTCTAATTCTTTCAAAAATCTACAGGTATATAAAAAGAACAATGTGGGGGGATTGTGTTTCCTAATGTGATTAGATGTAAACAAAGACGCGCATCCGTATCACAAGCAATATGGATTGAAAATTGTGACGATGAAGAGGGCGAAAGATGCGGCGGGTTATTTTCCTCACCTTATAGTACCACTGAATTTACTTTTTAGCAACGCATGAAACAAAAAACCCAGCAGCTATGACTACCAGACCTCCCGTATCGTCAACAACAACCCCCACTGGTGCCAGACTCGGGTCATTCTCTTCTTGGAGCATTGCATCTCTTCCTTCCAGTTCGTCATTACTTTCGAGACGGACCTCCATTTACAGTAATGAAGATAGAGTCGTGCTCGACATTGGGTCCCGTCACTGCAAAGTCGGGTTTTCAGGAGAGTCAAAGCCAAGGAAAATAATAGCTTACTATGCGCAAACGAGAAACAGCAAAATATATAACGTACGCGGGCCACTATTCTGTCCATTATCTTTATTTCTCCTTCTCTCTTCTGACATTGGTATACATAGACATGGAACGACTTATACGACCTGGATTGGATGCGCAGTGGCCGAGATATCACCACAGCTGAAACGACATTATGTGAAACACTCCAGGAGGCATTTTTTAGGTAATATAGAGATATGATACTACTTGATCCGACAGTATAGTTCTCAGTGACACACATAACACCAACGGCGGTACGATGAGAGAATGCGGGGTTTCGACATTGTGCATAATTTTTGATTATGTGTATCTTTTAGATGCCTATTAACGGATCCTAAACAGCGGACAGTCGTGCTATGCGAATCGCCCATGATGCCGATCCGTATCAAGGAAATGATTGCCAATATTTTGTTCCATCGACTTCAAGTACCTGCACTCTGTTTTGTTCCTAGTCATTTATTAGCCTTGCTGACTACGGGCGAATCAACGGGCCTTGTGATCGACTGTGGTCATTTGGAGACTACTGTTTTGCCGGTAAACTTGTATTTTACGTATAAAGCGTCTCCGTTGTGATGATGCAAAGTATTGGTATTTACAAACTGAAGATGATTATGATAGATATATTTTGCACGGCCCTTGATAACAGCTGTTCAAATGACACCATTGGCTGGACGCGCAGTAACCGAGTCTCTACGAGAGCTTTTAAAGTCGCATGCCCGCATTATTCAAACCAGTGCAAATATACCGACATCTGTTGCCCCACGGTTGACTGTGCCAGATCATATTTTGTCAAACGAGCGGGTCGAAGATATAAAGACACGTTGCGTTCTTGTACTCCCATCGCACACGAATGGTGGTTACAACGACCAACAGCAGGATAGCAGATCGAGTGACATGTATTACCGTTTAGAGAATGATATTGGAGGAGAAACATTATGGATACCTGGATATGTACGTGAGCAAGCATCAACTATCCTATTTACGGGAAATCAGAACGAGGAGATCAATGGGATCGGTGAATGTATACTCGATTGCTTACTGAAGGTATATATAGAAGAGATTTTGCTCTTTTCATTTAATGTAAAGAGAACTACTACTCTTGGACATTAAATGTTGCTACACCAGGTACCGACCGACCTTCGAAGGCCACTTGCAGCGTCGCTTTTGACCGTTGGTGGAACGAGTATGATCCCTGGTTTTCAAGCACGACTTTTACATGAGCTGCATAGTTTGCTTCGTACTGCAAAATATAAGCGTCTTGAAGGGATAGAGATGTGCTTCATGACGGATCGAGGCGCGGGCCAAGTGTTTACGCCAAACTGCCGCACTTGGATAGGTGGATCACTAGTGGGTACGCTCAAGATGGCGGGCACCACTATCCAGCGCGAAAAATTCGATGGAACAGTCCCTGATTGGACAGTTGTAACCTAGAATTGATTATCGTTTTTCCCGAAACTCGTAGCAACAGAAACATGTCGGGATCTTTTTTTTTCTCTCCAAAGAGCACATTTGCGTAAAAATTTCTCTTGTCGCTTATGAGTTTTGCTTTGTTTGATAAGTACTTCAGATGCCTTTGGTTACAGCAGCAAGTTGACTTGCGGTAAAGCACTTATGCATAATGGACAAGCACTTGTCTTTTTTACACAAGCTGAACATATAATGTTGCTTTTATATCTTGCCTCAGGGTGAAAGCAGCTTAGGCGTTTTGTTTCGTTTTGATAAGAAACTGTCATTCATGCTATTTTACAAACTAAATCAGGCAATTTCTTTTTGGGTTCGCATAAAGTATGTAGTCATGCAACATTGTGTGACTATTATTTCTAAGAAATTCATTAGTATGCCTACATGCACGCTCATACCTGTTGAGCAATATAAAACACTTACATGCCTATAATAATAAAAGACAGAACTCTTTCTCTCGCTTTTCTTCTTTGACACCCCTTTGACTCCGTTTTAGTCAAACCGACCGTATCGAAGTTATACTGTATGTAGCGATATAAGAAGCCAAACCGCTCGTTCAAGAAACCACTGATATTGATGGAACTTAAAGGATTTTATTAGCATCCCCAAACTACTATACTCGTTGTACCTACTTGACCGTACTCAAGTCATTTTATTATCCCAATTGATTGTACTCACGGTACATATTCGTTCCTTTATCGTGTATTTCAATATGATTCTCATATGTATGCTCTACTTTGGCAGTTTGTGACGCCTTTCCGATCTATTTAACTATACAATAAGTAGCCAACAACGTTTGGGCGCAAAACAAACGCTTTGCCGATGGTAGGGTTACGTATTTGCAAAGTCAGCATGTGAATCGACCCGAAAATGGAAATTACATAGCCAACCGGCGGTTGACGGATAACTGTTTACGAGGTTGAAAACTATATAAACCTCCACCTCCTTGTTCACTTGTCCACACTATTATCAAGACAACAATTGCTTTCTCTTCTATTCAAAGATTCTTCTCTTTCCATAACAAGTCTGCTGGCAAAGCATGCACACCGTCGTCAAGTGACCACTCGTCGCCAGTAAGCTCAAGGCCTGGATCCATTACCAGTGAATGTTCATACGCACCAAGTAACAAGTATCTTTCGGATCCTATGCGCTGTTCCAAGTCGCCTGATTACTATGGTAGTTTTGTGAATCCCATGGGTGGTCGAAGTCATTATCTGCTAGGCAGTGACTGTACCAATACCGGCGCCTAAGCAAACAAATATCGTTCGTGCATCCCGATTTCATCATTATCCCGGCTACCATCTTACTTGTTACACCTAATCACCACATATCATTTATTCTTATATCTACATATTTTACATCCATTGCTCATCTATAATCTGTAAATAAATTAATCACGTGAGCAGTTTTCATACATTCTTATATGGACAGTTACCTGGATATAAGTTTATGGCTATCATAAGTCATACATGTGGAATTGTGCGATGAGTTGGATAGTATGTTGCCTACATTTTATCTGCTGCTTGCTTCCTTCATAAATTATGTAAGTTGCATGTTCCAAAACTTATGCAAGTCGATATAACAGTAATAAGATTTTTGTTTTTCAATAGTATTCGCAGACCAAAAAGATCAAGAGTGAGTCATAAGTTGAGACGGAGAGTGAGAGCAGAAGAGAGAGATATAGAAAAGAACAAAAGGAGAGAAGGTATAAGTATACGGGCGCGTGATGGTAGATGGGAAATATAATAGTATAAAAGCTTGTGTTTTGCGATGGTAAAGAGAAGCGGGCAACCTATGTTATATATCTATGGAGCCGTACTCAATGCGCCAACACGCTGTACAAGTTCAGTCATCCGACCATCAATGACCTTGATATTGCTGTTGACTGTATCTTCATTTTCCTTGAGACTCTTATTGAGCTATACAATGGTTCCTCTTAGCAAATATTTTTTTTCTCATGTAAATGGAACAGAGGTTGCGTGGGATATATAGAGAACTACTTTACCAGTTCACAGGCTGTACTGAGGTTCTTCAGTTCATCAGTGATACGGGTTTGCTCTTCAGAGATAGCTTTAACTGATCGACCAAAGGTAGATGCTTCAGTATGAAGACCTTGCAGCGCTTTTAAGCGTGTAAGCAGTGCTGGTGTTAAGTTTAAAAGTGGATCGACTTTTTCCATTGTTGCGAAAAGTTGGTTGACCTAGAGATGCCTATCAATAAACGCAAAACCATGTATCTCAACAGATTCCTCTCCCCCTCTCCTCTATGGAAGCCTATAAATCTGTGTCCAACATACCTTTTCTTCAGCCTCACTGGAAAGACCTTGGGCTTCTTTATTTTCATTTGCTGCATTAGCACCAGCTGCACCACCGGCAGTGCTTGGTAGCGATGTAGTGCTAGAAAGAAAGCCCAATGACAAATCCTTACGACCCGACTTGAGCTCATTGAGTCTATCCAATTCACTGATCAACACTTTCACTCTTCGAGCAACGGTTTCCAATTGCCTTGGTTGGGCCAGAATGGTGATTTGTTGCTCTAGTTTCGACACGGATCCGATGAGGGATGCCGTGGCAAGACTTGGTGGCTACAAATATTATAGCAAAAAAGTTGAGTCTTTCCCATTTTATTCTCGGTATCCACGCCGGTTGTGTCAAAGTAGTATTTCCAACACTTACCAAGTCATCCAAACCACGGCCTGAGCTAGATCCGACTAACGATTCCAGCTTGGCAATCCTCTCATCGATATCGGAAACTTTGCTCTCCTTGTGCATTTTTGCTGTCTCGGGGGTATAGTAGAGTTCATATGTAAGAACCTATCAACGTATGAAACATGTGAGCCTTCTCTCATTCTTGCAAGAGGCTCATCGCCACTAAATTAAAACAAGGAAAAATAATGACACATTACATCGCCCTTGTCATTCTTTTCGATAAGAACCGCGTCGTCATTCTCACTGCTGTTATTGTTGTCGTTTTCCTTGGCGACAGCTGCCGTTTTGTAAGCTTCAAGCTGTTTGATAAGCCGTTTGGCCTCATCGATGCGGTTGCCATAGTTGGTCGATTCATCTACTAGTGTTTCGCCCAAGTTCTTGCCAAGTCTCGTCAAATCCGATTGCAAGAACGATATTTGAGAAAGCAAGTCTGCCTGGCTGACATCTTCCTTTTCCGTCTCTGATTCCTATACGTAGGGAAACCAAAGTCAATCACTGCCATCGAGGAAAGATTGGAGGGTGGTGGTGAATTTTGATAATAGATCTGAATTTGTCAACAAACCAACCTTCTTTTTCTCTACTTCTTCGTTCAACTCTTGGACCTCAAACATCAAACGACGAAGCTTTTGGATTGACGTTTCTTGGAGCTCCAAGTCTTTTGGTAAAAGCTCATACTCACTCGTTTCCAAAGCAGCCGGTCGTCGAACGTAGCTGCGATACATTGCCTTTTTTCTACGCGTCAAACGATCCGTGAAATCTAAGAGTTGTTGTAAATTTGTTCCATCCATCTGTCAATTCTCAAGGTTGGGTTGTTCATTTGTAGCCTTTGTAAATTATGTAATGTAGGACAGTAGAGAAAGAAGCAAGAAAGAAAACACGAACCGATGCCCGAGGATTCGACAACACTATCTTTAAACCGTGCGCTGGCATCTTTGACAGAAACCCGAGATCGTACGACGTTTTCATTTCCATCATCCTCATCACTCGACTACAAGAGTTAGTGGTACGTAGTATTAGTAATAGCATTTACTTGAGTTTTGGAATTGGAGCCGAAAGAAAACGGTAGCTTCTTGTGTCAATTGGCAAAACCAGAAAAATAGATGTGTGTCTTCAATGTACCTGATCACCTAAAGTGGTAGCATGGGCTACATCACCCGAATCTGGGGTCTCGTAAACGTCAGGTTGATCGTCCTACCATTAATTGAGTTAAAAACAAAATCGTGCTAGTTTTCTAATATTGTTTGAACCGTACAATATCAGGGAGGGCAGAATATTTGGAAGCCATGGTTCTCAAAAGAAGAAACAAGAGAGGGAAAGCTTGCAGGATCCCGCCCGTTGAGTATATGAGTTCAAAACCTAAAAACCTAAAAGGCTTTGGGCTTTCAATTTACTTTTACCGAGTAATTTGTGGTAAAATGAAAAGTATACCAAAGCAACAAAGCCTTAAGTGCTTGAGCCAACATATGTTTTAGCCACACTGCTATTGTAAAATAATGTTGGCCCATGCAAGTAATAATAAGCTGGTTCACACCTTTACCGAAAATTCTCTCCCGGGCTTCCTACAGTCGCATTTTATACGTCAACATGGTTATGTGATCTGTGCCATAAGCTGTAGAATGGTTCCTTCATGTTGCTACAGACCACACTCGTTATGTCTATTCTCATGATGCTTCAATGTCATGCACGCCAAAAATGCCGGGTTTAAGGGTTCTCAGTTCGTATATTGCAGGCATCAGAAGGGCCCCATTCTTGGGTCAGGTAGCATGTTCTCTGTTGATCACAGGTCCACTCCAGTCAAAAGAAGCAAACATCTGTTCCAGTAAGTTGACATGTATCCTTCTTTATAGTGCTGCTATCAACCAAGTGCTTTGCAAATCATCGAGTATGCACTTTAAGTTTATCTTGATAATATCACTCATATGAAAGAGTAACAGCTCTCAGTATGTACATGGCGTTGAGTTAGCATGACCAAGAACAACCAATACCATCCTCGTGGATAAACAATCTTATTTGCAGGGAAGCGAATATGCCCATAATTAAACAAATACTCCAAAATATACGGCTGTGCACCTAATACCTCGACATGGAAGTTTAAAAATAGCGGTGTGTTTATGAGTCTGGACAAGGTGGGAAATCAATAACCCTTTGTAAATGATGCGCTCAATTAACCAGCCGTTTCCTCCGGGCCTACTAGACTTCTGCGGGATTTTCGTTTGTTTTATGGTGATCTTACTTTGCCGCTGCTGTCACTCATCATGATGCCTCTCACTTCTCGGCGGCGGATCGCTCTGATTGCCGCCTGCTCTACTGTCTTTCTTGTCTTTTTACTTTTCAGTCGTCATTCATCCTCACCATCTTTTAGCAATTCTACATCCCATCACGAACCACAATCACCACCACCACCAGCACCAAATCGTCAAAAACAACAACAGCATCCAGATCCAACCTCATCGTTGCCGGACAATGATGCCATTCCAGTCATCTACCCTCCAGCATTCACATTACATCAACCAGGACCTGGCGAAAAGTTCATCACGTATTTGCCACATTCTGGTTTCCACAACCAACGTATCGAGCTCGAAAACGCGCTCTTGTTGGCGGCCTACTTGAACCGCACCCTATTACTGCCACCGGTCTTTTTGGGCAATCCAGCCATGCCGTGGCTGCGATACGACAAAATGTACGAACGGCTTCTACTACAAACGAAGCGAGGACTTGAGCACTGTCCACAAGTTGGACCTGACGAGCCGCTGCCATCTGAATGCCTCAACTACTTTCGCTGGACGCAAGTACCATGGTCGTTCTTCTATGATCTGTCTAAGGGCATCAAAGACAATGTACGGATCGTGTTCCGCGACGACTTATCGACAGAATGGATCATGGACACACTCCAAGTCGGCGTCGACGACATCTACTTCATGAAGGACATGTCGCCCTATGAGTTTCGAGTGTACGACAAGCCAGATTCGGCGACACCTTTGGCCAAATTTGTGAACCGGATCGATGTGGCCACGTTGGAGGCCATCGAGACACCGGTTTTGCACTTTGGATCAGTATTTGGCACTTATCGGGTGCTCGCACAAACCGAAGCACATGCCGAGCTGCTCAGAACGTTCCGGTCGGAAATGATCTTCCGGAACCCCATTTTGGCGGAAACAGCGGCACGGGTGGTACGACAGCTCGGTGGGGTGGACCAATTTGTCGGTTTGCATATCCGTGTTGGGGATGGCTTGTTCAAAGTCAGAGCGTCGATCCATGTGGATGACATTTACCACAAGCTCGTCGATGCATTTACGGATTTGAATGTGGACCAGGTTGCGTACTACGAGGACTACAAGCATGACCAGGACAGACAAGAGAACGAGGACTATGAAGTCCGTCAGCTGCGCAAGTTCAAGCCGATCAATGAGGACCTCAGCAAGCCAATCGAGGTCAACCACCCGCCCAAGATCCAGGAAATGCTGGGCAGCACGCCGCCGGCAGGACTGACGAGAATGTGTGAGCCGCCGACTGGCATGGATGCGGCCACCAGACGGTTCCAAAAGACGGTGATCTACATTGCCACGGATGCGGCGTCGCCCAGGACGAGCCCGCTCTTGCGCAAGATCTTTGCTACGTTCCCTTGTGTGTTTGTGCTGTCGGACTTTGGCGAGGAGCTGCACGACCTCAAGCGGATCCAGGTGGTTGAGGAGAAGGTGAAGCTGGAGTCGTACTTGATCCCGATGGTGGATGCGATGATAGCGGCACAGGGGCACGCGTTCTATGGCACGGCGGACAGCACGTTCAGCAGCTACATTGAGCGGCAGCTGCACCCTGTGTACACGGACCGGCCTGTCAAGGTGATGAATGTAGGAGGAGGCGGCAAGAAGAAAAAGGCGGAATAAGACCAAAGAAGAATAAAAGAGATAAAAAGTGGCAGGAATTTTTTTTTATTTAATGCATGGAACTCCCTTCCCAATTTGGATGCTGGTTCCACAAAAACCTTTTTTTTTTTTTTTAACTTTCCTTTCCGTCTCTCTTTTGTGCATCGATCGATCGAGAAAGGCCCACCCGCTCACTAACGCACACTCTATTTTTTTCGCTTCCTTCCTTCCTTCCACGCACTGCTGCTCGCTGGGAGCGTTTCTGTCCCCACTTAAAACAGAACAGGAAACAGCTTCTTTTACTTTTTTGTTCTTCTTTTGCTTTTATCTTCCATTTCCTCTCCTTTTTATTTTTACCATTCACTCGCTACTCGCTCTATTCCACACACACACACACACACACACCTTCTGCCGTGCTTCAACCAACGATTATCTTCCACACTGTACAACTCGAACAAACGATCCCGTGAATACGACAATGAATTGTCGCAGCAGCAAGAGGTCAAGCGTCCTCGCGAGAAGGAGCAGCAGCAGCAGCAGCAGCAGCAGCAGCAGGAAGAAGAGCCATCATCTGCCATTGTCGCCGCGCTTAGTATATGTCCTGCATGCCGCACCGCTCTTATTCGCCCACTCACCCTCCCTTGTGGCTACACCATCTGCCAAAACTGCGACCCTACCACTACGCTGAATGCAACAACTGCTATCGCAGCAACACCGCAACAGCAGAAACCATGCGTTGCTCCCGACTGTCAGAGAGTACACACAACACATACCCGCACCAATGTCACCATTGATCAGATTCAACATGCCATGCGTTCACTCGATCAACAAAAACAGCAAATCACCAAAGACGTGTTGAGGGTTCACCTCGTGCGCCTGCTCGAATGTCCTATCTGCTGTTCCTGCTTCTACAACCCTGCCACAGCGCCATGTGGCCATACATTTTGTCAGTCGTGTCTTGTCAGATCACTCGACCATATGCCTTCCTGTCCTATATGTCGCCAGTCTATCAGCTGGACACCGCCACCAACACCATTGCTATGCCATTTGGTGCAGGCGTTATTTCCGCAACAGCGTCAAGATGAACTGCTGCAAGACAGTGGCGCTCATGTTGATGACGATAAAAGAGTCCCGATATTGATCGGTTCATTAGCATTCCCACACGTCCGATGTGTGATACATATTTTTGAACCACGCTACAGGCTGATGCTTCGTCGAGTAATGGAATCTCGCCGACGCCGATTCGCCATGTGTCTAGCCGTACGAAGACAACAGCAGCCAGGGGCATCTTCATTAGCAGCAGCAGCAGCAGCAGCACCTCCTACAGCCGCGATATCAATGCCATTCTATGAATATGGAACCATGTTGGAGCTGACACATGTCCAAACATTAGAGGATGGCCGATCGGTAGTACAAGCAGTCGGATCGCATCGGTTTCGTGTGGTGAATCACAGTATGGTGGACGGATACCACGTCGGCGAATTGGAGCGTGTTGACGATATTGATGGAGAACAAGAACAGGCCCTAGAGCGTGAGGCGATTATGCGAGCCTGTGCACAGCGCGCTACCCTAGAGCAGCGACAAAGGCAGCAGCAGCAGCAGCAGACTACAACAAGTAGTGCAGCAACCCGGCTCCACCAAAATCACAATCGCCCAGACAGTAATTTTATTAACAGCAACACAAACAACCTCGATCGATCGTCATCACAATATCACCCACCAAGACCCCGATCGAGCATGCCCGGGGGTGCTATCCTTCCGCAACAGCAGCAACGGTCATGGGCCGCTCGGGCACATCCGCAAACACGGATGGCACGATCGCCTTGGTTGATGCAGATGCATCTTCACGGGCTCTCACCTGCCCAAAAAAAACCATCGCCGCTGGCGAATCCAACCACAACGGCCGCGGCGGCGCCGCAAGCATTATTTCAAACTCCCACCGCTGCTTCTGTTAGACCGCCAACACCATCATCATCATCTGGCCCACAACCGCCATCATCGCCCTTTAACGTAACGATGGGGCCAAGTTCGACGAGACACGAAGAAACAACGACGGACGATCTGATCCAGCAACTTGCGTCGTTTATCAAACTGTTGCGAGACTCCCCAGCAGCACAAGGTCAAGGGAGTGGCAGTGATCGTTTTGCCCAATTACTACGTGCATTTGGTGATCCACCGGCTATCCATGGTCCGCGACAAAACCGAGCCATTTTCATTTGGTGGGCAGCTAATATGATGCCATTAAACCAAGAGGAAAAGGCCAAGCTGTTATCCGTACGCATGCTTCGTGAACGCGTCCTGATGCTCGTCAAATGGGTCGATCGATTTAAAGATCAGTGGTCATTCTGGTTACAGTGTAATAATAATAATAACAACAACAACAGCAACGCTTCATCATCTTCATCAAGTCATCTGCAGCAGCAATACCCACGCGGTGGTGCAGATGGTGCCTGTCAAATCTCTTAGCCATCATCATCATCATCATCATCATCACCATCGCTATTTATTAGACACTATGTATATTGCTATTACTATACTATTCTAACACACATCATACCTTTTCATACATATCGTACACACACACACACAACGCAGCAACACATATTTTTGTCCTACTAAACTATAACTAGTTATTCTGTGTATATTTTTACCTTTCTTCTATGACGTTCCACTTGTGTTACCGATTTTGTATATGCGACGGACACAACTAGATAACCTTGATCTCGATTCAAATTATAATACTTTACTCCTTAATACACTTTTATTTGGAGGTTTAATGGCGTCATAGTAGGTATAGTAAAGGGGGAAACTGTTGCGGAGGGAATGGGAGTGCTTAGATTGACACACACACACACACACACAGAGAGAGAGAGAGAGAGAGAGAGAGAGAGAGAGAGAGAGAGAGAGAGGTTGTGTGCGTGTGTGTGTGACGTTTGCACACGTAATACTAGGAGACAGGATAATATACATGATGCATATTATACGCACATCGTGATAAATGATCTATAGTGATTTGCGCCAGTCCATAGGGGTTGGAGACGAGCTTAAAAGTAGGGTTTCTCGCTGATGCTGTTGTGCCACTCCTGCTGCTGCTGCAGATACGCGTCGCTTATTTGTTTCTTCCGTTGCTGCTTGTAAGCTGCTGCTACTACTGCTACTACTAATACCCGTTACGAGGGATCGCAATAATCGATTCTGCAGTAAATCATATTTATTTAGGTTAGTGTATACAGCACGGGGATCTTTTTTTATTATTCTTTTTCTTTTCCTTTTTATAGTAAAGCCGAAATAGTCACCTCAACTTGTAGATCATGTATTTGTCGTCTAAGTTGATCCGTTTCTGTTTGATGCTGCTCTGCTATTATACTTCTTGCTGCTGCTACTGCTGCTGCTGCTGCTGCTGGCGATCTTGGTGACGACGGCGATGATGATGGTGATGCTGCCGGGTTTAAATCCAATGAATCATATGAAGAAAATCGAATTGGTGGTAATAATGTTTGCTGCTGGTGATGTTGTTGCGGGTCTTGGAATGAAGTAGGCAAAGGAGTAGGCGCCGATGATCGACGAGGTTCAGAACCAACAATACCAGCTGCTGCAGGGATTGGAGGCGAAGGCGGGGTGCTCATCGTTCGTGCTGCTGCTGTTGATGATGATGGTGACCACGATTTTCGTTCTTTTGGAGCGGTCTGTCGTTGCTGTTTCGATCGATCGCAACCGATATCTGCTTTAAGATGTCGATTCAAGGCATCCAAACGCGAAAATGATCGATCGCATGTTGGACATACATACGGCCGCTCGCCTGTGTGTAATTTCTGATGACGTTTCAAATCATGCAAGCGTCGAAACTCCCGCCCACAGGTATGACACTGTTATCATAGTACTATTAGCTAATCAGCACAGCAGCGTTGCTTTTCATTTTCAAGTGCCCTTTTTCCCTCTTTTTCTTCCTTTGCGAAAGTTACACACCTTGTATGGTCTCACGAGAGAATGAGTGGCTGAATGGGATTTTAGATTATGCGATCGGCTAAACGTCTGACCGCATTCGTTGCATCGAAACGGCTTGTGTTGTTGTTGTTGTTGCTGTTGCGTAGCGACTGCCGCAGTCATTGGTGATGTAGTAGCAGAAGATGATTTCGTGGGTAGTGTTTTCGCCTTGTTACTACCACTGCCGTCTTGGTGTTGCTGTTTTACTGGAAATGAACTATAAGATGATCCACCGGCAACATAGGTTGTGCGCTCCTTTTTGGTGTGTGGAGAAGCTAATGATGGCGACTTTGTGAATGTTGAGTATGGGGAAGGCGTTGCTGGAGTAGGATAATGGTAAGATGAAGACAGTTGACAGGTGGTCATATTATTATTAGAAAAGGATGATGCTATTGATGATGACGATGATGGAAGTTTCGGCGGCGACGAGGAAGAGGAGAACGGCGCTCCTTTTATTTTGGTTATTCCATCTTCACAGCCCCATTGTTGTGTACTGCAGTCAACGTGGCGTTGTCGTTGACGAAAATCATGATCATGCACTGGTAACGTTGCATATTCTGTTGATGTTGATGTTGTCGTGCAGCTGTTACTATTAGTGGTATCGTAAGATGATGACATGGTGTTGATGAAACGCAGTGCGGCTGAAGAAGTAATCAAAAGAACTGTTGTTGCTGTCGCTTTTTTTTTCTACGTTATGTAAAGTTGAAATGGATGGAAAAGGTGGCCAACAAAAAAAAGGAACAGTAACCGGAGCTTACGGTTTAAAGCGGGATGAGCCACGTCGTCTTTCTGCGGCGTATGTAATAAAATATGAGGATAGAGCGCACGCACGCACATTGTGGCTGTGTACATGCGGCAGTAGTGGTATTGGGACTAAGGGGCTTGGCAAATAAAATTAAAAATGGATTCCCGGAATAGCAGGGCTTATTGTTATTAGGGATGAAAATGATACATACAATGGTGGCGGTGGTGCTTGTCGATACAAGACACTTGTACGTATGTAATGTCGACTAGACTTGGTAAGCTTTGACCTTGTGTGGGACCCTCCCTCATCATCGCTACCAATAAGTACCATGTGATAGACCACGGCAGCAGCAAGTACTTTCCATTAGCATGGAACCACAGCACCGTTATACTCCGTTTACGTATGCAATATCAGCAACAACATTGGAGCAGCTGATCTGACCAGCGAGCCGCGGGAGAAGGAGGGTTGGGTCTGTATTATACTTTGTAAAGATGGCGGATACACGCGATGTCACAATCACCACCAGCAGCTAAATTACGGGCCAGGTTTAATTGGCCAATTAAGAGCATCAACGCACTGATAATGATAGATGCATATGAAGAAAGGTGATGCGATAACCTATTTGCAGACATTGAAAAGTCATTAAGATCCGGTATGATAGCTGTTTTATCTTCAAAGACTTCTGGACCCTCTTTTCTATAGTTATTACTCATAAAGCAGAATTTAGCAAGTATATATACTCTCTCTCTCTAAAAATCAAAACCGAAGATCTCACTGCTGCAATAACCGACTACAAAAAAAGAAGATGTGTGTTCCTGTGAGAAAGTTCTCAGTCGCACCCGAGGGAGCAAACAAGAAATGGCTCACCGTTGATGACAAGCATGAAAAAAAAACATTCGGGATAGGCGCGGAGGAACAAAAGCGTGGCATTAAAATACTTGTGCCCAAATGTCGGGACTGGCTGAATCAAGTCTAGCTTGTTACGTATCAAAACAGAGGATGTCTGTGATTGGTAGATGAGGGGTGTTGGTGTACTCGGAAAATAGAAGAGTATAGACATGACATGTGTGCGACAGCAGTCAAGCTCTTCCGATGTTTACAATACTACAATGCCATTACCACCCTACCATTCATCATTTATGAAGCGAGTGCAATCGATACCCAACCGCCCCAATATAGTTTTATCCTTTGCAGAAACGAAGAAAGGAAGAAATCCGGAGGGCTAAGCATGTTGTGTGACCGAACCCGTAACAGCCATCAATCCCCCTTGGTAATATGATTAATATAGTAGATTTATATATAAACAATGATGCCACTAAAATGCCACTGCGTTCCGGCCAACGGAATTCAATCTCATCATCACTTAAGTATTTACGATCCCCTGAAATAGATACATCATATGCATCCATATTAGAAGAATAGAAGGAAAAACAAAAGTGTTTAGAGAGAGAGAGAGAGAGGGCACTTGGGGGTGGAGGAGTAGGCGAGAACGCGAGTTATTATTGGAAACAACAAGCTTTTTCTAAGCTCGCACGACGATATGTTTATGTTTTTTATAAAGAAAAAGTACCGGCGTTGTATGCACATGTGATTGTGTTTTGAGTATGATGTATTGCCCATGATAACGGGATGTAGATGTAGTGATGGATTGTAGACACTAGCAGTAGCAACGACAACAACAAGAATGCGTGGCTCAGTAAGTAGACTAGAGACGTGCGCGCGCTATATTACCGCGACGGGGCGGAGAAGTCATGGAAGCAAAAGAAGAAAAAGGTGGGTGTATGGGTTGGAAGCTAAGTAGTCGGCTGGAATAGAAGTACGAACGGCACTCCGAAGTATTTTCTATTTTTCACTCTTTTTGTTTTTTATGGCTGTGATTGTCGATCGCACATACCGAGATGGTCACACGAATACTACAAACCCGAGGCGAGCATTAGCACTGCCTGGCTTTCTGTAGGGTGGGAGAAGGGGCGTAGCATATTGTGGTGTCTATGACTTGTTAGATATCGCACATCCACAGAGGATGACTGTTGTATATAGTTTATATACAGTTACTAGGTAGAATTGTGTACAATAGTAGAAATTCAGACACTTTTAGCAGTGCTACACCAGATTGTTCGTTGCTGCCATGGTTGAATAATTAAAAAAAGAGTCGGCGCCAAACAGGAATTTCGTATCACGCCAAATGTATTGATACTGACCAGGCAAGTAACTGAGGGACTACTGGTAAGATTCCCAACTAAAACACTTGTTTCGATGAAACAGTGGACGTGTTTCAATGGGGGATGTCCATCTCAATGGACCTAGCAGTAATGACCAACAAGGCGTAAGATGTATAATATGGCACTAGCACATAAGAAAGGAAAACCGGATTCTATTTAAGATTTTCGGGGCTGTGTAACATTGCATTTGCGAATTAGCACCTGCTATTTTTATGCCATGAGCACCACTGCTATTTTTACTCACTCCAGACAAGAGAAGGATCTTCATAACACACACTCTCTTTTTCTTTGCTCACATTACCCACCCCTGGCAAAGCTTTTGTGCTCTTCCTTTCTCTTTCACTCTTCTAGCTCTCGCTTACTCGGCCCAAAAAAACAAAAAAACTTTTTTTTATATTCGCCTCCATTCCCTTCCTTTCTGTCCCTTCTCTCTCACTCCCATCTCTCCTCATAAAATTGCCCTTTCTCTCTCCTCAACTCCCCCTTTTGCTCAACAACAACAACAAGCGTCCATTACTCCTCTCTCTTTTCTTTACACATACTTGACCAAATTCCTTTTTTCTCTTTCTTGCTTCTCGTTTTCCAGACACAGCAACAACAGCAACCATCATCATCATCATCATTATCATCATCATCACATATCCATAATACATGACTACCATGGACTCGTCACCGTCAACTACAACTGCATCGTCATCACCAGCACCCACTACAACCACAGCAGACAGCTGCTCCCTAGACAATAGCATCAATGACCAACAACGTGGCATGAAACGCAAGCGCATTTCCTCGTGCATCATTCTCATGCCCGAGCAGAAACAACAGCTACAGCAACGGATTGAACAGCACAAGAACAAGAGCGTCCGATTCATGGACCATCCCACCATTGAATACACTTACTCTGCCGACGAATACGACCGAGGCGGTCTCTTTGATCATGTCACCTTGTACAAGTTTAATCCACCACCACCAGTAGCACCGCCAAAACTTTCGGTCAACATTCCTCCCTTTGTTCTCCGGCGTGACCATGATGACGATCAAGACAGTGCATCGAGCACCGAGCCCAGTCCCGATACACCCAGCGACCACGATGCCACCGCTGCTGTTGTCTGTGGCTCGTTGCAGTCATCACCCACTCCATTTCTTCCTCCACAACGACGGTCCAAACAGGATCGTCCCAAATTGTCTGTCGACACCAGTATCTGCGCTGGTCCGCTCTTCTTTACAAAGTTGTCGACAAACCATCGTTCTGCCTCGTCGTCTTCTTTTTCTTTATCCAATAAGCTGGCAACATTAGTAGACAACAACGGCGACGATGATAGTAACAGTAACAGTAACAGTAACAGTAATAGTAGTAGTAGTAATCATAGTTTCCTTGTACCTATGTCCGCTCTACCTGTTTAGATATACACACAGTGCCATATTATTTTATATAGAAAGAAAACAACAACGCGTTCTTTTTCTTTTTCATATAATCCGCCTCTCTTTTCTCTCGCCCACATCCCCCTATTACAATCGCCCTACTACTATAACTACTACTACTACTACTATTACTATTACTATTACTATTATTATCTTATATATCTTCTCCACATCCCCTCTTTGTCATCTGTCTCTGTTTCTTTTGTCATGTACAGTTTTTTTTGTCTTTTAATTTCATATTAAAAAGAAGAAATCTCTCGTAAAACGGCTACTATTGGGTGTCGTATAGTGTTACTTATAAATACATCAGCGCCATGTAGTATGAGAGATAGGAATTGTGTTCGGAGACAACAACGACATATGGTAAGCATCGCCCATTGGCTTCTTTTTGTATTCCAAGTTAGAAACAGGTACTAATACATGCAAGTAATAGTTATAGGGCTTCATAGTGATAATGATGATGATGATGATGATTTAGATTTACATGTTGTTGGGTCAGATGATCCACGCCAAAAAAGATATTAACTATGACGACATGGGAAAATCTTGTTTTTCTTTGAGATACATCTAGTAAAGAGTAGAGAATACAGATAATGGAGTATGTGTGTTTGCCGCACACAAACAAAAAAAATAAAATAAAACAAAAATCTACTGATGATGACTAAATGAAGATGCGTGGGTTGATGACACTATGCAGGATGCAGAACAAGAAGCAGAAGCACACAATGGGCTATTGACTACTACTGCTGCTGTTATTGTTACTACCACCATGACTGTTACTGCTACCAAGACCCATCACACCTGTAATCCATCCGCCTGCCATTTTGAATACAGTGTTGGATCCTTGCAGTTTCGAAAACCGTACGGCCACCAATTGTCTCTTGGGAATGTCAATGTCGATCGTAAACACCGCAATCCCATCCTTCTTTTTGTTACGTGCAACAACAGTGTCGGTGGTTTGATTCGTCACCGTATCGTTATTGGGTCGCTCATGGTCCATCGAGTGTCGTTGCTTGGCACGACCAAAGAACGATGTCGTCATGGACGATGTCAAGTGCGAGAGTAGCGGTAACGACAATCGACGGAGACGATTTGGATGCTCGGCACCCAATATAAGCTCATCACTGCTCATACGTGTTGTTGTTGCTGTAGAAGTACTGCTGTTTCGACTGTTTCGGCGACTGACTTTGGTGGGTGGTGGACGACCCTGCTGTTGCTGTTGCTGCTGTTGATGCTCGTCATTCTTGTTGTTGCTGTTGCTGTTGCTGACTTTGGACGCATCTCGTAGTGTTAATACACACGTCAAACGAGATCCACTTTTTTGTTGATACGAAATGCCCATGAGCTGACAGGTGAGTTTGAGTAATGTCATGAGATCACGCTCCATGCTAGATATCCGATGATGGTGCGGGTGATTATTAGTGTTGTTGTTGTTGTTGGTTGTTGATGCTTCTGGCGTGGTAGGCGAGTCAACAGTAGATAGAGAAGAGGTGGAGGTACTCTGAGAGGATGACAAGGATGGTGGATGAGAAGCGTGTCGGTCCAAATGATAGTAGTACACTTGGTCTTTGGTCAATCGTTGCATGACCTGCGAGAATTTAAACGATGCTGATTTGTTATTGTTGCTGTTGTTGCCGCCTTGGACGTCCCCATCTTGCAGGTGATGGATGTTTGGTTTCAGTCGTAGTGTAAGTGCCTTGACTGGCGATCGGATCGACAGGCTTTCAGCTGACCGCATGCCAATCTTACGTGCCCGTACACGAATGGATTGAAGCAACTCGGATCTGAGCACTTCGATATTCTCGTGGCGGTAATGGTAATGATGCTGGTGTAGTCGGTGATTCTGATGGTGATGGTGATGGTGGTGGTGGTGATGATGCTGCTGTTGACTTGTAGTAGTAGTGGTGGTGTTGGTAGTGGCAGTGGCAGTGGCAGTGGACGACGACGATGCTGTCGAAGAAACCGTATTGTTGTTGTTATTGTTTGATGAGGAGGATGGCTGTTGCTGTTGCTGTTGCTGTTGAGCTGAATGCAGTTGGGTGGTAAAATAGGTGGATGGATTGATTGGATGATAGATAATTGTATGCTTCACCTGACTGATTGCATTCCTGTCTCGCTCCAAATCCTTCATAAATTGACGGCGAGCGCGTCGTTCACGCTCTGCACGATCTGTTGCATCACCCAATGGCTCAGCGCCACTTTCACTGCTGTTGCCTCCTCCTCCTCCTCCGCCTCCAACAATTTCGTCATAGGCTGTTTTAGGCACATCCGCAAATGGACATTTCAATTCACCAAATTTGGTCAGCCAGGGATCGTCCTTCAAAGCTTGTCGTACAGTCATGCGTTTGCGTCGGTCGGTCTGTAAGCATTTGCGGATGGTTGTTTGCAGCTCCGGACTGAGTGTGCTTGGCATGGGAAAATTGCAGCTGCATACGTCCTTTTTAAGCTCGCCTACAGCTATTTTTTTTATCATACATTATGCCGAGCAACCATGAATACAAGGCTTAATACATATTTGATGATGATATACACATAAATGCAAGCTATCAGTTATAAGAATTCATGGATGAACTTACTGTGTGCATGGGAAAAGGGCTCAAAACCGGCTGTCATCCGGAACAATGCAATGCCGAGACACCAGCAATCAACTTCAGGGCCAAAGTACTTTTGTCCAGTAATGATTTCCGGACTATAGTAGAGCATTGAGCCTATACGACATGCCGATAGCCATGAGTATGTCTTTGTTTAACAAACAACGTTTTGATTTGAAAAGGCTCCTTACCGCATATAGTTTTCAGACGCTGCAATCCAAACCGATTGCCCAGACCAAAATCCGCCAGTTTGACAACGCCATCGGGCGTGACCAGGATATTAGGAGTTTTGAGATCGCGGTGTACGACCCAGCGATTGTGACAAAAGTAGACGGCAGAAACGATCTGGCGGAAAAAGTGGCGCGCTTGATCTTCTGTAAGATGGCCGCCATTCTTGTGCAGGTATTCGTCCAGGTTCATGCCCGGAATATACTCCATGACCAAGAACAACGAGTCACACGTTTCATATGTCTCGTACAGTTTGACAATGTTGTCGTGCTTGAGCATCTCCATCAAGTTGATCTCGCGTACCAGGCGGGACATGACGCGATAATCGTGGGCTTGCTTGTCAATGATCTATCAATATGTCATTTGAAAGGTGGAGGGGGTGTGCAAGTGCCGTTGGGGATAGCAGTAGCAGTAATGAATAAATAGAGGAGAGTGTGATACGATTAGTTTCATTGGCCAAATTAACATTGAAGGTCAATGTAGAAAGGGGGGAGGGGTGGAGAGAGAGAGGAAGCATACAGAACAAACTTGTCATTGTTCTTCTTCTTCTTCTTCTCAAATCATGCAACACCTCCTCTCTCCATAAGCACACCTCCTGTAAGCGCTACGTTGCTTGCTTGCTTGCTTGTTTACCTTGACAGCCACCTGTTTATCCGTCTGCAGATGCTTGGCAAGCACGACTCGACTGAACTTGCCGCTACCAAGGGGACCCATGAACCTGTACGGACCAATGCCATTCAACAGTGTATCCTGGTTCCCATCGGCGGATACGGTCGATGAATTATTGCTTGAGGCTGCCCCGTTCTTGCCAACGTTGGTGGTGGTGGTGGTGGTGGTGTTGTTGCTGTTCTGGCGATCTGTCTTCTGCTGTTTTTGCTGCTGTGAAGAAGGAGGAGGCGTTACTGGCTTTTTACTTGCCGTCGTAGTCGTAGATGGCTCTTTTTTGATAACGACGGAAGATCGTTTATGGAGCCCCCGTTTAAAGGATTGTGTGATGCTTTTGATCGTCATACTTGATGGTTAGGGGCCAACGACCAAAAGGTTCAAAATCAGCGGCGGCAAAAAGAAGGTCCTCTTTTTGTTGAAAGAAAGGGGAGGAAGAAAAGATTTGCAAAGAAAGGAGGGGGTTGTAGAGGGGGTGAATATGCTAAACAGGCCAGGGGTTTCCTTGTTTTCGTTGAGCTGATTAGGTTGGGCTGCTGCGATTGAGAGAGCGTGTCTTATCACGTTCAACGATGAACCTTATATTGGTCCTGTTCCTCTTTTTCCAAATAACAGAGAATATGAGCTGCTGGAACTCCTCTTTGAAGCAATTGAGGCAGTGCTACCTTTGAACGACTACACGAAAAAAAGGGTTGATTGAGGTCTGGTGCGATGGTTGTGCTTGTGGTACACCAAAACGAAGCGGAGGCGGTGGCAAGGAAAGGATGAATATGGATTGACGGTGGACAAAGACGACCGGTCGCTTGTGAGTTCTACTACAAAAGTGCAAAGAGGAAGAAAAAGGAAGAATAAAAGAAGAAGGAAAGAGAGAGAGAGAGAGAGAGAGAAGAGAGAGAGAAAAAGACAAACAAAAGGGGATGGAGATGGACTGTTGAAACGTTTGCAAGAAGAAGCCCACGCAGAATGATGATTTGCAAATCATAAAAAAACAAGGGGGACAAGGCAAGACGGAGATATACACACACACACACACACACGCACCATATCAGCAGCAGCAGCAGCAGCAGATGTAGTAGTGGCAGTGGCAGTGGTGGTAGTAGTAGCAGTATAGCAGTACGTGATGTCCAAGTACGTTAGCCTCAATATAGCATGTTTATGGAAGAGCTGCAGCACCCCCTTTCTCTCGCTTGTGTGCACACCACGACTGTACACAGGTGCATACATACGAACACTCGCATCTGAGTTTCAGCTTTTTCCTGGCTGGATGGTTCGGGACAAACAAACGACACAGGCGAATGTAAACAGTAAACAAGAGACCCTGATCCACACACATTCATATCAGACCATAACCATAGCTGAAATAGTATCACAAGCACAACAGAGATGCTTGAGTGTTCCGGGATGCCCCAAAACAGTGCTCGTAATCGTAATAGCTAGCACCGTTCATTGTGCATTAGACGGATGGAGATCCTCCATCCATCCATCGTGATTAGCTTGTGTGCTCCTGGAATTTATTTACGCATAGAGCAAATGCTGCCGGATGTTGAGCCACGTGTCTTTGGCAGCAGCTAGCTGCTGCTGCTTGGCGGAGGTGGTGGCAATAAGAAGAGGATATGAGTTGTCGATGTATGAGTGATATTGTGTAGATCACACATTCACACAAACTTAATATAGCACCATAAACACATAGGAAGCGTGATCCTCATTCCAATCTGCAGCGGGTTTACATGTACTAAAATATAAAGATGCAATTCGTCTTTTTCATCAAAGTAGCTAAAGAAGACGCGCTCGGATCATCTTTCATTAGTTGATGTTACACTGAACCAAAACACACCACAAATTAAATAAAAATGAGTCTGGGTGATAACAAGCCCACTCTAGCATACACTTCATCTAGCTACCACTTGTTTGTGTTCATTAGAAGGTAAGCGATTCTTTCCCAATCGATGTTATATATGTATGTACGGTGTGCATGTTGTAATGACTACTGTACTGATGTGCGGCGGCGGATCAGCACAACAGGAGTTATCAGTAGGATGGTGGTGAGATGTGCGCGGACATAAGAACAGTGCAAGTACATACAGAGCATTGTTTGGATGCTGTTGCTGCTGTTTTGTTGGTTTATACACACAACCCCCTCCTTCTACGTTTGCTTGTCTGCCTGCCTGCGTTTTCCCTCCTTTCCTTCCTTCTCTCCAGAACAAGAAATCGCCGAGCCGATCACATTACTGCATGCATACTTTGTCGGATGCAAGGATTCATTCTTTTCTTCTTTCTTTTTTTTTTTCTTAGACCCTTAACCTCACTAAACCATTATCATGCTGCTCAATGCCTAGTGCCACCAACAATACCAACAACAAAACTCAATGCAGCATGTTCTACCACTGGACCAATTCTTTGCCCCTTCTCCTGTGATCGTTTAGCCGTCGCGGAACAGCAAACACACAGCAACAAATACACCCTTATGCACAGATACATATGTACCGATATACGCAAGAAACCAAGACAAAGTTGACACGTGTTATTGTGAGTGCTATATATACGAAAATAAACATAAATAGCTAAACGATGCGTGCCAAGCAACATGATTAAGAAATGACAGGTGATGCTAATGACTACTATATATTAATTAGAATAATTTATGTATAAATTATTATGGGGAGGTTGCTGGTTAAGTGTGGTTTGACGTGAAGGAAAGGGTGGGATTGGATGAAAAAAAAAAAGTCACTGACTTCTTTTCTAATAAGTTAGATGGACGGTTGAGTAATTTTTTTTTTTTTACATGGCCAATGCAACGGCAGCAGCAACAGCACCACCTGCAACAGCAACCAAGGTCTTGCCTTGCATGCTGAGCTGCATAGCAGCACTTTCAGCGTCATCGGATTGGGCAGCCTGTGTTGCCGAAGAGGACGAAGTGGCAGTTCCGCTGGACTTGGGTGCGTTAGTCGACGCAGCAGCGGCAACAGCACCAGCGTTGGCTATTACACAGTGCAGTGAGTATAGATAGATGTACATAGCTATCCACATTCAAATAGTCAATCATCCATGTTGCGTGTAACACTTACAGGCCAAATGATAAGGCTTAGCGGTACCGTTGCCCTTGAACTCAAACACACCAGAGTAGGCCCACGAGTCAGCAGCGTCAGTCTGGCCGATACGGATCCAGTACTTGCCGGCAGCAAAGTCGTTCAAAGGATGGATCTAATCTCGCAAGAAGCGCACGTCTGTGAGCTTAATGCTTCTTTTTTGATTTTTTGGGTCATGACTGCTGCAAGGTATATAGACGATTTACCTGGTAAGATTCGGTGGAGCACTTGACAGGCGTGTCAGGGGCGGTCACGTAGGCAACCATACTTTTCGGAAAAAAGAAGGCACATTTGAAAGTCAGCTCATCAATCTTTGTGTTCGCATTAGGACGATTATATGAATTCCCACATGGCGCTACTTACTTGGAGTTGGTAGCGTTGCCGTTCATCATTTGGATATGGCAGTCCTTCTTAGCATCGGAAGATTCGGTAGTCCAGGTGATGTTACCGCGGCCACCAGAAGTCTATAATATAATCCGAATTTCACTGTTAAGACGACTATGTATTTCCTCATATAATTGCAAACTGGTAGAATTTCTCTCTCTCTCTCTCTCTCTGCGCCCCCAATTGATCATCATCACCTCTCCCCTTTTTTTTTTACAAAACATCATCTATATAAAAAGGGAGAGGGTTGAGGAGGAGAACAGATGTTCTAATTACCCAAGTAGTATCGGCCCAGGGACTGACGACCTATAATAGGTGAAGAATAAAGGAATAAAGCCAGGTCAATTATGTGTGCAATTCTATAATTTATTTGAAGCGTGCAATACAGGGCATATATCGCTTTTGTTGCTTGTCGTTTGTTACGTACTTTGATTTCAGCAGCCGAGTAGGTAGCAGAGGCGATAACGGCGAGAGCGGTCAAAAGGAAAGACTTCATGTTTTATACAAAAGAGTTAGATAGAACGAATGGAATGGCGTTTGGTAGGAAAGGAGAGAAAGAGCGACTAGAGAAGGTGTCGTGCGTTGGTGTGTGTGTGTTGAGTTGGTGGTGGTGGTGGTGGTGGTGATCGAGAAAGAGTGGAATTGGGGAAAAGGGAAATGGGGTCAAGGCTTTTATATGGGAGAGGGAGAAGGAAAACTTTATTAATAGGTGGTTTGTGGTTGGCGAGTATATATGAGATGGAGAGAGAGAGAGAGAGAGAGAGAGAGAGAGAAAGTGACACAGGCGGATTGCTTCGGGGTCGGGGAAGAAGAGCAAAAAAGAGCAATATCACGTTCTGTGGACCCCAGTAAAGATCATAGTTGATTGGGAGCAAGAGATGGGTAAAGCGAGACACACACACACACACACACACAGAGAGAGAGAGAGAGAGAGAGAGAGGAAGGAGGGAGGTTTGATCAAAATGCAGATGTCTCTGTTCATTATGTGCACATCCCAAATCTATCCTTTTTGACGTTCTACCTTTTTATTTCCCTATTGCAAATTTTAGTGCGGTACCACTTTTCGATCAATGCAAGCAGTGTAGAATATGCTCTAGTGCCGTTCATAGAGACTCCATAGAACCCTTGAGCCAAGTTGCACACACAGGTCTGTTAACAAGTGTTGCCAGGTGCTTCGTTTAGTGTCGTACGACGTGAGCTTAAATCATAATAGGTTACCCGGTCGCGGAGAAAGAAAAACTAAAGGTGCTACAAGAGATATGATGCTGACCTTTTTTGGCGTAACCGTTCCATCACTTCTCCAACTTCTTTCATGCCCTTTGAAACCACCTCTTCGTCTTACCTCGTTCCGGATAGTAATAATGTATGCAGCTTCTCAATCGGCAAAAATATAAAAATAGCTCTGCGTGCGCTGTGTCCGTTATAAACTCACCAATAACACTTTGTGTGCAATCGTATATTATGAAATGTACAAGTTGAACGATGTAGCTGTCGCTCCCCTTGTTTTGGGAAAAGACAGATCGAATGCAGTAAAAGTCCGTCGCAGGTATGTACCATCCTTCATCGAGACGCGTCCAAGTGTTGGCCACGAAGAATACCCACTTTTTCAGCTAGTAGGTAGTAGTGGTAGCTCTTAGCAGCGTCATCCCCAGAATACTTTCTGTAATATCTTCCATGGCACGTTTGGAAGCAATAACAGCAATTGTACTTCCGTACCGCAAGAGCACAGCAAGCAGCCAACAACAGCCGGCGCGAACGAATGTTCCAAATAGAGTGATGAAGAAACACGTTTTTTTTTTCTGTCTGTGCTTTCTTGCGCGCCCAAAAAATATGTCCATGTGGCCTTTTCTATCTGACTGCAAGGGTAGAAGTTTCAAGCCAACCGTCTTTCGTCATTCGGCGTCTAAATCCCACGCGTCAAACGCACACAACCGGAAAGAGAGGCATCCACCTTGGATGTCGTCTTTATTTTCCTCCATGCAAGCTTTGCTTTTCAATCCCTTCGTCGTCTGTTCATTTTGTATCATACCCTGGCATTTGTATTCTTTAAAAGAAGCTGTCTCTCTTCTGCTTTGATCTACTCGATCAACTTTTCGTGACATGCAATGACAGCGTCCGTCTTTTTCCCGTTGTTTAGTTGGCAGCCTTAAAATCTTCCGTGGTTCTCACACTGCTCGCCATGAATATCGCTCACGCTTCTCGTTACATTGTCTTTATCAATAAGGAACGCGTGTCACACCCTGAATGTGGACTCGGAACTAAAGTTTCTTGCTGTGTACACAGTCCGCCAATTTCTTATTCACGCGTATGCCCTTTTTGATATTCAGTGTGTCACATTAGATTTCGACTTAGCCATAGATAGATTATAATGCTTTATGGATAACTTTTTCATATTAGAAAACCCCGAGCAAACCGTATAACGTATCGGCTCAAGTCAGAAAGGATTTAGTGTATCTGGTTTAGCTTTTTTGCTTTCGTAAAAAGTCGGGCTTGCTATGGCATAGGGTGCCCGTCAGCTGAAAGGGAGATTCTGTGCAAATTAAAAACAGAACGCCGGTTACACATGTAGAGATCAGTCAAGTCAGGATGTTATGTCTTGTTCTCGATGTGCTGGTGGCTTAAAGAAGGTATGATGCCAGAGTCAAGCGAGGCGTCCTGACCATCCTCTTTTGCTTTTACCGCTGCTAAACTGCAAATATGTGTATCAATAAATACATAAAAAATCTTTTTCATAACGTAGTTTCTCTAAATTCGGTAAAGTAATAAGAAATGTTCCACAGGTCATTGTAATTTGATGACATATATTAACTGTACAAATCTTGCAACAGTAATGGTAGCCGCTGTAGATTCTTCCTAATATGATATCAGGATGCATTATACCGTAGTAATAGCAGCCAACACTAGCAATAGCAGCTGTCAATATAAGGCAAGTCTTCTTGTTTTCCATGTCTTATTATCAGCAGAAAAAGTATCGCACTTTTGACAATAAACCATAGCAGAAAAATGGAAATTGCACAGATATTTCAGTGGAGAACAACGCGCGTAATATCTGTGACTATACAGAGAAAAGGCTGTGTAATTGGGCTTCTACTTTTATTGGAAAACTTCAAGGGTCCCTCTGCCTGGAAAGTGACATTATGGATGGGGTAGTAGACAATTAATTGCTTCAGCAAAGTTAAACGGTATACAACGAGGTGTGGAACGCTGGTTCAAAATTTCTTCCAGCCCATTGTATGCCTGTATATCCAGCTCGTTCGACTAATCGTTACTGGGTCAGCTTTGGGTAGCTCTCTTGATAATGGTTTGTAAAACAACTTTAATATCGTCTATTTAAACATCACTGAAATCAAGTTCTTTTCAAACGACCGAAGAAAATGTGCGAGATGGCCCCCAATATTTTTACAGTACCTGCGCATCTAGTGGTTTATTCTAGTCCTTTGCTCTTGTTTGTAATAACAGGCTCTCCTCTACTATCAATCTATATTGGGTCAAGACACTGGTGGTCTCTGCGAGCGGAACTGCTTCACATACAATATACAAAAAACTGCAGAAACTATCTACTTTGCTCATAATATATCATGTTGGCCTGATCGATATTCTAAAAGAAGGATAAGTTTACAATCTCTGCATTCTCAAATCAAATTCGTATGATTGTTTGTGAATGCGACAAGCATGTCAGTAGACAAAGTCTATAAGAGCAACTTAATGCATTAAAAGATCGATCCTTGATGAGAGCTAAAAGTTTGTCAACCTGCGCACGTATTACGAAAGATCCACTGCTGGCATTCTTCATCTGCTACTACATAATAAGCAACGGAGAACCAGTTATGCTCAAATGTTATGACGACAGCGAGACAACGGGTCATGTTCAAATGTTAGAAAATGTTCAACAGGCAGCACGTAGACGCTTGGTTGATATAAGGCGATCTTTTTGTCCTGTTCGGATGGTATGTACTTTGCTAACATACAGAATGATTCATAAATGCGTAAGAAATATTTGACTTCTTTCAAATACAGTGCCCGCTCGCTTTAACGATACACCCTGTGGACCGAAAAACCTATCGTTATATCGAATTATCGTTATATCGAATTGGCTCTCAGAGCAGACGAGCTCGGAATACATTTTATCCATAGTCTACTTAGATATCCTCTGCAAATTCTACACAAAAAAAATATATCCTCTGCTAAAGAAGAAGCAAAATAATTGTGCTGGAACCATAATTCAGCTAGCATTCATCATTAGCTTAGAAATAATTAATGAAAAGAGAGGAAAACATAACTTCTTTATCCCCAAAACGTCCTCTCACTTACCACTGCTGACAGAATCGCAAACTGCCTCCTCTCGCATTATCAGTGAATTGAAGGAGAGTTGGGTACATTGTTTATTTTCTTAACAGATACTAAAGTTATGCTGGCTACTTGTTCCTGATATGTAAAGGTAGGTGAAGATTCTGAAGAAGACAAGCAGAGAAAACGACATGAAGAATAAGAGCAACAACATTCTTTTTTCTCTATAAGAGAGCATAAGCGCCATCTGGTCGAATTCCTAAAAGATATGGTAGTAGCTGATCATGAAAGTGACGCTGGAATTATCTTTCATCTAAGAAAAAAGTTGAGAATGCTGGTTGCTGAAGAGCTTAAACTGCCAAACAAACAGATATTCTATCTTAAATAGAAAATAAAGTGCATTATTTACCGTTCGATAAACCGATATTCTGGAAAATTATATCGTTCATCGTTATATAAAATTACCGATATTTTACCAAGTAATCGGCCTTGCACCTGAGAATCCTATTGTTATATCGAATATCGCTATAGCGAGCGGGCACTGTACGATATATTTATGGAGAAAACGTTGATACACCATTACTAAGATTGTATGTAAGCCTTGTGTTTCTTGTTTCGATATCAGTAAACGTCTTTCCGAGTTTTGCTCGCGTTTTACGTTCAGCTTACTGCACACTTTATCATATCATGTATCGGTTTTGTTCGCAGCAGTTTTATGTTGTGAGATCTGCTGCTCATGTAATTTTTCTAGCTACCGGGAGCCTTTCTCTGTCTCGCGCTTTTCGCATTTGCTATAGGATCATCAAGGGGCATAACACGTTTTCACACTACGTGCGGTTTAGTTTCTCAAGAAAGTTCAAGGGCGATACTCAGCTACTTGAGTGTTGCGATACTAAGATACCCTTTTGCCTCTATTGTTGACTTTGGTGCGAATGCAGTATGTATAAATGTTTCTTTTTTGAAGTTTTGCTCGGGCTCATTCCTTGAGAAATCGAAGAAATAAGAGCCGCATATTCTTTAGGCGAGTTTCTTTGATTTTACAGAACGTCTTGCAGAAAATAAAAAAGAAAGGAGGAAAAAGAGCTTGTAGCAACAACAGCGCATTTCGATATTTTGTAAAGACTTACGGATTGCCTGGTGTTTAATTTGTACGCACAGACTATCTTTCCACAAATGACGTGATGAACAGCAACGTACATATATCGGTTTTGAAGCAGCTATGCTGAAAATGTTGTTGATGGTGATGCTCAGCGTTATCATAGTTACAAGTTCTTGTTTGTTTAGCTAGACATGAACTTGCTAATGATAATACTCTGTGCGTAACCAAAGATAAAACGATTGGCTAAATTATTGGGTAAGTGTGCGAAATTTTCTGGGAGCTGCTGCTGCTGTCAACCCTTTTGCGCATGCTTCGTATACGATCTCTTTCTGGTAATAATCTTGAATAAGCTTTCTTGTTATAACGCCATTCAGAAACGTAGAAATGAAGACCAATCTAAACGAGTAATTTAGTCTTCCCTGTCGTTCGTTTGAAAAGGGCAATGTCCACGACTGCTGTTGCTACTACCGCCACTACTGCTACCACTTCTACTACTGGTGCCGAAGAGGCTTCTTCTCAGATCCACCGTGTCAAAGTACTCAATTTACCCACCCACGAAAACAGTGCTATCAAAAAGCTTCTTCAGTCACATGGCGTGGAACGATTTAAAAAGGCACCTAAATGGCGATACGCATTTATCAACTTTGAGGTACGCACAAAAAGAGCCTTTTGCAAGTATCTCCCTCTCTATATATGTTTTTGCAAAAGAGAGAGAAACAGAAAGAGTTGGCATATTGAGACTTGAGTCTCTAATATAATGAACAACAGAGCGAGGAAGCTGCTAGAGAAGCAATGAAAAAGTTAGAAGGCGTTGAGTTTAAGAAGAAGACTCTGACCTCAGAATATTCGGCTGTCAATAAAGCAGCGTTCCGAGAACGATTCCAGAATAAGCAAAAGGAAAGAACAGAGGAAGCCGAAAATGACACACGCACACCTGCAGAGCGATTGGCAGATCAAGTAACCCCACTTCACAGGTACTTGTATCGAGAATGAGGGATGATATATGAAATTTCGAGATATAGTCAGGATATTGATAACGATAATTATTCACATATAAGGGTTCCATATGAAGAACAATTGGCAAAGAAACACAAAACCAGTATTGCCCATTTGAACAAGTTTAAACGACGAATGACTCAGTTACAAGATCTAAATGATGCTAGCAAAGCCCAAATTGGATGGGCTTTTGAAAAGTAAGAGGTTTAGTGGATCTGGGTTGAGCGGGTGGGTGTTATAGACGGAAGACCTAATATTCGCCGGATATATTATAAGGAATGGATTGCCGTTTGAAGTATTGGATCCTATCGCATCACCCGAAATCAATGGCTATCGTACAAAATGCGAGTTTACTATCGGACGCAATCCAGAAAGCGAGCCTACTGTTGGTTTTTTACTTGGTCTATATCGACATGGCATCACATCCGTACTTGGCCCTGACGATTGTCTCCATGTACCCGATATCTCCAAGCGGATAGCGAGTGCCATGCAGGTAAGGGGTGATTACCTTCCTTTAACGCTCTTTCTGTCATATATAGTACTAAAACTGAATCTCCTATTGGCTCTAGGATTATGTTCGTGCATCTGAGTATCCAGTATATGACAGAGTGGATAAGGTTGGCGTATGGCGATCCATTATGGTGAAGGCACAAAAAACCGGTGATGGTAAATGTTTCTCATACTTGCTGCGAAACAATCAGTAAAACTAACTCTTTCTGTTTTCTGCATTAGTACTTATTCTGGTACAGCTCAAATCAATTGATCTTACTGAAGAGCAGCTAGCAAAGGAAAAGAAAAAGTTGATCGAATATTGGAGCAATTTTGCGAACAAGCCTGGGAACGAAAAGTTCAATGTGACGACATTACTCTTGCAAGTATGGAATGGCGATGCCAACGGTATTACGGAAAAGGGACACACAGAAATATTGATCGGTAATGGTTATGTATATGAAGAACTCTTGGGTTGCCGGTAAGTCTAATACTTGATGCTATCATATATGCGAGTGGGATCTATCAAGCAGAAAACTAAAAATTACAACAGGTTCCGCTTATCAAGCAGTGCGTTCTTTCAAGTGAACACACCTGCCACAGAATTGCTATATACCCAATGCGCCGAATGGTGCAACATTGACAAGAACAAAAAAACAACCTTATTGGACCTGTGTTGTGGTACAGGGGCAATCGGCATCACCATGGCCAAAAGCGTGGATCGCGTAATTGGTATTGAGATGATTGCTGATGCTATTGTTGACGCCAAAGCCAATGCCGAAATGAACAGTAAGTCTCAACTATCTCATATCATCCTGTCTCTCAATCCAATCCATCATTGCTAACGAACATCACTGTACTGTAGAAATTGTCAATGTTCAATACCACGCCAGCAAAGTTGAGGAACGAATTGATGTGGTCACCAACGAAAAGAACGAAGAAGTTGTGGCTGTCCTTGATCCACCAAGGTAAGGTATCAAGCTACTGGCAGTCTTCAAGGTTTGTTGCTATGATTACTTAAAATGTCTGTTCCATAGAAATGGTGTTCATAGCAGCGTAGTCCGTGCTGTTCGTGAGTCGCCCCAGATTCGTAAAGTCATATTTATCAGCTGTGATGCGAACCAGGCTTTGCAAAACTTTATCAGGTAAAACCGACCAGAAATGGAAAATCTAGCTGTTTTCCTCATACGAGCACTAACGCCGGGTTCATAAATAGCTTATGTCGCCCAACGTCCAACCGATTCAAGGGATTGCCTTTCCGACCGTCGCGAGCTGTGTCGATTGACTTGTTCCCGCATACTGAACATTGTGAGCTAATGATTGAATTTGTGCGCATCGATGAAGAGAAGGAGACGCACCACGAAGAAGCAACAAGCGAAAGGGCATAGGATAAAAGGGAAATGCCAAGTCTCCTTGGCGTGACTTGTGACGAGAGCTCAGCATCATCCGCAGTAAACCACAGCATGACAAAGCCGGGCTTTCTTTTCCTTTTCTTTTTCCTGCAACTTTCTCTTTAAACATTTATTTTTCTACTTCTCTTCCCCTTATTCTTCCTCGATACAGCACCTTGTCATGAGGTTCTTTGGCAACGTCGATAGAAAGGGGTACGAAGGTATAACGCTGTGTACTTGTATATATATATTCTGTAATATTGTTTTTAGTGAACCGTCATAGTAAACCAAAGAGAACGATCTTCTGTGTTTTTTTCTGTATGATTGAAAATATGAACCACAACAACAGCGCTCGACACAGAAGATTCTTCTGAAGCGAATGTTCCTCCCCCACCCTATTCAGCTGCTGAAAGGGACGAAGAGGCTTCAGCTCCCTCGTCTACCGATTTAAGAAAGGACTATCAATCCTTCGATGACTACCAGCCGTCACCACCACCACCATCATCATCGCAGTATCCTTACCACCAACAACAACAGCAGAAGCGAGTTCCCGATGCAGCCGTGTCATCATCGTCAAGTCCTACAGGCCCCGAAAGCAAAGTACAGCAGCCAGCTCATTCTGGAATATTCATGGGCGCCGGTGGACCGTCATGGGGAAAGAAACCCGGCGCTTCCAGCGGTGGTCATGGCAACGACAACGACTTGGGCTGGGGAAGACGACAAAGATGTGGTAGAGGTCGAAGAAACGGACGGCCTTGCTACATTCGCTCTTTTTGCCAAAAGCTCAAAGACCCCAGACGTCGAAACATCATCCTGGCGGGCTTTGTTAGTGGTGTTCTCTTTTTCATGTTCCTGACTCGTTTTATCTTCCCTGCCCTCTGGCACTCCGGCGACCATTGTTTCCGCGACGGATCCGCGATCTGGGATGCTCTTCCCGAACAGATCACCTTTGCAGATGCTGTTCGCGTCAATATCAACGGCGGTGTTGCCGGTGGTAAAATCCAACTCAAGCACAGCACGACCCAAGAAGGCATTGTCAGCACACGCGTTAATGTGGCGCCCAACGAGTTGATGAAACAGATGCAGTACAGCTTAGATCGTGTGGGTGGCGAAACCCAACTGTCGATTGACTTGCCTCAGCATGGCGGCTCCCACTTTTTCACATGCGTCTATGTGGACATGCAGATCTACATACCCATCGACGCCATATCTGTGTCTGTGTCTACTACCAATATGGAGATTGTCGCGGATGAGGAGCTTTTGGCAGAATCGCTGCAGCTCCAAACGTCGAATGCACGCATCAAACTTGATGGTGGATGGCGTGGTGAAAAAGTCAAACTTCAAACAAAGAATGCCGCATTGGATATCCGCGGATCATCGTCGTCCCTGCATGCTAAAGATTCTATTGACTTGCAGACATCCAACGGTGCTATCCGCTTGGATGGTGCTGATACAATTACCGGTGCCATCCGTTTGACATCATCTAATGGTCGTATTGCGACCCGAGACACGCATGCGGCAAGTTTGCTTGACGTGTCAACATCGAATGCCCGTGTGACTTTGGAGCGTACAACAGCACCCACCGTGGTTGCTCGCACGAGCAATGGCCGCGTTGCATTGAAACATGTCACTGCTGATGACTCCTTGGTCGTACAAACATCAAACGGATCGATCCGTGCTCAAGTCGAAGGCTCCGAACATGTCCAAGCAACTTTCCAATCCTCCAACGGTAAAATAAGAGTCAATATGGTAACGTACAATAGTCTGAAATCTCTACTTTTATTATGTATAGATCTACTTTTAGCTGTTGATTAGATATCACCTTCTTCTAAACAACTGTTCTCTATATTAGCCTCGACAGTTTATTGGTCCTTTCAAGGTCATCTCATCTTCTGCAAAGGTGGCCGTCTCTGGAAATGACGTTACGCTTGAATCTGACAGACCCTATGAAAAGATTGGCTACAGAACCAGTAAAGAAGCCGAAGGTTTTGTTAACATTCATACATCAAATTCCCGCGCCAAGCTTATATTTTAAAGCACTTGCTGTTGTAATAGCCCCTTTCTTTCTATGCTTTACGTTTGGGAAATGTTTGATTCTACACTTTATGTACACCTTTGTGTCTACCTTTTCCCTCTTCTTCTTTTCTATTGGAACGAATAATATTACTTACCCCTTTTATAGCTTTTCTTCTCTTCATTGCGAATAAGCCGTGTATGTCACCATTGCTTCTAGTATGTATATTGTGCTTTGCTGATTTTATCTCAAAGGCCGAAGCTGAAACATGTAGTACAGGAAAACGACAAAAGAATATTCGACATGTTTATGCCCGCTAGGTGTGAGACAGATAGCGGAGGACATGTCGCTTCTTTTTTGTTGCTGGGTAGGATTCCTCCCTTAACGTATAAAATAGGCTTCTATACTTGTTCCAATGGTTCTTTTTTCCTCTTTCATTGGATAACTCCATTTTACTTTACATGCAAAATTTTAAACCTAAACATCACGGTATAACAAAGAAGCGATTAAAATCCTCTGCATCTTTTATATGCGAATAGCTTGTAGTGTCGTGGTAGTGATTGATATTAAAGTGGACATTTTTCTTCCAATTAGAGGATCCATACTTTAACACACCAACAGCAAGAAAGGGCAGGAGTAACAGCAGGAGCAGCAGCGAGAATTCTCATAATTATTCACAGCAGGCCCAAAACCGGTTAACCGATACAGTCAATGGAGCAGTAGAAGAGGAACACGATGATGAGGAACAGAACGAGGAACAAAGTTCAGCATCATCTCCCAATCTATGGCGCCGATTGATTTTTTTTTAAAAGGTATCTATTTACCACCTCGGGACTCAGTACTCGATCAATGCGTACGCGACGAAGTAAGAATCTGGTTCCCTAAATACCACCCTTATTCCACTTCACGACAATAAACATTACATCTCTATTAAATTGTAGGCCACGTTGAAAATGGTGTAATACAAATCCAGCGTTCTTCTCCGGACGATTCTGACACTGGTGGTGTCATTATACCAAGCGTAAACAGATATCCTGCCAAATTGTAACGCGAGGTAACCACTATCCTGACAAGGTGGGTGCACTTGCTCTTATCACTGCCAAACCGATAAATATTACAAAGTACTACTGTATCCATGTCTCTAAATTCATATGGATATGTCTGTTCCTTCCAACTATGCACGTACGGTAGCCATTAAAACACACAATATGGAGTTCATTGTCAACGATGATATTTTCTCTGAGTTGATACCTAAATGGATACTCTCGAATTAAGCACTGAAAATGCATCCACTCGATTCAACGGCTGCAGCACCCGAACATGGTATGGCAAAGAAAACATGCTCAGCATCACATATAGAGAACTACACTATCATGGTGGTGCGACAGAGTCAGTGCACCAAAGAATGTCTCACTACTTGATTCGGCTCTATGACTTCGACTCTATCCACGTATATACACTTGATGCACCTAATTATAAACATTTCGGCAAGACATTAATGTAACAGCGATTGGTCAGCATAATAGTACCATGATTACTATGCAAAGGCAGCTCGAAAAATACATGTTCAAACGAACCGCGACGATAAAGAAGAAGTATAAGCAGGTTGCGAACGGTACAAATACGGCAGATGCAAATACACTAGGTGGTGGTGTGTATGCTCAGCTATTGGTCGGATCCGAGCATGTCAATGCCTCCTTCGAGTCAGTTAAAAGCTCAGTAGAGGGTTTCATGGTGTGTAGGACTCGAGAGTGCCGTGCATATATCAATTGTTTCCATATTTGATGGAATAGCACCATACTAAGTCTTGGTTACTGTAATAGCCCGTCGAGTACATTTGAAGCGAAACCAGAAATTTCACGAGCCACAGACAGCACAAACGACCAAGAAAATGTCAAGGATGATAATGATCTTATTTTCAAAGTGGACAAGTACGATGAGAAAGCCGGGTTCATAAATAACAAAGATCCAGGCTCTGGGCCTGTTTCCGTGGGTTTCTGTCATTTCAGAAGCCAGTCTTGCTTTTGTTGTAGACAAGGACAGCTGACTACAACATACGTAGCTACTCAGTTGATTACTATGTATGTAGTAATAGTACTGTAAATTGTACTAACGTAGCACACCGTACCATTTAATCTATTTGGTACAGTAGCAATCTTCGGCGAGATGGCTCAAAGATAATAATATTAGCAACTTCTTTCGTGAGGTATAATGCAAAATGGCTGGATGTTCCATTACAAGATAGTACATAATGGTTGTCTTAATATGCAAGAAAGAAAAGAGGTCTTGAAATAGAAGAGCAAAAGAGCCGGGGTTCTTGATTACGGGGTAATGAAAGTTGGCGTCGCAAAGGTGAAAGAAAGTTCAAGAGAAAGTATAGTACATAATTCAGAAAGGGGATGATGTATATAATGGGATGATATCAGTAATGGTTGTGTGTATCGATGAGGATAATAATAATAAAGAAATGTAGTATAGAAGCATCTATACATTCGTGTTTATGATGAATTACTATGTATACGATAGATATAATATGTTCGTGGTTGAAGAAAACGGTAGTGGGAAAGAAGGCAAGTACAAGATGTTTGTAATGGGGGATGGGGCGGAGAAAAAGGAAGAAGGCCAAATGAAGGTCGAGAACAAGTTTGGCTTGTTTACAGGCCATCGTTGTCGCTATGTAATTGGTCTACTTCGTCATCATCATAGTACACTTTAACAGGAGAAGGCGATGCAGGCTGAAGTAAGCTGCTGATCGAGTGCGGGTTGGTTGAGCGACGGTATTGCTGATCATGTCGATGATGATGATGATGATAGGAAGGGGGAGGCAGAGAAGGAGGAGGTGAAACGTCAAATTCGTTTTCGTCGTCATATGGATCGTGGGGGTGATTGCTAATCGAATATGGCCGCTGGTGTGACGATGAAGATGATGACGATGGTGGTGACGATTGTTGTTGTCGTCCTTGAGCACCTTCTGTTTGATGGAAGTATGGTTGTTGTTGACGATGATGACGATAGTGCAAATCCGCGTCAGCATCAGTACCACTAGCAGCAGTGGCAACGGCAGCACCTGTGGCAATAAAATCAGTCATAGTGACGCCTCCAGAAGGACCGTTATCATCGTCATCGTCATCATGGTGATGCTGATGAGGAGGAGAGGGCAAAGGGGTGGTAGTAGCAGTAGCAGCAATAATGGTAGTTGAAGATCTGTTGTATTGCTTTGGAATGGTGGCACCTGGGCGTACGTTGGCGTTTCCCATTTGTTCCAGATTGCCACGTTTCTTCTGTGCAGCAGCCATGACCCCCTTTGCGGCGCGCGGTTCCATTTCCTCAAAATTTTGGCGTACATAGTAGCGCAATTTATCAGCATTGGGCAGATCCTGGATCATCTTGGCGATGGTTGGATGCTTGAAGCCATAATAGTCGGGCCCACTGGCTGAATTGGAATGCTCGCGGTGACGGATCTCGTTACTGCGCCGGACCACGACCGTCCAAGCGCCGGTGGCCGAGTTGGCAATGATGGGTTGGTCCGGCATGTCTGCTGCAACAATATGAAACCGGGGCCCGTCGCCACCGTCCAAGATGGTAGACACAATGCTCGTGTTGCTGTGTGGGTTAATCATGCTTGGATAGGTCCGTTCAACCGTGAATCCGACTGGGAAAATGTAGCGCTCGTTGTGGAATGCATCGCGGTCATGGACGATCTTGCCCAGCTTGACGACGGTCAGGACACCAATTTGCTGGGGTAATTTGACATTTCCATTTTCGTCCCGGTCGACAGGTTGCACGCGACGTGTCTTGGTCACTGCGCGTGACATTTTCGACCGTTTGGGCGGTGCCGATGCTGAGACTGTGCTGCTCATTGTGCTTGGGCTAGCATCGTCGTTGTTGTTGTCTTGGCTACTACTAGCATTGCTGTTGTCACGTCGTCGCCGATGAAGGTCAGGATAAGCTTGTTGTTCTTGCTCTTGAGCCACTGAGGATTGCTGCAGCCGTGACAATGTTTTTGTTATTGTTCTGGTCTTGCTGTAGCCTCGTTTGTGCTGATGGAAATGACGCTGCTGCTGATCGGCAGTCAGTTGTTGAACATGCGGGTGATAGATTTCCCCGTCAACCGAAGCCTTTCTTCTTATTCTTCTTGTCAGCGACATTGGTGAATGTGTTGGTAACAGAATATCATCGTCGTCATTGTCATCGTATTCGTCGGAGGAAGATGTGTCTACTTCCACTGTGCCCATTTGTGCAATGTTATCCAGCAGTACACTGGTCAAGGAGAAGGAAATCAGTATTCAAGAAAAGCCAAGAAGTTCGGTGGTGTATCTAAACGGGAAAAACAGGGAAATTAAACTCACTTGCGTTCCATCATCAACAGGCGGACTTTTCTTTTCGCTTGCGAATATTCTCTTGATATCGACTCGTTCTCCTATACCCAACCAGTGGTCATCCCCGGCAAAAGAAAAAGGATGATTGAGTGACATGGCTTGCCGCGATGATGTGTTTGGGGGGGGGGGAGAGGATGTGCGTGGACGAATGATGCGGAGGACCGAGCAAACAAGGGTGATGATGTTGTTCGTCACGTTATTACAGTACACACAATCATTTACCTCCATCATGGCCTTGAGTTTCCGCTTGAGCTGCTTGTACTTTTCTTCAGTAATGCTGTTCTGGGCAGCAGCAGACAGCGACAAGGACTCTGTCTTCTTTCTTGCCTGGGCAGGGGCAGTGGAGTTGCTGGTGTTGATTGGTGACGTTGGCGGGTGTCGCTGTTGCTGCAACGCAGCTGTTGAGCTGGTTGATGCACAAGAGAAGGCCATTGTTTTTGTCTGACAACAGCGTTTTAGCGTATAAGTACAGTAGTCTGCGGTGGGGGAGAGGAGAAGAAGGAAGTAGTAGTGGTTGTGAGAAAGGGGAAGAGTATGTGTGTGTGTGTGTGTGTGTGTGTGTGTGTGTGTGGGAAAAAAGCAATCAAGAAAGCGAAAAAGAGAAAAAGAAAGAAAGAAGAGAGAGAGAAAGGAGTGGGTGCAAGACAAGAAGACCAGAGCAGAGCAGAGCAGAGGAGAAGGGAGAGAGAGAGTCTGGAAGATGCTTTGATACGCTTCTCGATTGGCCCTTCTCCTCTCTTCTTGAATCCCAAAGTAACGTGCCTCTCCTTCCCTTTCTGTATTTCCGCCGCCACTCTTCTTCTATCTTGCCGACCGACCTTTCTCTTCTTTCCTACCAATCACCCCACCCTCTTGGCCCACTTGCAAGCGCTTTTTAAATGGAGCCAATCACAAAATGTCGCGACACTTCATTACCATGCTACTTGATCAAGACTTGGCCACAATGCTGCCGACATGCTATTGTATTTTGCATGGCCTTCTATCCCTATCTGGTAACTCTTCCGTCCGGTTCCGTTGTTGGCTGGCTGGGCGGAAGGCGTGCGCGGCCAATTGCTGCCTTGCTTCTTTGCTGCTCCCTGAGAATATTCTACCCTTGATGCAGCACAGGGCTCTAACGACATCACTTGAACCCTGCGTCTTTGATTGGCTCCGCTACAAAAAAATCTTCCTTTTTGTTCCACTGCGGATACATCTGGAAGGTGACTCATGCACTGCATGTGCAGTGTACACTCACGACAACATAAGGCCACATGTGGAGACATCAATAGCTTCTACGGTGGTAGTACAAAGACCACACTGAATGAACGAACTTTGACTTTGTGCCCACTACTGGAAACGTAGCAATTTGATCTCTACGATCCACGCAACAGCTGAGACGATATCAGTCATCGTCGTTGTGTCGTCGACAAGATACAGGCATGTGTATCCCATTGTTATCCATCTTTTTCTGCCTAGAAAAGACACCTCCTTACTCGTTCAAAAGCAAAAGGCTCCCAGAGATGGCTCTAAACCCTACAGTCCTGATGCTGCTTATCAACGAGTGGAAAGCTATATTACGTAATAACTTTATATGAGCGTGCGCATTATGTACAAGGGCCCTTCCCGAAAATCCTCTTTTGCATACTTTATACATAACAGCACAGCTGCTCTATTAACCATTTTTCTCGTCAACTTTTCCTTACCGCCTGCGAGGCACGATCAATCTTTATTCGACGACGTTGATCGTTTGCACTAGTCAACACGAAGCACTTTTCGAGGATCGTAAGATGCTACTAGAGCTGCTTTTGGCAGAGCCTAAGCGAATTCGCTCTATCCACCTGTTTGCTGCAGGGTCCCATCTGGCAGCCGCATAGCACTACTGTCCTAGCTAAGCGTCAATATTATCTGATGAGCAATAAGACAGACTTGTTTTCTTAGTCGTCCTCCCCAACCATCATGTACCATCCAAAAGGCTGTTCCAAAAATTAATATTGGGTCTTTAACCTCGTCTTTAGACCTAAAGAACTACACGCAGGGTACTTGCCCTCCTTTGACAAGGCAAGCAGCACAAAAGCGTGACAGCAGTAGGATGTATTATTCTACTACTAGGAAAAGTGGTAAGTACAGGATATGCCAGATGGACCCACCAACGTCAGTACCTGTAAAGCTGCTCATACTTGGCCAATTCACTTGTTGATCTATATCGCAACAACTCATTCGGAATTGTATATAGCATGCATTGTTGGGTTATTGCAACATTCAGCTGCTCCAGTACACAGGTGCACTGACCACCAACGTACCTGAAAAATTAAGCGGAGACATGCACGTGAAACAATGCGCCACAGCAGCGCCCATGACTATATGAAGAGGATGAGAGAGGCGACGAGAGAGAAGCACATTCATAAAGATAGAGAAGTCGTCTAACTACTGTATGAAACATGCTCTCAGCTCAACAAAGATTTACCATATGCAAAAGTCTTTCCTAGCAATACTGACTAGCTCAAAGACAAGTATATCCAATGCTCACTTATTTAGAACTTACTGACAACATGCTGAAAAAAGAGCGCCGTGGTGTGACTTGATTCTCTTTTTTGCCGCATGCGAGGTCCAAGCTTCTTTCTTCACTTCCCCTTCTTGGCCGGACTCTTGTATTCTTTCAGAAACAACTGTGACATGGGGAAAAAAAGAAAGAACAAACCGATGCGCCCTTGGTGCTGGTACTGCGAAAAGGATTTCGAGGATGACAAAGTATTGGTGAATCACCAACGGGTGAGTACACTTATTGCTTGAAGAAAGGGATTGTGGACGCTTTTGACAAATCTGACACATAAATATACAATGGCACAACGCGTATTTCCTTTTTTTTTATCTTTTCTATAATATTTAAAGGCAAAACATTTCCAATGCGAAGTATGCGGCAAACGTCTAAGTATGTTTTCTTTTCGTGAAAAATCAGTGTTAAAAGGGTGCCCCACAATAACGCTATTTTTTATTCAGCTACGGCAGGTGGAATGGCAGTTCATGCGCAGCAAGTTCATAAAGTCACAATCGACCAGTAAATGTCTTTAAGCAAAGCAAAATAACTTGAGAAAAAGCGACGGAGAGAGCTTGCTAGGAGAAGGTCATTTAACATAATCAAATCCACGTATTTCATAGTGTTCCAAACGCTTTACCAGGACGTGAAACACTCGATATTGAAATATTCGGCATGGAGGGAATTCCTCCCGAGGATTTTGCCGCATACGAGTTGAAAAAATCGGGTGGTGGTAATACTAGCAAGAAGGCCAACACGGGCGGAAGCGGTAATGGTCAGTATACTGAGTTGACACCAGAACAATTCCAGCAGCAGCTCGCTTTGCACAAGGCTGTAACGGGCAGCACTCCTCCTACTGCACCTCCTCCTCCTGGTGTCCCAAGGTCTGTTACAGCAAACCCTCCACAACAACAGCTACCCTATTCTTTCTTTCCACCACCACAACCACCGTATCCTTCTTCAACCGTAAGCGCACCTCCACCATTCCCACTTCCCGCGGGATCTCCCGGCGCTGCCGCTCCTTTTGGAGGTCCTCCATATGGCCATTTTCACGGCTATCCTCCTCCACCGCCAGGACTACGCCAGCAAGCGCCATTACCTCCACACCAGCCATACACATTCCGTCCTCCTCCAGGGTAAGTTTTGTTTTTGGTTACCATTCATATACGAAACTGGGTGGTTTTTTTTATCTGAACAACACAAAAAACAAAATAATCACTAGCATATCTAGAGCATCCGCGTATCCTGGACCACCAAATCAATGGCGTGGACCACCACCGCCAATTTTGCCACCTGGTGCCATGCCACCACATGCACCAGGAACACCACAGCAGCAGCAGCAGCAACCTAAACAGATCTCACCTCAAACTACTGAAACAGGCAATGGGCCATCACCACCGGCAATCCAGCAACAACAGCAACCACAGGCAGGTCCTCCTCTAAGTAGCTATAATTCCCCACACACTGGCTACTCTGCTGGTGGATACGACTATAATGCTGCTCAACCAACCACAGCTTACGGTGAAGGCGCGGCTATGCAATCCACAGCCTCTGTGCCTGTTAGAGGTAAAAAGAAAGCGTCCGAGGCTGTCCTCATTTACAGCGATAACGAGATTTCACCCGTAGGTTTTACTTTTTATTTTTTTTTTGGGGAAGAAAGATGTGTGAAATTGCAGACAAACGTGTTTATGCATTATGTTTGGTTTTCTTTCGCTTGTACATGTTTTATGTTTTTCCAGGATGAACGAAGAGCTCAGTTGGAACGACATCGTGTGGTGGAGGTAGCGTGAAGTGCCGGTAAACAATACATATAGTAACAACTTATGCATCTTATCTTTCCTCAATGCAATCACGGGCACTGCCAACAAAAAGCGTAATTTTTAACTGGATCTTTTCAGAGAGTTTCTTCATATCGTGTGCGTGCGGCTGTAAGAGCGAGGGAGGGGGAGAAGGCACATGGGAGTGTCCATATCTTGTGATGGTTCGTGCAGAATATCAGACCAAAATGATTTTTCAGGGTAAGAACGATGTAATATTCTATAAGTTTTGAAAGCTTTTAAATAGTTCTTTTATATGGACATGTCACTATTAACTTTTCGTTTTGCGAAGAGCAATACAGCTGTGGAAAAAGGCCGAGGCACTTCTCTGCGTGAACATGAAATATTTGCTGGCGTGACGACAACTAAGGTCGAGGAACTGCATATATGAAACAGTAATGCTGCGCATCAACTTTGCGACCCTGTATTAAAATGATGCGCGTATTATGCTATCTGCCGAGAGTCCTCTGTTCCTGTTGCAGATCCGTCCTTGTGTAATTTGTTGGATCTTGAACAGTGCGCCTGTCTACGCACACACTTATCCAGCCAACTATAAAATAAATTAATATTGGGGAGGACCAACTCATATTCCCTGTATGTTAGGCGTTCCGATATGTTCAAAAATCTTGAAGTGCTTTTAAATGCTTTTGAATGGGTTCAAAGTGCCACAAATGTATCTAAAGGCGTCCAAAATGGGTTAAAAGCATTTTACACTTTGGGATAAGGAGATCAAAGTATCAAACTGATCAAGTCAAAGACGTTTATTCGCAGCTCCCAGTCGTGATGGCAGAGCGTCTGACTCCAATGGAGAAGATCTGTAGCTCGGATCCTAACTCGCCACGATCAAGAGATATTAATGCTCTCAAAGTGATGTAATCTACAATATCTGTCGACTGTCCTGTTTCTGCTGAGTCCACTTGATCCCCCATCTGGTTTCTCTCTCTCCGTTTCTCCTCCATGGGCCACGAACCGAAACTGGTCAGCAGCCATGCCCTGAAGGGATAAAGGCTAATAAAGTCTAGATTAATATGGAACTGTCAATACTGCAAAAGGTTGGTCTATTAGTAGCGCTAGCAAAAAGGCCCCTCTGCCTTAGTCGCGATTTAGTGAACGGTGTATTCAACGAGAGAGTTCTATCGCTAGACCATGGGACTTACTGTCTGTCCAACATAGAAAAAGGTCCATTATATGCGTCGTCACTATAGTGCCGCGACGACCGAGACCATAGCAAATGCCACAGCAGTGTGCGGCTTATGTACATTTATGCACACTTTTTTTTCCTATTATGATTAGACTGCCGTTGTAGCAAACCTTAAGAAAAACTATAAACGTATGAGTGCATTCAAGGACTCATCTGTGAAACAGCAAAAGGAACGAACAAATACATGCTTGTCTGTGCTTTCGAAACGCGAATAGCTACCGATGATCAGCAGCAAGAACGAAAGGAAAACGAGGTTGTTCTTGGTACCGTGCTGATCATAGGAGGAGAATTTAAGTTTCCGGCGACGGCAATAAGAATGGATGACGCAGCTGCAGGTGGATACGCTCTCGGTCTAAACAGTGAGGAAAAATGCTTTGTAGATCTGTTGACTGTGCATCCTAAATACCCTAGAAAAGGTATTGCCAAGTCTTTGCTGCCGACTGCATTTTGCCACGCTAGACTTGGTTTGGTGTTTGAAACAAATGGAGCAATCCTGGCCTATTATCGGAAAATTGGATATTGGCGTTATAAAGCATACAGATCTCCAATTGCCTCAAGATAGAGATTCGGTCTGTCTCATGGTTAAGAAAGATCTGGACGGCATAGAAAAACACAAATTCTAGTAATTTACTCGTAGATTCTGTAATTTCTTGTGGCAGTAACAAGGAGAATAAGTAAAATATGTACCTGATGCAGAAAGTCGTTCCTACCAATATTTTGTCAATGCTCACCCCTTCCAGTGTTGTTACAGATAATTCCAAACCTTGATTATTTTTTCCCATGAGACACAGAAAGAGATAGTGGAATACAATTCATCAATGCTGTGAGGTTACTAGGGTGGTATCCCATAGAAATATCGTCTATGGTGGCATCAAGTTTGTGATAAATGCGAACGCCCTCCTCCTTGTTCTTGACGCCTTTTCGTGTATCCAAACGTGCAATAATTTAGATTGCTCAGCTTCCTGTGTTGCTGATTTTCAAGTAGAAAATATTATGCAGAAATGTATGTTCTAGAATATGTGTATTTGTTTCAATATGGGTAAAGCGAATCGATGCGATGCTGTACTAGAGCAGATGCTTCTCCTATGCCGCATGGATGTGTACATCCATTTAATTTCCCGACCTATCAAAGGAAATCGAGCGTACGTATACCGTTATCATCTGCATATATAGCCGAATTAAGCGCATGGGAAAACAGAGGGATTGATAGAGTCAGGCTAAGAAATGGCTGAGGGAAGAGTCGCCATTCTTTGTATGACCATACAATCTTCGTTGGTTTTGGGTAAGGATCAAGCAATGGCACTGCAAGAAGTCAAGGGAGAAAGCCACTATAGCATGGCAACAATGCGCAAAACGTTAAGGATGAAACGGCGACAACAGCAGTAGTGTCCCCCTGACCCGTTGGGAAGAAAGGATTCCAGGGCCAGCGCCATGCGTGCATCAATTTGAAACAAAAGAAAGCGATGTGATTCGTCATGAAAGTTCCGACGGACGCACGATAAAAGACGTTGACGTATTTCATTACTGTTCTCGCACGCTTCTCTTTTACTTTCACTTTTTCCATTCCCAAAACACAACCCGAATCATGGTCAAACTCAATATTCTTACTTCCTCTGTCTTGCTGCTTGCTGGCTTTGCAAATGCTTTGCCCACACTCGACGATTGGCTCTCTTCCGATGCCGAATTAGCCCCTCTGTTTCACTCTCCTGAAGCCGAGACCATTAGCGATTCGTACATTGTCGTTTTAAAGGACCACGTTGACATGACTGCTGCTCAGTCGCATTGCCACTGGGTCAGCAGTTTTGCCAAGCGAGACGAGTCCTTGATTGAATATCTTGACGCCGATGCTGCGGCTGGTATCAAGCTGACGTACGACTCACCCGGCTGGCGTGGCTACGCAGGCAAATTCTCCCCGGAAACACTGCATCATATCCGTAGCTCTCCTGAGGTAATGTTATAACTGCTATCATGAAACGTTTAAAGAGAATAACAAAGGAGATTAAAGCTCAACATGGAAATGAATGATTTTGGATATCAGGTGGCCTACGTTGAAAAAGATTCGATCATGTATGCGTCAGAGCTGCAGCGCAACGCACCCTGGGGTCTTTCTCGCATTGCCCACCGAGGCGAGCTGACGCTTCGGACCTTCAACAAGTACTCCTATGATGAAAATGGCGGCGAGGGTGTCAAGGTCTTTGTCATCGATACCGGTATCAACGTTGATCATCACGATTTCCATGGCCGCGCAAGCTGGGGCGCCACTTTTGCCAAGGATGGCGATACCGACGGCAACGGTCACGGATCGCACTGTGCCGGTACAATTTCCGGCCAGCGCTTTGGTGTCGCCAAGAAGGCCAATCCAGTCGCTGTCAAGGTCTTGAGCGCTCAGGGTTCCGGTAGCAACTCGGAAGTTTTGGCCGGTATCAACTGGGCTGTGGAGCAGCATCAGATTGATGCCGCCGCTGCCAAGAAGAATGGCAGCAAGTACAAGGGAGCTGTTGCAAACATGTCGCTCGGTGGCGGCAAGTCCCGTGCCTTGGATCAAGCAGTCAACAATGCTGTTGATGCTGGAGTTATCTTTTCCGTTGCTGCTGTAAGTGTAATCCTAAGCAACAACCACAGCATGACATAGTGGTCGTGTTCTAACGCTCTACCTCTTACCCAGGGCAATGATAACCGTGACGCATGCAAGTACTCGCCTGCTGCTGCTGAGAATGCCATCACTGTTGGTGCCACGAACTTGCGTGACGAACGTGCATACTTCTCAAACTATGGCGAGTGTGTCGATGTCTTTGCGCCTGGTCAGGATATCATGTCTGTCTGGAACACCAGCCCCTACAGCACAATGACCATCTCTGGTAAGAAATTTTAGTCCAAGTTGGATGGCTTGTAGGCGGTTTCACTAACACCTCGATTGAATCTGCAGGTACATCCATGGCTGCACCTCACGTTGCTGGTTTGGCTGCCTACTTCTTGAGCTTAGAAGAAGGCGAGAATGTCACACCGAAAATGATCAAGGATAAGATCATTGAGTTTGGCACTTCTGGCAAGCTTGGTAACATTCCAAGCAAGACGCCCAACTTGATTGTCTTCAACAACTTCAGCACCGCTTAAGAATTGTCGCATTCTTCCGTCGACCATACATCTTTCTTTCTTCCCCCAAATCCCGGCTATTGAAAGGTTACTTTTCTGTATACATTTTGTCCATTTTTTCCCCTGTACTGTTTTTCTTTTCCTTTCTTTTACTCTTTTGTGTTGATTTTAAAGTAAGGTACAATTTCAGAAGAGCCACCGTGTTTGAGACTTTTTCCTTGAGGGGCTTTCTTCTTTTGAACTATATAAACGTGTGAAACTCATCTTTGTCCGTTGCTTTTATTTTTTCGCTACATGTTTCAGTGTTGCGATATACAAACAAGCGAATTAGCGTGTGCGCACTAGATCAATCCGCTGGGATTGACTCCGAATCAATATGATTGTGTAACTCTGTGCAAAACCTGTTTTTTTCAGCAAGCAACATTAATGACCCATGCAGTCAACTCTCCAGTTGTAAAGCTTCATCGAATTGATGTGATGTCAGCCCTCGAATATCTCTCTTTGAAATCGTTGTCGCTGCTACCGATGATAGCTTGACCTTGCTTGGCAACGTAAGCACGTTATGACATATTTATCTCTATGAATTTCGAAATATAACTGATGTTGGCGTGGTGAAACTCGTTGATAAGGCAACTGAGCCGGGAAACTCGAAGATTGGATGGTGTGGCTGGAGCAAGCAGCGACTAAGAGCCGATGTTCAAGGCTACGCTTACTACGAATGCATATATGCCTTCTTGTTATTGTGCACTTTTTGATTTCTATCTTATTCATATGTCTATTATAATACTTGCATTGCTATAGAGAGCCTTGATACAGGGCGTTAGTTATGTAATTAGAGCAACCGAGCATTCAGATCACATGGTTTACGTAACGCCTTTCACTATCACAGTTTCTCACAACAGTCAAGCAACCCTCAAGTATCACAATTAAACGAATATATACCATGGCGGCACATCCGCAAGCAGGGCTTCCAATGTTTACCTTCTACATGCCAACCACGGTCAAACTTCCAGGGGATCTTTACAACTATGATGCTGCATACGGCAACAAGATACATCGTCAAATGATTCTTAGTCGCTGTGGCTTGATCTGTAAAGCCGCCAAGTAGGTACTTGGAGTTCTAGTTGGCATATCCCTAGTAGCACATCGTTATTGCTGACCTGCCGGGATTCATCTAGGTAAGATCCAATCACAGACACCAATAATAATTACAACAAAAAGTTGAGCAACACAGGGCGTGCGTACTGTATTTACTATCGAAGAAAAGTAAGGATTCATGACATTCTCAATGACTCGACTGCTAAAAGAGAAACTACACACTCTGTCTTTTGCAACATGCATCATGCAAGATGTCAGAGTTGTACGAAAGTTGGTTGTTTTAGGAAAAGCGCCAAAATCAGAAAGCAAACGTATCATCATCTTGCATCTAGACACACAGGTCACTCTTGAAAACAGACCAAAGCAAAGCAGTCAAACCATATCCTGTCATGACCTATAGGCTATCATGTATAGGATGGCACGAAAAACAACCGCCTGGACCCTCCAAACTTAGAGAAATGTTAGAGCAAGTATTCGTTGTTGCCTCTCGCTTCCTTTTCGTTGCATGGTTGCTGTTGTTGTTTCTGAAGGTATTACAATACGACAGAGTAACGTCACATGTCTTGGTATTTTGGTGAGTACACACCTGCATTGTGACTGAAACAGTATGTATTATCATTGCAACTAATGCTAGTCGTACGATGATAAACAGGGCAAGTAGAAGAGAATCTCCTCTAACCTGACTACATTAACTTATTCCCGACATAAAAGGCTAATCATCAATCTCTCAAACAAAGCATACCTTATGCGGAAATGAAGGAACGTATATCGCGCTTGAACGGGATCGTCGCTCGCTTCTTCCGTTTTCTCGAGGGGACGATTATATTACGCAAACCGTTTTTTAGAACAGCGCCGAAGGGAAATGGCTGATGTTGTATAATCACTTTTGCATGGCATTGTCGTTGATTTCCCGCCAAGGCTTTCTTTTATATTTCTCCCCAGTTCTTTTTGGTTCTTGGCCTCTTTCTTTCACTTTTATTTTTCTTCCTTTGTTTATCAAAAAGAGTTGTTTTTTCTACAAACATGGTCGGTGATTGCTGCTTGATAATCATCATCTTACTTTTACCTCCTCTCGGTGTCTTCCTTATGCGCGGATGCCATGCTGACTTTTGGATCAACATGTAAGCTATCTGTTTTGCTTACTTTTATGAGTGCATCTATACTGATAGTGCTGTGTGCTGCTTCAATAACAGATGTTTGACGATCCTTGGTTATCTTCCTGGTAAGAGATGTCATGGCTCGGATGGAAAATGAATGCTATGACGATTACAGTAGTGATTAGCAGGCGTAACGAGGTTATTTATTTATTTCTCTGCGTTTTATAGGCCATTTGCACGCGTTTTACGTTATGATCAAGGAAAGAGAAGCAAGACAGTTTGAAGGCAGAGATATACAGCCACCCCAGCAGGGCGGTTACGGCGCAGTACCCCAAAACGCTTAAAACCAACACACTTTGTCGTGCGTACACTATAGACTCTCTGCTATTTTCCTTTTACCCACATCATCAATTTGTATTATGTGTATTCCCTCGAGTTTGATCACTGTATGTATACACAAGCCTGGGATTAGTACAGAATATATAGGCTTTCTTTAGCCCATACAGTTTATGCAATCTTAATCCTTGTATTCCCACAAAGGCGAAAACTTTAACCGACCTGGAAAAAATCATTTTCTTGGATTCTAATATGTAAGGGGGCCATTAAATGAAAGGTTGCCTTTGCAGGTGTGCTCGTGTTTCTATTATACAGTAGGGCGATGATGATATTATAGTAGGATTTCTTTTCTTTTAAATTTATCTATACAAATGTTATGCATTGGTTCTGTCCCTTTCTTCTGTTTAAATGGTGACCAGATGTATGCGTTACGTTGGGGATAGGACGAGAAAAGGAGCTAATAGTCCGAGCTCAACTGCTCCAAGTCTTGATCAGAGAAACCCAGCAAAGTGAGCACATAGACCAAGCTCTTTTGGTTGATACGGGAGGGAGCCTAAGAAAGGTAATTGCTTAGCATTAGAGTTTCTTGGACCTTTCATATCCACGCACAACACGCCCGGCAAGATTCCTGCTTCCTTTTTACCTGTTCCTGTACACGGGGCTTGGCATTGAAAGCAATGCCCAGACCCGCCTTATTCAGCATCCATAGATCATTGGCACCATCACCTACAGCAATCACTTGTTTGGGTGTAACGCCTTCAGCTTGAGCAATCACATCCAACAGTTCAGCTTTACGGATACCATCCACAACAGGACCCACCGTTTCACCCGTAAACGTCTTGCCGTCGGCCGATACCTTGAGCTATGTGTATAATTGATCGTAACAAATCAAAAGCATCAGCCCCGATCCTTCCTCTTTTGGGCCTGCTGTAATTTACCTGGTTAGCAAATGCATAATCCAAACCAAGCTCAGCTTTGACATAACGAGCAAGTGGAATGAAACCGCCGCTGATCACAGCAAGCTTGAATCCGAGTTTCTTCAAAGCGCGGCACAAGAAATGGGCACCCTCAGTAAACGTCAAGCTTTCCTTGACCTTTTCAAGCACATCGACACTGGTGCCATTCAACAAGGCTACACGACGACGAAGCGACTCCTTGAAATCAATTTCTCCATTCATTGCAGCTTCCGTGATGGCCTATAGGAAAAGACGATTCGCATATAGATAGGCACATTCATAAGTACCATTCCTGCTACCTAACTACTGGTGCATTTATTCACACCTCCCTCCCACTTGATATGTACTTACTGCAACTTGATCCACCACACCAGCATGACGAGCAATCTCATCGATAACCTCTTGACGAATCAACGTGGAATCCATATCAAAGACAACTAAACGCTTGTTTTTGCGGAACACATCATCGGGTTGCAAGGCGATATCCGTTCCATGGCTTGCCGACATTTCAAACAGGTCAGTTCGCAACTGATTCATGTCGGCCGAGCTGGGGACACTCAAGCGGAAATCTGCGCATGATAGCGTGTCGCCACCCTTGTTCAGACGGGACAATTTCTCGACAGAGATACGATAACGTAAACAAAACTGGGTCCAGTCGTTCAAAAAGGAAGGCTGCAAACCATTCTGATTCAAGATACTAGCAGCATACTTGATACGGTTTGAATAAGGTGCTTCTTCAAGGGAGGGTGGGATATGGATATCGCCCTTGGGGCCAATGCGGTGTGCTTGTTGGTTGTGACGGACAGGTGGTTCAGTTGCTTGGGTATCAGGCACATCGTAGGTCAATGTAGCGTCCCACTTGGCAGCAGCTTCAGCCAGGTCAGTAAAAATGGCATTACTTTCGGACCGTAAGGTGATTAGAACGCCAAAAGTGACATGGTGGTAGAGACGCGAAAGCATGCAATCGTTAATGTCGCAAGGGTGCTTGGCAAGGCATTCGAGCACAGCACCAACAATGTCAGTGCCGTGTGGGCCTGCCATGGACACCAAGACCTTTTGATTGAGCATGGCCTTCGGTGGTGGTGAAGTCACTGCTGCAGTCGACATATTTATATATTTCGCTCCTCGTGGTTGTGTGTACAGGTTCGCTGCTCTTATTGAGTTGAAGGACCCAAAAAGCTTGTCAACAATAAAAAAAAGTAAATCAGATGGATAGCCAATAGATTTGTTGATTTATATGCACGCCCAGCATCTCTTAGTTGAGTCATAGCTAAAATACAATCGAAAAAATTCTTTCAGCACCACAGCAATCCGACAAAGCACGAGGGTTATTTGGTACGCTTAAAAGCATTCCTGCAAAAGAACTTTACGATCCTCTTCCGTTGATCTATACCTTGTAAGATGATCCGTCTTTTTTCGGCTATCACAAAAACCTTGAAAGGACCAGTTTCCGTATTTGTAATTTTGAGCGATTGTTTTGGCTCACGTGAAACCTCCCCTTTCTACTTTGTTCCTAATATGACCCTGCTCTTCTGACGCTATTTCACTATCAGGCTTTGTGACGAATTTCAGCAAGCCTTTTTCCTTTGGTGTTTTTGCTCAGTACCGTTTAGACGCTTTCACCTTCGTATAAAATATCTTTTAACACAAAAACACTGACCACAGCGGCACAATACCACCATAGACAAGATAATTAGATGACATTCAGGCTTGTCCTACGATTGTTGGTCTTGTTCTCTCGCTATTCTTTTAATAGAACATGCGGCGACACCACAATGAGAACCAGCTGTAGTAGGAGTTACCAATTGCCTATTCTTATTCAATAGAAAGCTAAACGATAGAACTAACCCGACTGAAGTTGTTTAAAATACACATGTTATACCCGGGGTGATACATCATGGTACTGCAACCTCGTTCTCTGTAAAGGTTGAAGGTCTCCCTGTTATCCGCTTTCCTTACCCTTTACCTTGCCACGAATCCAGAACAACTTGGTTCGCTCGTCATAGTGTACATTATTAATATGAGCGACGACCAGGCTAAGTGAAAGTTTATATTGCACTTTTGACTTAATTTCCTGTCAGCAACATACCTTTCTTCTATTAAGCCCACACATACTTGTAGCTATAAAAATGACGATCACTATCGGCCAACTGCAGCGACTGTCGTTCCATTAGCCCAAGATACAGACTCAGTCCGAAAATAGGTAGCTTACATAGCGTCAAGATTAGTGAAGAAGCGCCTGTCATTTATACGATCAAACAAGGCAAAATCGATATACTTGCGAATGATCCTTGGTCCTGTCGTCTGTCATAGCAGCTTTCCAAAGTTAGCAATAAACGGTTGTGCAAATCTTGGAAATATCACCGTATGCTGACGAGCCACGGCACTCCAACTAATATATGTATGGGAGAAAAAGACGAAATATAACAGGAGAAAAAAGAAGGCACTAGTATACATAGTTTTCTTGGTGCTTGTTTCTTATCTACAAATTCGTATATATTCGCACCTATAGATATAACACTGATAAAAGCTCAAATGATGTCTACCAAATGATGTGCGGACTAGTAATTACTGTATACCATTTGTGTGTAGGGTTGTTCTGTCAGAAGAAAGTGCTTGTTTGCTTCATGTACAGTACCGATAACTAATAGCCTAACCAGGGAAGCAACACAGCAGCATGAACGTCACGACTCGATACCGGTAAGGGTGCTTGTTGTCGCTGTTGCTGGCTCACGATTATACATTCCGTTTCTCACATTTTATCAGATCTATAATCATATATTTATGTAAAGTATACACATCATCACCAAGATATTTGATCAGATCATCCTTTCTCTCTGCTTGGTTTTATTTAGTCTCGGGTAGATTGTATGTTTCAGGACTTAATTATTGGTGAGTACATACGCAATACATAGTGTTATCTTACTGCCTCAATCTATTGCTGTCATCACAGAGAATGGAGTACCTAGAAGATGCATTACATACCTTTCTAAAAGTTACAAAACAAATGAAATTGAATTCTAATGATAAAAATTAAACTGTAATAACATTAATGGGGTTTCATAGTGAAAAATTATTAAAAGGCTGTTTTGAAGAAACAAATGGATAGTTAGAATATAGAGATAAATATTAGACCAACGCTCGACAAATGGCTTTACTACAGGCAAGCGAAAGCAGCAGCATATGCTTGAGCTATGGTCGAACTGGCTTGGCTCACACGTACTTGCATCTCAACCCGAAGCTGTAACGTGCCAGTGGAAAGGGCGAACGCTCACCGTTTGCCACGCGTATCTTACCATCTGAATAATTCGTCGAATACAAGAAAGCTACAGTGTATATTTCATCTACCACCGACCACTATGCTTCCGCTGCTCCTGTCCTGCAAGTCGTACTATCCGTAAAACGTCTACTAACCCTCGATTTTATGTAAATAACTGCGACGATTGAAGCTATTGAGAAGTATGATACGGAATGTAACATTCGGAGTCGACGACCACGATTGATCAAGCATTCATCACATACCACGACAACAGCACCGACACATTTGACACCAACTTTTCTGACAATAATGACGACGATGATAATGATGATGATCAGCAGAAAAACGTTCAAGAAGCTTTGAATAATTCCAATTCATTAGCCATCCAGACGACATAGTGAAAGTTCAATACTGAGAGCAAATGATGTTCGACGATGTTAATGAGGCGCATAAGAGATGATATCCCTCAAATAAAAAGCAGAAGAAACAATACTTTTTCCAAGTGATTATAGCCCACTTACTTAATTCATTTCTATTCTCAATACAGTAGTGCCTTATACCAAAAGTATTGCACATATTGCACATTCCGAACAGTCTTGTAAATGGTACATAAACAATGAATAAGATAATATACATCGAGATCGCAAAGGTTCTAGTTTGATATGGAGAATAGATGGTAAACAGTTAAACATTGTGCCTGTCTTAACGTTATACAACAACAATTATTATTGATCAGATCAATTTTTTTCCATAATCTTTTGTGTCTTTTTTCTCTTCATAAATTGATTACTCTCAATATCATTATTATTTATTCACAGTAGCCCCTAAGACTTTTAAGTTATAATCTTTTTGAAATATCTTGAGGAGGAGGACTTAATAACTCTTGATTTGAATATTGGAGTCATGCACTGGATTGGAACCGAAATGTTTATTTTCACCACTTGCACCATTATTATCTCTTTTCTCTTCTTTACCTTGTGATCTGAAAGATTGACATTTGTCCTTTCTTTCTTTTTATACTGTTTTCCGTATTTAGCCAAGACATCTTAAATGACTGATCAACTTTATTATCTACTTTTATACTCTACTTATCCAATTGTTTTTTGCATATTACTGATCACTGGCTCTGAAGTTGTTAATATCACTGCTATGTCTTAAAGCAATGTCCGACGTGTTTGGTGGTTCGAGTTATGCCGCTGCAAAGTCCTAACGAGCGAGTAGGGTCTAAGGAAAAAGAAAATCACGAGCTCTATCACTCGTATGATCATTTAACCAAGCTACTAAACGCTTTATAATAAGGCTGAGATCATAGTAATCAAGACTTGTGAGCATTAAAAGTTCTTCTTTTTCATTAAGAGTAACAATCGCTTTATATACTCTTTTGTTGGTCCACTAAAAATGCAGGAACAGCAGCATAAATGTGTATGTGAAGCATGCTTCGTTGGTGCCACATATAATAGGTGTTACCAAAAAAGGATGTAGTGGGGGATTGTTGAAGGTGACCTAATTGACATGTGAAAAGAAAACACTGAGGATGGCGCTGATCATATGTCAAAAGGTCAGCATGCAATTCATTCACTAATGATCTTGTAGTAGCAAAAGAGCTTCACTAACTTTCAGTTTTTACAGTAGCAGCAACACTTACGAGATTAAGGTTATGTCTAAAGAATGGCCCGTCCGAATTTCCCAGGTTATATTCCGCTCGTTCGTTTTATATGAGCAAGCGGAATGCTCAACCCTCCTGCGCAGCGAGACTGATTAACTTCCATCAAACTGCATAATTGTATTCTACTTTTGTAGTATGGCAACAGTGATACCACGGTTACAGAAGAGCAAAAACAATTTAGCGCTCGGAAAAGATATTGCCGTAAAAGTCGTTAACAGCAAGACATAGCAGTATGATATAGAGGGTCGTTTCATGTGAACTGCATTTTACATACAACTCAAAAAGAAAAATGCTTTGGGATCTTTACAAACTAGCTTGATTTCGTGCAAAGCAAACGCGCAAAGTGGAGAAGGCAAAGTATTATAAATTCAGTAAATCTTCCAGAGTGCTGTGGGAAACTTTTTGCATAAGCGAATCTTCTCCACAATTTTAGTTTGTCCTTGTGTGCACGTTTGACGTATGCTGGATGCACAAGCTTACAAGATTACGCCATGCGAGAATCACATGCATCATGATTTTCCAGGGCCAAGTGGCCTGCTTGAGAATTCAAAGGGATATAAAAAGTCATCCTACTATTCATTAACTCGTGGATCCTCTTTTTCTCTTTTGCTTTTCTCTTTTTAATTCCCCACGCCCGGTTTCTCTCTTATCTCCTCCCCTAAATTCTATTTACGACAACAACGGCATCAGCGAAGATGACTCGAACGTATTCACTCCAGCATACACTACCTCGATTGCCTGTTCCTTCACTAAAGGAATCATGTGCCCTTTATTTGCAGTCGTTGAAGCCACTATTGACACCAGAACAATTAGCACAGTCTGAAAAACATGTATCAGATTTTTTAGCAAGCGAGTTGTCGCGTTCATTGCAGCAGCGACTCATTGATATTGACCTTGCATCGCCAAACAACTGGCTTGAGGATAATTTCTGGTTACGGAAAGGTTAGATTAAAAGGTGACAATTCTGATGTCACATGAACATGCGATATGATGCAATCTGGCAGTATGTAAAGCAACCATTTTACTAACTCACTCCGTGGATCTTATCGCTATATATGCTCATGTTAGCATATCTCGAATGGCGGGATCCACTGATGGTTAACAGTAATTGGTACATGTTGGGTCGAGACGATGCAAAACATCCCGAAGAACTATTGGCCAATAATGGTGTACGACCTTTTGGACAATTTACACATTTTCAGGTGCACCGAGCAGCACACATGATATACAGAGGTGTTGAATACAAGGAATTATTGGAAGCGTAAGTATTTAAGAGAAAAAACGCGTGCGATGGGAATGAATAGCAGGATTGGTTATGTCCGTGAGGCCATTCAGTAAATTTATTGATGGATGACGATACATTGTAGGGAGGCGATTCCAGTGGATATGATCAAGGGACAAGCACAATGCATGTGGCAACATAGTCGTATATTCACCATCACACGTGTTCCTTTCTATCATTGTGACACTTTAATCCAACAAGACATTTCTACATGTCGCCATATTGTTGTCCTTGCTCGCGATCAAGTCTACAGAGTACCAATATACAAACAGCAAGGCCAGAGCTGGCAGCGTTTAACAGCTGAAGAGATCGAACAGTAAGAAAAGAGACATAAGTTATGCGTTTCACGGATTTCGGTTTGCATTAATGTTGACGACTGATACTCAACAACCCCCTCGCTCACGAACCATCGATCCTTAAATTAGACATCTCTTGGCTATTGTCTCGCATTCCCTCCAACTCCAACAACCACAAAGCCCTATCGGCGTGATGACCGCATGGGACAGAGACAACTGGGCCGTTGCACGCAATCACCTTCTGGCCCTTGATCCACAAAATAAAGCAACTGCCGATATCATCGAAACCAGTCTTTTTGCCATCGCACTTGATGACCACAGCTTTGGCGCAGACACTGCTTCTTGGACTCGAACTGCATTCTGCGGCCATCAAGGCTTGGGCAATGGCCATAATCGATGGTACGATAAATCGCTCACATTCGTCTTTGAAAGTAATGGTAAATGCTATTTGACTGGTGAACACTCGCCCTGCGACGCTTTGCTCGTCAGTTATTTGTGGGACCATATGCTCGACGTACATTGCACCGCACCCTTTGACGCCAGCATAATTAAACCAGCCTTCAACAACATTCGAGTGCAACACTTAACATGGCGTACGGATGCGTTCATTGATCAGTGCCTTAGAGATGCTCAAGCATCAGCTGATGCCACAGCAGCATTTTCGGATTCGTGCACTTGTTACTTTGACGATTACGGAACGGACTGGGTAAAGAAGGTCGGCAAAGTTCCGCCAGACGCTTTTTATCAAATGGTGCTACAGCTCGCCTACTATCGTCTACATAAAAAAGTCGTGCCTACATACGAGACGGGATCGACTCGCAAGTATTTGCGTGGACGGACGGATACTATCAGAACATGCAGCGTTGAAAGCAAGGCATTCGTGGAGGGATGGTGCAACGATGCTGTGGATGTAAGTTTATTAATTTTTTATGTCAAAAAAGTGGAGGAGAGACGAGATACTGGAAGAAGGGTCTTACCAACCAAATATGCCAAAATTCTTGCACAGATCAAGGCCAAGTACGAATTACTAGTTAAGGCAACCTCAGCCCATCGTAAATACACACAAATTGCCAGTGAGGGCAAAGCATGCGACCGCCACTTGATGGTTCTACGTCTATTGAACGCAGACCACCAAATACGCTCAACTACGACCGGAAAACTCGAAACTGCCCCTATGCACGCCATGTTCAAGGATCCTATCTTTCAAGAATCCATGACATGGACACTCAGCACATCTGGACTGCAAGCTGGTATTCGATTGATGGGTACTGGTTTTGGTGCTGCTACACCAACAGGTTACGGTGTAAACTATATGGCAGCCCCAATGCTTGTCAAGTTTGGCATCGAGTGTAAACGCGTACCGGAAACTGTTACAGCACAAGAGTTCTCAGATACGCTTCGAAAGGTCTTGCTAGATATGAAGGATGTGTGTGAACAAGTTGGTGGACAGGCCGAGCAGCAACAGGCAAAGATCTAGCATGGTGGATAATAGATTGTATACTTCGAAATTTTTTACATAATTGCATATTCTACCTAATGACGTCTATGAAAAGGTTCTTACTCTTACCCAGAAGTGGTGGCTTTATTCTGAGTACGATTGGGGGTATTTTGTATAATATGTGGGATGATGTATGGCTGTTATTCTGATGGATGGAACCCTTGAGAAATTTGATAAGTCGGATTAAATGTAAACATGAAAAACGTTGCATAGCTAGTACTCAATCTCTGATCTTCAAACAGCTATAGATAAAAACCATGCGAGCTTCTAACAATGGACAAGCTATATTCTATTTCGTCGGGCCGCACAAGTGAGAAATTGCCTTTTGATACCTCTTCAAAGATCACCTATGGTCTAAGTCACTCGACCAGTTCCGAGTTCGCAATGAATCCTCTGCACCAAAAACAACGATGTTCCAGGATTCCTTGACTCTTTAATCCGGCCATACAACTCCATATAAAGATAAGCGAATATCCAAGTGCTTAAGTCCAACAAATTCAGCGCTCACCGCTACCGTATATCCAAGTTCTGTTCGATGATTATCATCTGTACTAGGCGGGACATTCGTTGCATAAGTTTCATGATTACATATAAAGGCGCCATGTACTCCAACCCCGTCAAACCTGGCTTATTTAATGGCATTTTCTGCAGCTGCAACAAGGTCTTAGATTCAAGCTCTCCATATCGTCCTTTTGTAAGGTCTTGATTCGGTCTTTGGTTGAATGTCAATCAATGCTGCACTGACTCCATATCTAATATTGTATGAGGTGGAATTCGTAAATTATTTTCGGTACAGAGTGGCCGACTACTGCACCATACTTATATGAAATGACGCCACCTTTATCATGCACAGCCTACATTACTTTGCGTCAGCCCTCTTGCTAGGATTTTTTTCAAACATTCAAAGTTCAAAAAGTTGTTAGGTGACATGTTGACTAGTTACATGATTTCTTCACTGTCTGTGCGAGCGTATGTTTACAAAGAGGAGTGTTCGTAGGTGGAGGAGAAGGAAATACCATACTCATCGTCATCTTATTGCCATAAATTACCATAAGAGCTTGTTGCTATTCATAAGAAATTCTATTTACTCATTGTCCTTTTTTTTACATGCATTGCACTAAAAATTATCATCTGCGTGGTACTTGCCTCTTGCCATTATTACTGGTGTGAAACCTTTTTTTTGAGCCTATTATTGTTATGATTAATAAAAGAAAGCATTGTCCTCTTTGTTTAAAGAAAAAAACTCGGGTTCCTTCGGTCTTGACCGTTACCCCAAAATGAATGGACTTTCTTTTCGTGATAAAAAGTTACACCATGTATGTACAAGAAGTGTGTGTGGAGGAAAGGATCCATTGAAGTTTCGGAAGAGGATCTTTGCTGGGTCCCAAACCTTATTTTTTTCAAATAAAGGCAGTCTTGACAAGCAAGTAACTGATTTGACACAACCCGCTTTATGCTTTGCTATTGTTCACCTGAGTCGGTAGACACATCCGTGCACGTACGCTTACGCATGCACACAAAACACTAGTCAATAACTATAAACATACACCCATATTTGACCATTCAATACTCTTTTTGCGGGAATAGACCTTTTGCTTTAAAAACCCCACCATTGAATAGCTGCCTTTTTTCTTTCTTATCAATTTACTTTAAGCTACTATCATTCGCATCCTAAGTTCACTTAATCGTTATCAATCAGCACCGTCACCTCAACCACACTCCTTTCATCTTTCCTAAGCCCACTCACTCGTTCATTTTTATTACCGTCTCTTTGACATCCCTTATACAACCGCCACTCTCTATTTTAATATAATTACTGATACTACTATGAAAGCCGATCAACGTGGTACTACCAATGGTGCAGCTGGATCTGCATCTTCCTATATTGATATCAACAAGATGACCATGTTAGGATTCAGCCAAACCCAAATCGAGGACATGGTCCAGCTGGCATTGACTGTGTCCCCCTCGCAACGACGCCGGCGTCCCCGTATCCGCAAACGCGATCCTACTCGTGTCCCTCGTCCCATGAACTGTTTTTTGGCCTATCGTCTCGAGAAGCAGAAGCAAATTGCAGCGATATGCCCGGGTACAAACCACCGTGAAATTTCGAAGGTCGTGGCCAAGTGGTGGAGCGAAGAGCCGGAAGTCGAAAAGCAAAAGTATCGTGATCTTGCTGAGCAGGACAAGCGAATTCATAAAGAAAAGTATGTCATCTTGTTGATCTGTGTTGATCAAGAGAAGTGCGGTGGGTGGAGGGAAAGGCAGTGGTGGTGCTAGAGGAACTTGATAGCATTGGGAAAAAAGGCTTCGTATCTTTGATATTCTTCTTATGCCATTTTGAAACATTAGGTATCCCGGCTATAAGTACGCGCCAAAGAAAAAGCGTCAGCGTCCTGCCACCGATATCAGCAGCAGAACCAACAAGTTTTGTAGAACCGGCAACAGCGAAAAGAAAGAGAATTCCGTCGCCGTTGACTGCAAAACCGTCAAAATGGAACCGTTGCCATCGCCAGTAAATGAAGTTGCCGTGACAGCAACAGGGTTGGCCATGACGACGAGCGACCTACAACAAGGAGCGCAGCAGCAAAACGCCTGCTATTATAACACCTCTCCAGTAAACCAGCTCTCTTATCCTTCTGAGTTCCCATGGTTCAGGCCTACTGGTGAGGTCGTCCTTCCGGCACTCGCGGATCATTCGGCAGCAATGATTCCTACGACATCTTATGAGCACAACAGCAACCTGACCCAAGATATTCTCTATGATCCGAGCCATGAAAGCAGCTTTAGCAACGACAGCTATCACGCCTATACTGCAGCATATCGCATTACCGCCACCGGATCCGCGTTTTGGGCCGCTCCTGTTAATGCTACCTTTACTCCACCCATGCAGCACCAGCAATCGGAAATCTCGTGGGTCAGCAGCAGCTACAACAACAACAACACTCCGCCATCGTCACTTATCACTACACCATCCACTGTCGAACTATCACCCATCTATGAGCCTACGTCTTCTGGATTCGACGTGGAAGCCACTGTTCCTCGTTGGGACGACATTGTCAAATCCGCTTTCTCGCACTACAGCCAGCCCGAACAACAACACGATCATCAACAACAGCTTGTCGAAGAACATCATTTGAAGGATCTGTATCAGCTTGACCATCAGTCATCCTACAATCCGACACCATTCGCAGACCTCAATGAGCCGCTCTATGCAGACACAGCAAGTGGAATATCGCATGATATCTCCTTGTTGGATGCACTTCATACTATAGAAACCATCGCCCCATCTCAAATTCACCTTGATAGCAACGCTTGTACAGATTAAAGCTACTTATTAGCATACACCACTATTAACGACATTTGAAACTTTATGTTTGTACACTAAAAAATAAAAGCACTAGGCTTTATAGGCCCTATTTTTGTTTGAACAGTATATCATCATGCAAAGTGCTGCAAAATCACTGCTGCGCTATGATACCAACATTACCGATGATCATCGATCTTCATTTAATCATCGAAAAGAAATTGCATATAAGCATTGCCAAAACCATAAAGAAAGACTGGATTTGCATAGACATCTCCCTTGAGGACATGGTAGTCAGTCACCTTTATAATATTGATACCCCGAGAACTATCCCTCCAATAAAATCTGAATACAAGAAAGAGCTGCATAACAAACATCAAGCACATCACATCACACAACAACAAGAGCTCTACTACAGCAGCCTCGCAATTACTACAACATTCTTGCACTTTCCATAAAGTCAAGGACACAGCGATCCAATAACTACGCAGCAACAACTCTACAAACTTCTGGCACCTTCCAAATTGCCAAGGAATAGCTAATAATAGCATTATTCCTAGACTTTCCAATTGATTCCACATCCATAACCATTGGATGCGAGTACTTTCCACAACCTTCGAGCATCATCTTTGATGTTCAATTATTATAGATGTATTGAATTATTTTGAAAGATATAAATACCCCCTCATTTTATTTGAATAAAGACATTGAATTTCTACCTCCCACTTTTGACTTAACTTTTCAAGTGTTGTTTTCAATCACTCAAGACCTAAACACGGCTTGTTTTATCTTACATATTGTTTATTGCTCATAAATGAAGCTAAATAAACTCTTCTATTAAGACCAGACGTAACATGCCTGCTCTTATTTCTCATTTACTTGGACAGACGTAACATTCCTGATCCTTATTCCTCATTCATTTTGGACAGACGTAACATCCCTGATCCTCATTTCTACTCACTGAGCTTAATTAAGACATCAGCTCCTTACTGTTTACAACCTTAAACATAACCCATACACATTTTTACCTTACTTTACACTCATATCACTTAACAACCCGTCTGTAATAAACGATATTATTACTGGTGCTCACTACTAAACATACACATAAACCGTTACGCAACTACCTGGAATACCCCAAATTCACCGTAACAATATTTTGTGGGGACCTTATTAAATTTCGGACAAAGTATCTGGCTGACCGATCAAATGCATGCATCAATATTATGGCGTATTCCTTATGCAAGGTCAAATGCATGTATCAAAACAGTAAAGTGGGCGTCAGCTAAAGGGGCCATTTTTTGCAAAAATCAAATCGACTTTAAACCCCGCGTCAGGTGATCAATAAGAGGGGATTCTTCCTCTTGTTGAATGTCTTGAACTTCGATCTCTTGTTGTTCGCGTTCAAGTCTCAATCTTTTTCCTTGTTCGTAGTTGGCTTTACCAACTTCAGCTCTTCTTTTGGTTCCTGCCATTTAAATGAAGGCGGCAGCTATATGTGTCTCCCTGCTTTTTAGAATGCTTGAACCCACATCATGTCCAACATATGCACTCTTGTGGTATATTCATAGCCGATTGAATCGCCGCGCCCGGTTGTCATTTGTTTTGGTTTGAATTTTTTGGTCTTGTCTGCGCTGCCATGCCTCTTTCCCTGGCGTTGCTTTTCAAAACAAATCATCGTGCATCTCAAAAGGATTCTATAAAAAAAAGAGTCCTCTATACCTTTTTACTATTGCACTTACTCTTCATACACGCTACCGCAACAGCCGCGTCAACCACTTCCTGCTCAAAAAACATGCCCATCCGTATTGCAGAACCCAAAGACGCCAACGATTATACAAAGATCCCCTTCCAGTTTGCGCAAGAATGTTCGTAAACATGACATAGACTTACCCCATGTATTTGCATAGTATCACTTGATCGACATATGAATATACTCACTTTCTTATACGCATATAGTAACAGCAACGAATGTCTTTTTGCAACTTCCTGATGGATTCTCACCACTCGAACGCATGGTCTTACAGACCACCGGCAACCTCCAGCGTCTGTTATCTGCCTATTATAACGTTCCGAGCCGTGTCGTTGTCTTGAAAAACGAGCTCATTCCTTGTGAAGACCAAGACGAAGACGGCAATAACGAGGGTAGCCAAGGCAACACCGCAAATGACATTACCATTGCAACGACTTTGTCTCCATTGTCAGCGTCTGCTTCCTCCCTTTCACACAAAGAGCAAGTCGATAACAGCAACAGTAGTAGCAGTGACAGCTGTACTTTGCATCAGGACGTTGGACACATTGAACTTGATATGCTATTCGAGCGAAAGATTCTAATGTACTTTGGTGACAAGTTGGCGTACGAAGCGGACTCATTAGTATCTGTCAAAGACCAAGAAACACTGAGCCTACTGTCCAAGCATGAATATGGCTTGGGTCAAATCTTTAGGTGAGTTTTTTTTCTCACCCTTCACCGTTTTTTTTTGGGTGTGCTGTTTTCATGGTTACACTTGATGATCTTGAGTTTTTCCCGACCCTGGGCTGGCTCACGCGATAAATGTTTTGACGCCACTCTACTCTCCCTAGCCACTTGCGACGCACACCAAGCTTTGCATTACGGGTGGTCGGCCGCCATGGTACCGAATATGGTCAGAGTTTCTGGAGAGACTATTCCCTGAGTGCGCCCGGTGTGGTAGATTGTTATATTCGTGAAACATTTGTCGAAGGTCTCTTTGAGCCGTACGCCGGCAGTAAGGACTCTGCTGGTCGAGGCACTGTCTGGTACAATCCAGAACAACAACACCTTTGAACCATAATAAGACTCCATTCTAAAGGCATCCTAACTCTCATTCTCATAATTATATTTTCCCTTCTCTCCTTATACGCATACTATCTCTCATACTCTTAATCATATCCTCCCTTCTCTCCTTATACGCATAATCGTAAGTAGACATTTCATTTCTAAGACCGGTTAATCGGTCCAGGCATATCGTTACGCGTAATAAATCTTGGCATAAAATGATTGCATGTGGCACACAAAGTCCAAGCAAATATTAGGGAAAAAAAGGCCGCGTTTTTCACTTATTCGCTTAACTCTTTCATTTCCTTAATACAACAAACACGATGCAACCTCCTCCAGCAACCAATGGCCCCGTCATTGCAGGCTATTTTGTCAACTGGTACACCTTAACATGAAAGTAAAAAATCTATACGTCTTTGGAATTCTTTCTTCTTACTCAGACTTCTTACAACCTGCAGGGGAATTTATGCGCGCAATCACAATGTCTGTGATCTCGCTGCCGATGCTCATAAACTTACCCATTTGCTCTATGCTTTTGCAAATTTAGAGCCTTCGGGCGAAATTGTGCTCGGTGTAAGTCCCATGGTTCCCAACGTGTACATGTACTTGAACATAGTGCGAGCAAATTGACATACTGTTTGAAAACACGCAAAGGATGTATGGGCAGACAAGGACAAGCACTTTCCTCCAGAACAAACGATTGACCACCAAGCTGATAGTTGGAATGACCAAGGCAACAATCTAAATGGCAACTTTAAGCAACTGTATCTCTTGAAACAGAAGAACCGGCATTTGAAAGTTACACTGAGTGTGGGTGGATGGACATGGTCGACAAACTTTGGTGCTGTTGCTGCTGATCCACAGAAGCGACAACGGTTTGTTCAATCAGCTATTAAGCACGTAGGTGATCTTGGACTTGATGGAATTGGTACGTTGTTGTCATTCATGCGAAATGTTGGAAAAGGAGAAGCTATACCTACTTATGTTTACAAGCAAGTACGGCGAATCTATACTAATCATCCCTATTCCAACGTATTTTTACTGCATACAGACATTGATTGGGAGTATCCAAAGACACCTGAAGAAGCCTTTAATTTCATCCATTTATTATACGAGATCCGTATTGCACTAGACATGTATCAACAAAGCATTGGCCAAACCAACGAGCCGCGACTGTTACTGACACTTGCCGTCGCATGTGGACCATCCAACTATCGACTGTTACGCTTACGCGAAATGGAACCCTATGTCGACTTGTTTTATCTGATGGCATACGATTTTGCCGGCTCTTGGGACAGCACAAGTGGCCACCAATCAGCCATGTACGGCGGCAAATTAAATGGCCATCAAGCCGTGAGCGATTATATGCGCAATGGCGTACCGCCTCACAAATTGGTGCTCGGCTTACCCGTATACGGTCGTGGATTTTGCAATACTTCACAAACCCCCGGTAGCTCATTCAACGACATCCCCGAAGGAACTTGGGAAAAGGGCATGCTTGATTACAAACACTTGCCGCCACCGGGTGCGACCGAATATGTCGATGAGCAGCGGATGGCTTCTTGGTCCTATGATCCGGCTAAACGAGAGTTGATCAGTTATGATACACCCGCAGTGATAGAAGCAAAATGTGAATATATCAAACAGCAAGGATTGGGCGGTGCCATGTTTTGGGAATTGAGCGCGGACCACAAGGGTGAGCATCCGCGAAGCCTGTTGAACACTGTTTATCGGTCGTTGGGTGGTCAGTTGGATTCAATGCCCAATCATTTACGATTTCCAAAGAGCCAGTACGAGAACATTAGAGCAATGAGTCAATAAAGTGTACAATATCGTTGTTTATTGGTCTTAAGAATATAGTAGTAATCTCGAAATGGACGGGTTGATTATATATTAAGTTTCAAAATGCATCCAGTAGTAGTTGTAGCAGTAGTAAGAAGCGGGGCATGAGAGGTGGAAGGAAGGTGAATAAAATTTATCGAAAACGTAGGTAAAAATTGACAATAAGCGCGCCAACCAAGAGACAGCAGAGTACGGCAGGACCCCACAAATCATCATAGCGGCCAAGCATACGACGATTAATCATCCTAAAGAGTGGAAGCATCCCAAGTTAATCTGGAAGATGTAGTGACAATACATGGACATACTTTTTGTTACTTACCAAGCTCGCTTTTCGAAGCGATACAATGCATAGATCGCTACCACTGCTGAGATACCAATAAAGATACCACCGGCAATACGCGAGACACTGTCACCAAAGTTGAGCAAGCTGAGAGCGACAGTCAACAAAAGAGCACAAAACTGGAGCCAGCTGATAAATGTACGTTCGTTGGCGAAAAACACCTTTGGCTCGATCTTAATTTTTTTGAGTGGTATATTCTTGGTCTTGTCATCCGCATCCTTGACCGTCAAATGCTTTTCGTTGCCAGTACCAAACAGGATCTTTTCCCATAAGGCAAGAGGGCGTTGCTGTAACTCCACTACCTCCACTTTATCCTTGCCCTTGTCCTTCTTCTTTTGTATCACTTCCTTTTTGTCGATATCCACATAAATATCGCCGTCTTGTGTGTTGACTGGATCGCCCAATTCGTCCCCTTCTTTTTCCTTGAGGTTCTCGGCGGTCTCTGGTGGAGGTGGACCATAGTAGAGCGGATTGTCACCTTTTTTAACCACAGTGGCACCAGGTTGCTCGTTAAATATTGAGGATGCAGAAGATAGCCCGTCACTCTCCACAGACATAGCAGATAGATAAGCGGCGCTTTGCTGTGCACCCATCGGTGCTGGCATCAAGTATGGTTGCTGTTGTAAAGATTGACGATGATCAACCAAGGTTTCGGCACCGGCTGAATCACGAAAAGTATATCCCGTTGGTCTTGATTGTAGCTGCTGCTGTTGTTTTGGTTCTTGTTCTTTGGATGGTACTTGGAGTGCATCTTGTTGCTCTGCTGACCGCATTTTGGTCGACCGTCGAATCGAATCTGCAACCATGCCGATACGCCGCTCCTCTGTCGCCATAGCACGCTGATACTGGCCATCGATCAAGGGTTTGTATGAGCCGGACCGACTCAAGCCAAAGTTGGTTTCTCTCGGCTTGCGAATATCCACCTCCATCTCCGACAACCACCAAGGTAGCAACGGGATATGGTTGCGATAGAGATACGAGGCGCCATGAAGATACTTTGAGAATTTGGGCACTTCGTGCACCAAATGTGATTGCAGCAACTTGTCCAACCATTCTGGCGCTTGTTGACCAAGATGGGTTTGGATTTTGGCCTCTAGAACAGCATAGGGAAATCGGAGTACATCCTCTTCGGGCAAGTTGTTGAATGGATACTTTACACCCACGTCGTCTCGGTGCCATTCGTCCGGTTTGCGCCGCTGCTTGCCGTCCAGACTGTCTTCGCGTATAAACGTCAGGTTTGTGTCAATGGAAATACGTACACGCTGGTCGCCAGGAAGTTGGAACGCTGTCCGGTCGTAAAACACACGGCACATGGGGTGCAAATCTTTTTCCTTGAACGACTTTTGAATACCAGTGGCAACAAAATGACTCTGTTTGACAGATTCTTCATCCGCGCCATCAGCTTCTAGCCGTCGTGCAATTTCATCAGGCGTCAGCTCGCCCGATATAAACTTGGACACGTCGCTTGCATCTAATCGAAAGCGATCCTTGATAGAGACACCGTTCAACCATGGTGCATGATGTGTCTTGCGCTCGATAAACACGCTGCCTTTATCACTTGGACCGTACCACCGAAACCGGATTGCCTCTGCGCTTTCATCCCGCTGCAACCGACCGGTATACAACTCGAAATCTTCGTTATCAAAATACACTGACGAGATGGCCGAGTCTGTGCTTTCATATTCTTTTTCCTTGTTGAAGATCAACACTGGCAGATGCAACAGGATAATCGATTGGACTTCAGTGACGTTATCCGGATGAATCCAGTATTTGGACGTTGCTCGCTCAAATGCGTTCTGGTCACCACCGGCTGCTGCATTACCCGTTCTTGGTTTACCCCGTCGACGACAGATATCATGCAATGCGGAAATAAAGACAATCGCCACGTCGAACCGCTGGTTATCCAAAGGCCACTCGCGCAATTTCTCGACGAAATGCGTTTTCAAATCCAGATTTGTCCACTTGTCGTGTTTTTTCACCATCTTTAAGAAGCCAGTATAGTTGATCCGCGTGAACTTGGACAAGTCGTTGATGTCGAACAAGACTTCGGTCAATGCATCGTCCATGATTTGCCAGCTCTGTTCGGACGCCCAACGTTGATTGGACATGAATGATTTGACTGTTCGTTCGCAATAGCAAATCCGTGCTTCTGCTTCACCTAGCTTGGCTGTAACAAAATCGTACACTTTTTTCAACTCGTTGTCCAGCATAGCAGAAAAGTCTTGTTCGTCTGCTTCTGACCATCCGTGGTCCATCTGACGTTGCTTGAGCTCCATTTTGAGCATGTCGTATTGGATATACGAGAGCCGCCATGGTGGAAAAATCTCATTTTGCAAGGTCGTACCAAACTTCATACCGTCGCTGTTTTATTCGATTTTGCAAAACAATGGAGAAGAATGTGGAAAAGACAAACCAGTTGAACCAATTCCAGGTGAGGGAGGTGTGTGTGTGTGTGTGTGGGTTTAGCTTGCCACCATCAACTCGCATCCATTCAAGGGCTTCAGAGCTCAAACAGATTTATGTGAAACAAAATGCGCTACCAGTACCTTTTCATTAAGTACAAGCGTTTGAAGATACCCTTGATGAAGATAGCAATACTGTTGTGACTTGAACATCAAGGTATCAGGAATCAGACAAGTACTTGTCTGACATTAGTAGCTAGTAGTATATTGAAGTTCGTACCCATCTTTTGCAACGCGATGTCCTTCTTCCCCTTTTTGGAATGCTGCATCTTTATAAGTCCATAGTGTCCCTCAAAATACGTACTTTGCGTATATGTTATGCTCTCTTTTTGTTTGTTTGTCGAATTATCAGCTCGACTTTGCATCTGGTAAACTTATCTGGATCATTATGTGTTGTTGTCTCGGATGTTTCTGTTTCTGTGTCATAAAATTGCTTAATTTTCCGTGTCCCTGGTTTTTATGCTGCTTATGGTCAACATTCAGTATGTAAATTACTTGGCTCATCATGACCAGGCGCAATAGTCATATACCTGCTCATACATCGTTTGTGGTACGACTTCTTTTGGTTTACTTTGGTAACCTATTTTTCCTTTCGTTGGCGCATCTGGTAGTTCAGTCTGAATAGCGAGGTACCTCAGGAGAACTCCTTCGAATGCTGATATTATAAAAGATATGTATGTGGTATATAATTTATTTAAATGTGTGTGCGCGTGTTCGTTTTTAACTAAGTGATGCAATCATGAAAATACAGGTAGCAAGAATGTCGAAACAAAAAGAGTCAACTGCCGATATATAGAATAGGGGTACTATAATTTGTTAGAAGTTAGGTCTGCTGTTGGGTCTGATTGTTGATGCCAAGATACGTCGAACTGGATGGGGGCTGCTGCATACGCAGGACAAAGTTGACCTTTTTTTTTAAAAGAGAGATGTTATTATAACCAGAGACTCAGCCAGTAATAGATAAAAAAGATAATAGGCGAGGGCTATCTACTTACTATAAGTGCACCAACAACGAGGATGCAGAGACCAATGGGGCCATAAATGTCATCATAACGTATTCGAGGACGGTTGGTGATTTGCCAAGCACGATATCGGTAACGGCCGAAAGCATACAAAGCCAACACCATGGAAATACCGAAAAAGGTGGCACCTGCTATTTTGCTCACACCGTCGCCAAAGTTGAGCAACATGAGCGCTGCCGTAAGAATCAGCGCCGCAAACTGAAGCCAGTTGATAAACGTCCGTTCGTTGGCGAAAAATATTTTGGGTTCAAGCCGTTCGACTTGGTCTTTGTCCTTGTTCTTCTTTTTCTTTTTCTTTTCGCTTGTGGGATTATCGTTGCTAAATTCATCCTTGATCATAGCCGAGTCGCGCGCTTGGACGATAGTCCTGTTGTCCATATTATAATTGCTGTAGCTAGTAGGATTGTCGGCGACGACACTATTATCCATGATAGACATGGATCGCGGTGTTGCCCGTTGCTGTTGCTCTATCATCAAATGATCTGTCGATGAGCTGTCGACAAAACCATTGCGTTGCGTATCTGAAGAAGTCAAATAGTTGCTGCTGCGGTTGCGTACGCCGTTAGAGCCAATGTTGTTGTACGAACGAGATGCTTGTGAGTTGCGCTCAAAGTCAAGCATCGGTGGCTCGCTACTGTTCCAGATTGGATCGTCAAATGGATTCACTTGGACAACATGGGCACCGTCTTGCTGTTGTTTTGATGATGGGATTGTACCAGTGACCATGCCACCGGCAGCATAGCCGCGTGGCTGCTGCTGTTGCTGAGCAGATTTGCTTGCCTGGCGCTTGATGGTAGCACGCTTCTCCAATTGCTTTTCTAGATAACCCATACGGTAGCGGCCATCAATAAGTGGCTTCAAGCTCTTGGACCTGGAAAGACCAGTAAAGTCGTTACCGCCTGCCGATGGTTGCTTGGCATTGCGAATATCTAACTCCAGCTCGCTGAGCCACCATGGCAACAACGGCAAGCGAGGCTTCCAGAAATGGGCTGCGCCATGCAAATATTTGGAAAAGCGTGGAACTTCATACACTAAGCGAGAATCCAACAGTCGTGATAACCATTCTGGTGGCTCTTGGCCCAGGTGTGTCTGCAGCTTGGTTTCCAATACAGCATAAGGGAAATGGTAGACGTCGTCCTCGGGCAGGTTTCGGAACGGATGGTCAATGCCCATGTCCGGTCGACGCCAGGAGCCTTTGCGGCGATCCATGTCTTCACGGACAAATGTCAAGTCCGTGTCCAAGGAGACACGCAGGCGCTGGTCGCCAGGAATTTGGAATGCTGTGCGGTTATAGAACACACGCATGATTGGGCTCAGACGCTTTTCACGAATCGACTTTTGTACGCCGGTGAAAATAAACTTATTTTGGTCAATAACGGCCGAATCCGTGTTTTTCTGTCGGAGTTCGCTGACGTACTGCTCAGCGGTGTAGCGCTGGGATATGAAATCATCCACTTTGTCGACATCCATCCGGAAGCGGTCTTTGACGGACACGCCATCAAGCCAAGGCGCATGGTGTGTTTTGCGCTCAATAAATATGTCGCGCGATTCCATGGGCCCATACCAGCGGAACCGGATGGCCTCAGCACCTTCATCGCGCTCCAGGCGCCCACTGTACAGATCGTAATCGTCATTGTCGAAATAGACACTGGAAATGGCGCTGTCGCTGGCTTCAACAGGCTTGTTTGGATTGAAAACCAAGACCGGCAGATGGAATAGTAGAATGGCTTTCAATTCAGTGACATTGTCTGGATGCACCCAGTATTTGGCTGTGGCTCGCTCGAATGCATTTTGGTCAGCACCTGCAGCCGCATTACCAGTACGGGTTTCGCCATACAGTCTGCAAATATCGTGCAAAGTTGATATTTTGACCAAAGTCGTATCGAACCGCTGTCGGTCCAATGGCTGCTGTTTGGATCTGGAGATCTCAACCAGTAGCTGTTGTCGGTTGGTATTTGTTGATTCGTCATGGCTCTTAATCAGCTTTGTCAGTGCCAAAAAGTTGTAGCGAGTGTATTTGGAAAGGTCGTTCAGGTCGATTAGAATGTCGGTCAAGGCTTCGCCCATGGCGTCGTACATTTGTTTAGTTCCAGCAGATGTTTGGCGTTGCTGGATCAGCGTGCGCTCACAGTACGCTACTCTGGAATCGATTTCTCGCTGTTTGCGTGTGATGAACTGGTCTACTTTTTCGGCTTCCAGACGGATTGTGCGTTCAAAGTCAGCCTCGTCGTTGCGGGTCCACCCTTGGTCCTGACGTCGTTGCATGTCTCGCTGGATCGCCTCGTATGAGACATATTGGAAGCGCCATGGTTCGTATATATTCTGTTCGAGCTCTTCACTAAACGTCGTCGTCGTCGTTGCCGTCGTCAGCATTCAAACAAAAGAAATGAGAGAAAATACTAAGGTAGAGGGAAGGTTGGGTAAGAATAAAGGAAGTGGAAAATAGACGAAAGAGAAAGGAATAAAAGGGGCACCCGCACGCTACAGTAATAGCAGCACTGTCTGGAAAGGACAAGAAAGGGGAAAGCGCAAGTATTTTTCCAAATAACATCATTACGGCTGCTGCTAAGCGCTGGTTGTTTAGTGCAACCACCCCCTTTTCTTCGTTCGCATATGTATCATGAGCACGTATAAAAAGCGATCTTGTGTCGTAATGGCTGCAGAAGAAGGATAAACAGTATGCGATATCCTGACAGCAGGTGATCTCAGGTGGGCCACTCACATTCAGCCCCCTGGCTGGTGCTCCCTCTTGTTTGGTCGGTCGCCGTCTCATCATCTGCTATAGCCGTTCCCCCTCTTTTCCCCCTAATGCGTTCCCTTTCTTTCTTCCTTGTTCTTTCTCCCAATCTGCGTTCTGATCTATCATATTTAATTCTAACTATTAGTAGCACTTCCCGCCTCTTTTTCTTTTATTTCACTTTGCTCTAAACACTCACAATGACGAATAGTGACGGCTTGTCAAGTGAGGTATCTTTTCTACGGCCGTTTACAAGATAGCGGCCGTTGCTCAGCAGCAAGAAAAGTCTTTCACAATCATTTGCTATATACGCTTCATCAGCCATACGTCCATTACGTACATAAATACACGGAGAACTCAACTAAACTAATTCGGCACACGCCAATTAAGGCTTGCTGCTGCTGTTTTGCATAAAGTACAGCAACATTGCATCGTGCTTAGTAGTGACAAATTGGCGTAAATGATGTGTTTATTTTCTGTGTTTCTATCCCGAGCAATATAATTCGTGTGGCATGTCGTTTTGATATGCCCTTTGATTCACGAAGAAAACGGGGATCACCAAAATTTGCGGCCAGTGACGGGCTGCGTCTTTGTGTCCAAGTGGATAAAAACGGCAAAGTCTCTCAAACTTTATTAATGAAGATATGGCTTTAGGAATCGCTCCTTCTGGGCAAATCGTTAACTGCTCCTTGGAGAATGTGAACAAGCAGTACCGTAATGACATGCCCAGTTTTGGCTTCAAGAGACATGTTTCACATTGTATATTATTGTTTAAATTGGGAGAATACCAAATTCGAAATCCTTTTGATCCATGAAAATATACCATCAAGCTATAAAGCCTTATGACTGTTTATGTGTGCGTACGACTGCAACACAACGAATAGATGATGATGGGCCCTGTATGTTTTCTTTTCGTTTTGTTTACTAAAGACTGCTCTTGACCACACAGTGTTGCTGCCTTGTTGTATGCGATCTTTTCAGACCAACACGGACGCGTGCAGATATCCAGCAATGCAGATCTGTTGTTTATTGTGATTACAGAATGCACGCCTTGTTTCAAATAGCACGATTGGGCTGCGTTAAAGAAAGTGAGAGTGGGATACCCAGGACACGCAAGAATCTTTTTTTGTTGTTTATGTTGTGTAAAGTGTGTAACAAATTTGCGCGCATTACCCAAAAATAGTCTCGACTGTGTGTCAGAGATCCGATTGACGTGGCCGGCCACATATCAGCAAACCTGCACCTCCAAGGACCTCAATAATAGTAATATTGACACATCAAAGATATGTGTGACGTTGATGATGTTATGAGGCGATGACGGTCATCATTGTTTTGCTTTGAAGCATCTTTACCTACTACTGTCGTGAGTATCATGATGCTTCTTCCAGTCATTTTCAGACACTTCTGTACATACGCCGTCCGTGTTACTAAATACGGTAACCATATATTTCAAATGCCCGCAGCGATTGGCACTAGATTTAACACAGGCCAAACGTGGGATTTTGACTATTATGTTCTATTAGCGTCATATTACATGCATTTTATATGAAATCCTTGTAGCCGAGTACTTAAAGACGTAGTAAACTACAATGTTCAAAGGTCTGTGAAGGTCTTGTATATCGCAGATCTACCAGTGACTTTTTTCTAATACCATACCAAGGTAACCATCTAGTATCAGAAGTACTACCACAAAACCCTGTATCTTATAATAACTATGAATGTAACAATAAGCTAACAAAAACAACAGCAATTTGGTCTATATACTAAAACATGCGTAGATTACCGCTTCACCAACCAGTAATGGTTACCGGTACAATTCCATTACCTAACGAATCTACCACTGTATCTAAAATGAAACCGAAGCGTCAGGCACCAGTGCGACATCACGTTATGAATCTGCCCCTCGCTTAATCGTCATTTGACGGGTTGGTACCTTGACGGAGAAAGGACCAACTTTGCACTGCATGAAATGCTGTCACTCCCAAAGTTACAGGTTAATCAGCCGTCAGCTCGTTTTTACAAAATGTAGTTTTATTTCGTCGAATGGCAAAACGTCTCTCACTGTTACAGTTGTCAAAGAGTTGAAAAAAATGTATACGAAGATCTTCAACTGGATCAAAAGTGGTGGGCAAGTACTTGTAATACAAGTTTTCAATCTGAACAAGTGGCAAAAGTGGCGGTGGGAGATTTGATAGATTGTTACTTTGAAGTACTCGCTTCATCAGTAAATTTAACAAAATACTATCTTATGAGGGGTATAGTCTGTAAGTAACATGGTAACAAAGACTCTCATTTTGCTCATTCAATCATCTTGAACACCAAAGAGGATGTTTGGTCAATTTATACTACAGAACCCTATCTAATAAAATACATTTGAGCCTAAATATCGAGCTTCGTCGTTTGCCAGATTCCCTCAGTGATTACTTATTGTCTTAAAAGAAAAGGTAAAGCATCATATTGCATGTGCGGCTCTTAGTATATGATAGCCATGTGTCGGTTAGTAATTGGAGAGCTGTTTGATGATATAGGAAACATTGGATCAGCTTTCGCCCCTCTATCTTTCCTATCTTTCGAGGCGCCACACACCGATGCTCTACTTGCACAATCACATCACAGATAATGTGCAATGTGACAAAAGGTGGAGCTTGCCGTCAAATTGGAACAGAAACCACATTTCACAAGGGGAACCATAAGCTTATCAAAAGGTATCAACCCCACATTGAATATTGAAGATGGGCCTGCTGACTCTGTTGCAGGTATCAAAAATGTTGTTCCGTACGAGTTCTCTGGTTCCATTAAAGACATTACCAAAAAAAATTCGTCCCACTTCCTGCTTTAGTGTAGCAAGCAAAGGCTACAATGAAGGCTACACTTGCAACTATGAAGGTGATTTTTCCATCAATCGTCGACTCAGCTCCTTCACCAAATCCGCCATGGAAGGCCCTCCATTAAGAATTTAGGCAACTTCGAACCCGATAAGCGTTAGAACTAGCAGCAGTAGAGTTACATATCATGCAAAGTAACTGTATAATCACGACCCATTTAAAAAGAGCAACTACGGTTATTTATAGTGAGAAACAGTGGAATATTAACGTGTTGCATGATGACATGACTGGTCGTTGCTTATGCTTCATGTTGATTATGTTTAGGATATACTGTGTGCAAAATGATGTTTCATCAAAATTAAAATATTTATCTTATCGTTGCCGAGAAGAAGAAGTATAATAGTTTAAATTATTTGTTTTAACTGTAAGAACCAATGAACGTGTTGAAATAAAGAAACTCAATTGGTCTTCTTTATATTCTGATACTGCATTGTATGATAACTTATAGCATATGCTTGTGATATGGACGAGAGAGTGGCCGACTGAAATCAATTAGGTATCACTTTTCTACTAGTACTGCTTGCTTTTCTTCTCTTGTTGCCATTAAGTATGTGAAAAGTATCACGAGCCCACCACTTTCTCTAAGCTGCCATGCTTGCGTCGTCGCGCTGAACATGGTTGTTTGAACTTTAAGATCAGCAACTCTCGGTGAACTGTCCATTCATTCTTCGTTCATATCAAGCATATCAAAAGACAGCAGATTACGTACGCGTCGTGTTCAACCGAGAGGAAATTGGTTTGAGCTTCTGTTATCACGCTAATCCTTTTTGCTGTCAACAACATAGTAACTTGACAACTGACTGTTTACCTTGATGAGGTTCCCTTCTCATATCAAATAATAAAGTGTTACTCTATATTATTACGCTGCTGTTACAAAGCTTTACAAAGCGTCAATTCCGCTAAGCACAACTATGTGCTATCAGATTTGAGGCAGATAGCACTTTCATCAGGTTATTTTACCTGCTTTCGCAAATTCACTGTGCTATGTATTAATCTCAAAACAAACGACAGCAGACAACAAGTATTATCCATTTTTGGAACGCTTCTTAGCTCTCGTGTGACACTCCACAAGCCTCCCAAAATCCAAAAAATTCGCTTGGACGAGTTGAAAAAAAGTACTGCTTCATCCCAATTGTCCCAAGACATTCCACACCAAGGCATAACTTCTTTTATAGTCCCACTCGTACACTTTGTAAGTCGTCCTTATTCAAAAGATGGGAATCAATTCTGGTTTCAACCTAAGAATTATGGGTGTTTTTATATCTTTCTCGAGGGCTTTATAACTACCCCCGACGGGCACTGTATTATATTACAACAAGCGAAACTAGAGTCGCTTATACAACCAAACGCTCACCCTCTCTTTCTTTCTTTCTCTCGCGCCCCCCTCTTACCCCAACAAACCCCCTTTTCTCCTCTCGGGTTGCTCTCTATTATCGTACCTTTATAGATTACGTCCCGGACAATTAGCGACGCCTCCACTAATTATGAGCAATTGGCAGCCAACCGAACAAGGTCTTTCGGATCTTTTGCAGCTTTTGCGCGAAGCTCTAAATCCAACTGATAACAACAATGTACAACAGGTAAATAAAACGAAAGGCGTGGTTTTTTTAAGGAGAGCGTATGAGAGAAAGATCGACTTTGGGTGAACTTCTTTGTGTTGAATGTTTTACACACAGAAGGTTGAGGAAAGAACTAACGAGACCACTTGTATATCACTATTTATCACTTTCTTTGTACGAAAAATAGAAACTGGAGTACTTTAACAAGATCCCGGATTACAACTCGTACTTGGCGTACATTCTGACACAAATGCCACAAGAGGATCAATACGTTCGCTCGGTTGCAGGATTGACCTTGAAAAACAACATCCGCGCACACTTCCCTACCATTAGTCCTGGTGTGATTGACTACGTTAAAAAGTGCTGCTTGCAATATATCGGCGATGAGTTGGTTGGCAAGGCCGTGGGTATTGTCATTGCAGCCATTGTCGAGCGTGGACAGGTGCACAACTGGCTTCAGGCACTGGAAGTCTTGATGCAGAAGTTGGATGATCCCAACGCCGTTGTAGTTGAGGTAAAAAGAGAGGATGGGATAGCACCATAATACGAATAATTAGTTATTGGCTGGGTGTTAGTGATGGCATAATGTGAAAAGAAGAACCTTCTCGCATCAACGACTATCACTTTGTTGTATAGAACGCGTTCACGACGATTCAAAAGATCTGTGAGGATTGTTCGCGCGACTTGGACGCGAACGCAGGTGGTGTCCAACCTTTGGAATTTATGATTCCCAAGTTCATCACATTCTTCAATCACCCTAGCGATAAGCTTCGTTTGAACGCCATCACGTCGACTAGCCAGTTCATTACGCTTCGATCCGCTCCGCTGATGAACGCCATGGACAACTTTTTGAGCGCTCTTTTCAGCAGAGCCACCGACGACAGTCTTGAAGTGCGCAAAGCCGTGTGTCAAGCTCTTGTCAGCTTGTTGGAAATGTGCCCTACAGTTCTGTTCCCGCACATGCCCAATCTCGCCGAGTATATGCTCTTCTGCACCCAGTCGGATGATGCTGATTTGGCTTTGGAAGCGTGCGAATTCTGGCTCGTGTTTGCCGAACAAGACGAGTTGCGCGAACAGTTGGAGCCATACCTTCCCAAGGTTGTACCCGTGCTGCTTCGTGGCATGGTGTACTCGGAAATGGATCTGATGACTTTGGGTGGCGACGAGGATGACGCACATATTGCTGATAGCGAGCAAGATATCAAGCCTCGATTCCACAAGGCCAACTTGGTCGAGATCGAACGTGCTGACAAGAACGATTTGGATGAAGGTGGAAAAAAAAAGGACACCGCTTTCGACGAAGAGGATGATGAGGATGACGATGATGATTTCGATGAAGACTTGGATGACGAATTTTATGGCGAGTGGAACTTGCGAAAGTGCAGTGCTGCTACGCTCGATGTCCTCTGCACATCCTACGAAGGCGAAGTCATTCGGTTATTGATGCCCTTGTTAAAGACCGAACTTGAGAATCCCGACTGGTTGCATCGCGAGTGCGGTATCTTGGCGTTGGGTGCTGCCGCTGAAGGTAACAAGACAGCATCATTGCACGGTGGAAGATGTGGAAGTGTATATTTATTTTTGGACGGCATTGTATTTTGAATAGGTGGTTTGCAAGAAATCGGCCCCCATTTACCCGAGCTGGTTCCTTATCTTTTTAATAACCTGGTCGACCCCAAGGTAATTAGTAGATCTGAATTAGAAGCAAAGGCGCGTTGGTGGGACAAAAGTTTATCTTGTCGAAACGGCTCGCATGTTTGTACTTACCCCGTACTATATAATATAGCCATTGGTTCGCTCTATCACATGCTGGACATTGGGACGATACGCCGCATGGATCGTTCAGAGTGCACAACAAAGCCCCGAAGCCCGAAAGCACTTTCTGGAACCGTTGGTGCAGAAGCTCTTGGAGCGAATTCTAGACAACAACAAACGCGTACAGGAAGCCGCCTGCTCTTCATTCTCGCTCTTAGAAGAAGAGGCCACCACCGAGCTCGTACCCTACATGCAACCCATCCTTGTCACCCTTTCTACTGCATTTGAAAAATATCAGCACAGAAACTTGCTTCTCTTATACGACACCGTGGGCACTCTTGCCGATGTTGCTGGCAGCGCTTTGAACACTCCACAGTACATCGACGTCATCATGCCACCGCTTATCAAGAAATGGCAAGAGATCCCTGACGAAAGCACAGACTTGTTCCCTTTGTTGGAGGTAGAGGCTAAAGATGCATGTTGTGTGGATATGTTCGTCTACTCACTCGTGTGTGAATGGAAATCTGTTATAGTGTCTTTCATCCATCACCACCGCGCTTGGCAGCGGCTTCAAGCAATTCGCACAACCCGTCTATGTCCGATGTGTAAAGCTTGTCACCCAAACTTTAGAAGAATGTCAAGCTGCCAATGCTAACCCCGCGAATGACATGCCCGATAAGGACTTTATGATTGTCGCGTTGGATCTTCTTTCAGGCATTATACAGGCTTTGAACACTGACGCCGAGCCATTGGTGGCTGGCACTTCCCCCAACATCGTTCAGCTCCTGTCCCTCTGTATACAGGTAGGAATACCGTGGTTTTTTATTCTTTTCAGACCATTAACTGACCGGATCTCCTCCAATTTACTTGACAGGATGAAGTAGCCGAAGTTCGACAGTCGGCTTATGCAGTCCTTGGTGACCTTGCTATCTCTTGCTTTGAGCAAATCCGTGCCGTCGTCCCTCAATTCATGCCCCACATCGTCTCTCAAATCGAACCCGTACCCGAACATGTCTCTGTGTGCAATAACGCTACTTGGTCGGCAGGCGAGATTGCCATCAAATGGGGTAAGGCTTGTAACATGTTGCTTGATATGTGCATATATGCAGATGACTGATCCTCCCCACCTTAATTTTCCTTCAAACAGGTACCGATATTCAACCATATGTCGAGCCTATGCTTCAACGTCTTTTCCAGCTTATCGTAAACCCTCAAATTCAACGCACATTATTGGAAAACGTCGCAATTACGATTGGTCGTTTGGGCCTCGTATTCCCAGACCTGGTTGGTCAACATTTGCAGCTCTTCATCAAGCCTTGGTTGATCACACTTGCACCCATCCGACCAAACGAAGAAAAGGCATCTGCATTTAGCGGTCTCTGTGAAATGATTAAGGCACATCCGCAAGGAGCTGTCAAGGTAAGAAAAAAAAAACTGATAATTTTGGTATCGGCTAATGCTAGATTATTGTAAACCTTTGTATGTGATACTTGATATTTCTCCCATAAACTTTAGGAATTCTTGCTGTTCTGCGAAGCTGTTGCAGGTTACGCTGATGCGCCCACCAGTTTACACGAAGCATTCAGAAATGTATGCAAGGTTTTTTTTACTTGCTTATACAAATTGGGGTCTAACATACCTTTTATCAAATCTTCTGATTAGATTCTGGCCGGCTACAAGAATATGTTTGGTGAAGCACAGTGGCACCAGGCTTTAGAAACTATGCCAGCGGAAGCGAGAGGTCCATTGCACGAACGATACGGAATAGCTTAATAAACGAGTAAAAAGAAAAAAGAAACAAATAATATATACATTTACTACCCCACCCTTTTAAAAGAAAGAAAAGAAAGTTTTTGCTTTAATGTTGCGGTCAAGCTGTGTTTCCTGCTCTTTTCCTTGGTGATTTTTGTATCGTTCGTCGTATTGGCGGTGGATTACAGTGGTGTGGAGTTAATCAGTAATTGGTGTGTGTATTAATGTCATTAGTTCCCTATCATAGCGGTATATGCAACCTGATATACTGCCGAGCAAAGTAGCATGAACCCTATAGGAACAGTTGTTGTAGCTTAACTATTTTTTCTCTATTAACTCAAGTAGTTGGCGCCTGTTTTACTGATTTCTGGGATGTAACACAAAAAGCTGAATAAAAGATCCGTACTTCGCTGCTCAAATCATCCACTCCATTGCTGTCCACTTTTTATTGATTCGATGCCATTATTTTCAATGAATCCCATGCTTGTCTAGGTCCGAGATATATATCACCTGTGCCTTTAGTTTACGGCCACCAAACCATCGACCATCCAATACTTGACGTGCCTTGTCTGCATCTATTACGTAATAAAACCGAATATCAATATCTAACATGATGGCTTACTCGGGTTGTTTCGCGTTGATCCAAGAAAACATCTTGTTCTGCATACCACCAGATGTCTCAAATTCGACAAAGATCTTGACGTCTCCATCCCCGGGTTGCCATCCAGGTTGGTCTCTAACATCGCAGCTGTCATCGTTGCCCGTAGTTATAGAGACCTTGCGGACTTTACCAAATTTACTGCATTCATCCGAGAATTCTTGGTTTAAACTCTCGTCCACTTCGCCAGCAGGAACTGCGTTTTGTACAAGCATGTGTGTTGATAGCTAGATAGAGAGAACAAAGCCATGGTGTTTTTCAATGATCAGTTTATCAAACGCAAAAGCGTGGAGTCTCGGTTTTTTCTTTGTCGCGCATATATTAATGCCCTTTCCCCCTTAATCTTCTACCTGTTCTCTACTAGCAGCTAATTTCTGCATGATGGCGAAACGTTGACTTGAATTGACGTGCATGTCTTCTTCTTTGGCCACGGAATCTGCGGCATTGGCTGCTTTTTCTTGTTCTCTAGCCAAATTTGCAGCACGCATCAATGCAGTGGCTATAGATATGTGGCTTTAGAATGGCACTGCAAAGTATGTGATACCGCCCGTATGTAAATGCGTTTAATGTGGCAATAGAAAAATCAACTTACGATCAGGTGGTGGCCGCTGGTTCTGAAATTGAGGGTGTTGTAAGCGATGTTGTTGATGGAAGTGTGGGTTATGAGGATGATTTTGGTGATGCTGACGCCGTAGCTGTTGCTGCTGTTGGAACAGATCGAGTTTTTTTTGGATACCCAGGTTTTGGATGTTTGCATTAACTTTGACCATGACATCATCCGAATCATCTGTTGCTGCTGCAGCACCTGTTGTTGTTTCCGTTGCAGGTGTTGTTGTTGTTGTTGTTGTTGTTGTTGACGTTGATGGTGTAGTAGTGCCCGGTCTAGCGAGCATACCAGGACCAGTGCTTGTGTTATTCGGAATGTTATAACCGTTGTTGTTGCTGTTGCTATTTTCAGCAGTAGCAGCAAGCGTAGCGGCAATAACGGCCGGTGGTGGCATCGAGTCCAGGATTTTCATGCCGTCAGTAAGCGGGCCGCCAATGATGCTTTTGGATACACGCAACATTTGTCCGGCAATTTCGAAATTCCGCATGGATTCCATAGCTGTCGAGGCTGCTGTCTCGTCTTCGAACTCGATAAATCTAAGAGGAATCAGTCGACCATTGGTTTGATTTTTTTCGTGTAGATAGTTCATAGTTTTAAGACCGGGTCAGGCTATGGGTTTCTTCTCCTCCTCCTCCATTTAAGCAATCATATCTTTCTTTTCTTCTCCAGATTTTATAATAAAAGATAGGGAAAAAAAGGTGAAAAAAAAAAGATAAAAATCATGAGATTTGATTTAGGGGTTCCTCGTCTTCTCTTCGTTGATCCCCGTCAATCAAGCTTCGTTGTCGTGTGTACTTTTTCTTTTCTCTTCTTGTTCACTGCTTTCCTCCCATCTTACTCAACCCGGTCACGTTGTAAAATGCTTGCAAATACAGAGTGGAAAGAGAATAATAAAATAACAGAGATTGCTGTCACTTACCCATATCCTTTGTGTTTCCTTGTCAGGTAATCAGGCTGTATGATGGCAATGGAAGACGATGAGTAAATATGCAAACAACCCATATATCCCTGTTCAAGACACTTTACCAACAAGATGCACTTTTTGATTGTTCCAAAGGCCTCAAAAATAGTCTGAAGATTTTCCTCTGTAATCATCTCATTGACGTTTGCGACATAGATTCTTGATTTTGGCGGGATAGGAACACCTCCTGACGAAGCAGCTGTAGCATAGTTGTTGGGTCGACCGACTTTAAGTGCACGTCCACCTAGATCAGCCCCATTCATCGTCTCAAGTGCAAGTGAAGCACCTTCAGGCGTTTCGTATTCGATAAAACAGAATCCTTTGTGTCGCATTGAGACTGGATCCAAAGACATGCTGATGCTCTTTATGATACCGAACTGGTCGAACACTGCGCGCACATGGGTTTCGTTCAATTCAAAGTTAATACTGCCGACATAGATCCGTGCTAATACTGAAAGTGTACGAATGTCAACGCCAGAATGAATATGTGGATTGGTTGCAGATAGGATGGCATGTGTTGTAAGAGTGCTATTTTTATTGGGCGGCTTTGATGTCGTTGACGTTCCCGTGGTGTTCGTCGTAATATTCGTGGTTGCATTATTGGTGGATATTGGTGACATTGCCGTAGACGTTTTTGTCAACTAATAATATACGTATAACTTTAGGGTAAGAAAGCATAGACACTTGTATAAACGAGCAAAGTGCGAAACGTATTAACCTCTGATTTCATTTTACGCGCGTATGCTTTTGCTTTTTCCAGTCGTTCTTTTTGTTCGGTTGTCAGGTTCATCGCGGAGTGATCGGTCCAAGTACTGGATGTACCTGCTAAAATAACGTAATTACAAGAATTACACGTTAGCTGTCAAAACCAGTCTTTGGAAAATCGAACTCGAAGAATCAAGTCGTGTATAAATTGCTGGAGAAATAGTAGTAGTAGTAACAGTGAGAGATTTATTTACCTTGCCGTGGACGTTTGGTATTATCTTCAACACTTTCGGTTTCTGATAATGTTCGTTTTTTTGATTCGCTGTCGACCATTTTACTTTAGACAAAAATGCAAGAGAATAGTCCACAACGAAATGAGGACTTGGAGAAGCTGAAAGAAGGCCTTTGAGTGGCGGGACCTGAAACGTTGGAACCCGTTACAAATTTGCGTTGGACATGACGTCAATAGCGTACACTCACACAGTAATTATTGATGCACTGCCTTTCTCTTGGTGCAACTGAAGAGAATAGTATTGAACGATGATAACGCGCATATTCCCTACGCGCAAGCATTAAAAATTACCATGGGTGCTGGACTCATTCAGAATAGTCGTCTGTGGTTATGTGTCTAACAGCTTCCTTTATTCTTGTCGATTGATCCTTTTCACTCAGTTCGCCTCTTCACTATTTATCATTAATTCAAGAACAACAGTTCTATTGACTTATCCTACTCATTCATCTTGGTCTCAGACCAACAATCCTACTAAACAAGAATACGGGTCCGGGGTAGTGTACTTATATCCTTGTTGCACCACATAATATTGGATAGCTAATTGACTTACTGAGTGCATTATATATCATCGACTAAACGCTTTTCCATATTATTATCCTACCAAAGATATCCATGATTTAGGATGTATACAACGTATTGCTTTAGCCACTCCTTGATTGACTTTTGGCTTACTCAGGTTGTCAAAAAGGTGTGGTAAACTTCGAATAAATTGGACATAGTAGTTCTCCATGATTGACGTAACTTGTCAGCTCAAATACCTGATTTCTCAAATCTCAAAAGTCCCTGCAATAGCCGCCTTTCCCTTAGATACCTTATAAGAAAGCAACATATTTGATAACTGTACAAGCCTAAAGTAAACCGGAAACTTAACCTGTGTACTTGGTAGCGTTACGGACAAGTTTCGCACCGACAAGCGCGTCGATATGATATGACAGTATCTTATGCATTGTCTCCTTGTGTATAAAGCTTGTTAGTCAAGCTTTTACATCATTATTGGGCTGAAATCATAAGAGGTATCGAACAAAATGAAACATACCGATTGGACTATCGAACATCTAATCACCTGATCGGAGAACCGGGGCTATGATTCAAACTAGACTTCTCTTGGCAAATTTACGGTGTCTAGCTGTCATACAATGCTCTTCTGTGTGTCTCAAACGAGCTCGTTTTCATAAACATCAATTAAATGACATTCAAACACACAATCAGTGTATGTCGCATCACTTGTTTAATATTGTGCACCATGCAGGCTCTGCTGGTGATTAATAAGTTGTAGAGAGTGAACATTTTTGGCTTGTGCTAACTTGATAATGCTGATCTCAGAAGGCTGGTTGTGCAAACATCAGGTTGCACTAGCAGAAATGCTTACTGTTGACAAACGACTACCAATTTTAATAACATGTCGTAAGCGTCTTTTCAGCTAGTTATGTGACCGACTGTAGCACTTAGTGAGCTGCAACCCTGGATTATACTTGGAAAATGTAAGCGGTATGTCACTACTCTAGCACCTCGCCTTTGTATCTGGGAGGGAGAAAGTAACCTTTCAGTCTTAGCAAACTTTGAAAGAATTGTTTTCTTGCCAGTGGCTCCGTTTAGGTCCAGTAACCAGTATTCTTGTGTTTGTCAATCAAGCGATTCTCTATCTGATCGCAATTGCTTTCGGCACGTTGTAAAACAGCTTGTGCAAAAATGCTATCAAAATCGTTCCTGTTATTTCGTGGTATGTGACATATAAACCATTACCATCTTCACCATTTATATAAAGCGTTTTCATCATGGTCAGAAAAAATGACACAAAGCTTTCGATACTGTGTGCGTTATGCACGTTGGATACCAATCAGGTGTGAAGGCGTTGTGTGTTAAGTACCTGAACATTGTATGTAAGCGGTACTTTCGCCTTATCCTTATTCACTGCTTCTTTTTTAATGATATATTATGCATATATTTTCACCAAGAACACCGACAGATATCTATGGAAAAAACGGCAAAAGCTTTTCAAATTACCATTCGTTGCTAATTTTTACTCCTCTTGAGAAGTTGCCATGATATCCCGTAGCTGCTTGTTATGGCGATATGCTCTCTACATTGTCTTTTCGTTTTTTAATCATTAGAATACCCTACGTATTACGTGCTCGATACTAACAGCGGCGTGCTACTTGAAAATTTTTGTATTCAAAAAAGGGTTATATACAATCACTTCGTTTTCATCTTAAGCTAATAAAGAAGACGTCAACCCAAGGAATGCGTAGACATTATATGTGGAACTGACTGAAAGCAGAAATTTGCAGTATTGCGATATAGTCGGTTGTTGCAATAAACGATGATTTTGGACCTGTGGTGAGTCATATTGCCTCGTACATCTGCGGTGTCGCTCTTTTGAACAGTACTGTATTATATCGTGTCTTCTGGAATGCAAGTTAGCTAGATATCTCTTTTCTGTCACAATCACAGTAACACCCATGGTCCTTTGCTTATATTAAGTTATTATTTGATTTGATTTCACTGAAACTGATAGTAGTTAAATGGATGTCTTGGTTCTTTGTTTTGCAATATCATTAGATAATGGTTCTTTAAAAGACGCTGCATGTTCTGTAACAAAGATGATGTTTAAAAGGAGATCTTCGCTACAAGAGGTAGCATACTGTGCTCTGCCATTTTCTCTCGCGCCGTGAAGGGAAGAAGATACCCTAGGTCTGTTTATATATGCATAGGAGCAGAGTAATACAGGTTTCGTACTATGGATCCTCTTTACGTCTTGCTTAAGTTTCCTTCTCTTGCTATTTCAAAAATAGTAGATGTATGTATAGGGTCACCCATCATCGTCGCTTATGTAGGAGACATGCTGCAAGCTGCTGGTTTAGAAAACGGCAGAAAAAAGCTTATTTTTTCTCTTGCCTCCTTTCAGTTTGAGATTTACTTTAAGTATGATAATAGTAGCTTCGTTTTCAAGGAAAAGAAACTTCTTAGAAAAGGAACAGGGATGTCATTCTTTTGAAAAGCCAAAGATCGAGAGAAAGAGACGCGTATGATACAATGTAGAAGTTTGCCACTGAAAGAAAGTGGTAGTATAAAAAGTAACGAGGGGCGCTGTCAGTCACCTTGGCTTGCTCGGAGCAATGTAGGCTAGGATGTCATATTAGCGATAATGGTTGAGGAACGAGCACCAACAACCCCCACTCTTACTCTTGTTTGTTTACAAATAAAATCATAAAACCTTTATTAACAAAAATTTATGGGGCGTTGTCTTTGGGTGGAAAACGGGGATGTTCGGTAGTTCAACATACGACAATGGTAGGACAGGTTTGTTCTTTAAGCTTTCAATTTATGTGTGTAAATCAGAATATTACACGTCAACATATAAAGTAGTGCGGGTTCCCCGTTCCCCTCTCTCCTCTTTGTGCTACGCTGCCACTTTTCTCTTTATGTGTGCAGCTCATATAAATCAAACCACATCCTCAGCCAGTGCAAGGGAGAGCGGTAGGTGATAGGTTTGTTTGTATCATATTCTTATTGATCCCATTGTCAACTGATCCCCTTGACTTGTATTAGCTAGTACATAACGACAAAATATACAAGATGGTACCCAGGAATGGCATGGGATCAATATTTTGTCATGAGTTGCGTGGCAGCCACGTTATCAGGTTCTTCTGGTTCCAACGATGATGCGATCTCCTACTCAACCGAGCAGCAGCATAATCATCGCTTAAACAATGAATTTAAAGAGCATACTGACCACACCCGTCATCATGATTCATTGCCTACTTCTTGCTGGGTGGGGGCCGGTTGAGTTACCCGGATCCCCACCTCTCTTATTGTGTGGGAAATCCCAAAAATTAAAAAAGGCTGCAGCGTATGTCTCTTACACACACACACACACACATTTGTATGATATTATTTTCTCAAACACAGTGAACACTTGCATGGCGGCGAATTTGAAGGCATTAGAGTTTGTATACAGTACACAGCACTCTTATTTTATTACCGCTTTGGTAATTCTACATTCCCCACAATAATGTGATTATGCTAATTTGTTTCGAGGAAAGGGATTGGTTTTCCTATTAATCAGTAAATATTCCGGACTAAAAAGAAGTTTTGGACGAACCATGTCTCTGATTTTGTTCAGGGGGACCGTGTACGTGTGTATCATTTCACTGCCAATAATACGCAGCGAATCCAGCCTCACCGCGTTGTTAACCATCAGTGTTAGGCAGTCATGGTAATGTACTTTTCAACTTGAGGACGATACGCCAATGACGACGGGGATATGATAGATTCAGACAAATAATACTATTGGTGGGGTATGTATGAATGAGAATAGATTTCTTCGTAGTGAGAGTGGTACGTTTCTCCGTCATAACCTTACAAAATAACTTTTTAATGAACGAAAACGAATCAGACGAGCAAGAAGGTTATGCAGTGATTCAATCGCTACGCGAGCGTTGCCAGGCAATTCTACGGGATTGTGAAGCGCGCGGTGATATTGAAGGCATGTACCGATATAGCCATTCGTTGACTGCCGAGATGGGCTTTCTCGACAAGGTAAAACTCATCGTCTGTATACAATAGTATGCCAAAGGGAACACTTTGTAAAAGTAAAAAAGCCCTTGATGTTCACTTTTTTCCACTTATCGAGAAAAGTTAATAGAAGATCCATCGCGCATTAAGAAAGAGTACATTCAAAGTTCCAATTTAAGTTACTTGGAATCCGTCCATGAAGCCATTACACAGACGCGACAACTCGACCACATCATGGAATTGAAAAGCGTGCCACCCAAAGAACCCGGAACGTGGATCTCGCGCGCCGCATTGATGCGCCGACGCCAAACCGTCAAAGTTGACCTAATTAGTGAACATGGCTTGGTGTGGATCAAGGTGATTGCTCGTAATGCTAAAGGTTTACGGTTTGACATGGCTGGTTTGGAGTTGTTAGACGATGATGACGGTGATTCAGATTTCAGCAGCAGCAGCAGTGATCATGAAGATGATTTGCAAAAAACCGATCCTTTTGATGATTTGCCAATATTCAGAAAAGCGAACCAGTATCTCCGCAGTGCTAGTGCGCACCAGGTCCATTTTCAAACGCCCACTGTCGTGTTTGCATTTATGCGAGTACAAACAGGAGGAACGGACGAATACGTGGACCGAATATTACAACGATTACGCGATTTGGGTATCCAGGTCCATCTTGGCTCGACAGGATTGGATGCTTACAACTGTAATAGTACTCATGCAAACACGACATGTCCCCACGGAATAACAACGCCATCATTAAACTTGGATGTCAGTACGGCGTTGGCGCTTATCTCTGAAATGACGCATCGGCCATGCTTGCCGGACCAAGTTTTAGGCGAGGCGCTTCAGATCCAAGCACGGCGTGAGCAAGTCGAGCCAGCACTGCCCATACTCTTGTCTATTGTCCGTGATAAACAGCTCTTTATGGTCCAGAGTGCCTATGACCGACTTGTTCAAATCGTGGATGTTGTTGGTGGTGCGAACGAAAGAGCCCGGTTCCGCCAGTTGTTTGGCAAAGAAGCTCACGATCCATCACTTTGGACAAGTCAACAAGAGATGCATATTGAGGTCTTGCCAGATAAACCGTCGGAACGGTTCCGCGGCCTACTGGAGCCACCAGTGCAAAAAAGTGCGTTAAATAACGGACGCAAGATCCGTAGCAGGTTTTCCGAATTTCATGCCGTCATCTTTGGAAGCGGGGATAGCTATCGCATGACAACTGTAACGGCTATCCAGTGGATGCAGCAGGCCTTATTGGACGCATCCATGACAGGCACAGCTATCGTTTCGCATGAACCGAGATCGTTGTCCGAACAAAAAATGTATACACAGGAGAAATGATCTCTGTCTCTCTCTCTTTGTCATTACCCTTTCAAACATGTCGATTCCACCTCCCCCCAAAAGATAAAAGTTGGCGATACTTCATATATACACGTTAATGATGCGTGTTTTATAATAATAAGCTATGTATGGTGTGAGTCATGCAGCAAGTCCGATAGGATTACACACGATACACACACAATGTCACACCTTGTGCTACGCCATGACATCAATCAGACTTGTTTATCACTCATTTCTTTCTTTTCTGTCAAAAAAAAAGTCATCAATCATATGTATGTGTTTTTAATGGAGTTGCGAGCAAGAATAACAAGACATATTACAGATGGTGGTAAGAATCTGAATCCGAAAAAAAGAGAGAAATTATGTATAGAAAAGAAAAAGAAGAAGAGAGGTCTGCGTGTGTATATATAGTAGAAAGAGATGAGAGAGAATTAACAGATTTGTGTGTGTGTGGCAGGGGTATGTTTCCTCTTTTCCTCTCTCTTCTGTCTTTGTATGCGAGAGAGGGAGAGAGGAGGGGTAGTATATGTGCATAAAGTGTTGAAAGAAAAGAAGAAAAGAAGTTTTATGTATAAAGAGGTGCAAGAAGAAGAAAAAGGGGTATGTATACTAGTGGTATATGATACAGAAGTGTTTCTGCCTCGGATTGTGTGCCGAGAGCATGTTAGGTACACGGTTGTTTGCGGGAGTCATATCTTGGAGTATGTGTACGTCTCTCTCTTTAGACGTCGTCCTGATCGCTGTCTTGGGGGATGCTGTCGAAGCTGTCGAAGCTGTCGTTGTTGCTGTCAACGTCAACGATAAGTAGCGTCGTCATTGTCCATTGGGAAGGATGGACACCGTTTCTGGGACATGAAGTCTGCATATGCCATAGAAACAAGGTCGTGAGTCACTGCTAGTTTGGGGGTGTGGGGGTGAAAGATAGGTGGGGGAAAGAGAGTAAAAGCGAAAGAGGCAATTTCATACCTGGTGGTTAGGAAGCCAATTTCCACAGAGTTCGCAGGTGGCAGGTAGCAGGGAGAAAGGCGGCTGCTGCATGTTTAAAGTCAAAGTCAAAAGTAGTGGAAAGAAAAGAAGAAGGAAAAAGAATGGGTGAGTGTGTGCTGCCCCCCTTTTATACGTGAGTGTCATTTGGAGAAGCACCTCCCCACCCCAAGCCCCCCCCCCCTTCCATTCCAAGCAAGGGAGCCTCCCCCATCTCTCTTCGCTTCTCATCTCCTTCCTTGGCTCTCCCCTGCTCTCTATCTCTCTATTTCTTCTCAGTAGCACCCCCCTTACACCACTACAAATACACACGTTTAAAATGTTTTTGGCGCTCAGGACGACATTTGTGCACTAGGTGCGTCGTGTCCCAAATAAATAATTGCGTGTGCGTGTGTGTATCATATCAGAAGAAAAAAGAGACTTTGTTGTGGGGCGTGTGAGCTTTTTCTCTTTGTGTGCCTTTGTGCTTGTCTTTGTGTGTTAAAATGTCCTCTGGTGTCTCTGACGTCGTATTCTCCCCCTCTTTCTCTCTCTTTCTTTCTCTCCGCTTGTAATACGACCTGCAGCAAGTCAACGACGCCATGCAACATGACACACTACCCACTCTGAGAAGCGGGGTCATAAAAGCACCGTCTTTACAACACTTTACAGAAAACATTCTCTTGCTTTACGTATTATTTGTTTGGCTTTTTTTTTGGTCCCTGATCACCATCGTTACCGTTCCTGGTGATTACCATGGCTACTTATAATTACCATGTGGCTACTAAATATTGCCATGGAAACTAATTACCATGATTACTGATAGTTCCCGTGGTCACTAAAGATTACGATAACTATCCTCTTTGTTTCTTCCATGAGTCGGACATAGCTATGCCGATACAGACCAAATTGATGTTGGGGCTTATCAATATTATTGATTTTGATGATGCCAGTGGCCGTCTTCCAAACACGAGATCAAATTTAATAAAAAGCACGTCACCGGTTTTTAAGTTGCTGTAAAATTTAGGTATGGGAAGAAAAAGTCTTCTTTGGAGAGGAGTCGAATGTTATTGGAACCCGACAATGTCCGAGAGAGAGAAAAAGAAAGCGTACTACATTACCAGTTGCTATATAGACCAGTTAGTGGGTCCCTTCTACTTCTGCCATCGCGCTCTTATAAATTTTGTTAAGATGAGAGATCGTCCAAAGAAACACAAGGCATTATTTTATTATGTTTGATGGACAGCATTAGCTCAGCAATAAGCATGTGATAATTTAATGCTAATAGGGGGCTTGTGCGCTACATCCTTTTCGAGGTAAGTCGCGGCGTGTTTAGTGAATGTTGACGCTTATTCAACTCAAATCATAAACTACTATGCTGTTAATAATCATCACCATCACTCCCATCACTTAAAGGAATGAGCAGTTGTGTGAAACTTATGTAATGGACTATACATCATCACCATCATCTGTCTACTACTGGCCACATTTTGAATGCATAAATAATACACTTAGAAGCAGCTGGATATAGTAGCGCACCAAGGAATAATTTTTGTTTTCAAATTTCGCTTAGGCAAGACATGGCCTACGTATAGCGCGAAGAATAGAGTGGATCATGGTCAAAAAAAAGCACAGACCAAACACACGGCACATGCAAAAGTGACCAAGAAGTAAAAAGCAAACTAAATATGATGAGGCGGCGACCCAATATCGCGCTTCTCCCTCTTCAATATAAATAAGGGTCGCTTCATTTGGGTCGCTTGACAATTTTTATATTTGTATTCTCTCCCTCTTCCCTTTTTCTGCCACTCTCGCACCACCACAGCACATACGCACACAATCTACCCCCAGTCATAACAAATGAAGGCATTCTCAATTGAAGTCGGTCCTGAGACCCAACCTAATGGCGGCCGTATTCGACGTTCCATTTTGGCTGCCGACGGTGTTGTCCGAGTTCCTGCCACGGACGTACACACTCTGTATGATGTGCTCGACCGTAGTGTCAAGAAATACGGCAACCGAAAAGCTTTTGGCACTCGTCGCATTGAGAAAATGATTGAAGAAGAAAAAGAGGTCGTCAAGATAGTCGATGGTGTCGAAAAGAAGGAAAAGAAGGTGTGGAAATATTTCCAATTGTCAGGCTACGAATATGTAACATACAAGGAGGCCGGTGAACGTGCACATGCCATCGGCGCAGGTTATGCCGCGCTTGGGTTATCCGAAAAGACAAAGGTCGAAATATTCGCGCCTACTACGTAAGTCTCTAATGTACTTTGTCGCAATGGACTTGTAAGGAAAAATTGGGTATTGATGGATCGAGTGTGTTGCAGCGACCATGGACCACGAGAATATATTTCATGTTACTAACGTACACACAACATTGGTCAACAATAGTATGAACTGGTTGCTGACAGCCCATGGTCTCTTCACACAAAACATGACCATCGTCACTGCATACGAAACACTGGGCGAAGAAGGTCTGTTACATTCCATGAACGAGACCGAGGTTGAGGCCATTTTCACCTCAGCCGAATTGTTGCCAGTTGTGGCCAAGGTCGCCCCCAATTGTCCTTCCCTGAAACATGTGGTGTATCATGGTGATGCCAAGGCTCAGGCACTGACAAACTGCAAATCCGGCAACGTCCAAATGGTCATGTCTCTAGACGAATTGGTCAAGCTAGGCCAGGAGAATCCTCGCGAGGCCCGCAAACCTGAGCCCGAGGACCTTTGTTGTATCATGTATACTTCCGGTAGTACTGGTAATCCCAAGGGTGTCATACTATCCCATAAGAACATTGTCGCCGCAAGTAAGTGTTGTTTGTTTGGTTATCTTGTTCCCGGAAGCAAAAGCACACTTATCAAGTGCATATTCTTTTCTAAATAGTTGGTGGTGCCAATGCGTTGTTGGGTCACCTGATCACGGACACGGATAGTATCTTGGCTTACTTGCCATTGGCCCACGTACTCGAGTTTGTAGTGGAGAACTTGTGCATGTTCTGGGGCATCACCCTTGGTTTTGCGAATGTGAGAACGTTGACTGATGCTAGGTAAGATGTAGTGTGGGCCATCTCGCGAGTGAAAAATGCACAACTAACTGATTTATACCATTATAATGGCAGTGTGCGCAACTGCAAGGGTGACATTAAAGAATTCAGACCAAGTGAGTTATCATAGCTCATAATTTGATGAAAGATAACAAGAAGGTTGTTCAAACCCGTACTCCAGGTTTTGCTAACCTTGAAAAAAATGATTAGGCTTGCTCACTGGTGTGCCACAAGTCTGGGAGTCAATTCGGAAGGGCATTCTATCCAAGCTGAATGAAACATCGCCACAAGCACAAAAGATCTTCCAGCGAGCATTCGCAACCAAGGCATGGTTGATGGAACGCAAATTGCCTACGGGGTTCATTGACAAGACTGTGTTTGCCAAGATCCGTGAACAGGTTGGCGGTCGTCTGAAATTGGCATTATCCGGTGGTGCGCCTATTTCTTTGGAAACGCAAAAGTTTTTGTCTGTTACAGTATGTCCTATTCTCGGTGGCTACGGCATGACAGAGAGTTGTGGGTAAGTTTTCCACATAAACAAACAAACAAAAAAATCCAACTCTTCTAACGAAACCAACTTGAAACATGAAAAACTTGTTTAATATAGTATGTGCTGTATCATGTCGCCTGAACAATTTGGGTTCGGTCATGTCGGAGCGCCTGTTCCTTGCGACGAAATCAAGCTAGTGGATGTGCCCGACGCCGGTTACTTGTCCGCTAATGATCCGCCTGCTGGCGAAGTTTGGGTAAATATTAAACCAAAATCCCGGGGCAAACAGATCGACCAACCTCTAAAATCAAATAAAACGATTAAACACGCTCCTGTTCTCGTAAAAGCTCACATATTCCTAACTCGCTATTTTATATTATCATATGCTTTAGGTACGGGGTCCTTCTGTCACGAAGGGTTATTGGAAGCGTGACGACCTAACCAAGGAAACGGTTACCGAAGACGGCTGGCTAATGACAGGCGACATTGCTCAATGGAACCCGAACGGCACAATGACGATTGTGGATCGCAAAAAGAATCTTGTCAAGCTGTCAAATGGCGAATATATCGCACTGGAAAAACTCGAATCGATCTACAAGAGCTGTCTGTACGTCAACAACATTTGCGTCTATGCCGACTCGTTGCGCCCACGCGCCGTAGCGCTCGTGGTGCCTGTCGAGAACTCCGTCCAGAAATTGGCGTCGGAGTTGGGCGTCGCGTCCAAGGAATGGGCGGTGATTTGCAATGATGCTCAGGTGAAAAAGGCGATCCTGACGGCCTTGTTGGGTCAGGCCAAGGAGGCCGGACTCAAGCCTGCAGAAATGCTCTTTGACATCTATGTGTGTCATGAGGAATGGACCATCGACAATGGTCTCTTGACAGCCGCACAGAAGTTGAAGCGAAGCGATATCAACAAGGAATACAAGGAGATACTGGATACTATGTAAGTTGTGATAATATATGCGGCGCGGGGGCAGAAAGAAGGAAGCAACAGGAGAGGTTAGCTAAATCAAGGCTTTTCAATCTAGGAACGCTGCTCAAAAGAGCTAGAAGAGAAGACCGAAATCATACCTCATATTTGTATTAAGTAAAACCTGCCATATTCACCATCACAGCATCTTCCCATTCGATATACCAGAACAACCAACTTTAATCCCAACCGAGTTTAAACCATAAGTGGGAACACGCCCAGCAGCAGTAACGATCCCACAAGTAATTAGCTGTGTTACTTCCATTCCCGAAATATAATAGACATTTCATATGAAACTTTTGCTGTCCCCAAGTTTTATTACATCTTTTCTTCCTCTTTTTTCCTTTTTACCAAGCTTGAACCTTCTATTCTCCCCTTCCTTTCCTTTCCTTGCCTCCCTTCTAACTGAGAAACAAAGACAATGCGACTCTCGGCTTCAGCGTTACTATTGCTATTACCGACGTCCGTAATAAGCTTGTCGATCTCAAGACCGCTACCACTCACATTACAATCCGCCGGTTTGAATTTACCAGTGTCATGGACTATTGACGCCGGCGAGGATATCACTTCACTTACAGTTTCGTTAGCAAAACCCGAGGACACCGTCGTAGCCACACTAGCACAAAACGTCGATGCATCGAAAGGATCGCAAGGCATCCTTCTTCCCAAAGATACGGTCAACGGTGGTGGATATTACGTTGTAATTGAAGGCAACAACAATCCCCCATCACGCGCAACACGTGGTCCATTTACCGTCATTTTCGGTGCTTCTGAAGGCAGCAGCAGTTCTTCGTCTGCTGCACCTTCATCACCACCAGCTTCAGCCAGCGCTTCATCGTCGGCTTCTGCGTCTCGTTCTTCTCCAACGACATCCTCCTCCTCCTCCTCCTCCTCTTCTTCTTCTTCGTCGTCATCAGATGATAGTGATAATTCTCCCTCGTCGACATCGGATGAAGCGCAAGAATCAAATTCTGATGGCGCATCTAGTGGTTCCTCATTAGGTGGTGGACAAGTAGCTGGCATTGTTGTTGGTGTTGTCGGCGCGGCATTAGTGGTATGGGTTTAAACGGATTTGTTCGTGAATTAGGGGGGGGAGGGATGCGCGGAACTAGGCTGAATTTTATATTGTTCTTTAGGCGGGATTGGCTGCATTTTTCGTGTTTGTGAAAAGACGACGGAGGGATTCGAAAAGTGGTGGAGGTCCCGACAACGCCAACTATTATAATCAGGGTGACAACAGCAATTCCTACGTCATTGATGCACCACAGCCACGATACGGTCCACCTCCGCCTATGGCTGCTGCTGGCGGCTATCGCAATATGAGCGAGCCTTATAGCGAGCCTTACAATGAACCCTACAATGATCCATACAACAATTCGTACAATAATGTTACTGCTGCCACCGCAGCACCATACAGCGATCCATATCAAAACATGAGCAAAACATACCAGTCTCCTGACACACCGACAACAACAGGAGCAACTTACGGTAACATGTCAGTATCATCGCCGTCCACCACCGACAAACCTCATACTGCCGCGTAACGACCTGTTAATTTATATTTGCTCATAATCAACCATATTACTCTTTCATCCATCCATCTTCTTTGTATTTTACAGCTCCTTATACTTATATATTGTTATATTGATATCTCTACTATCTCCAAAAAAAACGTAATCATCTTCTTTATCCTATATGTGTATTCCATAAACTATCTTACAGCAAAAACAGCGACGATGAACGTCTATATAAATATGGTACAATTAAAAAAAAACCTAAGAAATATCAGGAAGGAGGAGCTATTACAAAAGAAAGAAAGAAATAACCGGGGTACAGAAAGGATGTGTATACAAGAGTACGTCGGAATCAGCCGAATGGATGAGAAGAAGGGTATAACAACCAAATATAAATTAAAAATATAAGCTCTCCCTCCCTCTCCCTCTCCCAACCTTATCGCTGTGCGTCGAAATCATGAACAAGCGCCTTAATAGCATCAATGGTACCAAAGATACAGCCAACGATGCCGAGAAAGATGGTCAGTGCGCAGAATGCCAGTTCGTAGACTTTTTTGTTACGCCAGCCGGTGAGTCGCAGATAACAGAGCACAGGCAATAAAAACACCAGGCCGCAATTGGCCAACGCACCAATTAAGCTCATGAAATCCGAGAAAAATGGGACCTACATTAATATAACCAATAACGTCAGCTATAGTTGTAAATTTCTTTGAATGATACCAACAGCAAAATATAGCAGTTGATTTTACTTACAAAGACGGCGAGAACGACCAAAATGACCATGGTGACCGAACGGATGGCAGCACGCGCCAACCATGCACCGAACTTGCCCAACCGATCCTCATCCGCTCTCGAAAACCGTTCAAACTCTAGGGAAAACGATGTTGTAAAGATCGGTATCGCCAGAATCACGTGGATTGTCATGACAATGGTAGCAGTTGTGCGTCCAACTCCCAGAGGCAATGAATCGTAGATAGGCGATTGGGTATCACGACCATAGGCATAGTAACCGGGAATGGATGTCATGAAATAGAGTAGTGTACAAGTGCTTAAACCAGCCGTTACCGCCCATTTCCACTGTTGTGGTTTGCGTAATGCATGTTCGACGTCTACCAATAGTAATATGCAAGCAAGCAAATGTTATTGGAGCGTCCGGTTAGTATGCATCATCTTTAAACTTTTTAAACAGCGATCCATGCTACTGCTATTACGTACGAGGATAAGTATTGTTGCCACCAAACGAAAAAGCAATGGTTGACAAGGCTGTAGGGAATCCAGTCCAAATGACGCTATCTTGCACAACGGTCCGTTCTGGATGTTGATGGCGATCCGTGGGGGCTTGTATTACAACAACCAACACCGCAATCATAGTGCAGATAGCACCAACAGCACTCGTTAAGGTTACTTCGCGTAGGGTCTTTTGGATCAATGAAGGTATCAGTAAAAAGACGCCCACAAGGATCGTCCAAATAGCTTGAGTTAATCCTGCCGACTACATAGTAGATCATAGACATATAATGTGAATTCTAAATTCAGCAAAGGAGAGAAAAAAGGAAAGATCACGTCTACTCCGTATAAACAAAACATGATATATACCGTATGCTGTAGCAACTGATGCATGTTGCTACCTGCCAGAACCAGGTACAACGCGGGACAGCCGAACAAGTTTAAGAAATGTAGTACGGACGCTATGAGATAACCGATGCGACCAAATGCAGCTGTGCCAATAGCCTTGTAATCGTGTAATCGCTTTCCAGGCTGGTAATAGAGACACCGAATCAAGACAATGCCGCTGTATACAGCCATTCCATATGCCAACAGCAAAATAAGGATGCCCAACCAGCCACCTTCGGCAAACGCACGTGGTAGACCCAAAGTGCCTGTACCAGCAACAACACAGACAACATTAAAGTAGGCTGTCATGACACTTCCTTTACCATGGCCAAATTCGTTCAAATGGCTATCGTTGCTGGGGGACTCTTCAATCGTCACGTCGGCCCCATATCCCATGGCCTCTTGTTCTTTTTTGCTGCTTTCGGGTGTGGGTACGGATTCTGAGATTGGTGTTGGCGTTTTTGTGGTAGTCGACGCTGGTGGTGGTGCCATCATTTTTTCCGGATCACTTTGTTGCATAATTTCAAAAAGCAAAGAAAGCGGGTTACTAAAGAGATGGAGGGTGTGTATGTGTATTATCAAGTAATGTGCAAATTGAAAAGAGAGAGGTTGAGAGTTGTGAGAGTGAGTGCAAGAAGAGAGAAAAGGAAAAAAGCAATGAGAGAGAATCTCGCCCCCGCGGGGATTTTTATATGGCTATGCGAAGAACAACCCAACCAGAGCAAGGTGTCAGTTCAATGCAGCCACTTTTATCCACCCTAGCCAACGAATGGCGACCCGCATATTCCCCATTTTCCCCTACATTAGCTTTTTATGAAACGTCTTCCCGTTGCCGTTCGCGAATCAGATCAAACCGACTAATCGTGTCATTAAATTTATTCTGTGATATGTCTTGCATCATTTAAAAAACAGTTAATATAGCGCAGCAGTACATATGCAGTTATCTGTGCACCCTAACAGTGGTAAGCTACAAGACGGATATCCGCGATGTTTTATGCAATGATTAGCGTGCATACCCCATTAAAATTTTCCTCTATCTCTATGTCTCTCTCTGCTGCTTATCCTATTGCTCATCGTTCTCGATATATCCAGCCTAGTCGTCATCCCAATGAAATAAGAATGTTCCGCCCCTCCCAATAACCGCCACCACGTTTTCCTCTCATCAAACATACAAAGAAAAAGAAAAAGCAAACAACTACTTTATCGCCATGTTGATAAATCGGTTTCTCCCTATTTGCTATTTGTCAATCATCGTCATCATCCTCACGACATCCGCAACGCTCGCCAAACGTTTTACTGTTCAATTCCATGCATCGGCAGGTGATATTGAAGCTGCGCGTGCACAACAAGATTCATTTTTAAAACACTTGCAGCAACAGACTAGCTTGAATTTTACCGTCCGATTTCGATACACGCATGCATTGAACGCCATCTCTATAGACGTGGCAGAAGAACAAAGCAGCAACAATGGAACAATGTCGTCGCTATTACAGGACGCGTTATCACACCCACAAAGTTACCTTACTAGGCAACCTCTAGTACGTCGGTATTGGCCTGGTAAACGGTATCCGAGACCCCAGTCATCGTTACAACAGCAGCTGGACAAAGGCACCCCAAACCTTTCAGAGGCACATGCAATGACAGGGGTTCATAATATCTCTTCAACATGGTCTGGCCAAGGGATCAAGCTGGCGATTTTGGATACCGGTGTGGATTATACGCATCCTGCATTAGGTGGTTGCTTTGGTGTAACTTATCTTTAACTTATCTTCACATCTGCTGGTTGGAAGGGCAATCACGGTATATTGATACACTGCAATGGTTTTCCATCTTTTTGTTAGAATGGATGCAGGATTGCGCATGGCTATGACCTAGTAGGTGATAATTATGGAGGTAAATATATAAAAGCAGCTTTTTAAAGGATCTTGAATGCGCATTCCAATCCGTTTGTTTATCACATTGATGATAAAATATACAGATTCTCAAGGCATATTAATAACCATAATAAACAAATCAATCGCTTCATTCTGTATTGATTTATATAATGTATAGAGGGTGATAATGACGAACCTGTGCCTGATCCTGATCCAATGTAAATATTACGAAACATGTGTTAAGTTATAATTGTTTGTGGGATCCGGTGGAGGCGGCGGCGGGTGATTTAAAGGGGGGATATTAAACAGTATTAAGTTTTTTGACTTTTAACAAACATTGTATGTAATTATGCTGCTAAATTGTTTGTTTTAGGGACGTGTGCGATGGTCATGGGACACATGTGGCGGGAATAATTGCTGCATCGGGTGATGACCAAGTAAGTCTTGTCTGTTTGACCTTTTTTTGAGTACATAATATAGTGTCCTAAAGTTTGGCTTGCTTAATTGTGTTTCTCGTGTATTGGGGAACAAAGTCATTTACAGGCGTGGCCCCGGGCGTTAAAATGGGCGTATGGAGGTAGCATGATTGCTTAGCAAATATGCAGAAGATTGTTTAGAATCTTAGTACATGCATTTGATGTTTCAAACCATTGAAAAGAAGAGACTTACATGCTACTTACTATGCATGCTATGCATTACAGAATATTTGGCTGCGAAGGAGATACAGATGATGATATTATCCTAGAAGCAGCGTGAGCATTCATTCTTTTGTTCCTCATCATTTGTCACTTTTTATAAATTAATAACTGAAGAAAACGATAACTGATGATGACATGATGAACAAGTGAGCGAGCCATTCAAGCTGGCATGAACATCATCAACTTGTCACTTGGTGGTGACACAAGCGCTTGGCAAGAAGTTTGTATATCTTTTGCTTATGTTTAGCACCTCATTTACTTAACGCGAGCAACTGTGGTTGTAATGAAAGAAAGAAAAAGTGGCTAAATAATCATAAATAATAGGACGCCTTGGCTGTAGCGTTGTCAAGTATAGCAGATCAGGGTATCATGGTTGTAGTAGCGCAAGGGAACGAAGGCCGTGACGGGATTGCGCGGACTCCTTCGCCTACAATCGGACGTCATGTCATGGCAGTCAGTTCCGTAGATAATCAAATCAAATTAGCCCATGGTTTCAAAGTCAACAACGGAAACGATAACGATCATGGCGGCGACGCTTTCTTTGGTATTACTTTATAAATTTAGCCTCTTGCATATAGAGTGTGTGCATGCGCTGTGCATCATGCTGCATGTAATAAGGCACGCTTACCCCATCAATCGATCACCATGTGGCTTTCGATTACATTTAGAGTATCGATTATCCGACGACAGTCTCCTAACCCCATTTCCCAAGGTTACCCGATTCATACTACCAGCATCAGATCATGAACTGTATGCATGTCAACCGTATCAAAAGCCATTTCAAGGAAAAAACAATACTGTTTTGGTTAAGCGTGGAAATTGCAGCTTTGTTGATAAGGCACTAAATGTTCAGAACGCAGGAGGAGCGGGTATATTAATATATGCTGAAGACGACCGCCACAATGGATTAGTCTCTATCGGGTTCAAATCAAAAAGAGTGCAAATCCCAATTGGGTCGATCCAAAGAACTGTCCTCACATCAATCCAAGATGACCAAAACAAACCCTTTTTAGATGTCGAGCAAACAGATCAAATAGTGGAGTTGCCGTCGGCTGGTCTTTCTTCTTTGTATGTATAATAGGAAGCATACACCTTCTCTTCTCTTTACTGCTCAAGAATATCACCGCATCAGTAATTTCAGCGCTGCATTTATAATATGGAAAGAGACTTAACATGTGTTTTAGGTTTTCTACATGGGGACCTGATGCAGAGGTATGTCATATATTGCATTAGTATCTACCTCTTGGCTTTGTTATCGTGACTCTGCTACACTACTTGTAAATTTCACGTCTTACTATTTTTCCACTAACACCATACTACTGATGCTGCTATCTGCTGCCGTCAGTTGCATCTCAAACCGGATTTGGCCGCAGTGGGTGGTAATGTCTACTCCACGTTTCCTATCAATCTAGGCAAGTGTATACATCTTTTTTCCTCCAAGTATAGAGCGACGGTCACAAGTGTACCTAGTGTACGGAGCATTGAAAAGTCGGAAAGGAAAAGAAATGAAAGATATTTAAAATTGATATGCGAGTATTAACAAATTATCAGGAAAGTATGCAACAATGAGCGGAACAAGTATGGCCACAGTAAGTACTAACTTGTCTTGGTAAAAGTATCGATTTTTCCACTGAAATCAGCGAAATTATTTCGTATGTTCAGCCATACGTGTCTGGATGCATTGCTTTGTACATGCAAGCAACTGGATCACGCTCTCCAAGTCAGATATTCCGCGCTCTGTTCAATCACGCAAAACCAGTAGTGACACAGCATCATCCAAGCCAGCTAGAATCGCCTATCAAACAAGGTGCTGGTCTTATTCAGGTACAGATATTTACATTCTTTGGGGCATCTAAATAAGCACCCTCTCGTCCAACAGCTTCTACATATCAACATTTTCGGATCAACTTGTCTGTTACACCGCATCATTATCATACACATTATTAGATACATCATGCGATTCGAGGGGAGACCACAGTCAGCCCATATAAACTTGAGCTAAACGACACTCAATTCTTCAAACCAGAGAAAACATTAAGGATGAAGAACAGCTCACATGTTCGACGCATTTACCAGCTTGAGCATCTACCCGCGGCTGCAATCTCTGGTAAGGTGTTGTGCGGGGAATTATGGTTCTTATCTTTTTTAAAAGCTGCATGTGATGTATAACTCGTTTAAATCTAACAAAAGAGAACCCATTTTAAGGTTACGACTTCGACAAAAGTGCAGTTCCGCGCTATCGACCGCTCCACGTGGATGCCAACGCCACAGTCGAATTTGAAACGACACAATTGACACTCGAGCCCAATGCAACACAGCTCCTTCATGTTCGATTTAGTCCACCGAAATCAAAGCACAAACATCTACTCTATGGCGGATATATCAAGATCTATTCTTATGCTGACAATAGAAATGAGGAGCAAATACACGTACCGTATTTAGGTGCTCTGGACAATCAACGCGATCTACCCATTTTTGATACGATGGTAAGTAATTTAAAGTGTGGGGCCAACAACTCATTATGCTGTCGAACAGTAATAAATATATCAACCGTTTGCTTTTTCTTGCTTGCTTGCTGCTACCGCTACTGCTATATCCATCAATAATACAATAGAGAGGATACCCAAGGATCGAACCTGCAAACAAAACTCGATTCAGTTTCCAACGTGGCAACGATACGGCGCATCTGCATATCCGACTTGGGAGTCCTACAGCACGCTTAAGAAGTGTGCTTGTTAACCAAGAAAACAAGCGCCTGGGCACCTTGGTGGATGGATATCAAAAATGGGTCTCGCGTAATGACCATTCGGATAGCGCATATACTCTGGATTGGCGCGGTAAAATCATTATTCCTCCCGCAGCATTAATTGGGCCTTCTGCTACTGAAGCGACTGGGAGTGATGGTCCTTCTCCTCCTCTTCCGCCTCCTTCTTCCAATACCACTCCATCTCCAATGAACTATAGCAACATCATTGATGCTGCTCGTATAAATGACGGCGACGCATATGGTACCAAGAGCTGGAGCAGTAAAAATAACATTCGAAGAAAGGTGGTACGAAGGCACGTTCCACCAGGAAGGTACAAGATCCGTGTCTCGGCATTGAAAATCTTCGGTGATCCATTACTACAAAACGATTGGGAGATATGGTATTCGCCTGAATTCGAAGTAATTGACTGAAAATTGGAAGCAAGCATGAGGAGAAAAAATAAAAAACAATGATATTTTCGAATATCTTGCTATTAGTGTTCGATTGGATGAATTGGATGCTAGTAGTGCAGCATGTATACTTCCTGATCCTTCGGCCCTTTTTTCTTATCAAGGATTTTCAAGGTGATCATATATCATGCAATATACTTAATATACTCAAAGAAAACCGATACAATTCGAGGCACAGAACCACAAAGAACGATAGTATATCGATCTACTTTCTTATTTTATTTTCCCCGGATAAAGGCATATAATCTCGGAAAGTGCAAGTACAGAAAGGCAGGATTATAATACATGCTCGAGCTAATTGCCTAAACCTTTTTTGGAGTGTCCGGGGCTGTTTGTACTTGGGAGAAAGGAAGAGAAGGTATATCGGATGTTTATAGCCGGTTTCTTTGTCTGACTCAACTGATATTGGTCAGGTATTTATCATAACCATTGTTACCCCAGTAATAAAGCTCGTATCCTACATTAGCACATCTTTACAGAGCCAAGGCATCCAATCGCTGAGATATCCAGCATCTATCGTCATCATTAAGCACAACAGCCTACTATCTGTGGGAGGAGCGGATATTGTCAACATCCTTAGCACACGAACAAGAGTCAAGATATCATAGTATATCATCTGTTTACAACATTGATCAAATTAAGAGAAGATGGTACAAATGTCACTTCACCGTCTTTTTCACAATTGTAGGTTTTAAAAAAGTCTCTCTACTAGAAAACTCAGTCACTACCAAATAGCAAATACTGATGCTGGGAAAGTCTTGCCAAAATTGAGATATCATACAAAAAGTCATTGCATTTACTAAGTTGAGCATTGACCCGCGGTTTACTGTTGCAAAAGAAGGGAAAATATGGGGGGCACGTGGGTTGACGTTAAATTGGGACTTCACATAAAAAAAAGCTACCGCTATGTTGGAACTGTTGGAACTTTACTACCTTCTTTTTCTCTCTCCTTCTAGTAAAAAGTGAATTCCAGATATTCGTATGACTACGCCACACTGATAGTTTTAAAAGAATATACGGCGCATCTGAACCGAAACTGAAACGCAATATCTCGTACTGTACTCTTCTCTTACTGATTGTCTCCTAGCTTAGTTTAGTCTTAAATCATAATTGACGAAGCATAAAACAGGATTTGTTTTTCGATTCAATAAATGATGAAGACAGGCTGCATCACATCAATATCTTGCTCCTTTTTTTTTCTAGAACATTACCGAATGTAATATATGCTTTTATCGTAAAGTTAAGAATATTTTCGCTCTCCTCTAAGGATACTTTAATACCATGATAGAGATCGACAAATACATCAAACCCAGCTCCTCAATGCTCAACCGCTGCCGCATAATGCTGAAACCACAGAAGGCCAGTGATTTACTACAAGTAATAGCATACTTACGGATCCAATCCTGTCATTGCGGACGATGAAACATCGGTGTACCTGCATAATGTTTGACTTAGCTTAACTATATCGAAATTAAAAGAGTAATAACCACTTGATTCTTATGAAAGATATTGATCAATGTATTAAGTACAGCATTTTTGTTGCTTAATTTAATCTAGCCTGCAATTACACTGTACATTGTAATAGCCTTCACTATGTCGATGGCAAGAGGTGCTTGCAATAATGGCAAAAGAGTTATGCGGCGAAAGTTGAGGCAGTAGTAGCTGTAAGTGATATATGTAGTAAGGGAGTAACAATAGGTTGAGAAAAAACAAACGGTGGTGGTACAGAAAGGCGCACATTGTTCTGCACATGAGGAGGCACCAGGAGCATGATGCTGTTACCGTTCTTGAAAATCGTTTTCGTTACTGCTGGGCTTGAGCTATTGCTGAAATAGGTTGGACAGGGAAATTTGGTTTTTGCCTGAAGTTGACATGATTCGAAATAAGTGTAATGGTGGTTACTGGTATTGGTACTACGTGCATATGTTATTTGAAAAAGAGTCTAATGGTGTATGGTTCTACATGTGTGTGGAAAACGGGAAATATGGAAACCCGCCGACACCCGTGGGGAATCGCCTTTATTTTCCCTTGGGAAACTTTATTATTGGCTGGGATGTATCACCAGAGCTTCTTTGTTGTACATTGCACAAAATGAGAAGGATACTTGTGCGTGAGTGCATTCTTAATAGTCCTGGAGATTGATGCGGTCGCTTGCTCCTTTTTCTTTCTTCTTTTTTTATTTTTGTCTAATTCTCGCTTCTTCAGTCTACTGCACTAGTTACTATATTTTCTCCTCTCTTTTAATCAATAACACTATAACCTTCATTCACAACAACCATTATTGGGGGGATCGTAGCCCATGATAACGCTGACGGATTATGGCGTACGAGTAGTGGACAGATTAAACATGATGGGAATGTGGCTGGCCGTCGTGGTGTCGATTCGCAACTACATGATTTGCTATAACCAGTACCGGAGAACAAGAGGCAAAATGTACTTGATCCCACACAAAACATACTATAAATAATTATGCAGGGCTTATAAACCTTTTCACTTCACCTTACTAAAAATATTTGTAGTCACCTGGTGAACATTGGTCAGGTACTCGTCCTGCTTGTGCATCGATTTTTATACGGCATTATTCCGCTGTTTGAAATCAGTACATGCGCATATTTTCCTCTCCTCGTCTCGTAAGTGCTCATTCATCGAATTTTTCGACTAGTGCTTCCCTGATCATTAATTGCACGACAACTTTTTAAATGTAGACTATGGCATATCAGTATGTATTTAGCAGGACCTCGTTGTTCTCGCTCTGCGTCTTTTGATTACTTGCTCATCCAATATTTCATCTTTTCTCTGTCTTGACTGTATTTAGCGTACATATTGTTCTACGTGGTCATGTTCATGCGATTAATCATTCTTGAGTCCGACCGGCACTCGTTGTGGATCAAGATTGTGGGTATTCTATTAATTACTGTACGATTCGCCGACTGGCCATACGAGTTGGCCTTTGTTACAATCCAACAAAACATCATGAACCAGCAGATCCAAAGCGGCGGCACCTGCTGGGCGCAATGGGGCCAAGGGGTGATCATTGTAAACTTTGTTGGTGACGCACTGGCCAACCTCTTCTTGAGCGGGATGTTTGTGCGGCGACTGTTTTTACACATTCAGCTGTCCAAAAGGGCCATGAGTCGTCAAAATCGGCTCATTGAATACATTGCCCGCAAATCACTCATGTGTTTGATCTTCACCTTCGTCGTCAACTTGGCCATGAACTTACTCAAAGTCACCACCTTTTTGGGCGATCGATCGGATGCTTTTACTGTTTATTTCCAGCTAATTGAATCAACGTTGTTAGTGGAAGCGCTTCGTGTCGATTACACTCGAGTACCGAATCAGGCGTTCTGTGAAAATTGTGGCATGGAGATCCAGTTGCCGCCGTCGTCCAAGAGCAATAAGCATAACAAAGGCGGACATGGCAGCAATCGCAGCCGAAATAAGCAACAGCAGCGACAAAGCTATTCGTTACCGACACCCGTGGAGACCGAGGATAGCATCATGCGCGCTGTCTCGATTTTTGAAGCTTCCACGTCGCAACCGCATGTACGCGATTCGATACTAAGGGACGAGGAGAAACGTGGATCCATATCGGCACCGGTTGTATTTGGGTTGAGTGATCGGCCAGTATCACCATCGACAAAACGAGCTTATCCAATGTCCCCACCCTCATCAACGACACCATTGCCTGCAGCAGTAACGACATCGGATGCTGTCACCGCTGCTACGAACGGTACCACTTCTGTCAGCAGCAACAGCAACAGCAACAACAACAATGGTCGTAGTAGGCGACCGCTATCACACCATCCAGAATGGAGCAATAATGATTATCGCATGTTTTGAAATATTACACATCTCACCCCCTTGCTTCTATATTGAATCTAGATAAACCACAAACTCTCATTTTGTACATATAATTTTTAATACCTCCTTCACTCTCTTTCTTTCTGTTGTATGCATCATTCTTATTCGCCCACTTTCCTTACACATCTCCTCTTCGTGACACTGTTAACTGGCTTAACGTGTCTTCTTGCTTAATACTATTGTGGAACGAGCACACTCTACTGCCAATGGATTTTTTTATTCTGTATAGATAGTGATGATAGTACATTTCGACAAGAGAGAAAAATAGAGGATGCTCTTTCGTTAAGAAGAGGGCTAAAGGAAGAGAAGGAAGGAAGGGTATACACACAGCAAAAAAGAAAAAGAGCGAGAGTAGACAATGAATATTGCCCACTTATGAAGCAGAAAGAATACACTTTTTGTTTTGCAAATCAAAAACAGTTTGAACCAAAAACTTTTGGTTACCGACTTCCAGATTGTATGTTGCATTGTTGTTAGAGTCCTGGCTGACCGTGCCGTACCATTCGCCATCAGGGACATCTGAACCAGCACAGAAGTCACCCAACTCAATCGTTGTTCCGTTCTGCTGAATCATCCAAGCATCGTTACGAGGGTCTGTCAATACATCTTGGATTTCGTGTGAAAAGATAGTAACAGCAGCGTCGATAGCCGGAGATCCGTTGGGCGACTTATCTTTGATCATCGGTGGAATACAGCTATTTTAAAATATAGTGGTTAGTTACGGCTAACTAGCTCACATAGACATTACTTACTAGTCAGCACAGGTACCGGGATAACCGATAAACATGTACTGGAATTCATCGCTGTGGCTGTTGTAGCCACAGTTTTTGGTGCAGAATTCACTGTCAGAAACATCGCTACCGGCAAACAAGACATAGACACCATGGGGATCAATTTGATTTGTTGCTGACAAGTAGCCAGAATTGACTGCGTCGAGGATGATTTGCTTATGTGCGTTTGTATCGCTCAGCGTCAGACCACGGCTGCCTGCGTCGTTTACGGCAGCTGCTACGTTCAAAGGTCCTGTCACTGCATTGCTGTCGCTGTCTGTATATTGTTTGACTATGTATAGATAATGTGGGTTAGATAAACTTTCTGGTATAAAGGACAGACAAGAAGAAGGTGATAATTACGTGTGTTGAACCATTGTGTTGAAGATACACCATCGACAAAGTTCATGAACGTCGTTTGTTCGTCCTGCGATGACGTCCAGTTACCATAGAAAACTATGTAGACTATTTACGGTTCAAGGTAAGTTCAAATAATTCAAGATGGACACATTTTATTTTGTTTTCCGTGTTTTCCTGTTCGTTGATAGAAAAATAGAAAGCTAGCATTACCATTAACTTTGTCATTGAGCACTTTACCACCGGCACTTTTAAAACTGTCACCATATAAGGTTGCGATGGGAGTTGAAGTAGTACTATTGGAAATGGTCGTCAGTTGATCATCTTGAGCTGTAGCCAATCCAGCTAAACCCGAAAGAACTAAGGCTCCCAACGTTGACAGCAGCATATTCTTCTTCTTCTTCTTTGATATGTGTGTAAGAGTGTGTATAATATGTATGTTATGTATAATATGAAGGAATGGTTAGGGAGGAGGAGAGCGAAAAGAGGTTGAGCAAGAAAAAATTATCAAGGCACACAGTGCACACACACACGCTCCAAAATCCGGTCCGTCGCAAAGGAAGGGTTTCTATAGACAAGCTAAATTTAGCAAAGAACAATAAACTATGATCCAATCAAATTAGATACAAGCATAGTGTGTCCGACGGTTTGACAAATGAAATGGTTGTCAGCAGTACACAGCATCTTTCACTGGGACACTTGTGCTATAAGCTGCTTATTACTAGGACGATTCCGATCGATCTTTTTTTAAGCAGCTGTCTATGTGCTACTTTTTCAAAATACGGATCGTGTCCGGTGCGTGGTGCAGTAGAAAGATTAAGGATGGGATTTCTGTTGTAACTAGCAGCAATCTTCCTTTTTTAATAAACATCGTTTTTGTCAAAGAGACACCACTTTTTATTTTCGTTTTGTTTTTATATCATCACCAGCACATTATCACTCGTCGTTGTCGTCATCTTCTGCTTTCTAGGGGAGGGAGTATTAGGTTAATTTTCTGATCATAGTAAACTTATCAATAGCAAGCCCATGTTCTCATTGTCTTAATCCGTCGCCCTTCATCATCTTCTTCAAATATCATACTTTTCCTCCGCCCCACTCATATACCAAAACAAAGGAGTGCACGGCCGAGAGAGGTTAAGTCTGCGTGCAAAAAGTGATGTAAGGAGGAGAAAAGAAGCATAAGAATAGGGGTGTTCCTTTCTTTTCGACTGAGAGTAAACAACACTGAAATGCGTGATGTGAAAACCGGGACATCAAGCAGTAATAGTAAATATATCCAAAAGATATTCCAGTCCAGACACACCCCCGGCTTCCTTCCTTCACTCGAAATGTAAAATAGACACATACTTCTCCTAACATCATGGATCTAGCAAAGAAGAGAAAACTACTCCTCCATCCTTTCTTTGCCTCTGTCCTACAAGCACTAACTCCCCAAGTCTCCTCGAAAAAAAAAATGAGCAAGTAACCCTGATTCAGTTCCTTTCTCTCTCTCTCTCTCTTCTTTCTTTTGCGCATTCTAACTGATCATACTAATACACACTGTCTCTCTTTCTCTGTGTGTTCCTCTTTTAAAAGCCCTTTTTCCTGTTTTTGTATACATAACTCTTATCAATAATGGTTGCTACAACTTATCATCGTCGGCAATCGTCTAGCGGTGGAATCGTCGGAGGCAAATCAACACGGCGTCGGCCATCCCTACGTCGACCTTCTGAAGTGAACAGTAACAAGATCCCAGTAGGTGCCGCCGCTGCTGCTGCTCGTAGCAACATACTTCGAGCGCAACAACAGCAACAACAAAGTGGTATTAATAGCGGTGGTCCTCGGCGAGCATCTGGCAGCCTATTACAACAATCTACATTACACCATGACTGGCGTCGACCGTCAGCACCTGCAAATGTTGAAGCACCCCGATTATCTATTGCCGATCGATTCATGGCTTCCACCTTTTCCCATCCACCTTCACCGCCTCCACCGCCTCCACCTGTTGTGGTACAGCAGGCTGATGATGACAGCAATACGTCCTCTTCATATGCTGGACGAACAAGCACTGTCTCACGACCGTCAACAGATCCGGTCTCTGGGAGACTGACAATTGCCGATACGTTTATAAAAAACAGCAGCTCTCGTTCTTTGATCTCATCGTCTGTGTCATCCAACGGGGATGGTGATAACAGTATGAATACCAGACATCCTGCATATGCAGGTAATAGCTCAGTTTTTTTTTTTAGAAACACAGTACTTTCTACATCCTTCTCTGCACAAAAAGAGGAATTGTTAATGTAATAAATGTAGCACCTACTGAACCGACTCATCCACTCGAACCACCACCCCCTCAACGCTCAACATTGGATACACATCTCGCACTCGACTTGGATTTCGCATTGCCTTCGCCCGCCAGCACACTTGATGTCGGTCGCCAATTAAGCAGACCCTTCGGCAGCCAAGAGACCTTGGTACAGCCACCCAATATGGACAAGAAGTTACACGAATTCGAGAAAGAAGGGTCCATTGCCGACTATGAAACGTGCTCGCTACGTTCTTCCTCATCTACTATGGAACATTGCAGCAACAGCAACGAAAAATCCTATCATCATCACGATGAAAAATGGCTCAACATGTCATCCGAAGAATTAGCCGTACACAATTCACGTAGTCGAGGCGACGGAAATAACAACGATAATGACGAAGCAAAAGGAATGTGGATTGCTTGCTGTTTTCTTAGCTGCAACGGACAACAACGCCGACCTCAACAACCAAAAGAGCCGCGCAAATGCGGTCGACGCGGCTGGGTGTTTGGCAGCTTCATTTTCTTCATTTTGCTCATTATAGCCGCCTATCTACTATGGCCGCGTACACCCCTGATGCGCATCGAAGGCGCAACTCTATTGTCGCCAGCACGCATCACGGAGACACACCAAGGCGTCATGGTTGGCAATGTGGCGTTCGAAAGTCAATGGCTAGTCAATGTGACTGTAGACAATCGTCAGAATCGGGTACCAACGCGATTGACTCAAATTGAAGTGTTGGCCAAGGACGCATTGACTGGTTTAGTCATTGGCAAAGGAGATAGCAATGACAATTCTAACGAGCAAGCATTGGCAGCTAGTACCATATCCACGATTCAGTTACAAGTCTCTTTGGATTACCAGGCCCGTGATGATACTGATACGACTTTTTCGACATTGAAAAAGGCATGCACACAACAACCACCCAAGACATATCATGATAGCAAAACAAATCAGACAATCACGGAACAGCCTAAGCGTGAATCATTACAATTGCATTTCTGGATTACGCTACATATTTTCGGATTAGACTGGGTTGGCTATAGACCCACACTCATCGCCACGCCTGCTACTGGTGGTTTTGCTTGTCCTTTATCTTAAGCAGCACACACAACGCATACATTCACACAAAACCAAAGAGAGAAAAGAGCATGCTGGAATAGTAGTACCTCACCTTATAATGTTTTAAGTAGTAGAAGCATTTGCCACCACCTATCCGATCTTCTCCACCACCCACATCGTTATTTCCTCCCTTAAATCTAAATGTAATTTGAAAGCGGTAGAGAATACTATCAGCACTAACAACTTTTCCACAACCTAATTATTCGTTTCCACACACACCACCCAAATTATACAGCACACACACATTTCCTTTTGTTGGAATAACTAAGCATACTTCATTGTAAAATCTACACTTAATTTTTTTGCAGTTATTAAAGAAGGTATCCTCCTTTGAATTTATTAGATCAGTGGATGACTTTTCTGCTCTCTACGTACTTTATATTTCTAGTCTCCTCTTTACGAGTTTGAGCAAAGGTTACCCTAATCAATCTCTTCTGTGTTATAACAATTTTTTGATTAACATACGTTCTTACGATATTTAAGATGCAATAATCATTATATATTATAAATAGTAATTGCATTGTCATCGGATAAAATCATTACACAAAGTATGTACAGTACCATGAAAAAGAAAACGTTTTACTAGACGTTTTCTACAGTAGGCAGTGTACAACAAAGTTCATATTAATGCAGCTCTTGAGTTTCGAACTAGATAACGTTTGTTCGAATGGTGCAAGAAATACTTTGTTTTGAATTTAATGGTATTCCTCATAAAACATATTTGAGCCTGCAAAACATGCCTGGGCTTAATAACAGTAATTTTGAATAGAAAAGTAACAACCCATAAAAATACCCAAGAGTACTTACGAGCTTTCTACGCACACTGCGAACAGGGTACGTCATCCTCACTATATCGGTAATACAAGGTCAGGGGGATGTTAGTCGTTGATAAGAAATTGTCGTCGTGCCAGGTGCACTTACCTAAGTGAAGGAGCCGCCGGGCAACGCAGGACTCAACCAGAGCCCTGCTCTTCAACAGTGGGCTATGCAACCGTTTATAATAACGAAGTGATTTATCAGAACTGATAATTCTCACACGAATGACAACTTCTCACACAGCTGCACAGCATAAAAGCACAACTCACATGACGCTACCCTGTGCAGGTCAGTGCCCCAGAGAAAGAGAGAGAGAGAGAGAGCGAGAGAGCGAGAGACAGAGAGAGACAAAACTTCAAAGAAAAAATCAAAAAGAATGTTAGACCAGGTTGCAAACAAAGAATCACCAATCGTGACGATCAAACAGCAACTGCAATGACAGAATGTTAATGAAGTCATACGTACAAAAGGCCAAAAACAAAAAAAAATGATGCGGGGCTAGCGCGTTGAAAATTAGGAAGAAAAGCCAACGTCTCGATGAGTCGTGCAGTATGCTACTTTTTTAATCTTTTTGATCTTATCAATCACAAGGTTTCACTAGTATCGTCAGCAGCATGTTTCATCAATGAGTACTGGTAAATAGAGAATGGACTCTTTTTTATCGCACACAAAGGGATCCCTTTATCTTTAACGCTGCTTCTTTTGACAGAACATACTACTACTTAGTCTACCATACAAACATTCTATCAGTGATCAAACAAAACGTAAGTGATAAATCGTGTATCAGTTATGCGCAAACTCATTACGCATTTTAATAGGACTTTGTATAAAAAATGGCATTGCATAAAAGTAATGTTTTTGCACCTATGACCCTTTGTAACCCCTGCAATATTGTCGTTGATATTATGCATTTTGGTTTTTTCAACTAGAGACACTATTATGGCATATGATGGTGATACGACGCGATCAAGTTCATATTACAGCAATGTCATGCACCAGTATTTCGAGTGTGACACGTAAAAACTTATTTAGAGCTGTCATTGGCTGCTTTAAGGATTCTTATACAGCCTTCTAATTGGCCAAAATGTAAGCCCAGGAACTTCCGCTGTTGCCCACATCACTCCGGATGCTAATAAAGTGTAGCGTACCCGTAGTACCTATTGGTACGATATCAACGGACAAGTTCAGAAAGTCGGTTTATTAGACTAAATATGCTTACATTATCACACAATTCCTCCTTTGCGCTCAAAGCAGTACGTTATTCAGGTGACATGCTGTCACGAGCAATATTGGCTCGCCACAAGAAGTGTTTAGTAACTGCGCAGGCTAGCGAGGCAAATGCTAAGAGACCAAGTATGACCGAATTTCCCAGAACATAATGGGGTGCATCTTTTGCTCGATACTCTTGTCCACCGACAACGCTGCCGGCTGTGCCCACTGAGTTGGCAACAGCAAGTGCTACCACCGTTTGTATGCTTCCAAAGCAATTGGATAACCATTACAAGCGGATCGGTGAGGAAGCGAGTACACCCGAAGCAACAAAACAGATACCCACGTACAGTCCTCCTATTCCACCATCAGATCGAAGCCTAATCAGCATGACCAAGCCAACATTAGCAACGACAGCTGAGGAAGATGTATGAAGTAGCGGAGGAAAGTGTCACACCAAATATACAGGCTTTTTTAAAGAAGGTGTTTATTCTGGTACTACATTACCTATGATCCTGACATCTGTGTGAGATATCTTTTTTTTTTCGTATCTACGACATGCTTGTGTTTTGACTGGTTAAAACCCGAGCCCGCGTATAATTGCTGGCAAAAAAACAATTATCATACATAAGCTACGACTAGCCGTCATGGTGCAGATTTCCAATCACGAAATACGGCATAAAATTGACACCATGAGAACTTCTCTTCTGTGGCAGGTCTTGCATCAATCCTGAGCCGTTTAAGTATAAGCATCCATTTCGTTTCGTCAAGGACAGGGATATTTTATTATATGAACGTTACGAAAGTTTTAATATTGATGAGAAGATAGCCCCCTTGACGTATATAGTAGATGGACTGTCATAGTAGACTAGTCTCGCTTACATTTTGCGGTACATAATGCAGAGTTTTTTTCTTATTGTTATCACAATAATGCATCTGCCAACATTCTACATAGATCTAAGGTTACAGTTTTGGGCCTTTTGAAACCTTACAGGGTCTTGGAAGGTCGTTTTAGGTATCTGCAAGGCTACAAACGGCAGCAAACGGCTATTATATATTTCGGATGAATGACAAGTGTTTAAGAACACAGTAAAGTCATACAAATAGCAATATAAACTATAAACTATAGACTGCTACGAATGAAGGAATTTGTATATATAGTCTTTGGCTTTTCGAATCCATTAAATCCAGTCGCGGCACAAGCGTACGCCCCCATATTCTCTTGACAAATCCAGTCGCCAACTCCTAACAAGGGCAACCGGACATCTTTAAGCAAACAATCTTTGGGGTCGCATGTTGGTCCCCAGACGCTTGATATAAACCTATTCTCGTCTTTTTCATTTTCATTATCATAGACATGCGTTCCGTTTCTCATGATCACTGAAAAGGGGAACATTGAGTCAGAAATCATCATGATCTAGTTTGAAGAGTCAAAGCAAAAAAAAAAATTGCACATCTTACCGCGTAAGTTTAAATCATCACGATCAAGTAATCGTAGCATGAACGATCCATGCATACCATCGTTTAGATAATCTAAGTTAGTTCAATATAAGTTATACATACAGTTGCGTTGTGCATAAGTAATAATTTTAGGCAATTTAGTCTTACACATGTATTGTTTTCGTTCTGAATCATCTGGCAGTAATACACGGCGTCCAATAATATGTGAGCATACAGTAAATGCAGATGAAACGTAAAATCTTCCGGGCTCGGCAATAACCTGTACACAATGTTGAGAAAAGTATACATATAACATATCGCTATTTCTAGGATTAAATCCTGGAAAAGAGGGGGAGGGGAAAGAAATACATACGCGCACATTCGGTGGAAAAAGCCGGTCAACAGCTTCTCCTAACGTCGCCGCCACGTCCTCGAATGTAATTCCATGTTGAATATTACGTCCCGGCATCCCACCACCACAGTCCAAAAGCTTCATTTGAAACCCAATGGATGCAGCCTGGTCAAACACGTTTCTTGCAAGATCAACTGCATCTGCAAATGCACGTACATCGGAGCATCCACTGCCAACATGAAAGCTATCAAATTTGAACGACATATGGAATGATAGAATGTGAGCACATAAAATGCTTGTGAGGTGTGCTACGATCAATTATCAAAGCATTTACTTTACTTTCACCCAATGTCAATATTTACCTTACACCAATTACGTTAAGCTCGAGCTCCTTTGCAGTGATCAAAAGCGTTTTGATAGTATCCAACGGCGCACCAAACTTTAGGCCAACTCTGATCTGGGATTTCGAATCATCCGTCAACATGCGCAAAACAAGTTGGGCGTTGGGATAAATTCTTTTAATTTTGTGTAATTCTTCTGTGCTGTCAAAAGTCATGAGCGAAACATTGTTGTCAGCTGCATAACGGACAAATGAAGGTTGCTTGCACGGGTGCGCATATATGATGCGAGATGGGTCAACACCGGCATCGAGCACTTGCTGAATTTCTGATCGGCTTGCACAGTCGTAACCGACACCCAATGACGCCAGATATTTCACCACCATAGGATCAGGATTGCATTTAATAGCTAAGAAATTATTGTGTGTACCCAAATGAGATAATATTAGTTTAGTCAGTCATAAACAGAGCTTTTTTTTTCTTTCCGCGTCTGTGTATCGAAACGAACAGTTTGGAGACAGAAAAAAGATGTTTTAATAGCGCACCATAGAATGGTTCGATCCTTGGCAACAACGTTTTCCATTTCATATGTTGTCGATGTAGATCACCAAGATCTCCCACTACGAAAGCTTCGTCGTATCCTAGCTCCAACTTTGGAATGACTTCTTCGAGCCTTTGATGTATCACTTCGCGGATACTGCCCGTGTATATGGTGTGATGCTCGTAGTCATTGACACTGTTGATGTCGTTGCCAGGGAGCATAGCTGCTGCTATGGTAATACTATCACCAATCATATTCTCTTTGCGCGAAAGTAAAAAGAGTGAGAAAGATGGAAAGAAATCAATCTTGAAGTAAAAAATCAGCAGTGAATTATAAACAATCCCTTCAGAAGGAAGCGATAACGATAGAATCTTAATAAAGCGGTCCTTGCAAATGTCGGAATTATAAAAGAAAACAATGACAAGGCGTTGGAAAAGCTGCTAATTATATTCTTCGGGATAGTGCGTGTAGCCGAATAATAAACGACCGTGCTATGAGTGTTGGAGCAGCAATGTTTAGTGGCGATGCATAAGCTTTCAGCACTCCTCCACAGGTTATTGTCAGTCATAGGCGTAAATTCTTGATTGATATATCTCGTGGTTGATAGCGTCAGCAAAAAGCACCAACAGCTGCAGAATGCATCCCCTGCAGGTCCTATAGAACTATGCTCGTCGCAGAATGAGCACCCGGGATCTCCACAGGAGGCTCTATACGTGTCAAAAACGCATCTTGCTGTTGCTGTTGCTTAATATCCTAGAAATGAAATTTCTGCCATAAACACATCATGCTGCATCATTTATTTGTGTAATACTGTATACTGTACATAGTCGATTATATATAACCACTAGTTGTATTTTGCAACAACCCGCAGTAAAAATAATACTGTGTTGGTGGTGCAAACTATGTATCTTTTCTAAGACCAAGATAGAGGAATGATATTCTTCGTTCATCACCAGTATAGTCATATGGCGAATTTATATGCACCTCCCTAATCTTTTGATATCTCTCTGACATGCCCAGCGTGAAAGCTTATATTTTTCAGCGCATGCCATTATAGGTTACTTATTGAATTCATATTTGCATATCGAGACTACATAGAACCTTTATTATCAATATTCACCCCATACAAAGCTAAAAGAGAAGAAAGAGCGCAATATTCTGCAAGGTGCTATATTTAAATTTTGAGATACAACTACTTATAACAATGACTGACTTCAATACACGAAGGAAAAGATATGTATAACAGGTTGTATATATTACTCCTGTAATGAAGCGGTGCGATAATGGCGCCATGGTTTATAGCCGCTGCATCGGTAAAATCCTACTAGGTCAACCCAGTCCACATACGAATTTTGACGCCACGTCGTCTTAGAATCTGATTGGCCTTGATCATCAAACCGGTTCCAATACCTCTACGACGTTCTTCTTCAGCAACGCTGACGCGTGTTACACCACCGCTGGCCTCGGTAAATAGCTTCTTGTCGGTCCAAACCAGGTGACTACGGTCATCATGGGAGGTGTGAGTCGTGTGCAAAATGACACTGCCCAAAATTCGACCATTCTCGTTATCCTGGCGTGCCACTAGGAAATCTTGATAACCACCGAGATCGGCCTGATGCTCGTATGTTTCGCACCAAAGTGGAAAGCGTTTTTGTAATGCATGTAGCTCCGGAAATTGGCTCGGTTTGATACGTCCAAACCAGATTTTCTCGCGCTGCAAACGTGCTTCAAATGGCCTCTGTGTTGTTTTTATAATCTCTTTTCGTTGTAGACTGGCACTCGTTCTCGGTGTTTACCAAATGGCCGACAAGGTCACATACTTGATTTGAATCGATCTTCCATCCGCGTTGTTCAAAAAAAGTTTTGATGCTGCTTCTTGTCTTCTGGAAGACCGGGAAAGAAACGTGGGTATGTCGACCCCAGCATCCACTCGTTGCATGATTCTCTCTTCAAATGATTGAGTGCGAGGTTATGCAAATGGGTCCCAATGCCATAGTTCTCATAGTTTGGATTGGTCATTAAGAGCATCAGTTCGCCTTTCTTGGATGAGCCCCATTCAAAAATCTGGGTTGCGACAAAGCCAACCATTGTACCCGTTCGGTAATCTATGGCTACCCAATGTCTAGGTTGCTTAGCCATGTGCAGCAGCTTTTCAATCTTGTCGTCACTCAGCGGCCAATTGGAGCCGAACACCATATCCCAGAGGCCAGTTACCTCGGCCAGATTTAAGTCTGGGTCGTATTTTCTGATAACATAAGAATCGCTGCTATTGTAAAGAATGTCATTGGTAGCATTATCAGCTGACGACAAGCGCATTACGTCACTGCTATGGGTATTCTCTTACTTTCGATTTCTATACGCGACAACATGTGCATGGATTTCGGGAAGGGATAGCATATCGTACATGTTTTTCGCATGAGGGACAACAACGATTAGCTGTTTCTTGATTTGAAATGCGTGTTGTATAAGTGGTTCAAAGAATGTTTGTGTGTTAAGTATCGACTGGTCGATGACAATTACACTGGCCTGCTGAATCACATCGAAAGTGCCACCCCCTATTTCTTCTTTGTCTTCTGTGACAGAATCGAATAAATCGTCAATACCCCATGGCGGATTCAATGCTATACTGTCACGTAAGCGCACACCTTCGTCACATTTTCATAGACGCACCGCGTTTCCCTGTTCATTGAGATCAATAACCAGAGACCGTTTTTTAAGATTGTGGTAGACGTAGAGTGAGCACTGTCGTAATGATATAAGGAACTGTCGCATTTGTTCCGCAATCTCGATTGAGAGAGTGCATAGTTTTACGTCCGCAGTGATACGGCGATTCTGCTTAATAATACTTGTCTCTAAGGAAGGCGAAGAAGGAGTTGTGTTCCAGCCCGAGACACTGTATTTTTCAGTAGCTGAGCTACTGCTACTCGAGTTTTTCCGTTTGGACGGTGAGATGTATGTGACGATTGTCATTAAAAAAAAGAATCGAGCAAAGAAAAGAGATATGAATGTTTTTTTACTGCGATGTACGTATAAGTAATACACTAAAACGACTGCACATCGTATGATGTACGTCGATGCATGCAAACGTTGATTCCTTAGCATGTGCATACATGTTGTTGTAACCATATGCTGCTCAGCCAGTGGCTCTTCTACTGATTGGGGAGTAGCTATTATTTCGATTAATAAGCGGTTATTTTGTCATAGCAAAAATGACCGCCCTTTGATTATTTAAAAACGTTTATTTTCAGTATCGCTCATGGCGAATATGATCTTGGATGGCATACGGTTTTTTTTAGTTTTTTGGCGCTTTTGCATGACATATAACTTTTGCTGCTTCTACGTATACTTCATTGCTCATTTTCATGCAACTTCTACTGCAGCAAACAATTTCGGGCTTATTGAGCTGCATGTGCATATGTCGAACCCTCGAACATTTGGGATGCTATTTATGAGCTAAAATCAAATTCTACGCGACACATAGCGGCTTCCATATTCAGTATCCATCGTAGCAATATGTTACCAGATAACTTTGCATTTTTAACGCCAACAGTTCAGAACATTTATTTTGTTTATTCTTATTACCTACATATTCAGTGAATGTTCCAGCAACTGCATTCTCATGCACATCCGTATAAGCATACATTTGACTACTGTAAATATTTACCATCTGTTGTTAAGTACTATAACAGCTTTTATGCATTATAGTAATTCCCTCCACGTCTTGGTACATATAACAACCGAGCACATACCACTAATTTACAGAAGAAGTGCTGGCCAGTGTGTTGTTAGCCATGATCACATGCAATTACCTGATGATCTAGCTACAGTATATTAAATATATTGCAACGCTGTCTTTACAGTATTAATCCGCCTCATACCCTCCATTTTCAATCAAAATATACTTTTGTCAACATAAAGAAATCGAGATATCTATGTCATTGTGGCTCGGCAAAAGAAAGAACAAGTTCCGCACGTTGTCGCAATCATCGTTGCATCTACACTAGCTATATGTGGGTTATATAACTATGTAACTCTCGGTTCTGTAAACAAACCCAGGGAAGCAGTCTATAGTGATGAATCACGAGAAGCTCCGTCTCCAAAAGCTGCTCTTCCATATTTTAATGGTAATGTATATTAGGTTTAGATTTATGATTTATTGTGAAAGACTGAATAAACCGGCGCTGATGGGCATGTGGTCGCTTCCTTGCGGTACAGGATGATGTGAAATATATATGTAATATGAGGGGGTGCAATAAAGTGATATATATTATTTGATTGTCGCCAATAAATTCAATGTATCGGCATGGTGCACTTATCTAAACTCTGGCCTTTTCTTGAGTTTTTGGGTCACTATTCTCGAATTCCCAAGGAGCGTTATACTCACACGTTTGATGATTGGTACTAGGAATATGGTCATTTACTACATCAAATATGCTTCAATTTTGTGTTCAGTAATATAACGCGTTTATTTAAATGTCACTGTATGATTACCAGGCCCCATTATACGCGTTCAGATGGGTATCAAGCCTTGGATTGTAATCGGCGACCCTTACGTCGCTACTGGGATCTATAATATCAAAAGGAAACTGGACATCTGGATGGCCGCACCATCATTTTCTATTCGAAATTCACAGAATTAACCACAGGTATTTGTTCAGTCAAGCGATTAGAGCAATACTCTACTGTATAGCACATTCTTCCGTTGTATGGCAGTTACACTATGATAACATTGTACATAGAGTAATATAGAGGGTTTCTAAAGTATCCCGTAGTCCTGTTTTTACTAATCCTGATAAGCGATGGAAGCGAAGTCATGCAGCTGGTAAACAAAAATATAGAGTGAATGTGACCTGCTAAGATGTTACAGTACTGACGCAAAACGGTAAATTTTTGGCACAAATCGTCCTTTCTGCAAAAGGGGTGGCAGGTCTGATTACAGCGAATCCGAAAGCCAAACGTATTACGGATTTTTTGCTGAAGATTACCATAAAGAATGGCAGTGTCAATAGGGTCAAATCTTTTTAGCTGTATTCGTAGTGGATTACGACACAGGCTTGTTTTGATGTCGCGAGAAATCGGTGGGCGATCCGTTCACAAGGTCATTATCTCCACCGTAAAAAAGACTGTTAAGAGGGGTAGTCCCAGTGAGCATACATACACCTTTATGCCTGTTTTCTCCACAATATCTAACCTTTTTACTTGCAAGGACCAAACCCTGAAGAAATTTGTCACCGAAACACGAGATCCGCTATATCATAAAATGATCCAAGATGCCCTACAAACGACACAGAATGTTTTGCCAAGGGAGTGTACAAAAACAAGGACTAGTACAGTATGAGTAAGAAGTCGAGGATATCCTTGTCTTGGTATATATATCATATATACAGTACAGGTAAATATAAAGGCACTTGACAAACACCTGCTGTTGCGCACCTGTTGTTGATATTTGTTATTTTTTGCCATATGCGACTATCTCTTTTATAATAGCCAATATAGTAAATGCTGGAACAGACTCAATAACGTTGACACTTGCATGAACGTTTGTCATTCTTTGTGATTATCCGGATGTGCAAAAGAGACTTCATGAAGAAATTGATGTATCTATCGCCATGGATCACCGACTTCCAGTTTATTAAGAGTGAGAAACCTTTCTATTCTTGCTTTCTGACCAAAACGAATGCATACGTTTCAGATCTAGCGTCTTCAAAATTCTACAAAAAGTTACCAAAGATTGTAAATTATCTATCATGTTAATTTTAGAGAAACCGCACAAAAGGAGAAAATAGAGGTACGGAAAGCGCTAATGACACATCATGTTATGTTGAATACTGATGTTTTAGTTGATTACGGCGGTTATCTCTAACCGAGAGGCTCGGTACTTTTGTCTAACAACTGCTCTTTGCAACGTAGTAAAAACTTTTATGAAAATCCCGAAGAATACATATCAGAAAGATTCATGAACGACCCAACGCCGATCTCAGTTTGTGCCAATGCAAGCGAGAAGCGTGATCAGTTCATTTTTGGTTGGGGAAGTTTAGATCACTATAAAAATATGATTGTTGATATAATTTTTATTGTTTTCTGAGTATGCTCAACGTCGTTCTTCTCCTTTACATAACCACACTATACTGGACGGCTTTGCCCTGCTGTTCATTTAGTATGAGACTACATAAACATTAAGGAAAAATGGAATGTTCAAGTACCATATGACTTGCTAAGTCACAAATAACTTTGTATGATATAGGCTGAAGTTGAGCTGTTTCAACCTTAGATCAGAGTTTCTGCGACCGTAGTGTTTAAACCACCATTTAGATTAACATGGACAACCTGTACTTCCGGACCTGGATGCTTGTGACGACTTGGGGAATTATTTTTGTCCCAAGCATGCAAGCCTTCGGCTCATTGAACGCATTGATCGTATCATATAACAAAAAGAGGATTGGCGATATGTATTGCAACTGAGTCCAACTGTCAGTAGCAGCTTGCACACCATCCCTTTTTTAAGTATTAATCAGAGAGAAGTGTATTTTTCATTGTTATACTTGAATAAAATCATTTTAGAACTAACATATTGCTCATATTAACGTATTTCATTATCTTCATATTGAAATAAGTACTGTAGAATAGTAATAACCCAAACTTGCTGAGTAAATCACCAACTTTCGGACCATGATACCTACTTTCGCTCAGACACTTCATTGATGCATGAAGAAAATGTATACCATTATGTTTTTTTGTAAGCAGCTATTGCTGTATACATAGAGAGTACACCATTTATTAATCGAGTTTTTACCTTTCAGATCTGTAATCTTAATAGACGCAACATGGCTGTACTTCAGAATTAATAATGTGGCAGACAAGATCAAACATGTAATACAAAAACTGTAATAAATTTAGATTAGATCTGCATATATAAATGCAATCACACAAGTACTTTAAGTAAAGAAGGGTAAAATTGATATATGAGAGGGGAATTATGATATGGTAGAGATTAATTAATGCGCTAAATCCAATTCACTGCCAAAATCCAGGATCATTATGCGTTTGTCTTGACCGGCACTAGAAATAGTTGAAAAAAAATATGTTGGTACAACAAATTTTAACGATGAACGAATTCTTGTTTGTACCTAATGATCTGCGTTCGGCTCAGTAATACATTGAACACCCAGCTGTCATGACCACCTTGAAAACTTAATAGACATCGCCCTGAGACTGCGTCCCACAGCTTGATTGTACGATCATAACTGCCTGTAACTGCTCTATCCTAATAAATTTTGCCACAAGTCAGGTCACCATTCTATTTTGTACGACGTAACTCAATTTGATAAGTTGCTCCATTACCCCACAGCAATCGACTGTCCGAACCAACTGATCGTGGCCTTCCAACATTGCTGAACATTGACCCGTTTGCGCGTTCCACACTCGCAACATTGCGTCCTGTCCTCCGCTATATATGCGTGTACCATCGAAACGCGCACACGCCAATCCACGAGTATGACCTTCAAATGTCCTCAGACATTCTCCACTTTCGGCGTTCCATAACTTGACTTTGCTATCGCCCGAAGCTGAAACCACAAGGTAGCCATACGATTGTAAAGCGTTTACTGGACCAGCATGACCCTCCAATCGTCGTAACTCTTTTGCTGAATATCGGTCCCAAACTCTGACCGTTGCATCGCGTGAAGCCGTAATGATATACTTGTTCTCGACAATACATACATCCAACACGCCGCTTGTATGACCACGAAGCCTGCTAAGTGGCTCCAAGTTGCCGAGTTTCCATATCAAGCATGTTCCGTCCGACGAGCCCGATACCATCCATTCATCATCCGTTGCAATTTTCAGGCACAAGACGCTCCCTTCGTGATGCGTTTGACTCTCTATACACGTGTAGTCATTAAGATCCCATAGTCTAACCGAATGGTCTCGGCTGCCGCTGACAATATACTGTTTATATCGCACAATGCAATAAACGCTGTCGGTATGGCCTGTCAGGTACCGTATGTTGGCCTGGCCACGTTGCCATCGTCGCTCGAGGATATGATGGTTCCGATAGAGACTGTGCCATGATGACGGTAATGCTCGAAGATGATTTGTGGGTTGCTGCTGCTGCTGCTGCTGCTGATGGAAATGCTTAATGAACAAAGTCCGCCATACCCCATGGTCATCGTTGCAGATCATGTGGAGTCGCCGACATGTCTGTGCTAGTCGACCGATACTGATAGCGTCGAGATGGAAGAACAATCTTTGGATAAGCTCGGGAGGAAGTCGCCTGAAGGGATCGGATGGTGTTCTTGTCGTGGGTAGCGATGTACTTGTCACTGGCGTTATTGCTGATGATGTTGATGTGGTATTGTTATTGCCGGATCGATGGTGGCGCCTGTGGTTAATCGATGCTGCTCCAGAAAATTTCAACAGGCTGCTTAACCTAGGCTTTTTGGGCGTAGGGGCCGTCTCCATTGGGCTCAAGCATTTAGTAGTTGCTCTGGTTCCGTCTTTATGTGGAATGATGGCGATCTGAACAGTTGTGTTGTCGGAAAATATTGGATAACAGGTGTTCTTGGCTTTATTCGACGACGATGAAGATAACAGAAATGAAAACAGCTTCGTGGACGAAGCATATAGCAAAGTCATTTAGTGAGCTTATGGAATATGAAAACGAGAGAAAAAGTGGACTAAAAGAAAAGATGAGAAAAAGTAGGGAGAGAGAGAGAGAGAGAGAGAGGGAAGATTGAAAAGAAAAGACAAGATGGCACGATTTGCACAATAAAAAAGTTTCCGCTGTTAGATATATTAACGTAGTATCCAATGCATTAGGGTTGCATCCCGATTCCAGGACTCTTGTTTATCAATGTTGGCGAGATGTGCATTCATTATTGTTGATAGTCTTTTTGTTTGGATGAAAGAGGGATGGATGGACCTGTTCAAATTTTCCGAACTACTTGGTTCTCCATGTATCATTTTGACTTCTTTTCATCATCAAGCAGGTATTTCGTGTGTTTTCTAAGATCATTTGTCAATAGGCCACCTAACCTACCTTTTAACAAAATATAGCATGATGAAATGTTACAACCGCCCAGTTTGTTTCAAAAAGCTTGATTTGATCTCTCTCCCGCTTTCTTTTACCTTGTGTCACGTCAAAAGCACTTTTGCCGCGCATAGGGTAGCGGAGAGATAAAAGTCAAGTGACCGGTTCTCTCGGAGCTTGCAAAATTTTTTTCTTCGTGCATATAAAATAACGATCAGTCCTTGCAATCTTTCATATTCTTCCTCTTTCGCTTTCGCCAAGGTATGTAGTAAACTTCTTTTGTTCTCGCTAGACATTGGGGTGGGAAGATATATAAGGATGAGACTTAGCTGGCACCAGTCGGAATGACAGTGACGATAGCATTTTGCGGACGACTATACGCAAGTTGTCCCTGATAAATATATCATGCGGTGGAGCTTGGGATAGAGTGGTGTATCTATATCGCGTCTATCCAAAGATAAAATATCTGATATGTTGTATTACTTTACCTATACAGGCTATGCTAGACTTTGGCCCGAAGCAGGGAGGATATTACATAGCGCTAAATAGTATTGAGGAAGAAAATAAAGAGTTGAATTGTTCATATTGGCTGTCTCATAAGGGGTGTTTTTCCGGGGGATGGCGGTCCAAGGTTTTGTAAGAGCGTGAGTCAAGCTTTCGTTTACGCGTCTTACCTTAAAAAAATTACCAAATGACTTCAGTGACACTGCAATGGCAGTAATGTTATAATTAAGTACATCTGCGATTTCGACATTCGGGATATTTACTGCCTTCGGCTAATATAGTAAAGCACGAGTTAACGCGTATATCTTTCTTCGATAGTTTGGCTGTCGGGGATATTCGAGATGAATGCCCTTGTTGCTGCAAACGGCAAGTATTGTGGGTAAGAACAAGTTATGGCAGTCTTCACATGGGTTATAACCGAAGGCATTCTTTTATTATGTATATAGCTTCCATCTGTATGCTATCACTGTTTGCTGAGTAAACGTTCTGTACATTGAGCTCCTTACAGTTTCAATGATTTTTAAACCAGAAAACATATCTGATAGATTCTCAGTTCCTCTCGAATATATTTTTCAAATCGGAAGTTTCATAATATATCATGCTGAGATACTGATACACTCTTGTTTACATGCTTACAGTAGAACCAACGGTACATAATATACATATCAAATAAATAGAGTGTCATTGATATGTATAGAGCTTTGATTAAGACCGTTTGGTTACTGTAATAAGTTTGCGTGCAACATTGTTATTCTTCACATCAGTCTCTGCAGTGACACTTACGGCATAGCGAGGGGGTTAAAGAGCTTTAAGTGATAGCGAGTGTCTGTGCCAGTTAATTTGTGTACGCTTCCCTCAACTCTCTCCCGCCTCCTCCTATGAATATCGGGTATAACTTTGAAACAGTGCTGCTCCGCAACGATCCTACAATGTTGGTCCCACGGACGTATTTCACCCGCGTCCCATCCATATCAAAAAAGCCAATGAAGGTAAGTGATATAGGCAATCTGTATTTTACTTCTGACGGATAGCTACAGCTATCATGTGTAAGTGCTTACATCGGTGGAGCCTTTTCTTCTTTGTTTGTGCATGCATATTTGCATTGAAGGATACGCGCTACTAATGCTAAACTCGGCCCTTAAGTAACGAGATTAGCATATCTCTGATGTAAAGCCGAATCGTCCTTGCCATTGTGTATAATTCATAATTAGGTCATGCTGCGCGCAAAGGAATATCTTTTCTCTCTTCAAAAATACCGGTGCGTGCTGTTTGCTAAGCGACTGGCGCTAATCACATTTTAAGAAGGTCCGCCGCTCTGATTCATGCGTACACCTTTTCGTCATGGTGGTGTTTGTTTCACAAGATAAAAAAAGTTGACAACCCCCAGCATTAGTCTGAATCAATTCTTCGCTTTTTTTCTTCATTGAGCTTCTTTAAACGCAAAATGGCATCCACAGACCAAAAAGAATTGCAAAATAGCGTTCATGAGCAAATGCATGGCGCTGTCACCATTATCGGTAAACAAGCGCCATCCTTCCGTTTGAGAGAACTAAACAAACAATCAAATAACAATGCTTTACATATGTTGTCCACAAATAGTACTTGGCGCCTCTGGAGATCTGGCTGGAAAAAAGACGTATCCAGCATTATTCAATCTGCACCGCACAGGCTTTCTCCCCGAAAAGACACACATTGTCGGTTACGCTCGATCGAAATTGGATCGCGACGAATATGTCAAGCGCATTACAGGCCATTTAAAGATTGAAAACGACGACGACAAGCGCAAATTGGACGAGTTTTTGGAGATGACTGATTATACGCAGGGCAAATATGATCAAGACGAGGCATGGCAGAATTTGAACAAGCATGTCGGTGACTTGGAAAATAAGCGTGGATTGGAAAAGGGTCAAAAAAACCGACTTTTTTACATGGCATTGCCGCCATCCGTGTTTCTGCCGGTGGCCACGGGTTTGCGAAAGAATGTGTATGGATCCGAAGGACATAACCGCATCGTTGTCGAAAAGCCGTTTGGAAAAGATTTGGAGAGCTCAACCGAGCTAGCCAAGGATTTGGGTCAATTATTTACTGAAGACGAGGTAATTTTCTGTTATGCTTGTTCTGACACACAGGAAAGAAAGAGAAGAAACTCATTTGACTCACCTCTATGACTCTCCATCATTCCTTGCGTAGATCTATCGTATCGACCACTATCTCGGCAAAGAGATGGTCAAGAATATCATGACCCTGCGTTTTGCAAACATGTTCTTAAGCCCCATGTGGTGTGCTGAGAGCATTGCCAACGTTCAGATTACTCTTAAGGAGCCGTTTGGTACTGAGGGTCGCGGTGGTTACTTCGACGAGTTCAACATTATCCGTGATGTCATGCAAAACCGTAAGTTACTATTGTTTCTGTCGTGGACTTATGATGACTACTGCACATCTATCTAGACGAGAAGCAGACAGATGTAAAGGGCAAGCATTACTGATACGGAACTATGATCAGATTTGTTACAAATCTTCTCCCTTATTGCCATGGAGAAGCCTGCCGGCCAAGATCCGGAGTCGATCCGAGATGCCAAAGTGAAACTTTTGCGACACGTCAAGCCAATAGATCTCAAAGACACATTACTGGGGCAATACATTGCAGCGAACGGCAAGCCTGCTTACAAGGACGACGACACTGTGCCCAACGACAGCATTTGCCCAACCTTTGCTTCGATGGTTTTGTGGGTCGACAACGACCGATGGAGAAAGGTGCCGTTTATTTTAAAAGCCGGCAAAGCTTTGGACAATCAAAAGGTTGAGGTCCGCGTACAGTTCAAAGACGTGCCTTCCGGCTTGTTCCACAATGCTGTGCGCAATGAACTTGTTTTGCGCGTCCAACCTGGCGAAGCCATCTATTTCAAGTTTAATAACAAGAATCCAGGCCTGTCGTACAGAACCCTCACTACGGACCTCGACTTGACGTATGCCGATCGTTACAAGGATATGCGTGGTATGTTCCTGATAGCATCTGCTTTGACTTGCTTGTTCCGTTTCATCTGTTTCCTTCTTGAACCATGTGTGAAGATGCTTATGGTGCTGATGTGTCATTCGTCTTTTCGACTGTTATAGTGCCAGATGCCTACGAAGGCTTAATCTTGGATGTCTTACGAAGCGACCATTCCAACTTTGTTCGTGATGACGAGTTGGATGCCGCTTGGCGTATCTTTACGCCGCTCTTGCATAAGATTGATCGTGATCGTATTGAGCCCAAGCCTTATGCATATGGTTCGCGTGGTCCAGAAGACCTGGATGAATTCGTTAAGCGATACGGTGTTGCTCGTAGAGCGGATGTGCCATATGAGTGGCCTGTCCAAAGTGTCGCAAAGTAGCAAAAAAAAAAAAAAATAGCAAGCAAAAGAGAAAGAAGAAGGCCCATAAGCTTACTGTTGTGCACACAATTTTCTCCCAACGTTATCATCTCCCCTTTTCCGAGCTCACCCGCTTTTTTGCGGATATCATACGCATGAAGATTTATGTATAAATGTTAGCTTTTTTAATTTGCTTAGCCGAAAATGATGCAAACAGTTTTTGTGCACAAATATAAATATCATGGTCACATGTCACATAGTAACAGAAGGGACTACAGCGTAGAGTTATAAAAGTGTATGAATGAGGTATGTGCGCCATACGCAAAGATGGCATCGGCAACAAGTTCCCTGCCTTGCGCCTCGCATGCAAACTCAGAAGCAAATAGGGCCACCCGCCTCTTTCTATCTCTCACTGTGAGATATACTTGCAGGGCCTCCGACGTACCCCACCATCCAAACTAAACCATGGATTTGATGATGCGTGCATCCCTTTGTTTTCAAGTTGCATGAACGGTATGTCTTCTAAAAAGGAGTTCTATGCCCTATTACTGCTGATGGACAGCTAGGTAAGTTTGAGGCAACCAATAGCAACCAGCAAACAGATTTACCAGACTTGGATACTCGGTTTATCACTGCTTGAATGGAGAGAAAAGAAGTTTATTAATTTCAGCTAATAAGTGGTACGCAGCAGAGAGTTAGATACGTAGAAATGAATAGTTCATTAAGACTAAGGAACGTAGTCCAGTCTAGTGCACAATTACGAAGAACACAAGAGAGAGAGAGAGAGAGAGAGAGAGAGAGAGAGAGAGAGAGAGAGAGAGAGAGAGAGGTGTCTGATAATACAGCTGTTGATCGCATGAAAACAAAAACTTTGTTTCCTCCACCATTCACTCCCCCTCTCCTTTTTATCGCTCCATAAATGTGTCTGTTAAAGTGGGATCCACTTACGAACTTAGTGGCCCAAGTAGTGTGCTATATATGCGCGAGGAAATAAAGAAGAGAACCCTGAAGCGTCTCGCGTGAGCTTGTGCAACGTGCTTCCTGCTTTTTGATGGGTGATCCCGATGACGAATTGCTGCTATGGGTCGGACTTAGGCAAAATATGTTCAAAGTAAAGTAAGGAGGGGGAACGGCCAACCCAAACTATATACGGCGTTCCATTCGGCGTAGCAAAAGTACGTGTTTGTGATCCAACTGCCCTCTTCTCTCTCTCTCTCTCTCTCTCTCTCTCTCTCTTAATCTTTCTCCTCACTCCACGTGACGCAAAATCACAAAAAAGTACACCTCTGTTTGATTCTATTATTACCTTTCTTTCTTTCTTTTCCCTCGCACTTCCTCACTCCACTCCACTACACCCCATTCATCCCAACTGGCCCCACTCTTCGTCCCTACAACCCTTCTCTAAGGCCCCTATTCTTTCTCTCAGTTTAACTTTTCTCTTTCTCCCCTCTTGAGCTTCTTATATAAAATGCAGCATGGACGTACACCGTCGGCTTCATCATGGACGCCGCATTCCGTATTAAGTAATAATGGCGGCTCAGTTTCGTCCGGATCTCCCATTAATTCACCCCATGCTTCGCCTTTGCATTCACCCTATGCTTCACCCTCAGAATCGCCACGAGAACAGCTCCATAACCAGTTTGCTCGGCAAATGTCGTTGCAACCACCCACGACGACAGCGACATCCACTCAGCAGTCGCAACAGCAGTCTTCTTCTACTGCTTCGTCGTCGTCTTCTTCAAAGCAAGGCAGTAGTGGCAACACTTTTGTGCACAAATTGTACAAGTAAGTGTTTGATGAACTGGGGAAAAGGAGGAGACATTGGTCTCATACTGTGTGCCATTTGGTCTTTTTCTTTTTTAGCATGGTGGTCGATAAGCAGTATCAACATCTGATTGCATGGACATACACAGGAACATCGTTTATTGTATGCAACATTACCGAATTTTCGCGAGACGTCCTCCCCAAACATTTCAAGCACAATAACTTTTCGAGCTTTGTACGGCAATTGAACATGTAACGTCCTATAATTAGATCAATTAATTTAATTGCTCGGTAGTTAGTGCGCGCGTGGCAAGCGGGCCTAAGCGAGACGAGCAACCCGGACGACATTAGAAAGAGTACGAATTGACATTATTGGTTTCTGATTCTCATAACACCAGGTACGGATTTCACAAGGTGAACAAATCGCCGCGCGGGCATCGAGCATTGGCGGAGAACCAGATATGGGAATTTTCGCACCCAAAGTTTTTGCGAGGACGAGGAGACATGCTGGATGAGATCAAGCGGAAAGCATTGGAATCGGATGTAGTGAGACGAGACAATGGGGATATTAGCTCGCATTTAGCAGTGATGCAGGTGGCTCAGTCGGATATGATGCAGCAATTGGCCCACCTTCAGGAAAACTTTTCAGAAATCGTGCGTGAGTTGGCTGATACGCGCCGGAGGCAGATGGCTCAACAACAGTTGATTAAGCAAATGCTGGACTATTTGACCCATCAGCAAGGCGCTCCTTGTAAGTAACCATTTTATCTCCTTTGTATAAATGCGATCTGGGCCCTGTTCTTCTTTGGTTGCTTCTGTGTGATGGAGATGCTAAAATTGAACAAATAGTACAAGTGCCAAGCGACTTCAATTTTGATGGTTATAACAATATCAAGCCTGACCCAGAACAGCAGCCACCGCCCATCTACATCACTTCACCCGACACTTCGCATCATCACCAGCAAATGCAGAATATGTACTTGGGCTCGGGTCAAGAACACTCCCCATCTCCTTCACCACCCCCACAACCACACACGCCGCCATTACCGCCACAACAACAACATCATCATCCTCATCAACAACAGCAGCATATACAGCAACAACACATACAGCAACAGCATATACAGCAGCAGCAGCAGCATATACAACACCAGCAGCAGCATATACAACACCAGCAGCAACAACATCAAGGCATTCCATCTCGACCCGCTGTACCATTGACCGTACAGACACAAAACCTACAACAGTCTACTCGATTACACATCTCACCCACGTCTGTACATACCATAGAATCGGCACAGTCATCTCCTCAGCAACAACAACTTACCCCACATCAATTGGCTATCCAAACACCCTTACCCCCAAGCCCAAGCCCTACTGCTTTTCTGTCAGACGATGAGGCAGCGAGTCTATACAGCCCGCATAGCCCGCATACACCTAGTGTCATGACACATAGTAATAGCAGTGGCCACTTGGCTACCGATGGTTTTGGTTTACAAACACCATCCGGTCTCAATGTACAACAGTTAGGATACAACAATATGCAGAGCTAAAATACAATATATTACACAATGCATACATTCACACGCAATTCTTTTGCAATCTCATATCTGCGTACACTAACAAAATCAAGTTTTCCTAAAATTGCTCTCCTGCGGTTCGGGCTTCTATCTTTTTTCTTACACTTGCACACACTCTCAACATATCAAACTATAATGACAGAAGCTTCTTCAAGTCCTCTACCACCAATCTATGAAGAATCATCACAGTACCGGCATTGGCGATTCAGTCCATCACAGATCTGGGACACCCGAAAATCCAACCATGAAGCCGCTGTTGAGCGCGTAAGACGTAATTTTCAGGAAGATCAGGTTAGATCCATACGAAAGCAGATCGACGTTTGAAGACGCGCAGTAACAGCAACTTTTTCTAAACACACTTTCTTAGAGAGAATCGCAAGAGGCCACAACTAACGATCTTAAATATCTGTCGGTCGATGATGAATTAGTGCTATGTCGATTCTTTGAGTCACAGCTGCAAGGAATCTGTTCACACTTTAAGTTTCCAGATGTCGTCATGGTATTTAGCTTTTCTTTTTGTTCGCTTTCTGCAGTGCAGGTTTTGTCACTTGAATTGATAGACTTAATGAAAATGGTTAGGCAACTGCAGTGATTTATATGAAACGCTTCTATTTACACAACACGGTTATGGACTATCATCCCAAAGACGTCTTACTCACCTGTCTATTCCTCGCAACAAAATCTGAAGGCGAACGAATTTCGATCGAGCAGTTTGTACTTGATCTTCAGTTGCCCGACTCTGACGTTGTATTGGGTTTGGAGTTCATCGTATCTCAGGGACTCAAATTTGAGTACCTAATTCATCATCCATATCGACCTGCCTATGGCTTCTTTTTGGATATGCAGACCATCAGTGGAATGGATATCCAGCCACTCAAGGAAACATATACCAAGGTTCAGCGAATCATCAAGTCCATGCTCTTGACCGACGTTTGTCTGATCTACCAACCATCACAATTGGCACTGGCTGCTTTTGTCATTGCTGGCAAAGAAACGAGCTTTGACGCTAAAGTGATCAGGTAAAAATACGAGAGTAGTTTTATGATCTTCAATATGTGAGTGATAGGCGCGTTATTTCTAAATGAATATGTATAGTTATATTGAAACACGGTTTGGAAGCGAGCAAAAGGATCAGCTACTGCAGATGTTCGATAAAATTGCTGATATACTGGAGCATGTAACTGTCTCGAAAGATGAAGCAAGGGTCATCGATAGACAACTACGTATGTGCATGAATCCAGCGAACAACCCCGATTCGGCACTGTAAGTTATATTATGAAAGAAAACAGTATCTACAGGATTAATTTTTATTTTTTTTATGATAATGACATTTGAATGTATGCATATATGTATATGTGTGTAATGTATATTATATAGGTACAAGAAGCAAAAGCGAGAGGATGAAGAACAGCGAAGGAAACGGAAAGAAGAGGAATTGGAGGGAGATGTTGACCCCGATGATGAAGATGAGGATACACCTCCTAAACAATAAAAGACGAACATACTTTGTATGATTCTACTTCTTTTGCTTAATTTTGAGCTGTTCTGCACAGTTCTTGCAATACCATTTACCTCGCGGGGGTGTTCGCAAGCCAACACATTCCAGATGAAACCATTCGATCTCGCACTATTGTATACACACATACCCCACAGAGGTTAGTAGCCGTAATCTACTACATAATCTATGACTATTGTGTTTTCCTTACGTCATCATTATCACAAGCAACCATTTCTCCAAACGAAACTTGTCGACAGTAGCAATATAAAGGTTCATTTGGATCAATAGGGAGGTTACTTAATGAAATAGCACTATCAAACAAATGTAGAGTGAATTAGTACGCACACACATTTTTCTTTTAGAACTTGATGAATTATAACATAAATCTATAACTTACGCCTGTGCATGCTGCCTCGAATCTTCAGCAGAAAGATATTCGCCTTGTTGCAATACTTCATCTTCTGCATTGCGTGCCGCCTTTTTTCTACCTCGACCTGGACCTTTCTGCTCCCCCTTTCGCTTTTTGCGACCTATATCGATGGTGCATATGTGGAATTAGTATGGCATATACCAGAATATATCATCACATCATTATTACCATCATTTTTATCTGGCCGATCCGTTGATGCAACTAGAACTGCTCCTGCAGCCGAAGACACAGTAGCCATACCCATTCTACGAGTGGGTCCTATTAATTGTTCATCCTCGTATTTCTGCAAATCCGTATCAAGTTTTGTACAATGTCGATCGACCTGCCAATAGCATGAAAAAGGAAGGTGAGGTTAAAGTCGTTTCGCATACACAAAATCTCTATCTAACCCATATAAGTATACATACCGTGTCGTATGTCGATTTAGCAAGCGCGAACTTTTCTTCGCCACGCTTAAGCGCTTCATTTAGTAAGTTACCAACGCGTGCTAACTTCTCCTGTCGCTCTTTGGGTGACAGCATAGTCGTTTCAGTCATGATAGCCCGCGCGTCCGTCGATACGTTGTTCATCAGATCTGGTTTTGATTTATAATTAGCCCACTATTCCACTGTCTGTGAGCAGCTGTATATATCATTGTAATATTAATAATACCTTGAGCACTTTCGTCCAATTGTCGAATTAGCGTGAAATTACGATGCAGTTCAAGTGGTAAAGCTTCTACAGCTTTATATACGTGTGGTTTATTATGTGTGTCAGAATTAATTTAAATTTCTACAACTATGAACGATTTTAAACAAGACGAGTCAATAGATTACTGTCTGTATAACCACCAAGGTATGAGATCCGGTCAAGATCGTCGTCCGTTGTGTTGGCAGCAGTTCTTGTTGACATTTTGTCTCAATAAAAAGCTATTTTATGTAGAGATCTTGTCTTTTAGAATAGAATTTCTAAGTGTGAAACTTGTTCGCTTTACAACCAATGAAAATGCACATCTAAGGAACCGTGCCTAGCACTTCTCAACAGACCACACTTTACATATTGGCGACCTTGTCTCGAATGAAAGGATTGGAATAACATAATACAACCAATAACAGTACTACTTTTTTATTTATATAGAACAGGAAACATCCACTGATATCCAAAAAGAACAAAAAGATGGTGGGAAGAGACTCAAAAAGAATGAATAAATGCATTTATATGTAAAAGGGGAATTTATGCTCTTTTCTTTCCCTTTAAATAAGAACAAAGACACGTAAAGGAAGAGATGAAGAGTACATATAAGGAAGGAAGGGAGGAAGGGGAGGTTTATGAGGATGAAGGGTTACTTTCTCAAGTCAGCGATACGGATAGCGACAGCATTTCTGTGAGCTTCCAAACCTTCGATTTCAGCTAGCCGCATCACAGTATCGCCCAAGCGGTTCAAGCCATCAGCAGTAAGTTGCTGCGAGGTGATGTGCTTGACGAACGTAAGAGTGTTGACGCCAGAGTACATGCGGGAATAACCGTAGGTAGGAAGAGTGTGGTTGGTACCAGAGGCATAATCACCACAGCTAAGAGATAGATATAGATGTTAGTGAAATGCATTTTTTCCCAAGATAAACACACAAATGATATAATTTACCTTTCAGGCGAATAAGGACCAACAAACACACTACCAGCGTGCATAATCTTAGGCAACAAGTCTTCGGGGTTATCGTTGTGCAAAATCAAATGTTCAGGAGCATAGTCGTTCGAGAATGCGACAGCCTCATCCAAGGTTTTGACTTTGAGTGTGTACGATTTGGGAATACTCTGACGGACTATATCAACACGAGGCAGACGGCTGGCTTGGATATGGATTTGATCTTCAATAGCAGCAAGTTCAGCATCAGTCAGGTCAACAGCGACGAGGACGACTTGGGAATCAACACCGTGTTCAGCCTGGGACAACAAGTCGGAAGCAGTATAGGCAGGATTGCTGGTCTTGTCAGCGATGACCAAGACTTCGGACGGACCAGCAGGCATATCAATCGATACCAAGCAAGAAGTATCGTTCTGTGCAACCATCTTGGCAGCAGTGACATACTGATTACCAGGGCCGCAGATCTTGTCAACCTTGGGCACAGTCTGGGTACCATAGGCCATGGCAGCGACGGCCTGTGCACCACCAGCCAACAGGACATGCGAAGCACCGACCTTGTGAGCAACATACAAGACTTCGGGAACAACCGAGCCATCGGGACGAGGTGGAGTTGCAATCACAATTTCAGAACAGCCGGCGACCTTGGCAGGGATACCCAACATGAGGGTGGTAGATGGAAGGACAGCAGTACCGCCGGGCACATACAGACCAACCCGTTCGATGGGTCGAGCGAAGCGAGTGCAGACAACGCCAGGCATGGTTTCAACCGTCAAAGTGTCGCGATCCATCTGTGCGTCGTGAAACTTGAAAATATTGTCATAGGCTTGGTCAATAGCGGCCTTGGTCTCGGGATCCAACTGCATGAGTTTTTCGTCGAAGGGTGCCTTGAGCGTAGGACGCTCGAGCTGGACACGGTCGAATTTGGCAGTGAGGTCGACCAAAGCAGCATCACCGCGCTTGCGTACATCCTTCATGATAGGCGTGACACGGCCAATGATCTCAGTCGAATCGATAATGGGTCGAAGCAAGAGCTCAGAGCGCTTTTCAGTCGAAATATCACACAAGTCGTAAGTCTCCATGGCAATACGGCCATTTTCTTCCTCCTTCTTGGGCTCTTCAGCAGCAGCAGCAGCAGCAGAAGCAGCAGCAGGTGCAGACCACTTGGGCTTGGCGTTGCCAGGACGGCGAGTCACCTTGCGTGCCTTCTTGTCCAGATTCTTTTCCACATCCTCCAGCGAAACACCAGCGCTGACACATTTTGTCAATGCAAAGTAAATCAAATCAGCAGCTTCCCAGGCAACTTCGTCCTTGGCAGTAGCATCGCACAATTCCTCGGCTTCCTCCATGATCTTGGCGCGCAAAAGCTTAGAGTCGTTGAACAAACGTGCAGTGTATGAGCCAGCGGGTGCGCTTTCCTTTCTGCTTTGCAAAGTAGCTTGTAAGGCACTCAAACCAGTATCGGCACCGAAGCATGTACGAGTGTTGAGATGGCAGAAGCCTATTTTTTTTATGATCCCATTCAGTTTCTGACCGCCCCTCATTTTGGATAATAGCTCCTCTTGCTCCTAGAAAACTGCACTTACCAGCACCGTGTTGCTTGACAACAAAACGCAAAGCATCGCCATCGCAATCACAGTCGATACGGACGAGCGATTGGGTAGCACCCGACGTAGCGCCCTTGTACCATAATCCACGATTACGGCTCTGATAGACGCCCTGACCTGTCTTGATAGATTCCGCAACGCTCTTTACGCTAGAATAAACCAGACCCAGAGCCGTGTTACGTTCATCTACTACCATGGTCGTAAACAATCCGTCGGCACGGTCCGTCGTTGCCGTAGCCAAGAACGCTTGACCAATGTTGATCTTGCCTTGCTCCTCCTCTTGGACCGTCAAGTGAGCTGCCGAAACAAGCACATCCAACTTCACAGCATCCAACTTGGCAATGGCGTCCAAAGTGACCAAGTTGTCACTGCCGGCATTGACAACAACACGACGTTCAGCGCCCTGAGGAAGCAACTGGCCGCGAACCGAGTCGGCGAATTGGTGCAATGCTTCGGTGTTGAGAGCGTCACCGATTGATGTCTCGACAATGTAAGTTGAGGGCCGTTGTGTGAGTTGGCTTAAGCTGACAAGCGAGCCTTGGACAGCAATGCGTTCTTCGGAAACACCGTTCAATTCGTCAGCGGCAGTGGCGAGGGTGTCAACGGAAAAGACAACTTTGTAAACGCCAGCGTCCCACAGTTGGACAGCTTGGTCGACATTGTCGGCTTGAGCCCAGTAAAAGGTCGAGCCTGTTTCTTGAATCAAGGCCTTGATAGCATCGACGTTGGCTTCTTCAATAAGAGCAGATCCCAGATATCCCACAGCTGTCTTGAGTGCGGCCTGTGATGGATCCGCAACGTTCAGTGACGGAATGAACATTATTATTTGAAGGTTTCTTGTAAAAAGGAATGAGGGGTTAGATTCTGATAGGCTTTCCCCGAGTGTTGCATCGGAGGTGAGCGGTGCAGCGTGACTTGTGTTTGCTTTTATGACACATTTTTCATCTTCCAATTCTTCTTTAATCGAAAACCGATATGCGTAAAAGGAATGAGAGTATATGATAGATATTAAGACAACAAAATAAGAAACATGGAAGAAAATGGGGTTTTAAAATGGTACAGCAGCTTCAATAACACACAACATGGCGATTGTCTCTCCAAAATAGGTCCGTTCCTGCATAGCGTTCATATCTTGCAATATGTCATTCAGCTGATTCTGCCAGCCGAGGACCCAGAATAGAAAGCTCACTGGGGCGACAAAGGCCATATCTGTGTAATCCGCAAAAGAACGTCCGTTGAGATGGTATCCTGCGCGCACAGCACAATCTCCGTTTGCACACACGCCTCGTTGGCCTATTTGATGAGCGAAAAACTGTGCCTGAGTTTCGAGCACGCCACGCACGCGTTCGTCGCGTGTAAGCATGTAGTAATGGCCCAACCGCCACGGTACACCTATAAAAACCCATCCTTGTATCAGCATCCCCTTGTCCTTATCCAATTTACACTTGTTCTCGCGCAGCGTTGATACGTACGACACGAATTCCAGTTATAATCGCCATCATGCTCGCTCTCCAAGACTTCGCCACGAGCTGGGTAGTAGTGTCGATTGTTATCCATCTTTAAAAAGTCACCAATAAGACCAGTCTGAGGGTTCAAAGACAGCTGGCCATTGACACAATTCACAATGGCGTTAATCACATTTCCCCATTGTTGCTGACGAGGGGTATCGTCTTGGTAAAACACCAAGTAGCCGCTCAAAATAAAATCGCTCGGTCGTGTCAAGAGGTATGCATCGTCGCCAGGATCTGCCCAGTCGCCAATTAAGGGCATAAACGTCTCGTGATTGAAGCAGTGTTCCCATACAGCACCGGCAAGTTCGCTGGCTGCTGCCCGGTAGTCGATCTCGCCCTGTGCACCGCCACGGCCCCATACTCGGGCTGCTAAAAATAATGATGTAGCCACGTCCACGTCGCCGTCCGTTGCACAGTTTTCACCTCCTTCGTCACCAGGTACGAATTGGCTCGAAGACGAGTTCTTTTGTTGCCACCTGGAAAACCCCATTTCTATTCAGCATCCTGTTCGTCCTATATTTCTAAGATTATCGATACTTACTGCATCAATCCCTTGCGGTTACGCCATCGCATAAAATACCGGAATAGGCCTGTTTGATTTTGTTTGTTTGTTGGATGCTTATCTTTCTTTATAACGATATTTGCAAACATAAGTTCTGTTCTTGCTTACCATCAAAGTCTTGTTGATTCCGCTTTAAAACAGAGACTAGCATACCGTAACCTTTTACAATGAACGTTAGATGACTTTTTGCGGTTTACATCACCAATAGCCATCAAACATCAATATGTATAAATATATATATTTATATGTATACCATGAGCTTCTGAGCATGTCATTTCGGGGACGTTTTCGCTTGGTTCTTTATAGTAAATGTAGTATCCATCTTGGTATGAGCGCAAATACCTATAGTACGAGTGATACACAGAGACGAGTCATTATTTGTATTTATCATATTATCAAACAACTCATTAGCCATACTCGGCTTACCAGATAGCTTACTTTCCGCGCCATGCTGCATAGGTAGCTTCCAAAGCAGACGACATTATTGTATGTTTTTTCGTTGATGAAAGAAGTAGTACAGGAAGAAGAAGAAAGAAAAAGAAAATAAAACGCCAAGAGAGTGGGATAAAAAAAGGAGTTGAGCTTCGCGCTCGCTCTATTTTTTCCTTTTTTCAGCATTTAAATACAACCTCAGTTTCGAATTCAGCATACCACAAAGCGTTATACATGGCAATTGGGATGGTGCCAATTCCGAAATTCTTTGTGTAGTACACACTTCTTCAGTTTCTAGGTTTGTTAACGATCCTAAGGCAATAAGTGGACGCTACAGCATATAACACACAGCGTACTCGCTAGACCTATCAGCGACCGATAGTTTGATCACCTTCATCTCTTTAGTCCAGTAGTGCTCTCAAGGGTGCACATTTATATTTAGGAAATTTTGCATGTTTGTGTACCATGAGCCGCGTTACTGCATGAACCTGTCGGTGGGGATAATGTCCACTCTTTGTATGTATATCCTACTGACCAAATACAGCTGACTCTTGCAAAGATCCAAGTCCGTATCATATGCTGTTTTCGAGCAAGCAAAGCTACGTTTTTCTCGCTCATATTACGATTCTAGTACAAATCTTCACAGTTGACTTGTTTTATCGCTTCACTGTAGTGATAAATTATCAGCTTGGCCATGATGTTTGGATTAACTTAAACGGTCACAACGATCACTAATACTCCATGAGCCTATGAATAATGCATCCCCGGACAAGGAAGTGTCGGACATCTACAACAACAACAAGGATTCTATTCGTGCTTTACAAGCGTGGAGTATACCAGTACATATAAACAATTTTGCTCACATATTCTAAAGAAAACAAAGCTCCTCGAAGGATTTTATGAAGAGCAACACCATCTTGACGTTAATGGTCTATTTGCTTCCAACATCATGAACCATGTTAGTAGTCGGTATCGTGGAAAAAATTTCCTACTGGACTCAAAATGCCTCATTAGCAACAACAACATCAACGACCACAACAGCAAAAGCTAAATAATGAAACTTAGCTATTATTTAAGAAAGTATAGTACACTATGTGTTGGTCTAACATGAATTGTACACTAGGTACAAGTTTTCAAACCGATCCAATGATGGTACTTTCTCTGCACACATGGCATGGTGATGCTAATAATCGCATCGCAGCATCTATATTTGGGGAGGAACATGTTTTATAAAAGCATCGCATAGAAACAAACCTATGTACGTTTTAGTATCTTTTGACAAAACGGAAAGACGCACAATCCGTGATAGAAAGAAGAAGTGCTTTCTGGACATTTGTACAGATTTGACCTGATTGATCTACAGTTTAGATCAAGTGTTGTTGTTGCATGAATGTACTTCTTTCATAACAACAACAAGAGCAACTTAAATGTATCCTTATTTAAAGATACTATGGTGTATATACAGCTTGTCGCCTCTCTTTTCTTCTTCGTTTTTCTTGCAGTTCTTTTAATACTTATTCTAGACATGCTCTAGTCAATACTTTTAACTGCTGCTATTGTCAATGACATTTCGGAAACGATGGAGTAAAAAATAAAAGTATAATTGGTGCTACCGTTCTTGATGATGTGTTCGCAAACTATTAGCTTCAAAAATGTGTATGTAAGCATATAGCATGGTTTGCATTATAGAAAAAGTCGTAGAAGTAGCTGATAATAAAGATATGGAAGAAAGACCGGGAGACTGTGGGAGGACAAGAAGAAGATAAGATAACGATGGGTAACACGACTATCCCCGAGCCTTTGGATTCTCCGGACCACATTTTCGGTAAAAAAAATCCTCCTTTTCTTCTTTGTGTTGTGCTACCAGAAACATCGAAATATCAACAACATCAGCAACAAATCAGTACATTTGAGTGAAGCTAATAGGAAAAACATGGCGACGACGACAATAGCAACAATGTAATATGTATACAACGTCAGTTAAATAAATAACCCGGATCATCGTAAGAACATGTGGGTTTCGTGCTTGAGAACGTTGGCGTGAAAGGTACCGATCGATGATGTGAGTTCGTATGTGCTCCTATTGTCCTCCCATCAATAACGAGTACAACGACAAACGATATGATACATACTGTCCATTAATTGATGGCGTGTCTTTGTCGTCGTTGTCATAGTCTTTTATGTGATCCGCCGAGCGTACACAAAAGCCCCATCTTAGTTTCGGTAATGTGGTCTCTTTGTATCCCTGTTGCATTGCATATTTACATGTACCCATGCGAGCTAATGAGGTTTAGTACACTGTGCATCTTCTATTAGAAGCAAATTAGCATATATATCTACATATAGTTCCCATCTGCGTACGAGCTAAACTCGCACCCTCCTACTGAGCGGGTTGTGTTGTTGGAAAAGATGGTTGATGCGTTTTTAAGTTTTTTTTTTCATGATACAGATACAAGGGTTAAAAAAGACTCTGTTACTTATTGACACTGTCGTCGTGGTGGCTTTTTTTTGCTTCCTTTCTCGTACCACGATGAATTTGCATAGATCCATCCAGCAATTCAGTTTGTGTGACATGTATACAAGATTCAAATTTTTCTTGGAGGGACTTTTGACATGTATTCGCGTTCTCTGCTTTAGTAGCCAAAAATAGCAAGCTGACTGATTGGTCGGCTCGGGCACGGTGCTTCTTGTGCGATTTATGCAGCCTCTCCTGATTTAGAGAGATGCACTCTTTACAACTGCATCGTCGTTCAGCGTGTGTATTAATAGAAGTCTCTTACTGTTGTCAAGATTATAAACACTTTTGAAAAAAGCAGGCATCTCAGACGAAACAAGGAGCAACTATTACACCCAATTTATGGTGCTACTTCAGTCATAGCAGGAGTACTTAGTAGTAAGCGGAAGCACAAAGGACAAAAAAAAAACTTACAGCCATAGTAGGGGCAAATGAAGGCAAGAATGTTTTGTTTCAAACACACACACACACACACACCCATCACCACCCCTTCAGCGGATTCCAGTACAACAACAGTGAAATAAGAGAGAGAGGGAGAGAGAGGGGGAGAGAGGGAGGGAGTGAGATGCTGCACAGAGATAAGATAAAGAAAAAAACCCACGCTCCTCATCAATCCCACTTATTATGCATTGTGCATTCCTTTCTTCTTTGCTCAAATGGATTCACTGCACTTATCTTGGAGAGAATGAGACTATATCAGAGAGAAAATTTGCGAACCGATATACCTAGAAGATAAGAAAACTTTTTTTTTTGGTGCAACTCGACTAACGGTGTGTGGACATTACTCCGATTGCGCTCTCCAATGTCGGTAGCATTCCTCGAAACTTAGCATCGTCAAACAGCCCCGTTTTGCTGCATTAGTGGTGTATTGCGTTGTGCCGTACTGTATAACTGGGTAATGGTAAACAATACGACCACACGCACCAGATAAGAAATAAGAGTGTATTGATGTTGTTGTTGCTGTTGCTCAACACTAAACCTTATAATAGCCAAACAAACGGGAGATGTGTCGAGAGAAAGAGAAACAGTGCTGCTGCTGCTGCTGGCGGATAGACCTTGTACAACCGTCCCTGAATGTAGCAAACCCTTTATAAAACCCGCTCTCTCTCTCTCTTTTGTGCGATATATGCTCGACACGCTTTGCTCGGGCCAACATAAAAAAAAAGTACCTGGGCTCTTCTCTTTCCCTCTTCTTTTCTCTTCTTCACCTGCAACACCCCCACTCTTCTTTCCCACCACACACTCATACACACAACACGATGGACATTCCTAATCGTGATTCCAGGACAAGTCCTTCCAACAGTGAGAACATACCACGAATCCGGAATCTTCACCCCTCACACCTGTCGCCTGATCTCAATGACAGCTATCACACTGTCCATAGCCCGCACTACGGCGCAACACCGCTTGATAACGGGGTTTTACCGGGACGATTGTCGGGCAGTTCGCTGTCTGAACGGATCGGATCGTTTGTAGGATCCTATTCACGAACCTCCCTTATGTTCATGGCCGAGAATCTGGCTGTACCTGCCACATCACCTCCATCTGCTGGTTTCCATCATGTTCGATTGGTAAGACTTCCGCTGAATAAAACAAATTGTATGCGTGTGTTTGTGGCTTTTTTTTTCCTTTTCTTGGTTGCTGAAATTCATTTATTCCATTTTTGGATATATCTCTTGCGCTTCCAGCATGACGATGAAGAAGATAAATTATCCACATCATCCATTGGTTCTATGTCTAGGTAATTATGCTGTAAAGAAGAGGACGGATTCATGATGGTATCTGGGTGATATAAAGAGTAAAAGTGCCCTCACCCCTCCTCCCTCTCCCTGATCCCCTCGAGGAACACACACCCAGAAGACCATGCTGCAGGACCCACTCGTGCTCAATGTATGATCTGTATATATCCAACAACAATAATAGGCGCCCATCGGGTGAATACCATTACCAACGCCGATCCTCCTCTTTCCACTCACAACTCGAGCAAAATGAACGCACTTCGTTATTCATGACTGGCCTAGATCGAGTCATGTCCACACAAACCATTGCCACTGTCGCAGACGATTACCGCCAATTTGCTACACCCATCAGCAGCATTCATCATCATTCCTACCACGATGCCAACAGCACGGCAACACCTGCCATATACGAAGACCATCATAAATCATCATTTGCACAATCCATATTCAATTCCATCAATATCCTACTCGGTGTAGGCATTCTTGCATTACCGCTTGGATTCAAGGTAAATAGAACATCTCATCAATGATATACCTCTTCTACTGGGATGACTCCCATATCGATGGAGAAAACTGGTTTTTTACTCAAGATAACATGCTGTATATTATAGATCGCAGGATGGGTGGCTGGCATTTCCATATTTGCATTCTGCTGTCTACTTACCAACTACACTGCCAAGCTGCTGGGTCGTTGTCTAGAGGCTGACCCAGAGTCACGTACATTTGGTGACTTGGCCGGAGCTGCATTCGGTATGCGTGGTCGGGTCCTTGTTACTGCATTGTTTGTTACCGAGCTAGTTACCAATAGGTTGCTATTTGTTTGTTTGTTTATATACTTTGGAAACACATAACAGTAGTACCCAACTAACATTTTCGCCCTATGCTATTAGCGTTGCCATGGTGATCCTCCTTGGTGACGGACTCAATTCATTATTCCCAGGCTTCGATATCGTTTCACTTCGCATTGCATCCTTCCTCATCCTTACCCCCATGTTGTTTTTCCCAGTTCGTTATCTCTCATACTCCAGTCTCTTGGGCATCATCAGTGCCGTTAGCATCATTCTCGTCATGCTCTACGACGGATTCACCAAAGTCACTTCGCCCGGCAGTCTGATAGAACCTGCAGTAAGTGTCCGTATGTGCGGTAACTCTTATGGCATAGTAATAGCGCACTGACAAGAGTTCAACATTTGATGGGTATGGTTAGGATACGTCAATTTTACCCAATGACTACATGAAACTCCCACTCAGCTTTGGCCTTATCATGGCCGGGTTTGCGAGTCATGCCGTGTTTCCCACAGTGTATCGCGATATGGACAACCCCAAACAATTCGATACCATGGTCAATTGCACCTACTCTGTCACCACCATTATTTATTTCGGAGTCGCTGCATGTGGATATTTAATGTTTGGCTCACAGACAATGCAGGAGGTAAGAAATGGCTTTTTGCATGATACAGCTCGGGGAGATTGGGTGGACGACACCCTATTTGCTGGGAAACTAACAGAACCTAATGCAGATCACACAAAATCTGATGATGGTTCCTGAGTACAATCAAGCGTTGAATAGACTGGCCGTATGGCTTATGGCCTTGCAACCTTTTGCAAAATACGGTGAGAATCATACACTCACACACATACAACTTGGTTATAGCAAGTAGCATTGTGGACTAACTGTGCAAATCAATTTTTTCCTAGGATTGAATCTATCACCGGTGAATCTTGCATTCGAAATTGCCGTGTTCCGACATACATGGGTTAGCAATTGGATGGCAAAGAGCAGCTGGCGTGAGCCAATGCTGACTTTGATCAGTCGTACGACCATCAGTATTATGATCGTCGCCTTGGCCTATTTCATTCCCGGCTTTGAAAATGTCATGGGACTGATTGGCAGCTTTTTCAGTTACGCAATAAGCGGCATCTTACCGTTGATGTGCTATCTGAAATTGTTTGGTGACACCATTTCCCCTGTCGGCAAAGCTTGGCATTATGTCCTCATCTTCATCTCGTCCTGTTTAGCATTCTTTGGTACCTTGTGGAGCTTCATTTAAAATACATATTATGGTTATGTTGATATACAAAAGGAGAGTATGTTTGTTTATGATATGATGATGGAGCTACTATGAAGTGTTTAATCTATTTACAGAAGAAGAATAGGGCACAGATAAAGATAATTTAATTAAGGAAATAGAGTTCCTTTCCTTTGCTGCTCTAATGCTGATGAATCCACTCGTTGATGTTGTCGTTAGTGTTGTTAGTGTTGTTATTACTCTTGTCATTGCTGGTATTATCCGGTGTGGTAGTTGTGATGTTGGTGTTCTTTTGTTGCTCTTTTCTTAAAAGCTGGTCGATTGCATCAGCTTCCTCGCCGACACTGTTGTTACTACTACTTGCTTCTCCTCCGAATGTAGTATGCATCGTCGTGGTCGTCGATGCACTAGCAGCAACAGCATGTGCTGCAGCAGCGGCAGCAGCAGTGGCAATGGCAGCATCGGTAGTACTATTGCCAGATATACCAGAAGAGGTGGATTGGAGTTTCTGCAGCAGATATTCCTGGAAACGTTGACAGAACACGGGCGAAATTGCTAGCAGCAGGCTTTCCATGCTTTCAAATGGCGCATTCATATGGCTCTGGGCGGTCCGTGCAGTCGATACAGACAAACCGGCACTTGACAGCGCCGAACAGGACGTCACCTTCAGATAAATAGAATAGAGGCAATCTTTTATCAATAAACTTGTTTTAATTTTTGGCGGGTGTATATAGTAGAGCCGAGAATTTTCTGGAATACGTTATACCATGTAACCCTGAGCAGCTGTCACGTCTATCACGACCAGGACCCCTTCTAACAACGTCAAGTCGAACCGGCCCATGTTCTTGATCTTGTCGCGCACAAATACAGTAGCTGATCCTGGGACAATGCCGTAATCGAAAGCGCCGGCTGCAATCGCGTCAAGCTCTTCATTGAGCGCTCGGATCGGCATTGCGATTTGTAAGCTAAAAAAGGGGTAGGTGTGGGAAACTTTAAAAAAGAAGAAAACAGCAAAGAAAAAGAAAAAAAAAAGAAAGAATGGTGCCCTCTCTTTTTATATCCGCTTGTTGTCCCAAAAGTAACTAACGCTTCGAATGTGGGGTAAGTGGAAAAAGAGGGTTTCTACGGGATAATACACGAAGGGGGGGGTGGTGTTAAAAATATATGTAGGCCCTTCCGGGACGGCATGTGGAATTTATGTAATAATTTTACTTTCAGGATTCAAGCCTACTCTTTAGACTGCCCGGGAAAAAGAAAGCAAGCAGCTTGAACAGGCAAAAGTATTAGACCAAAATACGATCGTCTCTTTTTTTTGTCATTATCGTTTTATTATATATTTCGAATATATATATACAAGTTGCGTTGGTGGGAATGAGAGTTTAGACAGTGGAAGAAGAGAGAGAGAGTGACTTAAATGGAGGAAGAAGAGAGAAGGAAGAGGTGTTGCTTCTCTAATCGTCTTGAACGAGCCGCCATATCCTGGCAACACCATCGTCACCTGCGGTTGCTAGCCAATCGCCATGCTGTTGCGTAGGGAACCACGTAACATTATTGATATCGTGGACGCCGTGGGCATCCTTGATCGTCGCTACTGCCTCCCACGCCGGCTCGTCTCCTCCGGCAGTCTAGTACCAAAAGATAACACTTTTGAGTTATTTTTGCAATCCAAAAAAGGACAAAATCATCGCCACCTTCTTTTTTTTTATTCTACCTGAGTAAATACGCGGATAGTATTGTCACCGCTTGCACTTGCAATGTGGTTGTTGACCTTGGACCAGGAGACAGAATAGATGCACCGCCCGTGATATCCCGACAGCGTGCATACCGTCCGGTAAGTCGGATCATTGCTTGGCGTTGGTATACCTTGTGCATTATTCGGCTTATACATTTTCCAAATCCTTAATGTCTGGTCATCGGATGCCGATACTTTGCAACGAGATATTATGTAAGCACGATTTGGCTGTAGTCGACTCCTCCTGTACCGCTTTCCATCCAATCTTCCATCATTACAAGTCGCTTAATCCTCGTGAAAGAAAATATTTACCAATTTGATCACCCGATGCATCGAAATCCAAAGCCCACACAGTCGACGTATGGCCCTGGAGGGTATCGGAGCAGTACCAGTCATCATCATCCTCACGCCAAATCTTGATGGTATCATCATAACTTGCCGATGCCAGGATTTCTTGATGCGGATGCCATGCAACCATTTTGACATCTTGGCTGTGTTCTTGTAGCACACTCAGACACTCAAAATCATTATCAGATTCCACTATAATTTCAACATGGTCGTGTTTAAAAAACAAGCCCTTTTCCTCCTCCTCCTCCCGTTTCAAAGAAGATTATCTTTACCTTCCCAAATCCATACACTCTTGTCTCGACTACATGTTGCTAATAATTGACCCGACGAAGACCAAGCAACCGACTTGATTTCATTTTCATGGCCTTCCAAAGTAGCCACACATTCCCAATCGTTTTCTCGCATATCGTGTTCCCAAATACCCGTCGTAGCATCAAAACTGGCTGTCGCCATTTCGTTACCCGAAGGTGACCATGCCACGCTACGAATCGTTCGTTTGTGTCCACCATCAAGTGTATGAATGCATTGCCAGCTCGACATGTCCGAATGCGACGCAGGGGCCCAAAGACGTACGGTCTTGTCACCTGAACATGTCGCGAGAATGGTTTTTGTCGGATGCCAGATCGCTTGCCAGACACGATCTTGGTGGCCTGTTATATATAAATGGGAAAGTAAGTTCAGTACAATGGAGGTCCATTTCCCGGTACCCAGTACACCATTTTGGCTGTAAAAAGACTTGGTAAGTCAATGAACCTTCTAATTCCGCGACGAGCTCGAGACGTGGCATGTAAGAGATAGTTGATTGGGGTGGGGGGAGAGGGAAGGTGAGGGGTAAAAATTAAAGAAACGTTTGAAGGAGTCAAGCGGATTGATGGAAGATGAATCGCGTTACGCAACAAAAAAGCGAGTCACTTTTAATAGATCTTTTCTTTTTGAAATGGTTACTCTTTATCTCTCTAAGCAAAGCGAAAAGATGAGTGAACCTGATAACTATATAACCGAAGATGCCGAGCAACGAGAATTGCTTGTTAGGTAAAAACTGCTCTATCCGCTTTTGTAAATAGAAACCTTAGTTTTGCTAAGAAAACAGCTTACTTGTTTTCCATAGCAATGTTCTTCAACTTCAAACACAACTACGTGGTAAGAAAAGGAAAAAGTCTATTTATGAGATGAAAGGTACATGCTGACAGAAAAAGTATAGCATTAATATCACGAGTGGATTCTGCAAAAAGTGAGCATCACTCATTGTTGACCGAGAACCAAATGCTGCAAAAATACATTAACAACTCGCTTACGTCGACTGCTGTATTTGGGGCTACGCAGACCAATGCAGGTGCATCGTCGCTAGCCAACAAGTCGTCGGATTAATTAGCTATTGTGAAGGCTTTGCTTATTATGTACATACAGAAGCACACTTGATACCCTCTCTCCATGACAACCTATCGAATAGTACCACTACTATTAATCTTGCAAAGGCAGATCTTTTCAAATCAAGGGGTTGTAAAGGGTGCTTTGAAAGAGAGAGGGAGGGGGGCTGTTCGTCCGAAACGATGATGATAACTTTGGAAAGGAGAAGAAGAAGAAGGGGATAGGAGCAGATTCCTGTATTCATTTTCATGTATGTCATGTCAATCATAAAAATGGGCGCGCGCGGGCACAAGTGGATGTACGAAGCAGTAAGAGAATGAGCAGCAGCAACAGTAACAGGCCAGGGCAAAAGGGATGTTATCGATGTTTTAGGCGGGTTAAACAGTGTGCGCGCGCGGGCAAGTCACGGCATCTAGTTTCTTTCCCTCTGGGTTCTCGGAGTACCTGAGGTGTGGTAGCAATGTACTGCACATCATGCTATAATATACCAAGTCGAGGGGGGTGCAAAAGTGATACGAGGATGATCGCTCACATAACATTGGCCTGGTTTCAAATGTACGGTTTATTAGACTTTCCGTCGTCGTAAGATAGACAAGTGGATGATGATGATGCGTGGGGCACACACGCTTAGCAAACCCCCCCCCAGTGCCCCTTTTTTCCTACGTCACGCGCTTGCCTGCATATTTTCGCCCGCGCAGCCAAACAAAAAGAACCGTGTGTGCATCGTGCCTCCTTCTTTCCACAATTCTTTACACTGGGGGCTTATTGTTCCTGGGAAGGAGAGCAGCCAATCATCCGCACCATCGTCAGCAAGCAGCAAGCACACATCCCCCACCCCCCTTGGACCGCTCTTTTTTCTTTGCTTTGCCCCTCCGACACGATACGACACGATACGACACGACACGACAGCAGCAGCGACAGATCGTCTCCCAAAAGTGGGAGATTACGCTTTTCCGTACGATCCGCACTCCCTATTTATTTTTATTTGTTCCAGCGCAACAACGTAGTGTAGGGATGAGCGAGAGAGTACATGTGTGTTGCCATTCGTTATTTGCTGCTGCACTGGATGATTGTTATTACTATTGCTGTTACTATTCCTTCTCGTTTGCTCACGGGATAGGGTCGTTTTTGTTCTAGCAGCCCTGCATCTCATCCAAATAGATCTTCTCTTTCTTTCTTTCTCTCGCTGCTCCTCCCTCTTCTTTTTTCTTCCCTCTCTCTCTCTTCTCTCTTCCACCTCTTGTTCTCCAGACGCTTTGCACTGCACTGCACACTTGACAAGCTTTTTCTTGCCTCTGTGCACTCTGACGTTCCCTGTCATTCATCTGTCTGTCTGTCTGTCTGTTAAAGCGAGTTTCTATATCTCTTAATTACCACTCAACCCCTCCTTAAGCTCATTTCCCTCTTTCGCTCTTGCTCGTCCCCCTTTCCACTTGCCCTATAAAGAAAAAGGGAGACACATCCACTTTGTATACCTGATATAAACATTGGGTGACCCGCGCTTCTTATACAAACAGACACATCACACATTATCATCAGCATCAGAATCATTCTCATCCTCATCGCATATACATACGTACATTGTGTATAACTGTAAGCCTTTCCCTCCCTATTCACGCTCTCTCTCTCTCTCTCTTTTTCCTTTCTTTCTTTCTTTCTTTCTTTCTTCTATTATCATTAAATATCGAGTATACTATCTGTCATCCATTGTAACCGACATTTGCGACAGACTAAAAGGGGACAACTGACGAAACAAGCCGAAAACAACGCGCATACAACTATTCTTACCACGACACGATTGAATGACCTTGTTGACATTGGTGTTGCCAACATTTCAGCTGTAATGACCAACTCAGAGCACAGCCATGAACAACAACTGCAACTACAACAACAACAACAACAACAGCAACAGCAGCCTTTTGCCCGTGTATCGGTAAGTTTGTTACACGAACACACAGTGGGGTAAACAATAACGAGACAGATATGCTTACTGTGATGCTTGGTCAATGCCAATGCGGCTGCAATGTAGATGGAGCCGCTTTTCGATCGCCTGCTAAAGAGAACGTTTCCCGACAGCGTCAGTGCGATCGAGTACTGCCGTGGGCTTTGTGCTGAATTTGGATTTACTGTCAAACAAGAAGCCAGTGCAAACAGGGTAAGGAAACAATGGAGGGATGGGGGAGCAGGTCAGAGGGCTTGCGCTGTTGTGGGGGTGGGGGAGGGAAGGGCAATGTAAAAAAAAAAATAGGAGAGATAATGTGATTTGACAGCTGTCTGACTAACTAACTAACTAACCTCTCTCTCTCTCTCTCTTCTTTTTTTCCCACACACTGCACAATACACACACACACACACACATACAAACAAACAAAACAACAATCAACACACATGCGCATCGTGTATAGAATATCTACGTTTACTGCTCAAGAGAAGGTCTGCCCGACTCGCAGCGCAACCCGAAGCCCTCGCCACAACGCAAACGCCCCTCCAAGCGCTGCGACTGTCGTTGGCGCGTCGTCCTCTCCGAAAACGAACACGACCTGTGGGAGTTCCGCAAATCCATGAACCCAAACGCGTCCGAACACAACCACGACATGATGTCGCCCGACGAGATGGTCAAGGCTTGGCCCTCCGAGGTCACCGATCTGATCATCCAGCTCGCCCGTCAACGCTTGCAGACACATGAAATTCGTGAGACTGTCAAACAGCACTTTCCCGACATCACGTGGAACGAACGACGCTTTTACAATCGCCTGACAGAGGAGCGCAAACGTATCAAACAGCGCGGCGTCCTTGATCGATCGCAGCGCCTCTTGCTGCTTTCCGCTCGCCTGTGCTCCGTCGTCGCTTCCAACGAGGACTGGGCCTCGAGTGTCGAGCAGGAAATGACTCGCTTGTTGGAGAGCTATTGTCACCTGTCACGATTGCCGCCAGAAGCTAAAACGACCTTGGCTGATTTGCAGCCCGAAATGATACAAGCAGAAGGACCATCTTCTCAGTCAGCATCGTCGGCATCTGCTGCTGCTGCTGCTGCTACTGCTACTACTGCTACTGCTACCAAACAGCAACAACAGGAAGAGAATAATAGCGCATCGCCTGCATCGTCTGCGGATATGATGATGACGGATGAAGCTTCGCCCGCCAAGAAACGCAAGTCCGTGTCGGCATCCACAGTAGTGACTCGACCACCAGACGCACCAAAGGGAACTCAGGTAGTGTATGTGCCGAGCTACATGCTGTTTGTCCGCAATCAGCCCATGCGATCGTCCTCAGAACCTTCGTCGCAAGGCACGGCTAGTACGGCTGCAAGAAGGACGTTTTTGGGATCACCGCCTGATATGCATCATCCCATGGGCAACATGTTTCCATTAGCCTCGCCCACGTCGTCCTCCTCCTCATCCACGTCATCAATGCCGTTCCCGCAACAGCAGCAGCAGCAGCAACAACAACAACAACAGCAGAGACACTATGTTCGACGGTTCGATCAACAACGTGTTTCATCGCCAGGCATGGTACATGATCAGCAACCTATCATGGCTTATTCACAGCCGTCTGCAGCGCCACCGCCACCTGCTCCTCAGCAACAACAACAACAGCAGCAGCAGCAGCAGCAACAGTATGCAGTGGCTCAGAATTTGTCGTCGTATCCTATGGCAGCTGCAGCCGCTGCAGCTGTTGCTGGTCCATTTTCGCCATACAGCATGACTCCACAATCAACGGATATTCAATTTGGTTTTGATGGCGGCATGGCAGCAGCTGCGACAACACCCAACACTGCTTTTACGCCGAGTCAACAACAGCAACATCAACATCAACATCAACCCACTCAGCAGCAGCAGCAGCAGCAGCGTTTGGAACGACCTGAGCCTACCCATCCTCATGATGTTGCTTATCAACAACAACAACAGCGATCGTCTACTACCGATAACTCTTCTTGGTCGCCATCTATCTTTAACTCGTACCCAATTAAAGAAGAGCCCATGACAGATCAACGCGCCATACTTTTACGTGAACAGCAACAACAGCAGCGATTACCCCGCAGCATGTCTCAACAAGGCTTCATTCCTTCATCCATGCCAATGATGCGTCCTGGTGAAGATCACCACCACCACAACCATCATCACCATCATCATCATCAGCAGCAGCAGCAACAGCCCTCTGGCGATAACGCATCGACTACTTCTACAGCCACTTGGACGTGAAAACGATACTTTATAGGAAGTTCTATACGTACTTGTTTTATATTTATACAAGGCGCCCTTATTTTTATTCTATATGCTTATTTCTACAAACATACATACACACACACACACACACACACACTTACTTTCTTTCTTTTAACTTTCACTTTGCGGACGCTCGGGGGAACACTATAACTCTTTTAAATATGCTTTCTTTCCTTTCCTAAAGCTTTTTTCTTTCTACGTCCGTCCTTTTTTCTTACGTTGTAAAACTTTTCTTTATACGATTTGTTTTCCTTTTTTGATGTGTAGATTATATTTTATAGTATATATATTTTATCGTATGCGTTTTATTCTTCCTCTTCCTCTACCCATTCAGTATTGCTCACCTACTATTTCATATTATATTACATTATCTTTATATATAAATATACTTTCCAATGCTTATATATGTATCAAAAGAAATATTAAAGAACACTTGGGTTTGATGTTTTCCCGATTCTAAACGTCAGCATAAAGTACGTAGTAAGAAGCCAAAGGCACTCGGTTCGTTGCGCATGGAACGATGTATATGCACAATAAGGCATAGTCACATATGTATATCGTGCTACAATAGCTGCATGAATTACTTCATGTACACCACAAAATGTCATCTCTACACAATACCTGTGCTACTAGTAGAGGATCAGATTATCCAATTGCTTTATGCGTTGATGATGGCGTCAATTGACAGCAACAACAATAACAGCGGGAATAAACAATGCTGCCCTTTGTTGTGTGTATTAGCTGTGTAACAACAAACATACACTCGCCACCCCCTGGATTATCACCAAAGCAATAGTGTACACTCTAGTAGTACATTTCACTTGCTTACTTTGCTTTCCAAAATAGATTCACAGTGTATCATACGCCGGCGACTTCATCTTAAAGACTTACATTCAGATCCTATTATATGCATACACCACTTACAATGGAGCCAAAAGCGTCGCTGTGCAAATCTAAAACTACATTAATAATCTCAGAATGCTATAGGCCATTAAATAAAAAGACCACTTCCATTAGTATACGAGGATTTATACAGTATAGTATCTGCAAAATTACAGGGAATATATTTTGATTTTATGTACATGCAGAGTATGAAACGATGATAGATTAGAACAACCAACCGCCGACCATTTCCCGCAACTGGTCTCGTTTCCTCTTGCCCTCAAAAGAAGAAGAAGAAGAAGCCTCTGGACCAGCTTTAAGCAAATCACCCAATCGCCACTGTTGGCGTCGAGCGCTATCAAGCAAACTGTGCCATCCTCCAGCTTTATCCTCTTCGCCTGCCGCTGCAGCTGCTATATCTTGTTTGGCATCTTCAAGCCACTCCAGATCGGAGGGTGGTACTTGGCAATCGAGTTTTCGCCAAACTGCAAGGACTTTTCCCACATTTTCAGCAGGTGTCAGTTCAAGTGCCATGGCCAAGACATCCAATCGTTTCCGAGCGTCCTCATAGAGCTCGACCTTGCCCAGATTGAAGCATGCTTGCCATGCAGCCTGGTTGATGTCGTCAATACGGTATCGTGTGCGGTGTGGGTGTGTCTCAACGGATCGTGCCTTTTCTACGGTGGCACAGCATAGCTTGTACGACATGTCGTAATCCTCATCCACAAGTGCGGCGCTCGCTAGCATGGCTAGCACACGTACTTCTGCTAACAGATCGTCTTGGTAACCGAGTTTGTGTTTTAGATCGAGTACTTGTTTGGGTTGTCGGTAGATGCCACGGCGTGTGTTGATGAGTTTGGATATAAGGTCAATACGGTTGGTGGATTGGCGTACTTGGATAGGCATCAGTTCTATACCGGGTCGATCCATGACGTGGTATTCGGATATCAGTGTGTGGGTTGCTTCAATGAGGTCTTTTTCTTCGTTGACCATGTCGGTCGGTGGCAAAATATTCAAGCTATTTTCGGGGACCGATTGTCAGTAGGTAGAGCGAAATGGACTCGAGTCAGAAAGAGAGATTAACTAACCATTCCATGGCCAATTTCATATTGCCATCATGCATACTGCCGGTCGTGGCGTTGTCGAAAAACTCTTTTTCTGCATCCAACACTAATTGCTCTGCACGACCAATATCAAGAGTTTTATCTCGTTTAGGACCCACCATTAAATCCTTAGCCAGCCTGAAACCTAAATACAAAATAGTTTGAGCACATATATTACACAGAATATGTCCACCTCAACCCAACTTACGTCCACAGTGCAGTATAGTACTAAAGAAGGTCTCGAATATTTCCGTCCGACTCAATTTTGCAAATACACCTTTGCCGTCCTCGCCTTGAAGTCCCATCATTTCGTCAAGCAACTCGCGCCATTCATTATCGTCATTGAGATGGGCCGATCCAGCTTGCGAGGCCAAGCGAATGCATAGCTGCCGTTGGGTATCCACATCATGGTCTTCAAGGTACCATCGTAAAGGCATACTGGCATGGTAACGTGCCAATACTTCGGCGTATTGCAAATGCAAATGCAACGCATCCATCATTTGTGTCAATCCGTAGGGTCCGACTTCTTGCAACACTGTGAATAATCCCAATGGTGTTTCTGCCAATGGTAGCAATGTGGCCATATCCGTATGCTTTTCGTTGTCGCTCTGATCATCTCCCGCTTCCCACAGGTCGAACATGGGCAAACTTTCAAACGCTCGCAGCTGGCAGTCGATCGATCCAGGTGTTGTGTATAGCATGGCAAGCGCCAAACGGGCCAAATCTTCGTCCTTTTTTATAATGCGCTCTTCGTCTGGCAACGTGGGTTTGGAATTCTCCAACACAAGACAGCACCAGTCAAAGTGACCATGTTCAGCAGTGTCCAACAGCCATCGATACAATATCATTTCAACCTCTTCGTCATCGTCGTTGTCTGGAGCAACAATATCGTGACATACGCTAAGCCATGGTAATACGAGCTGCTTTACGTCGTCGACGATCCGTGTAGCCCCCGTGTGTTTCAATAGTGTATCTACAACTTCGTAGGGTGTAACTGTCTTTTCAAAAGTATCGAGATCCACGATCGTGTCATCTTGTTTAGCGCTGTAGACGTATTTGCATAACCAATCGAGCTGTGCTTCTTGTCTGTCGAGCCCCGTCACGTCCATGAGTCGTGCGTACCGGATCCACTCCAATGCTTGACTCGCCAAACCAATTCTGTCTGCTGCTGAACTGCGATCTGCATACCATTGTGCAACCGTACTTGCTGGAGCAGGGTATTCGCACCGATCCACTTGCTGTCCGATCCATGCGATATAGGCTGCATGTTCAGCAGAAAGCGCTTCAATCACATCCCGCATGGTTTCTGCCACATCCAACTCATTTCGCCATGGCTGTTGTACAATCCACGCGTCATCCTCTGTATTCCCTTGTCCTTGTTGAGGCAAATCAAATCGGCTTGGCTCTGCTGTTTCTGGAATAGCTGCTAAGATAGCAAATCGATATGGCAAGACGGCAGCACCATGGTGGACAAAAAGTGCACGCAAGGCAGTAGCATTTTCAGTTTGAGCATATTCGATCGCCAGTGCAACAAGATTTCCATCGCGGAATTCACTGTATGCTGTTGCGAAATTGGGTTGTGGTTGTTGCTGTTGTAGAGTAGGCCAAATCACGTTAAACGTTTTGAGACGATCGGAATACTGGAGGAGGTAAAGACGTGCGCGTAGCCAGAGTGTGTCGGATTCATCGGGCGAGTCTGAATTGACGTCAGTAGTAGTAGTAGTGGTAGTGCGTGGTACGATAACACGCGAGAGACCAATGTCTAGAATTCGTTGTTGGAGTTGAGCATCGTTGATGACAGTCTCTAGACATTGTGTGACGACCCATGCATGATCTTGTTGTACATTGTTGAGAAAGTCGACATCATCTGCTGTAGGTTCTTGCTCTGATAGAGCACGACGCTTTGCCCATTGTGTTTTATAAATGACGTCGGTATCCAGCCCGAGGTCTTTGGCAATATCGAGTGCGGCTTGGTAGTTGCCTTGATTGAGATGGAAGATAAAATCGCGTGCGGTCGAGTGTTCCATGGTTTCAAGGCATTAAAGAAGAACAGATAGAGAGCGGAAGAAGAACTTGGCGCGTTATGTATGCAAAACAATGCTCTGCCGCGCTTTTTTTGAAGAAATATTCGCATTACGCGAGTTTTTACTAGATGTTTTCAAGAGCTGTCTGCAAAGATACACAAAGGATGAAGCAAATACAGAGAGAACCGTTGATGGGCAGCATCCTCTATATCATTCTAGTTACTACTGTATGTATTAGTGGGAACCATGCTAAACTGAAACAATTATTTGACCCAGCAAAAAAGCCCAAAGGGCCTGTGCGTCGTTGTTCTTTCTTTTTCTCTCTTCACCAACAATATATTTTTCTGAACAAAAATGAGTGGATCAGACATTCGCGATATATTACAAATTGGAAAACCTTCGGCTGAAGCAACTAATCTACGTCGATTAAACAAGCCAGCCGAACGACGTCCGGGTACGAATTTATGAGAAACAACGCAGTACACGATAGTGTTTATACATGTGTCAAGTGTGCTTGAAACAAATTCTCACACATGTACGTCTTTTAGATGGCATCAGTCGTGAATTATATTCCTTGATTGGGGGTGCACCACCCGTCGCTATCGTCAGACCCACATATAAAGCCAAATTCAACGTCAAAAAAAAAGCAACACCATGGTTCGTCAAGCGATTCAAAAAAAAAGTCTATATAATATGCGCGACTAATCGGTTCTAATGTTCTTTGGAAACTTATAAAAGGATCACGGAACGGTTTACCAATAATGCGAGATCGGACGATTTAGCACTGGAACATTGGATCAAAGTAACCAACGCCAACAAGACAGGTACGGTTTTTTTTAAACTGAAAAATATGGCGGAAGCAACTACTGAATACGCCGCAAAAACAGAATACCCCTTTGCACACATTCGAAAAAGTAATGCTGTGCTCGAATATACCGACGAGGAGTATGCAGAGTGTCTTGCAGGTTTGTGTGAACTGACTGCAACCCAGTCAACCTTTAGTCTGGTAGCAAAGGTATCTATGTATACTCATTATACTACGCTTCTTCCAGAATTGGACAACGGTTGGACAAAAGAGGAAACAGATTATTTACTGGCCCTGTGCCGGCAGTACGACCTTCGGTTTATTGTCATTGCCGATCGTTACGGATATGGAAACACCAGTCGATCCGTTGAGGTAAGAAAGCCCTACAGTTCCTACTTGTCTCCGACTACATAATCTGTGGTTTGCTGTTCTGCTTCTCTGTGTGTGTGGATGTGGGGACCCATGAAGTACAGCTTTTATTCCACATTCAAACTAGTTCACTGATAACCTGTCATGTTCAACCATTAGGACTTGAAAGATCGATATTACGGCATCTATCGAGCCTTGTTGAAACATCGAGGAGCACCGAACAATGCTGCATTGGCACAGCAGTATACCTTTGACAAGACACGGGAGCTTGAACGCAAAGAGGCACTAGAAGTCTTGTACAGTCGCACACGGGAACAAATGTTAGAAGAAGAGGCACTGCTCGTGGAGGTCAAGCGGATAGAGAGTGAAGACGCACGGCTTGCTCGTGAAAGGGAGAGTGTTATGCATGTCCAGCCCATCCCGTTAAGGGCCAACGGTGGTGGTACAAGTAATAATAGCAGCCATGCGCCGGAATCCAAAGTACGCCAAAGAAAAGATATTGAGTAAAACGAAAATGACTTATGACTCATCCGCGGAATAACCGCACTCTCCCTACTGATTGTTAGCGACGAAGACGATTGACGGCTGACGACAAGAAAGTGGCAGCGGTTCGGCCAGCTACGGAAGGTAAAATCTAAAAAAGGAGTGTGGCAGAGAGAGAGAGAGAGAGAGAGAGAAAGAAAAAGAGGGAGGCTTTAACGGAAAAAAAAGTTTGTGCATCCATTGCATGTGCATATGGCCAAAAAGACAATGGTACTGGGTGCGGTAAGAGACTAAAAGCGCGTGCCTCGCTAATTTCTAGATGCGGCGGCGTCGTCGTCGTCGTCGTCGCTCAAGGAAAAACTCATATCCGGCGTCCATGTGCAGAGCCAACGACTCCCTGTGGTCAAGCCAAGTATGCATGCAAAGATATTGAAGGTGATGGACGAAGTGACCGCTGGTAAGTAAACAGAATAACATAGAAATTATAATGTAGGGTTTTCCCCCAAAATGGCACCGACAGCAACAACGATCGGAGCCAAGTGGGGCAAGTAGAAATCTGACAGATAATCCTACTAACTGTTGTTTCTTCACATATGTCGCATGATGCTGGGGGGCCAAACAGGCCCGCGACCCGTGATGCCGACTGCAGCGGTGTGCCACGACTTCGAACAGCTCCAAACCTCGATTGCACAAATGTTTGAGCTGAAAAAAGTAGTCGACAAAATGGAAATTGAACACAAGATCAAGCAAAAGGTATGACCCCAAAACAGCATTCTACTTCAATAATAGCCAAGGTACTACTTTCATTAGACGCCCCACCCAACCACTTACCCCGCCCCCTGTTTCAACGAACATGCCCCCTCCCTCTTGACTGGTATGTATGCTGACAGAAACGTTGCGGTCTCCATATCATATGTTAGATTCGAAGAAGCAGTAGTAGTAGTAGTGGTAGTAGCAATAATACAAGCAGTGCCAGTTGCGGTAGTAGTAGGAGTAATGACAATTCTACTAAGCGGCGAAAAGAAGCGTAAGGACGATGTGTATGTACGACGTTGTGCGGAGAGAACGGACGGGGCAATATTGGTAGTGTCGCTAATAAGTTGTTCTCGCTCGCTCGCACTTGCTCTCTCACTTGTCCACCATGCGCGCATGTGTGTGTGTTATTATTATATATACGGCAAAAGGGTGGAGTTGCAAAAAATCAATAAAACAAGGCAATGAGCAAAAAACAAGGTTTTTTGGATTTCTTTTCCCTCTTAACTAACACCATATTCCACCCCTCTCCAAATACCCCACTCTCTTCCATTTTTTTGCCCAACTCGTCAAAGAGTATTTACGTAGGATATACTTCTTGGAGTTATTTATTTGTTCTTTTATATATATATATATATATATACATCCATATATCTATCTATATCTATCGTAAATAGCCAACCAACCACCAACCCACCTCTTCTGTTTCTACTGATTTTTGTATCAATAAATACCAACACAAACAAATGCTTGTCGCCAAGGACCAACAACAGGAACAGCCCCAGCAGCAACAGCAGCGCGAACAGCCGCCACCAAAGGCCGTCAACATCATTCGACCCTCCTCGCCATTCTTCCAACAGTTTAAATCGCCTCACCATCATCTGACTCCACACAACAATGGAACTTCACATGACACAATGTCATCGACGGCATCCAATTCTACCTTATCCACTATTTCGTCAAACGCCGGTCGTGCGACTGTCCTTGGTCCTGCCAATTTCTTTTCGCTCTACGCGCACCAGAAGCCAGCTTTTGGCTCAACGCTGCCGCATCGATTGATTCAACGAGCGAGAAGTAACTCCAACTTATCTAGACTCACTGTCTTGTCAAATAATAACAGCGACGACGACGACGACAATGCAGACGACGATGACGACGAGATAGACGACGAGATAGACGACGAGATAGACGACGACGATGATGAAGAAACCGATGAAGACAGTAACGATGACAACGACGATATAGATAGTATCGATGGCAACAGTGATGATGACGATCAGGGCGATGATGGCAACGACGACGACGACGACGAAAAGATTGACGACGATGCGGACGAAAATCAAGTGTCACCGTCGAAAATTGTTGCCAGAATTAAGCATGGTACCATCATGAACGGACGAGGCGAATTCGTTTCCAAAGGAGGAGGAGGAGGAGATAGTGGCGATGATGGCTGGCTCGACGAAGCAAGGGCGAATCGCAAGGTGCGTACATGTTTTAAAAGTGTGTGGTTGGGCGTAATTTTTCTTCAAAAGAAAAAGAGAAGGTAGGGAGATGCATGTAATTATTTCTTTTTTGCGTTCTAAACACATGTGCGTAAACAGATTGCCGATCTCGAAATTGAAAAGACGTCCTTGCTGGCTGTCAACACGACGCTCGAAGCGACCTTGCGGAAACAAGCATCCAAGATCGTTGAATTGGAAAAACGTCTAGAAATGTAAATACACACTGTTCTCTCTTTAATTCAGGTCCCAGAGGAGGCACTGACCCGCCAACATGTGCAATCTTGATTACCACTTTAGCAACCCTGATCAAGGACCACTAACCCCGGTATCCGATAAGCCTTTGGAGGTAACACCCAATTAAAAATGAACTTTTGGTTTAGTTTAATATTAATCCTACTTTGACGATAAATTATTTGTGTATAAAAAAAAGCTGGGAGACGACGACGAAGCCTTGACGGAAAAGCTTTCGGACCAAGATTTAGAGAATGACCAAGTGTTCCAACGATTGCGAGCCATGCTTCAAAGTTTGATTGATGACGCCGAAGCTGCATTGCTGCAAAAGACCAAAGTGTCCGGAGGACGCGTGCTTCATGACTATGAACCAACTATGAGCGCTGAACTATCACGACTGGATACTGCGGCAACTACTTCTACTACTACTACTACGATTACAACTAAAGATGAGGGTAAGGTCGACTTTTCGTAAGAATCAAGTACATCTTTTTTTTTGCTTATACCTAAAATTCATTCATGCAAAAATTATATTCTCTATCTAGTGACCATACGAAAGTTAGCTGCACGACGATCATGGTCACCGCCTACGCAAGGCAATACAGCCATTATGAACCGACAAAACCAACGACCACCGCGACGTGTATCTGACAGTCAGGACCGAGGACGTCCAGTGTCATTTCATCAGCACCAATTACTACAGCAATATCAACAACACCAACAGCACCACCAATACCAACGACCTAAATCGCCCATTACCACTAGTACTGCTGTCGCTGCTACTGCAAATACCAAACATACCATCAACCATACAAAAGCATCCATGGCTCGTACACTTTCTCGGTCTTCGTCACCTGCTGTGCTCGTCTCATCGCCCACACCGCCTACATCGCCTACGTCGCCTATTCGTTCGAGCTCGCCTCGACCGTTTAGTCCTCCGCCCGTGGCATCGGCAACGGCAACACGGCCAGCACGACCTCCAAGTAGAACGTCCTCATTAAGTAGAACTTCTTCATTGAGTAAAACGTCCTCGTTGAGACGAGAACAATCACAGCAACAAGCATCTCCGAGATGGCAGTACTAAATAGTCCCCTAACTCTCTCTTCATTCCCATCATCCCATTCCACCAAATATTGATATACACACACACACACACAATCCCTTTCACTCATACCAAACCCACCCACTTATTCACTCGCACAGACATCACAATCATTTTTCGTTTTTCTTTATCTTTTCTGCTATATCTTTTGTGATTTTTTTGTTTCGTTCGCGGTGGTCCGTTGTATATGCTTATCCCCCACATTCATTTGTTTTTTCTCCCGTCTTCTTTTGTGATATATATCTTATTAAACGCATTATTATTGTTCTTTCCCTGTCATATCTTCTTTTGTTACCTATATCTGTTTATTCGCTCAGAGTTCAACCGCCAATGACGTATCTGTCCAAGACCTCTATTCCTTTCCCTGCCAAGTAACACACACACACACACACACAAGCGTGCATACTAAATTCTTCCCCTTCCTTGTTTAGAATCCACTATAAAAAACAAAACAACAAGTTTGCAGCAGCAATGTCCGTGTTGAACCTAATAAAGAGAGGGTCCAAATCGTACACAAACAAACCACATGACCTTACCACACAAATGCCCTGTGACACATGTCGATTAGTTAGCGTCCCAAAACTCTCTTTTGTATTCTTTCTCTTTTTTGCCACGCAGGCTTACTCATGAGTAAGTTGACACAGACGCCTCCCCTCATCAGTCTGAATCCAGGACCAATCGGACCATGTATGTGCCCACCTCGCTTGACAATCCGGAATAAGCGGGAGAGAATGAAAGAAATAAGAAGACCGAGAAAAGACAAAAAAAGCGACTAAGAGATATTCCTTACTCACTAGTACAAGTCCGTGTTCATGAGCCATTCCGTCAACGTCAAGGGTTGAAAAAAACGCGTGCTGTGTTAAATGTGCTCGATCTTTTTGGTCGACTGGAACTGATTTTGAAAAAGCAACAACATATGCAGCGATTTCAACCGCCCACAGAACAAGCTCAGAGTTTAGAAAAGGTATGTTGTGTATTCTCGGAAAAGTAAAGGGGGTGAGTGAGGGCCATGTAAGAGGGGTGTTCAGCCCGAACATGTGCGAGACAAACACATGCTTACGTCCATTGTTCAAATAACATATAGCGCCTCGAACGCGAAGTGGAATCACTCAAAAAATTGATCAAATCAACCTGGCAACAGCTCGATGCAGAACCACAAGAAAACGACTACATACAAGAAATGAAATTGGCAGCATTGTATCCACTTGCTACACAGCACTTGAAATGCACGACACCTACAGAAAGAGCCCAGCGGTCTATCGTCGGTGCTGATATTTATTGTACGTGTGTATGTGTGCATTATGGTGAAGAGCTACGAAGTAACAGTTCTATTTAATGCTACATAGCACATTACCATCAAATGGCATTGTATGATCAACTGTATGCCATTGCCGCTCGATTGTATCGCAGCCTGAACCTCCCTGACCATCACTATATACCCTACCAACTGGCGGTTGCATTTGTAAGTACATGTCTGCTAGTTAGCAGTTAGAAAATATATAGGCACTTATTAACTGAAGGACGTTTTGTTTTGGCACTTTGATTAGCAATGCATCACGCAGTTGGGCATGTACTATACCGAATTTCGCGAACGTATCCAACGCCGCTTCGAAGAGATAAAATCAACACTATCGAAAGAAACTCCTACCCTTAACGAAGAACAAGTCCTCTGGTTGAAAAAGCTTACAAAGGATCTGATGGTCCAAGTGCTCTATGGTAAAAACAATACTGATCCCACCAAATCCAATCGCCACACCTTGTTGACGGAAGCCATGGTCCAAACTCAAAAAATCAGTCAAAGGGCGGCAGCAAGTCCTGTTGTATAAAAGGAAAAAAGAAATGCGGCACCAAGGATCAGGAGGGTGATAACAATGAGGATATATGATATATACATACATATATATATAGGATTTTCTTTTCGTTCGTAGATATTATATTTTTTCTTCTTTAGTACGCGAGTAGTTTGAAAAGGAAGATGCAAAATGGGAAGAGGAGGTGGTGGAAGAAAGAACGAAGAAAAAAGACAAAAAGAGCAGAATGTGTAAATACAATTTGTATCCTGTATATGTGTGTGTTTTGGTGGAATGTGGCTATTGTGATTTTTCGATTATACATAATAATCCTTAGGTCCAGACGTACTATTAAAAACAAAGGTAGTCAGTTAGTACAAGCATGCCATGCCAATCCGCTAGTTTTCCAAACCCCGTCCTTATGTACCTGAGGACCACCGCCACCTTCAGGTACGGTCCAATCAATGTTTTGAGAAGGATCCTTGATATCGCAAGTCTTGCAGTGAATGCAATTCTGCGAGTTGATCTGAAGACGCTTCTGGCCAGGGTTGGCTTCGTCATCGACATATTCGTACACGCCAGCTAGTAGTAAAATCACAGTTAGCAAAGAAAAACGATTGCTACGCATGATTAAACGGTATATTACCAGGACAGAAGCGGTTTTCGGGGCCATCAAAGACAGCCAAGTTACGTTCAACAGGAATGTCCTTGTCACGAATGCGCAAGTGAACGGGTTGGTTTTCGGCGTGATTGGTGCCAGTTCGGGCAACGTTGGTCAACAAGTCAAAGGAGATGACACCATCGGGCTTTGGATAGTCGATCGGCTTCGAGCCCCTTTAAGAAAACATAAGTCCAAATTCACGATGGGATTTGACCTTCCTTTCTTACTTACTTTGCGGGCTGTAATGCTTGCCAATCGGGCTTGTGGTGCTTGAATGTCCATGGTTCTTTACCTTTGGTGATCATGGTAGTGAAACCAGAATAGGCCACACCACCAAACAAGCCAAGTGGGCCATGGAACGAGGGCTTGCAGTTACGGACACCATACAGCTCTTCATAGACCCACGAATTCTTGATGTTTTCTTCATAGTTGCTCAAGTTGATTGGGCCTTCCGGCTGTTCTTCGCCACTGCCAAACAGCTTTTCATAGGTGGCCTCGGCGGCCAACATACCAGACTTCATGGCAGTATGGGTGCCCTTGATCTTGGGCACGTTTAAGAAACCGGCAGTACAGCCGATCAAAGCACCACCAGGGAATGCGAGCTTGGGGATGGATTGATAGCCACCTTCGTTCAATGCGCGAGCACCGTACGAGATACAATTACCGCCTTCCAAAACGGGCTTAATGGATGGATGGTGCTTGAAGCGCTGTATAACACAGTTTATGAAAATTTTATGACCGATCAGCACATGCACATAACTTGTTTTCCCACGCCCCCACCTTCATCCAACGTCATACGTAGCAAAGAACTACCCCGCAAACGCTTGAGTCTTTTCAGTACCTGGAATTCTTTATAAGGGTTCATGTATGGGTTTTCATAGTCGAGACCAACGACATAGCCGACGGCAACCAAATGACGCTCCGGCTCGGGTTCAAAGTGATATAAGAAACTACCGCCATAGGTGTGGATATCGACAGGCCAGCCAATGCTGTGGATGACAGTACCAGGCTGGTGTTTGGCAGGATCAACTTCCCAAACCTCCTTCAGACCAATACCGTACTTTTGGGGCTCACTATCCTTTCTCAAGTTGAACTTGCTCATCAGAGTCTTGGTCAGGGAGCCATGGCAACCTTCGGCGAACAGCGTCACCTTGGCATTGACAGCCATACCACGCTCATAGGTGTCCTAGAATACAAAGATACATTCAGTCAGCGCATTCTACCGTGAGAAAAAAGAAACACGGTAAACATGAAAACAAACCTTTGGCTCAAAGTTCTTATCCAAACCCACGTCGTTCAGGTTGATACCAGCAACACTACCATCTTCATTGTAGCGGACCTCGCTAGCAGCAAAGCCGGGATAGATCTCGACACCCAATTCCTCGGCTTGTTCACCGAGCCACTTTACAAAGTTGTTCAACGAAACAATGTAGTTGCCCTTGTTGTTCATCTGAGGAGGATGAGGCAATGGGATAGCCATGGTCTCCGTCAAGAACTGCATCTTATCCTTGGTGACGGGCGTGTTCAAAGGTGCACCCTTTTCCTTCCAATCCGGAATAAGTTCGTTCAGGGCACGCGGTTCCAAAACAGCACCACTTAGAATATGAGCGCCCACTTCACCGGCCTTTTCCACCACCATGACGCGCAATTCTTGATCGGCTTCGTTGGCAAGTTGCTTTAAACGAATGGCAGCGGCAAGACCGGAAGGACCACCGCCGACAATGACAACATCGGTTTCGTCCTCAAACTGCTCCATGCGGCGAGGATCGTCTTCTGATAGCTTGTCACGATTGGGAATCCAAATTGGACGTGCAGCCGTGGTCGAGAGGTATTGAACAGAGGCAAGACGCGGCATAGGCTTCATACCGGTCGTGCGTGTTGTTGCTGTTGCTGCTGAAAGTCTAAGGGTATTGCTGGTTGAAGCGGCACAGCGTCCAGCGGTGGCGGCCGTGCGCAAGCGCATTCCACGAGCAAGCAAGGACATTGTGTAAAGTGAATAAGAAGAGTGGGGAGTTGAAAAGAGGAGAAAAAGAAGAAAGAGGCAGAGAGAAGGTGAACTGGATAGAAAGAGCTGTAGTAAAAAAAAAATATATGACAATCTATACTTATGACAAATTCACATGCCGTATCTAGAGATCAGAGAATCTCGTTGGATAACCAACAGCCGCTCAGGGCCAGTCACTGGCAGGCAACGAAAATCGCATGAAGCCGTGAAAATGTATTTCCGTGACGAGCAGCTTCTTTAACTTCGATGACACATTTTCTATTCCAGCTTGCTTCTCAAATATATATACCATGCTCTGGATCTATAAGCTACGACGATTAACTTGGTAAAACGGGCAGCATTTACTAAGTTCTCAAGTGTTTCTAATCAACGGTCGTTTCGGTTGCTTTTTACCCTTCTTCTGCTGATGATAGGTATAAATCTAAGACTGCAAGGAGGGCGTTCAGGCTAGCTCAAAAGTAAGAAACGTTTTTTTCAAGCATACATGATATTATTGTTATTGCATTAGTATTCGCATCGAAAAGAGAAGGGATAATCCAGTTTTTCCTTGGATCTTCTTGCTTGTATCTCGTGTGTGTACGTTTATTTACGAGAGTTGATTCTCAGGCAGGGCTGAGATATGTCATCAGTTACTATCTACGGCGCAGAAAGTCGGCACCCCACGCGTCAACTGGAGAGTGGTGTGCTAACCCAAGCTTACCAGTAGCTGCAACGATATTACATAATTTCACTGGATTCCCTTAGTGCACATGCGGAGCGAGAGGTGAGTTCCGCTCTCAGCATTCTCTGCATGTACACAAAAAACATGGCCATTCCACTTTTTTTAAGATGATAATGGTTGAAAGATATATTAGAACCAAAGATGTGGATGGAATACTAACGTGAGTACAGTACTATCACTGAAGAGCAGCTATTGCTGGTTTATTTCACTCCCAATCGCTGTCGCTATCTTCGGATGCTGTTGTCCTTTTTGTTTCTTCTGTTTTTGTGCTTTGATCTGCTGCCGCTTGCTTGTCTGCTGTTGGTACTGGCGAGGCTGCTATCTTCTTGTCATCAACATCGTTCTTCTTCTCATCAGCAATTTTCTGTCCTTTCTTTTGTTGCGTTGATGTTGCCTCATCTTCATCGTCCGAATCCCATTTGAACTCAAGCTCCTCTTGAGCTCCTATGGTGCATAAAACAACAAAAAGCACAGTCAAGAAATATATCCGTCATACATTTATACTTTCCAATCGGATCATCATTTACCTTCAGCAATTATTTGTCGTTTCTCGTCCTCTTTTTCGATCTTTTGCGCATGGTGAAAGTATCTTTGCCAAAATAGAACGTAGCTAACCTCGATAGGTACTAATATAATATAACCAAGGACCAGAAAATATTGGTCTTTTAGCCATATCATACATAGCTACAAAACCAGCTTTTTCTCTCTCTCACCTAGTCGGTCCATCATGTCCCGTAACTCTGGGGACTCTTCCAATATGAGAGCAATCTCGTCTGTTTTCTTCTCCACATCGTCGATGACCGGACCCGGGACTTGAGTTAGAAACGTATCAGGGTCCGTGCGCATTTCGGCCAACAGCCGCTCTTTTCGGGTTGCACTACAAGTATTTTTGTAGTAACGTTAGAAGATTCAACCGTGAGAACAAAAACATTCTTCTTACTCCTTTGTCACCCAACATAATCAGACACACACAAGTACTTACAAAATACGCTTGCTCGGATTGCTGCTTGTACTTTTCCTTCCTTCAGGTTCCTGAGCTTGTTTGGCATATTCATCGTCGTCAATGACATTGATAGCCTTGTTGACAATTTGCGTGACTTCGGCACCAAATTTCTGGAGATACTGTTCTGCGAACCGGGTACCCTGATCCATTTCTTCGCGAAGTTTGCCCAGGTCTATGTTATCGGGTAATCGTAAGGCGGATGGGAGTTGTTGTGCTTGGCGCACATAGCTCCATATCATGCTATCTTCTTCTTCTTGATCATTATCTCCACTTTCAGCTCCATCTTTTGCGTTGCTTCCAGTGGCTCGACTCTTTCCCTTGACGTCTGGTTTCACGTTTTTTGATATTTTTTCAACGGTTTCCGTAGTGTCGTCTCGTAAAACTTGTGCAAATTCCTGCAAGTCGTGACGAGTGACATTGACTGCTTGCTCACCCTTTGTGCCCATGGTTATTTATTATAAACTTGTAGAGTTAATGCCGGTTGGGGCTCTTTTCTTTGTTTATTGGAGAAATCGTCGTTGTTTTTTTTCGGGCTATTATAGCGTACCTGTTTCTTTACAGCGTCGACAAGACTGGTCCATCGTTGACTGAATCCGAAATTGTTAAATGCACTCAATAGTACGTCTTCTTGCTCGTCTGGCTTTTGCGATCCTCGACTGGATTGAACAGCTTCATTAGTGTATAGATAGACGTCATCCATGATCGTCGAGTCTTAAATGGGGCTGGCTAAAAGTCAAGTGAAAAATGGTTGCATAAATAATATATGAATTTGGTGCGGCAATCAAAAAAATAGATCATGTTGCTTGGCAACAGCTTGTAAATCAATGGTTTCAATATTATTATTATATATCTAAGCTAAGCTTTAAGAGATTAAACATTATAGAGGGAAGACAAAGCAGAATTAAGCAAAGTTTAATAGGAAGGTGCTAAGAATGGCCAGCACCGTGAATGGCGCGGCTGTTGTTATGCTGATAGAACCTGCACCAGCGTGAAGTTTAAGGCTTTCTGATTCTGTTTGAAATTGACCGCCCTTGTCTGCGTTCAGAGCATCTGTGTCGATAATATTGCCACCTTCTTGCTCGGAGGGAGCACCATTGTTCGTGGTACTTGCTTCTTGAACTTTGTTTTTTGCTTGACCCTCTGCCAAGCTGGCGTTCACGGATGGATTGGTATATTCGAGGGCTTCAGTCGCACTCAAAATAGTAAGGCCGAATTCTTGAGCAACCGCATCTGATTTGAGCTTGATCCTATTGCGCATAGTTTCAAGTATTAGCACTCTCTCCCTTCTTTACTCCATACCAAACATACGGGGTATTGCAACTCTCCGAAAAGGAGGAGAACTGTTAACGCTCTCGTTTCTTACCATTGGATCAAACCAAAATCAGCACCACCGCCATTATCGTTAGGAGCAGAAACCTTTTGATACAAGTTTTCAGAGGTCTGCTCAAAGTTCCATCCAAAATTAATGCCAGGAGACAATTGCTTGATACTACGATCCCATCGCAAATCAGGAGCAATATAGTTGTGATAGGCAATTACACGGCGGGTCAAGGTCTGGTCGTTGAACAGTATACGCACGGTATCCTTCAAATACGTCTCAAAGGTGGACCGAATCTTTGGGTTTTCAAGCAGACGGTTGATCATGACACTCTCGGGATATCTCTGTGGATAATCCTTGTACGAGACCTTGACAAATTCGTCACGGCCTTCAGGTGTGACGAGGTTGACGCCGAATGTGGCATCAAAGTCCTGGCCCAAGTAGTACCATCGATTATTTTCAGTGGGGTCACAATAAGCGCCCAAGTTGGTCTGCTCCATCCAATATCCATCCCAATCAGCTGTCAAATACTCGACCACCATGAATCGCAAGAACTGATCGATATTGAATCGTTTGTTGAATTCGGCAATTTGTTGGTCGTCCTGAACATCCACTTCCTTGAACTCTTCAGTGAAATCCTGGATAGGTTCTTCACCGCCAGGGCTCTTTTTGCTGGGCTTCCATGACTCTTCGTAGTGATCGGAGGATTCGTAATAGATAAAATCAGCGCCAGACGCACCGTCATATAGAGGGCCCATTCGATTAGGTGGGTTTCCGTTGTACCACATGGCATTGATGTACGAGTATTGAATTACGTCGTCAAGCATATTGAATGTGCCAAAACCAACGCCGTTGATAAACAGACGGACCATATTGGCACGGTTGGCATATGTGTCCAGGGCACCTAAAACGTCAGCGTACAATTTCTCGCGCATCTGTGTTGGATCTTCTTCCATGTGTCGAAGCTTGAACCAGTTGCGGTTATCCAAGTATTTGCCTTGAGGCAAATACCATTCCCAGCTTTGCTTGGCGTTGTTTTTGCTCTTTCCTGCGCCGTGGATACGCAGTGTCGTGTCTTGGAACGTCCACACCTGATCAGGACCGATCATGGTGAATTTAATATTGACTTTCTTTTCCGGCACGTTGTTTACTAGGTCCTCCATCTCGGATGGGTCGCCGTTGATGAAGATTGAAGGCATATATTGGTCGTCCCAGATGGATCCTTTAGGGCCACCACGTGTCCATGGGCTCTATATAGTAACGTAAGTTTGTATGTGACGAACTTATCGATTCATCTTTGTTTATTTTGTCCTTTTGTCGTATGTAAGATAATCTTACGTTTTTGATCGGGTGTGGTAAGGGTGGTAAGGAAGCGTAGGTTACAGGTCGTTGGAATATATCGTTGAGTGTGGTCTCGCCATTAAGAGTACGTTCGAATGTTTCTTCTGTGCTGTCGACAACGTACTAATACATGGACAAAATGTCAGCTTTGTATTCATGCGCTTGTCTCGTCGAGAACTAGATATATTACTTTATATTGGCATGAGCCGTTGCACTCGGCTTCACCCTGATAATAGGGTACGTCGGCATCGGGTCGAGTTAGTGGAGTACGCTGACCGTGTATCGAAACGGCAACGCTTTGTTGGGCACCAGGTGCTACGACTTTGAAGGTGGCTGCATCGGCATAGACTGCGGCCATCATCAATGCGATGGCATATGCAACGCGCATATTGATAATATTATGGATAAGTGTAATGAAAGGAAGGGGTGTTTCAAGTGAAAACGAAAAGGAAGGGGAGTTTTACCAAGCGGTTGAATGAAAGAGTAGAAAGGAAAAGAAAAAGAGGACCGCGAGCGCTTTTAAAATCTCCTCTCTTTGGTATGTTTTTTTGTGCGTACACACACACACACACACATACTGTGCATGCTAGTTGACATGGAAACCTGAGCGTTCGAATGAAAACGGTCACCTATTGAATTCTTTCGTTCGTTCAGGAGAGAGCAAAGCATCCGAAAAGAAAGGGGGCCACCAATTAAACGGAGAAGGATCAAGTATCCCATTACGTACACAACAGCACCAGTGTATTGTTGATCTTGAATATATACAAACAAACTCTCTCTTTCTTTGCCCTCACGAGCATGTGCATCTATTGCAATAAGGAGTCCTGTTCTGCGATCGTTTCATTATTGTTTTCCTTTTGACATGTGTCAGTAGCCAGAATGAACAGGGTGCTGGGAATGCTGAGGATGATGTTATGTGTGTATGTGCAAGTATGTACAAATGGATGATGTTACTATTATAAAGGGGCTGGGTTATATATAACTCGTTACTCTCTAATCTCCCTGTCACTAATAGTCCTTCTGCGTGTCGCAAATTGTAGCGCCTTGTTATCAAAATGCACGAGAGAGAGAGAAAGGGGGGGGGTGCTCTGTAAATACGGTAGCAGGCAGATAGGTGTAAGATGAATAAATTAAAAGTAAAAAAGAGGTAATTATAAAAGCAGCACAAATGGTGGAGTGGTATGCTTATTGGATCAATCTTCCTTTTTGCGTCGCTGCTCCTTCCGCTGGGCCAGCTTTGCCAGTTTTTTCTCCTGTCGATGACTTAGTTCAACCTCGGGCGTCTTGACCTGCTCAAAGAAGGCATCCAAAGCCTCTGGAGTCGTGTCATCGAGAGTGTATCGTCCGAGTTTGCCTTGTCTGTATTGCTTCAACAAAAATTTGCTAGCCATGGTCATGTCGAGTTCACCGCCCTTGACGACTGCCCCGATCCGCTTGGCAACTGCTTCCAGCAACACATTGATGTCATTTGTCGGCTCTGCCATGTTGTAATACGACATGTATGCATCGTGCTGGTGTCGTTTGTTAAGTTCGTAGAGGAGATAGTCCGCCATGACTTGTTCGTCCGCCAGGTGATCACGAATGCCACCTGTCAATGCGACCCGTAAACTGCGCACGGGGTCCGCCAAGTGCGGGACCATGACGCCCGGCGTGTCAATAAGATATATGGCTGGGTGTTCCAACACTTTAACGGTGCCCACAACTGCACGTGTTACGCCAGGCTGATTACCCGTGGCTGCCGCCTTGCCTTTACCAACTCCAACATGACGCAATGCATTCAACAAAGAAGATTTCCCCACGTTGGGCATGCCGACAACCATCAAATTGACTTGAGGAATGGGATCGGCGAGTGCAGCTGCGTATTGAAGAATCGGCCGAATGTCTTTGTGTATGTGACAGCTTGTGTAAAGCACAGGCGTGTTGGGGTTGTGTTGTTCGAGTGCACGTGTAACAGGTCGTTGTGTCAGTGGATCGGCCAGATCGGCCTTGTTGTAGACAATCAGGCGTTTTTTGCGACCGACGACTTTCTCAAAGTTGGGGTTGACGGACGAGACCGGAATGCGTGCGTCGCGTACTTCAACAACGAGATCAACAGAATTCAGTCGTTCGGAAATGACACGTAGACCTTTGGCCATGTGGCCAGGAAACCAATTGATTACGCGATCGTAATGGAATGTCGATCGTGGAACAAAGCGACTTGCCATGATAGATCTTTGCAGAAAGGTAGAATAAAAAGGTTAGTTATTCTTTGGTGCAGTAAATAAACATCAAGGGTAGAACCCCGCAAAGCTGAATGAGCTCGCATATGTCCGAAAACCGACCCATCCGGGGAAATAAGTTGGAAGACAGCCGCTTTTATCGGGAGCTATCGATGCCATCGGGGATCTCCCGCACACTGTAAGAAACTTGGAGTATGACGATATGGAAAGGTACCCGGGTAATACAGGAAATGATATATAAAGGGCCTGTTGGAAAACAACCACTTCTTCTTTCTTCTTTTCAGCTGCTACAGCCCCCCTCGGTTGCACACACATACACATAAATGCACCCAATGTCTTCACCTGCCGAAATCATCCGTAAACAGGTTGCGTCCGAGCTACAGGGCTCAGTAACTATCGTCGGTAAGTATTTCAAAGTTATCATGGCGATAGCTTAGCCATCGTAGTGTTACTGCCCTGGCTGTCGAAACGGGTCCCCCTGGGTCCTTTTGCTTCTACTCTCCCCGCCTTTTGGAGAGAAAACTTTTCACCATTCCGCCCATGGCGACGGAATGGAGTAAAAGACGATGCACAGATAAATTGTTTAAGGGTATTTTCTAACATATAGCATGATTTTCCCATGATTATGTATATACCCCACTCTGTAGTTCTCGGTGCATCGGGTGATTTAGCCAAGAAAAAGACCTATCCAGCCCTATTCGGCCTGTTCCGTAATGGTTTCTTACCCGAAAACACACACATTATCGGCTACGCACGTACCAAGATGACACACCAAGATTACTTGGCTCGCGTAACACAGTATATCAAGGCTCCTGATGATGAAACAAAGCAACTGTTGGAGGACTTCACGCAGATCACGAGCTATCGATCGGGCCTGTACGACGATGATGCATCATGGCAGGCATTGGATGAGTGTATCCGTGCTAGCGAGGCAAAGCGTCAGCTCGGTTCTGGACGAAAACATCGTGTTTTTTACATGGCTTTGCCTCCTTCCGTGTTTGTGCCAGTTGCTGAAGGGCTAAAGAAGAATGCATATGCCCAGGACGGCTTGACCCGGTTGGTCGTCGAAAAGCCGTTTGGCATGGATACCCAAAGCTCGAATCAGTTAGGTCGTGAATTGGGCGCATTGTTCAAGGAAGATGAGGTATATTCTCACGCCAGAAAGAATATCTGACAACCCTAGATATACATACGAGGAAGAAAGAGGAAGTGGAGATGCTGATGATCATGATATGGCTATTAGATCTATCGTATCGATCATTATCTCGGCAAGGAAATGGTCAAGAACGTCATGATGGTGCGATTTGCCAATATCTTTTTCAACCAGATCTGGGATCGCAAGTACATTGATAATGTGCAAATCACATTCAAGGAAACGATTGGCACCGAGGGCCGTGGTGGCTACTTTGATGAATTTGGTGTCATTCGCGACGTTATGCAAAATCGTAAGCTACAGCTTTTAGGATTTTTTCCTTTACGTCCCCTTCAAACCCAGTATTTCCCGGTCTGGGAGGCTGCGTCCCAACCCCTCATTTTTATGAGTGATTCTAACTCCGGAGATTACGCTTAGATCTTCTCCAGGTACTGTCCCTGATTGCCATGGAACGACCCATATCCACCGAATCTGAGGCGATTCGTGACGAAAAAGTCAAGGTTTTGAAATGCATTCCACCCATTGTTCTGGAAGATGCCCTGCTGGGTCAATACGTGGGCGCCAATGGCAAGCCTGGTTATCTTGAGGACGATACTCTGAAAAACAAGCAAAGCCGCACCCCGACATTTGCAGCTCTCACCCTGTGGATCCAAAACGAGCGATGGGAAGGAGTTCCCTTTATCATGAAGGCGGGTAAGGCACTAAACGACGCCAAAGTTGAAGTCCGCATTCAATTCCGAAATGTTGCCGGCAGCTTGTACAAGGGCTCTCCGCGCAACGAACTAGTGTTGCGAGTGCAGCCTGGCGAGGCCGTCTATGTCAAGTTCAACAACAAACAGCCCGGATTGTCGTACCAGACCATCCAGAGTGATTTGGATCTGACTTATGACAGCCGCTATAGCAACATGAAGATTCCAGATGCATATGAATCGCTTATACTGGATGTGCTTCGAGCTGATCATTCGAACTTTGTGCGTGATGACGAGCTGGAGGCGGCATGGAAGATTTTCACCCCGCTGCTGCACACGATTGATAACCCTACCGCAAAGGTCCCCATCACGACCTATCCCTATGGTTCCAGAGGTCCTGCGGAATTGGATGGCTTTGTGCGCAGATATGGCTATGACCGCTCTGATGAGAACTACGACTGGCCTGTTCAAAGCTTGTCGTCCACATCCGAATCTGCACCTCCACCGCCCAGACTTTAGAAAGGCTTCAAAGAGGACATTTTATTTTGTTTGTACACATGTAATATATAAAAGATAGCATTGTTTCTTTTTCCTTTTGACATTATAACTCTTTATGATCCTTTTTCTCACTATATCCTGGAGTTTCCGTGTATGCAACGCCTGCTTTGAAAATCGCCATAGCACTGGTGTACACGGCACCTGCGATCATCTGATGAAGCTGGTAATGTCGGTCGACTTGCGTCAACTTTGCCACCCCGCAGGACACCAGCTGCCAAGTTCGTTCTCGAACACAGAGAATCTTGTCAATTGTGTTAATACTGAATACTGCGTAATTCATCGCAGAAGTCACAACATCTATCGCCATCATCAACATCATTGATATGTAAGCATGCTATATCATATACCCCATATCCTCTCTTCCCTTCTTTGCTAATTGTGATAATCACCAGGAATCGGACTCTTTTTCAATGCCACAGCGCACGCTATCGCTGCATGGATGATACTCTCTGATATGCTATTGATGTCAGCATCATCTTCGACCTGATCAAGATCGTATCTTTCTTTGATTTCTTTGAGCTTATCCCGAAGCGAGCGTTTTGCTCTTGGATTCGTATCCACTATAATATAACAAACGTCGATCCATATCAGGATATCCGCTTTTCTCTTCATACTATAGCATTTGGAGTGGAAGTCTTTCAATACATGTATGATGGAGAAACTTACAAGGCAAGGCTGCCATCATCTTGTCCAAGGCAACCATATACAGATCTAGAGCTGTTGTCATTTGACGCGAAGATTGCATTTCAGAGGCGATTTGGATTAGGGTCATAGACTGGCCAACAAGGGTTGAGTTGATCATTGCTGGACTCGCTGTCGTATCTTGTTCTCGTTCTAAACTAACTTCTGGTGCAACCCGTTTTGTCATTACAGACTTTTCGTATGGTGGAGGAGGAGGTGAAGCGGTGCCGCTAGATGCAACGTCGTCAACGTAGAAATCCTCATCTTCTTTAGCAGGAGTAGTAATAGTGGTAGTAGTAGTATTAGGGGTCGATCCACGACCGAACAATAAGTGTGGTACTTTTTGAAGGATGCTTGTCATGTTTTCTCTGCGTGGGTGTGTGGGGAGGGAGTATTCATTAAGCGTGAAATGAAAGTTTATGACAAAGATATAGTAAAGATTGGATGAGTAAGCGAGAGAAAAATAGGAGGAAGAGGAAGAAAAAAAGAATCGTTGATGTGCAGCAAAGCGAGGTATGTAAATGAGAAGCCCTCCTCTTTTAAAATATATTTATACAGCGTGTAAAAACGATCACCGTTTATAGAAAAGGTACTCCATGTGAAACTGATAGAAGGCAGCATTGTTTGGAATGTTGTGCATATTCGCTCGGGTGCTATCGCCCCAAAATCCCCTTGCAACAGCTTCCCCTGTCTGCTATGTATACAGATGTCATCACTTCTGCTTTATCATCATCATACATGTTTGCAATGTTGCATAACTTTGAAGCAGCTGTCGTCTGTTTCTCGTGTACGTAACAGAATAGAAAGACATATATCAAAGCGATTGCTACGGCTATATGCTCCATTCCGTCATTGAAAGAAATCCATTTTTTCTAAAACCTGTACAGGTATGTACAGAACGCTTTAATACGCAGGGTGATCAAAAATAAAAAAAGAATCCGTCGTTCGTTTAACAAATCAAATCAAGTATTCGCGCCCTCGCATGTTGTTTACTACTTTAACAACATTGTTGATCTGTTTATGCACGACAAAAACAGTATTCCACTGGTTACTTGGACTAATGATTCATGCAAAAAATGATTCTTTTCGGATAATGACTATTGATGGCGAGTAACTACTTTATGTAAACAGCCAATGCATGCTTTTCTTTTCTTCAACTCAATGGAATCCCGGCTAATGATAACAAAACATTCACTGTTGTTTCATGCAAGCAGTTATTTTCATTTATGCTACAGTGGCCGCTCGTTATAGTGATATTCGATATAGTGATATTTCGATGGTACCAATGTCACTTAATCTCTATTGGGCGTATCTGTGCATGTTTTCTAGCAGTGCAAGCTGTTTAGAAAGAATATGATATCATATTGATCGATTTTTATAGTAAGTTAATAGAGGTTTTATGCGTTGCAGTAGAGACAATTTGAGTGATATGTGGTTTCGATTCAGTAGCTACACTCTTTGTAATAGATGACATGAAAGCGGAACAAGAGTAATGTCGTCGATGATGATAAACATTCTAGACTTATTAAGCTGCATCTCTAGCTGATTGATTCAATATCGGAGTCCACAAAAGGTTGCATGAGCTGTCGGATGAAAAAAGTAACATGCTGCTTCTTGGTACGAAGTTAAGTCAGGTTTGATCAAGATGCATCACTATTCAGCACCTACTTGTTCGGCAGCAATGCATCTTTTAAAAAATGCATGGTAGGTACTGGATGCTTTCAATTTTGACAGTGACTTTTGAAAGCTATGTTACACGCACCGAAAGATGCTTTTAATGGCTCCTTAGGTAGTACACACATTAATAATAGAAAAAAGACTATTTTAGCACCATGAAGTAACGAAAGTTTCTACGAAAGCGTGTAAATAGAACAAGGTATCATCAGTATACACATATGGTCGCCGTCAATGTTGCGTGAGAAATATGCTTTGAACAAGCATTAAATATCACTAATTGCTAAAATTATATGTTGTGATACAATAACCGTTGTCTGTTATACATAGTTATCGCAACTTTATAGAGAGAAATAGATCATCGGCCATCCCGGTGTGTGTCTGTTGTTATAAAGCCTCACGTATACAATGTATTCTTTGATGTATTGTGAGCTTCCTTTATTCAATTGACCATCGGTCGTAGTCTTTTTAAAAGCCTCACTGCTTGCAGAAGAACTTTAATGAAAACCACGTGCAGTGGCGTGGTTTCTATTATTTAGGAGAGGATAGAAAACAAAGTCCTCTTGAAAATGAAAGATGTTTTACCATAGTTACACGACAAAGCAGAGAAAAACAATAATGTAACTTATTCCCGCCAGCGACGCTGGACCGAACCTTGGGTTCTTTTTCTCTTTATTCTTTTACGTCCTTTTCTTTGTCGCCTTAAATGGATCATCAAAGGGACAGCTTTGGCGATCGCATTGCTGCGGCTCGCCGCGAAGCTGAAACCTTGAAGGAGGCTGTCAAGAAACGGAAGGAGCAACTCGCAGACGGCTCTTGTAAATATACCTAGACCTTTTCCTCCTGCAAATATACAGATAACTACAGAAGGAAGCTGATCCTTTCCATTGAAATTTTAAAGTACAAGAGAATGCACGAAAAGCGCTCGAACCTCTTCCACGTCTGGTGCTCCGGGTACGACGTACATTGAAAGGTCATTTGGCCAAAGTCTATGCATTGCATTGGGCCCAAGATCAACCTCAGGTTGTCACTGCATCACAAGATGGCAAACTGATTGTATGGGAAGCTTATACGACACACAAAATATGCGCTATACCATTGCAATCCTCTTGGGTTATGTCGACGGCATTTTCTCCTTCGTCCAATTTGGTTGCTTCTGGTGGATTGGATAATGTTTGCTCTATATTCAACTTGAAGACGCGCGACGGACCGACTCGACCAGCACGACAGTTGGCAGGCCATACTGGATACCTTAGTTGTTGTCGATTCTTGAGCGAACGACAGATCGTCACTGCAAGCGGTGACACGACATGTGCTCTATGGGATATTGACGCTGGCGTCAAAGTAGAAGAATTTCAGGAACACTCTGGTGATGTTATGTGGTAGAGTGTTTGTTTGCTGTATTTGTTGATTATACGAAAATGAAAGTGGCAGAGAGGGGATGGACTAAAGCAGACATGTATATGTATCATATAGCTTATCGGTGTTGAAGAATAATCCACACATTTTTGTATCCGGTGCTTGCGACAATACCGCTAAAGTATGGGATGTGCGAGACAAACGAAGGAAATGCATGCAGACATTCACAGGCCACGAGTCGGATATCAATGCCATTGACTTCTTTCCTGATGGCGCCGCTTTTGGCACCGGCTCAGACGATGCAACATGTCGCTTGTTTGATCTGCGTGCGGATCGCGAGTTAAACGTTTACTCGGATGAAAACAATTACTGTGGTGTCACATCGATCGCTTTTTCAAATTCGGGCCGTGTCATGTTTGCAGGTTACGATGATTTCAAGTGCCAGGCATGGGATACCCTGCGTAATGAACACGTTGGTACTTTAAATGGCCATGAGAATCGTGTCTCGTGCCTTACTGTGTCGGCGGATGGAATGGCTTTATGCACTGGCAGCTGGGATCATTCCGTAAAGGTAATTGAAAGGAAATGTCACAGTACAACAACTATGAGCATTCTCATTAACGACGTTCTTTTACATATAGCTTTGGGGATTCTAAACAAAGACAACACAATACCAATTGTATTCTCCTTACAAACTACGTAGACGACTACTACTTCAACTGTAATTTTAATCGTATTATATCATTCCATATTCTCCTCGATCTATTGAAACCATAAACTCCGTTATTCGGATCATCTCGTTTAAACTATATATCAAACTACATATCTACGAACCTTTATTAGTTACAAACAACTTCCGTTGTGCTGATTTTGACTACTGTAAAGAATTTTTTTCGGAAGACGACATATGATAATCACACATGGGGAAAGGACTAGACAGATGTTAAGTTACTCAATGGATGTCAGTGCTATGTATGTAAAAACTAGTGACCCACTATTACACTATATTCACATAATTTTGTACTGCCGATACACACACAGAGATTCAATACCATGTTGAAAGTTAATGGATTATAATAATGTTGACTAGATACAAAAACTGGCACCTTCTGCCTCCACAATACAGTATGCGGCACTCATTTATGCCTTTTTTTTGCATATCATCATCATTATCGTAGTTGATCAGATAGCCTTGTCATGCGATTGTACTATTATTAAGCGCTTGTGTGAAAACCAGTTCTATAGATTGTCATCCCAGTCGTCTGTCAGCAAGCGTCGTCAAGCCCTCTGCCTCAATCCACCACTAGATATAGATTTTCGATTTTTTTTTTGTTGCGCGTTCTAAGTTCTCGCTGTATAAATTGTTAGATTGTGTGTTTTAGAGAGCTCTTTGATGTTCCTTGACTACTATCTCGCTTGCTAGAAAAGAGTGCTTGACTATGTTCAAAATACTTAGAGCCCCTTTAAACGTCGCTTTTCGTGTCGCTTTTCGTGTCGCTAACCAACGCACTGTATATCGAATAATAATTTCTGGTCCAGGAAGTCCAGTGTAGTTAAGAACTGAGTTATATAATTAATAGGGAAAGAAATCCATACAAATTAGGACAAGGGCACGTAAATCATTTGCTTAAAAGTAGGGTATGTTCTAAAGTCAATGTCATCTTTCGAATTATAAGAAATTTTGTGATCAACTTCTTTGGTGATGAGGAGCCATACAAGCAGAGCAGCCATCTCCCTTTAAAGCAGGCTTGTGCTTTGAGACGCGTCTAATTTGATTTCGTAAGGTACATTACTGAGCTATATATATCTACGGCTCATGTATCGTTTACTTCCATTACTATTTTCTGTGATGTAGAATAACTGCCTTGAAGATGAGTATCGGTTGCCTACAGTAATTGGACCGGAATCGATCTGCCGATATCCGAAAACCATATAGCGGATAGATTTAGGTGTAACCTAATGGGTGAACTTTGAAAGCATCAAAGGCAAAACATACTCCCAATTGTGGTATTCTAGCGATGAACGATAGTGATAGTAAGCAGCGCCAGAAACTCGAAATACTGTATGGCCTTCTGCGTTAAATCAAAAAGGTAAAACAAAGAAAAGACTGTAGCTAGTTCTCAAACTATGCATAACGCGCACCCCATATGTGTATGCACTTGAGGGAGAAAGAAGCAGTGTGTAACCACTAAATTCCTGCTAAAAATCATTGCTACTAGTATTCCCCAATCTTTTCTTTTCTTTTCTTCAAAATTATTAAACCAATAAACAAAATAATGAGACGTGTTCAAGAAGCTTACCTACGCGATCCCCCCTCTCAAAAGTTGGACAAGTTTTTTGACGATTTATTCAGTGAAGCATTGCAATGTGTCAACGAATCTTACCAGTGGCCAACCACTTCACAAACTAGTGGTGTGACTGTAAGGCAAAAGCCGCGCCAAAATGACCACGACCACAAGATTCTTCAACGAAGCAGTGTACATTCCGAAGTCACCTACGATCAGTTACGCGAACTCTTGTTCGTCAACCATTCACTCAACGAAACCAAGTACGTCGAACTTATGGTGGAAGCCAAGGAACTGTTTGCCCTATCATCCCAACATAACAATAAGAATACCCCAAAACAAGCCGCTGGCGGTGGAGCAGGAACAGGAGGAGCTGCGGGCGTATATTGGCTAGGGTTCAAAGCAACCCTGGCTTCAAGTCGTGAATTTATTGAATTAGTCGCCACACGTGAACAAAAGGACGAGACGAACGGATTACGTGAGTTTTTTGTCGTGTCAAAACCTGTTGAGCCAACCAATTTGCGGCCAGTGCGTAATTACGTTCGTGGATGTTACGAGGCTTGGGAACGGGTACGCGAATTGCAAGATGGCGAAGTCGAGTGGACGTGTATCCAACGGTCAGATCCAGGTGGATGGGTGCCGCGATGCTTATCCGATTGGATCATCGCTAAAGAGTTTCATAAAGATGTGGGATCTATTATTCATTATATTGCCGAAAATAACACAAAGAAGTCTTCACACATGAATGATTCTGCTACCAAGGTTCATTAACAAGCAATGAAAAACGATACATATCAATAAATGCAGTAACTTTCAAATGTCTGGAAAAAGGCTTTTCGCTAATTTACAGTACAACACTGTATATGATCGAAAAATTTGGCTTTAGCGAGATTATGAGCACTGTAGAAAAGTATCGATGGCATCGACGTCTTAAGAGTGTCTAATTAATCGTACCAGCTACATTTAGTTCCAATATGAATTGGACAACTGGCTACCCATTGATGAGGTAACAATGGATATATACGATGAATTTACAAACTGTCCACCCTAAAATAAAAGTATCAGAACAATCTAAATGCCTCTCTCTGGGACCGAGTACTCGTCTTTTGGCTATTTCTGTGCCTAAAAACTGAACATTTGCTCCTTTGAAAAATGGTTGCGCCGTCCTATAATATTGGTGATATTGGTACCATGAAACACCACTACATGGAGCATACCCAGTGATGCTTACATGCAAAAGATAGTGCTTATTCTCTCAAAGTTGGAAAGGATGAGCACTCTTATGTATCCTCCCATACATCTTTGCACTAGCCGGCACTGTACCGACTTTGACCAACGAGCTCACATAATCCAAGTGTTCGGCCTGGATCTGAAGAACTATCTTGATGAGATACATAAGTAGGTAGGCAAGATCTGTCAAAAAAATCACTGCCCGAGTCACGGCGAAACAACACGTCAAAACAGACAAGCAAGGAAGAATCCGCTTAGCGGGAACTTAATAAGCAACAGTGCGAATCAGGTACTACGCAAAAGTATGAACGAAGAAACAGAAGACGTTTAAAAATATCGCGGAAGAGGTTCAGGTAAAATACCATTGAACAACTTCACAAGAAAAATATATCCGACCACCAAATCCATTGATAAGCAGCAGCGGATAGCATCAAAGAGCAAGGACAGAAGCGACGAGAGTAGAGGAAAAAGGTATTTGATGCAGAGAAGTAAAGGAACAAATCGGTGCTGGAGAAGCAGTGGCAAAAGGAGAAGCAGGACAAAAGGTGTACAGCGAAAATGAAACATAATATGTAGCAGCAGCAGTGAAGTGCCATGAACAGCAGCTTGTAGTACAGGCTTACAGTGGTACCCCGTTCAATTTCGGCCTCAAAGGAGGTTTATAAAGCGTTGACATAAATGAGCGTGATTCAAGCAGTGTTATACGCTTAAAGGGGTGTAAAAAAGTTGAAAAAACTAAGTGTTTATCTTATTGAGAGTGAAATTTAACGGGGAACCACTGTACCTTCTTCATTGACGGATGCGAAGAATACTGTAGCGCACGGTAATGGGGATTCAATGATGAGCTCGGAATGTTCAAAGTACCGGATGCTTTGCTGTATACAGTGTAAAGCCTGATCCAACGTTCACTCACAAATCTACCCTTGTCTTCAATAACCTAACCGCTCCTGCTGCTTTTTGATCGTGCTTGCATTCGCAAAAACCTTGTTTATGGGCTGTTGCCTTATGTGTATTTGCTACAATGTTGTCGAGATATCCTCCATGGTGCTGCCTTGCTTGTACACGTGGATTATCACTGGCTAAAACAAATGACAGTTCTTTTCATAGCGTCATGACCACAAAATCTCTCCAGCAAATAAATCCAGTTCGCATCTGCGCATATGTAACGACTTAAAATTCTCGTCCAGAACGCGAGTAATATATAATAGACCCTGTATTACGTGCAAAGGTGATGCACCGCGTACGCCATTCAAGTTTCGTGGCGCCTATCATTGACCATCATCATCAGGCGTTGGTTTTCATGTTGTTACTATGCTCGCCAGGACAACGCTTTTTAAACTACAAGCTCTCGCTACAGTTCTCGCCTTGCAGTGACCCGTTAAAATGTTACGACCGACAAGCCTATTTCAGAAGATCTAGCACGCAACAAAAGATCTGCCATTGTTATTCGGTTTTGCAGCATGGAGAGTAGAACTTCGCCGCGGCACTCAAAGCTGCTTTGCCCAGAAAGTTGTTTGACGCACTTCCATCGCGTAATCTCTTTTAAACTTGACATTGTCATCTTCTCTGATGCTGCTGCTTCTGTGGGCTGCTGTCGTTGCTGCTTGACTTGAGGAAGTCAAATCATTGAGAAACGTAGTGTCGTAGATCCGTCGTAAAGTGTCGTGGCATATTGAGTCTTGAGTAGTTGTCTGCTAATTTACGCGTACTTTGTGTTTTATTAAGGATTGAGACGAGTCGATAGAGTTAGTCCAACCGTTGTGTCGGTTTGCTTTGCCCAGTTGTTGTAAAAAGACCGCTTGGCAACGCTTTGGACTGTACATATGAGTTGTAATCCATACTAAGCACATACGTACAGCATGTACCTTGATATGGCTGTTACAACTGCTGCCAGACCTCAGAGACGACATAATCAAAGAGAAAGAGGAAGGTATGATAACAGTGCGCATTATTCTTTTGAAAGTCATCGCATCAAAGCAACTATCCTTTAGTTCGAACACTTCTTTTCGTATACAAAAAGGCGACAGTCTTTTCAGTTCGGCACGAAAGTAATGTGGCTTCTTCTTATGTAAGCATCTTGTCACAGTACCACTAATCTCTGTTGATAAAATATTTCTCACAATTTCAACCATTCCTGGCACTTGTCTTTTACTTTTCCTCAGGGATGTGTTGCTGAAACCTATGTGCACCTTCTGGCTTGACGGGGTGCACGTACCTTCCTATTGGAAAACAAGCGGCGACGTTGTCGGGACACGCCCTGCATGATACCGGTGAAACATATTTCGTAGGACAATCAATACACGCAAATCACACACGCCTTCTTCTTGACCGCTTGACCGCTTGACCATGTCTCTTCTGCACATGTTTTTTTCTTCCCTACCCTTTGCTTTCTCACATGTTTTTGAATGACGAATCACAAGTCACGTGACGTGTTTTTTAAGACAGGGGTTTGAGTTCAAAAAATGTAAATACGCCCACATTTTTCAGGCCATTCCCTTTTTTCTCTTCACTCTTTCTTTCCTTCATTTTTCTATTTCCTTCACTCCCTTGAAATCCTCCTGGTCTTTCTCTTGGCTCTTCCCTTGGTTCTGGTCTTTCCCTTGGCTCTTCCCTTGGTTATGGTCTTCCCCTTGCTCTGGTTCTTCCCGTGGCTCTGGCTCTTCCCTTGGCGCTTCCCTTGGTCCTGGTCTTGCCTCTGTCGGTCCTGGTCTCAGCCTTTTTCCCGTGGTCCCCCTGGCTGCCTACAACCGGTCCCTGCTTGGGCTGTCTAGTCTGGCGTTCAACGGTGTTGGTCACAACCGGTCTTCAGGCGAGATCAGAGGACGGAGAAATCCTTTTCGGTTTTTCGCCATAGAAATATGGTAGTGTCCTTTCGGTTGGATGCCTTGTCTGCTGGTCTGGTCTGGTCTGCCATGGTGGGGCTCGCATGAGGAGCCAGGTGCCACCGTAAATCGCGTTCGACTCTCAGGACTCGACTATCGGCAATCGACTGTCTGGCAATCGACTGTCTGGCGATCAACTCTCTGGCATTCGTCTCTCTGGCATACGTCTCTCGGCAATCGACGCTCGGCATTCGACGCTCGGCATTCGACACTCTGGTATTCGACTCTCGACAATCAACTCTTCGGCATTCGACGCTCGGCAATCAACGCTCGGCAATCGACTCTCGGCAATCAACTTCCAGCTTCAGTGTTCGGCTCCCAGCATCCGAGTATCCAGTAAGCAGCTCCTCCAGCATTCGACAACAGCAGCAATTTTTTTTTTTCTTTTTTGGGTGTTTCGAGAGTCAATTCTTTCCCCTACCCCCACCCCTTCCCTTTCCTCTTCCCTTTCCTCTTCCCTTCCGTCTACCCTTCCATCTTCCTTCCGTCCTTCCCTCCCTTCCTTCCCTTCCGTCTACCCTTCCATCTTCCTTCCGTCCTTCCCTTCCCCCTTCCCCACTCACAGGCAATCCACAACCGATTGCTTGCACTTGACTCTCGAAACGTAGTGTACGTCATGGTTCCCACTCGTTTGTACCATGATGGCTGGGTTTGTGGTTGATTGACCCAGCCAAATGATTGGGAGACTGGGACTCCCAGGCCGAGGCATTGGTGGCTTTCTTTTCCTCCCCCTTTTACATACTTCTTCTGTTTCTTCTTGCTTTCTTCATGCTTTTTGTATAGCCTGCAGGTTGTGCGAACTGCTTGTTGAGGGCACTTTGTAAAATCGCGTTCTTATTATTTGTCTTTATTGTCCACTGATTGTGTTTCATTGAACAAAATTTGTACTCTTCGCCAATTGATCTTCATAACGATAACTTCCGTCTTTTATAAAATGTTTCTTCACTCTATTATTACAATGAATAAAAACCTGCTCTTTTACTTTATGTCCTGCTCAAACTCATTTACAATCTCTTTCCTTGTGAAGGTATTTACGTGTCGCTTGACGTTGCAATAGTCATTTTCTTCCTGATCGTGCTTAGAAGCACCCGCAATGTTCTTGTTTCCTTCAAAACTGCCAATCTCAAAAAGAGGTTTACATATAGATTCGCGATTACTTTGTCTTTGCATTGACATGATCGAGTTTCAAGATCTCATAACCGTTTTGCATATGTAACCCAGGCAACTGTTTGACACAAATTGAACGCACGAACCATGTCCAATTGTTGCGAAACCGGCCCTTTGTAGTATCAGCAGCGGGCACATCAGAAAACAAAAGAGGAAGTTAGTCTTGCGTATGCCCATGCCATGCAAGGAAACTCAACCCGTGCTCTCGCCGATGCGAAATGGATGATCGAGTATGCGGCCTGGGTCAACAGCGGGATACTTGCGAAAAGCTCTTATAAACTCCTGTACGGTTATCAACGTCGAGCAATTGCTGCACACAACGACGCACTGCAAAGGGCAAAGCCCGATGACGAGCAGCAACTACGTTGTTTGACAGCAGGCAAAGAGGAAGCTACCCAAAAAACCGAGATCCGAATCGATCCTTTGGAGAAACTTCCAACCGAGATCACAAACAGGATTATCGAATTGCTACTAAAAAGACCAAAGGTCTCACGTCTACCTGGGTCAAAGTGTGGCGTGAACAAAAGACCAATTATGTCAATATCTGGAAGATTTTATCTGTTGATGACACTGAACTACCTGACGAAGCCCACTATATTGCTCCCCACGTGAAATACCTGACATTTAATACCCCAAAGACGAAAGTACGCGCCAAATACTTGCAGGCTCTGAAACTGCAGCGTTTCAGCAAAATTCGTTCAGTAGTAATGACAGATGACTGAGGCACGTTAAAAGCTTGCTTTTTGAAGACAGATGATGTAAAAGCGTTATATATCATTATTTCAAGCTTGTGTTAACGAGAGCTCACGATTATACATCGTGCTAGTCGTACATGCTCTTTCTCGGGCGGAGGATAGGTTGGCCAGGTTGTCTATCGACGTCGGCAATGATGTAAACAGCCTTACCGTAGCAGAGATTATTTCGTTCTGTGATGCTCTGTCAAGTCTTCTCTACCGGACAACAGTGTCTATGGCAACGATAATCGGGGATTTCTCTGCGGTACAAAAAGCAAGACGCTTACAATTCTCGAGTTGAAGTCGAGTTTCATCACCGGAAGAAAATATCGAACCGATGCCACAATGCTGCCAGCGACTACGACGACTGGTGATGGACGGATGTGATGCTTCGGTTTGGGATCCTATCAATTGAACCAATTCTGGAGAATTTGGCTTATGAACACCCTTTCCAAATCCTGAATTACAAGCCAGCATCCTCAAGAAAAAGGCAAGGGGGCACTGCCATTCCCTTTCACATATTTCCCTTGGTTTACAATTATCGAGAATCCTTGGAGACAATTCTTGCTGACATCTCGGATCCGATGTAGATTCAAGTCCAGCAGTTTGATACAGATTATCCAGAATTCAAGCTGGAAAAGATGTCCACCCTCACTACACGGATGTTTCCTGTTATATACAACTGTACTCCTACTGCGATCAATTGAGGACACGAAAATCTTATCATCCTCAGCGGTGTAAAAATATCCGATATATCCCGTTCGTCAATACTGTTATGGATCTTCGTGACCATTGCAACGCTTAGAATATTACAGTGGCCGTAGGATCACGGAATCCTCGAACCTGGTCCGGCTGTTTGAAACTATCTGCATCTCAGTAAACGTTAGAAATTGTGTCATTTCGATATTACCCGGAGATATCGGACACTGTGCTTTCTGCACTGAATCATATCAAAACACTGAGCCGCATCACGTTGTGCGGTTTGCCTCACGCTACAACCGTTGGCATCTATACTATTATTACCAAGCTATCATTACCAAGCTATCCGACCGGTTGTCCAGCATCGATCTCAATGGGATAGACTCCGTCACAGACGAAATCATTCTTGCCCTGGGAGAGCTCAGTAACATCAAGTATGTCGAATAGGGATGTCTGCAAAAACGTGTCGGATAACAAGATTACCAATGGCGATTTAGTAGAGCTGGAGAAATCATTGGTTACAGATGAAAACATTCAGTATACAAAACAAAAATTGAAAAACTGTTGTAGTGTACATAGCTCTTACACAAATAAATAACCGTGAAAATGACCGCATAATACATAGTTTGTTTTACTATTACAGTAATGACTTGCAAACAGCTATTATCGAATGATGTGATATTAAAGAGTGGAAGACAACACTTGTATTGAAAGGATTCTCGACGCATAAAGAATGCTCACATCAGGAGGAGGAGGAAGTGCTACCATATGCTGACAATGGTACCTTTTCCCCACAGTACACATACATTATTTCTTATCGGTATGAAACGACAACTGGGGGGAGAGGAATAACATGAGACCTAGACTGTGAGGCGTTGATATTATGTATTGAGCTAGACTGAGCAGATAACATTGATAATCACGATCTTTGCAGAACCCACACTTGAAAAAATGAATCAACGATTCATCGTCATACGCTTTTCACGGACTTGTCATGGTTAAAGAACATTATTGGCCTCGTAGTCGGCCGTTGCGTACTAAAGATTGTTAAAAAAAAGCAAATCCTTCATGTTATTGTGATACAAAAACGCCATTTTTTGTCGCGCCTTCTCCTCACTCTTCAGATTTCATTGTGATCTGTTACTGAGGGAAGGATACTGGCAGAGTTAGTTTAGATGGTTTTCTCAATCATATTCTAGCAATAAACTTGACGGCCGGAAGGTATTATATTTTATAGAACACCCACACCTCAAACGTGACAACCAAGTAGGTAAAAAGAGCTTGGCGAGAAGCACACTTGGCTCAACCTCAGAATTACGTAAACTGGGTTCAGGTGATGTTTATTTTTGCTATTTTGCCAATCAGGTATAAAGCGATGACACTCAGCAGTAATAGACGTGTACCGAAAAGCAGCCTTTCTACCTTGCACATACAGACAGACAGCAGAAATGGCACCTACACGATGATAGACAAGTTATGCAGACGTTGTTCCTGCACCCCATCAAACATACGCGATAGCGGGGGGTATCGGCTAACAATTGACCGACCACTCCTCCAAAAAGTAACGCATGATATCATACTGATACCTATAACAAACACGGAAGCTGATAGCAGCAGACAAATGTCAAATGGAAAAACAACTCCGCTCTAAACGAGTTTAAAGGCGCGGGCATCTCCCCTCTGGAAAACGCGAGCGCGCGGCTTTGCCGATAAGCTATTTCGAGCACCAACGCTTTTTTTTATTCCACGAAAGTTGTAAGTTTGCTACGGGTACATTTGTCCCACGATGAAATCGCAGTGTTCGAAAAGAGCAGAGAGGAGATACGTGCTGCTTACCGACAACAACAGTGTACATTCGCAATGAGTACGTGATTATATATCATGCATGTGGCGCGTGCTAGAGAAAGCATGCAGAGAAACAAAAGAAGAGACCCGAATGTCCAACGTCGTTGTGCAACAACGTAACAAGCAAGGCAAACCTTGCCTTTATGTCTCGCGGCTCTCTCTTTATGTTGCTGAATCTCTGCCTCAAAAAGAAAGTGCAACAATGAGCGTCGTCTTGTTAGTTGTTTGGCTCTTTCTGCGTGCATGCATATGGACGTTGTTGAGTTTACGTGTATAACGCGGCGCGGAAGCCGTGTAGAGGTGAGAAGACATCGAGAACATAAAAAGATTCAGCTTTCTAGAGCGTCCACTTGGAACTTCTTGAGCAACCTTGTGCGCCCTCAGTTTGACGGCCGTGTACTACCGACGATCCACGTGTGGGCTTCATGGGTAAGAAGTATGCTGTCGGATATAAGTCATGTGGCCTGTTCGAACGATGCTGTTGGCCCATTCACAAGAACAAGTTAGTTCCGCCTAAGACGCCGAATGCATAGACAAGAGGGGACCATGATGTGTAGTTACGTATGTGTACGTCGGCTATGTTCTTCGCTTGTCAGCCAATTTTCTCACGCGAAATGAATTAGCAGCAGAGTGGAAGGCATTTACAGCATGGGGTTGCGGGTGCGTGCAGACAAGCGGGATCTGATAACAGTCCCGACTTGACAAGCGGGGCCCATTTAAGCATATTTATAAATGCCAGCCTTCTTCTTTTCCCCTCTTCTTCTTCTTCTTCTTCGCCTAACTCTGATACTTTTAACCACCCCACTCTTCCCTTTACCGGTACACATAAAAAAAACACACCAAATACAATGGCCTCACTATTACGCAAGATCGGCAACGTCGTTGGATATACTTCCGAAGAAGACGCCGTCGACATTGACCAGATCCCACCATCCGATTGCATCGTTGAAGGCGATTGTGCAGCATGCCCGGCACCTTGTGACGATCACAAGCAATATCCATCATATCTTCAATTCGACAGAGACACACCACTGCTGGGGTCTATGAAACCCTATGGTCGTCAGGTTATGATCAGCACGGGCAAGGTGGACTGGGCAGAGAAGATCGAGGAGGACGAAGGGTCATTGGCAGCCAAGTTGAGCGCAGTCATCAAGGAGCAATACGACGGAAAAGCAGGCCGGATCTTCATCACCAACACGTCCAAACTCACACAGCAATCCACCATCGAGGATGCTCACGACGTAATTATTCTGCCTGAAAATATCATTGTCACCAACGTCACCCCGGATCGCGCCCAGGCCTTTTTTGATCAATTCCTCAACACGCCCATTCCATCTTTTACCCAGCAGGAGAAAGACGATACGAAGGGCAACGGTCATCCAAATGGATATGCAAACGGTCATGATACCACTAACGGCCATCCCAACGGCCATTCGAACGGACATGTCAATGGCCATAGCACGAACGGTCATAGCAGCGGATATGCCAACGGACACTCAAATGGGCATCTTGATAGCAACGGTCATACTACCAACGGCGATAACGCGTCTGGCAATATGCAAATTATCAAGAACACGCATAAATCCATGATCTTGATCTGCTCGCACAAGAAGCGTGACAAGCGATGCGGCATTACGGCACCCATCCTCGGAGCCGAATTCGACAACGTGTTACGAGAAAAGGACATTTCCGAGGACGAAGCGGGCATTTATATGGTTAGCCATGTTGGAGGTATGTTCTCTAAAACAAAACAAAGCCTTATGTGCACTAGGCAAGGCATAAGCACATGTACATCACACACAATGTTACAATTTCAGCCAACACTAAAAGCATATCTGTTTGTGTGTTTTTTTTTCCAGGTCACAAGTTTGCAGGAAATGTAATCTGTTACATACACGAAGGCCGGACAGGCATATGGTATGGACGTGTGAACACTTGTCATTGCCGGGCCATCATTGAGGAGACCATCTGTGACGGAAAGGTCATCAAGGATCTGTATCGGGGAGCCATGTCGCATAGTTTTGGTCAAATAAAATCTGATAGACTACGCTGGTAAAGAAATACGAGGAGTGCTTATCTGATTTTCTATTCCGTGTTGGGTCATCCTGTGTTACTTTTTTGGGGTAACAATGATAAATGGAGCGTCCATCATCATTGCGCAGAAAAGGAGAAGGGGAAATTTTTTAGGCTACACAAACAGCATGATCTCCCTGGGATTTATTGCCTTTGTTGCATCTTGGATTATCATCGATAGTTCTATCTCTTATCACCCAATTGCATCATCTCTTGCGTGAGTGGTGTCAATGGAAGATTGACCTTTCTTACTATGTAGTAGCTCTTCATCGTTGCTTCTCTACCATGGCATACAACGGTTACTATCCTTTTCTCCGTATGTCCCCGCCCCAGCAACAAACAGGTGCAGATCAGGGTGTGCGTGTGTGCGGGGTTCTAACGCAACAATGCTCTCAGCTCCTCTTTATCACCCATAACCATAGACACACAAACCACGCTCTGTAAAATAAATAGCTTATTCCGTAAATTTGCTTGCGAACATAATTATCAAGCGAAGTCTCCAGAATTTATTGAAGGCAGAAGCAAAAGCCGTCGGAGCCGAACCATGGTATCTTGATACTTAGAATTTCAGCTAGTGAGCGTTTTATTTTCGTATACCCATACAGTGCTTAACTTGTATTGCCAGCATGTTCTCCCACTGTGGGGAAAAAACTCTAATTTTGCTTTTGACGAGGTCCCAAAGGTTCGGGCACTATTGTTGTGTTGCATGAACAGACACAGCACATGCAAACACCTGAGCTTTGAAATCAAAGAATAAAAAGCGGCTAAATCTCCTCCCTGAATAGAAAAGTACGTAATTGTTGATACATGATGCATGAAGTACCATCCAGTGTGCACTCTTGTAAAACACCATACATGTATGCTGATCGAGGCAACTTAATCTCGGTAGCTGACTTATTCTCGTCTATTGGACAAGCTCATCGTCATAATTCACATGAGCCAGCAGCCCACGTTCGTTATCTTTAAAGCCCTGCCAATCGCCTTAAGATATATTTGTATTGGATGATGACGCTAAGAACTACTTCTGATATATCTGATAATAAGAATGATGGCTAGTTGTCGATGAGGCTGCTCACTCCATGTGGGATCTATTGATATGAGTTAACTTCATCTGAAGTTGTACACTCTTACTGTAACCCAGCGTCTAGTATCCTGGCTGGACGAAGGCTTTTCTTCCTTTGTTCCACACGCAATTATTTAAATACGATCAAATAATTAAGGTCAAGTTCGATATCATCGTCAACATATTAGAGCAGCATTCATTCAAGAAACTCACTAACGTTCATCAACAACTAAAATGGTTATTGCAAACACCAATACTAGCCGGATGTGTTATTGCTCGTAACCTGGGTATCAGCAAAATTAATTTATATCGCCGCAGCTCGATCCTGTCCGCCTTTGGTCTCGCTCTAGCAGATGTGGTTCACGAGGTTCAGGAAATCAGAAACAACTGAGAAAGTTATAATATCTGCAAATCATGGTGGAGTAAGTAGTAAGAGAGGGTGGAATCAATTCTTAGCATTGAATATTAGAGTAGGCATCGGTAGAGTTGTCGCTTGAACAAACGAGCGATTAGGAAGATGAAACTGCCTGTCATTAGACTAATTTGGATGGTTATTAATGCAGGACACACAAAACAAGCTTATTGAATAGATACTAAAAATCTTATTTGGTTGAATAAGATTATCAATGAAAAAGCAAGTATTTGCTTCGGCCATGACGATCCTCGATTCCGTATGAGACCGATTTTAATTGTCTGCGCGTCAAGCGAATCTTGCTCTTTCGGCAAGCCGTTTAAGGTTTCTCGTAGTTACAGTCAGTCAAAGGATCGGTTACGTTTTACTTCTTGCTTTGCTTGTTGGCAGTGACACGCGTAGTATATACTAACAATGTTTCACAATATCAGAGACGGCATTTTGAGTTCTGCCGCAGATACCAATATAGGACCTTCCACAGAAAGTTTTCCACGGTGAACAACCAGTGAGACGGTTCAAACGAGTTGTGATCTGGAACCGCCTGTGAGGGTCACATCGTTGCTGTTGTTCGCACAAATAATAACGATATGTGAGGCTCAAAGGAGCCTGTAATTGTTGCACAGCACACAATGAGAGAAAATTCCTACTATAATATTTATGTTATGTTCATTAGCATAGAATATTTTTATTTTTTTTCTTTGCTATCTCAACTATATTCTACAGCAGCGGAAGTGGACGACTTGTGCCGTCAAACTTATTCAACTGATCGGATCATCTCGAATTGACATTACTGTATTCAAGGCTACCCTTTAATAAAGCACGGCAACGAAAACCAAACGTTGATATGGCTGTATCTTCACACTCCATTCTTTTGGGGGAATTTGCTAATGCAGAAGCCTTATCAAAATCCATTTTAATATATCACAAGCACGTCTATCAACGGACGGACGATGCTAGTGCCAAGACGTAAACGAGGTATCAGAAAGCAAAGTCGCACCAGTTTGCACTTACACCCGAGAAGTTATGTAGATACAGTAGCGGCAATAATTTTATCGCGGTTTCTCTTTTGTCATGAGTTTATGATGAGGATGACTCAACAATGGATATAGTTTCAGAAATAACTTTTTTAAAATGCAAACTTACTATTTGTATTCTTGTAAAGCCTATTTATAATATTTGGAATCTTATTAAATTTTAATAATGATAGTATTCATGATTGATGCGATTTATTATATTTTTTATCATATCAAGGCAGTGCTATTGGGTATGTGTAGACGAGTAAGATAGTGAGAAAATGGAGAAGAAAGAAGTAACTAGTAACGCAATTAACGGAGAAGAGAACTGCTTGTTGATGCTTCTGTTAGCTTTTTACTCTGCTTCCAAAGGAACGGTGCGCTTAGCAGCATAGCCATAGTCGTAATCAGCCTTGTTGAAAGGAATGTCCCAGCCAACTTCTTCATGTTTAACCACGAACCACAAGCGGAGAAGATGGCGAGCGGACTCGGCATTGTCAGTGTAAGCGGTACGAGCATGCAAAATCTGATAGTTTTGTACGAACTGAATATCGCCGACCTCCAGCTGCATGTTGAGAGCTTCGCGTTGGCAGAGTTCCTCGATATATTCCATGGCCTCGAATTTTCTTTCGTCAACTTTGTATTCGGGGAAGCGCGTCATTGTAGAGAAGAAATGGGGGCCCCAAAAGGTGAACAAATGGTCCTTGAAATAGGTAATTGGAGCGGCAGAAATATATGGAGCCTCGTCAGGACCGTGTTCACCCTTTCTGTCCCATTGCCAAGGTTCCTTGAGTAATTCAACAATATCGGGACGAAGCTCTTGTAGACGGTTGTAGACAGTGTGCGAAGAAATGACAGAACTGAGACCACCTTCAAAGCCCTTATTTAAGCAGAGAAGAGCAACAACATCGGTACCGTCGACATGGAAAGGTTGTGCCTTGCGAGTGGCGTAGATGCGAGTCGTGGGCTGATCAGCATCGTAAAGACTCTTGGTTGCTGAGCCGTAGGTAAGGTCCTTGACGTGTCCGAGGATATGACCCTTGCCGTTTTGAGGTTTGTTCTTGCCAATGTAGGCGCCAATTCCCATAAAAATAGCTGCTTGTTCCTTGCGTTCGTACTTTAAAATATCAAGACCGCGCACCACACTGAAGCCGTAGCCTTGGAATAAAGTGTGTACTTGGTCCTTGATCACCTGGGCAAACGTAGTCAATGGGAAAGTTCTCTTGGTGATATCAGTCTAAGGAATTTTGAAATAAGTTCAGCATATCACCATCATCAGTGGTTACATATAGTTGTGAAACTTGAAACCAGAATTGTGTTTGTGTGAATGATGCTACTTACCAAAGGAATGTTCAATGACAAAAAGTGTCTTAAACCAGCTTCAATATCAGCAATATCCTCAGGAGTAAGGTAGTAGATCCATTTTTCGGGCGTCTGTTCGAGTTCCTTGCCATCCCATACGGAAGGGCCTTCAATCTTGTCAGGGAAGTTGGCATCAATAAAGTTAGTTTCGGTGATAGAGAAGCCTCTCCAGGTATTTTTGGTAGCGGCAGTTGCAGGATCTAATTCGATGGCAGCAGACATGTTGTTGTTGTTGTTCACAGTAGAAGAGGAGTAGTGTAAGCACTTGTTGTGTTATGAAAATCAATTCGAACTCTGAGGGGTAGTCCTTTATAAATACTTTTTTTCATATGCACATACTTTTTTATTACTAAGTAAGTTTGCATAAATTGAGTAGTGATAAATGATCATTTGGACGGTGAGGGTTGCGTGATCGTTGTGCAATATTTCAAGCATGGCGCAATCCACAGAGTTGATGAGGCGAAAACATCAATACACCCACCTCTGGATTTGAATTTGCAACTTTTGTCTAGCCGGGTTATCATACGTCTTATCGCGTCATTCAATACACCATTAGAAAACCATCGTGGGTATGTATAATATGTAGCTACTTTTCTCACCTCCGTAATCTCGGTACAGGTTCAATTGGTAACTATGCTTAAGTTGATATTCAGAACCAAAGATATCTTCTATACTCGCGTTATATTGGTGGCAGATTTCTGGTCGTTCAATATAATTTCACTGTCAGCAATCCGTCCGTACAATAGGTCTGAGCGTTGATCCCAACCCACTTATTGGCTACTCGCATATCGAAGACTGAGCCAGAAAAGGTATACAGTATCATATGATGATGTGACTACAAGAAGTGTGGCGTCGTATTTCGCAAGAATGGCGATAATAATGTGTTTTCATTATCGCTTCTTTTGTTCCTTCTCCATTGAAATATTTTCAACTTGAGCAGTTTCTATACACTTCTTGACGTAATTCTGCCAGTGATACTGCCTCATCGATAAGGATGTACTAGAGTAGAAAGTTTAAACGAGATTAGTGCCAGTGTTTTGTTTTTGAAAACTAATAGAGATCAGTGTTATCAACAATCTGAAAAAAATATTGAGCATAGAAGACTGCATTACTGTAATATACAAAATTCCATGAGTTGGCTTATGCTATTATATAAATTGACTACAAACAAGTGCGTGGGTAGCTATGAGGAGATAGAGGCAGGCTCGATTATAGTGTATCCATATGGTTTACTTTTGGATCAAGATAATACGTGGCTGTCCACTCAAAGACAAATATGAAAAAGGTCTTTTTACATAGAGTATCTCAGTCATGATTAGTATGTGAAGTTATAGATTACAGTATACAATGATGTGCTGAACAGACGAACATTGTATTGAATGTATCACATTATGCATGGTGATTGATTTGAACATAGTTCGTTGATCCGTTGAATCTGCTGGGTACTATGTCATATGGCTCAAAAGCAGAGACGAGTTTTGTTCGAGTTTCTTCTTTTGGGTCAATAGACAGAGAACAATAAGCTCTTTGTATTTACCTAACTCAACGAGCGGTCGATTTCATTTAATCGGATGCATGTCCATGTTCGTTGACACTCTTATAACAGTGAGTCAGCTGTGAGTTTAGTCAATCAATCAGCATCTTTCTCGCGAAGGTTGCTTTTACTCACATGCCTAGAAAATGCCTGCTCAGCACAGCACAGCACAGCTGCAAGCAAGTACCAATACATTATGTCATATTGGATGATGGTGGAGGTTTCTTTTATATGTACGCATACACATGCATGTACAGGACACAATGTATTAGATGAGAAAAGAGGAGCACAACGACATGTATTCGTTATCAAGCAGCGGATACCGTATTGCCGCGACAACGTTTTATTATTCACCAACTAAAACCTCTTGTTGTGATCAGACAGCCAGGATACATTGCTTAAAGCGGAGGAAATGGGTGAGATACAGGAGGGAGAGGCAAGGTGCAACATGTATGTACACTAGAGTAGTGAGTATGGGAGCAGAAGCAAAAGCATAACAAATAATCACTTGATGCCTTGTATCGCTAACAACCAAAATAATACAGAGAGATCACGTTGCAGTACCCTAGCCTTACAACGGATGATGTGGGAAAAAGATTAGGAGGTGGAGAAGCCCGGTAGAGAGTCTTGAACAAGAAAGAAAAACGAGGGAGTGGCACTGAGCATCGTGGTCCAAAGGAAGGACGCGAAACAGGAAGGGCACCCAATCCTTGGGACCAACCAGTAAGGGGTTCGGACGAAGCCTTCCAGAGCACGCCAGCGATGTAATACGCAAGCAGATCCAACTGACATCCGTTCACCGCTAGATGTTGGAAGGCCACTTGACAAGGTTTGTTTTTTGTGTTTTTTTTAAAGGAAAATTAGTCAGAAAGGAAGGAAAAATAGAGAAATCGAAACACTCGTGGCTTGCTCATCCAGTCAATCGCATGAAAGGGGAGACTACTGGAAACCACAAGAGATAGACAGATGGAAAAAACCGGGAATCGACTCGTGGGCCCTGCTCAGTCAATCGAGCGCGCGCGCCGAGAGGAAGAGACCAGTATGGGGACACCGCCAGAGATGGGTACGAGAGAGAAGCGAAATAGAAGAAGTATGTGGAAAGCAATGGAGATCAAAATCAAAAGAAATCCAATAGGTAAAGCAGGAAAGCCAATCCAAGGCCAAAAAGACAGAGGTCAATCCAAGACCATGACACGGGAAGCCTAATCCAAGGTCGAATGGAAAACGAAAGAGAGTATCGTAGGAACGATTATCAAAAGAAACAAGTCCGAGAAACAGAAGTACACTGGCTTCACCCAGAATAACCAGCGGGTGGGGATCGCGAAAGAGCCACAACTACATCATGAAGGCAAAGTCACCACTTTATATAGAAGACCAGATTGTTCGGGGCGGCCGAAAGGGTATGTAAGAGCGTAGGAGTAAGTTCGTCTGCTGCATATAAACGTACTATCATGGTTACTTTACCACGCAGCAGACCCATTTGCTCCTTATCGATAGTGTGTAAATTGCATATCCTCCCACGGATGTGTTTATGTCACCTGGTTATTCCATAGTAAGTCTTCATGCCCGGCATATTGTAAAGCACTTGTGTTTTGCTTTTATAGCATGCTTCCGTGGAAGAGGATGCTGCTGCTGCCATGCGGATTGCGTGGGAATTTTTCTCTTCGGTCAAAAAGATGTAACGGCATAGCTTTATGCTTCCGGATAATGAGAGAGCTCCAAATACATGAAGAAGTAGTGTGTTATTCTCTGCTTGTCACGACTGTGAGCTCAGGTTGAATACGTCTCTGCCACTTTTGCTGGTCAACCTTGAAAAGCTGTCAAACAACTTGCTTTGCATCCCCGCTAATAGAAATTGCCAAGCGGCGTCTGGGGGAAGCTTTTCCCTTCACTCTACCTTCTTGTCATGACAGACAACGTCGACGGGAGCAGACCACGCTACTCTGTTCCAACAAAACAGGAGATTTGTATTCCGGAAACATTCCTAAAAAAACAAAAAGCCCATGAAAAAAATGAAGCCGAACAAGCAGAAATCAAGGCTGCTAAAAAGAAGGTTTATACTCTTAATGGAGGTGTGAACAATTTATCAAACAGTTGCTCATTTATGCTTATTCTCTTTAAAAAACAATAATAGGCAAGGGCCCTTAATCGCAACCTTATATCAAAAAAAGCGGAAAGTTACGTCCGAGAATACCGACAACGAGAACGAGACGAAATTCGCTTACGAAGACAAGCTAAAAGCACAGGCAACATTTACATTCCTGCCGATCCAAAACTGTTATTTGTTGTACGGATACGAGGCATCAACGACGTGCACCCAAAAGTGAGCAAAATATTGCAACTGTTTCGACTCGTTCATTTGAACAATGGCGTGTTTGTTCGTCTCAACAAAGCAACCGCCAATATGCTCAAAATCATTGAGCCTTATATCACCTTCGGTCCACCCAACTTGAAAACGATACGCACATTGATATATAAACGTGGATTTGTCAACGTCGATTGTCAACGCATCCCTATTACGGATAATGACGTTATACAAAACAATATGGGAAACTTGGATGTGATTTGTGTCGAGGATGTCATTCATGAGATCTACACAGTCGGCGATCATTTTAAACAAGTCAACAGGTTCTTGTGGCCGTTTAAGCTTAATAATCCAACTGGGTCTTGGAGTAAACGAAAGTTTAAACATTACGTAGAAGGAGGTGACGCTGGGGATCGTGAAGCCGATATCAATCGACTCGTACAGTCCATGGTATAGAAAAAAAGGCTTGGATAGTAACCCCCTTCTCATCCTCCGCTTTTCCCCTCGATTCTATTCTCTCTTTTTTGAACCAACAATCATTGCACTTTCCTCCTTCTCGTTGTAAATAGCCACTTCCCTATTTTGTACTTGTATTTTTTCACAACACTGGCGGATCAGCACCGTCCGTTTGATAATCATCATCATCAGCATCATCCTTATTTCTGTCACATATCCCACATATCAAAGTCAAGATTCAATAATACGTATGCTCATCATGATGCTTTCAGCTGCACAGCGATCGGCGTATAGTTTCCCAAACATCTACCAGTGGATGTACACTCCCTGTTGTCTATCATTCGCTTTTTCCTTTTTCGCGCTAAAGCCGTCGTTACTTTGTTGGCTCCTCTCCGTATCACTACCATGGCATCGCTGCTCATTTATCACATCACTACACCTGAGCAGTGGGTATCGGATCACATGATATATTACTGTTAAACGGTAGGCATCGCGAGGTACACCATTGCCGGTTATAGGAAGATGTGTTTAATTTCGATTGATAGCTTGCAATGAGATAGGGCTTGTATATACGGCAAGTCACCTGGATTCAGAAAATAGCGGTATCGTGCTTGCATTGATAGAAATTTACGCATCATCCTAGACGGTTTTCAATGCAGGGAAAGGTCATGTCGCATACTAATATAGCGAATTGTTATGCACCGATACTGTACAATCTTTAGAGCTATATTGGCTTGGGATAGATCGATAACAAACGGCAGAATCGATTATTATAGACGAATATACCATTGAGATCGTAATCACCGGTAACAATGGCATATAACAATACGACTAGATCAGCGAGCTCACGTACACTGAAGGGACCAACAACCGTACTATACATGTGCCGAGGTTCTGACTTTGACTATTCATTATTTTGCGGAACGTACTTTGCTTTTTTAGGCATAAGTTTCGCGCGCGCTCGCGCGTCTATGGATTTCTGTTTCTCTTTACTACAGAAAAAGATGGGTACAAATGCACGATCGGTGATTACCCTACTATCCAAACCTCGGACCGAACTACAAGAGCACGCCGTCCAACAGTTCCGGCTATTAAACAAACGTCAATCAGCACGACTTTCCTCAAAACACCATGACGTAAACTCGCGTTACAGCATGTCTGTAGCCGAAGGTCCAGCAGGCCAAATCAAGAATCGTTATAGCAACATTATACCATTTAATCGCAATCGCATCAGGCTCGAGCGATCCGATCTATTAGGCGATGGCATTGGTGGCGAAGAAACCCTCATTGATCCGAGCCGAGGTGACGATTACATTAACGCTAGTCTCATCGAACCACCGTTGAATATCCCTCGTCGATATATCGCCACACAAGGACCACTTCAATCCACCATAGGTGACTTTTGGCGTATGATCGTGGAGAAGAACACAAAACTTATTGTCTGTCTCAGTCCAGAGCTGGAAAATGATCAGGAAAAATGCGCTCGGTATTGGCCCGTCGAGTCTGAATGCAAAGAGATACCCCTGGGAACAGGTGACGACGACGACGAACAACAGCTGCTATTGAATCGACATCGAACATTACGTGGATTATTACGGTTACGAAATCCTACCACTACTGCTAAACGGGACGAGGCACGGAATGTCGTGGTGCGGGTACAAAATATAGAACCCGAGCAAGTGGATCGAGAGGCTGATTGTGTTGTACGGCGTATCCAAGTGTCGTTCGTGGATACGATCAAGAACAGTGTGATTGCATCAGAAACAGTAACCCAGCTACAATTTCTCGGCTGGGCGGATTTCAGTGTGCCGGATCAAACGGAACCTGTCATTGCCCTTTCAGACTGCGTGGATCGACTACAACCTCAGGGCGCAGGACCTATCGTTGTACATTGTAGTGCTGGATGTGGTAGAACAGGAACGTTTTGCGTAATCAACAGCGGGTTAGCATGGCTACGCTCGGCATTGAGCTCAGATACTGGCGGTAGCGGTGACAACGGCGAGGTTCTCGATGATGATCTCGTTTATACATTGGCAGACGCGTTCCGCAAACAACGTACCACCATGGTTCAAGCAGCAAGCCAATTTCTTTTCTGCTACAGAGCCCTTTATGACGGATATCGGCTCGAATTCGAACAAGCGGCTTGACTGTATGTTTATTTTTGACAAAGCACAATAATAATGTGGCATTTATACACCTGAGAAATTTAGTATCTATCGCTTTTTTTACCGTCCTTACAACCATTTGATAGAAACCCCCCACTTAATTATACACTACTAGCATCACATAATTAAAATCATCTTATACATACGCATATATGATGAAAATCTTGAACTTCTTCCATCGTTCCTGACAGTAACATCATTTTTTACGGAACTCTTTCGAAACGAAATTATGTGGCAATTTTAAGTAAGTGTCCTTTCCGGAGTCATCAGCAAAAGCGCATTGTGTCTGTGTAACTAACTGTTGGCTGTGCTAAAAGTGGAAGACGGCAAAATGGTAAATGTTTATAAAGTTTGGGTCACGTCGAGTCAGATTCTGAAAAGACAAAAATAGCTTACAGCAAAACGATAGGGATGAAAAAGCAGAACGCGTTCATACATAGCCCACGCAGTCTCATTAACAGCAACAAGCATATACTCGGCACCACTATTATTTATTTCCATCATAATATGTTCGCAGCTACCCCATGTTTTGTAAAGTGTATCCATCTTCATACGCGTCAGAATACTGTATGAGCCTGTTGACTGCTTACTTTATAGCCGTTCATATACAATAGATGAGGTAGTTGTGTGTACAACAAAACAGGTTTCCTTTTCTGCTTGATATAATGAAAGCCGCTTTTAACAGATGATATCCTTACATTTGAGATATTGCTACAGAATATGCAGCGACCAATAGCTCAAAGCAACAGCACCAAATAGATGCCCTGTTGCTTTGTTTTATGGATTGATGGAAGCGGATGGCGCCATTACTATTGGTATACCATCCAAGTTGTGGCTCAATCCCGGGCTTAGCTGCTCCTCTGAGCATGAAAATTAAAGAGAGAACAGCGGTCCGAAGCTGCGCCATAAGTGGGAACACAACAGGGCAGATGTGTTGTGCCGGGTGCACAAAGGTGCAAAAGAAGTTATTATTAGGTTTTCGTATGTGTGCACAAAGCTCTTTTTACTCCGTATATAAAAAGCGTAGCCACGAAACGACTTGTTTTGGTACCATGCTTCTCGACTAACAACAACAACAACAATAAAACACACAAACTCATGCTTCCTGGACACACACCATCCCATCATCGACGACGCCATTTCCGCGTTCGACGGTTGTTGACGATTTTTATCGTTGTCGCCTTTTTCTCTCTCTTCTATTACAATGTCAAGCTCCGTAGCGAAATTGCGATAGACAACGCCAGAAGCACGACAACGTCGACAGCCGGGGGTGCCGAAAACCTTTCTAACCATTATCCGTATTTGGTCGTTATCGCATCTACTGCCACTGAATTCACGCGTCGAGGGCTGATCCGTCAAATGTATTTTGGCCTAGACGATAATATTGAGCCGTGCATGCGATACAATGCAGATACCATGTACAGATTTTGGGTCCACGGTGAACGGATACCGAGAAAGACGGCCGAGCGACGTCAGTATGAAGCTGAGAAGATGGAATGGAATGATATTGAAGAAATCCCAGAGGATGTCAAGTTTGAACAGTCGAGTATTTTGGAATGGGTAAGTGTTTTCAAAAAAATAAAAGATAGGGATTTTCTTGTGCGAACTAAACATATGTGGGCTTTGGATATTTGCTAGGCGGATAAGATACTGGTTGGAGAGCGCGGCATTACCTATGACTACTTGATTGTACAAGACGTGAATTCCTTTGTACAACTACCCAGCGTCAAGCAGGAGCTCAGCAATACAAAAACCGACAATGTAGTTTGGGGCAGTTTTGCTGGACAAGAGACTGACAAGTATGTTTTTGCTATCGGATCGACCGCAGCCAAGCGAGCTCTAAATCTATGGCATACGACATACGATCGAGAAGGCCAGAACCTGCTGACCGAGATGTACCTGCATTTCCAACATCAAAGCAACGATGGCACAGGCCCGCTATTTTTACGCAAAGACGGGACGCTACATCACTTTATCAATGCCGTGGACGCCAATGTCGAGCTGACCGAGGAGAAAGTTGCAACTGTTATTGCAGTAACGCACGTGCACCAAGACGAGTTATTCATCAATATGGCCCAGTGGACTGCGCTCGAACCATCCGCAGTATGTCGCAGTGACAAAAGACCAAGGATTGCTTTGATGACCTCATCGTACATTTATCCAGACAATTGCATGGAGCCTTCAGCAACATTATCAGCAATCAACAAACGCAAATACGCCGAGAAACACAACCACAGCTTCGTGCCTCGATCTATTGAGTTTGCACAACAACGCGGAAGGAAAACGGTATGGGGCAAGGTGGATGCGGTCCAAAACGTATTGCCACACTATGACTGGATCTTCTGGACGGATATGGACTGTGTAATCATGAACTCGGAGCAATCCTTGAACGACCTTTTAGACAAGCTTCGCAATGAATACCCCGAGGGCAAGGACGCATTTGACAAGAACGTTGATTTTATTGCCTCCAGACCTCCCCGAGACCCCATGCTGAATGCGGGTGTGTTCTTTTTGCGCAACACCGAATGGAGTATGCAGTTCTTGAACGAGGTCCAGGATTTCAAGGAATGGTACAACAAGCGTCCGTCATACGAGCAGGGTGCCATGGCTGATGTGGCTAATAAATACAAGTCGCATGTGTATCTTCTTTATCCGGACGTTCACACTTTCAATACGTTCCCCAAGTTTTACAGTCCTGGCGATTTTATCGTGCATTATGCTCCTGACGGCTGTCCCAACCAATATGTCCTTCAGGGATTGGAAGCTGCAGAACGCATCGAGCATGGCGGGGTTGTCAACAGTTTATGCGATGGAAAGAGTTGCCAGTGATTGAAGGAGAGTGGACGAGCCTTCTCCACACCTCTGCATACAGATGCCACCGCTCGTCTCGGTGTTTTTAAAGTTCAATTGTATATTACTGTATTCCTTTGTAAATATGTTATTCCTTGTTATTTCATTATCTTTAGCTTTAATAAAAAGAATCCAGAAAAAGAACGTGTTCAAGATGACACAGAAATAATTATAATCTTTTAGGATGGCTACTCATCAAAACACGATTTTCATGATGTAGTAGTATATACCCAAACATATGCACTATCAACACAAACGAGACCAAGAGCATAGGTTCTCGTACTCTCCGAACAACTCCTCCGTTTTCGGACACACATCCATACTAGACCTACATAGGTACACAGGTACACAGGTACACAGGTACACAGGTACCCAAGATAGACACCATGATGCCCTAGTAAGAGTTTGTCCTATTTTTGTTGTTTGCTCCTAAAAATTAATACTACTGCGGTTAAAGTATTATTAAACCCTTAAGCGTGTTTTCACGTTCTATTCCGAGAAATAGAGATATCCGTACCAATATCATAAACGAGAGAAAGAAAGAAAAAAGTTGGACACAAAGGGCCAAAGGAGACCTTCACCACATACTACACCACACACGCACCTATAATTTCGTTTTCGCAGAAAAAAGAAAAATCCTTGGTTATCAAGTTACCTCCCTCCCCACACTCACATTCTGCTATAAATGAATTTCTACCCTTCTTTCTTGTGTATGGGATTAGGAGTACCCAACACGCACGTACAAAAATAAAGAAGCCCGATAGGCGTGTTTTTGCTGTGCTTATCTTATTGAACCATCGTTATTGCTCAAATATAAAATGAAATAGGAGTAAGCAGGCATGTCGATGATGTTACAAACGGTACTTATGGCAACGGTTGATGATAACGTCGTACTGTAGGTAACAACACGTAAAGATTGACATTTAAGGCATATTGTAATTCATCACCGATACAGGTTCATTAGGCACGGTTACACATATCAGACTTATACCAAAGGGCATCGCAACATGCAGCAGCACATAATATATGATTCGAGGAGGGAGGATGATCTTGTGTAATGTCCATGACTGCTCCGAAAATAGGTTTTCTTTGATGTCATTGTCAATAAACAACAATGGATCACTTTCAACAGCAGCTTATTGTGTCTAGAACAAACATCCATCCATTGGAGTGGACATTAAGCTACGTCAAGCAGAGAGCAATATGTGGCATTATGCCTAGTTGCTAAATGTGCCGCTGACGCACATGGCTTTTTTAAGCGGCCGCGCGGTTGCATCCTCACATGGCTCATCACCATCATCAATGTCTGAGTGTACATGTATTCCATGTATGCGCAGGAGAATTAGAGACAAGCTGCAAGTCCGCCTGATGAGTTATAACAAGTAGGAGAGCATAGAAATTATGACATGCGGGGTTGTTGTTGTTGTTGTTGTTGCTACTGATCAAATTTGGATGTATCATTAACAGGCAGCCAAAATGTATCATTAGCAGCACAGTAGTTGAGCACAAACCATGTACTTGTATACACGGTACAATAGGATAGTGACTTGATGAGCGTGTGTGGGAGGAGAGACAAAGAAATCCCCGGAATCCCGAGTCTGGGCCCTGAAAACCACACACGCATACATACACACGGACCCCTTTTCTCTAGTTAGTGGAAGAAGCCTGCGCCGCTGCTAAGAAGAAGGGGTCCTTTTCTTCAACAGAGCAACGTTCTAGTAAGCTCTCGGTGAACTTTCAGATTCGGAAACTTGGCAGCAGCCATGTCCATCATCATCGTCAAATCGAAACCTGGAAACGTTTTTTACAAGAGGACAAAGGGCTCTCAATAAGGAAAAGGGGAGAAGGGGAGAAATGAGACAAGTTATCATAAGAAGTTTCTATTTGGGGGATGGCGTGCTGTGTTGGTATTAGTATTTAGCCTTATGCTTCTGGCTTGTCATTGTTTCTCAAGCCCCTTTACCCCCCAGTCCAGAGGTTCAACCTCCCCCCGCCGTACTTTTCTCCTGCTGCTCCCTCTCCTCCTCCACAAATCACACAATGCGTGCAGTACATTGAGCACACTTCCACATACATATTACACTCACAGCACATATAGCACACATTGGCATCAGCATCTCCTTCAACAGTCCTTCCAGACCTTTGACGTAGTCCCCCCCCCCCGCATCCATCCCTCACAATTGTTCTTCATTGTTGTCGTGTGCTCGTATGTACTATGCATGTACTATGTGCGTATGTGTGTGTCACTTTTTTAAACCTTTCACACATATAGTATGCATCCGCACTATACAGGCACACACGCACACACGCATACATTACATTGCATACTCTCCTCAAAGTCAAAAGATTGCTTTCACTTACTGCAAGCAATAAGTGCAAGTAATACAGTAGTACGTCCGCATATAAATTATCAGCAGCGGAAGTATTAGCAGCTGCTGCTTGATATTATTGATGCATCATGATAAGTAAATTCGCATCATCAAATTTAAACAACTCATGCGCGTCATCAAGTTTGCTCATTTCAACCCAGCAGCGATGATGATGAGTATAGCTTTTTTTAGTTTTCTGGTCTATGTATAAAATGTGACAATCAATATTTTCGTCCCTTAATTTGAACTTGGACATCCAAAAAAAGACAGAATCCCTTCCCCTTCCCCTTCCTTCTCCCGGGGAGCAGAAAAGGTGAATAGTTTGCTCCCCCCCATGTCGAATGTTAGCGATGGCGTGTGTGTATGCTGTAATAATAGAGTAAGTGATTATGTTCCATCCCCCAGTCCGGTTTTTGCTAGAGTCCATGGTTGTTGCTGATGATGGACATTTAGCAACACCATACAGGAATAGCATAGTGTTGCTAACTACCTACCCCGCTTGCTGTTCATGTCCCCTAGATGATGAGCCGGGGAAGCATATATGTAATGTGACATTATTTCTGGCAAGTTTCAGTCCGATCGGCAGAAAGAAAGACAAAAGTGGTTGTAGTTTTTTTTTTTGCATGCCCTTGAGTCCAGGCACGAGGGTTTTGTGTTCTATTACCGGACGGTATGCTCAAAAAAGGTCTGCAGATTTCGTCATATGCAGTGCTGACGGCTGTGATGAGTCCCGAAGATGTATTATAGAGTAATATATATTAGCCGCATATAAACGTATATGGATAAGCTTATACGCACACACAAACACATATGCGTTACGTACTGCTCCATTTGCTACTAGGTTACATTTACCACTCAAAGAGGATAGTTGTAGGGAGTTCTTCACGATTTTCGAAAATGTGTGCGAGAGCGTATATACAAATGTGCGTCTGGGAAAGCTGACCACTAGCAGCAAGTGTGGCTATATGGACATATGGGTCTGACAGATCATCCTGCTACGCGTCAGCAGTGTAACAAGAACAAAAGGGGCCCGTCAAAGTGTCATGCGCTGCAGAACCCAGTTTGGGCAAGCCAAACCAGATCGACGAGAGTTCAGCTGAATTTGTGGGTTGTACCAAAATAGGGAAGTGATGATCGGGAAGGGTCCTCTTAGCCTAGTAGCTTACTAAATTGCCAGCTCTCTTGTCTTTGTCTCTCTCTCTAGGTAGGATGAATGACAGCGTAAGGATGCGAAAGACAAAGAGAACACAATGGGTCAGTGAGTGCAGAACCACAAAGACGACGAGGACGTCGATGATGGTGATGACAATAGAACCGGCGTGCAAGCCGTGCTTGTTCTTTTTTGTTGCGATGCAGGCTTCATTCCAGATCAGGGAGACATTCCTTATTCGTCTATCCATTTCCCATTCCATTGTAAAATCCGACCGAAGGAAAGCGCGTATCCTCGTCGTGGAATAGTAATCATGCTAATAGCGCTCTGCTTGCTTGTGGTTATTGGCCTGTCTGTCTGCCTATCTGTCTGCCTACCTTGCTGCTGCTGCTGCTGCTGTGCGTGTGCGTGTGTGTGTGTGTGTGTACACATCTCCCTTTTTTTAATAATTCTTTTTCTCCTGACGATCTCTCCCAATTCTTTGTTCCGCTTCCTTTTTGTTTCTATTTAAATAGTCCCTCTTTCACTCATTTCCACGAAAATAAACCGCAAGTTTTTTTCCTTTTAATCTATTTTGTTCATACTCTTTCACACACGCACTCAGCGACCAATACTACTAATACAATGTCGTCGTCGACCACACCAATTCAGCTATACGGCCCACAGACTGTGCCCAAGCCATCGCTTGCACCCATCTCCATCCATCCAACACAACAAGTAGTCACTGCTAAGCAGCAGCAGCAGCAACAACAACAGCAGCAATTACCACCGTCACCACCAGCCACGCCCCAGCCAAAGCAGGAGCTAACCGTCGCTGCTCGCTCGCTGATGCATCACAATCTGCACCCCGAGTTTGTCGGCAAATACTCGCTCGGTGAAGAGCTCGGTAGCGGCGGCTTCGGTTTTGTCGTATCGGCTACTGACCGATGCACTGGCATTGAAAGAGCCGTGAAATTCATCTTTCGTCACAAGGTGCCTGCTCACGCCTGGGTACGCGATCCTGAGCTTGGCCCTGTCCCCATGGAAATCTACGTCTTGAAGCACGTCCGCCACGACAACGTTGTCAACTACGTCGATTTTTACCAAGACGAAACATTTCTCTATCTAGTCATGGAGTTGCATGGCACGCAATGGTCATCGTCTTCTTCATCAGCACCTAATGATACCATGCATTGCGACAACAGCGACAACGACAGCGTACCACCACACTCACCAGCACTCTCGCAAGCATCGGAAGAATCTTGCATGTCCTCTCCCAGCACACCCACCGATGAATACCCACCACAGCTGTACCGTCGACGCACGTCCTGTGATCTTTTCGAATGTATCGAACGCCATCACAACTTTGACGAGGCCCTTGCAAAGAAAATCTTCCGACAGATCGTCGAATGCATTGCCTATCTTGATACCCTGGGCATCTGTCATCGTGACATCAAAGATGAGAATATTGTCATTGATGATCAATACAGAGTAAGTTTGAACATCCCCTCCCCCTCCTTTCTCCTAGCTGTTCACGCTTTCTCCCCCACATTTTACTCTCTTTCTCTCTCTCGTTACTTAGCAGCCCCTCCCCCAAATCAGCAACAACCCCTCCCCCAGTTCATATGATGACAACAAAAAGTACTGATCCCTGATACGTTCCTCTTAGGTCAAGCTGATTGACTTTGGTTCGGCAGTTATTCTCCCCCGTCACTATGGCCAGCAAAAGACATGCTACTTTAGCAAGTTCTACGGCACCGTATCCTTCGCATCCCCCGAGATTCTGCTGTGCAAGCCATACCGAGCCGAGCCTGCTGAAATCTGGGCATTGGGTGTCCTGCTTTACACAATCCTCTTTGGTGAAGTCCCTTTCACGGATCCAAGCATGGCCATCGCAGGTCGTTTCGCCACGCCAAAGATTCCAGTATCGTATGAGTGCATGCATCTTCTGTCGAACCTGCTGCAGCAATCCCCGGAGAAGCGTCCTAATATCCATCAAGTCCTGTCGCACCCATTTCTCCGTGACTAAATCAGTAATGCCGCCTACTGATATTACCATTACTACTACATATTCTCTACTACTATCTCTTTCCATCCACGCACACATACACACCACCTTTCAAAAGATGCGCTCCTCCTCCGCTCCCAGAAACGATCACCCCCTTTTCTCATTATCTAAAGCATCGCCCTAATAATCTCCACATACACACACCATTCATGCTCTCATACAAACACACACACACACACACTACATACACTCAAAAACTCTGCGCATTATTATTATTATTACTATTACTATTACTTATCTAGTATACAAACCCGCATCTGCTTTCTTATTTCTCTTTTCTTATCTTACATTTGCATGTTCTCCTTTTTCTCTCTCCCTCTTCTATAAGCTTTTAAAAAGTAAGTACTACTACTACTACTACTACCACTACTACATCTTTACATTATTACACACCTCATTATATATACACATATTACGTTTCACCCTACTACATACATACATCACACATACACACACACTTATTATCCGCAATTCCCGCTCCAGTATACTTTTTGTTCTTTCCTGCCCATTTGATTGATGGAAGGAAGAGTTCTCCCCCTTCTTTGTCTACTCTATGTTTTTTTTTTCTTCGTCTTTGCATTTTCGTCGTTTGTTTCTATCAACCCTTCTTTTTCTTGGTATGTTCATCTTAACAAACTCCCACAACAACGTACATAACACACACATAATAAAATTCTCATGTTTCTTGTTTTTTCTTTCTCGATTTTAATTTGACCTTCTCTCCACACTTTGGATTTCAACATACCTGTCCCTGCAATTTTCATCTTTCACCCAACCCCCTTACTATGTGGGTCATTATTTATATAGAAAAAAGACCTCGTGAACGTACATTTTCTTCGGCAATTCTTATGACAATGGTATATTTGCATACATATTCTATCCTTTTGTGGGCGTTTTCTTTTTCTCTCCTTGCAAATTTGCACTGATCTGAAACGAGAGTGTATCTTGAATTAATCGGCAATCGATTGTGTTAGCTCAGTAGAGCTCAGTGGAGACCAGTAGGCAGAGTGCACGTGCACACTTTTCGTGTTAATGAGCAGTAAATTTATACGATGCTTGTCGTTCCACCAGCTTGTCCATTTATGGTCAATTATGCAGAGCCCTGTGTGTGATGCAACTGGGCATCTGCCTGCGCCTCCCATGGCCTTTTAGTTTTCTGTCCCTCCTCTCTCTATCTTTGCTCACCCTCACACACGCACGCGCCTTATACACTTTTGTTTTCTTAGGACTTTTACATACTAGTCTAGCAAACATCTAACAATGGAAGATGATGACTATTACTATGGTACTGAACCGCCGCAGCAGCAGCGGGCACTTGAACAGCAATTCGGCAACATGCATCTCAATGCAACGTCGTCGACCGACCGTGTCATTTGTGGACCTCTTTTACGGTACATTGGGATTGACTATGCTACTCGCACGTACCGCGCCTCGTGCCTCTTGGTGTGCACCGACACACAGCCACCCCCTTTACAAATCCATTTGCGCAATGACCAAAACGAATCTCATGCCATTCAATCCCAAGGCGAGCTTTTAGACGTGTTTCGCAGCCAATACCACTTTTGGCGCTACGAGTTGCGCCTACCGCTGACGTCGTCACGACAAATCGTAACATATTCAAGTGATGCGTTTAGCCCTCAAGAGTTCCACTTGCCTGCCTATAACGAGTCGATGCGGTTCATGTTTTATTCGTGCAGTGGGTTCTCGGATATCCCGCAAGAGACAAAGGACAAATTTGGTGAAAAGGAAAACCCGTTGTGGGCAGATGTGTTGGACCGACACAACGTCATGCCGTTCCATGTATTGCTGGGCGGTGGCGACCAGCTTTATCAGGACAGACTGATCAAGGAGGATTTCATGAAGCCCTGGACGGATGAAAAGCACCCTTCCAAACGACTGGCAATGGACTTGTCAACTGAGATGCGCGAAGGATTGGAAAAGTTTTTCTTTTGGAATTATGTCCTGAATTTTGGGTAAACTTTTGCCTTAAAAAGGATTTTTTTTAAAATGTTGCACATACACCCCGTTACTCAGACATTTTGATTGTGATACAGAGCTAAAGGAAACCCGGTCGTCGCCAAGGCCTATGCGACTATACCCTCTGTGAATATGTGGGACGATCATGTGCGTATTTATTTAGACAGCGTTGATATTTGTATTGTGTTTATCTAAACATTGTGTATGTTTGCGACCGGATAGGACATTATTGACGGCTATGGATCATATCCCGCTGACATGCAAAGTAGTAGCATGTTTCAAGGTACATGGCGCAGTAGAGGCATTGACGGGAAAATGGCCAGTGAAGAGAGATGCCCAAGGAACGCAACAAGAGTGCAGAAAGAGGGCTAATTGCTATATGTCATAGTGCTATTCGCTAACGCGTGTCGATTCTACTACCTATTCCAACACCACACGACAATGGAATTGGCACCCCGTCATGGTATGCTCCGCGGGTCCTTGCCTACTTGCAACCATATTGTCACAACACTTGGACCGGATATTGCTCTATTGGCACTCGATTGTCGTGGCGAGCGTACCAAGTATGATGTATGCCGACCCAAATCGTACGATATTGTCTTTACAGAGATCTATCGGTCCATTCCACCCAGTGTCAAGCACTTGCTGGTCGTAACTGGCGTACCACTCATCTATCCACGTCTATCGACGTTCGAAAGTGCCATGGAAGGGATTTCTACGTTCAATCTTGCTACTATTGCTGGTAAAACAGGTGCCCTCGGCAGTGTCATCAGTGGACCACTCAACAAGTGGAACGGTGACCCGGAACTCTTGGATGATATGAATGATCGTAAGCTATTCTTTGTTGGACGGTTGGGCTAGCAATAAGGGAACACAGTTGGAAACGGATTTTGATATTCCACCAAATGATACGTATGTAGATTGGACTGCAGGAAATCACTTATTGGAGCGCAAAAAGTTTATCGAGAAATTGCAATTATATGCTCGTGAAAAATCAGCCCGGGTTTCGTTTTTGGGAGGCGATGTAAGCGATATTGCGATGATTTTCGAGGGAAAGGAGTCTGGTGCATGAACTGACAAGATGGCAATTGGGTAGGTTCATTGCTGTGGAGCAGGTCGCCTTTACTCCAAAGATATGAGAGACAAGGAAGAAGGCGACCCATTCTTTATGGTGCAAATCATTTCGAGTGCCATCATCAATATACCACCTCCACAGGCTCTGCTTACCATCCTCAACCAAAACTCGACCTACAACACATTCAACGGAAACGTCGAGGAGAAAATGTACAAGATTTTTATAAAGTCGCCTAGTGGGAATACGGTAGGTGGCGGAATGAGTGCCTTTTGACATGATACATGTGGACTGACTCGTGCTATTTTGGCTTATGAAGCGTCAAAACACAAAGTTGATGGGCAGACGCAATTACTGCGCTGGTTACTTTGACGACGAAAAGGGAACAATGAACTTTTGGATCCAAGCAGAGAAAAATGTAGGACAAAAGGGTACGATGGGCTACCATGTCAATGTTCCAAAGTTGATTTTCGGCGAAGCTGGTCATAACCAGGCAACGATGAGCAAGGAGCAGCTGCTTCAGGTCTTTATTGAAAGACAACAGCGCCAGCCGCCACAGCAGCAGCAGCAGATAGAGCAGCACATGATGCCTCAGCAGCACCATCACCATCATCATCCGCATATTCCCCACCATATCGGAGGCTTTTTCAAACAATAAAAAAAAATCATGTACCTCTTTGAAAAGCACCAATGGGATTACAGCGAGGTCTGAATTTTTTTCAACTTCTTGAGCATATATATATACAACGGCTGCTTTGGGGAAGAAACAAACAGAAAAGTTTGCACCCCACCCCCTCCCTTGGCTTCTTTTGCCGCTCCCCTTTTCCTCTTCCTCTCTCGCCTTTTCTCCGGTTATGTGTGACCAAGAGGTGCTGCTTCCTGAACAAATCCTCGAAAGGCTGGATACGTCTGTGCACCAGGCACAAATCCGTGGGAAACTAGACCAGGATAATGGCGCCGAAATTGATGCTGCATTGGATATGCTCGAACAACTAATCCTGTGGTCTTATGATCGCTACACAAACATTGAACTCGAAGACGGCTGCGAAGAAGAAGGAGAAGAACAGACATACCGTGTCCATCCCCACGACATTGTACGAGCCAATCAGATTTGTGGATCGTTTCTGGTCAAGATTGTTTCCGGAGATTGGGGAGAATGGCAGGATGATCGAGTGGATAAAGCGGCCCGATTACTAGCTCATCTGTCTGGCAGAGGAGGTAAAAAGCAAAAGAGTACTGTTGATTGTACCTAGTGCCAAGTTACGAATTGTGTGGTGCGTTTCCTCTGTAGAATCTTAACCTTCTTCTTTTTTATTTGCCGCGCATCAAAAATGGTGGATTGGTTGGGGTGCGTTTAGCCGCAGGAGCGATCACTCGTACTTGGCATTTTCCGTACCTGGATCCTAATGGAAATCGACAAGAGCATAGGTTCAAGCTACACGAACCGAGTTATATTGGCAATGACATTGGATTCAAAACGTGGGGTGCAGCACCATTATTGGCAAAGTAAGGACATTAAAGTATTGATCAATACAGTGGTGGGTCACATGCACCCGTGCGAAATACTCAATTTCCCTTTTCGTTCTTATCAGAAAACTCATCCAACAAAATCTGATTCCTGACTTGCCAAACCGCACGATATTAGAACTGGGAACAGGCACTGGACTCGTCGGATTATGCTGTGGCAAGCTGGGCGCGCAGCAAGTGCATCTGACAGATTATCACGAGTCCGTCTTGACCAATGTCGCCATGAATGTCCAGCTCAATGACCCATCGTCGTCCTGTGCCACAGTGTCAAAGCTCGATTTTATTCAAGTTGCACAGAACCAGGATCCGTCGTGGGAAGATCGCACGTTCGATATAGTCATTGCAAGCGATTTGTTGTATGAGATGGAGCATGCTGAATATCTGCCTGTGGCCGTTGAAAAGCTGATGGAAAACGTGTTTTATTTCATGATACCCTTGCGTCCTACTCATTGGGATGAAGTAGATCTATTTGAACGCCGAATGACCCAAGTTGGACTCGTCAAACGTCAAGTATCTGAGATCGAGTGTGAGGAAGAGGAGGGCATCGTTCGATACCGGTATTACGAATACACACGGTGATAGCTAATGATGATGATGATGATGATGATGTTGTTGCGATGTGATATTAGCTCATTATATATCTGTTGTTGTGTAGTGATGTTCTCATTTGTATCACCTCTCTCTTGTTTTGTAGCATTTAGAATAGATAGTAGACATACATTCATTCATAGTTAGATATTTGCATATCCCCCTCTTTTTAGTTTCTTACAAACGTCGTTCTTGACATTACATAATTAAAGTTGATGTTCAATCACCCGTGCTTTCTATCGAAGAACATTTTGGTTCTATGTTCGTATACTTGATGCCGTCTGTACTTCAATACTATGGGTTACACTGCTGCTATCTATCCCGTATATGCAATTCGTCGCTATTGCAGAAAGGCTCACTTGACTGATCACTGTTTAGACGCCCGCACAAGGGACACAAACCATTCCAATTATGTCTCTACGCTGTAGAAAAAAGCTTGCTACGGTATTAATGAAGTGCAACCTCAGTTTGAATATCATGACAAGTTTTGGTGTTCGTGTTACACTGACGCATATGCCTCAGATTGTATGATGACTGAAGGACGGGACAGAGGCAGTTGACTTTTTACATAAGATTGACGTTTAGCACTATTCAATCTTCTGAAGTAGCAAAATAAGGCACATATACACCGAGTATTTGTAGTAGTTAGTAGAAGGGGATCCTCTTTCTATCACTATAGCATAATTCCAGGGTGCTACAAGAACTCAATATACAATTTCTCGGTTTCCATGTACTACCACTCATATACATATACTTGCTACTATACTGCATACCATTTCTCTTAGCTGAGTGAGAAGAACATTTGTATTTTCTTTTGATAACGCAAAACAGTGCACTTTATCACAGATGTGTAACATTTGACTTTCAATACAGCACCAGAATCCATCGCATTCCTCTTGTAACGCCTCAAGTTTTCTAAATCGTCCATTGTTGCCTTTTTCAAACCACCCCGTCATATAGAAAAAGGTGATCTCTTCCATGTTAATGCATTTCAAGTGAGCTCCACTCTCTCCGATCCAGAACAAGGTTTTTTCCCTGGGCGGCGTTAAAGAAGGGGGAAGAAAGGGCACGAATAATATATGCAGGCGCATTACCGGGTGTGTAGTTTTCAGTAGTAATCCCAGCTTGTACATAAATACGGGCTTCATCATTTGCAAATCCCTGGGTCTTCCCTTCATCTTTCTCTTTTATTCTTTATTACACATTTAAACATGCGTGTTCTTCCAGCAATCGCCTCGGCTTTGGCTCTTTTGTCTGCCGCCTCCGTCCAAGCTGCCCCTCTCGATGAACGTGGTCCTCCTGCCCATGCCTTGTCGAAGCAATTGACCAACCGCGTCAAGATTGAAGGTCTTTTAAGACACACCGATGCTTGGCAAAAGATTGCCGACGAAGGTGGCGATGACAACCGTGTCTTTGGCTCCAAGGCCCATAATGCCACCATCGATTACATCTACAACTTCAACAAGGAAAATGGTTACGAGACCACCCTCCAATGTATGCCTTCTAATCGAATACATGATTCTAACAAGTTGCAGCTAGCGAACAAAAAGGCTATCATCATAGAGGAACTGACAAAAAGTATATTCTAGATTCGACCTTCCCCTTTAGTCAGACCCTTGCCCAATCTGCTACGATCTTGTCTCCTGAAGTCGAAAACCCAGAATTAGGCATCACATTGATGACTTTCAGTGCCAGCACTCCTGAAGGCGGTGTTACCGGCGATTTGGCCAGCACCGGCAATTTGGGTTGTACAGCTGCTGATTATGGCGATGTCACGGGCAAGATCGCCCTGGTTCAGCGTGGCACTTGTTCTTTTGGCGAGAAAGCCGCTGCTGCTGGTGAGGCTGGTGCTGCCGGTCTTTTGATCTACAACACTGAGGATGGCGAATTGAACGGTACACTTGGTGAAGTCCTTGAAGGTTCTGCACCAACGGGTGGCATCAGCAAAGCTGATGGTGAGGCCTTGGCTGAGTTGGTGGCTGGCTCCACCCCTGTCTCTGTCTTGCTTAACTTGGTCGAGATCCATGAGAATCGTACGAGCGCCAATGTCTGTGCTGAAACCAAGACTGGTAACAAGAATAACGTTGTCATGTTGGGTGCACACACTGATTCTGTCGTTGCTGGTCCCGGTATCAATGACAATGGCTCCGGCTCTGCCGGCTTGCTTGAAGTGTCGTACCTTTTCCGAAATGTCAAGCCGAACAACGCTGTGCGCTTCTGTTATTGGACAGCCGAAGAATTTGGTAATATATCGTTCGAGAATAATCGAGAAGAAGAAGAGGAGACGGTCTCATATACATTGTAACTAAATCAAGAATCTTCCCACAATCTTAGGTCTTCGTACGTGTACCATTTCGTATTCATCCAGCTCTGGCCACTGATTTAAATGTGTTGACTAACTAAACTTTACTAATATCACTTTTCATTCTAGTCGGTGCCGAATACTATGTTTCCCAATTGTCTCAGGAGGAAAGGGATAACATTGCTTTATATCTTAACTTCGACATGATTGCATCGCCCAACTACTTTAACGGCATTTATGACGGTTAGTTCACCTGAAAGACGATGACGGCTGCTACTGCTGCTATTGAAAGAAGAGATTGTTTATTCAAGCTTTACGGTGATTATTAGGTGATGGTTCAGCCTTCGACATTCCCGGCCCTGAGGGTTCTGCTGCCATCGAAAACTTACTCGAAAATTATTTTGCCAGCCAAGGCGCCAAGTCCAGCCCTACCGAATTCAACGGACGCAGCGATTACGGCCCCTTTGTAAATATATTTTCCAACTGTTATCCTCGAAAGTTATATATTAATCAACAGCTCTAACTTTGTTCTTTTTTTTTTGGGAATAGATCGACGTTGGTATTCCTGCTGGTGGTACTTTCACCGGCGCTGAAGGCCTAAAGACAGCAGAGGAAGCTGAATGGTATGGTGGTGAGGCTGGCGTCGCCTATGACGAATGTTACCATCAAGCATGCGACACCAACAACAATCTGAACAATGAAGCTTTCGTTCTTCACACCAAGGCTATTGCCCACGCTGTCGCTACTTACTCTTACTCGACCGAAGATGTCAATGGCGTTGTCTCTGGCAAGCCCGGCAACCGCCCAGGCAGAGGGCCAAAGAACAAAATGGCTGCCAACAAAGGCGAGCGTGCTGCTTGTGGCTCCAAGCCTCGATCTTCCCAGTAAAATTCCGATAATATAATATGTACATCTATATAATTTTTTGGCTTATTATGTATACTTCCATTCAACTCCATTCTGCTTTCTCTATACTCATTGCTGTACACTACTAGTAGCTATGATAAGCCTTCTGCTCCAGTTTTTTTGTGTATAACTTAAAATAAAAGGTCAAGTACATAGTAATTGTGTCTAGTACAGTACCCGCTCGTTAAACCGATCACCTTTAAACCGATATTTCGTTAAACCAATCACTTCCCCAAAATACCAGCTTGGTAAGCAGTATGTATGTCATATAAAGGACCCTCAATCTTTAAACCGGTCATTCGTTAAACCGATCACTTTCTCGAAAAACAGAGGTGATCGGTTTAACGAGCGGGTACTGTATGTGCCGCAGCAGTACTATATTGTTGAATAATACTCCTGTAAAACGAGTACGGGTTCTGGGCAAGTTTCTGGGACTCGACAATGGTCGATATAATGGGGGAAGCGACGATTATTACTGCTGTACCTACTTCCTGCAAATTTGCGGAACGTTATTATGCACAAGCATCACCACAAGCAGTACATACTTTGTACAGTATGCATTCTTTTCCATATAAAGAAAGCAGCACCAAAGCATTTGCATATCACCTTTTTAAAGTTGTACCCCGGTTTTTGCAACCGAGGGTTTTCCGATTTTTTTTCTGCAAAAAGTGAGGATTTGCAAGTAACGGGGTAAACAATTCTGCTTCAAATAGACACTGGATAAGTCATCCTATAAACACTAGCCCATTGTTTATCTGTTAGGGATGATGTACGATACGTTCTGTGGGGATTCACACAGCTTTAAATGTTACTACTTGCATATATAAGACCGTTCTTTTATTGAAGCTGTCTAGTGCAGTAATCGTATCATTTTATTCCTCGATAATACGCAACAGATGCTTCTTTCAGTTGATATTGAAAAAATCGAAGCTGTTTTTACCCCGATAACGTGCAAATCGTATAAACTCATTTGCAAGTTGCAAATTTGCGAAACTACTAAGTTTTTTTTTGGATTTTACAAAAAAAAAGTTGCAGGTATACGAGGAATTGCAAACCCAGGGGTTGCAAAAACCGGGGCGCAATTGTATTAAATCTGAGCCGACGACGTGGCGAGCAAACTTTACGGCGAGTCTGATAAAATACCCAGTGCTTCGCATGGCCGCTGACGCAGACGCGCCTTCGACACTCCAAGAATTCCTTTAAGAAATACTTTACCAGAGAAGCCTGTTAAAGATTGTTCGTTCCGGACAGCGTATACTGTATACGAAGAAGGTCTCGGTGATGGTGTTGACATTCGCCAGATGTTGGAAAATGATTTGAATGTTGCCGGCACGAAGTCGAAAATAGGTGCCGAAAAATGAAACAAATGAATTTAAAGGTCTGCACTAGGCACTATATATCATCCGCTTTGGACATGAACAATACCTAACTCGAATCTTTTGGCCCCTGCATATCATTCTTTGGGAAACGCATCGGAAAATACACAGCCACGTCCTCCTTCTCCGCGGGTACTGTAAATTTTTACGTACTTCACCTTCCTTTTTTGGATTTTTACGTACTTAGCCTCCAAGTTTTTATGTACTTAGCCACTCAAGTACGTAAATCGGTTCTGACGCTGTATATTTGTACTATAAAATTTTACGTACTTCCTATTTGGGAATTTTACGTTCTTCTTGTCTTTTTTGTGCCTCGTTTGAGTAGATCATACAAATAGCTACCATTGATGTAGCCTATCATACTTTGACTCTGTATAACCGTCGCAGCTACGATGGCTACTGTAAATTTTTTACGTACTTCACCTTACTTTTTATGCAAAAATTTACGTACTTGGCCACCGAAGTACATAAATGTTATAAACATTCTTCGACCTCTAGTAAGTGATCATCCTCAACCTCGTTGATGACATATTAAATCCCCATCTATCATCATCATCCGAATTATCGACCTTAATACCAATCTTTCAGTTTATTCACATCATTGAATTCTATAGTAAAGACATATATATATATATATATATATCATAGTCTTTGAACGCTAAAACATCAGTCAGTTATCTTGTTTCCTCCCTATACCTTGTTCTTGTTTCTTTCCTCACTATCTGGTTTCCTACCTTCTGGCTTCCTTCTTGTCTTGTCCTGTTCTTGCCGAAAGCACCTAGCACATTCTCGTCCGGTGTTTCTGGCCTTGTGTTGTCTTATCCCTGTTCGCACCTTACAGTAAATCAGTTCTCGCGCTGTATATTTAACCTATAAAATTTTACGTACTTCTCATTTTGGAGTTACATACTTCCGATTTTACGTACCTGCTGTATATGATTTTTAAGTACCTTGAGCGCTAAAAGGACCATACATGTTGTTGTTATTACTTTGAAGATTTTGTATATATAATCAAATTTCAAGGAAGGGCAAGAAAGCCCACACTATGTTTTAAAGGTACGTAAAGGTTGATGTACGTAAAAATTGGTGTTAGTATGATTGTATGACTAGTGAGTGTAAGTAGTCAAGGAACGCGCTCAGAAAAAAGAGACCGGTTTTCCTGCCAGAGCGACTGCTTTACCTGCAATCGCCGAAAATGGAAGTACGTAAAAATTCGCGCACCCCTTCTCCGCAGGTTCTTCAGCCTTTACATACAGAAGTTATTAGCGACCAACAAAAGATGTATACAACGCTTGCCCATCACCAAAAATGTGTTCGAGACTACCCAAATGGGAGTAAGTAAAGTTCATTTAGGAGTAAGTGAATGGAGTTTCTATAAGCAGATGCCACCGACGATAGCGATAGGCTTTATCAACATGACTATTTATGTTTAGAGCAAACGAAAAGCGGAATCGCAAAAACCAAAAATTCAAAAGTTACATATGATAGAACTTGGATCAATACATTACGCATATGACAAACGGACAGGCTAAGATTATCATTGCTAAGCGTGAAAACCATTTTTAAACGTTTCTACTGATCATTGATATACAAGACTGCGACAACAATCCAAGGGTCGGCAGCAATGACCGTTTACAGCCAAGGGAATTTGACAGCGAGCAAGAGCTATCATATTCGATGATAATATCGACTGCCACAGAGTACTAACACTCTGCATTGCTCGTGGACGGCTTTCATTGACTGCTTGGAAGCAATATTTTCAACATTACTCAAAATTTCACTGAAGAAGAAAAGAGGGACATAACTACGTTCCATTGCATTTGGCGAAATGTTATGCCAATTGCCTGAAGCCGGTATTCATCACGGGAACAAATGGGCGAGCACCTTTTGCTGAGCATATGCTTTCAGTGTTAGATTTTGGTGCTTTGACGAAACTCATCGAGTTCCCATGATAAGCAGTTACGTTTTGTGTGTGCTAAACTCGGCAGCTAATTGTTCTTACGATACCGTTGGTTTTCTTGCTAAATTGAGAGATAAAATTGAATAGCCAAAGAATACGGTGGTCTGTTTGTCCATGGTCAAAAATAAATAATTAAATAAAGAAAAGATTGATGAATAATATTGGGTTCTACTCGACCAAGTTAGAGAGAAATTTAGTGGAGTGTTCAAAATGTGTATTACAAACACATAAAATTGTTAATAAGCTGCTCTTCATACTGGAACACAGTGGTTTTAGAACAGGGAGGTCACCTAAATTATTTGTATGCTGGTACATTGTGTGTAATATATGACATAGCGAGGAGAACGACGCTACCCATACCGAAGGATAAACCTTGAAGCTAATGGAATCACCTCACCACTGCTTAAAAGTGGAAATGAAAAAGCTTCAACCAGCGTAGTGAAGCATGCTCACCAGAAGGCGTGCGTGTACTCACAGTACAATGCGTGGTTGACAAAATCACCTTGATGAGAACCTACCTACTGCCTTCAGGCAAGCGGTTTTCAATAAGTGCAATTGGCTGACTTCCCTCTGAATATTTAATCATTACACATAGAAACGTGTATGGGCAAACTGCGTCTATTTAAATTTCAGTGGTCAGATTAATGTGTGTGACCCGCTATAGCTACCGCCTTGCACAAGTTTATTATGTTTCTGCTGTAACCCGTCGAAATGTTACGACCGACAAGCCCAATTTCAGAAAGATCTAGCACGCGACAAAAGATCTGCCGTTGTTATTCGGTTTTGCAGCATGGAGAGTAGAACTTCGCCGCGGCACTCAAAGCTGCTTTGCCCAGAAAGTTGTTTGACGCACTTCCATCGCGTAATCTCTTTTAAACTTGACATTGTCATCTTCTCTGATGCTGCTGTTGTTGCTGCTTGACTTGAGAAAGTACAATTCATTGCGAAACGTAATGTCGTAGAGCCGTCGTAAAGTGTCGTGAGCATATTGAGTCTTGGTTAGTTGTCTGCTAATTTACGCGTACTTTGTGTTTTATTAGTGATTGAGACGAGGCGATAGAGTTAATCCAACCGTTGTGGCGGTTTGCTTTGCCCAGTTGCTGTAAAAAGACCGCTTGGCAAAGCTTTGGACTGTACATATGAATTATAATCCATACTAAGCACATACGTAGAGCATGTACCTTGATGTGGCTGTTACAACTGCTACCAGACCTCAGTGACGACATAATCACAGAGAAAGAGGAAGGTATGATAACAGTGCGCATCATTCTTTTGAAAGTCATTGCATCAAAGCAACTATCCTTTAGTTCGAACGCTTCTTCTCGTATACAAAAAGGCGACAGTCTTTTCAGTTCGGCACGAAAGTAATGTGGCTTCTTCTTATGTAAGCAACTTGTTACAGTACCACTAATCTCTGTTGATAAAATATTTCTCACCTTGTCAACCATTCCTGGCACTTGTCATTTACTTTTCCTCAGGGATCGTGTTGTTGAAACCTGTGTGCACCTTGTGGCTTGACGGGTGCACGCACCTTCCTGTTTGGATAACAAGCGGCGACGTTGTCGGGACACGCCCTGCATGATACCGGTGGAAACCTTCGTAGGACAATAATACACGCAAATCACACACGCCTTCTTCTTGACCGCTTGACCGCTTGACCGCTTGACCATGTCTCTTCTGCACATGTTTTTTTCTTCCCTACCCTTTGCTTTCTCACATGTTTTTGAATGACGCATCACAAGTCACGTGACGTGTTTTTTTAAGACAGGGGTTTGAGTTCAAAAAATGTAAATACGCCCACATTTTTCAGGCCATTCCCTTTTTCTCTTCACTCTTTCTTTCCTTCACTTTTCTTTTCCCTTCACTCCCTTGGATCCTCCTGGTCTTTCTCTTGGCTCTTCCCTTGGTTCTGGTCTTCCCCTCGCTCTGGCTCTTCCCTTGGTCCTGGTCTTGCCTCTGTCGGTCCTGGTCTCAGCCTTTTTCCCGTGGTCCCCCTGGCTGCCTACAACCGGTCCCTGCTTTGGGCTGTCTAGTCTGGCGTTCAACGGTGTTGGTCACAACCGGTCTTCAGGCGAGATCAGAGGACGGAGAAATCCTTTTCGGTTTTTCGCCATAGAAATATGGTAGTGTCCTTTCGGTTGGATGCCTTGTCTGCTGGTCTGGTCTGGTCTGCCATGGTGGGGCTCGCATGAGGAGCCAGGTGCCACCGTAAATCGCGTTCGACTCTCAGGACTCGACTATCGGCAATCGACTGTCTGGCAATCGACTGTCTGGCGATCGACTCTCTGGCATTCGTCTCTCTGGCATACGTCTCTCGGCAATCGACGCTCGGCATTTGACTCTCTGGTATTCGACTCTCGACAATCAACTCTTCGGCATTTGACGCTCGGCAATCAACGCTCGGCAATCGACTCTCGGCAATCAACTTCCAGCTTCAGTGTTCGGCTCCCAGCATCCGAGTATCCAGTAAGCAGCTCCTCCAGCATTCGACAACAGCAGCAATTTTTTTTTTTTTTGGGTGTTTCGAGAGTCAATTCTTTCCCCTACCCCCACCCCTTCCCTTTCCTCTTCCCTTTCCTCTTCCCTTTCCTCTTCCCTTCCGTCTACCCTTCCATCTTCCTTCCGTCCTTCCCTCCCTTCCTTCCCTTCCGTCTACCCTTCCATCTTCCTTCCGTCCTTCCCTTCCCCCTTCCCCACTCACAGGCAATCCACAACCGATTGCTTGCACTTGACTCTCGAAACGTAGCGTACGTCATGGTTCCCACTCGTTTGTACCATGATGGCTGGGTTTGTGGTTGATTGACCCAGCCAAATGTGTGGGAGACTGGGACTCCCAGGCCGAGGCATTGGTGGTTTTCCCTCCCTCCCCCTTTTACATACTTCTTCTGTTTCTTCTTGCTTTCTTCATGCTTTTTGTATAGCCTGCAGGTTGTGCGAACTGCTTGTTGAGGGCACTTTGTAAAATCGCGTTCTTATTATTTGTCTTTATTGTCCACTGATTGTGTTTCATTGAATAAAATTTGTACTCTTCGCCAATTGATCTTCATAACGATAACTTCCGTCTTTTATAAAATGTTTCTTCACTCTATTATAACAATGAATAAAAACCTGCTCTTTTACTTTATGTCCTGCTCAAACTCATTTACAATCTCTTTCCTTGTGAAGGTATTTACGTGTCGCTTGAGTTGCAATAGTTATTTTCTACCTGATCGTGCTTAGAAGCATCCGCAATGTTCTTGTTTCCTTCGAAGCTGCCAATCTCAAAAAGAGGTTTACTTATAGATCCGCGATTACTTTGTCTTTGCATTGACATGATTGAGTTTCAAGATCTCATACCCATTTCGCATATAAGTATAACCCAGGCAATTGTTTGACGCACGAACCATGTCCAATTGTTGTGAAACCAGCCCGTTGTAGTACCAGTAGCGGGCACATCAGAAAATAATAGATGAAGTTAGTCTTGCTACAGCAGGAGCTCTTTTGGATTTTAAATAAGTTGGTCACGTTGGGTGTTTAGTCTGTCTCTTCATAAAAACATGCGCGACGTGCACTCTACTGTCATATATAGTTGCTTTAATACCGACTACTAGGGCACTTACTCTATAAAACGGTTTAACGGCTTTCCATCAAACGCTTAAACACGTGGATATGCCCATATTTTTAGACGATCGCATGAGCTTGGACTGCATCAGTAAGCAATATTCTATGGGAGTGCCACATACGTTTTCAGACGAATGCAGCTCTACATAATATGTAGAGCAACGCTTTTCTTCATTACTTTTTCTTCGTTACCCTGCTTGTCTATACAGTTACGATAAAAATAGCCGTATTATACTCTTCACTTGTACATATGGCATAAACATGGTGGTTGTGCCAGTTGGCCCACGAAAGTAATAAATATCTTGGGACAGTGCAGTACGATATGATGATTCTCGCCGTATAAGGCTGCTACGGAATTAAATGACTCAGATAAGAAATCCGAGACCAGTTTGACTTGACGGCACAGTACTTAACTCTTCTCGATGGATGATGGATGCATGTACATATATGTTTGTCAACATCTCTTGGCAAAGTATACAACAAGTTAAAGCCATGTGGAGCGCCACTCGTTAAGTACTGCAGAACAATACACGCGTTCCTGAAATGGCGAAAAGCTCAAAACTGTTAGCTAGTTTCTTCGGGGTAACAGGCTTATTCTTTGTCCAACTTGGTGAAGACAGTTGCCAACTGCTACCGAGGGGAATTTGTAAACGAACCAGCCTCAGTGAATATAACTATGTTCTGCGCTCGTGTCCTAGTGATCCCAAGTGAAAACCGTCGCGAAAATGCCTTCGCGAGAGTCCCATTCCATAATGGGACTAACGCTGTGGGATGGGTATAGAGTTTGGATCATGCTAGTCACGGGCTGCCTGTTATTATATCAAGATACACAAATAAAGAAAATGACTTGCGTTTTTTGCTTCGTAACTACGAGGGATATCATACAGGTTTAAAACCAAAACAAGCTTACAGACCATGGCTGTTTTTTATAAGTCTCAGTTTGAATAGATGGTACACACGCATAATACGGTAAGCTCTGACTATGAAACAGCATCACTCGCACAAAAGGAATCCACCAGCAAATGAGTTTTGGCGAGTACGTGTGAGTGGAGCAGAGAGATAAACAGCAGAAGTTTTAGTAGGCAGGGGAAAAGATGCGATTGCGCACGACTCAGTAGTGGTTGGAGTTTGTTGGAGGGCAGATCCATCTATATCCCTCTTAGCTCATGCCGGGTTGCCGCCAGTAGGTGCCAAATATGGAAAGGCGATTGTCGGTTGTCGATGAAATACTGTAGTTTTCGCAAACCTCAGTCGAAAAATAAAGATCTCTTGGTTGCTTGATGCCAAAACTGCGATACAAAGATCATCCGGAATCCGAGGACAAAAAACACAAGCGAAAAAAGAAAAAGCACAGAAAAAGAGAAAGATCGCGGTCACCATCACCACGAAGGCAGAAAAGAAAGCACCGGTACTATGAACCACCGAAACTATACGAAGAGGAATCGGGCTGGGTGCCTCCGCAACACAACACTCAGCATGACGAAGAAGCCGAATGGCGCGAACGATTGTTTTCAGCCATGGCAGACGATGAAGGGCAAGATCCCTTTTACTCGCAATACGAAAATTACGGTACTGGTGGTAGCAGTGGAGCCGGTGGTGACGGACGATCTAGAATAGACACCATGAACGATGAAGAGTATCGAGACTACATTGCAACACAAATGTATCGTAAAAAGAATGCCGAAGCGATAGCATGGGAGAAGGCAATAGCAGCAGAGGCAAAACGAAAGGAAAAGAAACGAAAAGAAGCTCAGGCACGCGCACGAGAAGAAGAGGCTCGCATACAAAAAGAACGGGAACGGCAGGAAACCATTATGCGTCAACTCAAAATCCAAGAGAGCCGATCAAAGTACGAGGAGCAGTGGAAGCACATGGAAATGTCCACAGTCATATCAAAAAAAGATATTCCTTGGCCAATAGCCCCTGGAGCATCTTTCTCGGCCCAGAGCGTCAAAGAGTTTTTGGTCCTGGCAGCCTCATCATTGGAGAGCAACAAGAAGAACGTCCGCAAGGAACAGCTACGCTACCATCCAGACAAGTTTATACACCGGGTATTGCGCAAGTTTGAAGGAACGGAGAGAGAAAAGAAGCGTTTAAGTATCAAAACAAACGAGATTTCTGGTTGGTTGAATGAGTTGTGGCAAGAACTGAATAACGGGTCGTCGTGATCATGTGGATGAGAAAGCAACACGCACAACTGAATGAGGAAACACTCCGTGGATCACATCAGTATATATCCGGGAATCATACTTTACTCGTAAGCACAAGGCGATGATGAATAATCACCAGAGCATATAGCTTCAAAACTTTAGCTGTACATATAGTGCGCTGTGGACGTTGTATTTAGGAACTTGCTGGCTGATATTGTACATGGTCAATGAATGGAAACATGTTTTTTTTCATATTTTATAAAGAGAATAATTTATGTGATGAACTAAGGCGCGCGTTTGCACAGTGATATGCTCATTCAATAAGGTAGTGTCATCCATATGGGATCATCTACCTGTTTACGCGAGTTATTTGCACATATATACAAAGAAAACGGCTACGGAGAAAACATATTTTGTGGTAAATTTAAAAAAAGAAGTTTATTATCATTGGGAAAAACATGTTGGAGTTGAAGACGCTGTCAGGATGGTCCGAAGAATTCGATATCTCTACAGCGAAAAACGAACATTAAGACTGTAAGCATCATCTGTGTACGTGTACTATATTCGACATAACTAGCATTCAAAACACATAGGCGAAAGCCTTACCTGCACAGCATTCGTATATCGCTTTAATGATCGTTGACGATGATGCGATAAAGAAGCGCACTGAAGAAATAACATACCATGTTAGTCGTTCAATCCATCGTGTCAATATGGAGTTTACAGCTTTACCCTAGACAAAATTCACCCAACTAGGCGCCCACCGCCCCGATATCTAAGTATACAGTCGTTAACAAAACTACTTCCTTAATTGCTTAGCACCCATTTTCTCTTCATGGTACCTTCGCTATGTTTCCTACAATGGGGCTAGGTGGGCAGCTGCAGTCACAGCAATAAGAGCAAGTCAGTCATTATAATCGAACTTTTCTCGGCGTCCCTAGCTCTTCCCAACCACAAAATATCATAAAGCTCCCTACTTACTGTGTGCATAAGCGAGCAGCCCCGCCGCCCAGCGCTACCCAGAGGCAGCACATGTATTACATCCATACTTTGCTCCTGGTGCAGCCCCAGCTTGCTGCACCGATGGTCAAGAGTTCACAAGAAAGAGAAGGAGAAAAACACGCCGGCACGAAAAAAAAGTGCAGTTAATAAAGAAAGGTAGGACTGATTTTTTTTCGGTATTAAAATCTATCGCTGTTTACGTTCTGTTTGCTTATATATTACAAAGACGGGAGGGTATACTAAACGCCCTTCTAAACATTCAGGCTTGGCTTCTCCTATGGGTCAGCTTATATGCTTATTATCAACTACTCAATGATATGACTTTGGTGTTTAATAATGTTAAGCAAGATTCCTTCATCAATTGAATTTGTATTCTGCTACTCCTTTTATACCAATAAAAATTGATACATAACTTCCTATAAACTAGTCGATATATATAGCTTTCGTTTGTTTTTTATTGAAGGAAACAGATATGACAGCGACTAACACTTTTAACATGGTTTGACAATTGAAGCTCGGATCACAGTTCCGACTCCAATTCATGTTGTAAGAACTTACGCCAGCCTTACGAAATAAATATTTTACCCCTCGGTTCGAAACATCCAAAATACTTTCCAAGATATGGGGTGCTCACTCCATATTTTCCAGACCGGTTCCGTGCTGTAGGTGAAACTGTCAGTATGGCGTAATACGGCTTAAAAAAGTTACACTACCGACAGACTCTGAATGCTTCTAATGATAATCAATTAAACCGCATTCTTATCTTTCAGCAGACATGGTTGCGACGGGAATTATGTATCATATTACTCTTCCGAAACTTGGCAAGTTGCTTGCAAAACACCGTGGTGATGTATACACATAGTGTGTATTAGTGTATACCGAAATTAACCAATTGCTCAAAGTTCGAAATGCTGTCCTACCATGACATGCAGATGGCTTGATATCACATTATGTTGGGCCACATGTATCCATTTTGTCATACCACCGAGCCTATCTTCTATTTTGTGAGCATCTGCAAAGCACACAGCTATACAGTAATGCTTATCACAAACTAAACATGATCACTGACCATCACTGCGTTTTACAAGTGTTAGCTTAGACTACAAAACTTACACACACTACATTGTACAGTTTGCAGAAAAGGAGTTTGTTAAAAGAAGGTTCTTCTGTCGTTGTCTGCTTACCACATGTCATCAGCAGGTTGTTTATCTCCATAATATAATAGACATTTCTTGTTGAAAATAACTGCTGTCGTTCTTTTCAAGATTATCTTTGATAAAGGTTCAAATCGCTTGACAATAACATAGGTACTAATATGGACTGAAAGCTTTATTTTTAGCACTTCGGTACGAAGAGAGCAGATCAGCATCAGTAAGCGGCTCGTTTTTGATTTTGTGGTGGCCAGTGTAGAAACGAGGATTTGTCTGTCGTATTCATTCTACGTAGTTGTACATTAGTCTTTACACATTCGGAGTCTTAGGATGTGATGAAGCTGCAAGTTGCAGAGTTATACTTTGACCTGGCTTGCTATTGAAATTACCATGTACATAGTGTATAGTCAACTATGCTGACATGGTCGACATAGTTGTTGTACTTGCTTGTATGACAGCAGTGGTATGCTTTTATATTAATTGAAAACTTGCATCTAATGCATGTTGTTTTTATTAATGAAACACTCATGATAATATTATCTACCCCAAAGTCTGTCATACAACTTACATACAGCATGTAATATTGGCCTAAACGATATCATTACTGAAACTACTTACACGTTAATTAATGAAGTATCTTATATGTAATGCAGAATGTCTATTTTTTGATTAAGTACCTGAATGTAGGAGCTGGAAATTGCATTTCTATATGAATGACGAGGATCACGAAGTACAACAGGAAGAACAACTTACCAGAATGTATAGTATACAGTATGTAATGAAAGTTGATGATATTAGCTCTTTATTTGCTCGGATCCGCATTTTTTTCAAAAGTCGGCCCTCTGTCCGTCTCAGAGTTACCATATGCGTTTACTGATCGCTGAGTGCACGTTTTCGATGGAAGCAGTATGCAATTAACGGGTCACCAGGTGGGGCTTCATGCACTACATTTTTTCCGAAAGGAGCAAGCAGGAACGTGAAACAAGCCATTGGTCAATTGCAGCCGACACACCTTCTTCAACCAATTCCCCACTTTTGGACTCATCCTTAAAAAATTCATTCATACTCTCCTTGTTCCTTACTTCCCATATACCCGCACCTTTTCTCTTTCTCAGTTCGCTTCTTCATACGAAACACCCATGACCGTTCGCACCTCTAATTCACAACCTAACAGCTCCATTAGAGACCTCATTAATTTTGGTATGCCTTTTTTTCCTAATTGACCGTGGAAGATCTCTCCTTTTTTATATATACTCTTGTTATTCCTCACATACTATCACTTTGACCTTTTGTTACTTCCTTCACCAGACACGCGAGATGCTCAAGCCATTCAAAGTGCAGCTTTAAAATTACGACCTTACATCCCCTCCATCATTGACACTGTACAACAGAATGTCGCCCAACATTTCGAGATAACAACCGAACTTCATTTTGGAAGAGAACCTTTGCGGAGGTACCTTGGCCGAATAATGAGCGGGCCGTATGATAGCCGGTGAGTACTACTTCAAATAGCAAAGCGTATACATAATAAGACAACGTTTCGTGCAAAAGAAAGGATTGTCACTCAACCCATGCGACGTCTTTCTTCAACAGCTTCTTTGACTATCTAGATTGGGTCGCTACGCAGCAAGCCGATTCGGATTATGTATATATCAACACGCTGCTAGGGCAGTTAGAGACAGCAATGGTTCACAAGGTTTTGGCATTGAACTTGATCGACCGTACCATCGAAGAAACCATCATCAACGCATTCAACAAACTGTTTTGGATGCAGAACCACTTCTTTGTAAAAAATTATGCGCCCAACATCAAAAGCAGCAGCAGCAGTAGTAGTAGTAGTAGCAGGACGAACAACAGCGGTCGCAGGTCGACTGTCGTTGCCTTTGTCCGGGGTATACCCGAGTTTTTGCGCACTTGTCCCATGTTCCCTGTCGTTGTCGGTGCAGTCGTTGGTGGAACGACGGTGTACATGAAAATGAAGGATAGACGGTGATTATCCCCTTTACATGATTCCTTTAATATCTTCTCTGTGGTTGCTCTTGTGTAATGGGATATACGCTATTTGGTCACACAAGTTAGCTGTTGTGCGTGTTTTTGATGCATCGCTTGCGATACCATGACCGCACATACAAAAGCCTTAAACAACGGCCCTTATTTTGCTATAATGCCTTTGCATGATTAAAGTCCCTGTCCCTCTCACACTCTCTCATATATACATCCTCTTGTGATGCTTTTAAAGTTTCGCTTATCGTGATTCCTGACTTGTCAAAATAGCGGGAGGAGGGTACCTGTATATTTCATCGAAATAATACAGATCGCCGTCTCTTTGATATGTACAATGCTAAAGACAAAAATGTCAGCGTCCGTCCTTCTGATCCGTTATATGCAGGGCAAGAACGATTCTTTTTAGCAAGTATACAAATGAATATTAATTATCAATAACAATTTAGAGGTATTTAAAAAGTATCGCCGCCATGTATGCACATTATTAGATGCGAGCCGAGGGCGCAGGAGGAGCGAGCTGCATGTATTTATCCATTCGCTTGAGCCATTCAGCAAACTGCTTGCCAGCCTTGGAGTCGTTCAAAACGAGAGCATCATATTGATCAGGGCGCATCACGCGGAGGAACGTGATATACGACGCGAGACAAATGTCGGCCCAGCCAACTATATAGTGAATGTATACGTTAGCCTATAGCCCAATCCTGTACTTTATTTTTATTGGATGTTCCTTCTACTGCTATGTTACCTTGTTGACCGGTCAGGTAAGGATAAGTCTTCAGCACTCTACCGAGGGCATCCAAATTCTCGGTGATGGCCTTTGCATGCTGGCTCTCATCACCCACGAACTTCTCCAGAGGCATCTTGAAGATTTTCTCGCGTGTTTGTCTGAACCAGGCACCATGCTCTCCTGCCTTCTTCATCACAGTCAAGACATTCAGCTTGAAAATCTTCGGCAAAAGACGTCGGGTGCAGTATTCATGCATGAAGAAATGGGCGCCAATGTTGCCATGGAAAAGGCTAGGTGTGTCTGGATACGCTTCCTCAAGATACTTGCTGTTTTTGAAAGAACACCAAATCACATTAGTAAGCATTTGCAACAAAAAATACCACAAAAACCCATTTAATACTTACGCGATCTCCCAAGATTCCTGGACGACTTTGTTTCCATGGAGCACATCGACAATAACAGGTACGGTGGGGCGCTCCTTGCTCTTACTTCAAAGAAAAATCGATCCATCATACAGTACATCGGTCAGCAAAGAAACATCATATATGCACGTTACATAAAATACTTTCTGTTTCTACCTACGTTATCTTTGGAATCTCTTCTCCGATTTCAGGGAACTTCAACCATACAGTCTTGTATGGAATGCCCTGCAATTCGTCAGATTGAAAGTAAAGAAGAGGCAACAAAAAACGGTTAAATAATTTATATATGACAGCACACACTTTGTCCGCACGATAACGATCTGTAAAAAAAAGGAACAAAAGCTGTACCAACAAAAAGACCTCGTACCTTGTAGTTCAAAGCATAACGGGTTTTGCAAGTATTAGGCGACCAAATCTCATTTGGAGTTGTCAATTCCACGTCGTAGAGAATGATGTGAGCCATTTTGGTTATATTGTTGATTATTCAAAAAGTTCAAGGCTTTATATGAATACAGGTGTTACCAGGTTCCCACACTTTTAAAAGGCACCGCGCTAAATATTAATGCGCAATATAGCGTGCTCGAGAAAACTATGTGATTGGTTTTTTCTAGTTGCCAATCCATCTGTATTTTATCTATAATCTGCTCAGAGCTTGTTTTCTGGCGAATATTGCTTTTTAAGTGTATGAATACATAGTGCAAACATGATTGTTCAAGCATAATCTATCCAGCATTGAGGTGCTTAATAAGCAAAAATTGCTTTAGGTAGATTCATCATAATGCCTCCGCCAAGGCATTAAGTTCAGTATGTAGCACTGATGAAGGGCCGTCAACACATAATATATACGTACCGATCGCGTTTAGAACTGGCTGATATGTCTGATACTACGGTACCTCTTTAAGATAGCGAACCTTTAAATGGATAATACTAGTACATTGAAACGTTGAAAGCGTTGAAATTAGAAAACATAATTTTATCTGTGATCCTTTTGATTGCCAACAAAAAAAATTATATATTTAGTTGCTACATCAGCCAGTTTGCATTGACTCTGCTGTTCATACTGAATAACATGGAGGCTCAAGTTGCATATATTTGTCCATCCGATTCCACCATTCTTGAAACTGCTTTCCTGCTTTTTTATCGTCGAGCACTAAAGCACCAAACGAATCAGGCCGGAAGGCAACAAGCATACGAAGGCTTGATGTGAAGACAATATCGGACCATCCAACTATTGTGTGATAATAAACAAATAACGGGTTTGTGGAATTATATGACATGCTGTTCTTTCAAATATGTATGGATACTGATGTATGCATCTATCACAATGGTACTGTATGCTTACATAGCATTCTGGAAAAAGAAATAGGTAAAAAAGACGTACTTTGTTGTCCACTTATATAAGGATATGTCTTAAGAATTTTCCCGATAGGCTCCAAATTTTGCGTGAGCGCCTTTGCATGTACAGTTGGATCATCTCCTATAAACTCTTTGATAGACATTCCGAGGAATGCTTCTCGAGTTTTTATGAACCACTCTTTGTGTTCTCCAGCGAGATCTATCATATTTGACAATACGAGTCTAAACACTACTGCAAATAATAATTTTTGCGTGCAGTAGTCTTGGAAAAACAAATGGGCGCCGATACTGTTGGTGTTGAAGAGTTTTGGGGTGTCCGGATATACTTCTTCGAGATACTTCCTTTTTTAGAGTAAGTCAGTTAATAGCGACTCTCAATTGATTAGCATTATAAACAACGACATTGTGTAAGGAAAGAAAGAACTTGAATACGAAATATGTGGTACTTCATTGAAAGGATGCAAATATAACGTACACAATTTCCCAAGAGTCTTGAACTACCGTGCTATCGTGGAGCAGATCAACGATCACAGGCACAGTCGGGCGACCGTCTTTTTTGCTACAAAAAATTATATGACATCTCATCAGAGATTCATTTTCACCAAAAGCGCCGTTACAACAAGCATATATTACTGTACGTTAATTTAGGGATTTCAGAGTGTACTTCTGGGTATGTGAGCCACACCGTTTTGTACGGAATACCCTATATATGCACGTAAATTGTTAAGGACATCTATGGGAATAATGCGTATAAAAGACCTCAGCTCTTTTATGCTTAGAAAGTGTGCACGTACCTTATAGTTTAACGCGTAGCGTGTCTTGCAAGTGTTAGGGGACCATATCAAACCCGGGGCATCAACAAGTTTGAGATCGTAAAGGACAATTTGTGGTGAAGGAGCCATACGTTACTGCTTGTTGTAAAAAGACAGAATTAAGAGGGGAAATACACACCGCCATGAAAAAACGTTGGGCATTAAATACTTTGCTACGTACGATACTTGCCATACTAGTATAGCTGCCCACAGCTCCCGGAGATACGTGGATCCAAATGAATGAAATAATCCGCATTTTCCCGGGTGACTCACTCGGAAATCTGATGACACTTGCTGCATGACTAGTCATATTGCTTGTGAAACGATCATGCACATAGCAATGAGATAGCTAAAAGCCGTAGCTAGAAACTTGGTGCACCATACTGTTAGAATCATTACAAAATAGGTATCACCCTTCTTCCACCTCAATGTCTGCTCAACGTCACTGTACGCATGCGATTGTTCGAGAAGGTGCTTCTCTCAATACTTTATTTACAACTAAATCCGTTTCTACTAAGCTTAGTAGTTCTCCTTTGCTTCTTTAGGTAGAGTTTCACCCCTTCTTTTGATGACTCCCAGATGAAGAATTCGATCGCCAGACATTGCCACAGGGTTCGAGCTGCGTCCGATTACCTGTATTCGTTTAAAATTTATAAAAGTGATTAGTATATTGAACAAAAAAAGCATGTATGTACCAAGAAAATAACATAGAGCTCTAGTATACTTACAATTCCACCACATGGAGACCTATACTCATCCACGACGTTGCCGAAAATATTTTTGATCCTAGCAATCACGTCGCCCTTGCGGATAATTGTATTTACACCAGGATATACTTCTAATACGCCACCCGTTCTTGTGTAGATCTATGGTATCAAATATAATGCCGGATGTTCTAGCTTATCCACATATATCAAAGCGTAAATAAATTTTAATTTCCCATTCTCACCACTTACCCAGAAACCTTTGGAACACAAAACCGTGTTTGGAGGTCCAAGCATGACTTGATCCGGTCCCAAATTCAGGGTAAACATTCCAAGATTATCCAAGATGCGCATCACGCCCATGTATGACCACTATACATTTGAGTGAATATATAGGAAGCGCATCAATGATAGAACCTTATTCATTCGTTGTGTATACTTCAAATTGATGATTTCCTGTACCTGCACGTATTGGTTTTGGAACAGTTGCGGATTGCCAATTTCTACCGTGATTGCTTTGATGCCTCTTGCAGCAGCAGCAGATCTCAGCGTTCCTATATTAAGCCAATTTAGCTGCTATACACACATGCAGCCCGTTTACAAAACAGCCTCAAACAGATGTATAATGATAGAAAAACTTTACCATCTTGTCCAGAATTATGAAGAACAATTTGGGGCTGTTGCAAGCGCGCCAGAATTGCAGATCCACTGTCGTTCTATGTAAAACAGAATATAGTTATATTGATTGCTATATATCACTGCTGCTTCTCTCAATCCATTTCCTATAGAAAAATGACATATTCTGCCATCTTTCTCCATTCTTACCATATCTGCACGAACATAATACGAGTTGATCCGTCCAAAGCTCGCAGTATGCAAATCGATCAAGTAGTTGAACTGGGAGATAACTTTGTTCATAAGATGGTAGCAGTAGACTTGCGATGCAAATCCATCCTCTTTTCCTGGGAACTGTCGGTTTAAATCTCGACCGTCAGCAAATTCGCGTTTGAACTGAAGATATCCAACCATATTGACACAGGGAACAGCAACAACAGTTCCCTGCAGCTTCTTGACGTCGATTTCCGAGACAACACTAACGGAAGAAAGATGCAATGTTTATCTTCAAGAACACTACCAGAAAACACCTATGTAAAAGAGAAGAATTTTTTTACCGATGTATGCATGGTACGCCATTAAGCTCATTTCCATGGACAGCTGCTGTTATACCAACAACAGGACTGTGAAAGCAAATTAGTATATTAGGATTTCGCGCTGGACCTATCACACTTGAAAAGCTAGAAATCACATAATTACCCCTCTTCTGCACCTCTACAAACAATAGCAGGCAACCGGATCCATTCACTCAAACCTTGTTTGACCATTTTAATCCAAGCTGTGCTTATTGTATTGACAGGGAAATCTTCAACGACGAGACGGTCACGAACCACAGGTGGTGGAACATCGGTATCCTGAGGGAGCAGTGCGAAATTAGGCGGCGCGTATACTTGCGATGTATCGAGGTTTCCGCGTATCATTGCAATACTATCTCGACGCATCCCTTCATCCACTGAGGCAAGTTCGGTTGTTTGCAAACTCGATGCTAACGCGTCTGCATCGGCAGCGCCACTAGTAGATCCTGGAATAGGCATAGGCTCAGCAGAGGTAACTATCGTTTTAATATCGGGCCCACCAGCAGTAGAAGCTAGAGCGTTTCCAACAAGCGGTTGATCGTCGTACACGACGAGGGAGCCTTTACGGCGAGGCTCGCGCCGTTGGCTTGGTGCAGTCCCAGTACTCTTGTTTTGTTGTTGTTGTTGTTGTGCAGCACTAATGGATGCTTCTAGCATACTGTGGCTAAGTCTTCCTATACTATCTTCGACGCTCATGGCTGTAGTGCTTTGTTTTACTTCGGAAATTTGCATTGTAATAACAGTAGCGTCTATATGATATGGTCTCAGCAAAACATTGCTGGATCTCATTTTCTCCCTTGCAAAATATAACTCATCAAGTTTAAACTGACCTAAATCATGACCACCTACTGCACCTGTTGCATCAGCTGCTTGAATAAATATGCTCGTAGGACTTGCTTCTTCGTCACGCTCGATATACAGCGTCTCATCAGGCGAAAGAAGCACAGAATGACCATGCATATGGTTTTCGTCCAAAGTGATCCGTACAAATCCATCCACGACGTAGACCAAGGCAAATGATCCCAGTAACAGTTTTTTTCCAGTTTCTCCGCTCTCGTTTGAGATGGGCTGGCCAATTTTCTCGACATAAAACTGTGCGGTGCCCAAATTCTTCTTGACCATGAACTGCAGGTTTGTGATGGGCGGATTTGACACGCGACAACTCGTCACCCTGGAATTTGAATCCATCAGTTTTACTTCCGTCTTATTTGAGCACACATGCAACGAGTAACTAGCTTTTTTACCATGATCCGTTCCAAGAATAAGGGAACAACGGCTTCACCTTGGTCGACATTTCTTCCCCCTTATGGTTAAGCAATAGTGTAACATTTTCGTGGCCACTCGGTAGAACAATAGTTGTGCTACAGAAAGACGGTTATCAAAACTCTTCTTTTTCACAGCTCTAGCGCGTTCTCAACGTTTCCACTCACCACTCATATCCTGGAAATACTGAAAAGTTGCAGTTTGCATCGATCCGATGCTTACTCAAACGCCAAAAGAAAGCCTCAGTTTTGAAATCCTTCTTTGGTGGGTAGATGCTAATCTCGCTTGTATATCCTAGCCCATTTTTCCATGACTTTGTCTTGTAGTCTTCACTATTTGATATGAATGTGATCCTGTTGTTCAGTACAAGCGTTGCTCCCTCATTGTCAGGAAGGAAAGAGAAGCAAGTCTTGGCCCCAGTGCGGAATTACGAAAGTTGTCATGTCAAAAAGCGTGTCCAGTACCTTGGTGTTAGACGGTGTACTCTGAGAAGCGAGGGCTCAGGAGAGTCCTCTTCGAGCATTGAACCTTGTGGGAGATCGCTGGCAGTTGGATTCATTTTTCCGGCTTTTTTGGAATGAAAGAGCTGCTTTATGCAGCGGAGAACGACAGATCTCAGCGGAAACAGCGGAAACGCGCCCGATTTTAAAATAAACTTGTTTGCAAACCTTCAAGTATGACGACACTTATCGTTGTGCGCCTTTGCCGCTTTTCTCCCGTCTGCACTTTTCGTTTTTGCCTCGCAGTCTATTTTAGCGTTACTAGCCAAGTGCTGCAGTTGTCTTCACGAACCGTGGCGTACAGACCAATAAATTCTCTCTCTAAACCTACCTATACCGGATCTGGCTAGATTCCAAGTAAGAATAGATAAATCAAATTGACGTCAGATTGATTTGTAGTTTGGTATAGTCATATGTTAGCGTGCATGAGTATGTATGCAAAACTATACATTAGAAATACAATTATAATCTACATTATACGGAAGAAGAGTAACAGAGAAGGATTCCTACTAAATTAACGTAAAGGTATTTCAGGTACATAATATATTTATAGATTACTAGTAGTTGATGAAGATGAGGTTTCGATAACCATCGTTTCTCCAAGTTTAAGAACGCCAAAGACTTCTCCATCATGACCACGCTTCTGAAGGGCCTTCTTGAGACGCTCTGGTGGCTCATCGATAGGCTCGTCTGTCAGCACAAAAGTACCCCAATGGATACCGATCTAATAACACAAAAAAGTATAATTTAGATATGCATATCAAGCACCGTTCATCCACTATTACGCTTTGTTTCTTACAGATTTTTTACTCTTGACATCCTCGTGAACCCGAACAGCATCTTCAGGTGAGCAGTGGATAGTAGACATGAACCATCGAGGCGAGTATGCACCGATTGGAATTAGAGAAAGATCAAAAGGTCCAATCCTGCTTCCGATTTCTTTAAGGCATTATAAGAGGAAGTGAACGTATCAGAAACGCGCATATAGATATGAGCTCACCCCACGTATACGTTTATACCTTTGAATGCAGGACAATGTGGCAAAGTATCGAGGTGATCTTCATCGTATTGTGCATCAGGCTTCGTTCCTTGTGGGACAGCCCGATATCCCGTATCACTGCAAAGAACTCAAATAAGTCATCTCTATTTTTTCATTCCTCTTTCAGAATATGCACTTACCCTCCAAAGAACACCTTGCCACCTGAAGATTGGCCCTCACGCACTCCTTCGAGACACCACGAAGCCCAGAGCGTCTTGTTTCTATCCAGAATACCACGGCCCGAGAAGTGCTGGCAGGGCGTACAAGTGAGCTTGACAGCCTTGCCATTACCCAAAGTGAGCGTTCTATCCTGCCACCAGTCCAATTCTGTCACACGCTCGTTGGATTTCTCTATATTGAACCAAGCCTTGTTTCCAAGAGGTACATAGAAATGTGCTTCCGGATGTTGTTCCGCCAACTCTTTGATGGAGTTTAGATCCAGGTGATCATAACTGCAGAGATCGGAATTACTAACGGCCCGCGTTCAACCCCTTTTTAAGAGTTTCAACTTACTGATTATGTGATATGACGACTGCATCTATCTTTGGTAAATCCTTCAATTGACAGGGTGGTTCGGTATAGCGCTTAGGTCCCACGAACGAAAAAGGTGAGCATCTAGTGTGAGTCGAAAATGAAAGATATCTCTTGTAAGATACCTTTTTTATCTTGGGTTCCTGGGTCCAAAAGTAACACTTTACCTATCCGAGAAAACGGGATCCAGCAAAACATTGACGCCGTTTATCTGCACCAATGCGCACGCACTTTCAAAATTTTATTGTTAGCAAAGAACCTTCAACCAATCCTTTTTAAAACGTTGAGAGTAAAACTTACTGTCCGAGCCAAGTGACAACAATGGCCTTCTCACCGGCCTGTGAAGTCGCTTCCCGGATAAGCTTCCAATTCATTGCGTCGACAGTGGGTGGTTTTGCGTTCGGGGTGATTGATTGCTCAGTCTTTCGAAGACCAACCTCACTCAACATTTTAAACATCTCTCGAAGACCGTTATTAGTAGCGGAGGGCCATGGGTTTCCTAAAATTTCCACAATTCAAAGAAACTCTTGTGTCAATTTCGAAAACGTTATAGGATCTTTATGGTAGAGCAATTCTCTTACGGAAACCATTGCCATGGTGATGGTCGCCGGGTTTGTTGCCATTATAGGTTGAAGACATTGCACCAGATAAGGGAGTAGAAGAAGTTACATAACAATAGCCTGCCAGCCCAGTGAGAGAAAATGCACCTGCTACCAGTGCTCCCGCCCGCGAAAACCGTGACATTGGACAGAAAAGGCAAAAATCGGTTACGGCAGCATTTCTTGCCTCTTTTATAAACGTTCCTACTTTTCTGCTGTATTGCAAAGTTTAATCTCCTTGCTTTTTAACAGTGAGTGACATGATGTGGCCACTGCTTCCATATTCGCAGAAGAGCCAAGTGTCGTGCTCCTCCCAATTGAATCCGTTTTGACTCAAAAAAAAAAAAAACAAACGAAGAGTAGTACCTTTATTATCCTTTGGGGACATCCACATCATCCCGTTGCTAATAGCGACGACTGGTTACTACGAGACTGGTTAAAATGTATCCACCGGTAACCATTTGCCATGCTGTAACAAGCACAGCTTTCCAAAAACTAGTATAACGTGCATGATATGACTCGCATAAAGGACAAATTTTTATTTTATTTTTGGCATGTAAATACACTCTAACAACCGCTGTAGTTGTGTAGTAGTCTGGATGCGGCTATACTACAAAACAGCCCATTTCTTGGTTTTTTTTGTCACGTAGTCTTGGACTTTACACTTTTTCTTTTCAACGGACACTTTTTCGCCAATCTTGTCGTCCAACTTCTTGTAGTCTTGATAGCTAAGAACGAAAAAGTCCAGTTGACAGTCATCAAAGCTCCAGCCTTCGTCGTCAACGCGTACACAGCCATTGTGAGTCTTGCCATCAGGCAGCTTAACACCGTCCAAATCCTTGATATAAAGCGTTGTTCCACGATCCAAGTCGTTAGAAGCGACACTAACCCAGGGTTCCAGAGCTACATCGTCGTCTTCGCCTAAGATTAACAGAGTTAGATACATTCAATTCCATTGCTTTTATATATCTGCCTGGTTTATTGTGTTGGTTGACTTTAACTTACCAATACCGAAAGGATCCTTTTTACGGTTCACTTCCATAAAGTCGTCCTTGCTGTCATCCAAGTTGACCATCTCACCGTTCTTTAACAAGCCGGTGCCTTCCATTTGGAATTTCTATACGAACATCCACACGTCAGTTCGTGTTTCGTACATATTCATTTCTATTGCTAGGTATAATTAGTAGGTTTCTTACCTCATAAGTCGTCTTGGATACTTTGGCAATTTTCTTTCCGCTCGAGGTCTTGAGCGTTTTAGTCTTTGGGCCCGTAAGAGATACCGAGTGACCATCATTGTCTTCATCCTTGTCACCCTCCTTGGGAATCCAATATCTAGTCGAAAAAATAGGAGTTAGAGAAGTGGTGATTCAATAATTAACAAAAATAGAAATTTAATATGAAAACAGCTTACTGAGTCAATGTGGCGTGCTTGTAGCAGCTCTTTAATCCGCGTTTTTCTTGTGTCACAGGCGCAGCCGTGGTGACAATGGATGCCAAAGAAAGCATCAATACAATGGGTAAGCACAGCTTCATAGTTGTTTCAAGTACAAAAAAAGAACGAATGTGTATGTGTCGGGGGGAGATTTACTATGCAAAGAAGAGTTCCGGCTCAGAAAAGAAAATGTATGATACAGCGATCAACGCAAAAGAAAATGAATGTGTGGGGGGTTTAGATTGTTTGTATTGGGAGGGGACTGTAGCCTGACAGTGAGAAGATGTTTGTAAGAGAGTACAAATGGGAAGATGATGTTCGTGATGAAAGGTGAAAGCAGTATTTATACCTTTTTTCGTTTTCTGTCAAAACACTTCTCAAGAAGAAAGGGGGAGGTGTTTGAAGCAGTAAGGGAGTCAATATTGTTTGTCATTCTGTATATGGGGATCAAGGACGATGATGATAATGATACACACTGATTACACAGAAGGGTAAATGACTATTATTTAATTTACATGGACGACAGCTGATTTGCATGCATATGTAGCAGTAACGACCCTATAGAAATGCGTGTCCGCACATTATGTGGATGATTGCTTTAACGGTCTGAGCTTTCTCCTATTACCAGCATTATATTTCTCTTTTTTTACCCCCTTCTGTCTGACACCATCATTCAACAACACACAGATAGACATTTTTTTATGTTGCATAGCATGTGCGTACATCATTGCTTATCAAAAACACACTTGCGTGTTAGGATCCAAGTATCAGCGACCCACACAACGTATGTAGCAGTAGGGTAGATCATTTATGTGTCTCTTTAGATGGCTGCTAATTACTTACAAAACTGCCTTTTCTGATGAAGCGAGCTAAAGGACACATAATGAATATCAAGTGCATATTAACTCAGCGCGTGAGTGTCGTAGGGAGGTTTTTAGGTAACTTTACATATATTCCATATACTCGCCGTCACGAACTTTGTCCGCTACCACTGTACTGTAGCCTGATGATGATGATGATGATGATGATGATGATGCGGGGTCCCTTACTTTTTGTTCCATAAGAGTAAGTATAAGCAGTATTTAGGTATTTTGTATGTACAGTCTTCTCTCTTCTCGGAAATCAGCCAAATAAAGAAAGTAACTATTTGATTTCATCGGTCCTGTAATCTCATCGTCGTTCAAGGTGAAACAGTTCTTTAGAATTGGGAACCAACGAACATCTTTGTAACATAATCAGCGAATGCAGAAAAAAGCTAGCTCCACTCAACTATGTGCTATTCTGATGGAGATTTTTTTTTTCCTTTATTTGTCGCTCAGTACCACTATCATACTAATAGAAGAAAAGAGCGGATCAACAAATCGTGTCGTTTTTAAGTCTGGTTAGCAGAAACCAAGCTAGTAGTACGATCAATATGCCAGTTGCTATTCGCTACCATTAGCTATGAACAATTCAACAAATATAACATACGTTAACATGGCCGGTCGAGAACATTTATTTCAGTGAGAAGAAGATCGACAGGACATTATAGAATGCTTAGTGACGATCGTTCGAGGCGGAAGTAATTATTCTACATCTCACCACTACATCATTACAAAAGAGAAGGACTCCAATTGGTTTAACACTTCTAGGGATGTCTTCAGCTGCGACGTTGCGTAATGATAGACTTCAACCATCATGGGGATTCATTGCCAAAGGGACCTGTATCAAATAACCCGAAAGATGATGGTGATGATGATGATGAAGGCTATCTCAATGATATATACAAGCATCCGATTAATCCTTGTAATGTTAAGACTAGCCATGTTAGGCTATGCTTCATATTAACTCTTGCTGGGTTACAATTAAATGAGAGGGCGTGTGCATATCGAGGACCGTTCGTTCTTCTCTATCATACCTCAGCCTATGATTTTGCATTTAGGATAGATGAGAAACAATGAAAGTATAGCGAAATGAACTTTGCTTGTTTTTAAAGTACTTTCGAGACAAGTCTGATAGAAAACACACCCAAGAAGTTGATTTTTTACCTTAAAAGTTTAAATTTGCAGAAACAGGAACACAAAACGTTCAGATTAGGCAAATTATCCAAACAATAATGCGTGTGTTTAATATCAAGGGAATCTTCACCCTATGGAAACCCCTAGGGCTAACTTAGCATAAAACACCCGCTTCTACTGCTAGAGTTACTGGGGCGAATTATGTACTTTACTTTTACAGCTATCAACCCAATATTCATCAAATAGAAAGTAGTCCTTCACGCTAAACAAGTACGTTACCTTCTTTTTGAAGAGAGCTATAATTGATCGAGGGTCGAGCTATAAATACCAATATCAGTGGGTATAGTGAGGTTTGCTGTTCAAGCTTGAACATGCCAAGACGCCATGGGGCACAAAAGACAGCCAAGAAGCCAAGAGAACGTGTGCCATCGTCAAGATGTAGAGATACGAGACCATTGTTGAAATACTAGGTGGACTAGAAAGTCAAGCAGTCCAAGAGAAGCATCTGCCTGAGCTCAAGACAGCAATGAAAAACAGTGGACGCGACACTTACTGCAGGGATCATTCCTGGTTTATCGCAACAATAGCAGAACCAAACCTCTTTTGCGCAAAAAAAAATAAAAAAGGGCGGGCCTTTCAAATGAAATCCAACGTTCCCTAAAGTAGGAAACGGTCCAAGCCGTATTTGGACATTTGTGTAAATTCGTTGGGTTCGAGACTTTAAAAAAAAAGGACACACACATTATAAGCTATATCTTTACTGCTCCATATTGCCTTCTTCTTTCTTTGTTGCGTCGTTGAAAGGTTCCACTCACAAAGCCTCGCCTCCCGCTTCATTCCTCCATTGCTCACTCAAACACATTTCGCACTCTTTTAATATACACCACCGCTCTCTCTCTCTCTCGTACTTTCCCAACACCTTTGGACCATCCCCTCCATTTGAAACAATACTATACACGCAGTACTCCTTTACACACACACACAAGCAACACATATCACCTTTAATATAATAACAATAATGGCAGCGCGGTTTACCTTAGCAAGCGGCATCACTAGCAGACTCGACGCGTTCTCGGACTACATTTCGACCTTTTCGAAACGATCACTCTCCTTGTTGATCCTTCTAACAGTCACCATCTCTGTATGTTTCCTGTACTCATCCCAATCTCCAAACCTATTGTCGACCACAACCGACGGCTTTCGTTTCGGACACAACGAATCGCATCTCTTGTCAGCAGGGACGTACGATTGTGCAAGGTGTGAACAACCACCCAACCTGGCCAAACTTGAGCCTAAACAGATCTGGGAAGCTTGTCTTGACCCAGGTGTGGTACCTGAATATTACATGACAGTTGTCATGGTCGCAAGAAACGATGATTATGCCGGCAATCAGTTTCATCGATTACAGAATGCTATTGATAGCACCTATGCGCTGGCAGAGAAAACAAAGACTTTGATTGAGTTGCTGATCATTGAATGGAACCCGCCGGCTGGTCGACGTGGTATTCGTGATACCTATAGGTAAGTCATATCGAATTATATGAGACCCAATGTCAAGTTACTAATCCAATATTGCATTCGGATCATGCAGATATCGTCGTTCCAAGTACCTGACATATCGCATTATTACCGTACCTCGCAAGATTCACGAGACGCTTCGGGGAAAAGAAGGACCTGAGGCCCTGGAATATGAGGGCAAAAACGTCGGTATACGTTTTGCCCGTGGCGAATTTATTGTGTGCACCAACCAAGGTATACATACTTCACATAAAAGATCATACGAAGAAACGAGTGTTGTTTACATGACGGTGTTTCTCTTATTAAGATGACATCTGGTCTCCCAACATGCATAATGCCGTTGTATCCCGATCATTCCGGAAAAAGATGTTTTATACGCAATATCAGGACAGCCATGTTTCGTAAGTATCTCTTTTCTCTTTTGGTGCATGGGGAAAAAAGAGGGCTTCATGCATGATGCTCACTGTGTATAATCTATGACCACCCTTAGATACGACGAATTACCAGGTACCATTGTCGATGTTCCAAGCTTTACAACCGACGACGGTCTCTTAGAGTCATGCTCATTTGATGCATACGAACCACACGCGTTCGCCTTCCCAGCACCACAAGTCATCGACACCACTAACTTTTTGGTCATTGCACACGAGGCCAGCGATTTCACATTGGCACACCGAGATACATGGCAAATGACCCGTGGATACCGCGAAGCAGGCGCAAAGACATGGATAGATATGGAGCTGGTGTTGACAGCTGCATGGACATTGGATATTCCTGTCACCTACACACGAGACACGTTGTCATGCCATCAGCAACACCACACCGTCGTACATCCGAACAGCGACGCAGACAATCGAGATGTGGACGTGGGTCGCATGATGTCAAAGGAAGAAATCCACATGAACGAGGAAGGCCAGTGGGGTTTACAGAATGTCAAAATCTGGGAAAATGGCTTACACTGTGAAGTATTCCGGGGTGGACTTGGCGTATAATAAATATGATAACTACTTGAGAATATTCAAAATAAGGTTTGAAAATCCACGTTTATATTTGAAAAAAATATAGTAGACAATTGTGCATGCATGCGAGTGTGTTAGATAGGAAGGACGATAAAAAAGATGTTAGGAATCGGTAATATGTGTGGTGGTGGTGATTATGCTATATGTAATATCTAAGTAATGACAGTGGGTTCAGAGCGACCCGTGTACTTGGTAAGCTCGGAAAGGTTCAAGGCAACGTCAATGAGTGACTTGAGCGCCTTTTGGGTGTCTGCGGTATATTCAGAGGCATCGCTCGAGTATTTTTCGACATAGAGTCGTACAGTAGCACCAGAAGAGCCTGTGCCAGAGAGACGGATCACGATACGCGAGCCATCTTCAAAGATGACACGAATGCCTTGCTTCTTTGAAATGCTGCCATCAATTGGATCGTTGTAGGTGAAATCGTCAGCTTCAGCCACAGTGAAAGCTCCGAGCTGCTTGCCAATGAGCTCCTTGCTTTCGATCATGCTACGCAGGCGTTCCACCATCTCATCTGCACCCTTTCCATCAACCTCTTCATAATCGTATCTAACAAGGATCATTTCCACAGTGAGTATTCTCCTCTTATTCCCCACATCCTCTTTCCATGTTATTCACCTGGAGAAGAAGTTACGTCCGTAGGTCTGGTAGTGAAGTTGAAGGACATCTTTAACACCAGAGCCTGGTTTCGTACCGTTGACGTAAGCCAGGATGTTCAGCCATGCTATTTATAGGTTCAAGGAACGATTAGCCCAACTAACGCCCCCATGTCAAATAGATACAAAACAATGATGAATCAGTTTACCAATGATAGCCCATAAGCCATCCTTTTCACGGATATGATCTGAGCCGGTACCAAACGACTCTTCACCACAAACAGAGCAACGACCAGCGTCCATCAAGTTACCAAAGAACTTCCAACCCGTAGGCACTTCAAAGTACTCCAATCCTTGCTTCTTGGCTACAAGATCCAAAGCTTGCGAGGTAGGCATGCTACGAGCCAGGCCCTTCACACCGGTCTTTCGGAAATAGGGGATAGCGTCACGGGCGTAGTGAGCAATGATGGCAACACTGTCGCTTGGAGTGACAAATGCGTCTTTGCCAATAACCATGTTACGGTCACCGTCACCGTCGGAAGCGGCGCCAAAGTCGTAGCCTTCCTTGTTGACGCGTTCAACAAGGTCATGCGCATAAGTCAAGTTAGGATCCGGGTGTCCGCCACCAAAGTCCGGGAGTGGCGTGCATCGCATGACGCTCGATTCCGGTAGTCCGAGCTCATTAACAAACAGACGCTGGCCGTAGGGTCCAGTCACTATGTCACAACAGTTAGCATGGTATACACACATCCTTCCTTTTTCCTACTTCTCCTCCAAACCACAATGTATGCTTTACCTCCGTTCATGCCATCAAAAAGCATCTTGAAATCAGGATTGTTTGCGAAAAAGGACTTGATCGCATCGAAATCAAAGATATCCTTCATAAGCTCGACATAGTCATTGACGCTATCGATCACTTCGATCTCAAGGTCCCCAACAGTTTGCTTCCCCAACACCGAGAAATCGATCTATAACACGTTCCGTGTACAAAAAAAGAAATAATTCCCATGAGTTCTTCTTCCCCTGCCTTCTCTCCCGGTTTCCCGAGCTGCATCCACCATAATGAGTCGTACCTTGGGAGCATCAACCATCTTGAGTTCCGAGATAGTCTTTGAGATTTCGTATATCTCATTGGTGACGTTTTCCGGTGCAGGGCCACCATTTGAGATGTTGTACTTGATACCAAAGTCATTGTCAGGTCCTCCAGGATTATGCGAGGCCGTGAGAAGAATACCTCCGGTGGCACCGATCTTGCGGATAAGGTTCGACACAGCGGGCGTCGACAAGATACCGTTTTGACCGACAACAAGTTTGGATACCTACATTATTCATTTAGGTACTTTAGTTAAACGCAGCGGAAAAAGATGAAAATATTAATTGCTGATATCAAACAATTGATACTTACACCAGCACCAGCACTCAATTTTACAATGACTTGAAGTGTTTCATCGAGGTAGTAACGGCCATCACCACCGACCACGAGAGTGGCGCCCTTTGCGGGAATGGCATTCAGAATGGACTGAACAAAGTTCTCGGTGTAGTTGGGCTGCTGAAAGATCTTGACCCTTTTTCTCAAGCCAGATGTACCGGGCTTTTGACCTTCAAAAGGTTGAGTAGCAACAGTTTGGACCATGGAGACCATGACGTATAAATGAATAAAAAAGAAAAAGCGGGTAAAAAAACGAAAGAAAAGAAGCAGCGCGGGTTAGCGCGTTTGTAGCCCATATTATATAAGAGACTCTCGGCGGAGTTTTTTGGGCTTTTGCATGGAAAGAGTAACCAGACGAATGAGACAGATTACCAGCCAACCAAGCTGATTACTTAATCCATTTGACCGGTTGGGATCCGAATGGTATCGATCCGCTCTACTGTCCGCAGGCACCCCAGAGGGTTTTCGGAGGGTGTTGCGGGAAATGATACTGCGCAGATAATGAGAAGAGACAAGGAAACAGGAACACGAGGTTTTGTTTATATCTCGTCGAGACTGGATTGCAAACAAGAAAGTACACCAATCAAGTGCTTCATTGCTTGATATTTTCCGTACTGTTTATTGAATTGATCTTGTTTGCTGTCATTCTCATCGCCAGCTTCTGTTGCGGCTTGACCTGTCTTGATATGGCTACAAGTAATTTATCATCATGCATTGCTGTTGTGTGTGGCAAAAGTCTGGGGGAGAGAGAATGTGTGTGTGCGTGTGTGATGTAGTAGCACATGACCCGCACTGATGGCAAATTGATTTCCAGCAACAGAGAAAAAGGCACTCTCTCCCACTCCTAAACACTCTACTTATACGTAATAGATCTCTTCACATACAGACGAACGCAAACAAACCATGTCAGTTCGAGACGTATACAGCAATCTTTATTCCACATTTCACTCTGTGCGAGAAAGCCTTATCCCTGTTTTAAAGAATTCCAAATTTAAAGAAACAGGTTGTCTGACTCCTGAAGAGGTAACTAATCCCTTCAATGCAAAGAAAAGAGAATCACTCGAATATAACCTCAATTGATTGCTTTCTATATAGTTCGTTGCCGCAGGTGAATTTCTTGTCTACAAGTGCCCAACCTGGTCTTGGTAACGTATATTTGAAGGAATGTTGGAAAAAGCAAAATGTGGAACGCACATGCATAATTCTGACTTTGATATAATAATGGTGTAGGGAATCTGGTTTACCCGAGAAAAACAGAGACTATTTGCCAAAGGATAAGCAGTTTCTTGTAACACGTAACGGTAAAGTCTCTGTTTTCTTTCTCTTGTATTGAACTATGTGGGAGGTCTCATAGCAGCTAAGTCAGAGGGATAAAAGGGGCCTATACATATACTAATAGTGAGTGACAACACATTTTCATGCCGATTGAATATATAGTGCCATGTCTTCGTCGTGCGAAACAAATGGAGCTTACCGGCGATGAAGGAGACACTCGTCAAGTAGATGCAGAAGGAGATGACGAAAAGGACGAAGACGGGTGGATGTACACGCATAGCTCACGAGGTTAGTCAGTGATTTATGGCTATTGATTCATGCACAAACCCCCCCAACTAACTTATCATTCTATGTGGAAAAATCAATAAGTGACCAAGACGATGGACGAAATTGCTCAAACAATCATGGACGATGAAGAGGAAGAAGAAAAGTTAAAGCAGAATATGGAAGCGCTGAATCTGGATAGAGAGAAACAAGTGCCATTGGATGAGATTCCGGATATGGACGACATTCCGGATATTGAAGATGATCTAGTCGTTGAGGAGGATGACCCGGTGAGTTTGTGTGTGAGAGATTAAAGGATCAAGATTAATAGAGACGATGAGAGAAAAAGTGAAGAAAGGAAGAGATCACACTACTTTGAATCGGTTTGCACCCTCCCACATCATACCCGTGACTGACGGTGCATGATTTTGCATAGGCTATTGCGCAAGGACCACAAGACGATGCTAAACCGGGTGATAAGTGAGTCCCATTTTTTGTTGTTTTCGTTGTTGTGTGTGTATGTGTGTAAAGCGCCTGCTAGACTCACACATCCTCCTTTTTGTTTTTATTAAGTGACAAGATTCTTCAAGTGCGCACCTATGACGTATTCATCACATATGACAAGTATTACCAGACTCCAAGAATGTGGTTGTTTGGCTACGATGAGGTACAAAAAGCCTGTTGTTGTCAGTGTTGTTGTTGTTGTTGCCGTTTCACGTGAATTCATACTTTAATCTTACACGTATTATTCAAAAAAGCAACGTCGTCCCTTGCCATCCAGTCGTGTGTTTGAAGATGTCGCGCAAGACTATGTTAAAAAGACAGTGACGATTGACACACATCCACATTTGAATATGAACCTTGCATCGATCCATCCTTGCAAGCACGCCGAAGTGATGCAAAAGATCATTGAGCGTATGGGAGACGGTGTCTCGGCAGGGTTAGCCGAAAAGGGCCAAGAAACTGGCATACGCGTAGATCAGTAAGTCATACAAGCACAACGGGAGGAGAGGGCGTCATCGCGCATAGATATAAGCGTATTTTTATAGAAAAGAACACATGAAGATGATCTTTTTGGAGGGAAACGATGGACTTACAGAAAACCCACGTAGATACCTTGTCATTTTCTTAAAGTTCATGAGCTCCGTCGTTCCGACTATCGACTACGATCATACCATAAGCGCGTAATAATTGCCGATGTTTTAAATAAATAAAGTGGTGTTTTATATCTGAGTTGTACACAAGCCATGTCCTATGAGAAAGGTCTGTTTTCTGTTGCCTGGACCATCACAGAGCTTATCACTGCTTACTTGCTATTCTGACGAACACCTTTCGTTTTCCATTGATACAAACTTTGGTAGGCATACTAAACTAGACTTTTTTATAATAAGAGGATAGAGAGATATAAAAATGACAAACTTTCGTGGAATAAGCACTTATTACAGTATAAATATTTAGATGATGATCATGGGGGGGGGGAAAGACAAAAGAATACATGCAGATACTATTTACAATGAAGCGAGAGAACAAAGAAGAAGATGGGTTTTTGTGTTGTGTGTGACGGATATAGAGAGATGGATGGAGGTTTCTTTAAGAGGGCGTATGAAGGGTGAATGCATAAGAGGAAAAAGAAATACGTTACTCTTCTCATGAAGCAGCCAAGGATTCTGGGCTGCAACCATCGTTGAGAACTTGATGGATTGTCCTTTTGAGTGCGTTTACGGCAATAGGCTTACTGACACAGCCATTCTAGTGATACACAAGCGGAGGTTAGTGTAAGCCAAGACCCAATTCAGCAAGCATCATAACATCGCACCAGGAACTTACCATGCCTACTTTGGCAAATGCACGCTTCCAATCGGCGGTATCATTGGTAGTTACCGCCACAATGGGGATGGTTCGATTTTGTAAGAGGATGTCGTACTCTGTCGAGCTCCGGATATGTCTTGCGGTATCTACACCGCTGAGCACTGGCATGTCAATATCAAGCAAAACAAGGTCGAACGCATGGTCATGCAGCACCTCGAGCGCTTTGAGTCCGCTCTTGACAAGTTCGATGTGATGGATCGTATCGGACATGTGCATGCGCAACACTCTGGACAGGACTTGCAGGTTGACGTTATTGTCGTCGACCAAAAGCACCTTGACTCGGCCAGTAATAGCAGGCTGATGATGAGTGCGCGGCATCGGTGGTGGTAATCTTGTACGACGCAATGGTAATATCATATCGCACGAATCAACGCTCTTTGCTGCTGTTGTGGTAGTGGTGGTGGTGTCAGCAGTAGTGGTACTGCTGGTGCTGGTGGCAATGCTATCCAAGGGAACGGGGGGCGTTGCCAAGGGAGGACTGAGCGGCGACGATGCTGCCGAGGAAGGCGACAAGAGGGGAGGCGGCATCATCATCAGGCTGTTTGCTGCAGCGGCTGCTGCCTCTTCGAAGGTTGTGGTGGTTGAGAGTGGTGATGGTGGTAATACGTACGAGTAGCGTGCTCGACTGTTGCTATTATTGCTGTTGATGTTTTGCGATGGACGACGTCTATGGTGGTATTGCTTTCTTGGCGACGGTGCTGAGGGCGATTCATCCGAGGTAGAGTGTCGTCGATGGTGGTGCGGGTGGAATAAGGAGGAGCCCGTCGAGGCTCTCCGGCCATTGTAGCCAAAATAATCCAACGTGAATAGGTAGCGTTTGTTACAACGTGTAATAAGAGGGGGAAGAAGCGGCGGAGGCTTCGATTCAACAAAGAGAAAAACGGAATAGGATAGAATGGAGGAAAGAAATGAAAAGGGAAACGGGAACGGACGTGGAGCAGCCGTGCTCTTTTTATACGTTTCCCATGCGTCCTCCCCAATGGGCCTCATTCCATTTTGGGGGGGGAGGGGGGGTCGAGCAAGTATCCATGGAAGCAGGCCCCCCCCCAGGAACTGCTGCTGTTGTTGCTGTTGGGGGGGGGAAGAGGGGAAGAGCTGACGGCACACACACGCCTTACATGGCCCGCATCGTGTCCCTTCTGGACCCATCACTTTTCATAATAAAATTTTTTTTAATCAATCAGTCGCGCTGCTCCCCCTGTTCTGGATCTCCATGGCAATCCATGAAGGCAGAATAAAGGTCGCTGTTGTTGTTGTTGTCCCTATGACACTGCGCATGCCATTGATTCCCAGGCCTTTCCTTCAATACTTGCTAGCCCCCCCCATGATTTGATCAAGTTTCTCATGGGGCTCAAGTATTCTTCTGTGGGTCATTGCATGATCGAAATGCAAAAATGTAAGACCACCCGAGGACAGAGGCAAAGAGTCTTGCGGGAAAATGCTACTGGCTGACAAATTCTTAAAATGAATTGTTTATATAGCGTATTTGTGCGTTTGTGTGCGTGAGTAAAGAGGCCTTCCACAAAAAGGTCTCGGAAGAATCCGTTGCCCGTTCCACTGTATGCAAATACGCGATATGAAATGGCTTCTTTTTCCATCAGCGAACCAGTCGGCTATGTAGGAGTAGAGATGTGCATTTCCTTCTATGCAAGTCGGCCGAGTGCAGAGGATGAGAGAAAAAGTGTCTTGACAAATCAACCATACCGCTAGACCATGAATGGCTACTCGGCTTTTTCCACAGCGTGAAAAAGGATTGGCCGTGCGTACATTGTATCGCAAGGAAAGGGGGAACACCCATCCACATCCATGTGCGCATATCTACAAATCGCCGGGAAGGAGGGGGGGGGGTAGTGCCAGTAAAGGCCCAGACCCAGATTGTCAGGCGGTACACACACAACACACACACCATCCGCGGGCCTTTTTTTGTTTTCGGCGCTTGGGCTCGGATCCTTGTGCAACCGCCAGTCTCAGCACCAAACAGAGAGGGAAATCTGTTGGTGCATGAGCCCTTCTATTTTCGAATAAAAAGGGACAAAATCCTCTTTATGCTATTCGTTCCTTTAAGCCCTTCATAGCTGGCTAGTTAGTCGCTTATAGCACATGCTTTGAAGTTAAAGGACAAAAAGAGATCGTGCCAAGGTGCCAATGAAAAATTTGGTTGCGGAGCTGCTGCTACTACCACTGCTATCACACCGCCTTCTTTTTCGTTGGTAACAAAGAAGAGGTCTCTCCCGAGGAACTCAATTCTTGTTTGTTTGTATATCAAAAAAAAGGGGAGGTTGGGAGTCTAAGCTATTTAGAAAAGAATGTTGAGCAGCCGAGTTGGACGGGACTGCAGGCGTGCGTGCATGCAATAACAACAACAACGCATCTACCAACGGAACAAAGGTCACCCCGTCCTTGTTCCTAGCTTCCTCATGATGAGTATGCACACTTTACCACGATCACTGCATACATTGCACCGTGTGATATCAAGGTATACACTTATTTTGGGGGTCTGAGAGAGAATGGTCCGCTGATAGAAAAGAAAAGCAAGACGCGTAGCTTTTTACCCGTTTTTTGACGTCTACTTAGCTTGATGACACGAGGATCTAGAAAAGTATATATACTGAGCAATGCAAACAAACAGTAAACAGTGCACCGCAGTAATCAATAAACAACGCTTTCCTATAACAGATGCTTTCTCCTTTCTCGCATAACAGTTCAAAGAGAAACAGCTTACAGTAATTAGCAGATCATCACTATCTCCTCAGATTACTACTGCTTTTCTTCCTGCATGATACAGAGTGTTCCGTCAATTACATAGGGAAACCTTTAACAAGGCTCTTAGAGCACTTTGAGAAAGGTGTCTTACGACGTTACATCATAGACGCTGGTACTAGTGTCATGTTACAATGATCCAGATAACCGGGATAACACGATGACACCACATGAAAACAAAGGATGAACGCGAAAAGATCAATGGCGCTAACAGGTCTCTTTTGAGTAAAGGGAAATTTAAGACATAGGAAGTAGGCTAAATTCAAGCTGTACATATATACGAGCACTGGACCTCGCTCCATTAGAATAGCTTATCAGCATCAACTGTAAAGCGCAGTACTCATAGTACGTCCTTCCACCTGGTCACTGGATTAAAAGTTAATCCCCATGAGCACACTATTCTATGAAAGCATAATGACAATGACGAGAGAATTTAGCAATCTTGGCAAACTATTAAAGTACTACTAATTATTAGTTAATATGACGGCAGAACAAGTAGTAGCCGATGTCGAGGCAATCCAACATATGACGAGGATAATGTCATGGGTACATCCACATTACTGTGGATCGATCGATCCAGCATACATGCATACATCATCTTACCTATCATCCATTTCGCACGAAAGGTTGACGACAGGCTAAGCAGAATCCGCAAGTGTTTGCCAATCACACCCTATCATCATCAAACGCTGTTCTTTACATTTGCCGTAAACAAGAGTTCATCATTGATACCATTTCATTTTGGAAAACTGTGTAGTGTGTTTCTTGAGAGAAATTTATACACCATGTTATCACAATTACTAGTTCGATTCAAAGCTTGCGCTATTTACAAGTACGCAGCACTAATACCGCAAAGGAAGCTATAAGGATGTACACTCACAACAAGTAACGATGCTGCATTGGTGATCGGGTTGCAAATTTGGGCACTCAATCCCCCCAACTTTCTTTTTTGTGTCACAACTCTTTTTTTCCAGGGGACACCCGTGATCGACATATGTGGAGTGCACGAGTTCTTTCTTTGGTTGTCTTTTTGTGTATCATGTAGTATCACTCCAGACAATGTGGTGTAAATATCAGTGTTCTCCGCAAAAGATCATAAAGGACTAGGCAGTATTAGTATATATGCTTCTTTTTATATACACATGCTCTTTTGTCTGGCTTGCCGGCGCGGAGAAAGAGAGAGGGAGATAGCAGATGATAGAATATTGTCGTTGGCGATGAGGGGAGATCAAAAGATTCAACAACTTGTAATTTGTAACAAACATTGACGCCGTAACCGTGGGCGTCGTCCCTAAACCCATTGATCATTGTTCGAAATGTTATAGTCACGAATCGATTAACGTCCACCGAAAGAGAATGGCACATGAATGCATCAAGGTTACGATAATAGTAAAGCAGCACAGCCACCCGAAATGATAATCTTGACTATTGCTAGTGCTGCAACGGCGCTCCATCATCTTCATCATCAGCAAAACATCCATCTCTAATAGATTTATTCATGTGTAACTTCGCCCCGCCGCTTCACCCAGTCATGACAAAAATAGATGCAGAAAGTTTGAGAGAGTGTGTTTTTATAGTAGCATCTTATTTACTTATTAAAATGAATTTAATGATCATGTTTATACGCTCTCTTTAATATTTGGAATTGACACCAATAAGCGTCAAACAAAGGGAGGCACCTCTCTCTATGAACTCTTACTCATAAGACGCTTTTAATATAAGGTTTAAGAAGTTGGATGTCTGTGATAGGCTTACTTTTGAAACATTACACACGTCCTCCTTAAAAATACACATACTTTGCTCATAGCCTAAAATGGTGGAAAGAGAGTTAGTAGAATTGTGTAATCCAGTCTTCTTTTTCGCTCCGCATACCAATCAACAACAAAGTTACTGCAATGATAATTGTGCATTAATACAATGGTGATGAGCGGATGTAGAGGATCAAGGTTTGGCGTGGGGATCTGGTACATGAGCATATACGAGGGAAAATGCACTAATAATGCTGTGCAACCTGTGAGCATTGATGCATCCAGAATAGAAACTTACCTTTTTTTTCCGGTAAAAGCGGTGGCGGTGACAGCGGTGACGCCTAGCGCACATGTAATAGAAGTCAAATTAGCGACCGCCAGTTTGGAATAGAAGAATGTTGTTGACGGAAAGACACCACGCATCTGTAGAGTGAGAAGAGAGAGAAATATGCAATGCGCACGCACGCACGCACATACGCAGACAAGCGCTTGGATCTTGCTTCTAATTATCAAATGGTATACTTGGTTATTTGCCACCACCGCATTATGCAGCATATTTAAGTGGAGGAAAGATGGGACGTTGGTTGATTGTACATACTGTGTTGAAGAATTATGAAGTATGATGGGCTCTACATAGATCCGATGATCGATGATCAATATAGCTTTCAAGTACCCATGATTTTTTTGACAATCTCCGTGCGATCGTTTTTGTTCCTGGGTAGTGTCTAGAAGCCTGTCCTTTTGGGCGACACAATAATATACGATAAACCCCATAAGTATATCAGTCAACATGTGTGTCACGTACAACCTACACAAATCTCGCGCTCTCTCGTAGTATATCGGCGTATTTTAAAATCTAATGTGACTTCAGGCTTCAATCATGCGGCGTGTTTTAGTGATGATGAAAAAGGTTACAGACGGAACTTGTGCACGACTCGTCAGCACGGCGGAAAGATAACCGTGTGCTACTGCAACATCAATTTTCATTAGTCCTCACATTAACAGCTTGCAATGCTGTTATATTTTTTGTGGCCTGTATACCGTGCAAGATAAACACTAGAGAATTCAACGACAGAAAAAGCCTGAAACCCCAGCGAGACCAACGGTCGCGGCCGGCAATGACGTGTCAGGCAACATAGAAGAAAGCCTGCAACAGCTATTCCCTTATGCGTCACCCTAGGCCAAACATTATGTACGTACACGTATGCCAGTCAATTCTTTAGAAAAAGTCCTGATCATTGAAAAATTACAACCATATCGATACCAGATATGTACCAGTTGATAATACATTGAATCTTATAGATTGATAGTTACTATATACTAAATAGATAATGTCGGGTAATTGTAATAGCTATTATATACTACTGATACGGTCTCTTATTATGTGGTATATATTTCATAATATGAGCCGGTGGTTTGCTCTATTACTCGTGTCTTGTCTCTTATGCAACTGGAATCGCAGGATTTCATACCGCTCATAAGCTCAGTAATTCAATTGTCTTTCCCTCTCAGCTCCATCATGACATATTACAGTAATAAAAGAGGATTGTGCCACTTCCTCCTCCACTATAACAGTGACTACACTCATACGTTGCTACTATTTTAAGTATCAGAATTAGTATGTATAGCATTTGGGAGGTCTCAATTGGGAAAAAGAAGGATTCTCAGTAGTGCTCAGACCTTAAGCAGAATTTCTTGATTGAAGTGATACAAAAAAACAAGTTTGTTGGTGTAAAAGACATGGATCTGTGCGAGTACATCATTAAGAATGCTCCGCACATGTGCTATGTTGATGTGCGCGCTTTTTCATATAATTATATTTACGTAAGTGTAAAAAAATGCGGATTACATTTATAGTAGCTTCACACGGCGCGATTATCATAATGTACTCGTCGCTGCAAAGACACTCCGGGTTCTTGAAATTTTGGCGTAGGTGTTGACATAGTTGAAGAACATTTTGATCTTATTTTCCATAAATATGTTATAAAGGGGAAATAAAGAAGCGAAACCAGATGTTTGCCGTGATGGTCATTTCGTCGAGTCGGTATACTAAATTTACCATCATGGCTCAGCACCATCGATCCATAACCACAGTAACAATGGTCAGCTCTCCCAAATACAGGGTTTATACTGCACACTTTGAGAACAGACAATATCATATGATTATGTTTGTGCCGATGATATTATTACTAGAGGAGGGGTAATGCACATCATACTGCATCGCCGGTACCCCCCTCACACACATATTTTATTTATTTATAGTATGCTAATATCTTCGGCTGTGATCATCCCGCTGACGACCTCCCGGATGTTCTATCACTGGTGAGTTTACCACTCTCTCTCACGACATATGGTGTGTGGGTGTAAAATCTATGTTGACCTATATCCATATTTTACTGTTGCATGCAAGTTTTGCCGATTATAGGATAAGCAACAACTGTTGAAGCGACCGCCCAGATTTAGGAAGCAGTATAGCACGAGGTCCGTGTGCCGCATTATTGTATTCATGCGAGGAATGCGGCAAAGGCGACTATTGCATAATAGCGTTAAAAACAAATCTCTGGCCGTCTCACGTATACGTGTAGCCCTTGAGAATTCATTGTCAATGGAAAGAAAGGTAGCGAATAGAATAGAAATCATAGCTGCTATTGAGAAGAAAGAAAGAACCTAGAAGCTAAGCCTAACTTATTGAATGAGGAAACGAGAAGGAAATAAAGACACCCTAACCGAGAAGAAATGTTATTTCTTTAGGAAGTACTTTCTTGTCGTATCATATGACCTTGGCTTACCTTTTTCTGATACATAGCATCAATTGAAAGATTTACTGTCTACAGCATTTCCCCCCCCCCAAGGTAGAGTATACAAGACGAAAGAGGTAATGTCTGCTTTGATCTTTCGAAAAGGAGATACCCCATCGTGCTCAAACTTCAAAAAGGAAAGTACATACCCAACAGTCGTTGGTGTTGGGATCTTTTTACTCTCTCACGATACATATAATTTCAATGCGTAATTCATTGCTTAGATTCATTATGCGTTCCACCATTTCCTTAGCTCACTTTTACTTCCTTGTGTAAGGGTCATGGGGTCGATATGGCAGCAGGTACGATAATCATGAATAATCAATGCTGCACCTTTTTGTCCCAAAAACTCTGCGTGTACTGTTAAAGTGCTGATCATAGTTTGTCGTTTTTAAATTTAAAAGGGTTGGGTATTATATTACACGTTGTTCTCGTATAGTGTGTTCCGACTTCGTTTCAAGTAGGAAGATGAGGGTATTTAAGCAATAACTTGTTGACGCTACACTCAGCTCAGACATTGAGGCATCAGTGTGCGCTACATCCATGACGATGTGCGGTGCATTCAAAGTACGAGCCAAACTGTCCCTCCTGATTAACTGTGCTCTTTGTTTAGCAGTTGATAAAGATGAATGAACTTATCTGTGGTCAAGGTCGATCAAGCTCAAAACGAAACATCGTCTTGGGTCAGTGAAGAAATCTCTAATGGATCGGAAGGACATTTTATTATCTCTCCAAGTCGGTAAAAGAGCTGTTTCATCGTTCGTGTTTACAATCATCAGTGTAACGAGAATCGCTATCGGGACTCATAACGTACGCAGTGAAACAAATGCACATCCCAGTAATTAATTTTTTAACGTCGATCCCAGCTGCTACTGGCTGGTAATATTCGCCCGTGCGCTGTTGGTGGGTGTAGAGGGGAGGGGGGTGTGCGACCAGCAAGTCAAAATGCCCGCACTAGCAAACGGTGCATCCATACTTATCTCGAATCCAACCATCCTATTCTTTATAACTACACGCCCGTTTTAAACGCATAAACCAACTGTCCGTGTACGCCGCAATGTCCTCACCTACCAGCGGATCCGCTGATGCCGCTCATGTCGAAAAGTAAAAAGAAAAAATGACCGAATTTAAAAAAGAAACCGCAACAACCCCCGCTGACACACCACATACCCAATTCTCACACTAGATCGCTCGACCTGCCACGCAGTAAGAAACGGTCAAAAAATCTTGCTAGGGAGCTTCAGTTCCTCGTTGACAACAACGGCAAACGAGGTAACACACATTTGATCTTGACGAAATTTCCGGCGAAATTAACTACACTGGACTGACTTGTGTGGATGTGTGGGGGCCACTCTGCATAATTGTAATTTCCACTAGCCAAACGTGATCAACCAAAGTGTCCCATATGCCAAGTACGAATCGATCCTGCACAGTGGGACGAACATTATAAACTTGAATTGTCACGGCTTGAAAAAGTCCAGTCCGATGCATATGAAGATCCCTTGGACAAAAGGTTATTTCACAAAAGTTATATTTTTTGAAATTAGGGTCTTTCTCACTGACAACTTATATGCATATCTAGCAAAGGAAAGAGACGTGGTGCCGCAGTTGTAGCTAGACAACAGATGGAGCGATCAAGTGGGCGAAAGAAAACCCTTTCAGTATACGAAGAAGCTTTGGAAAAAATCCAGAAAAATCGAAACCACCGTAAAGAAGCTCTACGACGAATAGACGGTAGTCAGGATCAGCATCCGTCAGACACACTAATACAAGACGACCATTCATTGGCACTAAGTCAAGGTGGGATAATTGTAAACAACATCTATTACTGGGATTTCTGTTAATCCATAGTTAAATTCCTTTTGCTGAAATTTTTCTCTTATAAAACAGCATTACTAGAAGGTGGCGACGATGTTCAAACATGCTTCATCTGCAACGAAACGCTTCATGGCGATTTGGAAGCAATTAATCTCCATATCGACAGTTGCCTAGCCAACATGAATAGCACCGGCTCATCAGCTACAACGCCAGATGTCACAGAGCCAAGCGGTGGTAGTGGCAGCAATTCATGGGACGAGTATGAATGGGCAGGGCAGACACGTGTCCGAGCAACAGCCATGATGGATGGAGGCTACGGTGGCGCAGGTTTCGCCACGACGAGCAAACGAGAAGAGGACGAAGATGTAGACGAAGACCTGGATGTAGAAGATGATGATGCAGACCAGTATGGACAGACACAATACACAGAGCGAGATATTTATGCCACCGACGAAACCGAGGACGTATCTGCATTACGCGAAATGGTTTCTGGCGGTGGAGGCTCCGGTAGCAGTGCACGGCAGACGACACCTTCGTACGTATATATGAATTGACCTCGCATATACATATAAACGTGATAGCTAATTTCTTACACAATACATCGCGTTGTAGTGTGGATTCTCCACGCAGTGGATTTGAAGAAACGGTATCAGATGAAGGCTGGCAGCGCTCAATTCTGTCGTCTAGTGAGCAACATCAAGTGCCAGGATCTGGTCACTCTCGGTTGGTCATTGAATCGCTAAAATCCCGTATTCATCAACTGGAAGTCGTCTCACGCTCGGCACCTCGTTGTCTAATTTGTTTGGAGCCCTACAAAACACCTCTCACGTCCATTGTATGTTGGCATGTTCACTGTGAACAATGTTGGCTTCAAACGCTTGGTTCCAAAAAGCTTTGCCCTCAATGTCAAAAGATTACCACACCCGCCGATTTAAGGCGCATTTACCTGTAAAATCCTTCCGCCATCCATATCGCATCATCTCATCTTCTATCTCTCTATCACATCACCTCTTTCTTTCCGACCACCATTCTCATCTTATATACTGCACTTGTATTTACTTCTTTCCGCTTGTAATATAAAACCATATTTCTCTTTATGTTAAAATGATGTGTAGTGTGTAATTACTTTGTGAAGTTGCTCATCCACCACTACTACTGTTGGTGCTGGTGCTGGTGCTGCTGAGATGATGATGATGATGCTGAACCATAAAGGGGCATAGGTTCTAATGGACGTATGTACTATATAGCTAGCTTTACACATCGACAGCTTTTGATATAATGTGCAGAGTGTGAAAAATGGTTAATGCTCAAACATAGTACTACATGTAAAACATGGTCAGCTAAAAAAATCAAACAGGCTTTGTCATTTCACATGTGTCAACAGCCTTGCAGTGATCCTCTTCCTTGCTAATGTCTGGAAAATACTGTAAAACAATTGTCGACAATGTGGTCTTATCAGCATCAATCGGACAATGATCGGACTGTATCCCATACAATATCACATGTTCAACGTCAGTTTGTAGTTTTCTTCTGTCAGATCGAAATATATGACTGCTATCTCCTATGTTGGGCACCATGCCACCAACAAAGGATATTTTATATTTTAAGCGGTATAAAATGGCTTAGAAGAAAGAGTTGCGGGTTGGCGAAAAGGGATTATTTAGCTCTATTATGTACTTTGCTTTCACGATGTCCAGGTATTTAAGTAGCATATTGCAAGCTCCCAGTGACGATTTCTTTGGTATGAACCGCTTGGGTTTTGGTGGTATAACTTTGGCCGTCCACGCAATCCTGTTTACATCCGTGATCGCTCGCTTCTACTTGTTACTAGTAATGCTCGTACAGGTTAAATTCATGGACCTTCCGTTATTCATCTCTTCGAAAATATGAAAATGCACAGCATCCTTCCTTTACTGAGAAGCCTGAATCATCTTCATATAGAAACTCATATAGCACATATCACTTTAAGCTTCAATCACATGTCGATGGATAAGGCTGACTTGATCCACTACCGCTGCTACTGCATCTACCATGTGCTGATATACACATTCAGGAATATTGTAATGAGAAACAATTGCTTACAATGAGAAAACATAACAAAGATAAAGGTTAAATATATATACTGTATGGTATACTCAATATTTAAATGATTATGGGAGAAATTGTGAAAAGGGATAGAAGGAACAATCAATCTATCTATTAAAATGATTGTGATGATGGGGTGCTATGAATCCCAACTTTTTCTTTATTGTATTCACCACTATAGTTACTGATTTTGTTCTTCATCGATCCGAGCTGATTTTACATCCTCTTTCACCATGTCCTATTGTCAAGAAAGATAATAAGTACCAAAAAGAACTCTGCCTTCATTTCCATGGATTAGTGGGCCTATAAATAGCTTACTTCATCTTCAGCCTTGCGCTTTATGCCCTGACTAGACTCTGCCATCTCAGTATCTTCTGGCTCGTCAGAACCAACCAATGTTCCACTCTTGACAGCGTCTGCATGGCAGGTTGCGTGGTATATCTAATTCGCGAATTACAGTATAGAAGGTTAGATCTAGTTGTCTTATCACATCTTAGAAGCCACGAAAATGAAGGACAACAAAACTTACCGTATCATCGACCATCACTGCATTTTTGTACATCCATTCCTCTTCATCGTCATTCCAGAAATCGACGAACCGCTCTCCACAGATAGGACAAGGTTTTCTATTTTCATCATTGGGCATGACGACCATATGGCTTTCGGGATTCACTGTATCAGTTGTTCCGCCGGCGGATGGCGATGCCATATTCACTTCATTTGCAGTACTATCCGTCAAGAACGCCGGTGCTAAGTGAAACGAAAATACATATACACACATATATCAATCTTCTCTCCTTTGATAGATAAAAGCTTCCGTCCCTATCCTACACTCCACACTTGGTTTTTTAAATTGCATTACCTTGATGGCTTGTCAATTCACCGCCTGACCCACTGATCCATTCTTCTTCAGTGACAAACCATGATCTTGACAATCCCCGCTTGACACGTTCTTTCATACGCCGGTTCTGCCGGAAATGAGAGTCCAAATGCGCATCCATCTTGTTCTGGCCTTCGGGAGTTTTTGGATATCGGAAACCACATTGCTTGCACTGTAGCGGCAGACCCGAATACAGCAACTCAACTGCGCCGGGACGTACACTTTTTTTTTTGTTTTTGCGGGCGGGGTGGGTTTGGTTTTTTGGTTTTATAACAATCACACAAAAGAAAGAAAAGGAAAAAAAATGAATCAATGAGCTAAATGTATCAGCATAGGCAGCAGCAGTTATAGTAGCAGTGATAGTAGTGATAGAAATAGTTGAAATAAAACTAGTAGAAATAGCAGTAAAAGATTCTCTAGATAATACACACATTTGTAGATCTTTGCTTTCCAGTCGGAAAGCACCGAGTTCTTTTAATGCAGCCGATGGACCTTTGTCAGAGATTAAACCCGCACCACTAGAACCACCACTGGCAGCAGCAGTAGCAGAAGCAGCAGCAGCAGCAGCACGGGAGCCCATAGCGGCATTATCACTGGCGGTATTATTACCAGTAGTTGTTGCTGCTGTCGTTGGTGGTGGCGTAGCAGAATTGCCGCCACTGCTCAAGATACCCATCGATGTCAATCCTTGTAAAAGCTCAGCTGTGTTTATCGGTAGAGCAGCGGGTGGCTGTGGCTGCGGTGCTGCTACTGCCTGTGGTGGTACGGGTGATGGTACTGGTAGTGGTTGTGCTGTGGTTACAGGTGGTGCGGGTGCTCTGTAAACCGGTGGTGAATGGGCTAATCGGGTTATATTACCTACTATAGATGTTGCCGGTGCCGGAGGGGGTGCTATCACCGGAGGCGTGCTGGCGACGACAGGTGGGCTAACAGGTGGCATCGAGAATGGAAGGTTGTTAAGCATGTTACCGATCGTGGCTTGGCTCAGGGCAGCGTTGCTGCCGAGTATTTGATTGAGAAATTCTTGTATAGCGCCGGACTGGTCGGGTGGTAATGAAGGAAGGATGGATTGGATCTATTGAATCGAGTATGTGTATACATTAGACCTTTTTTTTCCTTAATAGCTCCAGGACTATCTTGGAGCTGTGTTACCTGTGAAACCAATTGTGCAACAGGATCTGATGTTCCTTTGTCACTATTGGCGCCTGCAGTGGCGGGTGCAGTAATATTCATGACTTGCGACGAGGAGGGTGGAGGTAACATTGACTGCAAAGTTGACAGAATGTCGTTGGTAGGAGCCTCTAACGATGGAGACTAGTGCAAAATTTCATTGTCAATGTCATCAAGTGGGAGTTTCACACGTGCAAACACAACAGAAAGCCGAAATAAAGGGGTCAATGGTCTCAATAATCAAATAGAGCTTACTTGTGTAGGAGCCGGTGGTTGCGATACCGGAGGCATTGGTCTCGACTGACGTTCTTGAGGCGAGTACGTGCTTCGACTACGCGGATCTCTTGGATCGCGCTATAAGGGAATCCCAGTTTAACAATGGACGAACGGGAGTCCTCATGTCGAATGGAGCAGTAATAATTTTTCCATGTGCTTACCTTGGGAACGAAATTTGGATTGACATGAATCTGTTGGTTGCGTGGCGACGCAGCTTGTTGCTGGGGCGATTGTGCGAATCTTGGTTGCTGATACTGCTGTGCTTGATGGTTATGCTGTTGTTGAGGACGAGGATAATGTTGTTGATGCGGATGTGGACGTTGTTGTTGTTGTTGATGCTGCTGCTGTTGTGTTTGATTTCTTGAGCGTATGTAGTTAAGCGGGCGTTCGATGGATTCGATGATCTGTCTAGAGAATACAGGCGCACCGTTTGGCATCCCGCTCTTCCAGGTTTGCAATAGGCGTTCGAAGCTTCGACGGGTGTTTGGATCGGTGACGGTGTACGCATCCAGGAAAGTGGAGGCAATGTCGCGTGCAAAGTACTCGATGTAAACACCTCCCACATTCTTACAGATCGAGTCAATTAAATACAGTACAGGAAGTTTTTGACCGGATGCATTCTGGAGTAGAAAAAGAAAGAAAGAGAGAAGATGTATAAACAGGCATCGATTAATATATCATCTCATCGTATTATCTTTTACCATGGATGTGCGGCATAAAATGCAACAAGAACCATCCCCTTTCGCGTGCCCCCATTAGCAGAAAAAATAGTTCTTCTCTGGGTATTGTTTTTTCTTTTGTTTTGTGAATTATAGTGTTATAGTGGAAAGGTTATGTAAAGAAGAAGGGAGAGGGAGAGGAAAGAGGGGGGATGATGACCATGGAATAAAGAAAAATGGTGCTCTGGAGTGTTGCTTCTTTTCTATCTTCTTTATTATATCTGTCATGAGGTCCCTCCAAGGGGGAAGAGCGAGAGATCGCTTCTTTCCCCCAAAAAACAGCAGACAACTGCGAGAAATATATAACAGCCCCCAAAAACAAACGATAATAATACTCTTTTTTGATTTTTTGTTGCATTCCAAAGAAAAAAAACCTCCATTGCACATAATAAAAGAGAAAGGTCTATAATAGTGGTCATTTTGCAACTTACATGTCTAATTTGTTGTTCAATCTCCCGTACAATCGCTCCGGCAGCGTATTGATTCTCTTGGGCCATGATGGTTAAGTTGGTGATGATTGGCTTGCTATTGAACGTAAGCTCGTACAAGGCTTCGCGGTAATTCCGTCTCACCGTCTCAACGTCTTCAGGTCCTCCTTGTCCTTGCGCATATCCTTGTGGTTGTCGTTGACCCAGTGATTGATTCATTCCAGCCATTGGGACGTTGTTTTGTATAGACATGATATTTTGGTGATTGCAAAAGGGAAAAAAGTTGTTTCACCAGTAATAAAAGATAGATCGTGCGAGGGTACTTTTTCTTTCTTCCTTTTTAATTCTCTTGATCTAAAAAGTATCCTTATGAATGATTCACTGTGTTGTGATTATACCTCCTTGGCGTAGGGCTTTCGTTGTATGGTTTGAAAAAAAAAAGAGAGAAAGAGAGAGAGAGAGAGAGAAAGGACAATAATACTGTTAGGTGAGTCGGTCACGTTTTGTTTTTGCGTCACCTTTTTTCAAATGGATGAGGCGGGCTGTAACACAAGAATAAAAGACCCCCAAGAGCCGCAGAGGTTCAACACCGCTAACTTTCTCTTTTTTTTGTTTCTCCTTCTTGTCAGTTGTCAGCTGCATTCCACACTTTTAAGCCATGTTAGTAGTTCATTACTTTGAATACCAAAAAGAAAATACACTGGATGGGGTCGCGCACTGTTTGCTTTGGCACAATTCATTGGCGATTATTAACTAACGGGATTTCATATATACCAGGTCCGAGCCTTATGATCCCTATATCCCGAACAGCCAGCGCACCGGCCAGGACGCGGCGGCTCCTAACAACAAGATTTCCCATGTCCAGGCTCAAGTCGATGAAGTCACAACCATTATGCAAGAGAACATTGACAAGGCCATGCAACGAGGTGAACGCATGGATGATCTGCGCGGCAAAACTGGTAACTCTTTTTATGTTGTTCACCCGGAGAAACTGAGAGAAGATGGAATTGATAATTAAGCCGAATCTCCCCCCTGCCCTCCTCCTCTGCCTCTCACTGTAAATTAATCTCTTTTTTACGTACTCTAACCAAATGATCTCTGATATGTAGAGGATTTACAAGCAACTGCTGGCCATTTCCGCCGAGGAGCAAATCAAGTTCGTAAGCGAATGTGGTGGAAGGACCTCAAGTGGAAAATTATCATTGCCGTGACCATTTTGGTTATTCTTGGCATTATCATTGGTATGTCCTTTTCCTCTATATCAAACAAAAAAGTGGTATTTGGACAAAGGAGGGAGGGGGAATAGATAGCATGGTAGTTAACTTGACTTTAATTCTCTTCTTGGCTTTACCATTTGTACAGGATCCATTGTTGGCACTCAGGCAAGTAAATGAATGGAGAGGATGAAGGGAAATCTGATTGGTTGATACTAACTTGACATGAAATTGCTATCTATAGACCAATAACAACTAGAAAGAAGCGTCAACGAAAAACTAGCACGCCTCATTTACGCACCATTACGTACCAAGAAGAGCCCTATTCGACCAGCAAAAGTGGCTCAGCCAATTGTCTTTTTATATTCTTTTTTCATTATGCTATGTCTCCTTACTATTTTTACCTTTACAAACTGTATACCACACAACTGAATAGGAATTGCATCATCCCCCTCCTCCTCTCAGACGTACACTGGCTATTCCTTCTTTGTGCAGTAATCTTTTACCTTCAATCTTAACATGTAGTAAAACTCTTCAAGTCTCTTCCACTAATCATATTTGTGATCCTGGAGTTCATTCCGTTGTTCATGTGTGCTCTGTGTATAAATGAGCGTACTCAGGGCAACAAAGTACTAGGTTACAAAATCCTTGGATATCACAAGTAGTGTGGCCGCGACTCACCTAGTTTTTTTGCAGATTATCTTGTTAGTCCGTAAGATGTCATGGCGACAATGGGTTTTAAGTTTGCTGCAAACTTCAACGGCTGCCATGGACGACATAGAGTCCAAAATCATGAGATCAAACTATCAATTAATTGGTTTCAAAGATTCACTTATATTAAATTCGCCTTACTTCAAATGACAGATACTAACTTCTTCCGGTTATAAAGTTTATGCACGTCAAAAGAAATATCTTCGTCTTTCCAGTATTCAATTGATATAAAGGAGCTGTCTGACAATGCACACAAGCTACTACATATATGCGTGTTCACGGCTCTGGTGTGCGCTAATAGCTAGAGAACGGCCATCAAGATACCTTTTTGTTATATCGTTTACAGACGAAAAGGCGCCATTATTCATACGAATTTCATACAATGTGGTTTCTTATACGGTATTAGTCTGCAAGTGCGAGCCTGGACACATTTCATTAAGTCCATTATACTCCTTTACAGCTATCACCTTTATGTTGTGTAGCGAGATACAAAAGACTACCTTCTCATGACTTAAAGCAGCATACTAGTATTTATACGACATTTGCAAACTGATACGGTGCTTTTGCCTTTATTTAATTATTCAGTTGACCAACATTGTAAGGAGTGCGTCACCGTATGTAATATGGGCGCCTAAATGAAGGCGGGTGGGGATTTGACCGAGTCTTTTAACTTACGATGATGGGTTATTTTTCAGCTACTATACATCGACAAAATGCAGTAAGGACCCAAATGAGAGTTAGCTCCAGCCATGCCAAATCATCCCGTATACACAGCAGAAAAAAACTCACCATCTCCAAAGTCTATAATATATTCAAGATAGCCATACATCAAGCTTTAGCATTTGGAATACAGTACAAGATATACTATCAATGATACAAAGATCGTTATTCTTACTGCTACCACTACATGATTACTCTATTGCAAACCTTACATGCATACAACTCTTATCATTCTGTTCAAGTGGCCCATCTTGTGATGACTGTTTTCTAATACCCACCTAGTACTAGTAGTAAAAGTTAGTAATAATTAGTACATGATACCAAGGAGTTAATAACAAACAAATGTTAGTATGCTAATAACAGCGCTCTATTGTGGAGAGAGAGAGAGAGAGGCGTTGTTTCTTTTTGTAATGCTCCAATGCCTCCAATACGAGCTAGACTATATCGGCAGACAAAACAGGAGCACGGTTTTAGTGCGCAAACATGGGCAAAAAAATACCAGTTTTGCGATCGGCTACATACTATCTAGTGTATACATAATGTATACGGTGAGAAACCGAGAGAAATAAGAGAGAGAGAGAGAGCGAGTCCAATTCGCACGCCAGGATGATGTATGTAGCACCCGTTATACATTGTCATATGTGTGTGTATAATCAATGCAAAGCTTCGTGCTAGATCAGATATAAAATAAAGTGACACTCCCGTCCCCATTATCTCATGATCGGTTGAATGCACAAGAGATGGATTATACTTTGAAAAGCGGAAAACAATAAGTGAAGGGAAGAGAGGAGATACACAGTACATAAAATACCACATGAGAGAGAAAGAAAAAAGAAAGGCTGTGTAGAGGGAGGGGTGGGGATGGTGTGGTGAGTCTTGAGAGAGGAGTGGGGGGGGAGGAGATGTGTGTTGTGTGAGTAAGTAAAGTAGAAGATGCAAATGTTGTAAGAGATAGAGGCTGGGGGTGCTGGATAAAACGAAATGGTCCAAATGATGGTGCGTTATGTTGCATGGGTTATTGAATGATAAGTTAGTTTCAATTGCTGGTGGTAATGTGTGTGTGTGGTGAGTGCGAGCGTGAGTTAATAGTAGCAGTAGTGGTGGTGGTGGTAGTAGTAATAGTCGGATCGTGTGTGCGGTTATTGAGGGTAAAGGGGTTTCTTTGTGAATGATGGAGGTGTTGCTGTTGTCTGTAAGAGATGTCAAATGGAAAAGAAAGGCCTGATCATAAAAGGTCCCCATCCTCGGATATCTGTCGTTCCATGCTCTCGTGACGCAAGTTGTATGCTTCGGCCAAAGTCTGATGGCATAGAAAGTTACATGTGGGTCAGTGGAAAATGATCAGGTCATGATGATGAGTACACACCCCCATTCTCTTTCTTTTTTACTCGGTAACTTACCCGTTGCATATCCAGGTAAGGCAAGCGGAGCAGCATAGTCCTGATCTCCGACTGTTCCAGATCCTCTAGGTTCTCTCTGGCGTTCCGTAGAATCGCTGAATAATCAGGTTTGATAAATGAGTACCGTTACATACAAAATACAAGTATCATCGTCCGTTTCTTAAGCTTACCCAGACATACAAACGGATGGAACTCCAGAAAGTCGGGCATTGCAAAGTACGTGTCTGGTTGGATGCAGGAAAGAGGATCCTCTTTTAGTTACTCACCTCATACAGTAGATGCTAATATATACAAGTTTGGATACATACCCCATAGCCTCACTATATCTTCAAACTTCATTTCCCGCGAAAGCAAATGCTGCAACCACGAAGTAACCCACTCATTAAGGTCCACTTCCTCCTCTTCAAAATAATTACACCTATTATACACCAACAGGGTTAGCTTGTTTGCGGTCAAACAAAAGGATGTGATTGCAAGAGTTGTACGTACAGTTCAGGCAGAACATTACGGAATAGGGTCATGAAATTTGCCATGCTTTCTTTGATTGTGTTGCTGGCGTAATACTCGTCTACAAATCAAAACCACAAGGATAAGTATACCGATTAAGGATGAGAGACAGGATTCGCCTTCCCCCCCTCCTCCCACGCACATACACACACACACACACACCATCACCACCCCAACTCCCAACAGCCTTCTCCTTTTCCTAATGCATCGAGTTCTTTTCTTACCCATAGCTTGCATCAATCGCTCGAAGCAATAGTATGCGTCCCACTCTTTGTCCAGGACATAAACAAATGGCGCACACAAAGCTACCAGAGCAGGATGATACTCGGCATCACGATTTGCATTTAGATAGCCCACGATGACGTTTTCAAAGCGGTTCATGTAATGTCTCCCGTCCAACAGGGGCACTCGTCGCTGATACCGAGTTACTTCGCCACGAATGCGTTTAGAAATCTCAGGATCAGACTTATCTATTTGTTCATAGTCTTCTCTTCTTGCCTTGGACGTTGTCAGCTCTTTGGCTAAATGATTAAGCAACACATCAGTATACGAGAGATCACCTTGGCCTCACTCTTTCTATATTGGCCAGTGTGTGTGTGTGTCTCACTCTCCCAAGATCTTTCTCACTTACAGCGGTCTGCTTGTTGCACGCCTAAAAGGTATTTCCAGACCTCCTGTTACAAGTGAGAATCATCGATTGGATTAATACTTGCAGATAAGCTTTAGAGGGAGCTGTGAGTCTCAAAAGGAGGCAAAAGGATGTCAAATAGCAAAGCAGCCTTTTTTGTTTCGTTCTGATATGTGCGGGTGCTGGGACATGGGTGTGTTGTGGAAGCTTATGAAAAAGAAAATACAACACGAGCAAGAAACTCACCCCACGAAGTTCATTAGGGATGCCGTGGCGAGCCAAGATGCGTAAGCGTTCTAGATCGACATAAACCTCGGATTGAAGGAGGTCATTGTAGTCGCTGAGATTTGAAAGCGCTTCATCTTGGTTCATATTGATTCGTAGGGATCTTTCGTTTTGTCCTTGCGCGCTTCCGAATACTGTGGTATGAGGAGAGAGCTGAAGCATGTGAAGAACTTGTATCTAAGAGCGTGTGTCTTTAAGAGAGAAAAAGGAAGCTTTTCCCTAATAGTAGCAGTAGTAGAAGTAGTAGTAGTAGTAGTAGTAGAGAAGAAGAGGTATAGCTTTTGAGGTCAAAGAGAAAAGAGAGAAAAAGAAAAAGTAAAAAAAAATTGTTATGTGGGTTGGTTGGGTGTGGTGCTGCGTTGCCGCGATACAAAAAAAAAAAAAGCAATACGGGGAATTTCAAATTGTTGCGCGACGGTCACTAAGAGAGAGAGAGAGAGCCGAGCGAGAGGGGATGAACCAATGAACCGAAGTCTGGGGGAGGGAAGGGAAGGGAACTTGAGATGCCGGTATCCGAGTTGTCTCTTTTTCTTTACTTCTGTGGAGAGAGAGAGAGAGAGAGAGAGAGAGGAGAGACAGTGCACACGGCACACGCTTCGTATAGCCTGGTGGGAAAGATCTGCTCCTTTGCACCTGCTGACGAATGTTAATCGATGCCCATGTTGTTTATTGTTGTTGACATGCGATTTGCCTTATTCTAATAGGGCCAACAACTGAGAATGGAGCGAGCGGATTATGATTATTTTTTTGTTGTTGTCACCGAAAACAACACAAAATCGGTGATTGTTTCATAACATAAGCGCTGCCCATGTTCTTTCCATCTAAGCAAGCATGGAAGTACCGGGTGTCTTATTGCTGATGGTGACGATGTTTTGTGGCGACATGGGCGCATGATCTACGCACCAGAAGATGGTCAAGAATGGGGAGCTCTTATTTGTTCTGCTGCCACTATGTATATATACATATATATACGGCATACGTAATGAGTAATGACTATGAATGTACAGTAGCAGTCAGCACCTAGCAAATAATCTAATCTACTACGGTAATGTGTGGGGTTGTGTGGGGCTTATACTTCTTATTTATGACCACATTTCTGTTTTTGGCCGTGTAAATCAAAACGTCAACAAGTTGCATATGATGTTAAAAAAGAGGCGAGTGAGATCGATTTAGCGAAGCTATTTGTGTGTACAGTATAGTATATGCAGAGCGAGGATCGTGTAGCGAAGAAAAAAAATTAGAGAGATCGCCTGTTTACAGTTGTGCATGGCCCTGTTACACATGTACTACGATCCTGACACACGCTACGGAAAATGCTTAAAACCGACAGGACGGTATCGATTTATCCATTTTCCTTCTCTCGCTTCATCATAGTGTGCCGTCTCCTCGGTAGTTTTCTAATTAGTCTGATGTATTAAGACACAAAGAGCTGTTACTTTCAATCTATTCGTTCAATAGTTTGAGAACACAATTTCTCTGCGAAGAAGATGTGGTGGCGGAGCAGACTATTGTAATTTTTTTATATGTGGGCGATGTCAACGCGTACGCATCTTATACACCAAGTTTACGTATGTGCGGGTATCCGGCATATTGGCTAGACACATTCCACTTCTCTTGAGCAACCACAGCAAACCCCTTTCCTAGAAACGCCTACCTGCAGCAATTTAAAAATAATGTATAATACCTGCGATTAGATGCTGCTGCAGCTTGTCTCCCCGACACCAAATAACCTGTCAAACTCTTGAACAGTAGTGATGTGCAGGAGGTTGTGCTATTATTTAGCTCCAATGCATCCAAGACTGGTCGTTCACCACGAAAAATTAGCGAGCGTTCTGTTCCTTTGTTTAGTGAAGCGACGCTATTCCAAACAAGTGTGTTGCAATCTGTCGAGACATAGCACCAAGTCGCAGTGGTAGAAGGTAGTGACTGCGGACAAACAGGAACTTCTTCAGCATTGCTATGCTCACACAGGAGACTCTATGTTAGTGATAGTAAAAAGTATAACAACCGATACATAATATCATCAGCTGTGTGGGTAAAAACTAGAGCTACTGTTGACAAAAAACTCAATATAGATAGAAGAATCATTTACCACTTGTATGTCGCTTTATGCAGCGCTCATACTGCCAATACAGAAACGCGCATATACCATCATTGCCGTATTGATATATCTTTTTCTTCACTTTCTTGTTCCTCGTGGTTTAATAAATCACCCCATCGACGTCGTCGCCATAACGTCCGATGAGGGTTGACTGGCATAATGCAATATATGATCGTAGTTATATGATCTCTCCTTTGAAATACTTTAGTAAGCTAATCGGCTCGGAGCAATATTGTCAGCTGTATTGGATTATCCTTGTGGTGATCCTCATCATCAGCAACAGGTCAATGAAAGTAAATGGAACGAAAGTCTTGCCGTTTTTAAGAAACGGTCGCACATCCATTCCATTTAGTATAAAAGCCGGTTTTGATGGTACTTCATGTCACATAAATCCAAATATAGGCCGGTGTAGTGAACTGCAATGTGTATAACACAGTACCCCGCCTTCTCAACCTGGTCAATGCTATGTCTCTGGAAGTATATTGCCCGGCTAGGCGCTTAGGGATTGCAACAATAAACAAGTCTTGAAGTCACATTTTTGATATATTAACTGATAGTATCGGTGTCCTTGACAGCGTTGTAGCTAAAGAGACGTATTAATACACAGAGGTCTTCTTTCCTAGTTCTTTGCAACGCACGTCGCCATTATGATAATTGGTAGGAGTTTGTTCAGGACAATACTCTGCACAAAACTCTTAGATCCTCTGTTCTTCCTTCTGTAAGGACACATATTATAGCGTAATATCTGACGGAAGATCGCGCTTGTTTCATTGATCAAATGATGATGCATACTTGTCATGTTCCTTGATGTGAGACCTTACATTTTATTTAGTCCGTATGAGCTTTCAATTATCATCCAATATGCTACAATCAAACTACTCACGACATGATGAGCTCAGCAAGGTTTCTCGGCTCGTTATTCTGAAAACCAAGGCCACATCGTGTCGGTGGCAAAAACCAATCCGCTGTGTCAGGTATTTCTTGCGAGGCGGATACGGAGGCGCGGGTACGTGTGTCGTAATCTGTACCAGCCTTAGTAGCAGATGGTGCAATATGCATTGATGGCTGATTAAGCAAACAAATAAACAATGCACCATTTACAGCCTGCAATGCAAGGGCGATCTGGTGTTGTCAAATAAAGTTTACATTCCATATCTTTCAACAGGGCTTGGATACCTTTCTCAGCTCTGTTGTAAGTACACCTACTTATGTGACTACGATGTAAATAATGATTGCACGAAAAAAAACATCCTTGCAAATGCTGTTTCTTTTGATTACTTTGCTAGCAGTAGTACTGGGAGGAAATACTAATGTTTTTTCCTTGGATGATCTGCAGACTTGGATCTGCAACAGCAATAGTCTTACACGAACATGGAATAAACAAATATCAAGATTATTCTTATTTTTTCCACATGTGGTTTACATGAGAAAAGCTGTTTCAAATGGCGTGCTGTTCCTTCCTCCTAGCACTCCCGCTTTACATAGGAGATACTAATCGTACCCTTCTCGTAAAAATAAAAGGCTCCTTAAAACACTAGTTCTAGAATCACAACAACTCTACGTGGGGAATATTTTGGTTTTTACAAGCATGGGGGTTGCTTGCTTTTACTTGCTTGACGGAGCATTAGTCAGAATTTTCCCGTAATTGGAGCGACCAAGGGTTTATTTCGCGAATTTGAGGCTATATCGATGGCAAAAAAAGAGTCCTCCGAACTACCCTTGTCAAAATTCTGGAGGATAAAATTCATGCAAGGCAAAAAAGATGTTTCAAGTCCCTGATTTGACCGCCAGATATAAAAAAGCCAAGCTAAAACGCTGGGTCGAGACCACATCAAACTTTTTTTTTCTTACTTAATCCACTATGAAGTTTGCACCTGTAGTTCTGTTTACGCTTGGCATGTCGGCTGTTGCAATGGCAGCACCTGCGAACACAGCATCTGACTCGAGGTAAGCATACTACCAATCAATGATTTTATACGGACACATAGCCATATCATGCGTAGAATATCGCGCTCATACAAACATGAAATATTGTGTGTAGCTTGACTGAAGCTCAGTCTCGTATCATCAACGAAGCTGCATCAAAGGCCTGGCATCATGGTGGCAATGGCGGTCGACATGGTGGTCACAAAGGAGGCGATTGGGATCATGGCGATGACGACGAATGGGATCACGGTCATAAGGGTGGTCACCGTCATCATAAACGCGACGAGGAAGCTAACGGTGTAGCCAAATCCTGGCATCATGGTGGACACGGTGGACACGGCGGACACGGCGGACACGGACACGGCGGTCATGGTGGTCGACATGGGGGCCACAGAGGTGGCGGCTGGGACCACGGCAAAGGAGGCGGCTGGGATCACGACAAAGGAGGCGGCTGGGATCATGGCGATGACGATGGATGGGATCATGGCCATAAGGGTGGTCACCGTCATCATAAACGCGACGAGGAAGCTAACGGTGTAGCCAAATCCTGGCATCATGGTGGACACGGTGGACACGGTGGACACGGCGGACACGGACACGGCGGTCATGGTGGTCGACATGGGGGCCACAGAGGTGGCGGCTGGAACCACGGCAAAGGAGGCGGCTGGGATCACGACAAAGGAGGCGGCTGGGATCATGGCGATGACGATGGATGGGATCATGGCCATAAGGGTGGTCACCGCCATCATAAACGCGACGAGGAAGCTAACGGTGTAGCCAAATCCTGGCATCATGGTGGACACGGTGGACACGGTGGACACGGCGGACACGGACACGGTGGTCATGGTGGTCGACATGGGGGTCACAGAGGTGGCGGCTGGGACCACGGCCACAAGGGTGGCCATCGTCATCATAAGCGCGAAGAAGTAGATGAAGAAGCTCATCATGGAGGCGGTCCACCACATCACCCAGGACATGGTGGTCCTCCTCCTCCTCCTCCACCTCATCACGGCGGTGGTCCACATCATGGAGGCGGTCCACCACCACCACCACCACCACCTCCTCCTCCTCCTCCACCACATCGCCCAGGACATGGTGGTCCTCCTCCTCATCACGGCGGTGGTCCTCATCATGGAGGCGGTCCACCACCGCCACCTCCTCCTCCTCCTCATCACGGCGACGGTCCTCATCACGGCGGCGGTCCTCATCACGGCGGCGGTCCACCACCACCACCACCACCTCCTCCGCCTCATCATAAGCCCCCACCACCGCCGCCTGGAGGTAATGGCGGAGACCAGGGCCCCCCTTCTGGCGGCCAGAAACCACCACCAAAGGTTAGTGGTACTTTAACATTTGCGCAAGGAGCAAAGTCAAAGGTTAAGCTTGCGTATTTACTAACATACCAACATGATCTCGTTGAAGGGTTCGGACAAGCCCAAGCCTCCTCCCCCTAAGCCAACTGGTGGCAGTGACAAACCCCATCCTCCTCCATCAGCTCGTTCTGCTGCATCCAATGGTCATTGAAAAGCACTAGTGGCGTTCTCCCGTAAAGTCTAACAACACCTCTGCTCAAGCTGAAAACCAACATTGTAAGTAACAAAGATAAAACTAGTAAATTGCTTGGACATAAGCTAACAACGTGCTCAACTTTTCTCTATATAGGCTGTATATAAAACTCTCCCAAATCATGAATAGCTGACTGCTAAACATTGCTGAATCAATAAAATAGCCTTTATTTCAACCGAAACACTGTCGCAGGAAAAAGAACTGCATATTTTTTAAATGAATCATCCAGAGTACGGTATGCTAGATTTAGGTTTTGGTAAGATTAGCTGCTCAGCAATACATATGGTATTTTTTATGAAGTAATGCGTGTAACATGGACACACAGAGATGAGTCGGATAGAAGGAGGAGTTGCCTGGCTCTCTTCTCCACTACAGTCAGAGAGGAATCGAAGCGGCAGATCATACACTTGGTACTCTATAAGTGGGGATGGGTTAGAGGGTGTAGTTATATAAGTAAGCAACAGTGTAGATATGGCATACAGCGATGTCACTTTTCTGTTCTTCGCAAGCGCCGTACCTTTATTCGATTACACAAGTATTTTGCTTGGCCCGTGAGCCCAAGCGGGCTGTTTTTTTGCACCAATGAGAAACTTCTCTCAAAACAAGCACCAGGACCAGCAGCAGAGAAACAATGCATGAGCTTCAAAAATCTGGACTTTTGCGAACCTTGCCTTCTTCCGAAAAGAGGTGATGCCCGATTCATCTTTCCCACTAGAAAATACAAAGAAAAATCAACCACAACTATTCATTAAGGAGACTCAGCGATAATGGAAACGCATCCAGCAGTTGGAGAATCCGCGCCTGCACCTAACACAACCATTCATGAAGCAAAAGTTGAAAGTTGCGCCGTTAACGAAGACGAGCGAACGTGCGAGTCTCAATCGACTACGACAACAACAACAACAACAACGTCCGCTACTGCAACAGAAGAAGAAGACGGCGGAAGAGAAGAAGAAGCAACTTTATTAGAAGCTCATTTAAACGCACCTAATAATGCTTCTTTAAACGACAGCGACGATAATGACGAATCTTCTTCTGTTGTTGCTCCTACCAACGATCAGCAGCCATTGCAACTTGCTGACAGCAACGGTTACAGCGGTAGCGGCAGCAACGATAATGATAACAACAACATTGATGATAAAAGTAAATACGACGGCAACAATAACAACTTATCAGACCAACACAGCGAACAAGTTGCAGATATAAACCCGCAGCATGAAAATGAAAATCAAGAGGAGGCACAAGAGCAAGCAACGAGGACGATAGAGCAGTCTGGGCCGGATGGAGATAGCAAAGTGGACAGCGACAAAGAGGATGGTGACAATGGCCCCATATTGGAAGATCACAATGTATCGCAGGACGAACATATACCAGTAGCAGCGCAAACAGAAGTGTCTACGCCGCTGCCGCCACGGCCATCCGATACAGCATCTGTTGAGGAGGTTGTAGAGAATGGATCTGGTACACGAGCAGAGCAACGTTCATGCACTTCTGCGGATGACGATCAGGGCGGACAATCTAGTGCCTCTTTAGACGAAGTTGCTGATGATGATGGTCAAGCTAATAAACCTTCCCTAAGTGGGAACCATGGAGAGGAATCACGGCCTCACGTGGATGACCAGTCGCTAGCCTCATTATCAGCACAGATGCCAACGACGCCACAATATCAGGAAGAACAAGACGATGAGCAAGGAACGAGCACACCGGAAAATCACGCGGAAGGAGAAGAACCCACTGAGAGGGTGATTATGGATTCTGATGGTGATGTCGGTGTGCATGATTCTCGTTATGATCACAGTGCCCCAGAAATCAGACTCAATAATGAAGATACTATGGCAAATGACAATGATGGTTCTGCAGAACACAGTCATGAAAATGGCGACAGAGGAGTATATTTGGCTACATCCCATGAAGGCCAGGACGTGACGGGCAGTGATACCACAGGGATTGAGCGTGAAGTTTCCAGCAGGGCGGACAGTGAGCAAGCGGACCAACAAGGACACAATGGCGAGATGGAGGAAGAGCAACAAGTTAAAGCAGAGTCTCCCCCACTGTTAGAACAAGGAGACAGCCGAGTAGCTGCAGAAACATCACACGATGTCAATGTTGACCAAGTGCAAGCAAACCTTATCGTGCCAGTTGTTAACGAAACAACCCAGCAAGAACAACAACAACAACCGATAGGAGATCCGTTAAGCGAACATCAACGGCACAACAACGCCAGTACGAACCACAACCGAGACGATGATGCATCCGATCACACAGTTCATAATGCACCACGCTCGCGACGAGTGTGGGAAGCGGATCGACAAGCATCAGAGTGTCGTCGATGCAATAGACGGTTTAATTTCCTTGTGCGTCGTCATCATTGTCGACGTTGTGGCCTAGTCGTGTGTGATCGTTGCAGTAGTCATAGAATACGCCTACCACCCGAAGAGATCATACAAGATCCCGCCATTGATCCTTCGCATTATCCGCTTATCGCCATGCACCCACAGCGAGTATGTGATGTATGCAACAGGTTACCAATCAAAGAAGCACCATCTTCCTCCTCGTCGCCAAGACGACGCGCCACAGCACCGGTTGCTATGAACCATATGAAACGATCTCCAAGCTCACAAAGTCTAATGACTGAATGTCCCGTGTGCGGCACGGATCTTTTGGGCATGCAGAAAGAGGATCAGGAAAAGCATTTGCAATTATGTCTAAACACAGGAAGTCCTCCTGTTCGACCTCCACGCTATTTGGGTCAGTTGGCTTGGGGAACAAAAACAGTCTTTTGTTGTTGTGGATGAGGAGGTTAATCGATCTCTTTACTGATCTCTATTTTTCTTAATTTTCTCAGTGTATGAACTTTCAGAAAATTCGCCACAGATCGATTATGAGTGTCCTATTTGTTTTGAAGAATTCAAAGCTGGTACGTAGAAGAAACGAGGAATGAAGTTTGTGGATCCAAGGCCAACATGCGCGCGTGTATAATGTGATACTCATCTATAATCATGCATGATGTCAGGTGAAAAAATTGCACGCATGATATGCCTCTGCTCCTACCATCGCCATTGCCTATCGGATTGGCTAGAACGAGGCAAAGGTTGCCCTGTACATTACGATGCGACTATTTCTGCTTGATCCAACTTCTTTTAAGACATATATATATATATATTCCTGCCCCTCTCTCTTTTCTTCTCTTCATATTTCCTTCCCTTTAAAACACGCACACATTACCCCTTTCATACTTTATACATTTATTAAACATAAAGTCATATACCTCAATAAGTCGGATAGGGCACCCCATCTATATAAATTTTGAATAAATCAGTTTATATAAGCATCTCCCGAAAGATTGCCTATAGATAATAAAGTCACGAGCTACAGATTTTATATTTTGTGGATATGATACAAGCACAATAACGTGTTTGCTCAATCGAAGTTGAAGATTACATTGTAGTTACTACTACCGGGTAATTCAGTATCAAAAAGATTTTATATATATATATATATCCCTGTGTTCACGCTAGCGTCGTAGCAGAGCTTGGGCTCACTGTGGCATTTGTCGCTGCCAAAAGGCACCACATTACTTGGTGAGCAGAGGCAGCAGCGAGTATTATTTGATCCATCAGTAAGAATTGCTTATTTGGCTTGAGCTTACTAACTGACATAAGCACAAAGCATATGCTGTGTGGCCTGAGTATCAGATATAAAAGAAACACAACCGAGTCCGTCATTGTCATTGGCTCCGTTACAGACATGTCTTCAAAATTGACAGCCATGGCATTTGTGCAGAGGGATCGCGGTAATAGGTATTATGTGCTTCATTGCAAAAAATGGGTAAGCCAAATAGATATGAAGAAACAATGTGGTCTGAGCGAGCTTCTCCTCACCCATCAATCCATATTTGTCATTTGTAAGATAAGAATAAACCGTGTAGCAGCGCGCTCATCGATTTCTCTTGGTTTGGCAGCAAATCCGGTTAGCTTATAATATTGGCTAAACGGAGCAAAACGAAACTTGGTACTTACAGAGGAAGAAGATAATAATAGTGAATCGATTTATCACTTCATCGATGCTTTGTCCTTTAGCTTCCCCTAAATGTATATAATGATAAACCTTTTCTGTCTCGTGAGTGACTCATTCTTATTGATTTGATGCCATAGAAGCTCTGGATTACCAATTCCTCAAGAAAAAGAGAGATTCAGTGGCTACAGGATGACATCATCTCCATCTCTTTCTACGTAATTGACAACTGCGATGATACACACAACATGACGAAAAAAAGAATATGAGATGCTAGTATACTAAGTGTTAAGTAGAGCGCAAGCTTCTTTGAGCCGTTTTATTCGATGTTGTTGCTTAATACATACGCTTGATGTGCAACAGCGGACGAAAATTTAAAGCAGTGATTGTTACTGTTGTGTTCATGTACGCCTTGGAAAAATCATGCTCTCTTGACTTTTTACTGCCCCTCTTGGATTATTTTTTAGCTCCAAACTCTAATGCTTATCTGGTAATGTCGCGGAGTAAGACATTTGACAGTCTGCGACCAGTTGCTTTGTGTGGGGATGGCGTTGCATCGCTGCAACAGTGACAGTTCAGAATATTTGCTGCAGAATCTGCAGTTTAATTTGGTATCTTTGCATGCATTCATTACTGACATGACCAAGCACCAAAATAAAGATGTACAGTTACCTTCAACATAGCTGGAACGTGTTCGTATAAGCAGCTTAATAGCTTCGATTTCGTCGTTCTTCTGTATTCTTCTAATCGTTCTATTCTGAATCACTTGCTTTTCTCTGAGGATATCCTCTTTTAAAAACTGACAGCCGACCAGGGAGATCGTATCTGGGAGGCATATTGCTGTGGTAGTGATGCCAAATCGCTGTAGGAACTTTTTTTTTCAGAGCCAGTATCCTGGGTTACAGGTACCACCACGTTCCATTTTCTCGTCTATTGCACAAGAAACGTATAATCGACCCAAACTCATTTAACGAACGGCCATCTTCTGCAGAAAAATCACAAAGATGGCTAAACCTAAACGCCTAAAATACATTTAAAAGATAGAGCTGTCATCTGAGCAGCCTTGCACGCAAAATAATGATACATTACATGTGATGAAGCTGCATTTGGATAGTATTAGCGAGTATGTCAAACATTATGTGCAGTTTGTATCATGGAAGAGCAACAGTGGGAAAAGACTATAACCACTCAACAGATTTTTCTTACCAAGACCTTTCGAACTAAGAGTTTCCCCCATTATCAACGGCTCATGGAAATCACTTCCATCCGCGTTCACAGTCAAGACAAAAGTCAATCTTAATTTGTCTTATTTCATCCCTCAAATGCGTTCGGTATCGATAATTGCTACAGGAGGATTGCAGTAGAGCGGTGTTGTCCATGTTGTAAACGTCGCACGGCTTGTACTTTTTCACTTTGTCAATGATTTCAAACAGCTGATTTGACATAGCCGCTGTTTCCATGGTCCCAAACTCTTCATGAATTAGAAATTAGCTAATAGCATATCTTTTGTTTCGGCGGTCTTGCCAGCCATTCGATGCTTTGAAGGTTTCCTTGGAAGTAGCCCATCTTCTCTGCGAACTTACGCCCAGCAGTGGTGATGGCTTTCCAATTATATATTATGAAAGTACGACATATTCAGTGTTTTACGCGCATTGATAAAAATCTATGATTTCCAAAGACAGTTTTGGCAAATCGTCGGCGAAACATTATCTTCACCAACAAGAAACGTAGCTACCGATACGCATTTCTCCTGGCGACAAGTTGTTTCGGTTCTTTTTGATTGGGAAAAAAAACCTGATTCTATTCTATAGTTTATATCTGCTGTGCACCATCTCCTCCCTGCTCGCTCAGTATGTCTATGCCCAGTATCGTCAATGGTATGGGTTATACTGAAGTTTTGGCACAGCTTATGTCTGTTCCTGTTTGGGTTTGTGGTAAGTTCTTTCCAAAGTGAGATGTGGTGGGACAAAAGAGAGGTACTCGCTATATTTTATCTATGTTTCTAAAAACCAAAAACATAGCTTTCATATGATGCATTAGCATCAGTTACCACGCTGGTAAAACATTCGAACGTGGTCTTCATGTGGCTACTGCCGCAGCTCTTTGCGTGCTCGGCGACTTTCTTCGATAACGGAATAGGCTATCCAATATTCTTTATGCTGGCGCCGTCATCAGTACAACGGGAGCATGTGCCATCGTTCCGATTCTTATCACATGGTTTGGAAACAACTAAGGTAGCGAGATACGCGACAATGTTGACATTGCTGCTATTACGTCTATTGGCAACTTGAGTGGTGTAAGTTCTTTCTTTGGCATAATGCAGTAGTGCAGTAGAGAAACAGAATCAATCAAGCAACATGGTTTTGATTTATGATTATACAAAGGTAATATCCGGTCAAGCATCATATATGAATCAGATGATGCTCCCCGTTATGCCAAGGCCATTCAATTTGTTTGGAATTGATGAAGCAAGAGATTCAAGTACGTCTTCTACTTTATCAAAAAGAAACACTCTATGATACTATGTCTGTAGAAGAAATCCAGGCTGCTATTCAGGGTAGTAGAAAAGAACTAGGTGAAAATTTATGTCACTATCTTATTCGCATAATGTATTTTTATTTGAAAGCTGCTCCCTTACATTACCAATAGCAAGCCTTTCTATATTTTATCTTTCTAATAACACCTTAAATTTAGATATGCACATTAGAAAATTCTGTAGATCTTAAGATTAGCGACCAACGAGAAAGCCTATATACACTCCAGTACTAGCTATTTATACCTCTCTGTACCTAATAACTACTCCGTATCTCTTCTCTTCGAGCATCATTGTTGTCGGGATGTTGTGCCTTTAGAGAAATATTGACTATATCTGTACACACATTTACTATTCAGAAATCATTTCTTCTTTTGACACGTTTTTTTCTCTTCGTGGAGTACTGCAATACACATCAGCTTGATGTGTAATTTTATAATAAAGCGTAAACAAGATGCAATAACAATAAAACGCTAATTGTAATGATAGTATGGGCACCATGGCCGAAGGATAAAGCCTTGAATAGTTTAATGACATAGCTTGAAAAATAAGCAGTAACAACACTTCATGAAAAAAAAGCTGTAAAATATATGCATTCCTTTTGAAGGAAAAAAAAACAAGGTAGCTCGCTTATTATACTTTCCAAAGGCGAAAGATTAGTATATCTCGGTTGTGAAATGATGTTCAAATGCAAATAAATACATGAAGAAGGTTATGAAAAAGGGAACACAGTAATAATTGAAATAAGGAAATTAAAATGAAGAACTATCAAAAAGGTGGAGGGATGATGAGTAGAGCGAAAGGGAGAGAGATTGACAGAGAGACACGCAGAAATTATATGGGCTGTTTTAACGAGGCGTAGGTGGCAATGAGGAAGGCAGAGGGGGAGGGGCAGATGAGGGTGGCGGCAACGAGGAAGATGTGCCCAGTGTCATTCTGGGATTATTATCCTTGTTGTTGCTGCTGCTGGATGGTATCAACACGCGCTCACTATGGGCATCATCAATGGACGATGTCGCGTTCGGACTAGAGCCAGATATAGAAGTGTACTTCTGTGAGTTATATGTGTGTGTGAGAGTTATACATGTTAGCGTAGTGCAACGTTACGTTTTGAGTGAATGATGGTGACAATGAGTGCACAGAATTGATGTCTATGCTACGGCATCCACCGTTCAGCTAACTGCTATTGCTATCACTAACCTCATCATGTTGCTGACCAGCTGCTAATGGTGCTTCGCATTTTTCTTGCAAGGCATTGCTAGGTTTTCTCTTGTCGATAGACGGTGAAGAATCAGGTTTCTTCGTATAGTCAAATGGTAAGAATTTATCTTCCATGATCTGCTGTTCCGGACTTGCTTCAGGTAACAAGTCATTGGATTGTTGGCTCTTGATGTTGGTGTTGGATCCACTACGTTTGGGTGCCCGCTTTTTTGCCTTTAAGGGGTTGTCTTCAAGCAATATCTCCTCAAGCTCGTGGGTAGGATCAAAGTTGGCTCGTTTATCCTGATGTTGTTCAAAGAGAATTGGAAGTAATATATGCCCTGTGTAAGATAGAAGCAACTTTTTTGTACTACTTTACTACTTTCTCACAAAAAAGAAGGCCAACAGACGAATACAGTAAACCCAGTACATTGTAACAGCAAAGCAGCAGTAGCAGCAGCCAGCAGTTAAACAAGTACTTTCTTTTACCGCCGTACTAATCCCTCTTTCCCCCCTTCTAATATACGGTTTAGGCTTACATCAGGTACAAAGGGTGGGCTTGCCTGTTTTGCTTCAAGTTTATCCCACTCATAGTCCTTGAACCATGGATGTGCTTGTAAGCGGCGGAATCCATTGGAAGTATAGCCGAGCCGGTGAGATATGTCGCGTGTCATCAATCCATGTACGAAATCCTTGGCATCTGATGATAGTACGGCGTCGTCGGGAAACTCGATTGCATCATGCATAATGGCTTGCTGTAAGGCTTCGTTGGACTTGGCGCGGAACGGTCTCTGGATTGGAAAAAAGAAACAAGTTAAGGCACGCACTACACCGAAGTCCGCCATATTCAATTCCCTCTCTCTTAAGCAAATCCCCCTTCCACTTCGATCTGGCTGTCATCAACAAAACAACTATGAAGTCAATTCTTCCCTCTATGCACTCCTGAAAAAAAAATGGTTACCTTGCCGACCAGCAATTCATAACATACAACACCCAGCGACCACCAGTCTACCGAAGCTGAGTAGCCGCGTTTCATCAAAATTTCGGGGGCCATATACGCCATCGACCCAGCAATCGATGTCAGCGGCTTTTCGTTGGAGAAGCGTACAGCGATATTAAAATCTGTCAAATGCGCATGACCGTGTTCGTTCAATAAAATGTTATCGGGCTTCAGATCTCTATCATTCGTTAATGTATTTTGTGGCAGTGAGTGAGTGTCGTATATGGTATGTATTTGTACCACAGAGATTAGGTAACTTTAACTTTTTTTAAGCAAGACGCAACATCTGCTCGTTTCGTCGCCATCGTCGTCAGTAATCGTACCTGTGCACAATATGTTTGCGATGCAGATATCGTAGTGCAAGCGCAATTTCGGCAGCATAGAAACGAACATAGTCCTCAGGGAAAGGGCCCATCCTATCGAGATGAAAACGGAGATCTCCACCCAGCATCAAGTCGATCACCATGAAAAGATTTTCGTCGTCTTGGAATGCATAACGCAAGTTGACGACAAAGTCGTGGTGGATAAGCTCGAGTAAGCGTCGTTCAGATATAATGTTTTCGACTGCCCTCATGCGTATGCATTTGGCCTTGTTGATGTATTTCAATGCAAATAACCGTTTGCTGCCTTTATGCTGGACTACTCGCACCTTGCCAAATGCACCTTTGCCGACTGAGCGCAGTAGAGCAAAATGAGATAGATCGACTATCAACGTAACAATTACGATGTTGTTGTTGGTTGTTTGTAAAGGTGATGGTGGCGAGGATAATGTGAACGGTTAATATTAGAGTGGATTGGCATCTTGTGCTTAACTGATAATACCTTCATCATTAAAATCTACAGCTTCTTCTTTACAGCATAAGGCTCCCATGATACGATGTCGTTATTGTTTGTTGTTGCAGGAGGTTAGTTTCTGCTTGCTACTATTGGGTAGCAGTGCAAAAGAAAGTAGCGGTAATGTGTTTTTATGAAATCGACTAGTTGTGAATTTCGTCGAGCACCATGAAGCGGGGTTCAAGAGCCAAAGAAAAGAATCAAAACAAGAAGAAGGAAGGTGAAAAAGAAAGTTTGAGAGGAAAGGAAAAAGAGATAAAAACGGTTAAACGAGGTGCAAAGTACTCTTTCTTGTTTCCCCTCCTAACTTTTTGCACTAGCTTGCCATGTAGAGTTGGCTGGCTGATGCTGATGCTACTGATTGTCCTGTGCTGCTGTGTAGATGTAACGTTGCAAAATAGTTCCAGTGAGTGGGAGGTGTCACAAGAGTGCGACTGGATTCAAATTTTGGTCCTTCTTGTTCTTGTGCTCTCTCTCTCTCTCTCTTCTTTTTCTCAATGGCGCATCCTCTCCTTGAAGATGTGCTGAAGGAGCCCCGACTTTGACGCCTCCAAAGAAGCCGACTCTTATCTTGCTTCCACCCGCAGATACCCCTCGAACAATGATTTTCTAGGTACGTTCTGGCCAATATATGTTATTGATGGCGATGATGTTTGTTGGTACCCATTAGATCACACCTTCGCTATACACTATACGACGTATGCTCTCTCCCATTGTATTAGTACCAACTTAACCCTCACCTACCTCCTTCAAACTTTCTGAATTACTCATATTGAGCGAATAATGTCGTTACCCTCACAATTAATGACTTCCATCCACGACCATCGCATCCTTGTCCCGCATAACCTCGCCGCGATCCGTCGTAGTGTTAGTTTTTCTTGGGATCGTTTTTCTCAGCAAAAAGAACGACTTTTTGGCAAAATTATGTCCGTTACTCGCAATACTTCCAACGATTCCATTCTTTACAATCAGCACGACTGTGTTTCATATGTCATATTGTACCTTGGTCCGAATTATACTGTTACACTCTTTGGCACTACAGCCTCCACTAGTATCCCTATCCCTCTTTCTAGAAGCGGCTTAAAAGCATCAGCGGCAAATCTAACAACCATAATAGAACAACAATCGACAGTAATAGCATCATCACCAACAATAGCACAACGAGCAGGCAAGGAGTACAAGAAGGAGGTGAAAAAGCTGTAGGAGGTGTGGGCAGCAGTAGTAACAGAGGAGGAGAAAGAAAACTAGCTGACCGACAAGACTCCTTAATTTTTGCGCTTGTGTGGCATGGAGGCTCTTGCTACGTCAATAAGACATAAGACTGTTCTGTGGTGCTACATCGTCGGATGATGGCATTGCCTCTACCCGTAATCGTATGAAAGGAGTCTTTGACCAACACATTTGTTTTCTTTGTCTGTTTTTTATAGCTCAATAAGAGTGGTGCTATTGAATTCTCGGCTGCATTGAGAAGAGGTGGATATCTATTGTCTTGCTGTGATCCACAGTGATAGAAGAAATAAAATCAGAAGCTATTTAAGCTATACAATTGAATAAGAGAAGGCGACTACCGTACGTGCTCTTCAGACGTGCGTGGTCTTCTTTTAACTTGAGGATTTTGTGAGTGATTTTTCCTTCGTTTGTCATCTAGTTATATTTAAGAAATCCTATGAGGCGGGCTTTATAGAACCATACAAATGCTACTGCCAATGGACATGGAAGTATCGCATGTACTTTATTCTGATTCATTATGAATTTGTTCAGATTAATCCAAAGTTTACCGATTGCCGCCATGTGATAAAGGCAGTTGGCGCGCTGCATCAGATCGGCGCGGTAGGAACGCCGGCCGACAAACTTGCATGCTTGATCACTGTGTTATCGGATTGGTTCTCTCGCAGTATCTCTGTCTGTGCACTTGCATTTTCTTTTTGACTTCTACGCCACAGCATACTCATAGATACAGCCAGCTGATAAAAGCTAATTACTGCCTATTTTTGCATATGAGTCATGTACATACAATGTGCAGATGACAAGGCTGATGCAGTTTTCTTTTTACCAATGCATGTTCTCTTATTAATTTTGAAGCTGAGTACCTCAATTGATCGCCAGTACTACCTGTATGTAAGTAATTAAACAATTTAGCTCATTTATACGGACTATTCCAGGATTTTACAGCATATCAAAAGGACCTCGCTATATGTTGATATAGTTTCGCATTGTACACTTTAATGGCGGCACTGTCGAATCAAGAGCCCAGCTATCCACTATATCCGAATGAAACAATGCATGATGGACCCCCTCCCTACAGGTGTTGTCCACACCATCGCCCGGGAAGATCTTGTTGAGCTTGCACAGCAAGTCCGTTAACGTCATGGCAACAATGCATTGCTAACCGCTGCAGCTGCAGCCCAACCGAAAAGCGTGGCGTACCTTTTAAGAATGTGAGTTAAAGTACAAGGAGCGACTCATAAACAATACCGGCGAAAAACCGTTGATGTTGGTTGTAGTGTTCGATGCTTTTATACAATGCAACAAGTATTCATTGATCTGCATGTCATCAATAACTCTATACAGTAGCTACACTATTTGCCTATATTAAATGGTCCTACTATATCTTCTGGTTTTAAACGCGTATTCTATATAATCTTACAAACGATATCATTTCGGTAAATAGTGCTCTTTACATTCCAAGATATACCTCTCTATCAATGTAGGTGTATTGCGAGCACCGGCTACATGTTCCCAGTTCAAAGTCACGTCTTGATTTACTTAAAGCGAAGGACGGTCAACAGGCATATTTTATATTGATAACTTTTATGAACCGCACATACACACTTTCACACTTCGATCTTCAGCTCTACATCCTAAATGATTCGCACACTAGTATGTGTATACTTGCAAAAGCTTTGTCCCAATTTTTTCTTTTTCTTGAGCTCGGGTGTTTTTGCCGTACGGACTTGGCTGGACAAGAACTGCCGCGGACTAACATAGAATGTCACACCATGGCAGAGCTTCTCGAGATGCCAGTATATCATAGTAGTTTTTTTCAAAAATATCAGGTGGTTTTATGAAGATATAACGCTCATTGATTTAAAATCTGGGAACAATGCCACCGAAAAACAAATGATATACCCTTCATAAACATGATCGAATCCCAAAGAACGCTTTTGCATTGTACATTTTAACTGATGAAAAGTCATATAAAGCAATTAGCGCATCAAAAGTGCACAGCAAATCGCTTCGAAAGTTAATCGAAACGCCGATGATGCAAAGCTCTGCAAAACCGGTACGGATTTAACAACGTGAGGATATTGAGACCATTGACTGGTTCCTAAACTTCTGTTTCTTCTGTTATCACAAATACAGTATAAAATAAAATTGAATAGCTCAAAGTTAAAGCCTTCTCATCCTTTGTACTTTATCCCTCTTTTAAAAAAACAAAAAGACTCATTTTGTCACCATTATTTCATATTACAGCTAACGATCGAGTTTTTATGTTTATGTATTCCATCGTTATCGTTTTTCACAGCTCTTTGATTAAAAGACGTCTTGATTGTCACGATTGCTTTTAACTGCTGGGTAATGTCATGCTGATCCCGCGTACGACCCTTATTGATAGTATTACCCGTAAAATATCTTTACCTCATAACTGATTTTATTCCAAAATAAGATGTATATCAGCTTAAAGCTACACTCTTCAATGTAATGGGCTGCTAAACTTTTACAACTTTGACCCAATATGTTCTCTCCTGATTAACATTGTACAGTGCACTGTTGATGCATCGACCGAAATTTTGGCTGGGAGGTGGCACAAGAGTGCGACTGGATTCAAATTTTGGTCCTTCTTGTTCTTGTGCTCTCTCTCTCTCTCTCTTCTTTTTCTCAATGGCGCATCCTCTCCTTGAAGATGTGCTGAAGGAGCCCCGACTTATGGCGCCTCCAAATAAGCCGAATCTGATCTTGCTTCCACCCGCAGACGCCGTTCCACCACCCCCTCGAGCCTATGAATTTTTAGGTACGCTGTTGCTCATAAAGACAACACTAACGATGAATGATACACACTAAGTTGTTGAGAAAACAAACTTCCCTAATTGTTATGGTATACTCTCACTTTTACTAACGTACGCACTCTCACCCAATATACAACGCCATACAACCTTACCTCACCCCTTTTGAAACTTTGAATACTCGTAATAAGCGAGCCATGTCGTTCCCCTCACAACCAATGACGTACATCCACGACCATCGCTCTCAACATCCTTGTCTCGCATAACGTCACCGCGATCCAATCGTAGCGTTAGTTTTTCCTGGGACCGTTCTTCTCAGAACAAGAACGATTTAAAAACAGTCAACGGCAAAGTTGTATCTGTTATTCGCAACATCCACAACGATGCTATTCTTTACGATCAATACGACTTTGTTTCGAATGTCTTATTGTACCTTGGTCCGCATTCTAGTGTTACACCATGTGGCACATCAACCTCTACTAATATCATTGCCGTTCGTCGTAGTAGCAGTATAAACAGCATAAGCAGCATAAGCAGCATTAGCGGAAAATTCAACAACAACAACAACAACAACAGTAATGCCGTCGTCACCAACATTAACAATGACAAGAATAGTAGAAAAGGAGTACAAGCCGGAGGTGGAGGAACTCTAGGAGATGTAGGCAGCAGCAGTAGCAGAGGAGGGGAAGGAAAAGTAGATGACGTACAAGATTCGTTATTGCGCTTATTTGACAAGGAGGCTCTTGCTACGTCAATAAGACAATTTTGTGACGCTACATTGGCGGATGATAACATTGCATCTATCCATAATCGTATGAAAGAAGTCTTGGCCAACTCATTTGTAAGTTCCTTTTCTTTGGTTATTTTGGTTTTGTCTATTATTCGCAGCTCAAATAAAAATGGTGCTTTTACCTTCTCGGCATGAGAATAAATGATACATTGAGATTGAAACAGAAAGTTTGTATATATTGTGCTATTGCGAATTTAGGCCATGTTGTTGGACGTCAATCATAAGGGTTTTAATATGGATGAGGATGAGATCTATTACTGGCTTGAGAGGTAAAGGAGACATCAACATTAGAAACAACTGCTATACTACTGAGAGCTCATCACCTAAGCTGAATGTGTGAGTAAATTTTTTCTTCCTTTCTTTTATGTAGTTATATTCAGGAAGAGACCTACGACGTGGTGTTTTACAGAGTCACACAGTTGCTACTGCCGATGGACATGGAAGTGTCGCGTGTACTTGAGTCCATGATTCATCTAGACTTTGCTCAAGTTGGCCTCAAGGCTACCGAATGCCAGCGTGTGAAAAAGGCAGTTGACGTGCTGCATCAGATCGGCTCGGTACGAACGCCGGCCGACAAACTTGCATGCTTGATGTTGACTATCACTGTTTTATCTGGTTAGTTCTCTCTCAGTCTCTCTGTCAGGGCATTTGCACTTTCTTTGATTTCTACGCCACAGCTTGCACATATATACATAGCTGATATAATAAGATGGCTACCTTTCTTATTTAACATATAAATCATGCACATCTGCAATATGCAGACGACGAAGTTGATACGGATTCCCTCATGTCATTACTTGTTCTCACGCTAATTCGCAGCCGAGTACCTCAATTGGTCGCGAGTATTACTTATATGAAGGTTAGCAAATAACTCTGTGGTTTTAGAATAAGGAGGGGGCTCAACTGATCCCAAACAATAAATAACTTATTATGACTGTATTCCAGGAGTTTACATTTCAAAAGGATCTCGCTCTAGGTCAACATGGTTTTGCATTGAGCACTTTAGAAGCAGCACTACAATATATATTAGAATCAAGAGCCCAGCTATCCACTATATCCGAACGAAACGACTCATTCTGGACCTGCCTCCGTGAGGGTGCTGTTCACAACATCACCCGGGAAGATCTTTTTGAGCTTGCACAGCAAGTCCGTGATCGTGATGGCAACAATGCGTTGTTAATTGCCGCAGCTGCAGGCCAACCGAAAAGCGTGACGTACCTTTTAGAGTATGTCGGTCCAAGCACCAGGAATGATATGAACGATGCTGGTGAAACACCATTGATGTTGGCTGTAAAGTCAAAGTCGGTGGATACTGTCCGGATACTGCTTGACAAGGACCCATTCACACGGACAAAGGCCATCAACAGCAGAAATAGAGAGGGAGATTCACCTTTGCTTTTGGCATGTGGTTTAAAGGAAGACAACAGGGATAGCAGTAGCACTATTAGCCTTAAAATGGTGGACCTTTTATTACCGATAACCCAACAACAGCAGCAGGGTTGGGACACGAATCGTCTGGGCCAGGGCCCGCTCCATATAGCAGCCATCACCTCCGACAAACGTCCGACACTTTTACATTTGATGAACAATATACCTCATTTCTCTATGCTGCAATTGCAAAACAAGCAAGGAGAGACGTTTATGCATATTTGTGACGATCCTCAGGCACTCGAGACTTACTTATCACTTAAGAAACACAACAACAACGATGGTTTATTATTATCACTACTGGATATACGGGATATTCAAGGTCGTACACCGCTCTTGGCCTGGGCTGCCAAGGGACATATTCACATGCTTGATGCATATATTCAGTATATCGCCACCCAACAGCAACAACATTGGAAGCACCGACTCTATACTAGCGATGCGAATGGAAGAACGTGTCTTCATCTGTTAGCCTTACATATTGGTTCAAGAAGAACAAGAAGATCGAGTAGCATCAACAATGATCAGAATACTACTTTTAACGAGAGCAACAACAACTACCACAATTACGACAGCAGTAGTTTTGTCTCAAAGTCCATACTTGTTGCACTTCGGGACCTGGTTAATGTCCGGGATTCGCTGGATGGCAACACACCACTCCATTTAGCTGTGATGGGTTCGACAAGCAACAACAAGCAGCGATCGACAAAGACAGCATTCATACAAAGCTTAGTTCTCAATGCGGGCGCAAAGATCGATTCCCTCAATTTCCGAGGGGCTAGACCGGGTCACGCGTGCCGAGATGCGTCCACCTTGGCACTTTTGGATGGTAAGAGAGTATTGTACTAAGTATATTCGGGAAATGATGAAGGTATAATCGGGCGTGCGCGCTCCAGCAGGAATGGGTTGAGGTGGGGGAAGCAAGAAGGAAATTGCTTAACATGCCAAAGAGACATCCTTCTTGATTAATGCCTAAAACAAAACAAATGACCTTTTTTCTATTTTGTGGATAGACCTCGCACTTCAGGTTAAAATAGGTGTAGAGGGGTGTGATTATCGATGGGCTGTCACACGCGCCAGCACCATAGATAGTAAAGAAATCTATTACATTATTCAAAGTCGTCATAATTCTGTAAGTAATAAGATTTCAATTGCTCAGCAATGTACACAAACAGCAACCAACAAAAACAGCACTAGGCGGCAGCAGCAAGGTCATCTGACACATATTGAAATGTTGGAGCGAGCTGCCGTTGGGGTGGGGGGGAGAAGGGCGGTAACTACCTGCACTGTCTGTCTAATATTTGACGTGTGCAGTACCATACACACCAGCATTTTTCACCGTTATTAATAAGCGTTTCATGAAATAACATTCTATGATGTGTATTTTTATAGACATCGTCAGAAACACCATCAGTATCGTCGTCAAGAACTGTAAAACGACGGTTAGACGATTTCAGGCTGCTCCGGAAAGACATTCTGCATGAATTCCCCGAATCCTTCGTGCCTACGCTTCGCCATCTCTTTGACCCAGGGCATCTTGTGTCCGTCGTCGTACAGCCACCCCCAATGCATGTTTTGGAAGAAGCAGTGGGTCGACTCGATCGATTCATGGATTGCCTTTACCAACATTCAGTGTTGCGCAATCATGACTTGGTGAAGACATTTGTCCAGACACCTGAGCTTAAGGTAATGGAAATGATGATGAAACACTAAGGGAGATGATGCAATGCTGCAATGAGGAAACGCCCTCTATTATTAGACAGACAACACACACGCACAGAGAGAGATAGAGAGATAGATAGAGAGAGAGAGAGACTAAGGCATAATATACGCGTATATCAAGTATTAGATCTTATTGATAACAGAGATGTTATCATATAATTGATATTCCATTAATTTACAGAGAGACGTCATTCTTAATGCGTCGTTGGCCCGAAGGCACCTGATGATTGAGAAAATATGCGACTCGTATCCATCGGAAACCGATCTTGGCGGAAGCGACGACAAAGAATACTTTTTCACGTTTGCACAGACCACGATTGAACCATTACGAGATAGTTTGTTGAGTGCTGTGCGCGCAGGTCGACGTGTGACAAGGTGCCGTGAAGGTAATCTACGAGTTAAACTAAACAGATAGCTATGTTGCCTATATCGAAGTATGCTAAGCGACCCTATCAATTTCGAAATAGTACTGGAACAAATGATGCAGGATGTGGCTCAGAGATTGCAAGAAACAACGACAATAACAAAAACGACGACTACGATGGCGATCAGAGTCTGTGCAAGGACAACATGTGATACAGCGGTAAGATGGAATTGTTTTTAGTGACTCTTGTGTATGATGATTGCGTGTCTATTTAATGTGGGAGAGAGATGATTGTGTGTGTCCACGAAAAAAAAATTCTTGCCGATCATTCCAAATTCGATTTATCGCCGCCCAACCCATGTTGGTCCTAAACACTACTCTATACTATACTATACTACACTGCTTTACAGTACAGTTCGGTCTCCATGTGGGAAGGGTTGGTTCAAGCACTTCAAACAATGCATGATGTAACTGACGGGATCTTGGTATACATCGATATCTGTTTAATGATGATAATTAAGGAGAGAGCGTGGTAGGAACATAGGGTTTAGAGTTTCATAACATTTTGCCATGTTTTATTTTTCCACAGACTGCACTGCAGGGACCCCTCTACCTCCTTACGCAACGCCAGGAACTCCGCGCCAGTTTGGAACAACAGCGTGAAAGCTTACGACGTGCCAAGTCGTGGAATGAAGTCTTTTCAACACAAGATCAACGTCGTAACATCGAGCAGGGAAAAACCCAGGTAGTCCAGGTAAGATACATGTGTGATGGGATGTCGGGCTCTTTATATATGAAGTCTTCTTTTTTGTGTTTGGGGGGAGGGGCTTGGGCAATCGGGAAGCATTACAGTAGTATAGCAGTTAGTAGTACTTTTTTTTTTCAAGTGGAGACTGAATCTTTAATTATTGGATATTTCCTACTAGACGCTCCAAAAACTCGCGCGAACGGGCAGCCAAATTGTCCAATCACATCAAATGATTAGCGACGAAATGGCCCATTTCCAACGTGTACACCCCGACCAGTTGAATCTGACGATTCGGACGATGGCCAAGGCACAGCTGGCAAAGGAACGGATAAAGCTGGTATGGCTTGAGCAGACGAGAACGGATTTGTTTATGGGATCGTATTCTGAAGAATAAAGGCTGAAGCTTGTTCGCTACATGTACTACTGCAGTAATACATGGTGAGTAAGTGCAGTAAAGAGTGTGTGTTTACGTTGTGTATGTGTTGCCTGCCAAATGGAGTTGGAAACCTGTTTGACCGCAATCAAAGTTGTTGCCCATCCATCATTCAAATCCACAGCTGTACTCGCTCTTTCTGTGGGTTGAACTCTTCTGGTGGGCCCGAATATTTGTGTCTCCTTCGTATCTTTTCCCACCTTTCTTCTTTTCTCTTTTGCTCTCTTTTCCCTTTCCCCCACCCACCCCCATTTTTCTGCTCTTTTTTCCTCTTCTTTCCCCTTTTCCCTTCCACCGTATACCTGAAACCCCATCAGCAGCAACTTTCGTTACCACAGCAATCGAAGAGCGTATAAACAACCAAGCAACCAAACAGCAACAAAAAGGATACCCCCAGCAACACCCTTTTTTCTTTTCAGCAACAACAACAAAACACGCTCAACAAATAGTGTAGATACGAAAAACAACAACACAACAACAACAACAATACAAAAAAGACGATCCATCATGGGCTGCTGTCAATCTGCTGAGCGTGTAGAGGAAAAGCAACGCAACCAGGAGATCGAAGCGCAAATTAGGCGCGATCGTGCCAATATGAAGATGGAAATAAAAATGCTACTGCTAGGTACAAGAATATGTCCTTCGTTATTGTATAAGTAACTGACGGGAATAGTGGTTGACTGATTGATTGATGGATTGATTGATTGACTGCAAAAATAAATAGGCGCCGGTGAATCGGGTAAATCGACGATTCTCAAACAGATGAAGCTTATCCATGACGGTGGATACACACCCGAGGAGCGAGAGAGCTTCAAAGAAGTGATTTTCAGCAACACCATCCAGTCGATGCGGGTCACGGTGGAGGCAATGCACGAACTGGGCATTGCGTTTCGCAACCCAGAAAACGAAATCCATCGACGACTTGTCCTGGAAGCGCCACCTCAGGTGGACTATTTGGGACACGAGCTCGTGGAGGCGATTGCAACCTTGTGGGACGACCCCGCCGTACGCGAATGTGTAGACCGAGCCAATGAATTTCAGTTGAACGACTCGGCACGGTAGTAAGTAGTACAAGCCGAGAAACAACAACAAATACAAATACAAAACATTAGTTATCACTAGGAATTCACACTCTTTCTATCTTTCTTACCTACTAGCTACTTTGATTCAATCTTGCGTATCGGCCAGCCACACTACATCCCGAGCGATCAGGACGTTTTACGAAGCCGCGTAAAGTCAACAGGTATCACAGAAACGACGTTCGTCATAGGCGATCTCACATACCGCATGGTCGATGTGGGCGGCCAACGATCGGAGCGCAAGAAGTGGATTCATTGTTTCGAAAATGTTACGACCTTACTCTTCCTCGTCGCCATTTCCGAATACGACCAGGTCCTGTTTGAAGACGCATCCGTCAACCGACTGCAGGAATCACTAACGCTCTTTGACTCGATCTGCAACTCACGGTGGTTTATCAAAACGTCAATTATCCTCTTTCTCAACAAGATTGATTTGTTTGCCGAAAAACTGCCACGCTCGCCGCTGTCCAACTTCTTTGACGACTACAAAGGCGGCGACCGATACGACGCCGCATGTCAGTACCTCCTCCACAAATTCGTGGCGCTGAATACGCGGGCAGATACCAAACAGATCTACACCCACTTCACCTGCGCTACCGAAACCAAACAGATCAAGTTCGTCATGAATGCGGTCAACAACATCATCATGCATGAAAATCTGGCCAAGGAAGGCTTACTGTAAAAACAAAAAAGCAACACCATATCGAGAGGAGGAGCAAAAGTGAGAGAATGAAAGTATAAAGGACGACGACGGCGGAGGAAGCATATCACAGGAAAACGAAAGAGACAATACCAACCACCAAACCATCAGCAAACGACATCTTTTTGCCGTTACTACTATTATTACTACTTCTACCAAGTGCTTCTTTACCCCAACCCCTTTTTCTTTCAGCATCTTTCATCTTATATATCACACACGCACTCATACTCCGAGAAATCCCTACGCTTGGTAAACTGAAAGGGAAAGCAAGGACAAAGCGCTCCTCTTCTGCTTGTTCTTTGTTTACACCATAATCTTTTCTTCTATTATATACGTATTTCTCTATTCCCTTCTTGAACAAATCCCCTCTCTTTCTTCCATCTCTTCTTCCGTGCTCCCAAACCTACATTCTTTTTTAGTCTCTCTTGCTTTGCTCTCCTCTCCCGTTCATCCTTCATTCTTCTTTTTTACTATATTTTGAAATTCTCCTTTCTAGTTGTGATGTGTGGCGGCAACACAACGAACTTTCTCTCTTCCCCACCGAACCCACTTTTTTTATAAATCACACACGCACTCAAACTCACCCTCACACACTCACACACACACACACCTTAACAATTTCACGCAATATCACGAACTTCCTCTTCTTCTTTTCTTCTTCTCTTCTGTCACTATCACACAAACTCAAACATCTATTATTTACATGCTTGTACAAAAAGTTTACTAAAGGTTTCTTTTTTTATTATTATTATATTTTATCTTTATTCTTTTCAAAATGAAATGGGCAAACTAATTTTGTTTAATTATTGGAAGAAAAAAATTGAAGAATAGGAACTGTGTTTGTGTGTATGTGCGCGCGGTAATATGAATGGGATGGGCTGGATTGGAGAACAGAACGACGATCTTCACCATATCTGGACATTCGGATTTGTAACCTTGTTATAACTTCTCGTGGCGATCATCCCCTTGAATCAATTTCCCTGCATGATCCATCATGAACGTCCTGGACCGGATCAGCCCTCCCGCTGCTGTCGTTGCTGCTCGAAGTGTTTGTTGTTGCTGGCTATTCCGTCGTCCAATCACACTCGTCACTAGGCTTTGTGCTCTAGATCGAATACTCGCTAGTTGTTGCTGTTGCTGTTGCTGTTGCTGCTGCTGCTCACTTGATGCGGATCGTACAAACCGACCGCTACTGTTACTATTACTATTGCTGTTATTGTTACTGTTACTGTTACTGTTGGTGTTGGTGCTGTTGCTGTTACTGCTGCTGCTGCGAGGATGTTCTTCTACTGAGTTGTTATCTGCTGTTGTTATAGCTATTAGCTAACAGTTCCAATAAGGGGGATCCTTCAATTGCTTTCAATATTGAGTTCGCAATACCTTCTGTATCATCCAGCAGGATCGGACGATGGGTTAATAATGGTGATGGTCCCCGGCTACTGCTTGTGCTGCTCGAATCAATAGGTGATTGCCCTCCGCTGCTCCTTCGTCGCGTCAAATTTTTCCAGTCACGCAGCATGCTCGATCGTGATGTGGCTGGTACTGGTGGTGCATCTGGGGTCATGGCACGCGGATGGTGATTGTTATTGTTGCCGTCGCTCAGTGCTGCACGAAGACTTCGCATACTGTTTCGTGAAATGCGCTGTGCTCCAGCCGATTTGGGCCGCTCGCCACCAATACGGTCACTCCCATCACGATAGTGGTTGTGATTATGATATTGGTGAGAGTGATGATGGTGAAGGGGATGTCGCGATGGTGTGGTTGTGTCTGTGAACTTTAGTCCTGTTTCGGTCAGAGCTTTTAGAACACCAGCGCGTGCTTTGCTGTTAGGTATCGCAAAGCTATCACATTTCAGCGCGGCATTCTCGGCATTAATCACTAGATACGAGAATCCATTTTAGATTGCTGTTATCCCGGTACCTTTTTTCACGCTCTCTAAAATTCTTCTATCTCTCCGCGTTTCAATTACTTTTAAGCATAAGGAAACCTCGTAGCTCGTCTTGGTCAAAAATCAATGATGGGCTTGGTAATAATGGGGAGCATTCAGACACGTTCTTCTTGTTGATCACCTGTATTCGCCATGCTTCTTTCCCGTCAACCACTTCCGGATGTACCACGACATAGACGTGGAGGAATTGCGATCGGATCGCGTCTGGGTCAAAGTGGCACTCGTCCCCTTCCACAAACACAATGCACACAATATCTAAATTCATCAAGACACGCGGTTAAAAGCATCGTTCCAACAGATGAAAAAAAGAGTATATTACCATTGCCAATGTAGCGTTTTCGATGCACTTGCTGTTTATCGTTTTCTCTGCACGGCATGAGAGGAGCAACATGGAACATGACTTCATAATCACGCCACGACGCTGCAAAAGAGAATTTTCCAGATTCTCCAGCTAATACGTTTTTATTATGAATGATTAGAGTCGAATTATCTTATTTTTCCAACTTGAGGCACCTTTTCCCCTCTAGCTCTCTCTGAAAGAGGAAACTATCATATATTATAAAATAAAGAGAAGAGACCTTACATTTAGTATCCAGTCCAGCTGTATATCCTTTGTATCCTTCTAGCTCCACCGGCGTGCCTATGATATTTAAAAACCGTTCCAGCGGCTCCGACAAGTTCGAATTGGCAAACCATTCTTCTTCGGACGCTTGCCCGTCTCTGACAGAAAGCACCCCAAATTTGTAAAACTTCGGTATTTCCATTTCATCGAACCGTAAAATGTCTTTTTCCAAGCCGGATAGGATGGTTGCTTCGGCGGACAGCTCACGGAATAAGCGCAAGTCCATATACGGATACATTGACAGAACTGCTGCACGAAATAGCCGAGTTTCCGAGTTTTGTATAGTTGTTGTTGCGTGCTGATTGTTATTGCTGTTACTACCGCCGCTACTGTTGTTGTTATTATTGCTATGTATGATGGCGGATGATATACTACGTAGCGGTCGTCGTCGCGGTTGCTGAATTTGCGAAGCTGCTGATACCGACGATGATCCTCCTCCTGCTGTTGCTGCTGCTGCACGGCGTTGTTGTTGTTGCTGGTCTGAACGCTGGCAATTGGCATCCAAGAGATACCCTTGGCCGTGCACTTCGAGACTCGATTCGGTTTCCTTCGCAACGGTTTCCATGACAACATTACGAAGACTATGAATCTGACAACGGAAAGGGGAAAGGGGAGCCGGTTTGGTTAGCGAAATGCACACAATTTTATATATTCTTTCCAATACGCAAAAAAAATGAACTGACTACACACTTGCTTGCCACGAGAAATGATACGATATCGTAATTTGGACTCCACACGCTCTCTGACGACCGAGATGAGAACAGACATGAGCGTTTCGGTATCGCGTCCGATGAGCGTAATGTACGGCTTTCCCACAAAATACTGGCGGAACCAGTACGCTCTCGGATCCATCTGGTCCGGCCACATGGATGCATAGTTTGTTGGGTACGTTGCTGGCAGTATTTTAGGCGACTCCAATGTAAAGTCAATGAAGCAAGAGCTGACATACGATGGTGCAGCCGTGATGCATTTCCTGCATTCGTTGCATATCTCCTGAGCGCTTTTGATCTAAAAGTAGTAGTGGACAAGGTGGATGAGATACTGTTTTCTTTTTGGAGTTGTCGACATCATCTCAAACACATCTTTAATAGCAACATGTCTTTCATTTTTGCCTCCCTTGTCTCTCCCCCTTCCACGCACTCCTTCCCCGTTTAAGTCATTATCTGTATGATATACTTGCCACATCTTTCAATAGCGTAGTCGTCTGCGTTGTTTTTAAATCCTGTATTCGTTCTTGAAGACGAGTAATAACGGCAAGAGGCGCGTCGAGAGCGTTGACCAGAATGGAAAGACTATCGAGTTCAATGGCAACGTCGTCATCGGTCTCGAGAGCAGTGACATTGTCAGACACCCATTCGCAACATTCCTCTACCGTTGGCGGAGGAGCTGCTTCCATGTTTTACTATTTTTATATTTCACTGCCAGAGTGAAATATACATAAAAGAACGAATAAAAAAGAAAGAGAAAGAGAAAGGAAGAAAAAACAAGGAGAGAAAGAGAGAGAAAGAGAGAGAGGCAAACAAATAGTAAGTATACAGTCGTAAGGGGGTGGAGGAGGAGGAGGAAAGAGGGCTTACTTTTGTTGAGACATTAGAGAGCGAGAAAAAAAACTGATCATGCTGAAATACTACTGGAGCAGCAGCAGTACCCCTTCTTTTTTACACTTTTGACTATCCTGTCTCATTCAACAGCGGCTTCATATTCCGAGCTTCTCTACTCATAATGCTCGTGCAGTGCTGTGGATCCTAACACACATACCCTGGCCATACATCTCTTGTATCAAAATCAAGATCCGTGTTCTCTTTTTTTCGCTTTCTTTTAATGCAATATTCTCCCTTGATAGGCGTGCCCTTGCACACTATATTGCTACATGAGTATCCAGATAGTATACATAGTGGACCGTCAACAGCAGTGAGTGCAGCACGGATCTTACTAAATGTATTGGATTGTTTGTTTATTTGACATGAGAAAAAGGCTACCAAATCAAGCTGCTGTACTTCCTCGGTCTAGTGACCAGCAAAATTTTCTCTGGTGGCACCTCCTCAAGCTGTTTATTACATAGTATGATCTACAATGCTATTTTAGACGAAATAATAGTAAACTTATTGATCGCTAGCGGAAATGTATTAGAAGGTTACCGGGGATTCGGACTCCTCGGTATACATCCTTATGCCGTCCATTCCTCACATACATACTAGTCTTACTTGCCATACCACTGTTAGTAGCACTGCTGCCACACTGTCATCCAATAAAGGCATGTCATATTTCAGCTATAGCAGCCTTGTTGTGCAAACCCTTGAACCCACAGATTGGTTTTTAGGTTTGAAGACATCTTGTCCATACACGACTCTTAGCAATTGTCTGAACCAACAAAACATACAGGGATTATAATAAAATTGTGTTTTTCTAGTCCAAGGATATTATTCCATTTAAAATATCAGGGAACAATACATAATAGTACAAGTCAAGGAGATCTGCACAAAAAAACCTTTGCTTGATCACCATCGATGATAGAACGGCAGCTTAACGAGTGATCTGATGGATATAGCCCATTTTACATATATATTTGCTGGTGCCGAAGGCAAGTAATGTTGAGGCAAGGCCATTCATTGATAAGACGAATACACTCTACGTCACACGAAACGAAGAAAGGAAACGTTCTGCTCCGTGTCATTCAAGCATTATGCTTTTCAAGGGTACACTTAGAACGTTTTAGCAAAACCTTTTCTTCTTTTATTTTGCATCGGCCCCTGCAGGACCATTACTAACACAATTAACCAAATTTTTCAATTTGTATACATACATCTTAACGAGACACTCTTTATATCACATTCGAATAACTAGTCTGTTGTGTCGTCGATCATTAAATTGCTAGCTAGAAGTGTTATTCATTCTATAATGCAAAATAAACATTGATTCAATGTCGTTCTTCCTCTACCACTTAAAAATGGCAGTTGTCACATAGAATTCAAAACAAGGTTAGAGCACGCACCAATTATATGTATTGGTAATTAAAAGGTGCATCTACTGTTTTATAAATGGGTAAGGGTTATATTGGTCTATCCTAATCTAGTAACAAGAACATTTGCGGTGGCACTCGTTTCACTTGTGCAGCAAAGCAACACGAAGGCTGATGCTGCAGAATCACTGATACAGACATGATTGTACCCTTTTTTTTGGTGCATTTCCGATGTCATGTGCACAGACAGGTTTTTGGCCATGCAGATGAACTCAAGTGCTGTAGTGTTGTGCTCCAGTATAAACGTCATCACCAGCTGCCCTTCCCTGACACCACTTCTCCAGTAGCTGTACACGGCCTTCGGCACTACAATAACAAATCAAGACAACGAGCTACATACCCTCGACTACATCATGAACAATCTACCACTTTCCGAGGAAGCGCTAGACCTGGGCAATGTGATCATCAGCATCTTCACATCACTCGCTACATTCAGAGCGTCTATAGACAGCTCTTCTCTTCCTTTCCTTATTTTTTTACTTCGTTACCTCTCCTCACAAACATCTTAATCCGGCTTGACCTTTTCCCTCTCTAGAAGGGGTTTTTTCAGTTAAAGCACCACCTCGTACTATGTATTTTTCCTTTCTAAACATCGCACCGCAAGGAAGTGACAATAATGCTATAAGCGTATTGTCATTAGCCTTACAATAAATATAGGCTTTAGAGTGTAAACGTCATCTAACGATTCGGCTCATCGTCCAAAGACCACCAGCAGCAGCCCGTTTAAAACCGTAAATCGATCAGTAGACAAAGCTTCCGGTTGTATAGTGGCGTAACGTTTACTAGTATGTAATGGAGAAAAATGACGAGTATGAATGAGTAAAAAGTTATGCATAAATAAAAACGCCATGAGGGGCGGCATCAGAGTAAGCAGGTTAGATTCAGCTTTCCACATAATGCAAACATAAATAAAGGTCTATCATGTGAACGAGAAGTACTTTCTTCTTCTTCCTCTACTGCTGATGAGCCTCCGAAAATAATAGGTATGCATGTCTTGTAATGTTATTTTTATTGACGATGTATCATTACAACAGCAGCACAGCTAGTCGTACGTTTTTTGTTGTTTACTGCATATGCAGACGGATGTTGGTTTTACTAGGTAAATACAGAAGACCAAGTCATACATACATTGTCAGTGAAGTTCAATCAGTTTTTGCTTGCCGATGCTTCTTTATAATGGAACGTGTGGTGATAATATACTATGCAGTATGACGTGTTGCAGCAAACAGCGCTATACAGTATATCAATACACGGTGTCGGCAACAGCAACAATAAAAAAAACGATGAACTGAGAAAAGGGCGTTTCAAGACCTTAACAAAACATTTTATCCGAGGAGGCTACTGTCTTTGACTTGTTCGTCACACAGTATTGTTTTTATAAAGCTTGCCGATTACGTACCTGCTGCAATACTGCAACAAACAGTTCGTATTGATGTCTAAACTTCTCCTGTTGTGGGTATGGTTATGTATCATTTAAGAAGCTGAGCCTAATATTACTTCATTACTACAGTAGTGAAAGATTAAGATATTCTAGGCTCAAACGTATGATTAGGATAACACCTCAAAGCCTATCAGGCTCCCAGCCATTTTTTTGGGTGCTATGGGCATTCGACCTCTGCACTTATTTCTCTTTGTAGTAGCAAACCAGCGAACCCTCTTTACAGTAATTATCTATAAATAAATATTGGCCAAAAGAGAAGAACGTAGATTCTATAGCGAGTGTGATGAAAGATTACGTACCCGCCATTACTACTACTATGTATTGGCACGGAAAACAATGGAATTGATGGCTAACATTGTAGTAGGGTGTCTGCCCTCCTTACGAATTCGAATAGTCCATACCCATGATTTTTTTTTGAAATCGAATGCTTTTAGCGCCTTTCTTTCTTCATGAACGGTATGCTGTGGTACGTATTTCAAATGATGTGTTCGTATAATAGTAGCGAACGAGATGAATGTGTACACAGCAGTACAGTACATACATATACCTTCATCGATCTATGAGTGCTGCTCTCTAGATACTACATAATATAACTTCACTACTGCTTGTACATCAGTACCATCAGGTTGTACGAATCTCTAAAAAACCACAGAACAGAGAGGAGCAACACCTCAACAAAAGCACGGACGATAGTACTCCCGGTGACACTTAACTATACTATAAAGTTAAGTGATAGAAGCGCTTTCGTATATGCTCTACATATAAAACGCCCAAAGCACTCAAATCTGGCGTATGAAAGAAAAAGAGAAGAGAGCGATAAATGCCCCGGGTATACATAAGTGCTGCATGTGGGATGATCCTTTGTATGCCTGTGCGCGCCACTGAAAACGGCTAAATATACCCCACCTCCCCAATACACACGCAAATCTCATCTTTGCGTCATTTGCAGTTGTGTATGTAATAGCTTCAAATTTCCACACAAAAAAAAAGATGCGCGTTCCTCCTTTAGGATTGGAGTGCGGTTTTATGAGGAGTGCACATACTGTAATACACAAACGAACCCATCAATGAATGTGCAGTAAACTGTAAATGATCTTGGTTGATAACCTCACAAAAATAATTGCTCTTTTGTACAAGTGGAATAACAATTATCCCTTTTTTCTTTCTTTTTGAAAAATGATGAATGCGTAAGTGAGTTTGTGTGTGTGAGGGTGGGTGTGGATGGGTCCGAAGAAAAAGGAAAACGAAGGGGTAAATTAAAGAAAGCAAAGGAAAACAAAGAGAACGCGGACAGAGTCATATGTGGGGGATGTACTAGAGTTATGTAGCAGTAGTAATAGTTGAAGGGTGAGATGGAAAACAAAGAGATAGAAGAGGTATTAAGAAGCTAGCTTTTACAAGAAGAAGTGAGTGTATTTGCGACTATCCGCGTGGATCTGCATCTCGGACAGTTTATATTCGTTCAACTCCTGTTTGATCTTCATTGCCATCATTTGAGTGATCTTTTGGCAAGTAGCGGCTGTATCGCTGCGTCGATCATACTCGGATGAGCCGAACGTCTCATGCACTTGTATGGTAGGACAGAACTGAATTCTTCTCCTGGTGGACGATTTATTACTGCACGAGGTAATTTCCGTCGTAGCAACACTCGAGGACGAAGAAGTCGGTCGCAATTTGGGCGAGCCATATGTCGGCAAGCCGTAACGCTGTTGCTGTTGCTGGCCTTCTACTACTGATTCTGCGGTATTATTGTTGCTATCATTATGATTGCTGTTGTCTATCGAAGGCGGCAGTCCACAACGACGACTGTGATTGGTGTTTTCTTGTACTGATGCTTCTTCATCGTTGTCGTCCTCTTCCACCTCAAGCACTGTTGGTACAGTGCTGCTGCCAGTACTGTTTTTGTGAAACAAATTTGACAAGGATGCAATTGATCGTCGGCGGAATGATTTTGAGCGGCTAGGTGCTGCTCCACAGCTGTTGTTGGAAGTGCTGCTCTTGTTTGTAACATTGCTTTGGGTTGTCGCATTGGAAACAATTGAGCTGGTATCGTCAAAAGTGCTGCTGTTGAGCGATGTGTTGGAGCCATTGCGCCCATATAGTGATGCACGGCCAGAGACTATAGATCCGGTATCACAGTCGTCCTGCTTTCCTCCTCTTAAACTACTGACGCTAAATACCTTGCGCAGGCGTTTCGACAGCGAGACCTTGGAGCTGACGGACATTTCTGAGCGCATAGAGACGGTCGATGACACTGATGTGACGGATGATCGACGGCCCGATGAAAAATCGGACGATGCTCCAGTAACAGACGATGTCGTTGAGGAAGACGACGATGAAGGTCGCGGTGATCGAGCATCATGCATCATGGCTAATGGCATTGGGCTGTTGCGTGGCACAGCAGATCGTGGTCGGTCATCAGGGCTACGTCGAGTTGACGGTCGTTGCTGCTGCTGCTGCTGATGTTGCTGCTGATATTGCTTTAAGGATGGTCTATGCTGACTTTTGGAAGAGCGAGGAGAAGACGATGAAGAAGGAGCAGGTGTAGAGGTTGATTTTTGAACTTGCATCGGTGAAGGGCTATTCCGTGCACGCGATGAAGGCCGTTGTGGCTGCTGGTGTTGCGGATAAGCGATTTGCTGTTGTTGTTGTTGTTGTTGTTGAGGTGCATTAGGATAATATTGATAATAAGAAGGTACGTAGTAGTAGGAACCATTTGCGGCGGCTGCGGCATATTGCTGATGGTAAAGAGACCAGTCGGCTGGATAGGCTTGCTGCTGCGGGTACGCCCAAGCCGAGGAATCATGCACAGGCTATATTTACCCAATCCAGATAAGAGCAAAGAGAGAAAAAGAAAGAGAGGAAATAGCAAATTAGTTACAGGAGGCAAAGCAAAATGTTAGGAGTGGATGTGTACGTAACAAGTGCGTTGAGTGTGTGTACTATGTGGAAGATTTTTCTTGCCGAGCGCGTGACGACCCCCAAAAACGGCCCACTTCTAGGGTTGCATGATTTCCCTTTCAACAAGATCCCGACAAGGCCGCACTAAATTGGGCAGCCCTGCTCTCTTGTTTTATTTCTGGGTACGGGCACGCGCTCCACAGAAGCCAAGAGGGGTGGGGGTGGAAGGAATGTCTTTTTTTAGATACTTGCCTGCTGTTGTTTGTAACGCATCTTGTAAATTTCTTCTTTATGTTGCTGCTGCTGGCTTTTGCCTGAGCGCTTTTGCTGTTGCTGTATGGGCAACGTTGTATTCAAAGTTGTAGCGGAAGCCATTGGATTCAGTCAATCGTATGGAAATAGCAAGGGACGAGAGATAAAATAGGGCTTGATTGTCGTCAAGTGAGGTAAGTTGCGAGAGATAGTGTGTGTGTCTTTGGGTTTAAGAAAGGATTAGAAGAAGATGGGAATGGATTGACACGTTGTAGTCGGTCTGTCTGTGTTATTGGGAGGAATGTACACGCAAATTGTAAGTAGGATAGTAAGAGTGATGTATATACAGATGGTTGAATAAACGTAATATAATATAGTGGAGGATATCGTATATGCAACCTAGTAGTAAGAGTGTAATAGTGTTTGAAGAAAGAAAAGAGAAAGAGAGGGGACGTCGGGCCAGTTTCTGACGGCTGCGTACGTGTATCAAATAAACAAAAAGGATTGGAAAGGGTAGTGGATGGGAAAAAGGAAGGTAGCACACAAGACGAGCACCGCTTTTTAAATGCCCAGAGCTTGCGCCAGTTTTTACCTCTCCGCCTTGTGTGGCCCTTCGCACAACAGCAGCACGCAGACAGACATCAACCACCCTATGACCTCAGCTATAGTAGTATTTTAGCCTGCTCCTCCTCCTCCTCCTCGCTGCGGTCCTCCCACCCCACCCTCCCCTCCCCTCTCTCCCCCAAAATTCTTTCCACGAAATCCTCCTGCCTGCTGTGCTGCATTCTCTTTCTCTCTCTCCGGGCATATTATGGCTTTGTCCCTTGAAACCCCACTGCTCCTTACATTCTGTATACCACTTACCGAGAGAACAACACGGCTTGTTTTTCATTGACCTAAAAGCTACAGCGACAGAAACAGCGATCGTGGTCATATACCAAGAAGAAGAAAAAACAAGGTTTTGTACATTTTCTGCAAAAAAAGTTGATAGCGGAACACAAAGTAATAAGCTGGCAAATGTGTAATGCCGACGACGAACGACGGACCACAAACAGCAACAACGCCAATATCACACAAACAATCAACATTAAACAAGCTTCATATTCGTTCAAAACGATAAAGAAAGTCCGTTAAACTTTGTACAACTATCCCTTGTCGTACAGAACCGCCTTTTTTGTATTCGAATCATCGATATTCACCGTCCCCTCCCCCACCTCAGCCCGTCGCTAAATCGAGTTTCTCATTTTCCACTTGTTGAATGCATCCTTGGGGTCATTTTAACGGAGACACTCTATCTCGGCTGCAGTGCGATCCCCTTTGTACGCGACTTGAGCGGGCTTCCGTACACGCTCTATCTCCTTTTGAAAGCGACATTAGAGAGAAGGCACGATAACAGAGTTCTTGTTTCGTTATCGTTGTCCACGTTGCGGAAAGACCCAAATTAAACGTAGCCAATTAAAGTGCAAACAATTAACTAGGCTTTTTAGCACTTGATATTCAAATGATACTAACTATCCGACTTATTCATTCACAGTAGAGTGAGTATGATGCAGTATGCAATCATCGTCATCGTCGGATCAAAAATACGAAAAACACGGGTGTACATTAACTTCCTACTAGCAGTACTAAGCGTACTTCCGGCTGTTCTATGTATCTCTTGTCTTTTTCACAAATGTCAGTCTGCATGACACTTCTCCGATAGAATCTTATACGTGTGTATGTACACCATGTAAGGTTTAACGAGCTGCTCCTGGGGCTGCTCCTGGGACTATCTTCCCGTAAAAAAGGGTGAGGACGATATGATGGATGGGGTGGATCAATAATTAAGAGTGTGTATGTTGATTAAAAAAAAAGAAATTCTCTGTGCGCGCAACTTTCCCTCTTTCTTTTTTCTCGTGTTTAGCAAAGGTATACATTATAAGTCGAATTTTCACCCTCCTCCAAAAGCCCTCTTTCAAATAAAAGGAAGAGGGAGCTGGCTTTGTTTCTCCTTGGCAAATTTCCTCATATAGGTGTCCACCTCGCCTCATCATATGATGTTCACACCAAGAACTAGGGTTGTTCTTCTTCGGCTGGAGGGCGAGAGAAATAAAGAGAAAAGTAAAACACACATTTTTGGAGAAGGCACCAGGCACGATTTTGAAAGAAAAATGCTTTTTTGAGATCAAAACGGAGTCGTTTTTTATCAAAGCAGGAATACACGAAAACTGTACAAAAATAACATCCGGCCGCCCCTCGTCTTCTATTATCCTATTCTTGAGGGTCAATCTGTTGTGTTGTTGTTAATAATACCTCTCTTGTTGTATTGATGCTTTTATAAAAGCTTTCGCACTCGATATAGTTCTTGTAGATTGGTAATTTTATGTGATATGAATTCTCTATTGGATTAACCTCGATCCCAAACCCGCGGAAACCAATAAGTTTGTTTGGTGCAAGTAAACCGACTATTCGGTAAAAACTTTAAAGAGAAAAAGAGAAGTATTTGGAAGGCGTAACATGCATACACGGACATACATTCTATGCTTTTTATTAATAAAAACTTATCACAATAATTGACATGCACATACACACAGTTTCTCCTTTAAAAAAAGGTTCAGGGAGCATTAGAGAACAAACTTTGCTTGTCTGTGTTAACAAGTACATGTGCGAATTCTGTCATTGGTGTAACCATTAGCTACATTAGTTCACTGCAAAAGATTCGAGATGACGATATTATATTAACCACAATCCCATACTAAGAGTTTGAATGAACGAAAAGCTAAAAGCGTTCGGCAGGATGTAAGTAGATCATCCTGTGCAACCCAGTCCTGGTTTCTGTTTTTTTAATTAATTTTAAAACATACCCAATAAGTCGTTATAATAATGCATTATGTTTTTCGAATTAAACCTTAAAAATATCAGTCGCCATGGTAACCATTTTTTAGTGTGGTGCTTTAGCCCATAAAAAGCATATGTTGCCATGATATTGAAGTCGTGAAAACCAAAGTAACTTGTCAAAACAGAACTGGCTATTATGGAACCATTAAAAATGGACTATACTAGGCAGTAATGATTGCGATATTCCATAGAACGAAGATATTACGGTTATTGGATAGCATATATGAGGTTTGGGGAGCTGTTAAAGCGTTTCCGCTAAAAAAGTTTCAGTGAAAATGAGTCGCTGCTGAGTCATCGAATAGGCTTATGCACACAGAACAAGAACTAACAGCTTTTCTATTTAGTTGATGCGATAAAAAATGATCTTTTAGCGTTTATCCATGCTGCAAATATATCAGTTATAAAAGTGCTGCATGCTCATTGGTTTTGGAAACAGCAGTAAATAGCAACATCAGATACAGCAAGAACAACATCAGACAATAATCAAAAGTCCCTAAGAAGTGCGTGCGCATAGAAACATTAGAAAACCGAGAAACATAAAAAAGGGAGAAAGCAAGTCAAGAGAAAGTGACATAAATTTATATCAAGCATAAGCACGATATAACTGGTAATAACTGATAAGAAACGTCTGCTTTGATGCCAATTGTGGTGCCACCACTTGGTGCTACTATGAAGGATGTATACATATGATGCTGTACGGATGACAAGTCCTGTTCGGTGTCCTCAAATTTCTGTTTCCTGTTGACACAAGGAGAGAAGAGATATAATGCTGACATCCATATATCCCGTTTTTTTTCTTATGGGAGCAGAAAGCTTATCATAAGGACAAATAACAACTAGTGGTAGCAAAAAGAGGACATACATGAGTACAGTGATATAATACTATTGCTTTCTATACATACTTAAGATAAGGGAAGCTCATTTATCGACAATAGAAGAACATGCTTTGATAGATCATATTTAATTTTACTTTATCTGCCGGATTTCACTATATCAAATACCAGAAGAAACTAGAAGAATTCCTACAAACCAACTCCTTTTCTAATAACGTTCTGGTGCATTCTCATTATCACTGAGCATCATCTACCAATCATGCTGACGCCATTTGGCTACAGTATGTGATAGATATATATACTGCGACAACAATACTAAAGATGATAATCATTACGTACTCGTCGCATCATGTCCACAAATCTGTATATGCTACTTACAGACTTTTAGACTCGTCACAGACTCCAGACGCCACCCTTTGCATCTTACACAGCTATAACTGCAAGAGCTACATTTCCATGTTCTAGATGTATCTCAATAATTCCTGCATAAATGATAGCCACCCTATAACAATTCACAAATGCCAAACCACTTATCACGACAAAGAGACACGTACGACAGAAAAAAAGAACGATAGAGCAGCAAGTACAGGAGGCCAGAAAAATAACGATAAGCGATAAGAAATATATAGTAAAAGGAGGCGATACATACACTTTTATTGTCTATTCATATGCTCTGTCGTTCTTGCTGTTTCTTCTGATGCTTGTTGCAGGTCTTCGCACCAAAGTTCAAGGCCATCCTGGCAATGCGTGTTTGCTCTCGTTTTTATCTCTGCCCTTGCTCAAACTAATGTGGAATGGATAAAGCCTAAACATGGGATGAAAACCTCAAGAATCCTTATAGGAGACATTCTCTGGGCAGCAGCTATCATACATACCATGTTGTATACATTCCATGTTGACTACGCTACTGTTGTTGCTTCTGCTGAGATGATTTTCATCTCCAACACACGAGTATACGTAGTGCTAATTTACCCTGAAGATCATAATGGTTTGTTCTTTCTCTTTTCAAGCTACACATATACTATATTCTTACAGTGAAGCACATGTCTGTGCTTTCTTTTTACAATCACTCCCTACCCCCAACTCCCCCGTCTTCAAAAACTACATACTCACAAACTTTAAAACGTACATCGTGTATTCCTTTACCCTTCTTTTTATGCTCCAGAAAATCATAATCTATGTGTTCGGTACTAATCATAACTTTGTGCACTAGTCTCCGTGGTTTGAACAATAAAATACTTTGAAGTTGCAACAGTATGATAACGGATCCATGTACAGTCGTGTAGCACCTAGAATATACATTCATATTATCAAAATCCTTCAATGTAAGCTAATATGCGTCGCGTTTCTTATTTCAATATGTTGTAGTAATACATGAGCAAGGGAAGAGTAATTTTATCCTTTTTTTTTGAGCTTACAACAATAGTAAGAAAGCTCGTAAAAAAGACATGCTGCAGATACGAACACTTCTCCTGTCCCTTCTTTCTATAATCATCTCCTGGTTTCAAGCCCTTCCTAATTCTTTTTAATTGCTTCTGCTGTCTGTCCTTGTTGTTCTTGTTGCTTGTTGTGTATGGTATGATTACGGCGTAGTTTTCGGCACAAGTAGCACTCTTTTTGGTTTTTTCTCTAAATATCTTGCTCCACTTCTCCTACTTTTTGTCCTTGGTCCATCTGTTCTTCGGGGGTCGACCATGATATCCGTCCCAATATTCCTGAGCCCCAATAGATAACGAAAAACAGTATTACTGCAACTGCAACATAGTAGCATAATTGTCGTTTGTGCCGTGTCGATGCCATGCGATTCATGCGTCCATATGACTGTCGAAGTGTTTGTCCGAGTCCGCCGAATGCACTATTCTAATAATACGTACGATAGATATGAGCAAGAAGGGAGAAGAAGGAGTGTTGTTATACGCCACGTGTCATTAGTGGTATCATTATTTGAAAGTGGGCACTCTTACCGACTCATCAACAAGCCTGTCTTGATCGTTCACATCTTGATGCATATCAATGGTTATCTATAATCAGAAGCGCATCATATTTAAGCTTTAACTTAATCGAAAGCAAGGGTGTGATGCAGTTGCTAGAACAGACAAACTTACGTTTTTCAATGCTGACAATTTTGAGCCGAGTTCATTCATGCGAACATCATTTTGTTGCTCAAAGACATAGCTATTGTTATTGTCGGATCTCGATTGGCTCGAGTCACCACGATTACTAGCATTCGACCTATTCCGCACACAAAACAAGGCACCAAAGATTCACGTTATTGGAAAGCTTCCAAAAATAAAACAGGATACTAAATTGTCACTTCAGGTTACCACATGCGTTAGGAATTTCACGTTTATGACCAAAGAAGAAGCGAGTATATTAAAGCATAGAAATAAGAAGAAAAAAGAAACCCAGCAGTTATTATTGTTCTTATTAACTATTTGTTCTTTAACACACTCAATAGTCTGGGCTGTCGTTTTGGCACCGGGCTCGTGTCATTGAATTGTACATTTTTGGTCGTCATTCGTGATACCTCAATGAAAACGGCACTTTTTTGTTAGCACATGCCATATGTCACATAGCAACAACTATGCTGTGGGGCGATTTCTTTTAGGCTATCGTTCTTTACCTTTCTTTCCTTAGTTTGCTGTGCAGCAGTCAAACCCATACGCGGTCCAGTTTCACTGGTCGATCCCAAGCTGCTATTGACATCGTTCAATAGGTGCCTTAACCGGTTGCGTCGTTGGGCTCTTGCAGTTGGACTGGAAGCAGGGTCGTCACGGACTCGTTCAATGATGTCTATTCTTTCCTCGTATTCGTCCACCATGGTGCTTGTGATCATGTTGGTGTGTATTGTTGCTGACTCTTCGAGAATGTCAATCGGCTCATCCTGTAAAGGCCGTATCCATTTATTAGTGAATCGGCCAGAGTATGGAAAACTACTTGTAAATGCAGACTATCATAGTAGGTAGTAGGTAGTACAGTAATTACAAGTGATGATAGACTGCTTACCTCGTTGTCATCATCAATGGGTATCTCGATCTCTTCATCGCTTTCCATAATCATGCTGACCTTGCTGCCTGGCTCGTTTTCTTGGTCATTATCTTCCTCTATATCGCTCAAGCCACAAGCATCATTTGTCTCGGGTAAGGGCTGACCGGCTTGTGCGAATGCTCGTGTCTTTGGATCCTTAGCTGTAATTAACGTTCACGTTAGTCTGTAAAAAAAAATTGTACAAAGTATCAAGCATTTAAAGGTATGTACCTAGTAACTCCAATCCATCCCCACTTTCTTCCAATAGCTTGCGACGTCGTTCAGCAGCAGCTAATCTCAATGCAACAAGGTCATTGTCGTTATCGTCGTAGATATCGAAATCTTCCAGCATGAGACCCATTTCTTTCGCAGCCCGTCGTCGGCGCAAATCACCGCTCATAATATCCTTCAACAGTCGTTCAACCATGTGCTTGTCCGTTTCCGCAAGTTGGTTGTTCAATGTTGCTCGCAGCGCTTCTTCATCCACATGCTCATCAGTTTTATCTACCAACATGCCGTCTTGCTCGAATCGATCTAAATGCTCGTCGTCACTTAAGTCAGCACCACCTGCACCATAGTATTCGTCTTCAGATTCTTCGGCCTCAGCATCAAGATATTTGCTCTTGCTTTTCTTCTCGGATGATGATGGATTCTGTGTACAAAACTAAGCGTTAGAAAATGTCATACACGAAAGTTTATCACTTGATGACGCAAAAGAGGAAAAAGCCTACAGTTGTTGTTGGGGTATCTTTATTAGTAGCAGGATGGTCCTTCAAAAAGTCACTTAATGAAAGTCCTTCCTTGAGTTTCTTTGATCTTTCGTCGTCGTCATCCGACTTTTCTTCTTCGTCATCCATAAGAATGGCGTTGTTTCGTTTGCGCTTGCCAGTGTTTGTTGCTCCCTCATTTTCAGCAAAACCAGCGTTTGTGTTATCTTGATCCTGCATCACCTCGTCTTCTTCAGGGCCTACTATTGCAGTGTCGTTGCCTTTGTCATTGTCGTCATCGTCTAATAGGTCCTTTTTCAAAGCATCGCCATCATCATCGGATCCAAGTAATACTTCTTCGTCATCCGGTTCCTCTTCATCACCAGAATACATCAAGGGCGCTTCCTCCTCATCGATATCATCTGATCTGCTATTGGTAGCGGTGGGATTTCGGTCTTCTGCTTTCCCTTTTAAAAAGTGTTGCTTTACTTGAAGATCGATGACCTTGGCTTCTTTTTCCAGCTCTATCTGCTTTTTTGCCCGTTCTTCAGGAGTTAAATAACTGCCGCGTGCACGTGCTTTTTCTTCGTATTCTTTACGCATTGACGCCATTTCTTCCATCATCCTTTCCTCCAATTTTTTGTTGAGGTCGCGGTGGGTCATGGTTTTGCGTACAGGTGATTGTTGCCAAAACTGCATTGGTTGGCGCAACCTGTCAGGAGATGCAAGTTCGTATCCACGCTTGGATGGGCCTCCAACAATTTCGATATCGCTATCGTCATCCTCTAAAAATGCCATCATTGCTCGTTGTCGTCGATCTGGTTGCTGTTGTTGCGCTGGTTCGTTCGCCTCACTGCATGATAATCACTCTTAGCCCTTCTTTTCCCTTCTGCTATCCATGTCCCGCGATAGTCAAGTTACAGAACTCACGTCAACTTTGCCAGACCACATCCATCTTTAACTGCGGATTCTGTTAGTTTTCTTCCTTTGATCTTCTCTACAGCACCGCCAATCACCAGCTTATTTGTTCGAGGTTGTAGTCGTGCTGAAACTGAACGAGCAAAACGCTGATTTTCTTGATGCATTAACATTTCGGCCTTTTTGGACATTTTACGCTTGGGCGGTCTCTCACTTCTAGATGTAGCTTCATCATTACTGCTGCTGCTGCTGCTACTGTCTCTGTCATCATCCTCGTCGTTGCTGCCGTTAGCACTGCGGTTGCCTTCTTTTTCACCTCGCTTTCCTTCATCACTCTTTTTGGGAGCTCTCTTTTTACGAGCGGATGCTTTTGGCTTTGGTTTTTGCTGCTGCTTCTTCTGTGGCTGTCGCCGGCGACGACTAGGTGTGCTGTGTGCGGGTTGGTCATCGTCGCTGCTGCTATAGTCGCTATGTTGATCGAGGAAATCAATGGTCTTCTTCCTCCTTACTTTTGAAGAAGATTCTGTAGTTGCTGGAGCTGGAGCTGGGGGTGGTGCAGTCTTTAGCATTTCTTGGATAGCTGCTGACTTTAATGCTGAAGGTGTACGAAACAGTGCATTGTCTTGGATTGGATCGCCTTTTTCGTCATTGCTGTCATCGCTATCGTCGTCAATGCCGTCCTTTGTAAGTGTTGTGTCTCGCATAAGACGTTTTAACCTGGCCGGCAAATTGAGATTGTCGAAACCGTTAAATGGTGCATCGAGATCGTCATCGTCGTCAGAATCAGAGAGATTTGCTGTTTTATTCAATACTGTCTTGTTGAGACCGGTTGATTCAGGGGTATTAATAGCATTGTCTTTCAGGTTGCCCTTGTCCTCGTGGTTACTCGTTTCATCGTCAGACATATCGGATAAGTGCATGGCTTTAAGTCTTCTTAAGCTATCAGCAGCAGTAGCTGAATCTGCTGCTAATCGTGAAGTAGTTTCTGTACCGGAAAGATCTGAAGAAGTGTCCATTTTTAAAAAAAAGGGAGAGGGAAAGGTGAAGTCGCGAGAATATAATAAATGCGTGAGCAGAAAAAAAACCACACGCGACAGCAAAAAATTCGCGACTGCGCGTTCCAAATCCGAAAACGGGCGAATTAAAAATCGCGTGTACCTTTTCAAGCCGACAAGGACGCGAAAGGGTCGAGTTGGCTATTGGATTGATGGCAAGTTCAAAGTAAGTAGCTCCCAAATCTTCCTTAAGAAGGGACATGCTTTTGCAGAGTCTTTTCAAACTATATTTTTGGCAAGGAATTCATTGTTTATAAGGTCTCTACGAAGAAGCAATATAGCAGCCACTTGTTCACTAAAAGCGGGCGGGTTGTCGTAGGCAGAAAAAGAAAGCGAGCCTTATAATCATTTGTACGTGAATATTATACTTATGATAGATTTGAAAGGCATAATGTACATCAATGATCGTGTAAGTGACGGCTCTGAGTTGAATTATTGAGGTACATCTAGTTGTTTGATGCCTAGAAGCAAAAACTGACTTAGGGATGCTGGAGTCTTGTTATTATGCGCTGTCGAGTAATGGAACTATTAAGCTGTAGCTATTTGTATAACAATGCCGATACAAACTATTTTCTGCATTAATGTTGTCGCATGAGTGCTTACTCTTTTGTTGCCACGAGCAGATCTACTTCTCGACTTGACGTTGGCTCATATGAGCAGTTGTCATCTGCAGGTTGTCACTTCTTTCCCGCTTATGTAATTTTTGCTTTGTTGCCTCCGGACACTGATGCCGCTCTTGGCTAAAGATGTGTTGCATCGTGCAGGTTTATACTGCCTTGCGCAATTTGACAGTCTGATATAGTAATGTTGAATTCTTATACGCGTAGCTACCTTTTTGTCGCCACAAGAGATTGCGACTTGATGCTACGAGTTGCGATAATGATTGATGTAATGATAGTGTCATGTTGAAACACAACATTCGATTCTTTAGTTTCTTTGTCTCCACAGTAAAGCTCGATGACAATGATGATGTGTCCTGTCCGCTTTTCGTAAAGTTGAAGATTAACATGCTATCGATACTCATTGTATGTACTAGCTCAAAGATCCCTTGGGCGAAGACTATGCGTAGCTTTGGTATAATGCAATGGTTTGTACGATGATTATTTAAATTGTCGTTTTGTCCGCTAACATAGTCGCACAGACGGTCATTTTCAAACGTGATGGATAGGCATTCCCTTATTTTGGCGGACATATCGCGTTTGAACTTGATCCGTCTGTGCGTGTATTTTTAAAAGATAGCGCACTGTTGACAATGACGTGGTCGAAAATAGATATCAATACAAGCTTGAAGAGACTTTGTTTCTAGAAATACAGTGTGGGTACAGTATTTCAAGTGCCACAGTGAGTCTGAGACAAGTCTGAACAATTTGGCAGAGCTTAATACCCACCTAGAAAATTCCAACTTGCTGTACTTCGAAAAAACGACCACATCAATTGGTTTTTATATGTTTAAACTAATCACACAGAACGAACGCGTAAGAGAATTGGTCTTTCAGCGATGGCTTGATGGACTTCATTATCGTCACTATCGACGGTAGCGCAATTGCAATAGTAATTACGCAAAATCCAAGATATACCTTTTTAACGCATGATATTCCACGTCTATATTTAACCAAGTGTCACATTGAGAGGCAGGAGCTTTTAGGTTGATCCTTCAACAACCATGACATACAGTACAACTAAACTTATATAAAGTCTTTTTGTCCCAGGGAAATATTAGCGTAGTATACCTCTGATTGCTACATACTCTTTCTTTTGAGCAGTGTTACCATTAAATTGAGCGCAGTGGTTTCGTATCGATTAAGCCTCTCAACCTTGATGCGTCACCATAAACCTTTGTCGGGTACCTTTATCCTCCTTACTGGGAGGATAACACTCTCAGTAATTTTGGCTTGTATGCTACAGCGCACAACGTGATGCACTTGACCAGTACTCACTTTCATTAGATTCACTATCATATCGACACACTGTCTACCTACCCAACAATTTACCGTGGTCGGTACGTACTGGTAAATCTGAAGCACCCTCGTGAGGTATTTGTACGACACCATTGCGAAGACAACTATTTCACGTCCTTACAAGCCTGTAGACACACTGAAGCTGTGATGGAATACAAAAAATGTATTAACTACATATGCATATTTTCATGTACCCTGCCTACAACAAGCATATATCGTAACTAGAAGAGAACACGTATTGCTGGGTGAGATTGAACAAAATCTTTTGTATTTTAGAACCAGGTATCAAAAGCATTCTACGGAAGCAGGAAAAGAACAAGGTGGGATAGAAAACAAGTGGCGGGGTGGTGGTGGTGGTGGTGGTTACACGATAGAAAGACAATGTGAAGTGTGTAAAATAGAGAGTAGGTGGATAGGTAGGACTATGTAAAGAAAGGACGATGATGACAAAGGTAGTAAGTATGGGAAGAAGAGTGGAAAAAAAAAGACTTTTCACGACTCGTTATTTCTTTCAGGGGTATTTTTTTTATAAAATCCGACTCTTTCGACGTATGTCGAAGAAAGTAAAGTAATCGTGTTAATATCCCTCCTCGATTCGTGTTTTTTTGCGAGTGTGTATATGGTAAAATAGATGCTTTACTGGCAAGCACGGATCAAATCTTCTCTTGTCTCGATGATGGCAGGGACCTGGATGGTCTTGCCTCCCACAATGTCACGAAGACCTTCACCAGCATAAGAGACCCAAGGAGAGATCTCGAACTGTACCTTCTCACAGTCGTCGACATTCTCACCGGCAACCTTGCCACCAGCGGCCTCAATGAAGCGGATATGCTGAGCAATGATATCGCGTCGTGAAGTTTCGGGGCAATCGGCACCGGCGCCTGGGGCGTTTTTCAAAGGCGAGAACTCTTCCTTACGGTCGACCTCGAGTACGGAGAATTGCTTTGCAAAGGGGAACACGTCAAAGACAAAGCATTCGAGCTTCATGCCGCTGTTGGTCTTGGGAGCAATCTGTTCGCCAGTCTCCAAGTCGACATACTTGATCTTCTTCTTGGCAATGTGGTATTCCAATTCGGATGCGAATGAAGGAACGCGTTCCAAGAATTCAGTAGAGAAGAAGTGGTTGGCAATGTTGGCGGCGCCAAAGGCCAACGAGCCATCCTCGCGGCGCTTCTCGGAGACCTCCTGGGAGATTTCCGAGTATTCAACGACACCATAGCGGCCGTTGCGAACGCAGACAACACCCACAGGTTCTTCGGGGGCGGTCTTGACGGCAACCTTGACACCACAGTCGGTGTTCTTGGACACGCAGTAGCCAATGAATGCGGGATCAGCAACACGGGCCAAGCAGTTGTCAACGCAGTAACAGTGAGAGTACAAGACGCCACGTTCCTTGAGCGACTGAATCACACCGGTGTTCTGCACAGCAGCATAGATACCACCGTTGCCATCAGGGGCAATAGCCACCTAAATATACACACCCCTTGAATTTAGTCACTCTTGCCAGGCAGCATACGCACACAAACAGTAAACAATGAGTAACGAAACGTACCTTGCTCTTGGACTCCAAAATAATCTTGCCCTCCATGGTCAAGCAGGGCAAAGTGCCTGTACAGATAAATAAAGATGCAAGCCAATGAGCATATGGTTTCATTTTCACACGAACACGCACACACACACACACACACACACACAAGCAGAGATAGCCCAGTTTCCGCCCCCCAATCCTTCTCGTAAACTAGTTACCTTGCTGGAAGAAGATGACGTTTTCTTCCTTGAGGCCAAAGAAGTTGTTGGACTTGAAAAACGCGTAGGTGGCAGCGTGGGTCGGACCTGAGGTCATAATGTACCAGGGGATAATGCCTTCGGACTGATCACCAGGCTTCTTGTACTGACGTGCAATGTCCTGGAGACGCAAAATACGTTCTGCTTGAAGTTGGAACAAGCTCTTGCTGGACGGCAGCTTAATGTCATAGCAGCCCTTGGGTGCACTAGAGCCCAAACGAGTGCCTTGACCACCTGCCATCAAAATGACGGCCACTTTACCCTGTGCAATCTGCTTCAACCCCAAGGTCTCCCAGTCATTACGGGTCTCTGCAGAGGCCTTGATGACGGAATCAAACACGTCTTCTGACAACGGCTCCACGGCTGCTTCTTGGTCCTTGCTGGCAGCTTCGGCACCAGCAATGGCCTTGGTATATATTTGGTTGACACGCTCGACATCCATAGCAGACAGCTGATCATACAACTCGCGTTGTTCTGCAGGCGCGAGCTGGTCGAGAAACTGCAGAACGTGTCCCTGACCAGCTTGTTCGTAGCGGGTCTTCAAGGCCTGAAGTTCGGAATCGGGGATGTCGCTGATGGTCATGGTTTAGTTGTGTAGATAAGGAAAGATGACGGGGAGATGTGCGTGTGGGTGGGTGAGTGGGGGACAAAGAGATGATAGAGTGAGAAGAAGGAGAAGAAGCAGGCGGAAATAAAGGCCAGAACCTTTTTAAAGTTACAAACAGGTCAGGGCTAATGCGTGTTCTGACCTTCTGTCAACAAAAACTCTTGTCCCTCACAGTGGCCATTATAGCCATTCCACGGAACGGAGTTTTGGGCATGTTGCACTAGACCGATATTTTATTTTTAACAACTCAACTCCAACTCTCCGCAAATAACGTTCGTCGTAGACAGCGACAGAACTGTCATTCGAACAATTAGGCTTCACGGGCTCAATGAGTGTGCGCATGTGGTATGCTTTCTATAGAAAAACGTCCTCGATGATGGTGTATAGCCATAGCTGCTGCTTTGTTCTCTCTTTCTCTCTCGCCAAGGAAGATCGATTACATATGCAGGGGGGACACGCAGGAATATACGGAAAAGAAAAGGGGGTGAAGGCAGTTGTTGAATCACATTAGTTGCTGTCAGTTTTTGGCTCAAAGCACATACAGCTTGTTGGGCGTGGGCGATGTCTGTTTTAACCACAGTGCCACGATCTCATTTGACGAAATAATCAGGCTTATTGGAATTCACGGGCCATCTAGAAGAGAGCTATATTTATCACGGCTGCAGGAAAGGAAACCCGAGATAACCATCATGGATCTGCTGAGTGTGAACTACGACAAGAGGAAGAAATGCCCTGTGTGCTGTGCTTGTGCGTGATCAGCTGATTATCGATGTCAGCAGCACTTATTCCTGTCAAACACCCTCTATGCATGCAGAGAAAGACGTTATTGGCCGGGAAGCATTTGCTGCTATAGTATTAGTTTGATAGAGTATCTGCCGCCCAAGGACAAGGACGGAAAATCATCGTTCCTCGGACACTCTTCTCGCTAATGCTCCCCCATGTTTATTGATCAACGTATACATTAAATGTCTCGCTGGTCTTAAAACTGATGGAAAACGATGGTGACACATTTCGCTCTGGAACATGCAAATTATCACTTGCATGCATATATCAGCACTGATAAACAGTAATATGTATGTTGTAATATATATGCTCTACATATCGAAAAATGGAGGGTCATCGAGGGTTGGCTTGCTTCAGCAGTAGCAGCTAGAGGAAAGGGGATGCCGTCTCTCTGACTTGTAGTAGCACATGGTGAACGATAATGACAAAAAGATATCCAGCATGTTAATCATTGGACCGGACTTTGAATTACCGACGATGCAAGGTCTCACATTCAGTAGGTCCCTCCCCCCATAAACCAGATCATGGGTAGCACTACTAACAGTGGTGTACTAGGCCAAACTCCAATGATGATATCATCATTGACTTTCGCTCAGAAAAGGCTAGTAAGCTCTTGTATCACGAAATTTGCTCATATCATGGAAATGGTCTGGTTCTTGTATTATGGAGAAATTGAGCAACGGTGGCGTCCTCATCTTGTCATGCAAAAGGAAAGCACAGGAGAAAGCTCACACTGTCGCTCAGCGTATCCAAAGTGCCAGAAACTGTCCAAGTTGCTGGTGCAGTATGCGTATGAGACAGCAGCATTTGTAGTAACGACGTGTGCATGTTGTGCACTTTAAGTTTGTAGATAAAATATAACGGATTCCTTTTTAAACTAACATTAGGCTACTGTGGCGGCGCGAGCCATGTAATAGCCCATCGCGACATAACAAGAGTTGTCAACGAAGCATTTATTATTGTCGCTCTCCGTACTGTAGCAGCAGGTGGATGGATACTTCCCAATGACCTATATGCGTTCGTGCACGAGTATTCAAGGTACGTACTAATAATAATTTCTCAGCCAATCATATCATTTAAAGTGGATATACACTCATAATCGATTCTTGCGAACTTGCTTCCCTAACATGTGCTCCTTTACACATGTTTGTAGTTACGAGTCATTTCTGTAATTTCAATTAGCTCACATTATCTCATAACACTCTACTGTATTAATAGAAGAACGCACGCTTGTGATAAAAAGAAGGCTTTGTTAAGGTGGCATCATTGGACCGAATTTATCTCGCTGAGGTGCGGGGAGCGAGCGGGCTAAGGTATTCTTTCCGATCCGAGGTCGAACACGCATATCCCACTTTAAAAGTTACTACAGATAGCAAGCACAAAGAAAGAAAGCGCGTGGTACATATAAAATTCAACTTTTGGGTGACCAGATACTTTTTAAAAGTAGGCCCCAAATTTGGCCAGTTATAGCTGTCTTGCACCATAACATTCACAAATCACGATTTACTTTCGTAGTTGTATCCTTGCTAATATATTGTCATAATACAAGGTCGTGCACACGATTCTCGGGTGTTTGCCAATTTGGATCTAGCAAGAGACATATAAAATGATCCAGATACCAAATGTCCAAATGGCTCATACATAATTGCAGGTATGTAAAGACGTTTCATAAATTATGTCTACATAGCAAGTTTATGCTAATTATAGTTTTTGCATTGAACAGATTCCGCTTATCTTCAACGCCCGTACATTATGACACCTTATCCAAAAAACACACGAGATCGCGCCAAGAAAGACTTTAATTATGCTTTATCGTCGCAGCGTATGGCAATTGAACATGCATTTGGTGCGCTTACTTCGCGTTGGCGATTCCTTAAGCATTACTTGTACCAGCTGAATCCGGTCGATCTCGCCACCACCATCTATGTCTGCTGTATCCTTCACAATATCTGCATCGACCGACCTGGCAACGAACTCCCGGATAACATTGATGATTTTGACCAGGAGCTCAATGCTAATCATCTTGTGAGCATTGCCGAAGTTGACGCGCGTCGTGGAACAGCCGAAGAAAATGAAGATAGTGGAAATGCCGAAACCGCAACAGTAAGCTCGGAATCGAATACTTCCAGCATGCCGTCTATTTCTGTCGAACAAGACGATATCCTAACCGACGCTGAAGTACGGCAGCTACGGCAAGCAGGGAACGCTAAACGCGACATACTCAAGGATGAGCTACAAGCACGTCATTCTGGCCGGCGTCAAGCATAATTGATTCAAATAACACAATAAAAAAAGTCTTTGAAAACCCAATTTGTTTTAAGCATATCACTTATCCGAAACGGTCTGTTGAAGTTAATTCTTGATTTCTAATGCATGAACTTATTGCGATGGATTGTTTTGTTTTTCTAGAATTAACAACCCTCGCATCGGTACCGCAAAATATGATTGAGATAAGTCCTTATAGTTTCCACAAGTGTCAAATAATTTGTGATATGATAAGCAATACAAATAAATACATTTATTCTTCAGTGTTATTTTGCTCTCTATTATTTTGACTACGGGTGAGTCCTACAAGTGCTGCAATTACATCTGCAATCCACTCCTCTGCTCTGACCCTTCTTTCTTCTAACTGTTGTTGGCTTTCAGCTCTGTTTTCAAGATCGACCATCGCTTGAAGCTGCTATTGAAAACCTCGCTCATCGACCGCTTCGCGCTCTGCGTCGAGTGTACGTTCTTGTTAAATGAACTGTTCGAGAATGCTGTCAAGTTTTTCGAACAGCTGTTCACGGCCTCGCTCATGCGCCTCCAAAAGCTCGCTGCCCAAGTCGTTGTTAACTCCTCGTCGCTTGGCTGGTGGCTGTTCTGCATCATTCGTAACAAAGTTGCCGTCATTTGCTGCATCGCGAGTTTGAACCAGGTTGCCTTGATGATTTAAATCAATGGTTATTGGCGCTATCACACTAGCATCGTCTTTGAGAAACGCCATCATCGTATCGTAGTGAGAGAACCTCTCTTAATCAAGTCCTCCCTCATTCCAGTCTGCTTCGTTTCACCAGTGAGTCTTTGAAAGCGTCGAAGGAGCTTATCCCATTTCTTCTTGCAAGCACTTCTGCTACGTCGATGTCCAGAACTGGCATCCTCAATGAACTTTTTGTAGATCTTGTCTCACCATTTACCTTTTTCTTGGTTGCTTCTACCGTTTTTCCAGCGAGTATAGTATTCTTCCACAGCGCGGATCAATTCTGATTCTTCTTCTTCCACCCAGTCAGTAGTCGATTCTTCTTCCCTATCATCACCAGAGTTACGGTATCGAGGTCAGAACCTTCATTGGCTTCAACCGTTTCTGATTCTTGCTGTTGGGTGGCGGGAGGTGTTGGTAGGACAGGCTGGCTACCGTTTCTTCTATTGCTGGAACCTTGCGTAGCAGGAGACCAAATAATGAAATTGTCGCCCATGATAATAATAGAAGATAAACGAAGTTGATGTATTATAACGATAAAATAAAAAAGGGATAGATTTTGATGATATTTAGCGTTTATAATTTCTTTTTCCTGCCTATTGATACAGCCTGACATTCGGTAGGCATTTATCATGAGGAGTGAATTCATTCTATGCTGTTTTGATGGTCAATTGTCTTTTTCTGTTCAGTATCTTTTACTACTTCTTGGAAATGTGGACGAAAATAGTAATAGCATGGTCCGAACGCCCGCAACATTCCTCCTAAAGTGTCCGTACGGGCCACCACAGTTTCGGTAATACCCTACTTACTTCTAACTTAGGACCCCCGTCCGGACGGGCTTCGCCCTTTTTGAGAACATCCTAAATAAGGGTTAAAAGCTAACGAATTTAGAAATTAGCGCGGACAACTGTACAGATAATGAGGAGACACAATATGCAAAAACAAGCTTCTTTCATTGAACTGCTATGGATATCATGAATAGTTCCGTAAAAGTTCCATGCAATCATGGTATGTAGGCTGACTTAGTGCAACTTGATCAATTCGATAACCCTGGCTCTATAGAGTTCTTCTATTAGCTACACAGCATACTATATGTAGCAGAGTATGTATTTAGAAAGAAAAAGAATGCCAAGTTACCGTAGTCGATATAGAACACAGCAATGGTTTACCCAACACACTATCGAGAAGACCAGTCTGTCCGTCATACGACATGAGTTTGAACTGTTGGGCAGAAACACCTAATAGGGCCTAAGATACAAAAGTACAAGTCAAAGTTACTTATTTTGTTTATCATCCAGTCATTGTAAAATTAATATGCAACCTTACTTCTTCACAACCAAAAGCCGTAATCATTTGTCCTTCGCAATCATCCAGCGTCCATTCTACCCATCCACGGTTTGAAGATGTTCCTGGAGAATCTGCGGTCGTAACGATCGAAGAACGGTTCCGGAACGCCTCCACCACTTGTTCTTCAGGTATTAAACATTTGCAGAATTCACATATGCGCATACTCATGCCGCCGTTTGTGTTTCTTGCTTCACAACTACGATAAACAGGATGGAAACATGCTGTATCTACAACAAGCCATCCACCCATCAGATTGTCCTGGATTTAGCCAGTCATTCATAACCATTGTAGTATGTGAGGTAAACATGGTTCTTCTTCTTTTCTATAGCAAGTGTATATTTTCTTACGTGCATGGATGGTAATAATGTCAGCTGGCAGCCTTCCGTCAGCTCTTGCATATTCGTCAGGGTCTTGCTCATAACAATCGCCAATAACCATGGTATCATCTTCTGTCCGTATTCGCCATCCGACAACAGTGATATTGACTTGCCATGACCCTTGGTTGCTTTCGACATTTTGGATGGATTTAATTTGACGCAAACAAGAGCTTGCTAGTAAGCCCTTCATGGTGGATACTATTCACAAAATCATTGTTTTGATATCTTCTTTTAATTTTCTTAATTTATAAAAGACCCCTTCTTGTAAGTTGCTTACTGTTGTATATTTCGGTACCAGTGACAGCACTTCCATTGACAAACCAACTGGTGCCTCTGTCAGACACGTTACTAGACGAGGTAGTCAAGCCTGTTAACAGCACATATTGGCCTGGCTGTAATTTTCTTGCTTTACGGCCCGCCTGTTCCCATAATGTCACATCCACTTTGCCTGGAAATATGTTGAGATGACCATTATTAAAACTTATCTTTACAGCATCTAATTAATCTAAGGACTTCTCCCCTTTAATTTACCTGTGGAATCCACTATCCGCATCGCGTATCGATCCATTTTCGTTTTACTGTCTTGTTTAGTAAAAGGGTTCTAGAACAAGTTCGGTGTATGCATAATGGTTGGTATCTCGTCATACACGTAATGAATGACATTCTTGGCTTACATTACTGGCGATCGCGACAACTCGACACAGGAGAGTGATATTTAACATGGACGGTTCAAGATCCTTGATAAAGATACGGTTTGGGTATGCCAAACAATCCATGAATCCCTGAATATCAATAAGATTATTTTGTGTCGTTCGCATTCGTCAGAAATATTGATAAAGCCGTCCTCTTCATGTTGATACAGAATAAAAGGGTTTAATTTACTTCTTCATCGCGTTCCATAATCCCTTTTTTGGTCGTTTGTTTCTGCTGTTTTTGTGAAGAGTTAGATAGTAGACTATTATGAATACTATCGCGTCGTCGACTTTGATGAGACATTTGACTATTGGCAGTATCTGCTTCCACTTTGTTTACACCGGCCTGCCGTGCATCTTTCTCTGCCATGTGAAATATTACTGTGTCTTCAGTGTATTCGAATACAATATCAGAATGGGATCGTTGACTTTCGGTTCGTGCGGTTGGGAATCCAGGATTGTATAGTCCGATGTAGTCGCCCTACATACATTAAGCACACGATAGTATGAAAGAGTAACTTGTTTAAGGCACGTCTATGATAATTTTGCTTCTTGATATTGACTCTAATGTAAGTTTAAGCCTATCATCTTAATTACCCTCGTCAACATGGTTGCAAGTTGCGTCTGCTGATCATAAAGTGACAGAACGGCTGGTTCGTTATCCGGCGTCATATCCACCACAAATATATCGGTTCGTCGTAACTTCGTATTTTCGCCATCATCCTCGGTAATGAGATCTTGATTTACATTCTGATTGGCAGAAATGTGTTCTGTTTTTTCGACATGTATAACCTTTTGGGTGTGTGTAAATGTATACTATGAGCATCCTACATTTTGTTAGCCCGTAGCATAATATGTTAGGAGATACCTTGAGCCATAATTTATGCAAATGTTTATTCAGTCTCCCCAGGATCCCAGGCTGTATAACGTTTCGCAACGAGTCTGTAAACTCCCCTCGGATAAAGTTGCCGTCATTTGGTGTAAGGACAAACATCAAGAGTTGTGTCGGTGGTACGCGAGCAACACGTGTAATTCGGCTGACATCCTTGTTATCATACTGTGATGAGATTGGAGAGTTGATCTTTGCACCACAGAACATACGCATAGTTCGATCCTAACAATACAACGTGTTTGTTTATTCTCGATTCTCCATCGCTGTCTGGAGACCGTTACAATCAGTAGGTTGGAGAAGGAAGAACCTGTCATGGTTACCTTTAGGAACGGAATACCGGATCGTAGCGACGGTCGTGAGGAAGCGATCCACTGATTAAATTTTGGATGCATATACATATCCATGACCTTGTATGACATGCCATCAGATACTGTAACAAGCCGTAAATTACACATATTGAGTTAAGAATTGGTTTGCGCTTCTTGATATTTGTAATTTTATCAAGTTTGTCGTATCAGACAAGACAAAAAGGATATAGATATCGGCCAGGGAAAACAGTTGCCAATCTTTTGTTACAACTTCCAATGCAGCTGTTCGCTGATAATCATACATCGATTGAATGGTACCGTAAGCTATAATAACGGTGCAAACAAGACAAGATAAACATTTTGAATCATTGATATTATCAGCGATAATGCTCCTTACCAGCACCAAATCCTTTGCTATGTTTAAAAAAAGCTTGCTCCCACTATCAATAGAGCATATTAAAGTCAAGTATGTAAGATGTCTTCTCTATTCCACTCCCGTTTCCGCCCTGTAAATACACTCTTATGCACATACCTGTAATTCCAGTTCGCTTAAAGCAGTTGCGTCTGTGAGACCTGTAGAGTACTCGGAAAGTAGACGAGCTAATGCAGCCGCCACCCATGACCTGGATTATAGAGATCCACATAAGAACCAATCAGGTACACTAATTCTGAACAAAGAAAAGAGGAAAACAAGTGTGGGGACGTTACCAAGGGATCACAGCCGACGATGCCCAGGCAGGCTTATTTGAAGCTACATTCGCTTTCTTTAGAAACACTTCTTGTAGAACACCATGCAGTCGATCGACAGCGTCGCTAAATTCCATGAGTGGAAGGACGCGAAAGAAAAAGTGCAGTAAAAGGAAGTAAACGCGCTTTATGTGTCTTCAACCGCGTATTTCTCCCGCCATCAAATTTCCAGTGCAGCTTGTCGTTGTCACAATGACAGTAAACAAAGGACAGACATCCTGAAAGATAGCAATTCACCACCGCTCTCGTCGCTATAAAGTCCATCTCAAACATAATGTTTCGAGCTGTGCTAATGCGCACTTTATAATATTGTATATACAAAGTAACATTGCCGTAACAAAAGAAATGTGCTTTTTTGGGAGAGTTTTATGAAAGTCAAATTTGGCTTTCGAAAATGATGATTCTGATTATGGCAGCAGTTTATTATGGATTGCATATTGCCATGGAGAGCTGCTCTCTTCATATTTATAGAGATGTAATATAGTCACCATAATTAAGCATTACTTTTAATATCTTTGACGAGCTCAGTTTATCGTCATCAAGTGCCTTATTTAGCACGTATTTCCTGCCATATGCTACTTAAAATTACAGCTAACTTTATGTAATTTCTTCTGTTATCATAGCTACACACTCTTAGTTGGACAACTTGATGAAATGTTCAGCACGCTGCTCTGATTGTGCGACGAGATGGCTCCAAAGTTTTGACCACAATAACCATGAAACGTAGTCCTATCAGGTAAATCATGATTACATTTGAGTACATACAAAAAGGTTTAGTGTATTACCAGGATCGAGGTCTATAAAATGCGAGATTCTTGGATGCCTTGCTTCGTTCGGCACAGGCTGTTTCGTTAGGCGATACATTCGCATCGCCAGTTTATTAGATCAAGCTTACGGGGAAACCGTTCGACCTCAATGAAATTGTTTGGCATCCGCTTTGTAAATTCTTATAAATAAAAGTAACCAATGAATAAAGCACAATAATATACAATTAAGCAGAGTATGAAGTAGCACTGGATGAAGCTGCATGTACCTCCTTGTTGAGTACCGTCGCTTTGAGCCTTCTGAACGTCAAAAAAGCGCATACACCATCAGTCTCGATATACCCTCTGAAAATCGCCAATTCCCGGGTGGCAAATGCCCTTGTATTGGTAATTTAGAAAACAGAAGATTGAGTATATAGCTGCTAGAGAAAACATGGCCAGTTCACAGTATTTCTTTTTTAAACCAAAAAATTCTGATACGCTACCCTCCTGCGGACAGCGTCGTTTATTTTCCCGTACAGTATCTTCCATCTTATCATTTGACACACGCCAAAGTTGCCGCTCGCTAATTGGGGGCTTGCCGTACCTTGTAGGCCCTCAAGGGCGCCGAATCATCAGCAGGTAGAATTTTCTAGAGTAAGTACTTACAGAGTATAGAAAACAATACTTAATTGAGGCAACATATGTGCCTCGGATTTGCGGTACGACTTGCGATCAGTACTTGAGACAGCACTATATGGCAATAGATAAATTCCACACAGTGCTTGTTGGCAATGGGTAGCAGGGCTCATCTTGATCTCTCGTAGAACTCTACAACGCACAGTGAAAGTCAGTGATAGTACACTGTCATCCAAGGAAACATAGTTACTGGTGGTTGGAAAGGCTCTGCATACTGTAATTCTTAATTAACATTGCAGATTGGCAAAATATTCATATGTTGTCTAGAATTTATAGAAACTGGTCTATAGTATATATATTTAGCCCTGATACTGGAGATAAAAGGGCATGCAGAATCCCGCGTCAGCCGTGAAAATGGAAATATTGGAAGGTTAGAAAACACCAGGTGTCATGGTAAAGTATCGTTTGCACGAGATATTGAAGAATATCCCTCACATCTATAAAGTTATTATCTATTTTTTTACTCTTTCTTATCTTGAGAATTAAAAAACGTCTTTTGTACCACTTCCTTTCTTTGACTATAAGATTCATCAGCATCGGCCTCATTAGTTGTGTATCATTTATCATTATTCTTTTACTGTGCTCACGAATTGCATGAAGCTGAAAGTTTAATCTCGGCTATGTCAACTAAAAGCGATGGATCAAGATAACTTTGCTTTCTGAAACAAGGTATATTATAATATAGAAAGAAAGCAGTTTATATTTTGGAGACGACATTTAGCAATAGCATTATTGAACTACATGTACTTCGAGCAGTGACACAGCAATGTTACATATAACAACAGTCGATAACATCTCCTCAGGCTAATTTACCCAATTATTCGTATCTCCCTTCAAATCATAGCTCGTTTTTATTTTGCATGGCCAGTTCCAGCTTTGTATATGTGTTAAATGCGCTTTTGTTGTTGATGATGTGGTAAGTAATTCAATAGCGATATGGTGTGGTAGTAATGATGATGATGATAGTTGTACATGTATCGTAGTAGTAGCAGCAGCGTGTGTTTTCTTTTTTTTTACTCGTCCATCTCCATGTTCTCGACCTTTTCTTCTTCGACCTTGGCAGCCTGGAGACGCTTCTTGGCTTCCAAAGGAGCAAGCTCGATGTTTTGCTGGACCACTCTGATATCGTCGGCCTTCTCCTTGTCGTAGTTGCCAGACATACGGTTCTTGTAGAACACACGTTCACGTTTGGCACGAATCTCCTGCACACGCTTCATGGCCTTAACAGTGGTAGCCATGAGGTTACGATCGTAGCGGACTGGAACGTTGCGGCGTTTCTCAAACTCAAAGGTAGAATCCTATTATTAACGGACAACGTTATTATTACGATTCACACATGATTGATTGTGAGCCATGCATAACATGCCTTTATTTCATATATAGTTCCAAAACTTACAATAACCATTTCCTTGCCGCTAGCCTTACGGAAGGCCTTGGTCCAGCGAACCTTACGGGGGTTACGCTTCATTTTAAAGTTCTTGTGGCATTTTGATCGGCAGAATCGGAAGGTCTTTTATAGAAGCAAAATAAATGATTAACCAAACATTTCTCTAGATCTTATGAATGAGTGAGAGTGTTGCTTTGTTACCTTGCTATCATTACGCACAAACATCGTGCCGTGACCCGGGTAGCAAGGACCCGAGCAAAAGTAGCAACGATCAATATGCATTAGATTTCTGTGGGATTGCTAACGAACTTGCCAACAAGCAAAAAAAATTGTTGTGAAAAAAATACATAAAGGCAAGTCCGCTCCGGTTTGACCAATCAATTGAGTGACAGCCGCCCTATTGTTCCTTATATAGGCACCCTTCGCTCCTCTGTAGTAGCTAAACACGACTGTATGTACATATGCCTGAATGCTTACCAGTGAAATAAAGAGCTTGGTTGCGGCAGTAACACAGATCACCTACGCGACAGATAAAAGCGAGATTATTAATCCCTAAATCTCAATATCTACTAGCCGCGCTATTTTCCACTCTTACTCCCACAACGTTTTCTGAAAACTACTAGGTAAGCTTTTCAACTTTACTATAGTTCTTTCACAGTGTACTCTCTGAAGTCCACTTTCGAACATTATTGATCTGGTTTACATAATTCACTTTTTTCTTACTCAATGGGCGATCTCGTGTCGAGCACTCCTCCGCTTCTTATGCTACAACATTCTATATTAGACCTGGGACTGCACTCGTACACACACATTTCCTAGAGATATGGAATCTTACAAAGGAACTCATTCACAGCAGAATCACGAGCTAGTGCGAACGAATGCGCTTTACGCATCTCAAATACGTAGATTGGAGGATGAATTGTATGGTTTACGGAGCGAGAATCTGGAGCTTCGTGAGCGGCTCATACGTGCTGAGCGTCAACTCGAATTGAAGGAGAAACAACAAATAGTGGCTGCTACTACGGTTTCAGCCATGGCTATGATGAAAAAAGACAGGTTGTCTGTACCAGCGTTGCTGGGCGATACTGGTGAAGAAGGCGAAGCTACTTATACTAGTGCCACCACTACTGCAGAAGCAACAGCAATAGTTAAGCCTCCATCGCTGTATCTGCTACTAGATGAAGAGCTTGAGCGAACAGATGATCATAAGCAGCCTGAACAACATCAGCAGCAACAACTACAGACAAATGATATTGATGGCCTAGAGCATCAAAGGTATGATAACCGTAGCAACAACGATACTGGTTATCGCAACACAAGAAGTGAGGAGAGTGCAGAGCCGCAGTCAGTCAATATCACCCGCCGTAAAGATACCACTAATGCTGTCATGCCGACGCCAAATAAACGAGTCAGAACACGTATCAGTTATGCCTTACCTAGCGTAAAACAGAAGCTACGAAAAGGCGACCCATTCACATTCAACGATCCAGTCCCTCGATAATAAAACATGTTATGATCGACATAGACGAATGTTAAACTTTTTATTTCTACATCTACGTGATGCTTGGTTTGCTTTACAATATACTATGTTACATGTTACATAATAAAAACACACGACATAATTTCTTTTTTCTTGCCCCTTTACAAATAATAACAATTTTGAGAAAGACACAATGAAAAAGCAACAGGACCAGGAATAGCCCTCCAGTGCAGTTACATCGCTTCCTCTGCAACAGTGATGGTTGTACAGATGCAAGGCTCCAGGGCTCGGTGTAATTATTGAGGATTATGATGAACAATGGGAATATAATGGTGTGCTTGCTATTGCTGTTGCTCTAGAAGGTGATGTGGGCAGGGCGATGATGGGTACTGATGTTGTTGTAGCTTTAAATCACTTTCGTTTTTGCGCCAGCTTGTTTGCAAAGTTCGTGATCTGAAACCGTTCCTCTTCACCAGGAGGCCCCGTTCTTGACAATGTATCCCGCAATTGCCGTAGGTATTCGTCCATTTTCGTTACCGATGGCGCCGTGTTGTTGGCAAGTTTAATATTCAGTTGCATCATGATATCGGTCACAACCCGCTTAAATTCTTTCTGTTGCTGCATTTCCTTGCGCATGGTTTCGACTTTTTTCTTTTCTTCTTCTAATTCTGCTTGTAGTTTAGTCGATTCGCTGGCTTTTTTCTGAGTTGTCTTAAGATCGTGCTTGAGATTTTCGCGTGTCGCTTCGAGATAGTCCAAAGCGGATTGCTTTTGTATCAGTTCTTTTTTTAAAAGATCGACTGAATTGCGAAGTTCGATTTCCGCAGAAGTGGGAGACAAAGAAGAAGACGATGATTGTTGTTGTTGAGCTGCTGGAGGTGGTGGCGTAGATGATGGAGAGGTGGTTGCCATTCCAGATGTTGGAGTGATAATAGCCTTGTTGCGAATAACATTTGCCATTTGTGGCACTGCTGATGACGATGATGATGGTTGTGTTTTGACAGTAGCTGTTGGGGGTTTAGCGGTTTGTTTCGACAATGACAGTGGTTTTTGTTTGAATCCAACTATTGGTCTGTTGTTGTTATTGCTGTTATTGTTAACGACATTACTGCCGGCACTATAGCCATTATTGATGAGGCTGCTACTACTGCTGTTATTGCGGAAACCGTTACTGCCGCTCTCGTTACTGTTTTCATTGCCGTATTTTAAGATCTTTGTAGGGGACTCTCTGATCGGTGAACCTGGTCTCTTATAATGAGATGACATGGAAAAAATGCCATCGTCAAATGACTGATGCTCGTTGCACCTCACGAGATTGCCAGTGGGCATGGGATAACCAACAGCAAGAATGCCTGCATTCGCCCCGCACGTAGCATGAAAACTTCTAGATTATGCGATAGATCCAGCCAGGAATGGTGTTATTATTGCCGTATGTTTCAAGGCGATTGTTTGTGTAATGATATAGATGACATGCTTACTTGGAGCATCCAGGGAAACTGCATTTTAGACATAGACCTTGTCGTTTCATGCACACGTAGCATTGCTAAAGGCAGTTTGAGCATATGAGTAACTAGTAGTAACTATAGCTATAGCAGAGTTGCGCCGGTGGTGGTTTACGCTACCTGGGTATCTAAATTTTTGTTTATATAATAATACGGTTCTTTGTCGTGCTTGACATCTTTGCTGTAAGCGGCACAAACAACATGCATAAATTTGCCAACGTGTTGGGTGGGCTTTAGGGGGCCACTTTGTTGCGGGCAACACACGACTTCCTAGAGAAGATTGAAACAAACATCCCGTGAGTTTTGGGTTAGCAGTTACACTTTTCTCTCCTTTGTCTAACAGAGATCTTTACTGCTATGTACCATCGGCCTTCCACGTCGCTGAGCATTGCACCGTTCGCAATACCAGTTGCCCTCGGGGATAATGCTAACACCATAGCACACTACGGTCAAGATAAAAGAACAAAAAGATATGTTTAGCAATCCACCCTTTCCCCCTTGAGTCCCTGAGCTCTTAAACAATAAAGGAGGGGTGCAAGAGATAGATCACATTACATTGATGCACAGGCATATCGCAACCTATGATATAGTTTTTTATAACGACGATGATAGGTTAGTGTCTTTTGTCGATCAAGAATGGTAGAATCAGCCAACAATAATGACAGTTGCTCCTTTTGTGATACGATCGAATAAAAAGTTGATATGTACCTTTGCCATCGCAGTATAAGATTTGGTTAGTCACCCGCGAAGTCGGGTCATCACACACCGCGCAACGGTCCTGGGTTGCATTTCGGTTGATGGTTGATAGGTGGGTTGTGAAATTATAGTTTACACATATAACAAAAGGTAAGAATACCAGGTCAATGTCAAGTAAATTAAACAGATTCCTTTTTGGCTTCTAATGCGCACCTCGTCTGCCATGCTTTATACGAGCGTTTTATGTTTTTACAGGTTGTGGAGAGGTTGCGTGTGCTCGTAATTGCGTGATATTTTCGATGGAAGATACACGGTATACGTCCTGTGGCAACTTTAATCCTTTATTGGTTTGTAAAGAACGCTGCTTTTCTTATTAACAAGGACTGATGGTGGTTGTAGCAGTTGCTGTTGTCGTTTTTGAAACACACAGTATGTGTGTGCCTTTTTTTAAGTGCTGCGGGCTCGTTCTTTGTTTTTGTTTATGTATTTCAACTTTGCTATATACTAGCAAACATAAAAATATTGAGCACCAATAGAAGAAAATGTGCGTGCGATGATAGTGTGGCTACTTTTCTTTTTGTGCGTGTGTGTCTAAGGACAGGAGAGAAAAGGGGGAAGAGTTTGTTTTTTCTCAAACTCAAACGAATAGAAAAGAGACAAAAGAACGAGTTTTCCATAAGAAAAAATCCGAGCACGCTTTTGGTTATTCTCGCTTGTTCTCAATTTTTGTGACGTCGAAATTTCCCGATCCTCCGCTATACTCTTGTGCACAGGTGGACATTATCATTATCTTCACCACCAAATCGGGTGTAAGGCACGTAATAGTACGTATGCGTAGTAGATAAATGTAGATTCTACTTCGGTGTAGCTTTGCTATCACATGAGTGAGTAGCTCACTCATATAGTAGAGACATATATACCTGCTTGCCTTGAAACGGTCAAGAAGCATACTGAAGAATATTATGAAACGGCACCTTCATCTCTCTTCATAATCGTACTTCATTTATTACACAGAAATACACTTATGCAGGTTCTGTCTATCATAATCTATCTTAGAAGGCTGTCTATTACTACTACTACTGCTGTTGCTGCTGTTGCTACTGCCGCTGTAGCAATGTACACCAGATCAGCCCTAACAGAGTAGGTGAGATAGGATAAAGTATCTTTTTTATATACACAAATGGAACGAGCCGTTATAACAAAGAGCGTAAAGTAAAATTAAGTATTACAATTTAAAGGAGCAGAGAAAATGTATGTTACAAAAGAATATAACAATGCATAAAGTATCAATAGGGAAAGATGAAAGAGAAAGAGGGCTCTACGATAATTGTTGCTTTGCTACCCGTCGCATATTAGACGAGATCCATTGCGTACTACATCGTGAATCTTCGTAACAAGACTCTACAGAACGAATCTTAATCTCAACCAATTCTGCAACCCTGTCAAGAACAGGCACGTCTGCAGGAATATGTGATGAGCAGCAAGGCCTTGTAATGGATATATGTGGTAGAAAGGGGCAGTGCTCGAGATCAGATGCAAACCAATAGTTTTCGGTTGTGTAGCGCATCAAAGTATTTACAAAGTGAGTCAACACTCGAAATTTGTCAAAGTTGATTAATTTTGGTGAAGGTTGCTGTTGCTGTTGTTGTTCGGGCAACGGCGCTGGCGTTGTCATGGTTGGGTTGCCATCCATGAAGAATGTCAAGTCCTTGAGAATAAGAGGGAAAAAAGGCACCACTGGCGCTTTTGCTGTAGCCAACGCTTGACGATAGTATCCCATGTTGTTTGTTACATCCACGTATTTCTGGAGCGCATCAAATGCGCTCATGTCGCGGCTCGACAGTGCTTGCCAAGTATTTTCTAGTCGCTGAATGGTCGGGCACTGAAGACCCATGATGATGATCATGCCAGTATGAAAATTGTTCCATTCGATGCATAGCTGATTACGAAATAAACAGAAAATGGCATATCATCGTGTTAATTATATCAGATGATAATCGAATACCACCGTTTTATATTCCATACCTTTGCAATATGGATGAGCTTTTTAATAATCATTCGTCGCTGCTTTGGATGTTGAGGTGAACAAACTTCATGCAGTATCCAATGGCTCAACTATACACACCATATACCCAATAAAATACAGTAAGTTTCTCGGCGAACATGCACACACAGCCATATTAAGCATCATACTGTACTAAAGTAACCCCGCGTAAATCATCACTGTTAAGCAGTATGCTGAAGGGTGAAGTAGTAGGAGGTAGGACAAGTAAGGAGAAAATCTTCTATTTTCGCACATACCATATTCGCTCGTCTCGTCAATATTCTGGCATATCCACTTTTCTTTGGATTAGAAAGCTCGTGTTGCTGCTGCGAGTTATTGACACTGCTATTTCGCCACGTTCCTCTGAGGTATTCATAGGGTGAGATATTTTTGAACACATTGAAATCTGCCAAGGTCAGATATTGTGCGACGTCTTGTGCATCCAGGGAGGCCAATGCAGATGATGTTGAGGATAATGCCAATGCATTAACGCCGCTTTTTTTGAATGTGAAAGAAGGAGAAACAGTAGCGGTGGAAAGAGCAGGTGGTGATGATGGGATTTTAGTCGGAGGTGCCGCAGCAGTAGTAGCAGGAGTCCCTGGAGGGTAGAATTCGCGGGCATGGGGTCGTGCACGTTCTAACCATTCAGTGGAAGTAATCCTTGACAAAGATGAGTATACGATGGCCGAAGAAGAATGCTCTTGCTGTGTGTCCTATTTTTGAGCCAAAAAAATGTTGGTTTTAGCACATTCCCCCTTTTGTATTTCTACAAGCACACATTGCAAGTATAACAAACCTGAATATCCAACAGGTTTTTGATGGTGGCAAGCTCTTCGCCAATCTGTGCTGCCTGCATATTTATGAGCAGAAAACGATGTAACCGATGTAATAAGGTGTCATCTACTTTAAAATCCTCGTATTGCAGCTTAATCCAACGCGTTATCACATTTATGACTCTACATTTATAATAAATGCCAGAGGGAGGATTAGTAAACCTAATGAAAATAAGCCTTTAACTGATTTTCCTTTTACCTGAGCTGAATACTTCTTTGCGAAGTCGTTCCATATTCATGCCACGTAATGCCCTGGAAAACGTCTTTAAGGTAATCAAAAAGTTTGGCAGAGCTGATGAATGCATGATGACTCAAAAGGTATGTGTCGACATAGTCCAAGTCTAACAATACATAAGGAAAGGTTTGAAATCGATACGGCACGACAGAGTAAGTCGTACTAAAGTATTACAGTTTAACTGCCACTTACCATGAATTGCGCTTTCTATCAACTTTTTGAAGAGTTGAGCGCCTGTGCCTGCAATGACTTTTTGTTTGTCTCCTGCAACAGGCTGTGTAATTAGAATAGCATGTCCATTTTCACTAACATAATTTAATTCATCACTTGGCTGGGTGAAATCTACAAGAAAAAAAAAAGGTATTATGACTTGAGCTATGATGTGCTAAGTGCAAGCAGTATCTGTTTTCTAAGTGTCTTACCAATACGGTTTTCGATGTCCAGAGACCGATATAACTATGCGACAACAGTTTCAAAATATGGAGTGTTAATGTCGCACTTTTTAACTCGCACTTCATAGACATGGCTATAGAAACATCAAACTATCTCAACTTACTGTATCACGGGACGCGTTATTAACAGATTGTACGATAGTGTCGCTATTGCTGCCCATATCAGGGTCAGATGTACTGAAAGGTATCGGGCTTCTGCGCTGTTGCTGCGATGACCTGCTTTGTGAGGTTTTATTGCCTTGGATACTGGCGGTCCGTCGATGAGGTGCCCAATGACGAGCAAGGACAGAAGACAGACTCGATATACCAATAGTTCCAACAGAACGATACGATGACGAAGAAGACACAGCCTGTCGTTGCTCTTCAGAAGATGAGCGCCCTTCTGCAAATATCATTGCCTTGCTGAGTAGAGTCGACGTTTGCTGTTTTTGTGCTGCTGATAACGATGATATGGTGGCATAATTGTTGCTCGCTCTGGTATTTTTTCTTTCAGATCCTGGCTCAGTAGTAGCTGGCTCAATAGCTCCGTCGTCTAATGCTGCCGTCGTTGTGTGTACCTGTTGTTGCCGATCATTGTCATCGGTATCAGGAGAGAGAGAAAGAGGGGACGCTATGATAATAGACGAGCGTCTACGATGATCATCACCGTTCGTGTAATGATACCGCGCCATTTCCAAATCAAATATTCTTGATTGGCTATTACTTTTTGCAGAGTGAAGACTCGAATATGAAGAAAACGAGCGTGCTGAGAAATACGAAGATGAGCGTGTCGAGATTCTGTCGAAATTCGTGTCCTCTTTCTGGCTGATGGCCGTGCTGCCGCTTCGTGGAGAAACAGTAGAAGTCCCCGGGCCATCGCCGCTGTTGGTTGTAGTAAATTTCAAATCTGCTGTAGGCGATGATTGTGTAGTTGGTGACTCGGGGACACTGACGGGTGTTAGGGGGCCGTATGTTCCCATCGTCAACAATTCCAAATCGTCATCATCATCAGAAAAACTTCGACGATACATCGCTGGCTCCTCGCATCCAAAATGCTCCACGCCCAATTGCTTCTGCTGTCTGCTAGTATCCCGGCCATTCATATTATCTGATGATTCAGATCTAGTCGTCGTCGATAGAGTAATCTCGCTTGGCTCTTTGTAGAACATAGTAGAAATCGCAGGATGTAATGATCGCTGATATTCTGAACCGTTGCTAAGACGCATTGCAGCAGATTGGCGTTCGCATCTTTCCTCACCCATTAAGTTTCTGCTATTGATTGGATACATGCTGTTGTGCTTGGCAATCTCGAAAGGAGAATATTTGGCATCATCACCGCACGACCATCGCTGCCGCTAAAGTAATAACTACCATCAGTATAGTCATTGGATGTATCCTGCCTGCATGAGACAGAAAGAGAGAGAAATAATAGCAGAAGATATACCTCTTGTGATGAATATAGTTTTACAGTTTCAGCCATATGATCACTTGTAAAACTTCGTCGGTTGTTACAGCTGCTGGCGGCAGAGCTACTGCTACTGTCTTCGTCCAAGAATGATCCTTCGTACTTTGATGATTTTCTCATCAGTCCCGGTGTAAACAGTTGTCTCCAACTCATAGAATGCATTGATTGATAATTATGGCCGTTACTGATATTACTAGCACCACTACTGCGTTGCTGTTGCTTTGTCGCAACAGGGACCACTTTCGACGATGGTGATACCTGATGATCGCGTCCATGTCGAACAATCATCGTTGCCGATCCAAAGAATGTCCGTATGGGATTTTTTGGGCTTGACGTTGACGAGGTTGATGCTGTACTACGCTGGGAAACGCTTTGCATTGAAATCGATGACGCATTTTCTTCCGCCTTGATTCTCATTGATGACCATGGGTCACCACTATCATCATCGTTGATGTTGACTGACGAGAAAGCGTGGTCAGGAAAAAACACAGTGGATGATTTTGATGATTGTGGTGGCGTTTCTTGGCCCTGTGCAACAGTCTTCGTACTGTTTGATGTTGTCGTTCGAAATGACGATGAAATGCTTCGCATAAAACGACTGCCAGCTGTTTCTGCAGATTTTCGCTTGAATGCCCTAACGTGTGAAAGTGCCATATAAGACATTTCTCTTGTGGATATTTATAAAAAAGCTAGAATGATTGTCATGAAGCTCTACCTGCTGTTGTCATGGTACTGCTGTTGGTAGTTACTGCTCCTTGATAAGTCTGCACTGCTTCTGTAGGTCATGTTGCGTATAGCTCCAATATTCAGTTGCCCATTAACAACTGGAGTAAGCAATGCACTATGCGTTATTACTTTTTTCTTTTGGTACTTTGACCTTCCGAGAACTGTATTTACTGCGGTTACTTCTTGAGGGAATGAAACTAACCTTGATGTTGTCGATGAGGTGCATCAGCATGATTGGTTGAATGAGCAATCCACTCGCTTTCTGTTGTGTTGCCATTAAAAGCAAGTAATGCATCGATGAGTTGATGAGAGTGTGCTATTAAAGCGAGGTGCACTGACTATATTCATATTGTATTATAGTTTTTTAGATAGAGGATATGTATAGGTGATCAAGAAAGGAAGATCCTTGCATAAAAGAGGCTAAAGAGAGAGAAATTAAGCTAATTTTGGAAACCCACACGAACCTGCGGAGAACTGCATTCATATTCTTCTTCTTCAAAGCACCCGGCAGCAATCATCTTGTTATATAAAGCATGTGAGGTTGTTTCCACAAGATCTTTGGCACGATTTACATGGCCAATGATTGCATCTGCTTCGCGCTGAATAACTTCGGCCAAATCGGGCCATTCAGGCAACGTTAACCGTTTCCGACGGATGGCACGTCCGACTGTACGTGATACCTCAATATTATCACCGTTACTGCTATTAATACTAGTGCTTCTTGTGGTGGCGACAGTGCCAGTAGACTTTGTTGAATTGCTAGTAGCTCGTCTGCTTCTTCGTCTACTGCCGTTGTTTACAGAGATGAGTGTGCCAATGATCGACGCGAGTAATGCTGATGCGTTTGAAAGTGCTAGTGAAACGTGTGTTGGATTGTCGATGTGAGCAGATGCGCTTAATGCACGAGGCGTAAGTGTCAAGATAGTGGTGATAACTGATGCAAAATTTCTCACAATGTCCTATTGTACAAATAGAAAGGTCAATCCCGCAACATAGTGCGTATATGCATCATTGCTGTTCGTCATTGTCTGCTTACTAACCACATCATTGCAATAAACGAAGAAAAGAGGTGGGTCTGAACTGAGCAATTTTAACTTGTCGAGTATGGCTTTCGTTTGCTTTTTCTCGGATGTTTTCGCTGCTGTTGCTGCTGCTGATGTCGACGTGGTTGGCTTTATGATGATATTCAAATTATCTTTGTGATAGCTATTCCGTCGTCGTATATTATGATTCATCATCATGAAATATTAGTTATTAGTCAAAATCGTGAAAAAAGGTTAAGTACAAAATATATAAAAAAAAGCAAAAAAAAGAAGACAAACGGAGAGGGATCTTATTTAGGATATAGTGACAAGAGTAACAAGAAGGGTAAAAAGAGGGCAAAAAGCGGACGCTTCATCGGGGCACTGCCAAACTCCTTTCTATCTATGTCTCTTATGCCGTGCTTCTCCTCCTCCTCACCCCTTCTATTTCTTCCTGTCCCCTTATTTGCTATGTCGAAAGTCTGACGTGAAAACAAGCATGAATATTTATCAGGCATTGACGGACAAGTAAGTGAAAATAAAAAAGTAAAAAAGAGGCTCGTTAAGGAGATAGCGAGAGACTAGAATAGTAGCTAAAGAGATGATGATATGAGAGAGTCAGACATCAGGGAGTAAGTTGGAGGGGGTTTGAAATCGGAGGCAAACACCTCGCAGTATTTTATCTAAAAAGGAGACACATGGTGCACATACGATGCATCGTACAGCAATTTTTTTTGTTGTACATAGCATATCAATGCATATCACAAAGCCCACCTCCACCAGTAGTAGTGGTAGCCAGCAGTAGTTATGTGAGGTAAATCTCAAAGATAAAACTCTTGTTTTCACAGCTAATGAGTATAAAGTAGCGGTAGCTAGGATGAATAAACGGGAAGAAGTTTCAATTAATCATTTCTTTATTAAGCTGTTGTGTACTTTTCACTCTCAAATTTCATCGGTCATCATTTGTCGTCTTTGTGCTGTCCTATATCATTAAGGGATAGAATAAAGAAGAAAAAAGCCATGTATCATTGCCACTTATCAGTTTCAAACGAAATGTGGATGACGTGGTATTATATATAATATGTATATCTGGAAGGAGTTGTTTTTATAAGCTTATTATAGCTATTCGGGTTGGCAAGATGCATCTTTTAGATTCAACCGCTTTAATGTTTGTTTAGGTATCTCAACATGTTTTCTATGACGTACTAAGCATACATTGCTACATACAAGGTAGAAGTGAACTTTCTATGTTTGAATTACAAAGAGACGAAGAAATACAATCTTATCTCACATCTACCAAGGTACTGTTAGAAGAGGAAGAAACTAAGACGAAAAAATAATGTAGTACAGTAGCTAGCCATTTAGCATTTGGGAGCTAATAAAGCATCATAACCTTGTATTTTATAAAGAAAGAAGGATTCACTATCGCTCTTCTCCTTTAATTGCGCACATGCCAGTATAGCGCCGTGTACATGGGCAGTGGTATTCAGGGGGGTTATATATTAAAAAGTACTGCTTTACTCTTCTTGTGTTTAAAGTAAATTCAAGATGACACAATTTCTTTGGATGTCTCCACATAGCCGCAAGCTGTCGGTATGTATAGGTCAAGTAAATGAATCTATCGACTTGTCTCTGAGTGGACTACTACTATGCACTAGCAAGCAACAGATGCGCCGGCAAATAAATGTCTCGTCCGAAAACCCGAACGTGTGGGTCCCCTTAACTCGCTACTTCTGTGATCGATGGATTTACACATCCCTTAAAAGACAAAACACATCCTTTGATGTCATGGACAACATAAACAATAATCTACGGCGACTATCACCACTTATAGATTCTGTCATTGCTAGTTCTAACAGAGGCGGTAAGCTATGAGGATCACCGAAAAGCTTGTGAGTTTCGTCGATGCAATATTTCTTTGGAGCCTTTTTGTTAATAGCATCATAAGATTTACAAAAAAATCCCTTGTTCCTTGAGAGAAGGAAAGCCTCTACTTATCACAAGCTCAGCGATTACAAATGATTTTCAACAAGTGGAAAATTATATGATAGAATCATTCTATTGAGCTTTTACTGCATCAAAAAACACTTAGACACAGTACGTCGTGGTATAAATTTCAGTATCGCTCATTAGCTTTGTGTGCTGTGTGTACAATAAATGAAGTAAAATATGTATTCCTGTGCACATTTTGACAATAACCTTTCCTCTTGCCGTGTTAGCCCCTCCCCTGCTCATGTCCTGAGCGTGACAAAGAGAAAGAGCAGTGGTACACCATCATACTAATAGAAAGGGATACAGCAGCTCGATGTGGATGGATATCTTATTTGCATAGCTTGTCAACTCATGGTCAAAAGTACATGCATTCTGTGTGTAGAGCTGCTGATCATCGGATCAGCAGCCTAAGATACATATGCATACTCTTTATTGTGCTGAAACGCTATCACATACGCTATATCTGTGCGGTGAAAGCTAGTATGTACTAAGCTTACAAAACGCACTTGCATTTGAATCAATACCAGTTGCAAGCCGATGCGTGGCTTATCTAATCGAGTACAGGATACAGTAGATGGGAAAATACAGGCCTACTCTCACTTCTAGATCAAATGTCAAAGATAACAAATGCTACTCTCTTGGCATCATCGAAATATAAAAAAGTATAAGTTATTTACGTCGCATTGGTGATAAGGTCTGCTGATTTTGTTGCAGTAATTTTACGACGACAAGGGCATATTGAAACATAGCGATTTTATTTTTAATGCGGATGTTTGTATGATGTGGAGATTACAGCGTAGACACAGCGGTCAACATGTATAAATATGCACCATTGTTTTTGTTTTATAAAGGCGGGGAGAAAACATAGGAATTTGCCGACTTGCCGCAAAAGTGAACCCAGCCAAGGATAAGGTATTATCTCCCAAACCCAGTCGTTGAAACCTTAAAATCCGTGTTTCTCCACTATGAAAAGATCGTCACCACTCAGTGCGTGCTTTCCCACCTATACATGCCCACTGTTCGTATAGCAGAAATCTACGTTTGCTTTGAATAGAAAGCAACAAGAGTAAAGAGGATAGATCAGACATCAAGGGCTGAGTCTCAGGTTGTTTGTGCGACTCCAATTGTATAGAAAACTTGTTAAGGTTTAGGCACAGACGCTTGAGCAAGTGTGGCTGCCCTCGTTTACAGTGTGTTCCAAAAATGCTGGAGGGAGTACAGGAGCAAGTTGTACAACCCCAAAACAATAAGGAACCACATTAAAGAAGGAAGAAAAGGTGAATCTTCTCTTCGAGAATAATAGCAAAGCAAAATAACTCCTAAGTGCACACAATTCATCAGCAACCTACTCTCAATGAAACAGCAACAACACGGACGGTCCCAGACGAAAGATCAGAAAGAAGCTGGAAAAGAGAAAAATGTCCGCACGCAAAAGATAGTGCAACATCCCGCCACACACAATTGGCCTAAAACCATGTTTTTTCAATTAAGCGAAAAGGTTAAACCAGTCAGTCGGATGAGAAATTGCCTGTTTTCCTTTCCATTTTCTTCCTGTAATGACAGAGGGCTGTTTGCTCACCCAAATTAAACTTCTTTTTCCTTTGCTGCAACACCCAATACATGCCCGTTCCCGAGCGATCTACCCGACGAGCACTGATTGTCGTCCTGGCAATCACCATCGCAACAACCCTCATTTACATTAGCGTTCTCGCTGCTTCCGGGCCCACTTGGGTCCCTGCTTCATCTCAAACCGTTCCGGCCGGCTACTTACGTGACCAGCAACATGCTTTTAATGCCACACACACCAATTCAACCGAGCCATGGCACTGCACCTGCTATTCCTACGATTCCGACCAACCGCTGCCCGAAGTACCTGAAAGCGGCGATCAGAAAAAGACAGGTGCGAAGGATCCCATCATTGTACCTGAATCATTTACCGATCCGCCGCAGGAGCTCATGGACAAGATCAATAAGAATCTTGTGCAAGGGCGCGTGCTCCTTATTGCCACAGCCAACTACGGCATGCGAGACTACATGTATAATTGGATTGAGTCACTTAAACTGACTGGCGTGGACAAGTTCTTGGTATTCTGTCTCGACGACAAACTCTATACGCATCTTGTCAATGCCGGATACGAAGAGAATGCAGCAACGATCCCGGAAAGCTGGCTACATCTCGACGTAGCCACTGATTTTGAAGACTATTTCTCGCCGAGATATCGCATCATTACGCACGCCAAAACATTGGTCGTTCAACGATTACTTTATCTCGATGTCACTGTCTTCTTTTCTGATGTCGACATTGTATTTTTACGCCCGCGCATGATCGAATTCGTGAAAACATATATGGACATGCGCCAAGAAACACACGCCATCTTCCAACAAGAAGGCCTCGACACTCGGCAGATCAATTCCGGCTTTTATTTGATCAAGCCAGAATACGACATGAAACGAATGCTTGCACAAACAATCTATCTTCAGGACTCGAATGAAGGTTTGACACAGCAAGGCGCAATGAACAGAGCTCTTGATGAAATGGTGAAGGACATTCGATCTTCAAGCGTCGTTCTTCTTGATGTCATGTTCTTCCCCAACGGATACGCCTATTTCGATAAAAATCTGTCCAAATCTCGAGGTGTGGAACCATATATTTTACATGCAAACTTTCGGGTAAGAAGCTATAATAGGGAACTGTGTAAATATAAACAACGTTTTCTGACCCGTTTCTATCTTTTCTTTCAATTCTTTTAAAACGACTATACATATTAGGTTGCTGGTGACAAAAAGAAAGAGCTTGTCACTCTTGGTTTCTGGTATCTTGATGAAGAATGGCTTAAGAAAGTAGATGCTCAATTCGAGCAATCGTGGCAAGAGCAAATGAACGCAATTACACCGGGCAATAGCTCTTAATAGTAGTAGAACTTTCCACAAAAAGAGGCATAACAAACCACACATGTACACCAACACTCCACACACCCACGTACACCCCCACCTTCCAACTTTTCTTTCATGTGTATTATCTGTCTCCCCTCGTCAACCCATTATAGCACGCACACACTCACATAACTTCCGTTATCTTGTACTTTATCGCATTTATATTGCGTTTCTTTTTTCCATTCCCCTGGGCTGGACCTTTTTCTGTTTTTCTTTCGCATAATACCACACTAATACAACATACGTAATCTAATTTGAAACGAGAAATGTGGGTTCGCCGTGTGTAGAAAGGAGACTTGGCGGAGACTATACGGATTATTATCCGTTTTTCCATGTTCTATACGGAGTATGAAATCCGCCTTCTTATCTGTCTGTCTGAATCAACTTTATTATTATTTACAGAAATAATAGATGGCCATACAAGCGCATATCCGCTAATGCCCGATCTCGATGACTGGATAAGAAAACCCCATGAGCCAGAGGGGGGAAATGTTCAAGAACAAGTGTGGTACTTAAAATAAGAAATAGTGTAATACTTCAGCTGAAATAAAGGAGCGTGTGATGGAAGAGCATAATAAGATGGTGAGAAAGTTATGTGACAGCGGACATGTCAGTGTCATGGCGAAAGTCATCAGAAAGCGTTAGTAATGTTGCGGCTCCTTTAGGAGGAAGCGTGCCTTGTAAAAAGTGGGTAACATAATCGTGTAGTAGCCAGCCTTTGCGGCCAAAGTCTCGGGCAATTGCGCGTGCGATATGAGCACGGTTGAAGTCTAACGCACGGGCCATGCGATAGACATGGTATTGTTTGGCATATTTTCCGCGTTCAGGCTCGGCATTGACGCGAATCTGAGGTGCTGAGGTGCGGTGGGACAAAGTTTGCTATGAGTTCAATGTTGACGTTGCTCTGATGGGCAGTCAGGTGGGGAACAAAATCCTTATGTACAAGTAATGCAACAACATCGTGTGCAGGGTAGTGGACGTCAAGGATATAGCTATTGTCGATCTTTAATTGTCGGAATCGAGCGCGGATTGATAGGTAGATGTAGCTGAATTCTGACGGTTGGGGGGTGGGTAGTAAAGACTCGAATCGCAGCTTGTTGGCGTCGTTGCTGGCGCTCTTCAGAGATACAGTGAGATTGAGGCTGTGTCCACGGGGTACGTTTCTTCGTTTCTTGGTACGATACTGACTTCGGTCGCGGACTTAGCTTGGCGAGGTGGCGGCGGTGCGTCGTGGGAGTGTTGTGCAGGAATCATTTCCATCTGCAGGCGAAGTTGTTCATTCTGTTTTTCCAACTCTTTGAGTTGTTGTAGCGCATAATGGAGTGGGCGTTGTAGCTCGTCTATGCGGGCGCGTTGGGTTTCAAGTTCTTGATGTAACGGTTCACTTGTGGTGGGGCTGGGAGCACCGGTGGCGGTAAGTGTGCTGTAGTCGTCATCCGAAGCTGGCGATGGAGAGGGAGAGGCAGAGGTTGGCGTGTTTGTTGGAGCAAGTGAGAGCATAGCATCGGCATCGATGAAATGGTCGCACTACTGGCATTGGTATTTTGCTGGAGTGGTATAGGAGTAGGTACGGCGGCTAACAATGATTAAACCAGTGGTGTTGCATTTTGGGCACTGAAGTTGACGACGATTTTTGAAAAGAGCATACGATCTGGGTAGACGGCGCGGCGAACTCTTTTAGAAGAGCCGTTAGTCATGGCTGAATGTAACACTTGGTGCCAACAGGACCTGGCAGGTGGGTGGAGATGCTGTTGTCGTGTTTATTAATGAACCCTTTTAGCGGTATTATCACAAAAAGTGATGAATAGCGGAAAAAGAGTTCTGTCTGTCCGTCACACTTTTTATTATTGGTTGTTGGTTGCCATGGCAATAAATTTGAATGTTTTTGTCCAAACTTGAGAGATCATGCAAGGTTAGCTATAACGTGTTTCAAGTCTTCCTTTTAATACACTTTTACACGATCATCTAACTATGTTTGAGTCTGTTTCTAAGTGTAATAGAGATACTAAGGAAGAAAACCAGTTGGAAAGAAGTAGGACATTGAATGAAGTTTATGCAATGTTCTGCCTGTCCATCACACTTCCTTTTCCGTGTTTGTCTTCCCCTTTATATTTGCAATTCACTTTTACAATAAAGAAGATAGAAATAATATTGAATATCGGCTGTGGATGACATAATTCTGTGCTGGATAACAAAGCAAAACTCTGATTCATCATTGTATTCAAAAATACTGATTCAGTCGCGAACGCTTGAAATGTTTGGGGGGGCTTGACCACATCTCGCGGGTCCAGTGGGGAACCCCCTGGGAGACATTAAAATCGGTGAATGACTCGGAGCTCAGCGTAAGGGCTCATTCAGCCGAGCGAAGCGAGGCAGGTGGACGTCGATAAAAAAGACAAATGATACCGAGTCATAACACACAACGGATTATCAAGTATAGACCGCGTTGCGAAGCACGCCGCAGGCGCATTATCGTTTTTTTAACTTGTGACAAATGTTGGATTCGCAACCACAGAAAATTACTGCATATACAAACCAGTATCACTTCAACAATGAGTCATTTTAATAATATGGTGCATTCAGATAATAATCGACATAAACCTCATTTTATTTCAAATTTTTATTTTTAAATTCTGCTAAGTGGTAGTAAAAAGCAATATTCATGGAAGAATGGAAGAGCGAAAATTAGTTGTGGATGCCTGGTCTTCTATGAGATGTAAGCTTATGCTAGTAAACTTTTGAGCCTCTTTAGTGGCTCCTTTAGCATTGAGATCTTGACTGTAGGCTTGATGTACTATAAGCAGCGATTGTAGTACCTTTAGCTAGTAACACGTTTGCCTGCGCTATCCTGAAAATCATGTGAATGTTCTTGTAACGCTTTGGAAGTCTATACAACATTTTAGACGAACTTCACACTTCTTGGTTCCACCCCAAATATGTTCAATTTAATTACATTCACAGTGCTACCTAGGATATAATGCAAAAAACTCCTAGGGTGGGATAACTGCAGTATTATTCTGATGAAGGTTGTTTCTCGTTATTCCAAGTAACTCCCAGTCTTGTCGTTCCTCGATGAAAGTAACTTCATTTCTCACAACATCTTACTGTCTGTTTTCTACACTACTATCTGATGTAGTGAAAGCTCCACTTTGACTAGTCTTATTAAAAGTAGTTTTTTGACGATTAGAGCAAGGCGCCATCTTTGTGAGATAGTAGAAAAGAAGAGAGAAGCAAAATGTATGATAGCAAATAGGAACAACAGCTCTATAACAGACGTGGTTACACAAGGCTACACAAGCACCTTTTCAGGCTTGACAGTCGATGACATGTTTCAATTTCTCTTATCCCCAGCTAAATATTCCCTTCATTGACTATTTTTAATGGCCCATAACATTTTCCTTCCAAAATATATTTGAGAATGTAAATCATAATATCGTTTCTAGCGATGTTCATCTATAGTTATTATGGCTCAAAAATAAAAAAGCGTCACTTTGGTATGATCAGCTTGTTCGTGTAACAACTGGGCGGTTACTGGCTTCCGCTTATTTTTGGTAAAGTTATGGGGTTTCAAAGTTGACCTAAAATTTGTGTTGGTTATTATCTGAATGCACCATATGATGCATATCAGTATTTTCATATTTCATCCACAATAAACATGAAATTAAATACATAATCGATAACTTCTAAGCAGGCATCAATGGCTCTAACTCAATAGCAGCAGTTAAGACAACAAGATCTTCTACTGACAGAATGGTATGATACTGATTTGTCCACCTTCACCAATAGGCTTTTGATACGGACACCCCCTCTGATCCTTACGGACACCCCCTTCTACTTTTAATCCTCATCAGGTTACACACATCCTACAAATATATACTTGTGGGGGTGTCCGCAAGGATGTGTTCACTGGATTTGTTCCCTTGTTATTGTTATTATACATCTTTCGATATATAACAGAAAGGAACCATAAAAAGTACATGAAAAACATTTCTTAATGCTTTTCAAACTCTCTAGGGTGTCTCTACGGATGTGTTTATGTGCAGTAGTTTATACAAGTATATAAATGCTCCTCAATAAACAGTATACTTTGATATTATATCTTCAACTTTCTACCTACGTTTATCATCCTACTATCCCAACACTATGGAGCAATTGATTGACACTACTCATACCGGATCAAATAAGCAAATTGTGAAAGCAATCAACGAGCAAGCCAGAGAATACAACTTTGCGGTTTCAACTAAACGAAGTGAGAAGAACGTAAAAATCGTGATCCAGTGCGTACATGGTGGAAGCTATCGCAATACACATGGAGTAACTGAAGAAACGCGGGGACGCCAAACAGCGACGAAAACGACCGGCTGCCAATGGACCATGAACCTAAGGTGGTCTGAGAAGGATAAGCACTGGAAAGTAACGAAGGTCAGCAACGACAATGAGCACAACGACTCCCTCGACAAGCCTCCTCAGTATTACCACCAACACCGCACGCCAACTCTCCACGCCGAGCAGCAAATATTATCATTGACAGATAATTCCGTCAGGCCCCTCATGATACATCGAGAAGTCCAGAACCACGAAGACGGCGCAATTATGACCATGAGGGATCTATACAATTTTCGTGCGCAAATATTCCGTGAGGATAATCATGGCGGCTTCAGTAGGATATTCGAGTTCCTCATTGGTAACAACTATATCACTAGATATAAGCTAGACGGCACAGGTAAAAGTCTCGACGCCCTCTTTTTTACCCATGAAACGAGTATAGCAAAAGCACGACGATTCAACGAGATCATTGCTATCGATGCGACGTACAAAACGAGCAGAACCAAGATGCCTCTTGTCAATGTTGTTGGTGTCAGTCATCTCGGTGCATCAAAGCTCAAGAACGTGCTTATTGCCTCTGCTTTCTTAGTGATCGAGAAAGAAGAGTCGTACACCTGGCTCCTTCGGACTATGCGACAAGTCATATGGCCAAAAGGAAACGTACGTATCTTCATTACAGACAACGAAAGAGCTTTGATCAACGCCATCGAGTCAACTTTCAAAGATGCAGAGCATATACTTTGCGGGTGGCATATGGAGCAGCATTTACGTAGCATTTTCAGTACTTGCTTTCCACCGAACAGCGAAGAGATAGGCGAAGCCAAAGCTATTATTAAGCAAATGGTTTATGTTGGTAAAAAAGACGAAGCGGCTTTCCAGGCTGCCATTGACGCTTATAAGTGTCTGATCGAAAAAGGTGCTCTTGCGTATGCCAACGAAAACCATAAGCGATCTAACAAAAAGCACAAGAAAACAAAGTCCAAAGCGAAGCATCATGACGACAGCAGCAATAGCGAGAACGACAGAGATACTGAAGATGATGCAACGTCTGCAATACGTTTGCTGGCAAACAAAAAGAAAGAGAAGATGATGGACTATCTCAACGGGTATGTTAACTACCTTTATCCAATATTTGACTGGAGCTTTTGCCGAGTTGTGCTAACCAGCTGTATTATATTATATTATATAGCTGCCTTGAATATAAGGAGAAATGGGGTGCTTGTTATACTAGAAGACTTTTAAACATGGGAATGAGGGCATCATCGCGTGTTGAAGGAACACACTGGCGCATCAAAGATACAATGCAAACGACCGGAAGCTTGTTTAAAACGGTCAAAGCAATTGATCGTGTCATGCGTAAATCGGTATGAACTACACCCTTTGTTTTCGAATTGAAAAGATAATGTGTTAACGGATATGCTAATCAAAATTCTGTACTAGTTGGCTGGTGAAGAGACTCAGTTTTTGCAAGAAAGACATAAAATGCCACTGTATGGAAAGCATGAATCGGCTGCGATGCAAGAGCTCTTTGGCACTATTTCGTTTTTTGCTTTGAATCGACTCCGAAGGGAGCTCAAACGAGCTTGGGATAACTGCGATAAATATCAACTTGACTCAAGCGAGTGCTGGTGTGGTACCACGCTAAACTATGGACTGCCGTGTCAACATAATATCGCACGAAAAGGGTTCAGTATAAGCTTGTCGGATATCCCTGATCGATGGCGTTTGGAATATGACAGAGGTATAATTTTCTGCTATAGTAATACTGTGATTATACTATGCGCCTGTAATATACTTCATATCCTAATATGAGAGTTATTTATCCACAGATAGCTTCCAAAAGGTGTATACTCCTGAAGCAATTGTATTAGAGCAACAGAACTTGGTACTACAGAAGCTGCATGATGTACTCTACAATATGCGGTCGGATCAGCAAAAATCCGATTTACTTAGTAGTATCGATGGGACTATCGACGAATATACAATGAGTTTCGACATTAGCGACATCGAATTACCAAGCAATGTGAAGACGAAAGGACGCCCTGCTAACACAAGAAATGCACGATTACCGTCAAAGTTCGAACTCGATGAAAAGGATAGCCAGCAACGCTTTCAAAATAGAAATGCCAACGAGTCTGAGGAACTCTCCGAAGGCAGCAACACTGAGGATGATAACATCTACATTTTTCCTCAACAAGGGAAAAGAAAGGATCCGGAGATGAACTTCCTTGAAAGCACGAACAAAAGGTACGTGCTCTTCTGATGGAATTCTAGCTAACAAATACTTGCAGCTATCACGATTTTTTGTAACCAAACTAAGTTTAAAAACTATTTACACTATTGTAGATCCTAAAAAGATTTTGTACCCAAGCTGAAGTTCTTCGTTCATCCAACCATCCCTCGCAAGTTCATTGAAACAACTGTCGACATTATGTCTGATGGCTTCTGTGGCTTCCGCACAATCGCACATCATGTACACGGCAATCAAGAGGCTTTTATGTTGGTCAAGCTACAAATGCTGGAGTGCTTCAAAATAAACAAGGATATATATCAGCAGCACTATGTATTTATGCGTGAAAATTTACAGCGCATTGAAACATCACTATCTTACGCACTTGATGCTCCACGACCCCCAGAATCGTGCCCATCGGATTATTGGTTCCTTGCGCCTGACTTTGCACAGATCGCTGCAGACACTTATCAACGACCTCTTGCAATTTATCCAGACAATGATAAGAAAAAGCCAGACTCTGACGAATACGCTTATGAGCCATCTCTAATTTTGCCAATGCAAGGTCCATCGTCCGACAACAAGAATCCTCTCCCCATCATTATGCAGCATCTCGATAACACTCATTGGGCTACCATCGATACAAAAGGACGCATTATCAAGATGGACTGGCCGATTATCAACTCGATGTGTATAAAGGCATACCGATCAATGGGTAATATTGATAACCTGCGTAAAACAAAGTGGCGTTATCTGCAGATAAAAAAGCGTGACGACGAAAAGACAGTGCGTGCTAGACCCTTTACACTAGATTAATCATTCTACTACTTCCTGTACAGTAATTCCCTCTCTTCTCGAACACCACTCTCTACATTTCATTGTTATTTGATATATTCTGGCATGTGTTAAAAAGCGATGTTGATAAGATTTACTCAATACCTTAAAGGAACATTATATTTTACATCACTTTGATTTATGGCTCTCCGTTATATGGTATAGCAAATAACAGAACACACCACTTAGGTATACTCATAACCTTGCGGACACCCCCACAAGTATATATTGATAGGATGTGTGTAACCTGATGAGGATTAAAAATAGAAGGGGGTGTCCGTAAGGATTAGAGGGGGGGTGTCCGTATCAAAAGCCTTGCTGTTAAGCGTCTTATTTCGGACTGAACGTCGAATGCGATGTCAGAGGAGAGGATTTGAACGAGCATATCGAGACGATGCATCCTCTTGCGCTTCAAATACAGAGTCTTTAATTAGTTGTGCCAAGATTCGACGTAGTTGTTCGTTTGCATGTTGGTGTATATTTCTGGCTGATAACAACTGGCCCAACGTTCGACAGCTGCTCCATTCAAGGCCCTGATCCAATACTGGTCGAAATAGTCGTGGAATAGGCGATGGTTGCGCCGAGTGTAACCAAGAAAGTCTTCCAGTAGGTCTCTAAAGCGCGCTTGGTTTGGCTCATACATAAGAGCACGCAGCCGTTCACGAACATTCTTCTTGGCCCTCGCGCCAGTCACCTTTTCTTGGACATTCTTTGTCCAAGCAAGCATAACGTGCCAAAGGCAGTGTTGAATGCTGCAAGTTGGCCACACCTCGGTAATCGCGTTATCCTCAGCAAGATCACGATCGATTGTTATACGCTGAGGATTCAAACCAAGAGAAGCAAGGAAACGGAACCAACCAAGAAGGGGGAGAGATGACTTATCATCAGTTATGAGATAAGTGACAGGAACGCCACGACCAGCAAGAGGATGGCGGATAACCATCGTGTATAGAACACCACTTGCATATCGCGACACATCATGAGTCGCATCCAGACATATGAAGCTGCCACTTCTGCTAAGCAACAATGCTTTCTGCCAAGGAGCCAAGAAGCCAAAGGTGAACCGTTGAGCAGAAAGAAGATGCTGACCAGCTCCATTGGTGTCAATCCAAACATTGTAGCCCTGTGTTTCAAGGGAAGCCAACCATTCTTCAAAAGATGCAAAGTCATCGGTGTCTTTGGTACAGTGTTCCTGTCAATACTTATAGAATATATTATAAACATCGACAGAATTGACGTAGGAACCCCGTTGGCTTGCATCCAGATGCCCAAGCGTGCGTTGTAAGTGGGTGCGGATTTCACGGACGTTGTACCCTTTACGCAATTCGACGAGTATCTTTTCCTTGAGCTCGTCAGATGCAGGAAGGTACTGAACATCTTCAACGGTGCCAGGTACATGCCCAGTATGCTGACCTTTGTACTCGAATCGCGCAGTTGTTGGGTCTTCAACGTCTACCTTGATCGATAGCTTAGCACCGCATCCAACTTGCTTAGACTTTTTCTGGATTGGCCGACGACGGATGTTATCATCGGTATCTTCATCAGAATCATTATCCGAGTCAACGTCAGAATTACTCCCTTCTAGATCGCCATCTTGCTGCGGTTTTGCATAATCTCTACGATGGCAAAAGTATCTGATGGTATGGGTGGTTTTCGATGGCCTATTTCTTTTGTTGATAGGCTCGCTGTTTTCCTGAGCAGCAGCTGCTTGTGCCAATTTTTGCTCTATATGTCGTTGCATAAAATAAAGAATCACAATAAGCACCAAATCAATGGCATATTTCTAAGCATTCGCTCATTATTCATACCCTTTGCTTTAGCAGGGTAATAGGTGGAATGATATATCCAAGATTCACCAGTGGCATGGGGTTGCTGCGCGAGTATCTCTTCATACTCGTCGATGTGGCTTGAGATAGGACGCGCAGCAGAGTTAAAGGTAAAAATAACTGCTTCGCTAAGAGTAGCAGCAGTAGTAGTGCCGGTGTTGGTGGTAGTAATGGCGGATGTGTTTGTGGACATGTCAGTGCTAATGGCGAATGGCGAATGCGAGATCGGAAAGTAAAGCGTTTAGAATTACCAAAGAGAAAAAGAATTCAGGTACAACTGTTTATATAAATATCATGGTGACACGAGCAGACATATCTCGCTTTTTGATATAGGACACACTCTATATAATGGCAACACATAAAACATATAGGCATAAACAAAACATCAACTTTATTGAAGTAAAACTCTCTCTCCACATACCAACCATGATATCATACTCCCGATCATACGTATACAGTTTCACCCAGTAGTCCAACATATAACCCAGCTCTTCTGCTATTTATAACCGTGTTCCACAGTAAACATAATATCTAGGCAACCGTTTGACACAAGCATAATGCACTGACCATGTAATATAGTAGGGGGTTTCAAACTCGTGGCCAGCTGGTCAAATTCCGCTAGATACTGTGCTTTGACTTACGTCCATAATTATGCCATGTTCCATCCAACCGCGATTTTTAGCTTCTGTGTGAAATAATGACTAGGTGTGGATGCTTCGAGGAAAAGACTGACGGCAAGCCTGAGTCGCAGGAGTAGTTTCCACTAGAGTCGCGTCATGAGCGGCAATGGCAACGGCGTTTGTCATTGGCAGTTGAATGTTTGTTGTGGTAACAATGGAGTCTAGAGATCAGCAACGAGTTTGGTGGAGGAGGCAGAACAACTTCACCCACAGCTGCTCATCTTGAAACAGTCGTACTTTACATGCTGTGCTGTTGATCGCGTTGGTCCCATTCTGCCCAGTTATTACGCCATGTAGAAATCGCTCAGTGTGTCGCTCAGTGTGTGGAATGGAGCAGCCCTGTAGTAGCATAGTAATGGCCAAACAGCGTTCGCAAAAGAAGCCATAATAGCACACGAAAAGTGAGCAATATAAACCCGTCAATATTACCCTTATCCTTGCTTCAACAAGGCCGTTGCAATTAGTAGTCGTTTTCCTCAATCCTTCCATCAATCGTTCAGGCAATTCTATTCGACATGGCGTAGCGTTCTTGTTAGCTGTGCTGTGTCAAAAAAAACAGACAAAGCCAAAAAAAAGCCGCGTTTGCAACTGTCTCCTCTGCAATACGACGTACCTGTAGGCACTGTTCTCTTTTCCATTATGCTGCTACTAAATCTGCTGCTGAAGGTCCATGTGGATTAAAATGTGCATTCTTCAATTGTTTGTACGTGAAATCGTCAAAGACCTTGTGGCATGTCGCAATTGGCAGCTCTACAGAGAAAGGAACAGAAACTCACTCGTTGCAATGCCCCTCGATTCTACTGCCCTTTACTGCACTACTTTTGGCCATTCATAGAAATAAGCAAAGTGTTAATACTGTGCCGTAATTGCTTTCGCTCCAATCAGTCAAATATCGTCGTGCTTTTTATACTGCTGTATTGGCCAAAATTAAGAGGAGACACTGTTCTTTCTCCTGAAATTTTCTTTATAGCGCGCTCCACCAACGTCATCGACTCTCTGACTTTGAAAAGAAATTTGAATTGTGGGGGGGAGGCAGCTCTTATATTGGTGGCAATATAAGTAAATTGATATAAAACACGCACAAGCAAGTTTAGCGAACGGGAACATTTTTTATTTGATACATGATACTACTAATCAATAATAGGGTGTCGATGTGTTAGCTTCCCTGCTCTTAAGCAGGTACTGACAGGAGCAACCACGAGAAGGTCCATCGACATCTGCTCCCGTAACCCTCTCCCCACAAAGCTAGGGTCTTGTCTTGGTCGCTTTTTTGTGGATCATCAAAGGTCGATTGGTATTGAGATGCCCAGTCCGCTCTCACCAATCGCGAAGCTACAAAAAAAAAAGCACCACCACCCACCCACCCACACACCCACTTACCTTCACCCACTTACCTTGCACCTTCGTCGCCTGTGCCTACAAAACAAGCACCACCACCCACCCACCCACCCACACACCCACTTACCTTCACCCACTTACCTTACGCCTCCGTCGCCCATGCCTACAAAACAAGCACCACCACCCACCCACCCACACACCCACTTACCTTCACCCACCTACCTTACGCCTCCGTCGCCCATGCCTACAAAACAAGCACCACCACCCACCCACCCACACACCACTTACCTTCACCCACTTACCTTGCACCTTCGTCGCCTGTGCCTACAAAACAAGCACCACCACCCACCCACCCACCCACACACCCACTTACCTTCACCCACTTACCTTACGCCTCCGTCGCCCATGCCTACAAAACAAGCACCACCACCCACCCACCCACACACCACTTACCTTCACCCACTTACCTTGCACCTTCGTCGCCTGTGCCTACAAAACAAGCACCACCACCCACCCACCCACCCACACACCCACTTACCTTCACCCACTTACCTTACGCCTCCGTCGCCCATGCCTACAAAACAAGCACCACCACCCACCCACCCACACACCCACCCACGACCTACAAAACCCGCGTTAGCCCCCACTCCCTCCCCAGACACTCACAAAAAAAAGAAAGGGACTTACCATACGTGATCGTGAAAAAGTGAAAAATGAAAAGAGAAAGAAAAAGTGAGGAAGCAACACGCTGCGGAAAATGGGTGTCTTTTTATGGGCAAAAGTTCATTTCCAAAAAGAACTCTGGTCTGGGCTCAATGAGATTCTGAAGGGACGCTTGCTTTTTTTTCCTTTCCTGTATCTTTTTTTTTGCGTACAAAAAACTAAAATAGGCAAAGATAAGCTCCGTGCTCAACAAAGCGCACAACAATGACAGACGACAGTAACACGATCACAACGCGCATTATCACACTTTGGCACTGTTTTTTATCTTTTTTTTTTACTTTCTGTGTTCGCGTAGTTCAGTTCGCGAAAATAATGGAAAGGAAAAAAGTTTTATTATTATTCCAATGCACATCACGTAGTTCAGTTCGCGAGAAAAATGGAAAGGAAAAAAAGTTAGTTCGGAGGATACGTTCCGAGCCAATCTGGTTTGCTTTTTTCGCATGTATCATACTTCACGCGCACCCTGGGAAAAAGCAGACAGATAGGATATACGATCGACGCTGTTTTTCTTGAAAAGAATCCCTTTCTCTGCATCCACCACGCTTGCCAGCTTACGATTATCGTTCGTTAAGCTGACCACCGAGCGAGCTCAAGCTGACCACCGAGCGAGCTCAATGCGAGACTAAAGACGACAAGCAGTCTAAAACCACACCTCCATAAGCGTATACAGTGTAGTGTTTTCGCCTGGACGAGTGACGTCCCCCAACTTTGGTTCCATCCCCCCATCCAACCCCCCGCCTCCAACTTTATTTACGGCCAGCACGGAAGGTCTGCGCATGAAGAAGCCGAGCATGACAGCAAAGTACAATGGAGACCCTGCGCAAAAAACATCGTAACTTGGCCTCAGAGCCTCGAAAAAACAAGGGTTGAGTATGTGCGTGTTGCTACGAGTCTGCCCATTGCGCTGGTTGCGGTTGTGTGAAAAAAGCGCTGCGAATCGCTTCGCAAGAGCAGCCGCCATTTCGCTCGGAATTGGTCAAAATGGGTGACGCGAATAAAATAAAATGTGTTTTGACATGCTTGTCCTGGCAACAAGCGGCTTTCAGGAACATGGATTGTCATGACTACTGAATGCCATGGCAATAAGCAGCTTTCTTATGCAGCGTGGTTATAAAGCAAGCCTCATAGAGAAGGATGTTAAAACGAGCAAACCAAACAACCTGAAGAAGCAGCCTGTATGGATAATAGTAGCTCTAGGATGACGCGCATACTATGCTGAAAACAGCCATGCTGCTCTATAATCTGGCTTTGACAATTTATTTTAAGCTGCCCACATCCATCATTGCGGGCTTGGAGGATCGGCAATCGCTGATTGCGGTGGGCATATACTCGTATAAGAGAGCGTTTTTTATTTTCGTTACACACGCCACGACAGTTGATACAACAATGGCCGAGACTTTCTACAATGTCTCACTGATCCCATGAAGACGCTGGCTGCGGCGTTCAGCACATGTTTACTCCAAACAAAACCCAAACAAACAATTTATTGTTCAATATAAACAACATTGACCCGAACCCTGTACAGAGACCCTTTGATCATTGGCCTGACCTTTGCGCTATCCCAATCTAATACACGCCCAGTCATCCTGCTGATAAGATATTAACCAACTTGCATAACACTATCCGCTATCTCCCCCATCCCCCATCCCTTTCTTTCCTGATACTTTTCCTTTTTTGGATTATAATTCAGCAATATAACTAGTAACAAGACAACCATTCCAAGTGCATCATCAGCCGTAAATAATCATCAAGAGCTTACAAACGACATCATATCACGCCACCCATTCGGGTCATAGGCGTTCATTGCTGTACAGATGTTGTTTTACATAAACTGGATCATCCGAGTATAATGTTTCCGTGATTTATGGTGCATACTAGTGTGTCTCAAAATCTGGAGATATCTGGAGAGTTTTTTCATGTGTGAAATAAGTAGGGCATAGGCATAAAAGGGAAATTATGGGGGTTGATGAGGAAAAAGAGCTTCTTCCTGACGGAAGGTGATGCGTAATTTGTGGGTAGAGCCGATGACAGATTGAGGGTGGAATGGGATAGAAAAAAATATAAAGCCAATGGGCTCGCCACACTCCAACTAGAATACCTGAAAGAATCTGAGCGGTTGTATGATAGAGGAGATTGAGATGAAGGCCACGAAGGCATAGTAAGGTGGCGTCGGAGACAGTGTGCTCGGAGGCCGGCATCCCCTTATTTCCACCCCGGTTGAGTGTGAAAAAAATTGGAGGGAGGAAAGAGTGGGGTTCAATAGCAGCAGCAACAACCAAAGATCTTTTTTTTTTCTTCTCATTAACAACCACCATGGCAATTCAACAGCTGCGAACACACTTGTATATGACTTTTTACTGTCTCCATGATGAATAGAAGAGAAAAAGAAAACAAAGCGCCACAATCCACAGATTTAACAAAAAACGGAATCATGGTAATTGTTTTTTTAAAAAAAAGCATGTGCTCAAGATTTGTAAGGTGTAGACCGCCGTTACTGTAGAAAAAACGATAGCCTTTCAAAGTT